CTTTTTGAACATCTTTGTTTGGTTTTGGTATGAGAGTGAATTTTATGGTTCGATAGTTGAATGGAATTTCCCCTGAAGAAAGAATTTGGTTAAATTCTTTTAGAAGTATGTGTTTTATCTGAGGAAAGAGAGACTTATAAACGCCGTATGGTATACCATCTACCCCGGGGGCGGATTGAGTATTGGATTCAGTAACTGCATATTCCAATTCTGTCATGGTGATTGGTTTGTTCAAGTTGTTGGATTCAGTGTTGGTTAGTGGTATCTGATCTCCCAAGGAGGCGTTGATGAACCTTTCTATATTTTCCGAGCTCTTTGAACCACGAGATCCATCGTAGAGTTTTTGATAGTAATTGGTTACTTCTAGAAGCATGTCTTGCTGTGATGTCAATAAAGCGCCATCTGAAGCTTTGAGGGCTTTGATTGGGCGCGGTCTGGAGTGTTGGTGGAACCTAGTTCTTATGTGGTCATAATAATTTGGTTCATCAGTATTTTCTGTTATTTTCTTGTGTACCATCGTCAAAAAATTCAGCTTCAAGCGAATCTCGGAAATGAGGTCTGAAGTAGAGTTCACAGTGGGTGGAAACTTGATCTTCAGAAGCCATTGAATAATATGATTTTTAATAATATTATGTTGGGGGATGTAAGTCATTGCATGAGGTTGAGTGTTGATTTCAAGAATAATAGAATCGTGAGTTGAAGAAGACTTTAGATAGTTTTGTTGGGACATTTGAATATGAAATCTGTTTTTGTCGGAGATCATGGACTGACTGATATAAAAACGATCTATTCTGCGACTACTTTCTTCCGTGGTGGATTGGTTAGTCCAATTCTTTTTAATCTGGTGCAATTTTGGATGTTCATAGATATCTGCTAGCTTGAAAGTTTTGATTAGCTTTTTAAGCGACTCGGACGATCTTTGTTCGCGAGAACGGAAGTTAGCAGAGTCTCTTGAATTGACAAAATTATTAAAGTCACCTCCGAGAATAATGTTGATGGTCTTATTGTTGCTTCTCGCTCTGAGAGCGGTAAGCTGGGTTTGGAGGGTGATGGAGAGTTGATTTTGAAGGAGGATTTGTTTTTGGTAATCAGCAGATGGGTTGTAGATATTGATTAGCCAAAGCCAGTTATTGGCATCTTGTTCAATAATGGCATCTGTGATATAAACCTGGAGCTGGCTCAGTACTGCAATTGTTAGCAATGAATGATCAACGACCTTTATGTGGTCCTCAATTATAATAGCTGTGCGGGATGATGGAGTATTTTTATAAATTTTTTTGTTTTGGTGTTGGAAGAGGAAGTCCTCGCCAAGATTAAGTTCTTGAAACATTGAAATGTTATATTGGTTTGATAGATGGAGAATTTTGGAGTCATCCAATCTCAATCTTTGGATGTTTTGACTAATGATCGATAGTTTACTCATTTTGTGTATGAGAGGCGTTTTTTGTGACATTTGAGCCATCTGATTGAGGTGAATTTATTTCGTTGTTGTTATCCTCCAGGGGGGAAGATTGTTCTTTTGACAGAAGCTTCATTGGCCGGGGAGTAAATGATTCCAGTGGCGTGGGCATTTTGTCTAAGTTTTCCAGGATAGTTGGATGTTTTGAGAAGGGGGAAGCTGAATGAGGTGAGGTAGAATGAGGTGAGGTAGTAATAGGGGTAGGAACAGAGGTAGGGACAGAAGCAGGGACAGAATCAGGGGCAGAAGCAGGGGCAGAAGCAGGGGCAGAAGCAGGGGCAGAAGCAGGGATAGAAGAAGTGGCCAGAGCCGAGGAAGTGACAGTATCACGGGCAGGGGTAGGTGAAGGAGGAATGTTGGCAGCAGAAGAAGTAGTATGATGTTGTGAGTTTACTTCTTGATGTCTGCGAGAAACACGGACCTGAGGGTGGGATGAAGGTGAGGCGAGGATCTTTTTGGAGACCTTGCTAATATGGGCCAGCTTGATGGCGCTAATGGCCGCGAACTTGGCGTGCTTCTTAGATTTACCTTTCTTGGACAATAATTCTATTGGTTTGGTTTGATGTCTGAGAGTAGCAGTGTGTTGGGTTGTAGAGGTTTCGAGTTCATCCATGGATTGGTCTGCATCAGTAGAGAGGCCTTCCTCTAAAGCATCTTCCTCATTGGATGGGTAGTTCTTTTCCAAAGTATCGTCCTCATCAATAATTGAATCATCAACATTTTCTTCTTCATTTGCCAATAAGTCGAAAGGGTTTGAATGTGGTTTAGAATATTCTGGAGTAGCCGGTTTATTCAGTTTTATTTTTCTTTTTTCGACAGTCTGAAAACCATAGTTTGATTTGTGGTTTGGTTTGACTGCTTTTCCAGAATTTTGTTTCGGAGAGTGTTTTTCTGGATCTTCCGGATTCACAATAGGTGCTCTTTGTTGCTTTTTGAAATAACAATCTTTTGCCCTATGGGATAATTTCTTGCAAATGGCACAAGATGACGTCTTGCAGTCAAAACGAGTGTGTTCACGGGAACCACATGCAGTGCAGTGGACGCATTTCGTGATGACTCTGGAGCGGAAATTTTTGTCATTGAAGAGTGGAAGGGATTTTCCTGAGTCAATTTCAATATAACCATAAGTGACAATACTGGCAGCTTTGCTAGCTTCTTCCGTAAAGTGAACGGTGTTGATTGGAAAGAAGGATGATGGATCAATTCCGGATTCATTGAAGACATGGTCAAGAAGTTTTTCCCGGTTAAATTCAGTAAATTCGGAATTCATTTCAATCTCAATTAAATGGGATTCCTTATTCATTGTATTTAACAAAGACCCTGGCGTGTAGGTATAATTTCCAACTGTAACTTTAAGGTGGATGTTAAGATATTCAATTAAAAGATTTCTGTCCTTCTTGAAGATATCAGAGCCTGTATCCTGAGGGTTTGGGATGAAGTTTGAGTTAAGGCAGATCTTCTTATTAAAAATAACCAAGTGGTTGAGGGCCCCTTTTAAGTTTTCCCTGATTATGATCAAATCCTTATCTGGTTCGTTGGATGACTGTGTAATAGTATCAAGTTCTTTGGATAACTTAGTGAGTCCGTTTTTGATGGATTCCAAGTGTTTTTCAAGAGGAAACTCTGTAAAGATATCTTTTGGGATCTTAAAGTAGATTAAGATATCCTTAAGATGCTGTTGGCTCATGATAAATTCCAAGTAGTTCTCCAAGCTGATTCTAGAGTTTCTTAATCTGTTGAATTCGTTTGTCATATTAAAACTGGTGTAGTTTTGGAAGAAATCTTCAATTTCCATGATCTTGACGAGTTCCTCGCGTTTTTCTTTGGATTTAATAATAGCAGGATTGGAGGTGGAGAACAATTTTCCTGATTTGCGTTTCTCGCTTATGGCATATTCCAATACGTCGCGGTGCTTAAAGTCAAGGATTTTGATGTGACTTGCCCATTTGAAAGTTCTTTCAAATTTCATCAACACGTTTTGGAAGGATGGATCATTGGTGTTTGTAGTGGCTCGAGGTGTGCGCTTGTCTCCAGCGGTGGCTTGAGCATAGGTTTGGATTGGTCTTGTCACATTGACAGCTGGAGCCACCGGATTGGAGGCCGTAGTTGGAGAGGCGACAGTAGAAGGTGAGACAGAGGGAACAGGAACAGAAGGAACAGAAACAGAAGGAACAGAAACAGAATTTTTTTTTGGGTTTTGAGAATTTTCGATTTTTTTTTGGTTTTCGGAGTTTTCATTAATAAAATCAGTAGAAATAACGGCTTGGGTTGGAATAACAGGATTGTGCATGTCAATGTCAGTGTCACATGCTGCATGAGAATTGCGATCGCAATCAACTGAAGAAACATTAATTGCTGGAGAGGTAGTTGGGGTAGAAATGGCGTTGGAATCCATGTTTTGGTCCGCTTCAGGATCTTCTGAAGCAGTTAAAAAGGTTTCAACAGTACTATTAATAGTATTGTCGGCTGCATCAGTAATTTCTTCATCGGAATCTTGATCTTTAGCTTGTTTGTTTATGTTTGCTATCGGGATCGGGGTTTCAGATGTTGCGCCAACATCCAATGAAGAGCCCAAAGAAACCGGGGTTTCAATGATTGGGGGATCATTAGTAGGGTCGGTGGAGTAGTTTGGAGTAGCTTTATTACTATTTCTAGTGGTTCTCATGATAAAATCAGTTTTATTTATTTTTTTTTTTTTTTATAAAGTCCCTATATTTAACTACTAAGAGCTATATAGGTCATCGCACTTTTTATGTACGGTTATTATGATCAATTATGCGCAGCTATGGCGACTTATTTGGTGTCCGTTTTCTCCCAATATTTTTGGTAACCCGGGAGTTTGGGTTGGAAAATGCAATGTTTTTGACTTGTAGCAACCTGTCACTATTTTTTTTTTTAGCCAGGGAGGAGGAAATCTTCGAAAGACACCAGCGACGCAACCTTACCGGTAGTGTGAGATTTTTACTCACTAAAACCCCCTTGTACCTTACCTTCAGAGTGGTATTACTCCTTACTCAGCTAGCGTACTGAACGTGACCTGGTGGTTAATGCAGCGAGCGGGGTTCGAACACGCGACCCTTTCTTAGTCTATGGTTCTGCCCACTACGCCACCCAGCGCAGGTATTTATTGGTAACCAGGACTCAACCCAACCATGATCCAATAATATAACAATAATCAACAATTCCGATATAGTGTAACGGCTAGCACGGTTCGCTTTCACCGAGCAAACCCGGGTTCGACTCCCGGTATCGGAACATATTTTTGCTATGCTAAACTTCTCTATATTTCTTATTTTTAAGCCCCATATTGTGATCACAAACTCACTTAGTTGTTAGCAGATGTATATTTAAGCACAATAGTGAAATTCCTTGGGTGATGCTTCCCTGGCATAAGTGGCAATTTGTGATTCTCAAGTGGAAGTCAACGTGATACCCGGCTGTTCCTTACACTTTTTTTTTTTTAACCGATCTACATCTTCCTCTACTGAGTAATCAATTCTGATGAAGAACCCGAAAAACGATCAATCAAGTATTAATATAGATGAGTAGTGGGGATAGTCAGAAAAAAATAAGTGAGCTCATCCAACAGATGGAGGTGATAAAGAATAATCTATCGCAAATGACGACCAACCAGGTGATTGCTGCAAATCATCAGGTCCAGGCTTCTAGTTACAAAAGCAGTCATTATACTCCATATAACCACGCCCATGTATACCGTGGTGGTAGGGGACGCGGATATAGGACAAGATCAAGAGGTCATTATAGAGGTGGATACAAGGGTCATGCGAATACTGCTCGCGGGTCTAAAGTGAGGAACATGTCATTATTAATTGATAATAACCATGCGGATAAACATGAGTCCGAGGGGGCTAGTTCAACTGGTAATCAAGGATACGTATCAACTGTCACAGGAAATGCAATGACGTTAGTTAACAAGGAGATTTTTGATAAGGAATTGCAAGATAGGTTAAAAAGGGCGAAAATTATTGAACTAAAAAAGAAGATTCTAAAGAAGCAAATCGAGAATAAAGTTTTATTAGCAGGTTTCAACAAGAATAAAAGCAAATATGATTATTGTGATTGGACTCACTTATATGGACCAAAAAGTGAAGCAACACTGTTAGGATATGGTTTATATGCGGTTGTTGGGAATGGGAAGAAACTTGCACCTCTTTCCTTGGACCCGCGAAGTGAGGAATTGGGGGCAAAAGTGGAATATAATGGACATGAATATATAAGGTCTTCTGGTGGAGTGTTGGTAAACATTTCAACTCCAAGTGAGCAAGAATATTGTCATTATTATACTGCTGCAGGTATGTATACTTTTTTTAAAAAAAATTATGGGAGATCAATTTCTAATATTTTCTAATTTTTTTTCTAGGTGCTTGTCAAAGGTATGCAGCGTGTCAGTTCAAGCATTCAAAAGATCATGTGGCACTTTGTAGGAGATTTATCTCACACAAATGCCCAGAATCAGCAGCGAGTTGTCAGTTATCTCATACGCCAAACCAATTCAATTCCCCAACTTGCTTGTTCTTTTTGAACGGGTACTGTGCTAAGGGAGATGAATGTATTTTTGGCCATGTCATGACAAATCCAGATGCCCATATTTGCAGGCCATTCGCATTGGGTGGATGGTGTGATCGTGGGTTGAGTTGCACTTACAAGCATATTTATGATTGCCCTGATTTTGTGGATTATAATGGATGTTTAAAAGGTAAAGCATGCAAATTAAACCACCCAAAAAAGAGGAACGATGATTTAAAGGATGATAAAATGAATCAAAACAGAAAAATTAAGAGTGAGGGGGAAATCTCAGACAAGGTGGATATGAAGAATATATCTGAAATCTTGGATTTTAGCTCGAGTGATGATGAAGAAGAAGAAGACGATGATGATGATGACAACGAAAGTGACGGTAGTGACGATGGTGAAGAGAAAAAACGAGAGGAATCAAGCCAAGAGAGAATAGAACAAAATGAAGATAAAACTCTTGAGCTCAACCAGGATTATGTTCTGTTATAGGAATCTTCCACATATAAATTCCTTATAGAGGAAAAAAAAGAATCTAGTACGAAGCAGAATATGCTAATAAAAATGAAGAAAATGAAATGAGATAAAGAAAAATGAAAATAATTAAAAAAAGAAAAATAGAACGCAAAAAACAAAACAAAAACAGAAGAGTAAAACTAAACAAAATAAAGTAAAATTAAAAAAAAAGCAAAAAATATAGGTGATTATCTCTTATCCGAAATTTTTACGTCTTGTAAGTTATAATTTAGAAATATTAGGCACTACTGTTGTTAAATTTAGGTTGTGAGTAGAAAGTGGGGCCTTCAAAACAATCATAAGAATTACTACAATTGCAGCACTCCTGGAGAACGATAAAAAATGCTGCTTTATTAGAGAGACTATCCAATTTCATATATATATTTCTACTAGAACAAAATAACACATATATCCAGAAAGGAAAACGCATATCATTTCAAGAACCTATTTAGGACTCAACAACTGGGTGAATTCATTGATGTCAATTTCACCATCATTATTAGAATCAGCTTCCTTAATCATTTGGTCAATTTCAGCATCACTCAACTTCTCACCAATTGAAGTCAAAACATGTCTTAATTCGGCGGCAGAAATCTTCCCATCACCATTTCTGTCAAACACTTTGAACGCTTCAATGATTTCTAATTCTGAATCGTTATCCTTCAATTTTCTAGCCATCATGGTCAAGAATTCTGGGAAATCAATAGAACCATCGGAATTTATGTCGACTTCATTGATCATATCATTTAATTCGGATTCTGAAGGGTTTTGACCCAAAGCTCTCATGACAGTACCCAATTCCTTGGTTGTAATTTTACCATCGTTATTTTTGTCGAACAAAGAGAAAGCCTCTTTGAATTCTGTAATTTGTTCTTCAGTTAACTTATCAGCCTATAATGATCTGTTAGTTACCAATGTTTTTTGTTCATTTGCTGTCAATGTTCATTTGTTGTTGTTACCAAGAAATTATCCCAGATCAACAAAATAATAAGGAAGCCCTCGCCTTCATTGGAAATGAAAAAAAAAAAAAAAAAAACAAAAAAAAGGAGAATTTACAGACCGCCAAATAAATAATGTCTAGATGATTGATCCGTATTATATCCTGCAACTTACCATACTTGTAGATTCTATATTGTATATGTTGACACCACTTACACAAGCAATAGTGACACGGAGGTCTCAAACATTTTTTCTGCATTTTCCCCCATCCGCAAAAAAAATTAAATTCATAAATCATCCGGACATCATGGGTGTGCGGGTGTCGTATGCGGTAATCAATCACCTCAACATGGTCAAAGATATGATTATTGAATTTTGACGATCTGCCCAAATCAAATGCTATTGTTTATCCGGCCTACTGACAATAGCCAGTATATATACAAACTCCCAAGCTCTTCCCTCTTCCTTTTATTTATCCTGTATTTCAATTAAAGAATTTGGCTGGCCTGATATATTTGCAACACAATACAGCGGAATTTTGTATAATAATAGAGCAGAGGCAAATAGGGAACGAAAACGGGAGGGACAAACCATGATGCAATAGGTACTGATATTACGTGGATGAAAAGCTAGAAAATAACTGATGATACTATAAGCATTCATATTGCTGATAAGAGAATCTATAAAAAAGCGAGGCTATATACTGTCGAAAAACAAATAAAAATATAGTAGAATCATGTTAATTCATTATATTTTCAATCACGATAGCTCTTACCCCTAAATAATCCCTTTCCTTCCTTTTCCTGTCTCTCAAAAATGATAATTGCTAATGATTTATCACCATCATGATGTTTGAGAATACCAGTAAAGTGTAAGCCACAAGGATTGCATACTTTTCTAAGCTTTCCGTCGCTATCGGGAATGTTTCTCCATTGCTTTGGGGTACATTCTTGCTTGCAATGATTGCATAAACCCCGAACCCCAGTTTTGTGCCTTCTATTCTTGGCTCTTTTTTTTGAAAGCTTGATCTTGATCTTTTTTATGTTTTTGTTTGAGGAGGTTTTCAGCTTTTTGGTATTTCTTGAATTTGAGAGAGGCACTTGAATACTCTTTTTTTGTTTGGTTGTAGAAACCAATGGTTCTTTCATTTTATCTTCTTCCACATTTTTGAGAGACTCTGTTGGACTAGCTGTCGTATAAGATCCATCATTGGTTGTTGTGCTACCTTCAGCATGAGCCAAATTAGAAGAAATTGAACTCAGTAGACTTTTGGTGCTTTTTTGAGAAGTCTCATCAATTTCGTTTTTTTCTCCTTTCTTCTCGTTTTGATGATCCATATGAGGATGAGGCAAAGAAGCAGGTTTTTGGAAAGAAGGTTGAGCACTCCAATTGTAATTGAAGTTTACTTGCACTGATGATCCTTGAGCTTCGGATTTTCTACTTCTGTAATATTGCTCATGATGAATCTTTTGAATACTTAAAGGAATACTGAGTAAGAAGGTTAGTAAATTAGAAAAATAAAAGCCGGGAGGCTTGAAAAGAATTATATATGTAAAAGTAGAAAATCAAATATCATTGATCATTAATAAAGTGAAATAAATATATTGTGGAATGAATAAATGTTGTTGAATAATTACTCACTAATATTGTTGTAGTTCTTTTGACATTTCTTGATATTGACGTCTATCAACAGGCTTTTGTAAAAATATTTAGAATTAATGAGATATGAAAGATATAAAATAAATTCATATATATATATATTGACCTGAGAAATAGAGAAATTTGGAAAATAGGCAGGCAGATGAGACAATTTCTAATTTTCCTGACTTGCAAATCCATGTCAAATACATATAATGAACAGGCAGGAAATTATTTATTCAGAGTTGGAAAGTGAAATAATCGACTAGAGATTAAAACTCTTTTGGGTATGTGTATAATTCCACTGTTCATAGTCTTGGGTAAAACACTTTATACACTGATTATTGTGTTCTTTCTGGTAGTGACCTTACTTCGCCGCAAAATTACACTTCTTATTTTCAGTGCTATCACAAATATCTTAAAATAGGAAACATATCCTAAGAATCAATTGTTTACAAGTATTGTATTTGTGTTCTCTAAAAAAATCCAAAATGTTGGAATTTCCGCTATTTTCTGTGATTCTTCAAACACAAATTACTATTACTGTACGTAAATAGCCAAGAGGCTGTCAAAAATAGAGGTAAATTGAGGAAAAATTTAGAGTGATTACATATTCAAAAGATGAGCAGAGAGGATGAAGTTCAATAATCAACTCCGGAAAAAAGAACTTGGGATGTGATTTGGAATTTGAGTAATAAAATCGGTTGCAACGCTTATATTTTTCAAGCTGCTATGTTAAATTTGGAATATATAACATATATGATATTTATAATTTTCTCTTCGCTCATTCCTGATCGCTTTGATACTCATTTGAAAAGAGAAAGAGCCACAGGGAAGAAACACTCCAAGAGGTGCTCATCGACTCACGTGACACATACAATTTTTTTTTTTTTTTTTTGCATCAAAATTTTTCTCTATTGGAAAAGAGAAGCAGCTTTTGGAACTGACCCAAACAAGAACAGAAAGGATTTTCATAATGGGTAAGAGAAAGGCCGAGCTCTCCAAAGGTGCTACTAAGCTAAAGAAGCAGCGTGCTGAAGAAGATAGAATTTTGTCTGCTGGTTTCAATAATGTGATCTTATCAGAAGAAGAAGATGATGATGGTGGAAACTTTTCAGAAGAAAGTGATGAGGATGAGAATGATTGGGAGAATGAAGAACAAGATTATGAAAATGTTCCAAGATCTTTGGTGAAAAATAAAAAAATCGTGGAAGGTTTGCCTATTAAGACTAGCGAGGGGAGAATTCAGAGAATTGTCAGGGAACAAGATGAAGAAGATGAATCAGAAGAAGAAGATGAGAAAGATGATGAGGATGAAAAGCCTACAGAAGAAGACTCCAAGAAAAGTGAAGAAGAATTATCTGATGATGAAGAAGTTTACGCATTCTCGGAAAATATGACCGAAGAAGAAAAGCTTATTCAATTACAGGAAGACATTGCCGAAATGGTTGAGAAATTGATAGAACAACCGGAAGAAAATATTTCTTCCTTAACTAGATTACGCAAAATGGCTCAATCTAAAAATCCTGTGACTTCCAGGTACTCCTTGCTAGCATTGGTTTCAACTTTCAAAAGCATTGTGCCTGGTTATAGAATAAGACCATTGTCAGAAACAGAAAAGAAAGAAAAAGTCTCCAAAGATATTGCAAAATTAAGAATGTTCGAACAGACTCTTTTAGCCAATTATAAAGCTTATCTCAATATTTTGTCAACTAATGCTAAATCATTTTCAAAGAAGAGCTATTTGGGAAGAGTTTCCATAACGGCGTCCTGTGAATTGGTAAGCTCATTGTCTCATTTTAATTTTGTGGAAGACTTATTGAACATATTGATAAAGTTCGTTTGCAGATTCAGAGGCCCATTGCCAAAAGAATCTGAAGAACCAGAAAAGCTTGCTAATATTAAGCTTTTCACTCGTTGTATAAGTGTTTTGCAAGAGCAGTTGGACGAAGATATAACTTATGGTAAACTTTCTTTTGACGTTTGCAGATTGATTTCTAAGTCATTGAAACAAAAAGACTACCGTGTCAACAAAGAAGTTGTCGCCCTATATTTGTCATTGTCAATATTATCAGATTACGATCCCCAAAATGCCATGGATAATGCATCGCAATCTAAGCTAAAATTAAAGAAGAAGGATAGAGTTCATTTATCGAAAAAGGAGCGGAAAGCAAGAAAAGAACGTAAAGAAATTGATGAAGAAATGAGAAAGGCTGAGTTACAAGTTTCTAGGGAAGAAAGAGACAGAAACCAGGCAGAAATTTTGAAGATTTTGTTGTCAAATTATTTGCAGATCTTGAAAACTAGAAATGATCATTTGATGGCCAGTGTTCTAGAAGGGTTAGCCAAATATGGGTTCATGGCTAATCTCGAGTTAATTGGTGATTTTTTACAAATTATGAAGGAATTAATTCAAGATATTTCTGCTGAAGAACACTTGACTGATCATAGAATTAAGCAAATTTTGTTCTGTATTGTTACGTCTTTTACTTTGATGGATAACGGGAATAATAAAATCAGAATGGATATGTCCAAGTTTATTGACGTACTTTACGGTATTCTTTTAGATATTTCAATGGATGCGGAAATCACTAAGTCGATTAAATTGTTGATTAGAACTTTGAATGCAATTTTCATTCAGACCAAATCAAGCACAAAAATAAGAAATTTGGCCTTTACAAAAAAAATTTACATGTTGATTTTAAATACCAGTGAGAAGCCAACTTTGGCTTTGCTAGGGTTCTTGTCTCAGCTAATTGATAAGGCCCCAGAAATCAAAAACATGTATAATATTGATGATAGAGTTGAAAATGGCACTTTTGTGATGGAAGCAGACCATCCTAGCAGAAGCAATCCTGAGGCTGCTACGATATGGGAGAATTGCTTGCTTGTTAACCATTATTGCCCGTCCATTTCTGGCAGCGCGAAGAAGGTTTTGAAACAATCTAGATCTAGTTAGCTTCCTAATATTAATGTATTATTATTATCTCTAAAAAAAATTTTATTTCCAAAAAATGCACATTTCCACGCCCCCCCCTTTTTTTTTTAGTAAGTATTGGACTTAATGAAAATCTAAAATAGCTACTCTTTGATGATGTATTTTGGATCAGCTCTTTGAGCATATTCTGTCCAAGAACCATCATACACTTGGATACCTTTTTCACCCAAACCAGATATTTCTAGTGCCGACTTGATGATACAAGCAGTGACACCAGTTCCACACATAACAATTATTGGTTTAGAATTGTCCACTTTCCTATTATTGAAAAACTCAATCAAGTCTTCCTTTGGCAAAAAAGTTTTGTCTCCAGGTTGCAAAACCTCCGTGGCTGGGCTGCTGATAACATGAGGGGCGTGTCCTGAAGTTAAGCCGGGCCTTGGCTCTGGATCAACACCCTTATATCTACCAGTAGATCTTGCATCGAGAATATGATATTTTGAAGAGTTGGCTGGATCAGAAACGATATCATAGATCTCTTCAAACGATACAACATCATTAAGGATTGTGCGCTCCATTTCGTAGTCTGATTCCGGATAGGTGCTTGGTTTATCTATTGGGGATGAATCGATATCATATTTTTCTTTCAAATAAGACTGGTAGTTATCCAATAAATATATGTTTTTATGTCTAAAGACTTCAAACATCCAAGCAGCTCTTGGGGCAGAAAAGTTACCGATTTGATCATAAACCACCAAATGGTCATTATTTCTTATCCCCAACTTGGAAACATGATATTTGAAGATATCCGAAGATGGCAACATGTGAGGGTAGCTAGATTTTTCATCCTTTATTTTATCAATATCGATAAATATGGAGTTAGGGATTCTTGATGCCTTGAAGGTGTCGAATCCGAGCTTCTTCTGGTTTGGCATATACCATGTTGCATCTACCGGAACAATTCTTGATTCCAGAGATGCAGTTTTCAACAAACTATTGAGCTTTGAAGGAGTAATAACTTTGATATTAGTTCTCAGCATAATTCACACTTAATAATAAAATATTAAAGTCAATGAATCGTTATTAACTGATTGTTATGATGATTCAGATGATTTCACTAATAATCCCTGGTGGGGGTCCTGATGAAGAGATGTCCCTGAAAGACACCCAGACACCAAAAGAAAATTCGATTTTTTTTTTTTTTTTTTTCTTGTTTGAATGTTCAGTAGTGTATTATCGTGATGTTTATTATTTTTGGCAAAGCGTTTTGATAAATGATCCAAGGACAATAGACTACAAAGACAGCAGAGTATTGAAGTGACGGAAATTTACAAAACATGTTTGGCAACTTCGGCAACTCCGGTAGCAGCAGCACGCCCAATTCTGGCCTGAGCCTTTTCAATAATACTACCAATAATAATAACAAAACCGGCAGTGGCATAGGGTTATTTGGAAACAAACCAACTGTTACAAAACCGTCCGGAGTAGGCTTCAATACGGGGGTAACACAGTCTTCTGGAATGTCTCTTTTTGGCAACAAACAAACAATTGGTGGTAATGATGCTTCCAAGCCTGCGTTTGGTATTGGAAATTGCAGTTACAACAATAATAACATGAAATCGGCAACTTTGGATGATTCACCTTTTGGAATTAATTTAACACCCTTAGAAAAAGTAAGTGAAATGCCAAAATCAATCACCGGAAAAGATGAAGGCATTACAAGTGCACCTGATGGTTCATTCACAAATATATCTTCGCCAAAGTCAAAGCTGAAAAAGAAGAATTCTTTTTCTGGCTCAAGCAGCAGAGCTTCGCCTCAAACTACTAAAATTTATCACAGTAACATCTTGAATGGTATTAGAAGCTCAAAGTTGAACCGCCATTACGTTAATGTTCCATTAGGAAACAACACGGCAGATATTTTGGACCATTCGATCCATGGATTATTTTCTCCAGCAAAGGACAATTTGATGTTGAATTTAACACCCAAAGGAAACATCCAGTTTTCTTCGACACTATCTGAACAGTATTCAAAGAAAACCTTTGATTTCAATACATATGACAGCAATTTTCAATTCAATTCAACTTTGGGGAAAGAATACCAGTTGAAGTTTTCGACAATCAACAATAAAAATAACTTGCCGCCAAAGATTTCACAGTATTCTAATCTCGCCAGACCAGCTCGCAATAATAGTGACATTAAGAAGTTGGTGATTGATCCTGATGTGTCTGCTGCGAAAAGAAGAAAATTGTTGAACGGGACAAAGAGCTTACACAAGGGCAAACAATATGATGTGAAGGTGTTGGATACTGATGAATCCAATGTTATGGTGAGCGGACCAACGAAAAAAAGATTCTTCAGCCTTGGTATTGAACGAATCAAATCAACATTTAGAGATAATTCTAACAGACCAATAAAAATGCCAAATAAGTCTTCATTGCATGAAAAAGAATTAGATGAAGAAGCTTTGCGCATGAAGGCATTAGAAGATTCTATTGATTTTTCCAAATCTCCAAAGGAATATTGGTGCTCTCCACCTGTCAGTAAATTGGCAGAATTATCATTATCAGATTTGTCCTCAGTTCCAAATTTTATTGTTGGCCGTAAACATTATGGTCAAATTTCTTTTAATTCAAATGTGGACTTGGTAGATTTTGCAACTGCCAATCCAAAATATTCTACTATATTGAACCTTTACAATAGTTTATTCACAGAAGCAAATATTATTTTTAAAGAAAACTTCACCGTTGAAGTTTATCCTGATCCATTGACAAAACCTCCTCAAGGGTCTGGTCTTAACGTTGATTCCATAATCACTCTCGAAAATGTGTATCCAAAGAAAAGAAATCCAGAAAAAGATGATTTTAGTTCTGAGGAAATCAATCTGTTTGTATTAAAGCTCAAAAGACAAAAAGAAACAGAGTTTATTAATTATATCGTTGGCAGTGGTAGCTGGTCATTCAAGATTCAACATTTCAGTATTTGGGGGTTGATTGATGATAGTGATGATGAAGAAGATAAAGGTAATAATGCGGATATGGATAAAAAATCAGAAGCGATTGACAATCAACCAGTTGTGGAGAAAGATCAGGTGGCCGAAAAAAATCAAGTTGAGTGCAAGCCGCAACCAAAACCTTCGGTGGCCAAGCAAAGTGTTCCTTCAGAACAAAAACCTCAATCTCCAAAGAAGTCAAAAATTCTTATTCCCCAGAAAAGAGTATTGCCAAGATCAGTCGAGAAGCCACCACCAGTGTCTGATGAAAGAGATAAGTTTGCATTAAAGAAACAAAGGGTTACTAGTGCTACCATCCCAGGTGGCTGGGATTTTGGAAGTTCTAATTATGCTGATGTGGATAATGAATTAGATCAGTTTCATGTTAGCGTTTCCATCCAAGATAACAAAGTCGAGATAGGCAAACCGGAACGGACTATTGAGGAAATGCCTGTTGTTGCTGATGATATCGACGAATTGGAAAATCAAGAAGAAATAGAGATGGAAGACGCTAATGTCATGGAAAATGTGGAAGAAGTGCAGCTTGTTCTTGCCAAAATGCCAGCTAATGATGACAATGTCGTTGAGAGATTTGGTGAAATTGATATAGAGGACTTGGAATATATGAAAAATTCACTTTTAGACTCAGAAATGCTAGATGAGGATTCCCTTGAGGAACGCGCATATGAGCCAGTGGATATCAGTGAAGATGATCTCAAAATTTTGGAAGTTAAACCTTCAAGAGTTATCAAGAAATTATCAGATAAGTGTGCAGATCTATCATGGAAGGATACATTTGAGCAATGCAATGAGGAGGATTCTGTTTTCAATCCAAAATATCAGGAATTGATTTTGAAGGAAGCTCCCAAATTGCCTTACGCATCATTCAATAGACATATTCCAAAATCTTTGGGGTTCAATGAATTGGATGACATGATGTTTAGCAAAATTAACTCAATGATTTTGAGTAACGAGCTTGCTATTGAGCAATTGAGATTACGTGGGAAAGTGTTTAGTAAATGGGATGCTAATAATGGTAAAATTTTTACTAATATTCAACAAAGTGAATCTTCCGCTAATGATATCAATGTTTTCAGTGCCGATAAGCAATACGGTAATAGTCCTCAAAATGACCAATTATTGGATTTGATTTTTAGCAATCATTTCAACATTGCAAAATTGGGCAAACGAAGTAATGGATACCCTAAGGTTCTTGCAAATGATGACCTCAAGTTTGAATTACTTCTTGATACTTTCAAAAGCTCCTTCGACAAAAATGCGAGAGATGAGATTGAACTTTGGGATTTAGCATCTATACTATTTGATGACTCAAGAATCTTAAAAAATGCTGAGTTCCGAGAAATAAATAAGATAACTGAAGATAAGGTCAAAGCGCATTTAATGAACAAAAGCAAGATCGAGATTTTGCAAACTTGGTTGAAGCCGATCACTAATACTAAGGTTAAGACAATGTTGAAAAACTCACATGGTTCAGACACTGAGGATCAAGCATTTGATAAGATATTTTTGTGTTTATGCGGCAATGACATTGGAAAAGCCAACGATTTTGCTCAGAGCTCTAAGAATTTTTACTTATCTGTGTTGCTTAGTTTATTGGGATCCAATGATTCTCAGGTCAAACACGGTGCAAAAAAACAGCTCAGTTATTGGATTTCCAACTCTTCTACCAATTTTATCTCTAAATCATTATTGAAGATTTACAAATTATTGACAGGAGATTTTCTATTGAATAATGATAATATTAATGTCACAGAAGGTTTGAGTTGGCAAATGGTTTATCTGTTGGTAATTTCTTTTGGTGACACGAACAAACCATTACCTGAGCTCACGAGGTGCTTCTTCGATAATTATGTGGACCGCCAGAATGTTCCATACGACTTTGAGTTGGGAATTTTAAAAGTATTCAGTTTGTTAGGTAGTGCTCAAGAAATCGTGAACTATTCTGACTTTGAGAAGGCAATCCTTGGCTTACAATGCGCAAATAGTTTGGACGTCAGAATTCAATGGTACATGTATGAATTTTTGAAAAGCTCAGGAATTTCTGATAAAATCAATATTGCAAATTGGAAAGAAAAGGGCGATAAATTGACCCTCTCTTTTGCCGAGCAGCTACTTAGCACGGGAAAATGGAATTATGCTTTATTTGTTTATTTTCATTTGAATAACGATGAAATTGCCGTTAAACTCATTGATGAGCTTGTGTGCCATAATATTGAGAAATTCTTCAATTTCAAGAGCAATTCCAAGACTTCGAAGATTGAGTCTGAAAAGCTAAACTTCATGATTGCTACTTACCAATTGCCAAAGAAACTTCTTGCTTCTGCTATTGCGTTGAAGTACCACTACCTTGGTGACTATTTCAATGAGGCCTATGCGTTATTAGAGGCCGAGAGCTGGACTGAAGCGCATGACATCATTCTCAATAAGGTTGCTCCAAGATCGGTGATTGGTGATGGCGATCTTTTGGGTAATCTCTTCACTCTCATCAACCGCTTCCCGAAGACAATTGAAAAGACGTATGACTTGGAAGACTGGGCAAGAGGCTTGGGGGTTTATAAAAACTATTTGCTATTAAAGTTTAATGAAGGCGATGAAGACTATGTGGATTCTTTGGTGAACAACTTGATGGTCCATTTACCATTGATGAACATTGCCAACCCTGAAACCAAAATTGCCTTGAACTTGATTTCGAAATTCGTTATTAAAAAGAGTTATGACATTTCGAGGAAAAAAACCGAAATCAAGAAGTTGACAGACTTGCCATTATGCGAATCAGAAAGAATGTACTTCACTGAAGGTTGTGGAATTTCTAAAGCATTCTCAGTCAACTGAGTATATCTTTGATGATAGTGATTCTTTGTAATTCTCCTTCCATTTTAATTTTTTATTTTTATTTGTTGCGGCTCTTGTATTTTGTATAATTTTCCATTTTACAGCTGGTTATTTATTTTATATGTGTCAACTGTAGTGATTTATTTATTGACCCATTTTTTTTTTCAATTATAGATCATTCTTTATTTTCCTTGTTGCGTTGGATCGTTATTAAGTGATACAGGCGGCCAATATGTGTTTTCGCACATATATACCATTCATAAGGTACTAATAAGACGAAAAAGAAAATTCTGAATTAAAACTTCCATGAGTTGACAACTACAAATCAGATTGATTCCAGTGTTTTGCAACTTAATGAATTTAGTGGGAAACTACACTAGTGGAGACGAATCATCATCATCATCAGTGGAAGAGGACACAAAAGAACTAACCCAGCAGAACTACCAGGAAGTTGAACCAACCAGGAAGAAGAGACCTGCGGAGTACCAAATCACAAACCAATCTCATACCAAGAGAAATATCCCATTGCCCCCACCTCCAGAACTCGTATTTGACAAATATTGGAAAGACCCCGCGTTAGCATCTTTGAAAAGCTTCATTGAACCAAACCAGGAGCCAAAAAATATGGGAGTAGACAACCTATTATTCAGATCTTCATTATCATGCTATTTTTCAGTAGCCATTCCTGTTAGCACGTCCCAACTTCAGGGGTTGAACAGAATTACACAGGAGATTAATAAGTTATTGGTGAAACGTAATTTCAGGCTCGACAAAGAACGGTTCTACAAAAACGTCTATAGGATGAGGACTAATGAGCCCCAGAAAGGCATCCCGAACCACTCGTGGTACTACAATATTCGAAAACCAGCGAACGTCAAAGCTTACGACCCCTGGCTCGAGACCGATGAAGGAGACGCCAACAAGTTTTTTAAAAATGAGGCAGAATATGAGAAGTTGGCACAAGAATATAATGACAAATTGCTCGAAGTGAACAAGACGCGGTTTCTTGAGTTGAAAGAAAAAGTTGATGAGACCGCCCCATCGGATAATAATAACACATCAATTTTGGCGGATTATAACTTTATGCTATTCAGACCAAATTACATCAACAGATTCGGGGTACCGGTTGCATTGCACATGTCATATAGTTTAGCAACACCGCTTCCTGAAGAGAAAAGAGAAGCGGTGAACGAGGCGGCGTTGGAGCTTCGTAAACTCGTCAATATGGTGAACAAGTACCGAAAATCAGACAACTATGAGGTGGCCAAAGAGGTGCTTCCCAAAAAGATCGGGAGGCTCATTGATCTGGAGCTCAAAGTGCAGTTCAAACCAAAACTCTACCTTCTTCCAAATAGTAACTTCAGCCGACTTTTCCTTGCGTACAAACCTACTTTCAAAGAACTTGAAAACTGCGTGTTCTTCTCCGATTTAATCAGAGCGGTACCGTTTTTCAAGGAAGCCGTTAGTATCACCGAACCATCCTCATTGCACGTCTCCATTTGTGAATTCGAGCTCCCATTCCCTTCAAGAACTCACCACAAGTATAATATGTTGATTGCCGATCAAATTAATGATGCTGTTAACGAGTATAATGGGTTGATAAGAAAGCGTGATGCACCTCTGTATCACATGAAGACGGTTTTTTCAAAATTGAACTTGAGAATTCACAATGATCAAGTTAGTTTCAAGATCCTGGGTAAGAAGTCCGAAGCAATGACAGGTGATTCTAAAACTGAATCTGGAAAGGCCAGAAACGTGAAGAAGGAAGCTACACACATTAATAGTGAAGATAAAGTTTCCTCAGATCCAGGAAAAGTGAAGAAGCAACCTATAGATGTCAGTAATCAAAAGAAAGTCTCCTTAGACCCTGCGAAAACGACGGAAAAGCCTACAGACGTCAAAAATCAAGATAAAACTTCCTCAGAACCTGAAAAATAGATCTATTTCGATATTTTTTCTCTATTGTGAAGCTACCGGATTTCAAATCGCCTAATTATAATATATATATATATTGGATTTAGTGGATTTTCAGTACGCATCGTACATACATAGTGATTCATAGAGTTACAATCCTACTACATTGTACCATATTATGCTTTGTTCATAAATAAAATTTCATTGGAAATTCTTGTAGGATAATAATTCATTCAAAATCAATATCAACTTTGTAATTAAACAATAGTGACTACACTAATGGTAATTAAACTAACAGTAACGAATGATCTTTTTTTTTTTTTTCTTGTATTCAGCTAACATTTTATTTCTGTTATTGCGTTGTATACTCAAAAATCATGATTACCGCACTATTGTTATGAAACCCAAATTTTGGCCTAAAGAGATATAGAGAACACATTTCGACCGCTAATACTGATAGCAAACAACATATAGAGAAGGAAAATCTTCAATATCAATGACTATGTCTTAGCAACGGCTGACTGACCTGCGCCACTCTTTGGTATTTCACCGCGTTTTTCAATACCATTCCTTCGCTAAGTTCACTAACATAAGTTCTGTAAATCTCTTGCCATGGAGTTTGCGAGGCAGGGCACTTATAAGGCAGCATGGCATTACAACGTTTGGAAATCTCTTCTTCACTGATCAAAATATCACAACTTCTTTTGTTCAAATCCACGCGAATGATATCACCGTCTTTCAAAATAGCCAAATTGCCACCAGTGGCTGCTTCAGGTGAAGCATTAAGGATCGATGGACTACCTGCAGTACCGCTTTGACGGCCATCGCCAATACATGGTAATTCACTAATACCTTGTTTAAACAACTTGGTTGGTGGTGCCATGTTAACAACCTCAGCAGCCCCTGGATATCCAGTAGGACCGACTCCACGGATCACAAGAATAGCATCGGGAGTGACTTCCTTAGTTTCAATGGTTGCGTGATAATCCTCTGGGCCATCAAACACAAAGCAAGGGCCTTGGAAAGCATTTGGATCTTCTGGGTTCAGTAAATAGCGCTCTTGAAATTCTTCACTGATTACAGAGGTCTTCATGATTGCAGAATCAAATAGAGAACCTTTAAGATGTAAGAAACCTGAGTTTTTCTTCATAGGATTATCAAATGACTTGATAACACGACGATCCCAAGAGTTTTTACCTTTGCAAATTTCCCTCCAGGTTTTACCAGTGACAGTCATGGCGTCGGGATGTGGCAATTTGCCATTATCTAGAAGTTCCGCCATCACCGCTGGAAGGCCACCAGCACGGAAGTATTCTTCGCAAAGGAACTCACCTGCTGGTTGAATATTGACAAGAAGTGGTAACTGATAACCCACTCTTTCCCAATCATCATTATCAAGTTGTACGCCGATATGCTTGGCAATAGCATTGAGATGAATCGGAGCATTAGTACTGCCACCAATGGCAGAGTTAGCAGCAATCGCGTTCTCAAAGGCTTCTTTGGTAAGAATATCACTTGGTTTAATGTCTTTCTTTGTCAAGTCAACAATTCTCAAACCGGTCTGGTAAGCACATTGCCCACGTTCTCGATAGGCAGCAGGAATAGCACTACCAAAACCCATGCCAAGGGCCTCAGCCAAAGCGTTCATGGTAGAAGCAGTGCCCATGGTGTTACAATGGCCTACCGAAGGAGCTGAAGAGGAAACTATATCTAAGAACTCATCGTAAGATATTTCACCAGCAGCATAACGCTTACGTGATTCCCATACAATGGTCCCCGAGCCAGTGAGACGCTCATAATAATAGCCATTGAGCATTGGTCCAACATTCATAGCAATGGTTGGGATGTTTACGGTACAAGCAGCCATCAACATGGCTGGGGTTGTCTTATCACACCCAGTCAAAAGAACCACTCCATCGATGGGATAACCAAACAAGGCTTCGACCAAAGACAAGTATGACAAGTTTCTGTCGAGAGCGGCGTTTGGGCGCTTACCAGTTTCTTGAATTGGGTGACAAGGGAACTCCAAAGGGGTGCCCCCGGCGGCAATGATTCCATCGCGGACTCTTTTAGCAAGCTCCAAATGGTGCCTGTTGCAAGGCGACAAATCTGAACCGCTTTGGGCTATACCAATGATTGGTTTGGTAGGGTCGGTAATCTCTGGAAGCGAGAGTCCCCAATTCAAATAGCGTTCAATGTGAAGGGCGGTTGAGTCTGGATGGTCAGGATCATCGAACCAATCACGCGATCTGAACCTGATGGTTCCCGGAGCTTGCTTTGATTTCTTGTTGTTGAGTTCTGCTTCTAATTTCTGGATCCGTTCTTTTGCCTGTTGGATTTGTACGGTTGCTTGCTCAAGGGATTGTGGGTCAGAGAAATCGATTTCACTTTCTGGATCACTTGGCTTTCCCAAAAAGAGGTCTGGTGGGTCTCCATTGGCTCCACAAGTACAATTTTCGCAAGGCATTTTTGTAAGATGCTGTCAGAATTCTCTGCAAGAAAAAAAAAAAAAAAAGAGATATTGCGGGGGGGCAGCAGTAGGTCCCTATATTTATGTATATATATAAATTTTAAAACATTAAGAAATCAGTCGATAACCAAAAAAATAAAAATAAAAACAGCATGACAAACAGCTGAAATAGCCTCTTTAGTACGCATAGGGTTGACCTATTTGGCCGGAGATCTCGCTACGCCATGGATGGCCAAAGAAATACAGTCACAGTCACAGTCTCCCCACATTTCTTCTTCCCCCTGAAGGTGGGGCACATCACACCTGACATGCTGATACTGGCATTAACATACATATGCAAACACAAAATAAATTAAAAGAGCCCCCTAAAACTATTGCAAGGCTTTCTACGGGACTAAAGCTATGTGTCGCGACAGAACTGTATTACCAGTCAGGCCATCTTGAAGTGATCCTTCAGGAACACTAGCAGAAGGGTTGTTGGAGGAGTTAGCAGACACTACGCTAAGATAGTTGTCGTTTGGGCTCCAAGTTGTTTTATTGTTGTTCTCTGTATTCTACCTTCTAACTATATGCTTTCAGAAGATAACTCTATCCTTAAGTAGATCAGCTTTTTCATAGGCTAGACTATATCATCTACTACTACGTAGGCTATTTTATAGGCTATTGTTGTCCAGTAGGTACACCGGACGCCATTCGTCAATGTTCAATTAAATACCACCAGAGCGGTATGTCCTGACACTATGAAAATTATAAATGATACTAAGAAGAATGAAAAAAAAAAAAAAAAGAAGAGGAAGACAACTACATACACAGTAGGCCTTCAATAGATATCAACCCTTTGCAACAAAAATGGCAATAACTTCACAATAATTCAGAAAATTGATTCCAGTGCAGCTTTCTGATATATTTGAGAGTGAAGACCATAAATGTTGCTGTAGAGGTGTCATATGTGATGTACTGTTTCACGTTTCACCCGGCACATCCCTTCAACATACCTGCATAAGTATCAAGCAGCAGAAATTCAATAATGTTGTTTACTCAACAGAAAGTAGTGATGGTTCGCTAAAATAAGATAGCTTATTTCATGTTAACCTATAAGTCTGCGCATGTTATGTGATATCTAACAATCTATCTTATCACTTATCTTATCCTTGCTTATTCTAAATATTATATGGTATCTGACGACTAGGCAGACTATGGAGATGGTAAGGGTAAGTCAGGAACCGAGCCCAAGTCAGTCGCCAATTGGGATTAATCTAATAAATGAGCGCATTGGAAAGTAGAGTTTACAATAGAAATATAATTTTGCAACAATATTAACAATATGACATTTGCGATTGAGGCGCTAAATCAATATTTCGATGCCTTTACAAGAACATCAATTCAATTCCAGTTCATGAAGTAGCAGGCTTTTTTTGTTCTACCCCCAGCAGTGTAAAACAGGTCACCACTCTGGAGTCAGATAGTGTTTGTTCAACTATGAGGTTTCTCATATCTCGTAGCACATGCCTTTTGCATCGTTCGGATACTGATTAATCAACTAAAACTTTGAAGGCTCTCATAGGTATCTACATTTCTTGGTCAATAATTTAGATAGCGGTTCATAAATTAGAGTTTTACTTATAAGTAATATAATTCCTATAGAAATCATATTAAAAATTCATTCTGCGAACAAGCCCCATAAAGCAATATGTCTCTCGCTCTTAATAATTCTTGTATATAACCTCCCTTCATTGGAGTTTTTTCAGTGATGGCACGTTTCAATCCACTACCATGGTTCTTCGTATCAATTACATCAGGAGTTGCGATGCTAGTGACAGATGTATTATCGATAGCCGTTACCCTCCTTGGAATATCGCCAGTGACACATACCAATGCTAAGGTGCAGATTGAGGTAACATGTTGAAAGGCTCGATTATTGTGAAAATTGACAACCTTAAAGTTTTACTATGAAATTTAAAGCCTGCAAGACTTGGGGTATTAATTTGTATTTTCCGTCTTCCTGTAGTACAGGCCTCTCAACAGGGCTCAACAGTCATGGGCTCATAAACTAAATACTTTTGTAGCTTTTGTCCTCTCTTCTGCCTTTTTGATATTCTGAGCATTGGTGTTTTGAGCCTAGAGGATAATGCTCTTCATGGAACTGATTTACCTTTTAACTGCCAGATATTTAGTAGAATATTGTTGCGATTGGAGGTATTTTACTATTGTGAGATACATGCACAACCAAAACTTCTAGTATGCACTGCTTTTGATACTTTCACTTTATATAGTTGTGCCCAAAAGGTTAAGCAACTACCAATTAAAGCTTCTTGACTGACTGGGCAGTTGATTTTGCATTTGATACACATTTCTTGAATCTGTCTCTCTCTTCTGCTATCATAATCACCTTGAGTGAAAACCTTATGATTGAGACAGAACTGTTACATTGGCATTATTTATAATATAAGAAACATCATTGCTCCTCTAACAACCTTTATTGTCGTTAGAAGTCACTACTTCATTCATTCTATTTTAGAAAAGAAGGAAGCGAAGTCATTGAATAGAAAAGATGAAAGATCAGAATGATACAACTTAATGGCCGCTGCTTTCTGCTTCCCCCTAAGAAATGGATGCATACCAGCAAATAAAAATTTTCATTGGTGCTTCCCGCAGTCAGATTATTACTATCGGAAAAAAAGAAACAATTTCTTTGGTTGCCAAGGTGTGAAAATTTTTTACAAGCAACTGTATGATAATGTTAATATAAAAATGCAGTAAGACCATGTATACATGTTTGACCAAGATTGAAAGAAATGGTTCGTAGTAATATTTCACGTTCTCATAAGCTAGTGTATAAAAAACAGCAGAAAAATAAATAAAATAACAATCATCAACTGAAGGAAAATAAAAATGAAGTGGTAACCATGCTAATAATAATATATGAAAAAAAAAAAAGATTGATTCAAATGAATCATCAAGCAAACAAGTATTTGAAAATTGAACAGAAAAAAATATCATGAAAAGAAAAAAATGTAGTCATAAAAATGAAAAATGTCAACGAGTTGGGAAAATTGGGTAGTTAAAGAAGTGAACAAATAAATAAATAAAAAAAAAAAAGGAAATCCATGAAAGTTTATAATAATATAATTGAATATGCAAAATGAAAAGAGTATGTAATGATACCTTCCCCCTTTATAATTATGTTCTATAGTTTTATTTTCTTGCATCTGATTCATCCTTAGCAAAAGAAGTTTTGCACCTTAACAAGGAAATTGGAATTTTTGACATATTCTTTTTGCTCAAACTCTTCTTGTTCCATCAAGTCAGTATCAAAGATTTTTCTATCAGATTGCAAATCAATTTCAGAAGCAGGAATCCAGAGTCTCCAGTTTTTACTGTAAAGCTTGTGGCCGACATAGAAGACCATCAACACAACAGCACCCAAATAATTCTGGAAGAAATTCAAAGCATTTGGTTTATCACTACCCAATGGGAATAATGCAATGTAGAATTGCGCGATAATAATCAACACGTTAAGGACACTGGCATAAATAGAACCCCATTCACCAAAAGTGGCAGTATAACCCAATTCTTTGGTAGAAATACCTTGCACACGCATGGCTCTTCTAAATCTAATATGAGAAAGACAAATGCTAGTAAATGTGAAGATTGTAGATAAACCAGAAATAGACAAGAGCCAGGTGAAAACATCTTCTTGTTTATCTGAAGAGGCAACAAAGGCAATACAACCAAAAAGAGAAGCGGTAATTAAGCCAATCAATGGACGACCAGCCTTGTCGATGTAATTGAACATCTTTGGAGCAAACCCTTGAATGGCCAACGATTGTAAAGTTCTGGAAGAAGAGTACACTGCAGAGTTGGCAACAGAAAGCACAGAAAGAAGAATGACACTATTAATAATGTGAGGAATAACCTTAACCCCATGGGAGGCAGCGGCAATGACAAAGGGAGAAGCCTGGGTAGCAGAAGAACCAGAGGAGCCAAGCAATTTAGGAGAGTTGTATGGCACAAGCATAGTGATCATGGTCAAACTAACCATGAAGATAAAGATGATTCTGTAACAGACAACCTTGATTGCTTGAGGAATGACTTTCTTTGGGTTAGATTGGTCAGCGGCAGTTAAGGCAACAAATTCGGTACCACCAAAGGCAAAAGCAGCAGCGACAAACACAGAACAAAGACCTTTGAAACCATGGTGGAAAGCCCCGGGATTAGACCAGTACTTGGCCCCAATGTATTCGTTGTCACCACCTCTGCCAGTATCAATACAAAGAGCAAAGATGAAGAACCCAGCAAGAGTGATCAATTTGGTACTGTTGAAAAAGAATTCCGCTTCACCATAACCTTTGGCACCGAAGAAGTTGATAAACACCACAAGAAAGTAAAATGGGGCAACAAAAATATCAGAGTTAACTTCGGTCCAGTATTTCAAGGTCATACAGGCAGTGACTAATTCCAAAGCAAACACAGTCAACCATTGAATACCATAATTCCAAGCAATAGCAAACCCAAGAGATTCATCAATAAACTTTCTAGGGTAGGCGTTGAAGGCCCCAGGAATGTCACCGTAAGCCACGGCCAATTCACCAGCAGCATCGATGACGAAATACATCATAGAAGAAACAATAGCGTAACCAATCAACAAAGAGCCTGGACCAGCACCCGCCAAGGATTTACCGGTACCAACCCAAAGACCAGTACCCACCCCGGTGGATAGGGCAATCATTACGATATGTCTGGTGGATAATTGCTTCTTTGGACCTTTTTCTTGTGGACCTTGCTGTCTTCTGAAACTGTCTTTAAAACTTTCCCAGTGTCCAAGCTTTTCGGATTGTTGAGACTGTTGGGTATGAAAGGTTGCTCCCTTTAATTCAGGGATATCGCTATTCGAGGAAAAAGAGTTATTTGACTGAACTTTTTCACTCATTTTGTGTTACACAGTTATTGATAATGATATGAAACGATCTGATGATTATGATCTGTCAATAGTAGTGTTTCTGAGTATCAGATATCTGATAAGATGATAAGGTTTTTGAAAAAAAGCAAAAAGAAAGAAAAATTCCTGAGGAGACTAATGAAGGACAACCATGGGTATTTATATTTGTTTGTAGAGACAAAGTGCCGGAAAATGTTCACTGCAAGCAAGGAAAAGAAAGGAAAAGAAGAAAAGAAAGGAAAATGTATGTCCAGGCATACCACTGCTGGTATCATGATGAAGGTGCGTGATGAGCCTGAAAAACCTTATTTTTTCCGACAAGAAGAAATTTTTCCTGGAAAGAAAGCTAAGTGCAAAATAAATAATGAAATATGAGAGGATAGAGGACAATTCAACGGTCACGATAAAAGATAGAGCTATTCTATTTGCTTGTTGAGCTATCCGTTATTTCTGTTGGCCCCGCCTTTCCTGCCAGAAAAAATGCCACCAGGGTGATGATGGGTGGTGAGGCGATGCAGGTGGGGGCGAGGGGGTGTACACCAGCACTCTGGGACGGTGCCGCGCAAAAATTTTTAAGAGCAAAAATGACGAAACCTTGACCAGTGAAAAGTTGTCTTGTGATGATTTCATTGGGCAGCAGGGGAAATAAGGTAAAGGAAGACACGGCACCCGCACATGTGCAACGCATTGTTTTTTTGTCACTATATGAGTCGCCGAAATTATTAATGACAATTGGGAGTCATGGGGGAGGATATCCCATATTATTATTGAGTGGGAAAATATTATCATTGCGCGGGAAATTAAAAATTCCGAAGGAAAAAATCTCATAGGGTTTATTTTTTCTTTTTCTTTTCCTACCTTTTCTTCTTTCTTTTTCTTTCTTTTTTTTCCTCGCTCTTTACTTTTGTCGAGTTATTCGTGAATTGATCTCAAGACAACAACTGTTTATGCGATTTACAGATAATGCTCCATTAATCGATAAGAAATTATCAGACGGCAATATGGAAGCATCACATATGCAAGTTTCCAGAAGCAAAATTTTATTTTCTGCAGTGCGAAAACTTTCAATGCACAGCACTTTGCTCTGCTCTGGTTGGTTTGTGCGATATCTGGTTGTCCAAAACAACAGGATTAATCATCAAGGAATCCCATTCGTATATAATTTTCCATACAACAAGTACATACACACATCATGGTACGAAGCCAGCCAGGATACTGTTGACATTAGGCAGTGTCCAGTGGTCATCCTTGTAACTCTCAGCATAACAGCATAAAAAGTGCTGTGAATAGCTACGAAAAAAAAAAAAACAAGCAAAAAAAAAAGTAAATCAATAAACGAATAAATGAAGAGGTACCAAAAATATATGATTAATGATGACAATGTTACTAAGCGGACAATTTGATGACTCTATCACTGAGTTACAAAATTTAAATCACTCAATTTAAACTATAGTAACTTGCGTAATCTAGGATGTTACATTTACATCTATCCTGCTCGATATTTTGACAGTACCCGATGGTTACCGTTATCGAGGGGGAGGTTGTAACTGAAATCCCCCATGTCCCAGCACTCAATATTGTGAGATTATGTAGAGTCTCTTATCGCCTGTGTATGGTATATAATAAACTATATGTTGTTTGCACCAGGGTCATTGGCGGTACAAAGAATTGGGGAATATACAAGTTTTTCTGTCTACCATTCGTTTGCTAGAGCACCCCGAAATCATCACCCCGAAGGATAATTCTTTTAAAGATGAAAACATAAAATGATACGAGAGCGGCAAATAATAAAGAGTAAAACAAACCATGATCATCAAGCCATATAGTCCAGTGGTCTGTTAGTGCTTCTACCCTCGTGTTTCCTCCAATTTAGTCGATCAGCATTATAACCACGTGACTATTGGCGACTCCTCCTATTCTTCTCTTTTCTTTTTTTTTTTTTTTTCTATATCTTATCTGATAAAGAGATTTTCTTATCTTTTTGAATTCTTATTCCCCTCTGACAACCAGAAGAATAAAGGCATCGACCATCAATGACAAAATCCAACTCTCCTTCCTTGCTTCCCACCCTGGAAAACTCCCCATTACTCGATCAACACAGCAGTAATGGAAAAAAGAAACCCTCTTTCAAGAGATATGTGTTTATTTTGATATTGTTCAGTTGTGCGTATATTCATGATATTCTACTCATTTCCCTTGTTAATGTTTAAAAGATTTCGAAGAGTTATCTGAATGAAATCAAATGATTCTTATGTCTTGTGCTTGTCTTTTTTCTATTTCCTCAAGTTAAGCATTCCTTGTGTATCCTACATCGATACTAACTCGTCTAGTGATCTTTGGCACAACTCATACTTTATTCCTGCCAAAACAAAAACCAAAGAAAACTAATATAATTTTCTTTGTCACTGATGGTATGGGTCCTGCGTCCTTATCCTTAACCAGATCTTTCCGCCAATTCAAATATGATCTTCCGATCAACGACACGTTGGTTCTCGATAAGCATCTCATCGGCTCATCTCGTACTATGTCTCTGAACTCTCTTGTCACAGATTCTGCTGCGGGGGCTACTGCTTTCTCATGTGCCGCCAAGTCATATAATGGAGCCATTGGTGTGTTTCCAGATAAGAAACCATGTGGCACTGTCCTTGAAGCATTAAAGCTTCAAGGATTCATGACCGGTTTAGTGGTCACCACCAGTATCACCGACGCCACCCCAGCAGCTTTCTCGGCACATACCGATTATCGTTCCCAACAAGACTTGATTGCCGAACACCAATTGGGTCAGTATTCTTTGGGAAGAATGGTTGATGTGATGATTGGTGGTGGGAGATGCCACTATTATGGATGCCGTGATGACAATAGAAACTTGCTTCAAGAGGCCGTCGATGATGGCTGGACTTATGTTGGTAACCGTACCGAGTTCGATAAATTAAATATGGGTAAAATCAACGAGGGTGAAGAGATTCCTTTACCATTACTTGCATTGATGGCCGACAGAGACATTCCATTTGAATTGGACCGTGACGATTCTGTACATCCATCCCTCGCCGAGCTGTCCATCACTGCTTTGAACTTGCTTCATTCTAACCCAGCTAATGAAAAAGGGTTGTTTATCCTCATTGAAGGCTCAAGAATTGACCATGGTGGCCATTTCAATGACCCAGCCGCGCAAGTCAACGAAGTTTTGGCATTTGATGAAGCGTTCCAGGCGGTCAAGGACTGGGCCGACTCGGTTTCCGATGAAGCTGATACCATCATGATTAGTACCAGTGATCATGAGACCGGTGGGCTTTCCGTTGCTAGGCAAATACATCATTCATATCCTGATTACCTATGGCTTCCTGAAGTCCTCAACAACGTCACCCATACTGCTGAATACGTGAATAGAAAAATCAAGAGTGATTTAAGAGAGAGTATTTTGCAAGGTGACGATTTGAAGAAATACTTGGTTGATGAAATCAGTGAGAACTTCGGGATCTCCGACCTCAGCACCAGAGAAATTGATGGGTTATTGAAAGTCACGTCTCCAAAGACCAAGGAGGATTTCAAAGCTTCCGGTGATGCGCCATTACCAATGACCTCTTTAATGGACCATCTTGTGAATCTCATCAACGTTCGTGCTCAGATTGGTTGGTCTACACATGGTCATTCTGCTGTCGATGTGAATATTTACGGTCATGGATCATCACCAGAAGTGCATAACAAGATTTTGGGATCGTTATCAGGCAACCATGAAAATACCGAAATTGGTGGATTCATGGCCGATATCATTGATGGAGTCGATCTTGACGAAGTCACAGAATTAATAAAAGACACTAAACACGCCCCAGATTTGAAGCAGATGGAAATTTTCTTGGGGGAAGAAATAGTTGAAACAAATGATGAAACTTTGCTAAAAAAGATAGAACAAAAAGTTTGGGAAAATTATGTTAGATGATTTATATTTTTGTTGCTTTTAAATTCTATGTTTGGGGCATTGCAGATGATAAATACTATAATTTATAGATAAAACTTACATGACTGATATAAAAAATTTATATAACTTTATGATATATGTCCATATCCTCATTCGTGAAAACTCACTTCGAATATATCAATATAAAATATTCATAATTTACTATCATCTCCCAACCTAAGTGATCACATAAATTATTTTTACCCGGGAGGGTAACGGCTATCGACAATACATCTGTGTAACAAAGAGACGATTATGGCCAATGTTTCATTCTCACAGGATTACAGAGCACTTCCTAAGACTTTTCCCGGGATGAAGATTGTTTCTGTTGCCTTTTTAGTTGCCAAAGCTTTCTATGCCCAATGACATTTACCATCATCCCCTAATGATGTCATATTGAGATGGGAAACCACCACAGCTATGATTTGATATGATCCCAGCCAGTATTTGACTGAACTTATTGACTCCCACATTCTTGAAGAGCTTATACCTGTTTGCTCATCTGCAGAAAACAAAATCTTGTCGCTATTCCAATAACCATGGTTGTTTGATATGTCTATTGGTCTCTGTTTGTTTGTGATTAATGTGCTGTGTGAGGTTTTTCTTTTTCTTTTCTTTTTGTTTACAACTGTAGGCCCCTCATCATACAGCTATATAAGCACCTGCTTGTCTGTGTGGTTCGTTACACAAAATCAAATAACGATCCAGATATGTATCTAAAAAGAGGATCAGAAAAGAAACCCTGAAATTTTGGGAGCTTTTGCATGTGCATTACTCAAAAAAATTACATCCAACATCCAACATCCACACCAAAAGTGCCATGTTCATATATTGAACTTTCACATTTATTAAACTTTTACATCTATTGGAACCATTTGTCATTGGTAGGCTACTTCTACCTAAACTTGACTCAAATATTTGTTTTCTTTCCTGTGGTTCACACTCAAACCCAAGACAATATGAGCTTCGCTTTGGTGTGATTACACAAAGGCCATGGACAATAATAAACTAACATAAAAGTCTACACTAATGGCACAATCATTCTTCGGAACCATGAAATCAACAGCCTTGAGTTTTTTTAAGGGAGTGGATTCTACAAGTAAACCAGATAATACTTCAGATAAACCAGATAAACCAGATAATGATTCAGATAAAGCCGATATTGCTCGCATCGCATTTCAAGAACCAACTTGTCAACCCAAAATAAGCTCATCCTCGCCATTTGAATTATTACCAGCTTTGCTTCTTGGGTCTTCTTCACTCGAGCCATATCCATTGACGGTTGATTTGCCTACATTCACCGGTCCACAGGCACTTGAAAAGCCAAATCTTGCGCCAGCAATTGAGGACCCTCTTTCTGAACCTTTTTGTCCTTTAGCATTTTCGTCAAACCTTTGCATAGATGAGACCACACTAGAGGATTCAGTACCGCTCAAGTCTGCCTTGACTCAACTTGCTAACCCAAACCTCGAAGAAGAAGTTTCCAGACTCCGTACTCACACGGAGCAATATTGCCGCAGGCTCATCAGAGAATCTCAAGCTGATAGTCTGCAACTCAACATGACTACGGTCATAGCTTGGGAACAAGAACACAAATTTGCTGCTACCCATAGGGATAGTAGAGTGAAATGGAAAGGGGATGAAGTATCCAATTTGGATGTGGGTGAAAAAAATGAAGATTTTATGAGAAAAGTGAGCCAGGAAAGAGCCCACGAAAAGAAAGTTATTAATTTTTTCAAACAATATAATAAAAAGAAGTTGACAGAGGAGAAACTAGAAAAAGAAAAAATGATTGCCGAGACCAGAAAGAGAATGAACAAAATTGAGAGCTTTGAAATTGAAACGCAAGCTCCAGAATTGACATCCAAGAATTCGTTAGAAGGAGAAATAGGGAAGGTGTTTTTAGGAGACAATAGGCACTTTATGCCGCTAAGCGATAAGTTATCAAGAAAAATAGGCAAAGTTCTCAGCAAAAGTGAGGCAGCCAATGGTTTAGAAGAAGTGATATCATCTAATATGTTGCGAAAGGATATCCCATTGGGAGATAAAAAAATATGTGGGAATTCCGGCCAAGCAGAAATTATCCCATCTAATATTAGCCAATCAATGAAAGATGCCTTCCAGAGACCTGCCAAATCTGAAAACGTTGAAAGGTTTTTGAAGTTCTCAGAAAATTTATGGAGAGCCACACGCATAAACTACACTGTAAATGACTACAGTGAGGTTGCCAAGGCAAACATTCTTTTGATGGTTGCGAAATACAATTTGACCTTTGGCAAAAATAGTGAGCTTGAGTTGGTTTCCAAAAACCAAATTTCCAATTTGGGGGAATCCAATATCGTTAGTAGTGATGGCCATATTGACAGTACTAAAATCACTTCTGACAGTAACAGCATTCAATCATCAAATGTTGCAGACTGTTTTAGTAAGGAGACTTTCAAAGGGGTTAATAGTAGCCATTCTGTCACTAGAATCACAACTCCTGATGTAATTGATACGATGAACCATGGTAGTGCATTGAAATGTGCCATCACTGAAAAAACTCCAATGAAGGGAAGTTATATACAAGAATCATCAAGAGCGAGAGAGATATTGCTTTATGGGGCTTGTTCGCAGAATGAATTTTTAATATGATTTCTATAGGAATTATATTACTTATAAGTAAAACTCTAATTTATGAACCGCTATCTAAATTATTGACCAAAAAATGTAGATACCTATGAGAGCCTTCAAAGTTTTAGTTAATAAACCAGGCAGAAAGTGTAAACTATTGGCTCTACAGAGGCTGAATTCCACAGCTATGTAACAACCAGCTAGGTTTTGAGGGATTACAAGGCCCACATAAGAAAGGTGTTCGAGATAAAAAAATAGGAATTTGAGAAGAGCAAAAAGATATCGAAACATATAGTGAGAAAGCATGGGATGGAAAATTCGGATCCGGTATAAGGAATTGGATTTCATTTAAAAAACAATGAAACTAACAATCCGGTGGAAATCATAGCCAAAACACCCGATTTCAAAAGGGCGACAGCACCATTGGCTTCTAGGACACCGACTGAGGAAGCAGTGGAATTAGAGGAGTATGTTTCAAATAGAGCAGTAGATGAAGTCATATCTGAAGATTCTAAAGTTAGGGTTGGCGATCCTGATCTATCGGTTTTAGTGCTTCCAGTTTCAGAAGCTGAGGTAATAGATTCAGATCCAGAGACTGAATTCTTCAAAGCGGTTAATGGACAGTAAGTAGTGTATGAAGTGATAGTTTTGTAGACAAAGCTAGTGACAACTGGGTAACAAGTCTTGGTACCACAGGAGGTTATGGTGTGAAAAACAGTAGCGTCAATTTCCGTAACTACAACGGAGGTAACCATTGAAGCACCAGAGTTAGCAGAACCAGAAATAGAACCACTATCACTAGCAGTAGTGGCGGTAGAGTCACTGAGAAGAGGAAGAGTAGAATTTTTCGATGCTGTAGTATAGGTTAACGAGGAGGAAGTAATTGAAGAAGAGGTAGAAGACACCGTGATATTTGATCTTGGAATTGCAACAGAGGAAGCGTTGTTGTTGCTGGTATTAGCTCCCAAGAGTGTATCTGAGACCGACATGGTACCATTGGATAAAGTAGTGGAACTAAGAATAGCGGTATTAGTATTAGTATTAATGAAAGAACTTGTGGTAGCAATGGAAGTTGAAGAAGTATCAGAAGTGTTAGAAATAGTAGAAGAAATATTGCTGGAGATGGAAATGCTAGAAGTAGTAGAAGTAGTAGAGGTAATAGAAGTATTAAAAGTAGTGGAAGTAGTGGAAATAGTGACAGAAGTGGTGGAACCGGTTATGGTAGATGTGGTGGAGGTGGTGGAAGTGATGGGAGTAGTAGAGGTGGTGGAAGTAATAGGAGCAGGGAGACCATAACAGAGAGAATCATCCACAGGAGGAGCATACAAAACTGAGTCAATGATATTATTATTACCTGCGTCGAAGAATCCAAATTGAAATGAAGAAGCATACGGATTGGAGTTCTTGAACTGTAGAGTAATTGGATAATATCCAGAATCTAACCCAAACACTTCCCAAGTCCCCGCAATGTGAGAGTTGGAATAAAATGGTTGTCCAAGCCCAGGGGAGCTAGCCGTAATTGCTTTGTGAGTCAAATCACCACAAGCGAAAGCAGCTTCGGCACCAATCCACCCCGCAAGCCCAGTTTGTGAAAAAATATGAATGGTATAATATTCGAATGACTGGAGGTAAATATAACTTTTTAAAATAAAGACTTCATTGGGTTGTAAATTGATAGTTTCACCCCAAGAGGAATAACCAAAAGCAGAAGCAGAAGTTGCGTGATATATTGTAGGCTCGCCACTGCCAGAGAATATGGTGACATTAGCACCAGGGCTAAGACAGGAGGGATTGCCAAAAGTGCATCCTGTGGTAGCTAAAACAGGTGAAAGAGGCAATAGAGCGAAAGTGATAAGAGAGAAAAGCATTGCAGTAATAAGCCTCTTATATTCCAATAATGAAATATTTCAATTGAGTTTCTAGAACAATGTCCCAACCAAAAATGCCAAGGATATTGCCAGATATTAATAATGGTATGTTCTCCAATATTTCTCCATGTTGTTCAGTGATGCTAAAATTCTTTTTGAGAGGAATAAGATTGGATGCATCGTAAAGTGTCTAATTTAGAAAATTTTTAGAACCATCTGAACCATTCTTATTACGCTTTCCAGAAGAAACTCTAAATTGTTACTACGAAGGGAAACGCTTTATTATGTGCCATATGATGTGTATTATCCCTCACTGGGTTATTTAATAGAAACATATTAAAAAACAAAAATTTATAATGTATTCTCGCATGGCTCTCTTTCTCCAAAAGGTTCATTCTAGATCACCTTTTAGCTAATTTATACTGTGGAACATTCTAAAGGAACCTTTTTTTTTTTTTGTTTGAGGCCCAAACAGTCATTGCAGCAGCCCCTAAGCAGGAAATCTCCACGCGGCGCGCAAGCACGCCGTTATATGAAAACTGCACATTTGAATTCTCTTTTGGGACGCCAACATAAAGATTTCCTATAGACCACAACTTGCAATCTTCAGTCTCAAAGAATCACAGACACAACTATGTTAGAATTCTACAGGTCTGCAAAGTACTTCAATATATATAAAGACGAAACAAACGCACTCACGTATAATAACAAACATTTTAGATAATAAAGTTAAATATCAGGACAGTAGTAAGGACAAACAGCACGTCACCTAGCAACCTTAAACCAATAATGGCTATAAATATAATCTTGATAGCAACAACTATAATATTTATTAGTAGAGATCTAATGATATGGTTCCTAGTATAAGACCTGCAGACCCCTTGATTGTAAGATCTCGAACTTACAACAGCAGAGCGCACTTTACTTGAACAGCAATTGAAACCATGGAAAGATTTTCAGATTCATCATGTTTATTCAACTCATTTAGTAAATTGTTCCAGTTTGTATTAGAATTTATAAGCTTGTTACCTCATGCACTATTACCAAAACATAACCTAAAGCTCTTGGAAAGATCATCAGCTGTGATATAATTGAAAGTTTATGTTAGCATGATCAGATCAATATCAGAGAAAGCAAGTACCGTTTGATGATCATATGATAATCAATGAGATTTATTTTGCTTTTTAGCACTCATCTTTGGGAATTTGTCCTGACTTTTTACCCTTTTTCTGATAGTTGGGCTCTGGATACTTGACAAAAAAATTTGAGCAAAAGCTAGATAATCAAGGCTTATGTCTTTATATATAATATATTTTATATATTGAAGCTCTATCCATGGTAACTTAATATATAAATATAAAAAAAAGGGTTTGCTATTCCCTTTTTATCATCAATTATTTTTATTTCCTACATTTTGAAAAGTTAAAGTCCGGTATGAGTGCCTATCGCTATGACCATGTTGAGAGGTCTGTACTATGGACAAATTGACAATTTTAATTTTAGATCATTATGCAATAACTTTGCGGTATATTTACTTCTTCAATCAACATTTTATTTTATTCATACAACTACGAACGTATGAATTCTAAAATAACATCTCACATATATTAAATGAGAACCAAGTTATATTACACATTCCCATACATATTAATGTAAACCAAAAAACAAAGCAGAACATAGAGTGATCTCTGCGGGGGCTTGACTGAAATTTTCCTTGTTAGATTTTTAATAGTTTCATTTTCCACAGTCCGTTGCAATATTTTGGCCGATTATATTCACTTATGAAACACAGATAAAAAAAATCTGTAATCCTGTAGTCAAGTAAACCCATATCAACTCACTTGGAGAGTGCACTTAAATTTCTTAATGTTGAATGAGTAAATACTAAAAGCCGAAACGGCGCCTGAAAATTTAATCGCAGAAGAAAAAAGGAAATAAGAAAGCTGCGATAGAGGGCAGAAAAAAAAGTAAGGAACATAAGAACAAACTAAAAAAAATTCAAATTCAAACTGGAATGAAAAAAAAAACTAAATGTCCAACGAAAATCATAGCCAAAATACTTGATTCAAAAAGAGTGGTTGCACTATTAGCTTGCTTAATATCAAATGATGGAGAGAAAGTACCATTTGGTTGAGATTCCTCAACTGTAGATGTAGAGTAAGAGCCGGCAGGGTTAATGGAAGAGCCTGAATATGCATAATCTCCAGTGAAGCTAAGGGAATATGACTTGACAGTAGTTACCGATGGGCCTTCACTTGAGGATCCAGCAGCTGTAATTGATGATTCAGAGCTGATGGATGCACTGACACAAGTTGAGGACTCAAAACCAGAGATAGCTGCAGATAATTTTGAACTTTTTGTTTGGATATCAGAAGCTTTTGTACCAAACTGATATTCCGAACCAGTGGCAGATCCAGAGACTGAGCTTTTCAAAGCAGTCAATGGACAGTAAGTAGTATATGAAGTGATAGTTTTGTAGACAGAGCTAGTGACAATTGGGTAGCAAGTCTTTGTACCGCAGGAGGTTATGGTGTGCAAAACAGTAGCGTCAATTTCCGTAACTACAATGGAGGTAACCATTGAAGCATCAGCTCCAGAAGAACCAGAGCTAGTAGTGGTAGAGTTTCTGAAAAAAGGAGCAACAGTATTTAGAAACCCCGTTGTAGTAGTGGACAAAGAAGCAAAATTCAAAGAGTCTGAGCTCATGGTTGAAGAAGCATTCAAGATTGAAAAAGAGGTCTTGATACTTGTAATTTGAAAAGATACATCATCAGTAGTTGGAAGAATATCCAAAGAGGAGAGGTTTCCTTCAAATGTATTTTTCGTTCCGATAGAAGTGGAATAATCGATGGAGGTGATGGCGGAAGTAGTAATACTAGGAATATTAAAGGTAGAAGTGGCATTGTGTGAGCTGGAAGAGTTGGAGACTGTAACAGATGAGCTAAAACTTCTCGAAGTAGAAGCACTAAAATTTAAAGTCGTTATAATGTAATTAGTTGAGCTAAATGTCACTGCACTGGAAATTTTGAAGGTAGAAGTAGAAGTAGTTAATGAAGAGTTGTTGAAGTTGACAATACTTGTTGGCAAAGTAATTTCAGTGGAGGCAGTACCATTATAGACCGCATTAGTTTCCATTAAAGAAGAAGAGTTGAAAGTGATAGTTGTAGTATTCGTAACGGGAGCGAGTGTTATTGGAGTGGAGTTAGATGACATGAAGGTATTTGAAATAGAGATCACTGTAGTGGAAGTGGTAGATGCTATGTTAGTAGTGGAAGTGGTGGATGCTATATTAGTAGTGGAAGCAGTTGTTTTTGAGGTAGAAGTTGTTAAATTAGAGCTAGTATTAGGTAAAGTGGAGTTGGAAAAGTTATAGGTAGTTGATGTGGAATTCATTAAGTCAGAAGTGGTTGAATTGAAAACATTTGAATTAGAAGTCAAATAGATGGAAGAAGTCGAGATCGGATTTATCATAGTAGAAGTGACAGGAATAATATTAGTAGAATTAAATAAAGAAGAGGTGTTGCCATTTTCGACGTCTGTTGGGAGAGTACCAGTAACAGGTACGGTGTTGATAAAGGAAGTGATTTCATTTGATGCAGTTGAAGTTACGGTGACAGTTGAGGTGTTAGAAGAAACGGCCGTGGTAGAATTAATTGAACTAGAAGTTGTAGAATTTATTGAACTAAGAGTGGTAGAGGCTGAAAGATTTAAAGTTGAAGTCATCGAAGAAGATAAATTTGAATTGGAAGTAGTGGAATTAAAAGTGCTGAAGATGGGGGTAGTTGAAATAGAAGTAGTTGGAGTGAATGTTGTTGCATTAGAAGGGATAGAAATTGGGCTAGTAGTGGAAGTGGTAGAAGTAAAGGTTGAAGTGGAAGTAGTTGATGTAGAAGTAGTTGATGTAGAAGTAGTTGGTGTAGAAGTTGTAGAAGTGGAAGTGGAAGTGGAAGTAGTTGATGTAGAAGAAGTAGAAACAGGAGCAACGTAACAAACAGAATCATCAACAGAAGGAGCGTATAAATTGGTGTCCTGGATTTTTTCACCATTAGGATCAGTTATTGTGAAAGTAAATGTACCTGGAGGTGGAAGATTATCACTAACTTGAACTATCATAGGATAGTATCCTGGAGTTAGTGAAATTGTATAAGTGTAAAATCCTGAAGCTGCATCAAAGAATGGTGTGCCAATACCGGCAGCTGCACCAGCAGTAACGGCCTGGTGAGTCAAGTGACCACAAGCAAAAGCATTCTCCGCCCCAACCCATCCACCGATAGCTACGTCAGAATAAAGATAAAAGGTATGAGTTCCAGACGCTTTAACAAGGAGATAGCTTTTGATAAACAATGATTCTCCACTTTGAATAGTGATATAATCACCCCATGATGAATAGGAACCCAATGCAGAATAAGAGGCTGCTTCATGATAAGTTTTCAGGTCACTGGAAGTAAAGTCAGTGATATTGGAACCAGTACTAAGACAGGAGGAATCGCTGAATGCACAGCTTGTAATGGCAAAAACTGGGGAAAGGAGTAACGCAAATAACGTCACAGCAGTGAGGATCATTTTCTCAACAATTTTTCTTCTTTATTTTAAAAATGTGAAGAAATAACCTGTTCTTATGAAAGGGAAAGAAAGTAGTGAATTTTCTACGGTTAACAGAATTTAAGATTTAACAAGAAAAAAAGGAGAGCTTAAGGTGCAATATTTAAGAATTTTTCGTTTCCCTTTTATTTTCGTGTTCATTCTTCTAAATTCTGATCTCAATTTGTATTTAATAGGAAAAAAATTAGCTTGGAATTATTAAAGTTGGAACTTTTCTCTGTATATAAATTAGAAAAAACTGTACAGTATTCGTGCCTACCACGGGAAATATTAGTGGAAAAGATAATTTATAATTTATACCGACCCCCGGCTCTTTTTCAGTGCTACCGCAGCGGAAACCATTCATACTAACCAAAAGTGAAACTCTTACTGCAGATAGATAAATGCCCATAAACTTACCCAAAAGAGATCATTTCATTGGGCTTACCAACAACTCAATTTATTACTTTAACACCATTTAGATGGGATACCACTATAGAAGTCACTTGTCTCTCTCATAGGCTCATCACCACCTGGCGGTGTAATACCCCTTTGGTTTATGCAAGACAGAGTGACCCTCTGTCAAACAGTATTTTAAAGCAAGCTGTGAGCTACCAACTTCGTGGTTTAAGTAGTAGTCAGTGATGATGAGGTCATGATAATCTTGGAAACATATGTAGATGATCAGGAAAATAATCTGGTTTCTGGAAATCAATCAAAGGCTCTCTTGAAAACAAATTTTGAATAAAGACAAGACGCTTTCAAAAGAAATCAAGTTTCTTTATGGAGAAGTGGTTTGTCACCATCAACATTGCAGGATTTTCTTATTTGCAATTTGATGATTGTTATGTCAGCCAAGTTTTTGTTTCTGATGAAGTGATAAACACTCTGCGGCTCTTTGCCTCTGGAGCTGTGGTTGTCACTGGAAAGAGACAAGTATTCATGGGTGGACTCTATATTGTGCTTTCCGTTGCGGTAGCATGAAAAGAACCGGGCTGTATGAATTATATTTTTGAATATTTCCGGGGCTTGATACAAATAAAAAAAATCATGATAATACTTTTTTTCTAAACTATAGTAAGTCAAAAAGAAATCGGTTGTTGTATGCAAAGAATAACGGCTTATTGTGGGGCTGGCATTGTTTAGATGAGGCTTATTGTTAAGGCAATGTCAACTGATTATTAGCGATAAACATACTTTTGGCAACGGATTTCTGTACTTATTGTACTATTTCCCTTTTAATTATCACTTTTGTATAGAAGCCAATCTAGACTGTACTGTAATTACTTATTCATAGAAGTAAACATCACCCAAATTACAGTTTTTTGTATGCAAAAAAGATAAAAAAAAAAAAAACCCTAAATTAGGATCAGCGGTATGCCCATCAGAATCCCTTTTTGGTGGGGTTCAGGAGCAAATGGTACACACAATCATGTTTTGACAGAAAACATCGTGTTTCTATAGTAGTGCTGTAATTAATACTGAGGGCAATTAACCTCCGATAACCCAGAATAGGTGATTGGTTCTGAAGGATATACGAAAGAAAAGCACGACCATGTAAAAAAAAAAAAAAATGATGAACTTGGGTAATGGGAATTGTGATAAAGGAGAGTGATTTTCGGGAGCTATTCTAATAGGAGATGGTTCTTAAAATGCCAATTCGTATTCGTATTTCTCATTTTTGCAACATAGAAAACAGATTTCGATTAGAAATAAGTAAAAGAGAGAACTTTTAATCATCATGGGCTACCTTCCCCCATTCAGTACTGAGAGATTTAAGCAGAGATTTATTTCATAAACTCTATTAGATTATTGTGATGTTGAAATCTATGAGGCAGTAAAATATCTCTGGTATCTGAAAAGCTTCACTGTTCAAAGATCCCGTATAAAAAAAAATTATCTGAAGATATAAATACTCTGCGGACCGGTCATCTCCTTCATATTGCAATAAATAAGTTAGTTAATTGGAGGGTTCAAAGATTATGCATTTTTATGAAGAGCCACATTGCATTTAGGCCATCACCAATATGCGATGTTCGAATGTGGTAATAACAGAAGGTGTAACACCTCTACTCATGAGCTTGTGCTGTGTACGTACACTCCATATAATTTCTGAGAATGAACGGTTAATTTTTTAGCCCATTAAATAGCGTATAAGTCTACAGGTATAATATTGGTATAATATTGGAATAAATCACAAATCATTATAAAGTATACAATGCCATTGAAATAGAATCGTTCAATTTGAATTACATTTCAAATCCATATTACCAGAGTTTCTTTCACTGTTTAAGTGAAAGCTGGTGTAGTAATGATGTTTTAGTGTCGCACAATATAAGTAATCAGAGAGTATTATGAACTATACCACACAGTCACCTTGTTTCGTCTAGCAAAATAATCCCAAAAATATGCTGGTTATTGCCATCAAGTTTTTCAGTCTTATAGACTCGCACTAATCCCAATCGCTGTCAGTATGATTTGTATCTTCATTTTTATTGTCGGTATCTTCGTATTCGCGGTCTTCAGGCAAAATATCTGCCTCAGTAACTCTCTCAGCATCATGATCAAAATCAGGAGTAGTATCAAGGTATTTATGGACATCACACGCATTGATCCATCGAAATGATTTTATGATATATTTTTTTTCTGCCTAAAATCAGGTGTGTCTACTGTCAAAAAAGCTTTGTTAGCAGCGTCCCTAGAATCCTGTTGATCCGGAGGAGGAGAGTACCTCTCTGGGTTTCTAAGGAAAGCATTAGTCCTCTTAATCAACGGTATGAAAGGCTTCACTGTTCCTCTTCGATGTCTGAGATGACTGGAATCAAATGTACCTTATACGGGCAAAGCTGCTGAACCATCTGGCATTCTGTTTTTGATATCCACTTTATCTGTTCCTCATACATAAATTAATGCTTTTTGATCTGCAAATGGCCATGGCCAGTAGTTTTTTCATTCAATGTGTAACATAAGATAGGGCAACGATCAGCCACGGCGAATTTTAACAACATATTCATGATGATTGCGATCATACCTTTAAACAAAGCGATAATTGTGTTGTGTTGTCGGCGTTATTTTTTAATCGACTGACGAATTTATGTGGCATAAAAGGTTGGTGTATGTTTTCCGGATGGACCCAATAATTTCGATTTCTCGAAAGATGAGACCACTGAATCTTTTCTGATTCTATTTTTTTTAACCTTGTCATTTAGTGTGTCTTTTTTAACTCGTGCTATATGTCTTGCTAAACTAGCCTTACAAAATTTATGATATATACTAAATCTAAGACAAGAAACAGAGAGTAATCTTTGGCGGCTTGTCTTGAAATTATGAGTCATGGATTTTCCTTCTTGTTTGGATGTTATTTTCAACTATATCAACTCGTCAATCACAAATACGGTACCAGGATCAGCTGACATTTCTGATATTCAATTAGAGATAGTTAAGAAAAGACTAGATTGCACTAAATGTTCCATCAGGAAATATATACCCGTAAAATAATGGAGTAGTTTTCGAGGGGTTGGATGATCTTTTATGTCTTTTTGATACTGAAAGGTTTAGTGGGATCTTTTCTTCATCTCAATTTAAATAAATATTTTGGTTGTTTGAAATGAGCAAATATTTAATAAAAATATGATTCAATGAATCCTCACTGCTTGTAAAGATAATATTTCTCTTTCTTATTCTCATTCTTCTCCTTTTTCTTTTTTTTACTCAAAAATGAAGTTTCCAGTCAAATATGATAGACACCATTTAGGATTGATAATTGACAAGAAAAATATAATAGAAGAGAAAGATATATATGAATTTTATTGATGGTCGATCGTCTCATAATCGTAATAAATGCACTTCTGTATGGTTGAAGCTCCATTTTTCTCGTTTACACAGAAGCTGACATTATTTTTTTTTGATTACAATCATTTAATAATTTTTACTAGTGACTTCATTCCTGTTTACATATAGACTTTAATGGTTCATAATGTAATATTTTAGTGGTATTAAAGGTGATTTAGAATTAAAATATGGTCTGAAATTTTTCTTTTTCCAAAAAATATCAAGAACATTGTGTGAATAAATATCAAAAGCGGAAACAGCTCCCCAAAATTTAATCAAAGAAGAAATAAGATGCAATAAAGAGAAGAGAAAAAATAAAAAATAAGAGAGTAAAGAAGAAACGATAATATTAAAGCTAGAATTGAAAATTGAAAGCAAGAAAGAAAGAGAAAAAATGCAAGATTCAAACTAAAGGAAAAAAGGAATCAAAAATCCAATCATAGTCAAAGCACCTGATTTCAAAAGGGTAGGAGCACCATTGGCTTCTTGGACACCGACTGAAGGAGCAGTGGAATTAGAGGAGTGCGACTCAAATATAGAAGCAGATGAAGTCACATCTGAGGATTCCAAGGTTGGAGTTGATGATCCTGATCCATTGGTTTTAGTAGTGCTTCCGTTAACGAGGGTGGAAGATTCAGAACCCAAGTTAGAGCCAGCGGCTTCAGTTTCAGAAGCTGCGGTAATAGATTCAGATCCAGAGACTGAATTTTTCAAAGCAGTCAATGGACAGTAGGTAGTGTATGAAGTGATAGTTTTGTGGACAGAGCTAGTGACAACTGGGTAGCAAGTCTTTGTACCGCAGGAGGTTATGGTGTATAAAACAGTAGCGTCAATTTCCGTAACCACAACGGAGGTAACTATTGAAGCACCAGATCCAGAAGAGACAGAGCTAGTAGCCGTAGAGTTGCTGAAAAGAGGAGTAGCAGTGTTTGAGGAACCAGTCACAGCTGTGACCAAGGAAGTAAGATTCAAAGAATTACTACTGATAGAACTGTAAGGACTAGAAGTCATTGATAAAGTGGTATTGGAACTTGCAGTATATGTTAAAGAAGAGTTGGCTGTAGTGGAGACAGTATCGTTATAGCCTGCTGTGGTTCCATTAAAAGCGGAAGAACTGGAGGTAGTAGCAGTAGCACTAGCGGTGGAAGTGGAGTTCGATGAGATGAAAGTCAATGAATTAGAGCTCGTTGGGATGGAGACAGTTGAATTAGAGGCGGTGGAAATTGAGTTCGTAGTGGAAGTAGAAGTAGAAGTAGAAGTAGAAGTTGTAGAAGTAGAAGTTGTAGAAGTAGAAATTGTAGAAGTGGAAGTGGAAGTGGAAGTGGAAGTGGAAGTAGTTGATGTAGAAGAAGTAGAAACAGGAGCAACGTAACAAACAGAATCATCAACAGAAGGAGCGTATAAATTGGTATCCTGAATTAGTTCCCCACTAGGATCAGTGATCGAGAAGTTGAATTTTCCAGAAGGTGGAAGAGTATTGATCACTTGGACCATCACAGGATAATACCCAGGAGTTAATGAAACTGTATAGGTGTCATATCCCGAGGAAGCATCAAAGAATGGGGCGCCAATACCAGCATCCGCATAAGCAGCGACAGTTTGGTGAGTCAAACCACCACAAGCAAATGCAGTCTCCGCCCCAACCCATCCACCAATAGCTAGATCAGAATAAAGGAAAAAGGTGTAAGTTCCAGAAGTTTCGGCAAGGAGATAACTTTTGATAACCAAAGATTCGCCACTGGCGACAGTGATATTCTGGTCCCATGAGGAATAGGAGCCTAAGGCAGAATAAGAAGCTGCTTCATAAGAAGCTGCAAAAACACCATTATTAAATTTAGTTATATTGGAGCCAGCAGTAAGACAGGAGGAATTGCTGAAAGTGCATCCTGTGACACTGGCGAGAACTGGGGAGAAAAGCAACACGAATAAGTTCACAGCAAGGAAAATCATTTTGCCGATAATTTTTTTTCTTTATTAGAAAAAGGTAACAAAAAGTAAATTTTTTTAATGCTGAAACAATTTAAAATTTAATAAGAGGAAAAAATAAGGAAAAAATAAGGAAAGCTTAAGGTATAAATAATGATTGAGAGGTTTTGGTTCTCTTTCATTTTGATGTTTTTTTTTTCTTCTACATTCGTATCCCATTTTATGCCAAATAGGGAAAGAAATCACCTTGAAAGTATTAGAGTTGGAAGTATAAATTGGAGAAAACTATAAAATAGAAAAAAAAAAAGCATTAGTATAGTATGCCGGCACAAGTCAGAAGGAAATCGGTTTTTTATGCGAGGAATAACGCCTTATTGCGGGGCAGACATTCTTTAGGTGAGGCCTTCAGTCAATCTACTGGCTGTTAGTCAGAAACATACTTCGGCTATGGATTTCTAACTTCGTTAAATTCTCTTTCCCTTTAGCTATCACATCTGTGTAAAAGCAAATCTGGACTGTCCCGTATTATCGTATTACCAATGTTATATTTTATGGTTTGCAGAAGAAGCCTAACCTAGATCTGCGTTACAATCCCTTTTTGGTGGGGCTCAACAGTAAAGAGTACACACAATTAGTTTTTTTTTATTACTAAATTGAGACATTTATTATTTATGAGAAAACCAAAAAGAGCGCAGCTCAGAGAAGTAGGCTATAATTATTATCTCAAAAAACCTGTGGTTAATCACTTTCTGCTTCCTCTGAACCCTACTTTTTGTGAGAGAGGGGTTGGCTTAGCCGATCAAAAAAAAAAAAGGGGGGTCCTAAACGCCCAAAAAGGGACATCGAATCATAAAGCATACTCATTAATGACAAGGAGTTGATAGTATCTGTCCCGAAAAGATCTTCTGAAGACCTCGCTATTGATTATAAAATTCATGTTGACCATCAACCTACGATGTCGAATGTGAAGGTACACCTTATGCGAAAAAAAAAAAAAAACCAATGGCAACGTTGTTACATTTTTGTGGGTCAAAAACCGTTTTTTCCAGAAAAAAATTTTGAGCTCTTGAAAAACCAAACACTTTGCAAGTAAATAGCAAGTAAATAGCATTTGAACGATATCAAGTGGCACGCGATAAGGTAGTTTAATTCTATGTATTTAGCTAGAGCCACTTACAACAAAATTTGGATCAATGTTGTTGTTTTTTTTTGTTTTTTTTTTTGATCAATATATGATATACTTTGGAAAAATGGAGGCCACAACAGACGGTAGTAATATTTGGGATGCACCTGTCTGAAATGTTCAACTCTCTTGGAAAACTATTGTCTTAAAACACATAAAGTGGAGAGACTGATATCCCACAAATGTTTCACTTGTACTAACACGACTTTAGCTAGGATATTCTTTGTATATTAGAGAATTTGATAGAAACTTCTCTTCTTTATTATGTTCGTTTTATGTTATGCTTTTAAAGTCTGTAAATTAATAAAACAAAGAAAATGTTCCGATAAATATATTTTGCGACACATACATCCTGATTATTAATTGTCTTTGGTCTTAATGATTCAATGGTTTTTCTTCATGTCCCTTCTAACAAGACTAGCACAAGACTCCAGATTCCAGCGTGTACGGCAATTAACAAACATTGCACTGAATATTCAGAGTGCCGAGTTCAACTTAAACCAATTTAGTAGCTCCAATATATGTGTTCATTTTCTACACTTTTCAGCATCCTTAGCATCAAAAAAAGCAAAAAATTGATTTCGCCCAGGATCGAACTGGGGACGTTCTGCGTGTTAAGCAGATGCCATAACCAACTAGACCACGAAACCAACTTGTTTAAACTATTTCTATATATAATAGCGGCTATATTTTTTTTTTGGTACCGTCGCACTGGTATATGCTATTTAGAACCTCTGTGACTTGTTAATATACAATTCATTCATTCAACATTTATATTTTGGGCTAGATAGTTTTTGCATTTGGATACTGGTGCGTCTTTGCTCAAGATAGCCAGTGGGCTGGATGCCCGTTGGCTATCTCTTTCAGGTCAAGATCTCAATTAGTTCAATGGACAAATGACTGATTGAGTTGTGATATATATATTCTTATACTTTTATATTCCGTTACATAACGAACTTCGGAAGTGATTTATTACTGCTCGGCACAAATTATATTTTGCAAAAGAAATGGCTACAAAATCGACGAATCGTTAGTCTTAAATGAATTCGAGGTTGTAGGAGTACGACAGTCTAATTGTATTTTATCTTCATGAATATCGATGGTAGGGGATGCATCAATCGTTCCTAATGAGATTTAGTGTGTGCTTGTGAGTTATTGGGTCATATTTTATCCAGAAATAGAAATATATATATATATATATATAAGCACGGATGATATCGATGGAATGGCTTCAAGGAGTTGGATAATCTTTCGAGATCGTTTTAAAGATCTATAGATTTGGTGGGATCTTTTCTTCTACAAAATTTGTGTTTTCCTTTCTAACTCAGTCATTGAATTTCCATAGACAACGTCTGACTACCTGTCCCAGCAACTAGAATTAAAACTGCTATGACTTAAGAGTATCTGTTAATATTACCTTCCTGGTGGGTGGGCTTTGAAATACTTTTTTTTATAGCTCTCAGCAAACCCATTAGTATATCAGCTAATATCAAATAAATATACATGGAAGTAAATAACTACAAAATTACTAAAATCACACAGTAGGTCAAAGGAAGAAAGGATGTACTATGATAATTCCTAGGAATACTTTGCTCTGCACATTTGTTGGTGCCACCATGTGTGATGCAGAATGGCATTTCTTTGAAAACATATTCCTTGGTATACTTTTTGTATCTCTTTTGCTCTTACTTATTGGTTTTGTTCTTGAAGACTTGAACGGGTCACTTCTTGCGAAGCGTTTTGGCAATCTTCTCAAGGATCAGCTTAGGAATCACCCAATTCTCTTTTAATAATTTAGTGTTAAATAAATCTCCATCCGATGATAGGGTATTTTCCTAAAGAATACATCAAGGGGGATGGAAACGATCAATATATGAATTACTTAAAGAGTCAGTATCATCAATTGGTTTAGTAGGACCATAATGATTTGCACAAACTCATTTCCCGTAAGCGTTTCAGCATTTCCGATCTAAATCAACCTTACTCCTCCGTACACTCTTTAGGTAAAAAAAAAAAGAAAATGAGATCCCTATGTAAAAGGGTGGTTAAATTTTTAAGAGGATAGATCTCCTTAGACTGGACTGCCTGGTATGTGAATATTTCCTTACATAATGGGGGTAAGAAAATTGATTTATTATGAGATCCTTCTTTTGCAATTTCTAGATGTTAGAATATTGATGTTGTTTCCTAAGACTTAAGTGAAAGTTCTTACGGAACGCTTCATTGGAATTGTCACTATACCGTCTTGCTAATCCTTATCTATAATTTCATAGTAGAAGTGGACGCCTCCATATCGTTCTTCTGGGGACTTACGAAGGCTAAATCACTCTTAATGCAACTATGCATCATCGCAAACTTCTGGCTGGATCTTTAATTAGTAATTATTATTAATCGGTCCCCGTAGGATACTTGAGAAACACATCAATTACCGAGAAAGATTATTTCTTTAGCAGGAAGTAATCCCTCACTGCACAAATAAGATCAGGTTGAAAGAAATAGGGGAGCGCAGGTGGGAATTAATTTTGGTAATAGTGTGTGCTACATTTTTGTTCTATTTAAACCTGTTAATTTCAAATCCCTTACAAAGCCACACTCATAATCCCACCACAAATGACCATGAAATACCGGTTCACTTCCTTTCTCTGTTTTAAAACCCAGTAGACGACACTATCGTTTATTAGTTGTATAAGTGCAATCTTTCTTATCTCTTAGGGGTTCTTGGTAGTTGTGATGCAGCGACGCGCGATTTTTTTTTTCCCCTCCATATTGGCGATTCTTTTCATTTCACACCACAAGAAAAAAGACCTATAAACTGGATATCTACCTCTTAAAAGAAAATAGTAATTATTGTTATTATAAAAATAATAGCAACTATCAATTGAAATGAGTTGAATAATGGATAATAATAATAATATTATTATTATTTTATATGTCAATAGACTGTTATGTGGGTACATTTTCCTCCACGGAGATATGAGGGGTGTTTCTGGGATAATCCAATCGGGGATACCAGTGTCCCTTTTCTGTGATTGTGCAATGTGAAATATGTAGTGTCGATCATTGAGAGTGCTATGGGCTCGCAGATTGTCGTATCAAATAGGAGATGTTTATGACAAGTTATGGAAAATGAGACATCATGAAAAATCATCACAGAAATATGGAGCGTCGCAGAAATATGATAGACTACCAAGAGTAACATGTAAATATAGAGCACTATTAATGCCATTACACTAGCAAAGAAAAAGAAACCAGTGAAGCAGGGTATCTCCAGTAAAACAATAGCTGTCTACATTTTCTGAAGAGATAACTTAAAAAAAATCAATGCAGTGCTTTATTTGATTATAGATAGATAGACTTAGAGATTAAGAATAAAAATAAGTAAATCAAACATATTTAAAACTTTTAATGAAAAAGGGATCGAAACGTAACAGAAATAGAAAAAGAGTCTATAGAATACAAAAGAAAAAAATTTGGGTATAATAATTATCAGAAAGACATTCCAATTCTAAAGAGAGAACATAAGCACCAAAGTACCAATGACACCGGCAATCATACCAGCACCAATAGACTTATTAGCAATGGCACCACCAGTGTGGACGCTGACGGAAGCAGCGGTAGAAGAAGAAAATGAAGAAGAAGAGTTGGAAACAGTAGAAGTGGCAGCGGTCAATGGGCAGTAAGTGGTGTACTCGGTGACGACTTCCTTCACGGTGGAGGTGATAACTGGGTAACAAGTTTCAGTACCACAAGAAGTAATGGTGACTAACTCGGTGGTGTCGGTAGTAGCAGTAACGACAGAAACCAACAATGAACCAGACACAGTTTCGCCAGGAACAACAGAGGAGTTAGAGAAACCGGTGGTAGAAATGACCAAGGTGGTAGGGGAAGCGGTAGAAGAAAGAGTGGTGGTAGACGAAGCAGAGGAAACAGAAGAAGAAGAAGAAGAAGAAGATGATGAAGAGACTTCACAGGTTTCTTCTTTACTACTTGGAATGTAGAACCCGCCAGTGATCATGTCCTTACCGGCAGAGTTAACAATATGACCGGTGATGTTGGAAAGGGTGTTCAGAGGGTTCAAGAACCAGTATTGGAATGGGTAATAACCTTCGGATAATTCGAGGGTGATAGTTTCCACGCTGCCGGTGGATTCAAGAAGAGGAGTAGCTCCGGATTTGGAGACCATTGGGTCAAGGTCAGAGAAGTTGGCACCACATTCATAGACGTTTTCGGTTCCCAAGTACATCACCCCTTTGTAACTCGAGCTAAGGGTGAAAGTGTAAGAGTCTTGGGCTGGAATATGGAGGTAAGCAAGCAAATAGCCCATGCAGTTAGGAGGTTCGTGGGCAAGGTTAGCCCAGCCTTCGGTGAAGTTGTAGAGCTCTTTCTTAATTTGGTCGGCCTTATTGTAGTCATCAAACACGGTGAAATCGGTACCGGCGGTCAAACAACTGGATTCAAGGTTGGTACAACCAGTGTAGGCCAAAGCTGGGGCAGCCAAGAGAAGAAGGGACGATAAAGCAGAGAGGAACAACATTGTTGTTAATTAATCGTGGATATAATATCAAAATTGACACCAATGGAAAAACGAAAAAGAACAAAAAGGCGAGCCAAGGATATTTATATGGGTGAAATTTCCATCCAGTGACAACACAAGAAGAATAAACAACAAAAAAATCACCAAAGGAAAAAAAAAAAAAAATGCTGGTGAAGGTTATGTTATGCATACTACTGTGTGTTAATGTTGTTATCGGCATGACTGGTGCATTATCGACCGACACTCCGACCCTTTTTTTTTGTGTCTTCTCTATTGAATTATTGGAGATTATATTGAATATATTATAATAATATCATTATTTGGTTGTATAATTCAATTTTTGCCTTCTTTCTTTAGACATGTCAAAGAGCTCATCCCTAGTTCATTGCTTCTTACCGTATTTCCTTTCTCTATAACCAGTATCGCCGATCCTTATATCCCCCCTCGGTCTTCTTTTGGCCATTGCGAAATACTTGATAACTCAGGAATGAAATCTAGATTTATTCTAATTGCTACTGCTGCATGAGTAATGCCGTGGAAACAGATTTATAATTACAAACATATTCATCAAATATGGAAATCTGTGTAGATCTGTGTCATATCGTATAACCAATAATGGGTGATCAATTATTGCCAGAACCGAGCCTGGTACGACTAATTCACTCACTCACCGTTATTATTCTTCTTTTCCGAACAAGAATGGTTTGATTAAGAATAAAATCCCAGAGCAGTTGCTAATCTGCTAATTGCTATTTACGATAATACGTCCCAATTGGCAAGTGGGAAATCTATATGAACAACACTAAAATCATGGAAAAATAAATGACATGATTTAAGGTAGTGCGCTAGCATAGTAGTGCTGGATTGGAAAATCCGGACTAAATAGTTGGAAGCGTAGCTCTGAATGTAAACCTCAAGGGAGAGAATGACAACGTTAATCAAGAACAATCCACTCTGAATAGAGCAATAATCTATTCAAAAACCTCCTCTCAACCTTGATCACTGACTTTCTCCAGATTCTTAGCCAACCATTTTATTGATTTTCATTTTTTTTAGTAGAGACCCAACAATTGGGATCATAATAGCCATTCCAGATATTCTACATCGGGAAACTTCATAATAAATTGAACAAAAAATATCATTCACATTAAAATAATAAAATACTATTTTACAAATAATGAAACCAAACAACACTAATAATAATATAATAATAATAATATACATTCACGCACGAGACATCGCATCGTAAGACGGCGAGGTATTCTCATAATTCTCAATAAACAACGTTTCTTTATTATCAGCCAAATACTCAATGAACGCCTCCAAATGGTTCTTTAGAATCCCCGTACTTTGCTGGTCCATACTGGTCTGGGCAATGAGTCCTGGAAGACAACTGAAAAGCCTAAGAAGGTGCTCGGCCCCATAGATCTCACTAGGGTCCTTATCCTCGTACTGCTTATCGTGTATGATTTCCTTATATTGCTGTCTTTCAAACCGGTATAGAAGAATATGCCCCAACGCGTTGTCGAAATAAAGCCTTAGTCCACTTAACACCTCGTCCAAGATATCCTTGTCGACACTGGTGAGCTTCTTCTTGTTGGTTTGGGTATAATGATTCTTGAAATCCTTGAGGATCTGTACCACGCATGGGGTACGAGGTAATGGCACCAACTGGTGGTTCTTGGTGACATATTCCCAGTCGTTGACAAGTAACGCCTTGAGGGTCCCGGACATTGCAAAATAGATTTCGGGTTTCTTGTGATAATCTTCAGGCTTTTCAATCTCTTCGTACCCTCGTTTCCTCCGTCCACCTTTATGTTCTGTTTCATCTGATTTCCCATCAGGTTTCCCAGTTTCTTTAACATTGTCATTATTATTGGCCACGGCTTTTGTCGATGCCAATACCGAATCTTTCAAATGTTTTTGAAGTTGGACGTTTTCCTGGTTGAGTTCCAACACCCTATCGTCACCGACCCACTCGTCCCAACTGGCCTTCCACCCTTTGTAATGGATGAAATAACCGGTTGCATTCTGTAATTGTTGAGGAATCACGGTGTTGCCTAACGGTTTCTCGCCGTCCTTGGTGGTAATTTTCTTGGTCTTTGGCGAGTATACTTTGAGAACCTTGGCCTCGTAAAGAAGAGGGCCGTGATAGGCAAGACATTTGACGTTAGGGCCCAAAGACATAATCACTACCTGTCAATAATTGATATAATAATAAATGTAAACATCGTAGATGTTAATGCTATAACAATAATAAGAAGAAGAAAAAAACACAGCAGGAAGGGTGACCACCGGGTAACGCCTCTCTTTCCAGACGAGGTTTTTTTTTTCTTCATTTTGACAACAACAATTGAATTATCTTCCCCTTTTATCTGTTGTTATTATCGCTCAGACCATCACGCGTACCGTCTTTTTTCCACCCTCTCTTTATCAGTTATCATCGATATTTATTGGTATATCCATCTCTCCGAGTATTCTCCATAGGCTCAATATAGATAAGATATATACATACACACATACATATTCATAAAGGGTGTGGTGTGTCCGTTATCAGAAACCTTTCTTATCGCCAAGTATAAACTTTTGTCAACCATCCAAGAAACTTTGACCAGGGTCCAGTTTCCCAAAGGAAATATTCACAGACACTAATTTCTCCAATACAGTATTCAAGCTATTTTTGGATTTTGTGCTGGTCTTTTTCTTCCTTCTTTAGCTCATCCCGTCAATCAGGAGATTAAAAAAAAAAAAAAAAAGTGTCATCGTGTGTTTTCATCGAAGAAAATTAAAAACTTTTCATTTAACTATTTATTTTTTTAACTTCTTGATCATTAGAAGTTTTTCATAAACCAAACAAACAACATGTCATCATCATCAAACCAAGGCCTCAACGGCAACGTTGTCGGACTCCACTACAGAATCGGCAAGAAAATCGGTGAAGGGTCGTTTGGGATCATTTTTGAAGGTATCAACTTGCTCACCAACCAACACGTTGCCATCAAGTTCGAGCCAAGAAAGTCAGAAGCTCCCCAACTTCGAGACGAATACCGGGCCTACAGAATCCTCCATGGGTGTGCCGGGGTGCCTAGTGCCTACCATTTTGGCCAAGAGGGTCTCCATAATATCCTTGTCATTGATTTACTCGGTCCATCACTTGAAGATTTATTCGAATGGTGTGGGAGAAAGTTCTCCACCAAGACTACCATCCAGGTGGCCAAACAAATGATTAGCAGAGTACAATCGATTCATGAACGTAATTTGATTTATCGAGACATCAAACCGGATAATTTCTTGATTGGGTTGCCAAACACTAAGGAAGCCAATCTCATCCATATTGTCGATTTCGGGATGGCCAAATATTACCGTGACCCAAAGACAAAACAACATATCCCATACAGAGAACGTAAATCGCTCAGTGGTACTGCGAGATACATGAGTATAAACACCCATTTGGGCAGAGAACAATCGAGAAGAGACGATCTTGAAAGTTTGGGCCATGTGTTTATGTATTTCTTGCGAGGGTCATTGCCATGGCAAGGGTTGAAAGCGCCAACTAATAAACAGAAATACGAAAAAATTGGTGAAAAAAAGCAAACCACCAACGTCGGCGATTTGTGTCGCGGATTCCCTGATTCGTTCGGCGAGTATCTTAATTATGTTAGAAACTTGAGGTTCGACGAAACTCCAGATTATGATTATCTTAGACATTTGATGGATAAAGGTATGGACCAGATTGGTGAGAAAGAAGATGGCCATTACGATTGGATGGATCTTAATGCTGGTAAAGGATGGGATTACACCATCAACAAAAAGCCAAACCTTCATGGTTATGGCAATCCTAACCCTCGTAACAACAGACACCACCATCGTCAAAGCCAACAACCAACTAAACAACAACAGCAACAACAACCACAACAACAACAACAACAATACTCTGGGGGTGCTAACAACAATAATAATTCGAAATCGCGTCTTAGCGTGATGAATGGCCAACAACAACCACAACAGTTATCATCACAGCCCGTTGCTTCGAAGCAATATCAACAACATGTTGCTGCTGCAAGAACCCCTAGTGGGATGGTCAATAATAACCCACAAAAGGGACCTTCGGGGAAGAATTACGCCATGAATCAACAAACCTATCCACCACAACCAGCATCACAAGGGTATGGCGGAGATGCTAACCGTCAACACCAAATCAGACAAAACTTACAACCGGTAAATGATCGTGGAGATGTTGATTCGGTGAATTCTGGTGAAAAGACGTTCTTCCAAAAGATGTGTTGCTGTGGTTGAAAAATAAAAAAAAAAAAAAAAAATTAATTGATTGATGTTATTTATTACTATTTTTATTCTTCCTTCTTCAAATGCTTTAACGAAATTCACTTTTCTTTTTTTTTTTTGTTTTATTTCTCTACCAACCATTGTCATTGCTCTTGTTAATTTTTTTTTTTTCTAATTGTTGGTTCATTTGTTTTCAAACCTTTGTCACTCTTTAAACTTTTTGTCATGTTCTAATTTTTTTTTTTCTTTTATCATTTTCAAATTTCAATCGTTATCTTTCAGTTTCCCCATTCTTCTACATCTTTTTTTTTATTTCATTTTTTTCTTTCTATGTTATTTAATAAATCCTGGTTTTTTTTTCTGTGTGGTATATTCATATTCGGGTTTGTGGTACTACTTTGTATTGTTTGAAATTGGAGTCATTTTTAATCTTTTAAATCTTCTTGGAAATTATGGTTGTGATATCCAACAGTACTGTGACCATTTTTAGATTGTCAAAGATCAAGATCCAACGCGATTGTGACGATTTCTAAATTGACTATGGCCAAATATTATCGCCCAACTTATCAACCACCAAAACGTAGTCAAACTTTGTTAAGTTTTCACAAAGGAACATTACCATTTGTTAGATCACCTAGTATATCGAGACATTCGCTAAAGGTGGCAACAACAAAACAAAAAATATCAAAATATTAATGACCAAGTATAAATAGGATATTGTAATTTCCAGCACAATCTATAACAAAACCGGGGAATAGTTGTGTCTGACAAGAAAAGCTTTGGTTTCCACATCCAAAATTTTAGTTTTCTTTGAATAGGTTGTCCTTGATGAGTCTCTTTTCACCACTTATGTCCTCGGTAATGACTTCTGTCTTCATTTTGAGAGAAGCATGATGAGTAGGTAAGGAACAATTGAAGTTGTTCAATATTTATAAAAGGAAAGCTAAAGTTGGTTTGTAAACTGTCTACTAGTGAGTGCAACACCATCAGTTAGTAGAAAATCAGGAGCTCAAAAGGCTAAGGTCAAAAGATTGAAGGTATCGAATCCAAGTAATTGAACTAAAGAATACTAAACGAGAAGCTCAAAGAATACCAAACGAGAAGTTCAAAATAAGGCCTTTAAGTGTCATCAAAAGTAATAACATAGAAGCTAAAGAAATTACTCTGCAAAGCATTACATCATTTTATTTTGTTTATAAAATTAAATACAATGTTTTCTACTAAACAGAGGTCAATGGAAATGTTTATAATCTAGTTTTTTTTTTTGTTTGAGTTCTTCGAGTGCTATTTCCCAAGGAATAAATTTTCTAGAAGCTAATATAATTTGCATTCAAAGAATCGTGGGTTGTGTTAGATGTGCAAGATTACCTAACTAATAGTAACTAATATCAATCAACTTGTCATATTGAACTTGAATTTATCAGGATAAGATATATGTAAGTAATCGACGACTCATTGAGACTTTAAACAGAAAACAAGAATTGATGAGTAATAAAGTTAAAGGTATAAGTTAATTACATAAACAACAGGAGAATAATAAGAGATAAGAGATGATTAGTTAATTAATGAACAATACTGGTGGTATATTTTATACAACCAATATTAGTCAACATTACGTAAAACAGAGATGTTTCTTTGTTTTCTGTCAATTAGATGTTTAAACCTCAATGAGGATTATCCACAAACTTCATGTAAACACAAATAACTCATCAAGTTCCATTTATTTTCCTGAGGCGTCAATTTTCCCATCTTCATCAAAAAAATTTTCCATTCTTAGGCCAAACTTCATTACATAATTCCTACTTTCCATATGATTAAAATATAATTGATCAAATCCATTTACTAATTCATAGTACAAAAAGTAGAAACAATAAAAAAATATAAAGCTAACTAAAACTACACAATTACAAACTTCAGCACAAAGTTCATAATGAAACAAAAAAAAAAAAGAGCCCATCCACCACAACAATCACATAATATTAAGACAACTTCTAATTGCAATTTCATTAATAAGTGACCCAAGTACCTTCCAATTCGTCATACCTTCTACTTCTTCTACCTCTTCTTCCATCATCAACTTTTTTGGTGTCTCTCTTCATTCTTCTCATGTTTCTTTGTTTTTCCATTTCCCGCTTTTCAATCTCTTGTTGGGTCAAAGTTTCCACCGTTGGACACCATTCTTGCCCCAAGTTCTCGGGATCGAACCGCCATCCCGCTTCTCTACCGTATGCTGCCCCATTCACCACTTCTTGAGGAAGTCTTCCTTCGAGGGCGTCTTTTTTGGAATTTATGATTGCTTCGTGCAATGCGTGGGCAATTGCCGGATAGAATTCACGAGAAATTCCTAGGTCTGCCACCACGATCTCTGCAAATTGTTCTGGAGTCAACCCCTCACTACACGTCAAATCCCATTCGAATTTATCATCATAGAATTGTTTTTCCAAGTTCACGGTCAAGTCAATCACCACATGGATATGAAGATCTTCTGCCAATTGAATTGGCATGGATTGAGAATAATCATCGAGTTGCAATTGAATGGAATTGGCAATTTGTTGTTGAACCCCGGCGGAAAATTCAAGGTCCTGACACATGATTTCCGCAAACTTTTCTGGGGTGAGTAGCGTTTCATGAAGGTTCCACATAAAGAAATCGACAATCCGATTATTGCCATTGTTGTGATCCAAATCAATCCGGATGGGTACGAGGGTTTCTCCAGCGTTGGCGTTCCTCACCATTTCGTAGTTGGTGAATCGCTGGTGAGGGGTCTTGGTTGCGAGTTTGCCTTGGAAATTGTTCAATAACGCGTTCCCGGTAAGGTTGTTCGGATCCACCAGCAGCATCAGGAACATGCTACTACCATTACGTCTTCGCGATGACGATGTTAACGAGTCGTCACTATTGTCATCATCGCTGTTTTCTTCAAAGAAATCTTCGGCATAATTCACCACTGTCGCGTTACGCTTCTTGCCTCGCGAGGTCTGTGTTGTGATATAGAGCGCGGTATTTTCGTTTTCCACCCTGGAGTGGAATGTTGTGGTGAGCGCCTGGGGGAAAAGGGGTTTTTCCATCAACATTGTGCTGGGAAAAGTGAAGTAAGTGTCCGTTGTTGTTATTGATGTTGTTTGTGAAGTGCCCAGCAACTGGGTAAACGGTTCGGTGTTTTGGGGCTGCTGCTGCTGCTGCCTGACCACCGGCTGCCGCGGTTGCCCGGCCATCACGTGTGGGCGAGAATCAAATTTTCACCGAAAAAAAAAAAATTGGAAAATTTAACGCCAACAGAAAATTTTTCTTCTACTTTCTTTCTTTCTTCTTCTTCTTCTTCTTCTTCTTCTTTTCTTCATACTTGAGTATCACACTATCTCGCCTCCCAATATATACACACAAACACACAATGTCTTCCATTGCTGACCTTGAAAAGAAGTTGACCGCCACTTCTTACGTTGACGGGTATGTTTTCTTCTTATTCCATTAGGAGCGTTGGAGATCTCAATTGATCTTTTAACACTTGTTCTTTTTTTATATTTCTCGACCTTGCAATGATGATTATATTGGTCCGTGTTTACTAGGTGGAATTAAGACCCCATCCCATGAGTATCAAATCCAATCAAGAATTCACTTTTACTGAGTCAAAGTCGGAAAATATAAAGCAGTATTTTTATTCTCCTTTGCTGAAAATTTTTTTTTCTCTTTATTTCTTGGAAAAATTTTACTAATTGTCTTTCATAGTGCCGCTCCATCCCAAGCTGATGTTGCTGCTTTCAAGACCATCCAAAAGGAATACCCAAGCTTCACCAGATGGTTGGCTCACATTCACACTTTTGTCGATGACTTTGAATCTTTGCCAGCTGCTACCTCTGCTGCTGCTGAAGAAGAAGACGACGATGAAGTCGACCTCTTCGGTTCTGATGACGATGAAGTTGATGAAGAAGCTGAAGCTTTGAAGGCCAAGAGAATTGCCGAATACAACGCCAAGAAGGCCAACAAGCCAAAGCCAGCTGCTAAGTCTATTGTCACTTTGGATGTTAAGCCATGGGATGACGAAACCGATTTGGAAGAATTGGTGGCTAACGTCAAGAAGATTGAACAAGAAGGTTTGACTTGGGGTGCCCACACCTGGATCCCAGTTGGTTACGGTATCAAGAAATTGCAAATCAACTTGGTCATCGAAGACGAGAAGGTCAGTTTGGACGAATTGCAACAAACTATCGAAGAAGACGAAGACCACGTCCAATCTACCGATGTTGCTGCTATGCAAAAATTATAAGCAAGTTTGTACTATTTGATTTCATTATAGCTTTTATTTTATTTTATTAACTTGGCCTATTTATTTTTTGTTAGTTTTTAATGTGATGTTTTGGACTCATCTTGTATATGATTTATGATGAAGTTTGATATTTTTGATGAATCATCAGTAATGTAATAAGAGATGATAATTGTTGAATAGGAGACATTGAAAATTGAATTGTAGGGCCGTTGATTCATGGTACCTGAAAATTTTTCAACTAAGTTCGACGACATCGACTCAATTTTTTTTTGAAAATTTGACCGAATGGGCAAAAAGTTATTAAAAGATTGCGTTGACTAGATCTTTTTATTCATTTAATACAAATGATCAAATTGAAGGACTGAAAAAAAAAAGGGAAATCATATTTCAAAAGCTTGAAAAATTTTGACGATGCTTTCTAGCCGTTAAATATACCAGGTTTTCATGTCCATTAGTGGAATTCAAAATCTTAGTGTCTCAGAAGAAGCATTGTTTTTATAAAGTAAGGCCAAATGCACCATTTCTTCTTGAATTCAAGATCGCTCAGATATTGAGAAGTCATATCTAAAAGTATCTTACATTAGCTGCCGTTTGGCAGACTCAGTTATATTAATAGTCTGTAACATTGTTATCTATATCGGGAAACACTTTCAGATTTCTTATATTTCTTGTTCTTGGGTTACTATGATTTGTAGAGGAAAATTGTTCACTTTTTTGTGGCCCAAAGGACTTCTGCTTATAGTGATATCATAGAGAGAAAGAAAGAGAGAGAGAAAAAAAAAAGGTGGAAAGTTCCAAACTAAATAAGCCAAAGTAAATTACCCAAAATATGAAGCAGTCAACAACTTCATAAACCCAGTAATCAATAGATCAACAACTTCATATTCAATATTTAGTGTGCCTAAGAAATATTTGCAAGACTTCCCAATAGTTTGTCTGTTGCCAACAGCAGTCCGAATTACAAGATAATGACGAGAAAATCAATCAAAAATAAAAGTCATTTCCGATGTTTATAACCATTTTGTAATCATGTAATTTTTAAATATTGTTATCACTATTAGCAAACTCCATTTCACGCGCACCTGCCGATTTCTTGCTATAATTTGGCTGACTTGAGAAGAGATTTCTTATTTTAAACGACACATTCTTTCATTATTATTGAACTGTCTATGATTACCGTATTCTAATGGTATTTCCCTGTGTACTGATCATCTACCAAATGTGGATTTCTATTTCTGAACATTGTGTATTGGAATTTTTTTATCATCGGTAATTAGATTTCTCAGGTTCTCATAAATAAAGACAATTTCCTTATACTTCGCCAGCTCTTTACTTTACTGATCATATTCAGTGATCCTCAGAAGTTATCACCTTTTTTTGCTGATCCTCACACTTGATTAATTTTCTATTTGTTTGTGTTACAATTGATTAGAATCACCAAAAATGATTGATTGACCATCAAGGATTGATTAGTTTCTGTGAATTTTCCACGGAAATTTGCAAATTTATTTGGTGTAAATAATCAATATTGTTGAGAGTATTTTGTTAAATTAAGTATCCTAATTTTTTACAACCCTCTCTTTTATAATTGAGACTATTCATGTATTTTGTAAATTATTGTCAAGTTTTGTTAATTTTCTATATTTTACTCATTCATTAATAAAAAAAGTATTCGCTGCCTTTTCTTTCTTTGGATGATCAAAAATCTCAATCAGCAGCCCATGTTAATCCTTTTCAATTCCCCATTCAAATACCCTATCATCTCTCTAAACGCCACCGGTTGTCTTTGTAATACTTTCATAAACCCTTTCACCACACCCTCCACGCTTAAATCGTATAATTCCTTCACCTTGATTTTCCCACGGTTGACTTTCCTTAATCTCAAAAACGTGAATTTTTGGAATTTCCGATACCATTTGGCGAACTGTCCCACTACGAGCGATGATGATCTTCCGCAGCTTCTGCGATGTGAGGCAATGATAAACGTCAAGAGGATCTCACAATTGATGGAAATGTTTGCGCTGATGAAGTGATGGTGGTGATTATTATTATTATTATTATTATTAGTAGTAGTAGTTTTCTTATTTTTATTATTATCCATCCCACGGGGGCACTGAGCTAATAGTAATTCCGATAATCGAATTTCGTAGAGCCAAAGGGCATGCGAGTAGATTTTTGAAGGCGCGGTATGGACTAGTGATTTGGGGACTTTGAAGTCTCTTATGATCCCCCACGATTGGGTGTTGATATTAAGCCCACAAAAGGTGATGTTTGTCTCGGCAAAATCATTATCTGCCGCAAGATTATCACCAGCAACAATATTATTATTACCAAAAACATTACTATTAACAACAATCTTGAGGTCCTTATTATCTAATGGAGTCGAGGTAATTAATTCATTACCAATAGATGCTGGCCCGTTGCTCAACTTGGTAAGGTTCGACTTGGCAAGGTTCAGGAGGGTCTTTGATTCATTAACTTTTACATCATATTGTTTGAGAGCCGTAGAGATTTGGAAAAACACTTGGGATATTGCTTTTTGATTTACCGAAAGAATAAGAAAATCATCGGCAAACCGAATAATCAAGGTGTCTTTCGAGTTATACTCGATACCAAGTTCCTTGAACAACAAATGATCAAAGAATATATCGCAAAAAATCGCCGAGAAATTGAAACCTTGAAAGATACCACGTTTCCGACATATATAAGTATTCCCGACTTTAAGGGCACTGCGGAATAATTGGTCTTTGACAAGCTCCATAATCTGTTGTTTCTTGACAATTTGATACTTGGTAGACGCTTCATCCACAAGATAATGAAATTTCTTTTTATCCTTTTTATCACTAATTTTCCGTGATTCCTTGATTTTCAATTGTTCAATGAGTTTGGTGATTGGATCGTTATTTTCTTTTGCCAACGAATTCACAATTTGCTGGTTCACCAACTTATAATTCTCATGGGGATTCCCCGCTTCGACATTGAACACCCTCACCCGGTCAGAAACCTGATCATAGATAAAGATATCCCCTTCATCCACCAAATCGTCGATGATCTCGTAGATCTTGTCCCTAGGTAACACATCGTAACACGACTTGATATCAAACTTCTTGTAGAAAATCCGGTGGTTAGGGTGATGGCTTGCAAAGTTCTGGATCGCCCGCACCATATTATCAGTACAAGTAACGACTTTGTTATCGTTGCCCAAAAGCCTTTGGGTCCTCAAGTATCGTAACACGTATCTCACCGGCTTCACCGTCTGTTTAAGCCTACTGCGATACAGAATGATTTCTTGTCGGGTTTTCCCACGTATTGGGAAACAGAGCAATCTTAGATCGTTGGGTTTTGGAAACACCCCGACTTTACCAAATAAGTAATTCTTATGCTTAGGGCCAATTGGCTGAGGATCTCCTAAAAACTGCTGGGAATACTCATTGATGAACTCCGCTTGGAGGAGATTCCAATCTTTATGGTGGAAAAAATGGTAAGTGGCAATATCACTGGTCATATTGGTGACGTGGAAATACCCCCCAATGAGCCCAACAATAAACGAATCAAATAACCAATGAAGGAATTGTGAAAACATCATGGTCCGTTTGGTAAGATCTTGTTTGGCCAATTTAGGGTGAGGTTTCCCCAACCACGCAATTTCTTTAATTTTAATTCCTTGCATGACTCGATCAATTGGAAATTCTTGTTTTCTGATCATTGTTATAAATATTGTGATTTGTTGGTAAACAACACCGCGATTTTTCAGATTCCCAAACACCTCAATTGGGAAAAGCATCGAGATCATCTGGATGACAAATTTCCCTACTTGTTGTGGGGCCACCAGCTTACTAAACACTTTCTTATCCTGGTGATTTGCAGGGACGGTATATTTTTCCAATAATGTCTGGTAATGATGCTTCCTTTTAGAATGGTGGTTATCTACCACCATTAATAATAATTGGTATATCTTGCCGTACTTGCCTCGTAATCGTTTCAGACTGGCATAATCTTTGGACAATTTGAAAATCTCCACCATCAAACTTTGAGGATTTTCCGGCAATAGCATTGAGATTCGATATTTCGGACAAGGAGTGCGATTATTGAACATTGCTTTATTGCTGATCATTTTCGTGGTACTTTTGATTTTTTGACGATCCACGGTGCTGAATTGTCCCAGCACCTGGTTCTTCGTGAAATTCTCCATCCATCTGGCAACATAACTGTTTTTTTGCTGTTGCTGTTTCTTCTTGCCAAATAACTGGACCAAGTAATTATTATCTTGATGTTTCAAATACCCTCGGTGATAAATTATCAAATTTCCCAATTTATGGGGGCCGATTCTTTCAAATAACAATTTCCAGGCATCATTTTTGAGGAATTGATACTGGAAACTCGAAGATTTCCCTCCAAGGGTGAATTTCACCATCAGTTGAGAATGGAATCGATGATCGAACCGCACTGGATGGTTATGGTTATACACCGAAGCAGGACGATGGGAATAACCCCCTTGGCCAGCGATGCCTAGACCGTTGGCCACAATGTTTGGAAGACGGTTTTTTAGAATAAATTCGACGCAATTATTGAGAAACTCTTCGAAAGTTACCTCGTCAAGAAATAGCGAGTGGTAAGTGATGGCCAGTGGTTTGGAAGCACATTGTTCCACTATCACCGAGTCAAGAAGGTCAAGGTACCATTGGGGGTCGGTGTAGCTGGTGAGATTGGAACAATTGGCAAAGTGTTTTCTTAAAGTGTACATTAGTACTCTTTCTCAAATGATCCAAGCTCTATGTGATGATACATTTGATAGTATCTATCCAATGTATGAGTATCGATACACTTCTTTTGACGTTTAGGGAATAAAAAATAAAAAAAAAAATAAAAAAAAAAAGCGTGAAAAATTTGGGAATCACCATAATAATGGTAATATATTCACCAAAGAATCCACAAAATAATCACCCATGGCCAACAAGAAACTGTTGGATATCGATCCAAAGACCTTGGTGATCAATGGCTCATTCCAGCAAATATTGCCAGGCCGTATTAGAACCCACAGCGACCTGGTGGAACTCACCAAGGCATGGCTGGTGATCATCCCGGCCAGGAAATCCATGGTCTTCATAACGTTTCTCAAGAACCATACTACGACTACGGGGATGGATCATTTGAAGAAACTTAGGAAAAGCCAGACCAATAAATCACAACTTCAAGGATTGGTGGCTATGGCTGATGAAGTTACCAAGCACCAGGTATTTGAAATGTTATGTGCTGATGATGAGGTCCACCAGGAATTGGAGATACACTCGATGGACGATATCGTGGAAGTATCGGTGCCAAAATACCCTCCGGTGACCCAAGAAGAAGCCAAAGATAATTCCAAACAGTACTGGCCGGTGATTTGGAAAGGCGATCCAAATATCCAGCAGTTGAATCAGGAAGTGTTTGATATGTTGGAAATCTCCCAGAACTTACGGGATATTATTGAGATTGCAAAGATTCAAAAGGATAATGGTGAGGTATGTATTATTTGATATCTGATTATATTTTATTAATCTCTCTGTTCATTGAGTGATAATTATTTATTCAGTTCTCTATGAATACTCATTCTATTCAAATACTAACATTTTTTTTTTTTTTTTTTTTGAAGTTACCAATTGTCACCAGACTATACGATCCCGAAAACAAGCAAATCCTCGCCACGGCCCATGATGAACGATTCAAACATATCCTACACCATAGTGTTATCAATTGCGTAGGCAGAGTTGCCGCGAATGAAGTGCAGAGGCGTGGCGAAGAAGATGACGATGAAGAAGCAAATAATGATGATGTCGATGATGAGTCCTCCAAGAAGTATCTCTGTGTTGGATACGACGTGTACACCACCCACGAACCATGTTCTTATTGTTGTATGGCTTTAGTCCATTCGAGGATCCGAAGATTGTTTTATTTGAAACCTAGTCCAAAGACCGGGGCGATTGCTCCCGATAGTGCCAAAGGGTATTGTATCCATCAGAGCCGACAATTGAATTGGGCATTCCATAGTTTCAAATGGTGTGATCCAGAATTACTCCAGACGGTTCCAGTGATTGATGATAATTTGTTTGTATGATAATGAGGTGAATCTTTTTGTAATAATAATGAAAACCCCTTTTATGATGATGAAGAAGAAGAAGAAGAAGAAGAAGAATCCGTAGTCAATTAAAGTAGAATCTGTGATCATCGAAGATAGAACGTTAATAATATCAATCATCATTGAGCTGGAGTACTGGTAACATCAACTCCCCATCCCCCCTCCCTCAATTCTATTCTATAATGATATCTCAGTGTCCACCAATTTCTTACCAACTAGTCAAAGTTTGCCAAACTGTATGTCTACTGCTTCACCAACTCGTCAAATTCTGCCAACTCCTCGATCGCTTGGTTGAAACTGTTGCTTGATGTGGATTTACCGAATTTGAGATCCGAAAGTGATCCCACCAGCTCTTGTAATATTGCCAACTCTCGAGAAATCTCATTATCGATCTCCTTTGTTTGTAATTTCAAAATCCCATCAAGTTTCGTCATCTGTTGCACCAATTCATTAAGCGTGAGCCGTTGATCGACTATATCGTTGTTCAGGCCTTTAGGGACCGTCACTTCCGGAACGTTGAATTCTAGTGAGATGTTGTTTTCCATTCTATTGATTCTCTCTTGGTTCCAAAGAAGTACCAATTCGAATAATTCATCGGCAATGATGGGGTCAATTGATTTGGGCAATGCTTGGATGAACTTCTCTTTCGAGGTCAAGATCGTTGGAGAATTAGTGTTGGCAATGAGAAATGATCGAAGAAGGTTCTTTGATGTGATGTCCATGGTCACAAGGAATTGTCATTTGGCAAGAGATATTGTAAATTTATTATTGTAGAAAATTGTTTTTATATTAGTATTTTTTTTTATCTGGGAGGTTTTTTTTGTTTTTTTTTTTTGACACCTGAAAAATCATTTCCACACATTTATATATATATATATATATTTGACGATATACCATCGGATACTAGACATAATATGGATAAGCAATGGATAGAAACTGCTTCAGGCAACCGGATCTCCAAAAATAGCAGAGTTCAAGGGGCCTCGAACATCCTCTTGGCGGGGTTCACCACTATTTGTCCCCAGGCCACCATCAATGGCGACGTGATGCTTCATAAACAACCACAACAACAACAACCGGCAGCAGCATTGGTGGTGGGGAAATACTGTTTCTTCCACAAACAGTCAATGGTGACTCCTCCAATATTAGGAATTAAGAAAACCAGCTCTGGTAAAATGATCAGGGTCCATGGTCCGTCAAAGATCGGATCATTTGTAATGGTGGGCCAAGGAACCGTGGTGAAGAGTGCGGTGATCGGTAGTCGAGTGATGATGGAAGAGAATTGTCGGATTGGGAATATGTGTGTGGTGTCGAATATGGTGGTAATCAAGGCAGGAACTGTGGTTCCTGATAGAATGGTGATCCCTCCGTATAGTTATGTCGAAGGATCAGCAGCACTGGAGATTAAAGTGAGGGATTTGCCCCATGGGTTTAGAAAGCTCATTGAGGAAAAAGCTAGGGAATTGTATTTGGGGATTGGATGGAAAGAACAAGAAGAACAAGAAGAACAAGAAGAAGAAGAAGAAGAAAAAAAAAAAGATGAAGATGATGATGGGATGTTTACATTGAATTATTGATTTTATTATAGAGTTGATTTTGAAAGGTTATCATGCGGATTATAAAGATAAGAAGAATGCGAGCTGTTTAATATTAATTTATAGAGGGAGGGACATTGGGTTTCTTAATAGGAACGATTACACAGGATTTGGGGTAGCATAATACTTAACAAGAGTAAAAGTATGAACTACAGTGGATTTGTTTTCAATATAGGTGACAACACCAAATCCGGTGATAACACTTTTGCCTCCACTTCCTACCCAGATTTGCTGGACTCTGGTACCCCCTTGATCTATGCTTCATCTGAAGTTGCCAACGCAGCTGGTATTAAATGCAGTACTCATTCTTCCCAAGTCGGTGGTTACAGTGTAGCTTTCTGGAGCAGAATAAGGAGAAGCACCATATGGGGGTAGCAATAGTAACAATCATTCAGTCAATTAAATTATTGAAAAATAATGATTTTTCCAAACATTGAAAATTAATGAAATAGGACTCTTGCTGGCAAGAAGATCCTTGGTATTTCATTGATATATTAGGGCACCAAATACGTATTGTGTGGCTGAGAATTTTTAATTTTAATGAATATAAAAATCATGGATTTGAAATAATAAATGTCGAGCTAATTGAAGTTAATTTTACCTAAGATGATCGACCTAGAGAATTACACATGGTGGGTCACAATAAACCATCCAAGAAAAATAAATCGCCAACCACAATCCATGTACCATTGAAAAAGAAACCTTAGCCCAATATAATAGAAGATCTGTCCAGTATTAAAGAAATCTTAGTCAACTAAAATAATAAAAGATCTATATAGTATTAAACAAATGCTAGCCAAAAAAAAAACATACAGATTTATATACAACGGTGAAAAAAGATAAGCTCACAAATTCTTATTTAGTTCTCTATAATATATTACACCAAAAAAACATCAATTCTGTTTCAATTCCCTCGGCAACGCATCCCAGCACCATGGGGTATGCAACACCTGGTTTGCGGTCCATCGTTTGTCCCTTTTAATCAACGTATTCTTGATGATTTTCTTTGCCTCGCTCCAAAACCTTTTGTCGTACCGGTACTGGTAATGGTTCATGGTTGGAGAATTTGGTACCGAATCATTCATCATCATCGAATGGTCTTTAGTCAGCAGCAGCAGCAGCAGCAGTGACAACAACAGTTCAGTGGTGGGGCCACCGTTTCCTTCCATACCAGGATCCTCAGGTTCTTCGCCATTTTCCTCTTTGAAGAAATACCAATTCCATTCAATTCTTGCAATTCGGTGCGCCGTCCGTGACCTCACTCTGGGGTTCCTGATGGTTCCCGTGATGGGATTGATGGTCGGTGGAGGCGGGTCAAATGGGAGTCGTCCTTCCATTAACGCATATAGTAACACTCCAAGGGCCCAAGTATCGGTTTGTCGTCCATCATACGGCATTCCCATGAGAAGTTCCGGGGCCACGTAATCTTCTGATCCACAACGGGTTTCGAGTAGGATATTGGACGGGTCAACTTTCTTCAGTAATCCAAAGTCGGTGATCGTGATAATTGGCAGAGTCACAAGAGAGTGACGGTGGTGATTATTATGATTGTTGGCGGCCTCTGGGATGATGTGCCCTTCATTGTATTGGAGAAGTTGATCAATGGGGATATTGACAAGGACGTTCTCTAGCTTGATATCCCGATGCACCACAAATTGCGAATGAAGATAACTTATGGCGGCGACCACTTCGGCAAAGATTCTTTCTAATAAAAAAGGCCGGATTCTCGATCGACAAGTCGAGGCGAATTCAAAAAGATCTCCACCGGGGCAATAAGTGAGCATGATGGTGTTATAAGCCGGAGAGAAATCATCATCATTGCTGTCATCATCACCGGTGGCCAAACACTTGATGATTCCCAAATGGTCGCATTCCATCATGATTTCAAGTTCTCTCTGTAGACTGGATTTTAGTCTGGCGCGATTTGCTGAATCTTGAGGAGTGGTGCTTTTGGGAAACTCCGTCACTTTCACTGCCGCTAATTGAGGAAAACCTTTTCCATTATTATTATTACTATGATTATTATGATTATTATTATTATTATTATGATTATGATTATTATGATTATTATGATTATCGGTGATTAATTTTCCAAGAAATACCGTACTGAATGATCCTTTCCCCAATACTTTTAGGTTTCCCCATCGACGAGAAGTACCTTGAAGATCATGTCCGGTGAAAATCGCGTGTTGTTGGTTAGTATTGGTATCTTGAACAACAATTGTCTCATTATCATTGGTGGCAGACCCTTGTTCTCGTTTGATTGCCGAATCATTGATGGTACCAAATTTCGAATCATGGTTGAGTACCGCAGAGATCAAAGTTGAATCGCGAGGCAATGGAGTAGAAAAAAATCTTTTCTGAGGAAGTGATGTAGATGATGATGATGATGATGATGATGATGATGAAGGTATTACCGGGTCATTAGGGCGATTGTTATCGATCATCGCAATCTTTTTGGGACCGGTGATTGGAGGAGGATGGATCCGATTTTCAAATGTTGATACGATTCTCTGATGATTTGCCGGGGTTTTTGAAACTTGGATCGATGATGGGATTCCATGTTCGTTATGGTGGTGGCGACACTCCGAAGAATTGTTGAATTTTTTGGTAGAAGGTGTGTGGCCAATGGTATTTGCCTGGCGTATTGTTTGGTCTATAACATTTGCTTGGCCTATTATTGTCTGGTTGGTAATTTGATTTCTCCCGGTCTCTTTCACCATTGCAGATCCATTATCCATTGATTTAGCTTCGGTAATTTGATTTCCCTTAGGTTCTTTTGTAGCTGATGATAATGATGGCCCATGATTTCCCTCAATTTCCTTCGTAGATGACGATAGTGATGGCACATCCCCCATGGACTTAGCCTCGGCCTGAATAAACGATCGTAATCCTGATTTCTTCTGCGGTGATGATTTCGTCGAATCCTCCCCTGGGAACCCCATGGGGATCGTCGAATGATGATTCTCCAGAAGAATTCTCCTTCCAGGGCTTTCAAACGTTATTGGCGAAGGAAGCCCAGTTATCGATAACACCACCGGGGATCCCAATGATGAATTGTTCAGTCTTAACGAGTCTGATCTTTTCAACGGCGACGTCGAGGAAGAGCCACTCGATACCACTGATTTATTAGAGCCGATTGACCGGGTTCGTTGAGGAAGAGGAGCAGCAGCAGCAGGATTGAACACAGTGGGAGGTGAGAGGTGATAGTATGGAGAGTCAAGAAGTGGCGGAGAGATGGAATCCATGGTGGTGGTAGTAGCAGCGATGGTCAGAGATGATGATGATGATGATGATGATGATGATGGAGGAAGAACATGGTTGGGTATATCGAGGCTAAGGAGTAAGGTCTTGGGTTTAGAATGGGTATCGGGTACCGCATCTCTATAGGACATCGCAAAGCAATACTAAACAAATGAATAAACAGAAAGGGATCAATTAGAATGACAGAGAATGTTGTCTCAAGATTGGAAAAGGATACCAAAACACGCACGCCCAAAGATGATGATGTGATGATATCAAGAAATAATCTCTCCCAATGCCAAGGATCTTTCTATAATAGCGAGAAAAAAAAAATAAAAAAAAAAAATAAAAAAATAAAAAAAGTGAATTGGACCCTGAACGAGAAATTGGAGACTTTCTTCCCTTCTTGTTTTTATTATTCTTCTTCTGAAATTTCCTCCAGAATGGGGCAAATATATCAAAATAACAATTCAGATCCCAGATTGTCAGGAAGATCCCAATGTAGATGAGGGTCTAAATTTGTAAGTTATCTTATCTTGTATGAAACTATCGTGCCTCACCTTCTGAGAATGACTGTGGCAATCCAATAGTTTCAAAGAAATGCTTTTTGAATTGTAATTTATTTTTGTTGAATATAATATAAAGAATTGCGGGTTTTTGTGGTAAAATAATTCCGATTCAGCCCTTCCACTGAAAATTAAGGGACTTTTTTTTTTTTTTTTTTTTTTGACGATGTGCGATGAGGGAAACAATTTTTTGGTTTTGTTTTTGAATTCCTGACAATTTTATCGAAGATGGGAGAGAATTGAGTTGAATTGGTAGATACCGATAATGACAGCAGGAAAAGGGTTGCTAATAATAGCTAATACATAAATAAGAAATCTTCGTGCTTTTTAATAAAATTCGAAATAAAATGACTTGTATACACCCTCTGGTCATGCAGCCCTGGGTCGCTATCGTCATATTGCTTATTACCGTTATTATTATTACTGTGATTATTATTGTTGTTGTGGTTATTAGTTATTTAGTAGTGTCAGAATATATTATTAATGGAGTATATACAGTATCTCTTTTTGCTCCCTCCAATTTATGCCAATTTTAATGAAAACTCTACAAGATCTACACTGCTCTTGGCACCTTAGAACAACCCAGGTATGCGGTAAGTCAAAGCAAACAGTGAGGTAAAAGTCTTCTTGGAGGATTTCGTTTGGTAAGGCTCTCTTCATTTGGTTTCTCTTGTTTAGCTTTTTCAAGATTCTTTTCAATCGGGGAGCTCATAGCTAATGGAAGAATGGTTAAACTTTCATCAGTGGCATCAATATTTTTGTCTTGACCTTTGATGGTTGATGGTTGCTTTCTAATTGATGCTTTCTTCTTATTACCATTCTTCTTCTTATTCTTCTTTTTTTTCTTCTTCTTGCTAATACTTCTCTTCTTTTGCAATCCTTTCTTCAACAATGGAGAGCCTTTTTCTGAAATCGTCAACGATTTTTCAATTGTTGCCTTCCCCATAGGACTCGCAAAACTCTCGTGAAAATTGGATAAATAATTATTAGCAGAACCGGAATTTTTGCAAAGACAATGACTTTTACTACAAGAATTTCCCTCCCATCCAAGTTTGGAATCATTTTTTCTCCCACATGATTTTTCAAATTGTTCTTGTATTCCATGTAAAAGACCGGCAAGCTCATATTGATCAATGCGGACCCCATTGGAGAAGTAACTGCGGGCGATAAATACAAAAGTTGCTAAAGCTTTACCTTGACAACAACACTGCTCTATCTTCACATCAAGAAATTTCGGGATATTATAAGGTGGGTCTCTATATCTTTCAAGGCAAATATCAAGAAATCGTACATGGCTTTTTTGTGGTATCGGGATTCCACACTTATCAAACGCGAGAGCAATGGTTATACAAGCTGGTAAGGCTTTGTCTGCACGGTGTGTTCCATGGTCATTGAAAATGTAATATTCATCACCAATTATTAATTGATGTTGCTCAAGATAATTATCGACTTTTGCTTCAATATGCATATTGGATGTTTCAATGTTATTAGCAAAGGCCACAAATTCTTCCAAATTATTGAAGTTTTTAAACTGATCATTGATCAGTGCCTCATACACCGGTTCATTATCAACAATTGCATCTTCTCTTTGGGGACTATCATTACTTGAAACTAGGTTGTTTTGATTGTCGTCTTCATCATCAACATTATTAGGAATTGAAGAGCCATTAACTGCATGAAAATTCCCAATCGACGGTTTATCATCATCATCAACAACGCTTGACTTTTCTGCTTGTTCACAGAAATCCCAATTGGTGATATCAATAACTGCCCCTTGTTGGCAGAGCTCTAGGGTTCTCCATAGGACATAAATACAGGAATTGATATGCTCCAATTCCAAATGATGGCCGATTCTTCCTTGTTCACTAAGCATATTGATTGCCACTTCAGCGACAAACAATGTAAAATTCTTTTTGGTAAGAATTTTACCTTTGAAAACGTTGGCAAAGCGATCAAAGACATTGCTAATATTGAAAGATGGAGTAATGGAAGTAATGGAAGTTATGTCACTTGAAGAGTAAATTGAAGATTCAAATCGGTGACGATGCTTGGGGAAGCTGTAATAAGCAGCCTTCTGTGTCCTTGATTTTGACATATAGGAGGCAACCCGCTCACCAAAACTAAGACTGTTATCGGAATTGGCAATTGATGAAGAATTGGGTAGGTGTAATTCATGTTCCATTGGCGAATTTATTTTATCTTGATTATTAGTATTACAAGAATTAGTAATGAGGAGGGAAATTTCCGCTGGCAGGGTTGCTGATGGTATCTTTGAAGCATTCTTTTTGTGGAAATCTAATAACGAAGTGATGGTATTTAAGAACATTGGGGATGAGATGATAAATGATTTAAAATGGATATTGTTATCTGGGTGGTGGTGATATATAAATAAACATCTGTGGTAATCATCATGATTAAGCCTGCAAGAAGAAGGAAAAGAATTCGAAAAGATTAGTTGATATATATATATATATATATATACATGATGCCCTTTTTGTGTTTGTGTTCATGTTGGGGAAAACCAATGCGGCTTATACAACACCCGGACACACAACACCCGGACACAGGTTCATATCTCACCCCGGGTAACCGCTGTTCCCACGCAGAAGACGGAGGAAAAAAAAAAAAGATTTTACACACGCAAAAGGACTACTTAGCATCAGAAATCTCTAACATAAATTGACTATTTATCATACAAATATAATATAAACAGTACGTATATTACCTTTACCATTACTTTCATTATAGAAAGTAATTTATTTATTGTGAAGATTAGGACTGTTCATGCGATGTTAAAGGGAGTAGGTTCAAGGACATTAGATTATATATCTACAGATCACACAACATGACTTGATCCTGTTGATTTATGGATGGCGTATTACAGAGATAGTAAACATCACTAGGTGAATAATAATTATCTCTGATAAACTTTCTTGATTATGTCCAAAAGATGTTGATTGATTATATTGATTTAAAATGAATCATAGTTAGTTCTTGCATGATAAATCTTTCTAGCGCGTGTTGTATTATCTTTTGATATCTCAAAATACTAACAATAACTAGTGGATTTCAACACTCTTGCCAGTAAGTATTGTTGAATACTGTCTTTTTTTCTTTTTTTTGTTTCTTTTTTTTTTTTCTTTTTGGCGATGATTGATATATAATTATTGTTTAATAAGGCAATAACTGTTGCAGATAGTGATGTTTAAAAATCAATGTGATGGCTTATTAACATTTCATTTTAGCCGAATTCACCCAATTCTACTACAAACAATTTGACCAAGACAGAAGTCAATTGGGTAACTTATACGTGAGTGATGATTGAAATATTGTTGATGAAAAATTATATTTATCATTTTATTATGGAGTTTTGCTGTACTTGTCATACTAATATTTATTTAGAGAGCTGATTCCATGCTTACTTTTGAAACCTCTGAATGTCAAGGGGCCCAAAGCATCATTGAAAAGCTTGTTTCTTTGCCATTCCAACGTGTCGAACACAAGATTGCCACTTTGAACGCCCAACCAGCCAGTGCTAACGGTGATGTTATTGTGTTGGTTACCGGTCAATTGTTGTTGGACGAAGAACGTAACGCACAAAACTACTCCCAAGTGTTCCACTTGATGCCAGAAGGTAACGGGTACTACGTGTTGAACGATATCTTCAGATTGAACTATGGTATGTGATATATATATATATATATATCTGATGTAATTTGTATTGTATCCTTCTTTTGACTATTGCTAATTTAATATATTGTTGACTATTATTGTTGTTGTTATCTATCATTTGCAAGATATTATTGTGGGTGTTATATGGTAGTATGATGTACATTTACAATAGAGAGATCATCCGGGTGTGCGTGCACACTATGATGGATAGTCAGGTGACATTGCACGTGTGAAAAACAGCAAGGGTCCAAGAGATAGCATAGCCTATGTATGGTATGGAGTTGTGGTATACTGCTCTTATCGTGAGAGATACTAGTGAAGTCAAGACGTGGGATGTGTTATATGGAATGTGTTATAGGGAATGTGTTGCAACAGCGAGACATTGTATCTAAATTTACATCAATACCTTTGGTGTTATTACAAGGCATTGTCTATTGGGTCCAGTCTGCACCCATCAGCACCCCAGACTATTGGTAGTCGACGGTCATGATCTATAACATTATTAGAATAAACATATACATATATATATATATATAATAACTATAAAGCACGATAACCACTACCACAATAATAGATAACTAAGAATATAATAAATAACAATATAACAACATCCACCATATACCATATACCATATAATAACGAATAATAAATATACAACAACTCCGCAGTTCACGCAGCAACCTGCCTCGGAGTCCCCACACCTGCCAAAAGAAACACCGTCGTCATCGGCTCTCCTTTTTATTATATAACACCACCATCGCCAATCTTCTGTATCTGCAAATCAGTTACTTATATCTACAATATACATACAGCACATAATACAACACACCAATAATGAACAACCACTCCCTTCCTTTTCTACTCCCCCAACTATCCCCAGACCCCACTTATCCTTCGTCCTCCTCCATCCTGTCCCTCGCTCAATACAAAACTTCCAACCCCATCCCTCACCAACACCAACAACAACAACAACAACAACAACAGCAACACCATCATCATCAAAAACAACAATATCCTTCATTACTTCCACTTCCAATCTCTTCTTCATCCCATCACAATAATCCTTCCCTCCGATTCAGAGACCGCTCAAAGTCCTTGGGAAGTGCCCCAGCCACCACTTATTCTTCTTCTGGTATCACCACCACCATTCAACTTCCCCCAATCTCCTCGATCCTCAACTACACCCCGGGAAATAATAATTACAACTATGGTGGCCCAACCGCCCCCGCACCAAATTATCATGCTAATTCACCAATGTCAATCAGCCTGGCATCATCGATAGATACCACCGCAATAACCACTACTGAGGGGTACAACTACTACACGAACGAACCTCTTAGCCGCACCAGATCTTTCACCTCCTCTTATCCTTCCCCAGATCCTGGTAATCGTCGCCGCTCCACTACTGAAGACATCCCTATTATCGATGCCCCTTGCTCCCCTTCTTCCATCAATACCCACATCATCCATCATGGTGGCACCAGTAAAAAAAGACGTCAACGGTCTGGCCCATCGTGTGATCTGTGTCGAGTCCGCAAGGTTAAGTGTGATGCAGAAATCATTATCTTAAAAGAGTTTGACCATTGCCTGGCAAAATATCCAAAATCTACTTATCATCCTTCTCTGATTGAAGTGTTGAATGATTTCCATCCTAAAGATTACGGATTATCAAACGATCAATTACAAGCGATCTATCAAGAGTATTACCAGTCTTATAACCTGGGAAAGAACAATTCTCAATCGCCAAAGATTGTGAAAAAAGAAGTGTCAATCCATCGGTTTGTCAAGACCCCGACAAAACTTATTCGGTTTAGACCTTGCAGCGCTTGTAATCTTCGAGATGGTCAATGTCATTTCAGTAAAGGGTTTACTAGAGCCGATATTCTGAAAAGTTTTAAGAAAAGATAACATTATCTCAATATACATCATTTACAAGTGATGATCGAAAAAGGAGTACCCTTATTTAATTTCTTATGGTTATTGATCTACATGACAAGTATTTTATGATTTATTATTTACGCTTTTTTTTTTCTTTTGGGGAGTGGGGATATCCCACTTATATTAATTATTTCTTATCTTTATTACCTTTGTTTTATTAGTAGTTGTTGTTTTTTTTTGTTTTTTTTTTCCTTTATTCTAGGTTTGTGTCATTCTACGCTTATTTCATTTTACATTTTGGTTATTAAGGACTGCTGTAGTCGACGATGTTTCGTTTATTTTTGCTTCAGAGATGGTTTCCACAATCTGATTCTATTGGAAACTCCCTAATGTCGAAGAACAATCATTCTTCCATTGCTCCGTGCTGTCAACCGTTGCAATCAATGCGAATTTCTCGATACGGTAATGTGATTGATTAATTATTAATTCATCAGATTCTTTATTCTTTGATACACACAGAACATGACCCAACCTACTAATATTACCACTTATATATATATGTACACCATATATCTATCTATCTATCTTGATTTCTTAAATACCCATCTCCAATTGTAATTTGTCTCTTCATTTGATTCTCTTTTTCAAACACCAATTGAAGATCACATCGTCACCTCGCCTCTCCCGGCCGGCCACCCGACGTCGATCATCACGTTTGCCGACGCCTCATTTCACGTCTCAATGAATTTTTGCGGGGGAAAATATTTTTTTTTTTTTGGTTGTTGTTGTTGTTGTTGTTGTTTTAAAATTGACAGGCTCAATTTTGTTCCCAATTCTGATGTTAATAACAATTGCACAATCGATTGATTTCCCGCCAAGTTGGAATTCTTGATTCTCTCACGCCATAATTTGGCCTTTGTTTTTTTGTCCCCACCCACATTGTTTCACGGTGATGATGTCATTTATACGGGTATCCGACCTCACTGTACCATCATCCATCGATCAAATATACAGCCTTTCTTTGCATCTCAGTAGAAATCATAATTTACATTATTATCATAGATATGATGAAAACTTTCACTCTTCCCACATGTCCGGTCATCAAATTGTAGGTTGACAAACTCATCAGCTATCAACATTAATATCCAAGAACACTCTCACAAAAATCCATCATTCACAAGAAAAGATCCCACCAAATCTTTCAAAACTCCATAGATAGAAGCGAGAAAGATTTTCCAACCCCTGGAGCCCACTCCATCTGTCCGGAAATAAAAAGTAAATAATTAATCTCTCTAAATATGAAACAAATCACAAGCTCCAGACTTTCATATTTTAAGGATATTGGGAAGCCCAGACATGGTCACCCCACATACTGCTTCCCAGTACTAATGGCGGAAGAAGAGAATTCTCATTTAACAACTTCATAATCATGACGTCGAAGCTACCTTCTAGGTATTTATTAAGTAAACAACCCACCTTCTAATTCCAAGAGAGTCGGTAAAGTCGCCTGCGTTGATTCTGAACATGCATTGGTAGCAGTAATGTATTATTCTATTCTATGTATTTCCTTATCTACTACTACTACTACTACTACTACTACTACTACTACTACTACAATAACAAAATGCAAACTCCAAGATAGATAAAAGAAAAACCAAAATGCAAGCATTTAAAAGAATATCAATATAGAAAAAAAAAAAAACCTCAACTGGAAGGTAGGTTACGTCTGTCTGCTATAATCTATGCTATATAAAATCATATATACTATACTATATACACTAAAAAAAATGGTAAATCAAGATACTTCAGATGCACTTAAACCGTTACAAGAAGGTCATACAAAATTATTATCCTGGATCACATTATCCATAACTATTGGCCTGAATACTTACAAACCAGAATTATTAGTTAACAACAACAACAAAGAAATTCAATTGCTCCAAATAACTGTCCCCAGAAATACAAAAAAAAAAAAAAAAGAATGGAGAGGTTTTGTTTTATATGTGCTATCTGAAAGCAACCCGCACATAGAAAATATTTTATATAAAAGAAAAAAACAAAAACATTTAAATCCACTTACCACATATATTTTAGAACCAGACTCATTTTTACTTATTTTATACTATTATCTTCTACTATTGAATCTCATCAAAGATCTATTTGAATACACTTTTGCAATCTACACGCTTGTATAATTTATAACCACTTCTCAGAATGTACCCTACCCAAAAGATAGTTGCCCGAATCACATAACTCAACTCATATATCGGTAATCATGTGGGTCAGCGAATAATTGATTTACTTACTTATACTATAACAATACTCATTTATTTATCTTCCTGACCTCACCTCGCGTTAGATATAGAATGAGAAAGTCAAATAATCACCACAGCAATTAGTCTGATCCTATTTGATAAACACACAACTCCGAATGATTAAGTCAAGCCCGATATCTGTATAATAAATGCCAATACACACATTATTACTTTTTACAAGGTATATATATGGATCTGATCGTCCAAAGCAGTGAGTAATCATTGCTCTTCACGGGCTACCTAAAAGAGAGATATTTAAAAAAAACAACAACCCTGAAAATCTTCACATGTTTAATCTAAGGAATTAATAATTTTGGTTGTCGGTTCTTGAGGAGATGGAGTGAGGTCCCAGGGGCTGGATAATCTTTTAATGTCTTTTAGGCTACAAGATTTAATGGGATCTTTTCTTTAGTATAACTTATTTTTATAGCTATCCTAATACCGTTTCAACAATGATTGCTTACTTGATACAAAGATAATTATATATTATAAGATTCATAAGTGTATTTAATTTCTATTGGACTTTTCTTTTCCAATCCCCCTTGTATTGTAGAACAAGGAAGACTAAATCATGTATGTTGTTTGTTTTTTTTACCTAAAACAATAGCGTGAGGCTTAAACTAACTAACTTGAGCAGTTATGACAATATAGAGCTAAAAAAATATAGAAATACCCAATAGATGGCTCAAAAACCTCATCAGTATCTACCGAGTTGTAGTGTAGAAGCTGATGATTTTGTAGCTTGACATTGGGAAGGACATACTGGTGTAAGGATTAAATCACTGGTGTATTGGTGTTATGTGGAGGTTACGGTCCCCCCCAGCACAAAGGTTGTTCAACATGTTCTTGGAAACAATAGTGGAAGAAGAAGGGAAACAAAGTGGTTCAAAGAAGGTTGATTCAATGGATGATGCCCTTGATATTATTTTATTTTCACCTTTATTTCTCGGAGTTAAAAATGGTGAAAGGAATCAATGAAATTTACAATGATCCCATTTGTTTTTTTGTGATCATAAACTTCAACTATAATTTGATAATCTTGGACTACTGATGATGCACAAATTCCACTACAGATACGTATAGAAACACTATATCTTGTTTGACCATAAACCCAATACTAACTCTTATAGCTCCAGCTATAGTTGCTGATGATATCTGAGTTGGGCCAAAATTAAGTATAAAGCCTTTTACCTGATTGCAAAGTGAATAATATTTACTTTGCAAGATTTACTAAATATCATACTACCTTTTATAGTTCCCATACTGGTTGCTGCTCGAAAGGGATCAGAACAAAGCTAAGTGGAATGACCTCGTTTTTCTAGTTTCTTTTTTCTCGTCTCTCTGGAAAACATAATACTGACACTACATAGTTCCTAGGCTGGTTGAATGGAGATGATGAGTTCGCACCAGATCTAAGTGTATGAACTTCATACACTATTTTGTTTTAACCAAAAATCTAATACTAACAATCTATAGCTCCATATGCCGGTTACTTGTGATTCCCAATTCAGACCAAAGCTAAGGATGAAGCCTATTTCTCTGAATGTAAAGTGAATCTCATACTAGCATCTATAGTTCTCATGATTGTCGCTGGTAGTATAGAAATGGATCAGAGCTGAGTAGAATGACCCTAGTTTTTATTTCTCCCCTCTCATTTCTCTGGAAAAAATAGTGCTGCCAATTAATAGGCCGAAGTCTGATTGATGCTTATGCTCAAATCATACCAACGCTAATTGCAATTTTGATGATATCAGGCAGGGGAGTTTGTTTTCATGTTCAGGAAACATAAAAACACTGGATGAAAATATCAACCTTTATGTTTTGCAAGCTAGATTGTGGAGACGATAGATTCTACAATTAATGGAAAACACAACAAAAAAAAAACAAATATCTCTAGTATAATTGTATTTGATAACAGAACAAATCTTTCTTCGGTAAAAATAAGATAAATCAGTTGACATAAAAAAAAAAAAAAAATTGAAAAAAATAAGAGGCCACACAACAAGTTGGATTGGTGTAACATGCAATAGAATAATAATATTATTCAAAAAAAAAAAGTCAACATCAGGTTGGATTGTGTTGATATAATACAATAATTGTGATGGAAGCACAAAAAAAAACAAGGAAGATAGAGGAAGGAGGAGAGAAAAGGAAAACCAAACATTAAGTAGTAAGCCAAGTTGGATTGGCAAGGAAAACAATTTATAACTAGGAAATGAAAAAAACACAATAATTAGAGCCGAGGTTGGACTGGCAATGCAAAAAAAGAGATAGAGAGAGAGAAAGAAAGAAAAAATTAGTGCTAATATAATGTCATCAAGTTGGATTGGGTCATTAAGTGGAATAAAAAAAAAAAAAAAATGTAAATGGTATAAGCAAAAAAGTCAAGTTGGATTGAAAGTGAAAAAAATAATAAACATCAAATCAAGTTGGATTGACCGATGGAAGAAAACACGAAGTGAACAAGTTGGATTGTCATTAAAAGTAATAAGTCATAAAAACATTATGAGGATGGAAAAGTTTCTTTTTTTTATTTTCTTTTATTTTCTTTTTCCTTCATAATTTTGGTCTAAGGAAACTAGTTCCCACTGGCTTGACCCCGGCTTTGATCAAAGCACTTCTCAAATCATTGATCAAGTCTTCAGCACCTTCGATACCAACACAAACTCTAATCAAGTCTTCAGGTAACGCTCTTTCGGCCCTGGTCTTTGCGTCGATGGAGGCGTGAGACATTTTGCAAGGCATGGAGATCAAAGAATTGACACAGCCAAAGGACACAGTGACGCTGAAAATATCAATGTTTTGGATCACCCGCTCACTGAGGGGGATCGAACCGGTTTCAAAGGACAACACCGCACCAAACCCACGATTATAACTCTGGTGAAGCTTGAATTGTGGGTGGGATTTCAAACCTGGGTAGTACACCTTAAGCCCGAATTCTCCTTCGAGGAACTCGGCAATCTTCATGGCGTTTTGTTGTTGGCGCTCAAGACGGATGGAAAGTGTCTTCAAACCACGCAACAACAACCAGCAATCGAATGGTGCCAACCCGGCCCCAGTGGCATTGATGGCAAAGTAAATATCATCGGCCAACTTTGGGTTCTTGGTGGCGATCACACCGGCCATGATGTCATGATGACCATTCAAGTACTTGGTGGCCGACTCGTATTGAATATCAACCCCGAGTTCCATTGGAGAACAGAGTAATGGAGTCATCATGGTGTTGTCAAAGACAATCAAACACTCAGGAAAATTCTGCTTGATGTAACGACACACTTCTGGCAAATCAACCACTTTGATCAACGGGTTGGTAGGGCTTTCCAAAAAAATCATTTTGGTGTTCTTAGAAACAGTGGCCTTGATCATGTCGGCATCACTGGTATCAATATGTTGTAATTTCACTGACCCTTTTTTGTTAAGGAAGGTCAATAAACGATGGGTGCCACCGTACAAGTCATCGCCGGCGATAACTTCATCCCCTGGGCCGAGCAACCTTGTGATTATGTCAAGACAGGTCATACCGCTGCCAACAACATATGCCTTATGGGCGTTCATCACTTTGGCCAAGTGGTTTTCAAGGAAGGTTCTGGTGGGATTACCTGACCTGGTGTAATCATAGGCATTTTCCCCAACGATATCTTGCTTGAAAGTGGTGGTCTGGTATAATGGGGCGTTACTGGCTTTGTAGCCATCGTTGTGGTCTACTAGTAATAAGTTTGTGTCGATAGAGAACTTGCCCATGGTGGAATAGTCTAAGTCTATGAGATGGTGTATGACTGAAATATTATAAGAAAAAACCCAGAGAGAAAGAGAGAAAAAAAAAAAAAAAGGAACAGAGGCATGTTATATAAAAATAAGCACTCCTGAAAAAACCCATCAGAAAAGAAATGAGTCAAAATGATAACATCACGTGGAAAGGCATGAACTCTTTCCTGTCTTTCACTGCATGCACACTGCTGATGAGTGCATTGATATGCAGTAACAACGTCGTACGTTGTAAAAGTGTGGGCGCTAAGCATTGGCTTGTAAGGAATTTTACAACACATTTGTCAAATCATGGAAATCTCATTGCAGTTTATCATACGAGATCATCATAGATAAAGAAAAAGAAAAAAGATGAACAAGTAAACTCCAATAGCCACCCGCGTAAGCCAAAGGAATTTATCCCATCATCAACCACTGTCAAAAAGTAATTGGAGTAGAATAATCAAGCCGTTGCTCAAGATAACACGGACAGAGCATGATCAACTAAACCAACAACCAGCACTGAATGAGTATCAACAATTAATCGCGTCCACGAAATGGCGCCAAAATTCTTGAAAATACATCAACCATAGCAACAACATCACGAAAGCTATTACACTACCCTGAGATTGAGTATGACCAACACCGCCAAAAAAACCACCACCCATAAACAGCAACAACCTATTGCACCTACAAAGTGCTTAAAACAACAGCACACTTCAACCACCACTACTACTACTACCACCACCACCATCACCACATCGAGCATAGCACACTGGAAGGCACGTCCCATTAAAATTGAGCTCCCCAACTTGCTGAAACAACCACGGGCTACACAAGACCTGAGATGTCACACATCCCACCAGGATGACCTGTGTTGTTCGGTTGTAAATCCACAACAGCGTACCATACTATACTAGGGAAAATCCTAGAAACAAAAAGATAATTGAGGAAAAGAAGAAATAGAGTGCGGGTGGCAATGATGGAAATGCCTTGAAAGCGCTTAAATACTATTCTTCTCAAGTTGCTGCCCGATTATTCCAACATGGCAATTTTAAAATATCCCGTCCTTTCCCCCAGTATCCAAATGGAGTAAGTATATATATATATATATATGTGATCTTTTGTAAAAGCTGTTGAGTTGGTGATTAATTGAAAAAAAGGTCTTCCGCTTGACACATAAATTATGGGAGTCCATTGCTACCAGTTTTTGCTAATAAAGTGACAATAGGGTGAAGGCAAATCATGGAATTCGATATAATATGTAACGATCGTCTTCCATTTCGAAAACCAAACTGATAATTCAATTGATTATCAAATACTTGTGAAGAAGTTAACACAACAAGCTTCTCTTCCAGTAAAACACGATTACAACATGATAAACTATTGTAAAATAAAACCTGTATAAAACATAAAACCTGTATAAAACATAAAACCTGTATCAACCAAAACATTGTCTTTTTACTTTCATATATGCATTCCTAAATTCATTGAGAACTTCCTTTAAACGTCTTTAAAAACTCCAACACATGAGGGAACACCAATTGTTCAACCCCATCGCCCCAAATGATTTCTAGATGCTCGTACCCTTCCACTCCAAACGCCTTGATGTTTTCACTGGCTGGCAATTGTTCCAACATCACTTCAATATCCACCAACGAATCGGCTTTCCCGTACACCAACCATATCGGCACCTCGATGTTACGGGTAGGGTATGTCGGGACCACATAGTCATTATGCCTCTTAGTGGCGGCGGATCTTCGTGGTTTGATGTTCCAGCCAATGGCGTCGTCGTACATTTGAAATGATCGATTGCGAATGATTTGAAACCAATGAACCACGGTCTTCACGCTGGTAGATGAGTATAAATGGGAATACGATAGCACTTTTTGATCAAAGTTGATATTATTGCCGTACCAATTGAAGAGCAAAATGTTACAGTAGTCAATCACTTTGATGAACAATGGTGGGTAGATTACCAGGCTCCAAAAAGTTGCCGAGGACAATAACACTCGACGGCCAAAGAATAGAAACATGAGAATCGGACTAGCCTTCATGAGTGTGTCGACTACCGGATGGTGTAATCCTTTTGGGGTCATTGCTGGTGATAGGGCAACCATCCCATTGATTTTCGAGTTCAATTCCCGATGGATACTAAGTGAGGCAAACCCTTGGGCAGTGCCTTGGGAAAACCCAATGTACGTCAAGTCGGGTTGATCGGTACAGTCAAGGATGTAATCGATGGCGGTGGGGATATCATGGATGGCAAACTCATCGATCAGGAAATCCCAAAACTTGGTTTCTTTGGGTTTTAACCACATGTGTTTTTTCGAGTACTTGTTGCCACGATTATTCCCCAACCATACGTCGTATCCTAATTGATACAACACAAATGGCAAATTATGGTCGCTGTTGATCATCGTTACCCAAATCTCGCTATTCATGAGTAATCCGTGGTGCAAATACACTACTGGTCGAGAACCAAACTCTCTATCATCGTCACCAACGATCCGATGAAGCGTCAATATATACCCATCTTTGGTCTTTACGGTATGATTTTGGGCGTCGTATCCGTGCAATAGGCATAGCGATTGGAAATCTTGGGCATTCTTCACCTGGTTTAAAAACTCCACGTCTGAATGATGGACCCCGGTGAAAGATTTTAAGTTATAAAAGCTTTGCACTGGGTTTTGAGAATAAACAATAGCAAACACATGGTCGCATAACCTGAGAACTTTCTGAGGAAGAAGGGCGGTGATGAAGGTGATGAGGGTTTCAATGTATATGAGAACTAGCGATGCAAGTAGCATGGGCCATTCTGATCTATCTACCCGGTGAAATAGGGGAATATACATGGTATTTTTTTTTGTTATTATTAAAGATGTGTGTGTCTTCATTCATTACAGGGGAATGTTATTCTGTTAAATATTTTGTGTGTGCCAGTTTTCTCGAGATGAGGTACCAAATGCAGGGGTCTATCCATCTATCTATCTCATACAGTCACAACATTTCAACATGAAGGAAAAATCACAACTGAAGATCAAATGTTAAATTAATAGTTTCCTTCTGAAAAAAATTGATCATTGCACCTATGCTTTTTGCGGGATTACAAATTTATTTGTTTGCTCAATTACGTTGCTCACCGTTTATCTTTATCTTATGTAATAGTTTCCCCTTGGAGCCCATATTTCTTTTTTGGTTTTAATAGTTTCCCCTTGGAACCCATATTTCTTTTTTGGTTTTAATAGTTTCCTTGAAGAGATGGGTAAAAAAATGAGGGGAGATCTATCGATTATCAACTATATATATCTAAGAAATTCTTCTTCTTCTTCTTCTTCTTCTTCTTCTTCTTCTTCTTCTTCTTCTTCTTCTTCTTCTCTTCGTTGCCACACAAGTTTCCATAAAATCAAATCACCATTATTGAACATCGACACTAACTAAACTACAATCAATTCAGAATGCCACACACTAACAAAGGAGGTTACAGTAACTCAAAGTACGACGCCTACGCTGCCGCCAACTCCAGAAACAATGGAGTTTATCCAAGTTCTGGTCATGTCCAGGAAGTGGTCAAGGGATACTCCAATGCTGACATGAAGGGGTTCAATGACAGAGGTGAAGCTAGAGGGTATGTGAACAGTGGGGGATCTAGCGGTAATCAAAAGTGAAAAGATTTTCCCTGAGTGATGTAGGGATCGAGGGGCTCTGCTCTTTCCCTTGGAGATCTTTTATTGATGGTTTTATTTGTATAGTTGTTTACTACTTGTTAATATACTGGCCAGTATGATGAGTAACGAGAGTTTATGTAAATGAATTGGTGATATCTATATACATTGGGAGGTCCTACAGCAACCGAGGTTGGGAGGAGGTGGGGGAGCTCGAAGCTGAAGTAATGAGTTCCGGGTATTTATTTGATATAATAATGAAATTCCCACCGAAATAAATCGAACCAGTGGTGACAATGTATGTCCCTCGGTTTTATGTTGATGGCTCGTCATTTTCTGTTGATCTGTACATTGCTGTGACAAATTTTGGGCAAATTGCTGCTCTTCGACATGACAGCTTTTTCTATATCTTTACTAGCGTTGCCGTTCTGGATCGCATTAGGAAATCAAGATTAAAAAAATCCCCATATGTTCTCCATAAACAGTGATGCAGATATAGATGTAAAGATATAAAAAGAACAAATATTGTACACACTTCCTTGCCTAGGTACCCCATATAACCCCAGCAATGGCAAAATAGCAACGTGGGATAACCCTAACCCTGAAATTACATCAACCCTAGAAAGAAGCAAAACTGAAGCATTAATAGTAAGGATTGTAGGAATATGCAAATTAAAATTACAGAGGTTACTATTCGAAAGTATAGGAAATGTAATAATGTGTATCAGATCTATGAAAATTAAAAACAAGGAGAATTGAAATAAAATAATAAAACAAACAGGGGAAATAGAATCATGAATATATAAATGATATTATATATTTCTAAAGAGAGAAAAAAAAAAACAACAAGAAAAAAAAAAAAAAGCAACACCATCCAATCATTATCATCGTCATCATCATTTATGCATTCATTCATTCATTCACTCATCAGATAAAAGCCATGCATGCACATATAGTATAAAATTTGTATTTTCATAATAATAGTTTCAAAAAAAAAACAAAAAAAAAAACAAAGAAAAGTTGAGAGAACATTTTTCATAGGATACCTTGAATTAAGCTGTCGACAAATTCAGACTTTATCTGTATTGAATCATTCCCTTGCTTGTTATCATTATTTTTCTTATTATTGGCAGTATCAGCGGCATTAGCAGCAGCTTCATCGACTGGATCACTACTACCTTCTTCTTCTTTTTGCTCCTTCTTTTCACGTTCTTGCATCACAAGTTTCAATTTCTCTTGTTCTTCAAGACTCATTTCTCCCAAAACCCCATTGACCAGCTGCATCACTTGATCCATTTCATCAGGGGTTTTGGCGTCGGCGGCGCCGATAGTCATCATCTGTGATTGTAAGTATTGGTTTTGACGTGAAAGAACGGTGGTTTCTGATTGTAAGTGAAGAATGTAATGGATGGCTTTTTCCAAAATCATTGACTTGTTGAGCTTAGGAGGTTCCACTGGTTCATTATCAGAAGAAGTGGTGCCCGGAGATCCATTGGCAATGTTGGCACCGGTACCATCGACAACTCCTCCAATGTTGAACGCGGTTTTTTCCCCCATCACCCAAGGGATGATCTGTTGGAGATTGGCGATCTTGGTGTTGATGTTGATTCTATAACGCTTTTCAATTTTATTATGGGCTTGTTTTTGATGAGGGGTGAGTCTTTTGCGAGGGGCCCTTTTCTTCTTTGGTTTAGCGGCGGTGGATTTGGCAGGTTTGGTCACCTCCGCTTCCTGTGCGGTGGTCACAGCTCCCCCTGTCACTACCAGCGCGGAGGCGGAAGAAGTAACCACGGACGCCGACACCGATGACAGTCTCGAGGATGACAAAGAGTCACAGGCTTTTTGCCGGTTGTCCCCAAAGTCGAAAGTGACCTTATGGTTGTTAGGACTGGTGGTATTGGTGGTATTGGTGGTGTTTGATTGTGGTTTATTATTGGCCAGGTCTTGCTGGGATAATGCTGACAAATTTAGCAAGCCGAAATTAGGAGATGAATAAGATTTTAAGGCGGCATTGGCAAACAACTTGTTGTCATTGCTATTGTTGGTATCCATTAATGATTGTAAGTTTGTAGTCGAGGTAGGGTTGGAAACAAAAGATGCAACATTGGCAGGGGCATTAGAGATTGAAGAATCAAGGTTGAAATTCATCAAGTCGCCAATGCTGTTGCTCATGGATGAAGAGTCATTCATCATGACTTGCAGACCATGGATAGGGGAATTGGTCAACGAATTGTTCAAGCTGTTAGGATAAGTGTTGGTGTTGGTATTGGTGTTGGAAGTTGTGGTGGTGGTGGTGGCATCGGACATCGAAAAGCTAGGAGATGAGTGGGTGTTGTTGTTATTTTGCATGTAGTCCAGGATATCGGTGTTGATCATGTAGTTATTTTGGCCGTTGCTGTTGTTAGGGAATTTCCTGTCAATCAAGTCGTTCAACCATTCATCGTCTTCGGACATCTGGTCGTTGATTGCTGTTGGGAACTTGCTGTTACCGTTGGACAAAGGCCAAATGTTGAGGTCTTCCTTGAACGAGGTCATCACTGTAAATAAGATCTATTGTATTGTGTTGTGTTGTGTTGTTGTATAGGTAGGTACAAGGCTAAGTGTGTATAGCATATAATATATAAATATCAGTGACAGTATGGTATGTGTGATAAAAAAATAGAGAGAGAAAGAGAAAAAAAAAAAAAAGGTTAATAAATTAACCACATACGCAGAGATTACGATTATATATATAACCTTTTTTTTTTCTCTACTTTTTTTTTTTTTTCATTTCTGTATGTGTATAAAGAGCATTCTTGCTGTCTTGCTGACAACGTGCATATTATCATGTTTCTGCCCTCGGTTCCCCTCGAGGCGCCCCCCGGCCACCGGAGTTTTTTCTTGTTTTTTTCTTGTTTTTTTTTTTCAGTTTGTTTGTCGGTGGGAGTCGGGTCACACACTGCAACGACGGGTGCCGATTAGAGTTAATTAAGTCTAAAACAGATCTATCTGTTCACCACTCCCAATTGTTGTTCTACTCTGTCTTGTCTCTGCTCGGGTCGTCTGGGAAAGTTTCCCACAGGAGAGAGAGAGGGGGTAGGAGATACTCTGCCAATTACAGGGAAAATGCACGTTTTTTTTTTTTTTTTTTTCCTTCTCTCGTCTTTTCTTTTGTAGTTGCCCCTCTATTATATTATGTGTTATTATTAATGTTGGGAGAGGCGGTCCAAGATATTGATAAGTAGTATGAGATGCAGTACCCCCTGTGGGTGATTGGCTGTGTTCTTCGCCCCTTCCCCTCCTCACGTTGTATTTGATGGAGGTTGGTGGTTCTTCTCCTCTTTTTTTTTTTTTTTTTTCCCAAACGATGATGTAGTGAGCGAGTGTCGGTGGACTTCCCCCTCTCTCTCTCTGTCTCTCTCTCTCTCTCTCTCTTTTCTGCTTCTCCGACACCCACGCAATTTGCCAACAAAAAAACAAATGACAAAAAAACAAAGCCAAGAACATCGCTAAGCTGGAATAAATTGACCGAAATTGGAAAACACCAATACTGCCATCTACAATGATTGTCGTTCTATTATTCATATAATAACTGTTTTACATATATTCAGATCCTTAGATATTATTCACATAGCCTGTGATTGATCCATGGGTTTGGAACTGGCGTGAGGCAAAAAGAGGGGGTGCCATTCACTTAAAGAGAAACTCCGATCGGTGAATGAATGATGAAGTCAGAGAGCGGAGGAGGTGGGGCTGCTTTGAGGAATCCCTATTGTGTTTCCAGCTATGACCTCAACGAACGGATGAAAAAGAAAAAGAAAAAGAAAAAGAAAGAACGGTATGCGTTTCTTTTGATTATTCGCTATTGTAGTTTTTCCGTAACGTTACATCTTGTAGGAAATATACAACGTTCACGTTCCCCCCTCCCCTCTCTCCAATTCGATTGATCCATTAAAAAACATAACATAACAAACACCACAGACCTGTATGAAATGCCCATACCCATAGAATAAACAAAACCGTGACATGTGGATCAAAGCTGAAAAAAAAAAATGCTAGTTATTGTAATCGCCAAGCTCTCATAATAATAGCTAGGCCCATGGATCATCCTGGATTATTTTTATTTTTATTTTTTTTTGTTGGCTTGTTTCCCCTCCCGCCAACTCCGCATCCACATTGCCAACTTTCGGAAAAACCTCTTCTGGCCTGGAAAATTCCAGTTAGTAATCAGAGTTTCGGATCATTCCTTTTTTTTTTTTTTCTTTCTTTTTTCCATGTGATGTAATCTCTTCGTAATGAATATCATCGTGTTACTGTTTAATCAATAAGGTGTATCGACTAGCTATTCATACTGTCATCATCTAATAATTATTAGACACCGTTTAATATAAGACCATGGTCATTCTCCAAGGTCCATAATAGTACTCTGATCATTATACAAAAAAAAAAAAGTCCTAGACGAGTTCATCATAGTCTTTCTTATATTGCATACAGAACAAGTAGAAGAGACAAAAAAACGCAGCGTCTGTTTATTAGTTTACATTATCTCATACGTTAATACCGTATAAGCTTACTTTTAATCAATCAATCGCTACTCTCAATGCTACTGAGGCATTGCAAGAATTACAGGTATTGAAATTCCTCCTCCTCCTCCACCTCCTCCCTGCTCAACCCAACATGAACATCCCCAACAATACAAATATAGTCTTTCTTTTCAAGGAAATAATAACTCTTTGCAAGTACAACTCACTACAAAAGCATAAGAATACAGGAAAGAAAGCTTATCACTTAACAGGCAACCCCGGGTGGTGGGTGCTAATATAAGTCCCGGCAGTACTAATTTGATTTCGTGGATTAATTATGTTACACCCGTTGGAGAAGCCTGGGGGTGTTGCTTATACACCCAATTGCAAACCTACTACACATAGATAGATGATAACATAAGGAAAAGACGAGACTCGGGTTTTACTTTTCATGGGTGGATGTACTTGTGATAATCTTTCACTGCGATAAAAAAAAAAGCATTACTGGTGATACATGACATCCTTTGGATAGCCCCCCGCGAGAAGGCTTACAGAAACTATGCTTAGTGAGAAGGTTTTTTTTACCGAAACTATATGGATGGTGTTTGGAACAATTGTAATTAATCATCATCAGCTTTGATAGATATATCCATCTATCCATCCATCCATCCCAAGAAAGAAAGATACTTCCTGGCTTTGCGTTTGAGCAAAACCGCATGATCAAAATATACTTTGCATGTATGTTGAGGAAGTGAAGTCAAAGAGAAATAAATACGCACCCCAATAAAATAAAATTAACACACCCACCACGGAAGATCATCAACCCTCGGGTTTGAGTTAATCTGAATCGATTCAATCTTGACCGGAACTGAAATTGTCTTCCAAGAAGTTTCAGACACAGCCTAAAGCCCAGTTGGTGTCGGAAATTTGTGTCAAAGTGGAACAAAACAAAGTTTATAAATAAATCATATCATCGTGGTTGATTAGTTGCATATTGCACACCACCGTGTTCCCTCCACCAAAAGCATAAAAAAAAAAAGAGAGAGAAAAGAAAAAAAAAAAAAAAAAAACTGGGTCTGGAAATTCCACCCGCCTGGCTGATACAAAATTTCAATGAGTGTTCAGATAATCAATCCTTAGAACGTAATCGTGGTTCTAGTTTCTTCCAGATATCCCTGCTTATTGCACCGCTAAACCACTGTTTCGTTAAGCCACATCCTGGTGTAACACTCAATTAGCCCACCCATTTTTTTTTTTATTTATTTATTTATTTATTTTACTTTTTCCCTAATTGCATTATCGCTCGTAAAAGGGACATTCGCCCGATAAAGCAACATCGTGTCATTTCATTACACTGTGCACCTTTTGGCTATGGCAGTTTGGACTTTTTACCAAAACTAACAAATAAACAAAAAAATAATGCATCCCAAAAAAAAAAAAAAAACATGACAGAATGATAGTTTGTTTGTTTGTTTTTGCTTTTTATTTCTTTTTCACTCGGGGGTGTATAGTTCAACCCAAGTGGAAAAAAAAAAAATAACTTTAAAATTTTTATGCTACTAAAAACTTGGGGTATAGAAACCGGTATCTAGAAATCGAAAGAAAAAGACCATCTCCCCTCGGTGATACAGACGGCTCTATCCAACTAATAATTTCAAGGTTTGTGATCGGGTGGACTAATAGCTCCCTGAAGGGACGATAACAGAATGATTTCTCGGTATGCTTGCGTCGTCGGATCAACTAGTGTGACCTCTCGGATTAATTTTTTGATCTGCAATGCGGCTACAGTGCCAATCCCATGGATATATCGTCCCACCTTTTGAAACAACGTATGGTAAGATCGGAAGTGGTGTCTTTAATGGTGGGTGGGCTGAAAAATAAAAGTATTCTTTAAAGATACGTTTGGTCGAGGAAAATAATTATAATTAAAATCACGCTTCATGGATAGTTGAGATCATGGACAAAGTTCCCATACTATGCAGAATTAAGCGGCGCTCCTAAAATGTTTTGTAGCAGCAAACTGGAAAAAAAAAGCAATGTCGCAGAAACTTACCAGAATATATGCTAAAGATCATTGAGTGGATAAATAGAATGACATAATTTTTTTTTTTGATTACATGGATTCTTTACAGTGTTATTATTAACAAAAATAATAATAATAATATGAACATTAAATTGAAATAGTAAAAGATGAAAAACGAAGTTAAAGCATGAAGAGTGTCAAGAATTGAAAAGAAGCCAGTAAGTGCCAGAAAGAAATGAAAGTGTGATACCACAAAAAAAAAAAGATTAAAGAAATTAAAAAGGTCTCAGAGGTATAGTAAATCAATTACTTCACTTCTTACAAAGAGACAATTTCGGAAGCACCGGACCCGTAGCTGGCTTGAGCAATTTGAATTTGAGAGTCAGTAATATCGTAAACAACATAAGCGGATCTCAAGAAACCATCACCGAGAATGTAGTAGTTGGAACCAGAGTCCAAGACACCGACCAAACATTCATCGGAAGCACCTTTAGCTTGACCGTTTAAGTTGTACAACAAGTCACTGAATGGAACGGTGATGGTCTTGTCTTCGAAAGTGAAGGTGAAGTCTTCACCCTTGGTAGAACAAGAAGTAGTATAACCACCGACTTGGGAAGAGTAAGTACCGTATTTAGTACCAACTGCCTTGGCAACGTCAGATGGGGCGTAGATCAAAGTGGTACCAGAGTCCAACAAAGCTGGGTATGAAGTGGAAGCAAAAGTGTTATCGCCAGATTTGACCCCGTCTAAGTTGACGAAGAACGCCACGGCTTCCGAACTAGCAGAGCCAGAGTCATCGATGTTGACAATTGATAAAGTTTTCAAATCACCAGAGTATTTAGATTTGTCAACCGCGCCGAACAAAATCGAGCCGGAAGTGGCTTCCAAGTTATTCAAGTACAAAGAGTAAGCGGCTTTAGAAATGATCCCTTGGTTGGCCATTTGCAATGGCAAGTTGTCATAAGTGAAAGCACCGGTATAAGATTGGGCAGAAGCTTCATTACCTTTCATACCGACCCCCAAAATTGATTGACCAACGTTTTGAGTAGTGGCATCGCCGAATTCCAAACCAGTGATTTTAGCCCCACCGATAGTAACGGTTTCTTTGGCCCAGTCACCAGAGGCGGAAGACCCATCACCGTAACCAATTTGGAAGCCAGATTTGTCCTTTTTGTAAGTGGAAGACTTGGAGTTATCGTAAGTACCATAGTTGGATTTGGTACCGGCACCTGGGACCCACAAATCAGAAGAACCAGTGTCGACATCGACCTTGATTTTTTGGCCAGGGGTACCGATTTCGATTTCCGCCAAGTACAAAGAGTATTCGTTGTCTAATTCCAAATTAATCCCGGCAGATGAAGCGGCTCTAATGGCTCTTCTACCTTTGAATTGTGATTGAGTTTCGTTGGAAGCACCGTATCTGATAACGTTGAAGTTAAGTTGTGGTGGGGTAGTGGTGCTTCTTTCAACAACTGGGGCAGCAGTGGCAAAGGAAGCCAAAGAAGCAGCAACAGATAATAAAACGGAGGCAGATAATTGCATATTGTGAATTGAAGTGGAAAAGAATTGAAAAATAAAGAAAAGAGTTGAATTGAATTGAATTAATGATTTTGAAATAATAATAAAAAGATACATCCGAAATTATCCAAACATGAGCAGGGTCTCATCGGTATTTATATACGATAAAAAAAAAAACTAGTTCAATGGTATATCTTCTCATTTCTTGTCCGTGATTGAAGGACACTGAATGTCTAATTTTAGTTGTGTGTCAAGAAATTTTATGAGGCAGCAATACAACACACATTCCGTGCTATGCATGTTCAAAAATGCCTTTGATGGGGGAGGTTAACACAATTTTGCCAGGCTAAAACTCCGCCAGGAACTTCCATTATCCATTTTTTGAGGCCGTGTATTATATAATTTTTGCCAATGATCCTTAGGAACACTAAATGGAACTGCGGTAATTTGTTTTGTTTTGCATTGAGGTGTTATGTTTCTTTTTTTTTTTTTTTTTTTTGCAAGACCGTATCGTACTTAACGATGGGAAATCCTTCCTCCACAATAACAACTAGCAGATACCAATTTGTCTCCACAATGGCACAATCGAGTGATGATATATTTTTCTGACACCCCAACAATAAAACAAACGGCGTACAGAGGGCTGGAAATATTATTGTCTGTATTACAATCAATAGCCACCAGTATATTGCAACGGCAATCATTTTTCTTGGACTCAAGTCATTATTGTTTTGCTCATCATGGTATCTAGAATGCACAAATGGTAATTACCAATAAATAGCTCTACTAGATGATTCAGTACTATTTTTATTCTTTCTGAGCCACTCATATTGGAAGGCTTTGTCATTAATTGTACAGGGGTGTAAAATCAATCAACGTCATCTTCAAGGACTGATAGTAAGTACTAGTGATTCTGCTGAAAATCTTTGAGAAATTATGATATGAGAAATTCACACACAAAATATCTCAGGGTCCTTGAAATATTTCATTAATAATGACTCTATTTTTTTTTTCATAAACTGACCATCTCTTTCCATTTTCACAATATAATCATCCCCCAAAAATTCTTACCAACCGCCTTGAAGAGAAAACATCTCTGATTTTCAATTTAAATACTAAAGAAGTCTAATATCTTCATAATATTCCATAGTATTTCCACTTTCTTTCCACTTCTGTCTGTCCTTTTATATTTAAATTACGATATAAATCATCCAGATCAACGCGGGATTATCAGACACTAACTAACTACAAGGGGGGTCGTAACTGACTACTCGATCCATCCACATTCACTCAATTACCAAGATGTGATATATATAAACATATTTTACTCAAAATAACATTTTTTTTTCTATTTCTATTTCACAAACAACTTTTCAGATCTCAAATATTCATTCACACTTCAAAATGTGCCCAAACTCTCTCCATTGCGCAGCGTTTGCATTTATCTAGCCATCGCTAGATATATCTTATCTATAGATAGATAGATCTCTGTTGAATCCTCCTCATCAAAGGGGGGTTCCACACCTCAACGCCTCTTTTTTGACCTGGCTAAAAAAATACATCAGTGTCCTTTTCCTATCCTCCCATCCCCACTGATCGGGGTGTCTGTCTAAAAGCGTCTTATTCTGGTAATAACAAAGTAGCTGGCAACTATGCTATATAGAGTAATAAATTGATCAGTGAGGGTGTGCAACACCATCTGACCGCATATACCCAAACACATTTATTTACTCATTCAATTGAAATTCATGGGGGCAACAGAAAAGTTTACACGGTTTATGTTTCCTGAATATGGTAATAATTGTTGTCAGAAAGGGGGGTCTCGCTCAAAAATTCAACCTACGTTACTACTCTGTAGTTATCTGATCTGGATTTTTGAGATACGGAATTAATTGACAAGTCTTTTTTTTTTTGGAGGATGATTGCTGATGCTAACAAATTTTAAAATGAACTTCAAGGAGAGCCAATTCGGCAAACAAGAAGATAGATGCAATGGAGATAATAATTTGTTATCAGATTTAAATAAATTACTCAAATACATTCCTAAATTGACGTCTCTGAGTATGTAGTCTCGTAGTTTTAAAAAAAATCCCTTCCTTAAGACAATAATAAACTTCAATAAAATATTATCATTTAGACACCTAGTTTGTCTAGGTCGGCCAAATAATGTAATCCCTCAGGGCCAAAAAACTGAATTAAATTCGAGGCTCACTTGAAGAGAGCTATATTTGGTATAAAAAGTGTGTAATGCAAAAATAATAACTACTGATAAGCTTCAATATCCCCAAAAATTATTGGGCACTGGCATTAAAAGAATGTGTGTATTATAAATCGTTCGTTCATTCGATATCGCATCATAAGTTTGGGTGAAATAGCCTATTTAACTCACTTTTTTCTCTAAATTGTTTCAAAATAATAGCTCCATCAATCCAGTTGGATCATGCACGATCTAATCTGGAGATAGCAATATCATATCATTGACAGTATAATTGGTTGATTACGGATCTTCCGATGAGATTTGTCAGTATATACCTCCCAGCCGTTGATAACCGCATGACAGAAGACTTTTTCATTGGTAGAGAGAGCTTCAAATAAAACAAACATGCCAAGGTAGAACTAACTAACTAACTAACTAACTCATTCAAGGATTATTTGATAAATTCTTAACGGGAGACCGACAATTGGAGATAAGACATGGGTTTGTGAGTGTTTATTAATTGCAAATGAAATAATAATAATGAAAAAAAAAAAGGGAATCAATTGGTTTCATATGGGAAAAAATATATGCCTCTTTGTCTTTTTGAAATCAACTGGGATGATAATTTGAAACAAAGAAAATTGGGGGTTTAGACGTACAGGGAAAGTTTCCTAAGTTCACATTACTTATTCACTTATCTATTTATTCTATTATTATTTCATTATTTATCAGGCGAATATCGAGTTTGTAAAATAGTGTTACTTAAAGAAGGTTGGATACAGTTGTGGTGTTGTTTTTTTTCTCCTCTTTTGATTGTTTTTGGATCTAGATCACATAATCGAAAAAGGGCAAGCTGCAAGAAGCCTTATTCAAAGGGGTAAAAGTAACGTCAAAACTCTTATCGGAGAAGAGCACAGGAGAAAGAAAAGTTTTTTGTTTTTTTTTTTTAAAAAAGAAAAGAAGATGAATAATAACTTATCAAGGATTGTAAATGATAGCAAAGTTCTTACAGGTGCCTGTTATCTTTGTGAATATGATATATATATATATATATATACGTACATGTTGTCATGATTCATACACAATCACATGATGATAGATAGATAGATAGATAGATATGGAATGATAGATAGATAGATATGGAATGATAGAGAGATATATAAATTATCAGTGTAGATAAGGACGGGGGGTTGTGTATATATTATATTACATTATATTATATTATATTATATCATATTATAATATGATTGATGTCTCCCGATAACTCCTGTTGGTTGCTATTGTTATCATGACCGGGTTGATGCCAAAACTGCGTCATAATTACAATTACCAGAGAGAACTAACTATACAACCTGAGTAGCAGCAGCAAACACACACAATAATAATGTAATTGTGTGTGTGCCTTCCGTTATCTGTTGAGTTTTGGCGGCAAAAAAAAAAAAAAAAAGTGCCCCCACGGATAACGGGACTGCAACTCCGTCGATGCCGTGGTTGAATGATAGCACAAACAAGTACAAACAACAACATCAACCAGTGTCATTTACTGTGCAGGGAGGGGAGGATGGTTGTTGGCATCAATTGCTATTGTGGAGCAATGTTAATGTTAGATGGTCCATGTATACTTACTGTGTTATTTCTGTGTATCGATTGATGGATGGACACACCCACCCACCGCTGGATCGGTGTTTCCCGTTTTGTATGCACACCGACCCAAGTTAGGGCCGATTGACCACAGATTGTTGCACGTTTTTTTTTTTCAGCTATCAAAGATTTTTCATCCACTTATCATCGGCAGCCTTGAGATAAGCATATAAGATATCTGTCTCGTCGCCCTGCCTGCCGTGGGTGGGTGTGTTTATCTGTTGCTGTTTTTAATTTGTCATCCCACACACAATAGTTAGTCTCTTATTTATTTACTTATTTATCTCTCTTTCTCTCTTTCTCTCTCTCTCTCTCTCTTATCTTATCTTATCTCTGCCTATTTAATCTATCCCTTTATCCTTATTTTTTTTTTTTTTCTCTCCTTCTCTTTAAACACCCCATATTACCTCCACTACCCGAAATTTTTCATCCCATCAATCAATTATCAACAATATGATCTCTCTAAAAAGAAACCATGACAAGATCTCAGAAAACTACAGAATATTCCACAAGCGACAAAAAATGGAATTCGATATGTTCAATCAAGCATTGAAAGATTTGGAAAGAACCTTCAGTTTTGATATCACCTCTCCAAAATTACTGATAAAGAATAAGGGCAACAACTTCAAGCACTCTAACAACAGCGAGTATACTTGTACCAACATCAAAGGACACAACACCTCCATAAATGATATTCACAATGATAAACTGCCAATTATCCAACAATCAGCCGTCCCAAAGTTGATCATCCATCCCCAAACAGATAATGTGCCATCGTTGACAGAATCACTGGGCTGCTGCAACAATAATGAGCACAATATCTATCAATTGAAAAATAACAATAATCCTCCAAGCACCATCAGTTTGAACTCTCCTGGTGATGATTACAATAATACCCGCATCACCAGCAACGCTGTTTATTATGCCTCAAAAAACATCAATCCAGAGATGCCAGTGATCTCAAAACTTTTGGAAGATGATGATCTTCCACAAGATACGGCGAGCCGGAAACAATCAGGCTACCAAAATACTTTAAATAAACAGTCTATGGAAATACAACAACAACAACAACAACAACAACAACAACAACAACAACAACAACAACAACAACAACAACAACAACAACAACAACAACAGCAACAACAACAGCAACAACACGATCTTCGAAACTTGAAGAAATTCCAATTCCTGATATACTTGGGAGACTTGAGTTTCCAAAATCAAATCAAAGACTTCGAAGAACGTGAATACATCGAAGACTTTGTTTTTGATGTCGCCAACTTCAAAAGAAATATTGGCAACATTCTAGAAAATTAAATTGGCATTGCTACCACTATTATATTATAAAAACCTATATTATTACCACCACATCATTTATTATATTTCTGCCGTTACTACTAATATCCATCACCTCATTCACCATACTTTACCCATTATATTTCAATCATTATAATCTGCGCTCATCATCATTGCTATCTGCTTCCATTAGTTATTATTATCTACCTTATTCATTTGTTGACTATTTATTGGTTCACTAGTCGTTTTATACCATCAATCTCATTCATTTTATACGATCAACCTTTCATTCTTCTTTACTCAGTAATGTGAGAACCTATTATCTGTAGCACTCATTTGACAAACATTGATATTTAGATAGACATAACTTTATCCTTACATCATGTAATAGTTATTAAATAAGGGGTATATTATTAATGTTCTTGTACCAATTAAGAAATGCAAGTTTCAAACTATTATTATGTATCACATAAGTCCTGATATAAATATAAAACTCTCTTGAGAGTTTCTGCCTTCCATGCTATGTCTATTTGAAATAATCTTTGATTTCTCCGTAACAATGATCATTAATATTAATTTTTTTTTAAAACATAATCGTTAATATTGATTATTTTTTTTAAAAACATATAATGAGTCCAGCAATATTTAGGCCTCCAAGAATCAGCAGTATGTCCTTTATTATGAAGCACTCCAAAACCAAAATCTATTTCTATCTTTGGTCGGTCCTTTAACATCAACATTAAATATGGTTCGATGTGCGATTTATGGTATTTTTACACACCGAAAGAATCGTAAGCGTTTTCCAACATTTTCATTTGTATCGGTTCTTTAAGAGGATTTTTTTCAAAATTCACATCTTTCAATTTTAGACTTCCTGGAATGATCGCTTTGGCAATTTGCTCTATCAGCGTGAAGTTATTCCTGACAAATTTAAACTCTCAAGGTTTTTCAAGCTTGACACATAATCTAAGCTTTCCAATTTGTTTTGAAATAAAAATAAATATCGCAAACGAGGATAATTCAAAGGAAGATCGATTTTTTGGAGGTTGTTTTTGTGTAATTTAGTTTAATAAGGCTGGGAATATCATTAATATTTTCAAATGAGCTGAGATTATTATCATGCAAACATAATTCCTCGAGGTTCTTCAAGCAGGAAAAGTTCATTTTGATTGAAGTAAGTTTACAATGGGCAACTTCCAAATATTTCAAATGCACTAATGATTCCAAGTTTTTAAGTTCCGCAATATCATTATCCAGTAAACACAATGAAGTTAACCGATCACCACATAACTGGTGGTCGATCTCTGTCAAATCAGTTGCACTGAGGTTCAATGTTTCCAAAGAAGATATTCTTGTAAATGGCTTCATAGATACAATGTAGGTTCCAAAATTCATCGAGGAGTCAAGTGAAAGTTCTCTTAATTTTTCAAATTTGGAGAAATCGACGGATATTTTTTCAAGGCCACAACATTGGTATTTCAATATTTCTAAAGATTTCAACGGTGAATTCTTGTCATCTAGAACCTTGATGATATTACTGCTAATTATTAGTTCCGTCAACTTCGGATAATTCAAAGGCTTATCAATTGCCACAAAATCATTCTCTTCAACATTCAAGGTTTTTAAATTGGGTATCGAATGAATGTTTTCCAATGTTGAAAGGTTATTTTCTGCCAAATCAAGGTTTTCCAATTTCAAAAAGATGCTCAAATCTGTAGTCACCTCCTCGATTTTACTTTCTATCGCCATTAAGGATTTCAAATTTAAGCAACCTCCTAAACCTCCCAATTTGTACAATGAGCAGGCAGTCAATTTCAAGTCCTCGAGATTCTCAAGAATGATGTCATCCGAAAATCCATCGAATTTGCAATCAACGATAATTATCTTTCTCAAATTTTTCAAATTCATGAGCACGTTTTTGAATCGTGAAAGATTGAAACAATCTTCTATATATAGCTTCTCCAAAGATTTCAAGTGACTAATTTTTGAATAATCCACATACGTCAGACAAAGCGACAACTTGTTCAAAGTTTTGAAATCCCCAATATCGGAAAAATCAAACTCGAAGTCTGGATTGGATGCGTGTATAAACCCGTCCATCACGGCCGTTTGATCTTCAATATCAAATTCTAATTCTTTTAAATTCTAATTCTTTTAAATTCGGATATCGGTCAATTGAAAAATTCTCAATGAAATCATGGCCTTTGGCTCTGTAAAGCCAATAAAGTTCAAAGGTTTCCAACTTTGGTGCAATGAAGTGCTGGCAATCAAAAGGCTCACGACGATATATAAACATATAAAACCGCCTTAATTCAGGAAATTCTTTGGAAAACAAACGGGGGTTTTGCCTTTCGCACGCTATTACTACTAGTATTGTTCTCATAGCCTTCTTCACCAGACAAATCGTCATAAAAACCATAATGTTCTTCTTCAAAAGATGGACCCCTAAGATTGAGGTCTTCAATCTTTAAATTTTCAAGCATCGAGCAATCAATTTTGCTTAATAACTTTTCGGGACTGACATCTTCAGGTACCGTTACGTCCAAACTTCTTGATGGCATACGGATATTAATGTCAAGGATATCGCCTAATGATAAATGCATCAAATAAGGTATCTCATGGATGAAGGTCTCTACTGACCGAATTTTATTCTCAAGAGAACTGATGTGACGCCGTAATTCGAATAAGAATTCTATTTCAAACACCTCAAGAATCTTTTCAATAATTTCTACGGGCAAACTTTCAATGGATATTACATTATTAGCCATGTCCACACCTCTACCACCATTAAGCTCTTCTTCTTTGCAACCCATCATTGTATACACACCGGGAATCAGATATGGATATCATTATAGCGGTTGGTAACCGGGGTACTAAGATAATTTCTCAAAAAAAAAATAACCGCAGTGTGCACTTATTGCTTATCAGTAGTAGCATCGAACTGGCTATCGCTAACCTGGGCAGACTCATAGTTGCGAATAGATTCTGAAGTGCGTTTATATTTGTTTGATATAATATATATATATGTGTATTAAATTTTTATGCCATATAAGTGGTATATGATATAAACACATAGAAATTGATTTGAAGCCAGAAATCCCGAAGATTTTCATATTCTCTCTTTCCCAAAAAGGGATTCCTAAATTCTATCAAACGAGACACAAAATGTTTACAATCAAACATTATGGGATCGTCTCCAGTATCCATAATAAGCTCTTTTAATTCCGGAAATTCGTCTACTAACCAGTACCTTCTTTTTCTTTTTTTTTTTTTTTCTCCACTAGTATTGTCCTGATAGTCCTCATCAAAGGAGTTGTGGAGAAACTTTTTTTTTATAGTCAGCGCCCATCCCTATTTACTGGGTCACTAATCTTCAAGGATTCTATCGCTGAGCAATTAATATTTTCTAATAAACTAGTTAATCTGAAGCATTCTGGAAGTTTGATGTCCAAGGATCTCAATGGTGTAGCAATAGGTGTACCGTAGTCATTAAATAATGTTAATTGATGCAATTGAGGTAACCCATCAAGAAAGGTTTCCATTTGATGAACCTCAGTTTAAAACTTGTGAGTTCCTGATGACTTTTGACAATATAAATTCCATATCTTTAATGTATTTCCGGAATTTTGCAAGTTTCAACAACTGTTTTGCGCGAGCTGTTATTATACCACAGTCTTGTTTGCATTCAACACTCTCAGAATTTGAATGCCGGTCATTATTAATCACTATTACACTAAAAAAAAATATGTCCAACAGCAAGGTCAAGAATGGGTGATAATCAGAGCTGAATTGCGAGATCAGCGGTGAAAAAATGATCAATCCTATACCAAATATATTCCGAGTTGATGGAGGGGAACATTAGTCAGTCCAAAACATAGTTTTCAGCTACCGCTAGATAGCTTCCATATTATAAAACTTTCTCAGCCCGTAATCCAAGAAACGCATCTGCCGAGAACGACCAGTATCAGCTTTGGAGCCGCCACTGCAAACCGCTCCACAGTCAAAGTATATCATCAAATCTTGTGTGTCTTTTAACATCAAGTTTAATGGAGGTGTCATGTAAAATTTTTCACGGTCTTCCGAATAGGGCGCATTTCTAATACCACATTCGTATTCTCTCGGTTTGATCACTTCATAGATGGCATTTTCCATAAAGTTCAATTTTAACGGTACACTGGATCCACTGGATCCACTGATATCTTTGGAAATTTGGTCAAAAACTTTAAATTTATTACCGCGTAAATCCAACATTTGAAGGTTTTGCAATTTTGATAAATGATCCAAACTTTCCATTTTGTTCCGGAGCAAGTAAAAGATTTTCAAATTAGGGTAATTCAAAGGTGGGCTGATTTCACGTAAACAGTTACTGTCCAAATTTAAAGCCTCAAGATTCGGAATATCGTTAATGTTTTCAAATGAGCTGAGTCGATTGTTTCCCAAATCTAATTCGCTAAGATTCTTTAAGTGAGCAAAATTCGTTTTGATACAAGTAATACTATTATAAGAAACATTCAATTGCCTTAAATTGATCAATGATTCCAAATTTCTAAGAACAGTAATCTTGTTTTTCAGCAAGTTCAACGAAATTAGCCGATGAAATAATTGACAGTCAAATTCGACCAAACCAACTCCTTGAAGATTCAATGACTCTAATGAAGACATGTCTGCAAAATGTTTGATTGAGAATATTGAATTTTTGCCTTTACCCTTCACAGATTCAAATGAGAGTTTTGCTAGACTTTTGATCTCAGAAAAGTCGGTAGATATTTTCTCGATTGCACAAAATTCAGCTTCCAATATTTGCAAAGACACTAAGGAAGCAATATTTGCATCCAATTTCTTGATAGGATTGTCACTGATGAATAGCTCTCTCAATTTTGGCAATAATAGCGGTTTGTCTATCGATTTTAATAGGTTGCTTCTGATATCTAGGGAAACCAAATTGGGAATCGAGTGGATATTCTCAAAAGATTGAAGTTTATTAGCCCACAAGTTAAGAACCTTCAACTTTGAGTGGTTTGTTAAATTAGTGGTGAAATTCTCAATACTGTTTTGTTCCGCAGATAATAATACCAAATTTAAACAATTTTTTAAGCCGCTCAAATGCGATAGACGGCAGTTATTCAATCTTAATTCCTCGAGGTTTTCAAGATGGAGATCATCAGGAAATTCATCGATTTGACATTTAATGATTGCTATTTTTTTCAAATTCTTCAATTTTTGGAAATCGCTCCCAATCTTCAATGAAGGTGCACTGTCCACTATAGATAAAGTCTCCAATGCAAGCCAATAACCAAATATTAAATTATCAATTTTAATCTTGGAAAATCTTATATGTTTCAAATTTTGGAACCCCTTAGTTTTAGAAAAATCGATACTGGCACAATCCTGATAACTTGGCAGGAGGCGGGAACTCAATGATAATTGTTCTAAATTTGGATATAACTCGCTGGACAAATTAATAATACAGGTAGGTTCGTCCGAAAAAAAATGAAACTCCTCCAATTTCGGTGCAATAAAATTTTGACAATCAAGGGTAGCAAATCCATAAATATCCATGCAAAAGTCCCTTAATTCCGGAAATTCCTGAGCAAACCCATAATTTTTTCGTACTTCTTCTTCAGTGGTAGCGGAATCATCCTGATCATCATCATCATTGATTGAGCCATTCTCATTGAAATTAGGATCTTCCCTACACTCCCTATCGTTAATCTTCAAGACTTTAATCACTGAGCAATTGATGTTGTCTAATAACTCCGAAATTTCAACATATTTAGGAAGTGTCACGTGTAAAACATTTGGCGGATTATTAACAGATACACCATAAACACACTGCAATGATAGCTTGCTTAAATGTGGCAACTCACGTAAAAATGTTTCCACCTTATGCGCCTCGTTATAAACTTTTGTATTCAGCATTGATGAGAGAGACTCTAATACCACCTCTTTGATATAGTTCTTGTACTGTGCGAGCTTTGGTATATGTTGAACTGAAGTTTTCAATCTTCCTGATCCTGTTTCGAATCGGAACGGAGATTCCAATGACGGGGAGAACTCATTCAAAATTATTGAGCGGAAAAGAGTAGCATTTAGAGGCTCTACCCAGAAAGGGTGTGAATGAAACAGAGTCTCTCTTCTCAATTTCAATAGTGAGGCTCGTGTACTAGAATCACAGAATTCAAAGATCTGAGCGTGGATTTCGGCAGGTAAACTTGAGAACAGAATGCGATTATTAACAATACTGGAATCCTCAGAACCACTTAGTTTCTGGTGCTTGTACTCCATTCTCAGAATATATATTTTAAACCAATTATGTTGACACAATACCAGCCAAGGACTCCTGTGTTATGATACGGATTCGTCCTGATCTAAATCGCCAGCAGCTTATGCGGGTAACCGCTTTCTTTTTTTGACGTATATCACCAACTACGAGAGTGTATAACTCTCAAGCATCATGACAGTTCTATATTACACATAAACCACATTGTCTTAGTATCTGATGCTTTTCAAATTGATGCATATATTTATCTATACTTGAGAATATAATATATGTTCTATTTTCTTGATACCATCATCATCTGAGCTATATAGTACCTTTATTCTCACATTGATCACTACAATTCAATATTCTTCCCAAAATTCATCTGAGCTATATAGTACCTTTATTCTCACATTGATCACTACAATTCAATATTCTTCCCAAAATTCATCCTCGGTCATTTATAGAATCTCCAAGAGTCGCTAGTTTAAAACTTTCTGAATGTTTTTTTTTTATTCGAATCAAAGAAATTACCACTATCAGTGGGACCAAAATATGACTTTATCCTCAAATTCTCTTGGTCACATTCACCCCATGCGTAACCCAATAATTTCAGGTATAGTTGAGAATGTTGATTCAAGTTGATCGCTATCAAAATATTGACATATTTGGCAGAAAATTTTTCACAGGCGTTGGCTACAGACAAACACGCATCACTTGGCTCATTACCTAGTAGTTACAGCTATCGAACATTGGAATAAATTTCTGTGTTTGATTCACCATTGGCATGTTTATCGGAGCTCTAGTTAAGAACCCAATCGAAAGATTTTCAAGTTCGCTGCATCGCAATACTAGTTTGGTCTTAGGATTATCAATCTGAAGCAATAAAAGTGCTGATACGCTTCAAAAATCGACTCTTTATCCATTTCGGCCTCTTCATTTCCAACACCAAACAAAAGGGACCCCAAATATCAGAGAGTCTCCCAAATAAACCTTGTAATTGAGGTTTAAGGATTTTTGAAAATACTTAGGGATATTTTTCATGTCCATTGGAGATGAAGAAGCAAATTGGAAAATATTGACAGAGGAAAGGACTTAAAGCATATAAGAAATTGCATATCAGATCTTTGAGGTGTTGCTATAACAGCAAATCCATATATTAGCAATTTAATACTAGTTTTGCTCTTTTCATACCATCGAAAATTTTAACAATTTCAGGATCGCTGGAGCCAATTATCGCCACAATTTTCAGATACCATTCAAATACCTAGAATCTAGAAGACCACCCAGTAATGACGGATACAGGTGGGATGGATCCAATTGACAGCCTGGCCGCTTTTCTCTATTTACCATAAGAATTGATCTTCAAAGTTATAATTATCATATCAGTACTTCGTTGGTTATGATGCTTCGACCAATCAAAAGCTTTTTTTTTTGTATGTTGGTTACAGTCAACTACCATTAAGTTTGTTAACACACTATAGATGAAAGAATTCATAATCTGTAAAATACAGAGCAATCCAGCAGCACAAGCTTTAAAAAATGAAAAAAAAATTGATTTCGCCCAGGATCGAACTGGGGACGTTCTGCGTGTTAAGCAGATGCCATAACCAACTAGACCACGAAACCAACTTGTATTTTTTGTTTGTCAAATCAATACCGATATGATTATTAGATGACGGCCGGGTTACCCCCTAAATATTAATCTGGCTATAAGCTTTTCAAGACTTTTTTGGCCGTTAAATATTCAAAAATTATCATTAGTATAATACTGAGTTCTCCTTGAAAAGTTATTTCACCATTATAAAGGAAGCATACAGTCGTATTCATAAGAATAGGCGGTGTAGTAGTTTTAATGCGCGGGTAACCCTATTGATATTTCTGCAGTTCGTTGCACACACTTACTACATTTCAACAGCTTGGGATCTGAAAAATTCAGTTGGGACCCTCGCATGAATGATCTGATATTGATTAGTTCTGTGTACATTATAACGTATTTTATGAAAGGATAATTGTCATGATCTCAAACCCGTTTCATTGATTCCTTTTGGAATCGGCTCAATCGATGAAAAATTATTCTTTTTCAAACTCAACTGTTCGATGTTTCTCAAACTTTTCATTTTGTTTTCGAAATTCCAAACTTAGCAAATAAGGATAATTCAAGGGAAAATCAATGTTCCGCAGCTCATGGTATGCTAGATTTGAAAATAAAATTCCTGTAATATTGTTGATATTCTCAAATGAGCTGAGTTTATTACCTTGCAAACACAATTTTTCAAGATTCTTGAAACTCGCAAAGCTTGTTTCGATAGAAGTAAGATTATTATAAGAGGTATCTAAACTTCTCAAGTTGGTCAATAGTTACCAGTTTGTGAGCTTGGTGAGTTTTTTAGACACTAATTTCAACTCCACTAATTTATCATTATGCCGCTGGTGATCAAGTGCCATTAAGATTGTTTCTTTCTAGATTCAATGATTCCAAGGAGATAATATTTGCAAACGGCTTGACAGAGATTTTTGGCTTATCGTCTTTGCCGTAGCAGTAACCATGCTTCAATGAAAGCCTTTGAAGGTTTTCAAACTTAGAAAAATCAACTGTTATTTGTTCAATACAACAGAATTCAGCTTTTAATTCTTCTAAAGAAGACGCTAATGATGCAATATTCTCATCCAATGCCATTATTTCGTTGTTACCAATAACCAACGTTTTCAACCTTGATAGAAGCAAGGGGTTGTCTATTGACTGCAATCTATTGCAGCTAATATTAAGTGGTGTTAAATTACGAATCGAGTTGATATTTTCAAACGTTTGTAGTTTATTTCGGCTCAAATTGAGAGATTCCAATTTTTTATGGCTACTGAAATCGGTAGTAACTACCTGCATATCGCAAACAGTAACGGATAGTGATTTCAAATTTAAACAATTCTCTAAATCACCAAATTCAGTAAATGAGCAGCGATCCAACTTCAAATCCTCAAGGTTTTCAAGCTCAAGGTCCTTTAATAATCTCAAGGTCACTCAAAAAATTGATCAATTCGCAATCAATGGTTGATAGTGAAGTCAAATGCTTTAGAGTATTGAACTTCTTGCCAAAAATGTAGGACACATTTCCTAATGTAGCTCCTCTAAACCAGTCCAATATCTAATCACCGAGTAATCACTTAACTAAACAGCGACAAATTCCGCACGCTTTAATTTTTTAAGCTCTTTTATTCGGGAAAGATCAAGACGTTTTTCATCATGTTCCTCATCTTCACCAGGGTCCCCACGATATAACAACAGTAGCTGTTCCAAATTTGGATATAGATTACTCGAGAAGTTCCGCATTCTCTCGATCTCTTTGTCCCAACTAAACTTGAATTCCCTCAACTTTGGGGCGATGAAATCTCGGCAATCAAACATATGGGAAGAAGTGGTACCCACAATAAGTGTTTTCAATTCGGGGAATTTACGGGAGGTCTATAATAGTTTTGCGCTCTTTCGTCCTTGACAATACAATTCCCTAAATTATCGGAATCACGTATTTCATCACATGAATAGTATCCTTCCCAAAACTGCATGAGCCTATAACACCAATTATCAATCAGCAAGTATTCCAAATTAGACCCATTAACACGGGCTGAAAAACCCAGTAAATAAGATATATGTATTAAATATAATTTCCAAATGACGTATAGGTAAATCAACGTATATACCATAGATGTCCATTAACACTAAGTTATCCACGATTGGCAGCCTTGATAGCCGACTTAGAAAGGCTCTTCTTACCAAACCAACTTTCTTGGAACGTTATGGTAATTCATTGGTCTGAGGTAAAAGAAAAAATATATCCCGGATATTCTCCCGGTACTTCAATAACCTTGGCAAGTTTTCCACTGAAAGCTGTAGTCTTCCCATTTCTGAGAATTTGAATCGAGGACTTGGTGGATCTGCCAGCCCGTCGATCAATATTGAGAAAAAAAAATAACATGGTCCAGAACCTTAGCAAGATCAGGATCAACAGCGGCTTTGAGTTGGTATCTTAATTTAAACAATGATCCTCTAGTTTGTGCAACACATAATTTATAGATATCTATGATGACTGGCAAGGGTAAAGTAAACTAGCAAATGATATTCTGGTGCCACCGGTCTCCTGAAGTTTTTTGTCGCTTGCGATCCAGCATGGTTCCTAAAAGAAATACAAACTAGCATATACATCCAAAATGACCAGCAAGAACCGCATTGAGATCTGCTATGAATGTAGAGATTATATTAACACCCTAAATAACTCTTACCTACAGGTGACCCATCACAATAAGGAAATTTTCAGCGCGGGTAAGTGCTTTAATACCCAAATCTATGGTGTATCATCTAGGATACTATCATGTTAAAAGATTCTACTACTTTGAAGATAATTATGATCAGATGAGCTAAACGCTAAAAAATAGTAAAATTAATAATATATGGTAAACAAGAAATAAGACAATTTTCAGAGAAAAGAAGATAAACACAAATGACAAAAGCAGCAAGAAATTAGTAAAAAGGAAAGAGAAAAAAAAAAAGAATAATTAGTTATAATACAAGAACGATAAAATTTCAAATACCAATAAATAAACAATAATGCAAGAAGAGTTAATAAGATAAGGGATATAATAATTTGCTGCTTTGATAAACAGAATAGGAGATCATTTTGACATGTAAGTTGGGATGTGAGATTATATGAACAAGATCTGAGTTTTTGATTATGAACAGAGGATCTGATAATTTATAATGAAGGAAGGAGGATCTGATAATCTCGACCCCATTTTCAGAATAAACTTTTATGATATTGTGTTTGCTCTGCGGGTTAATTAGCATCTCTGACAGATGACTGTGAGTCGATTCAATTGTATTATTCAACAATTTATTGTCAATTAAAACAATTCATTCAAAACAATACTGCCACCAACCATTTCATTGCCTCCTACTGCACGACGATTAAGGGGACCGTTAAGACCTTTGCCAGTTGACGCAGTCGCGGCGACCGGAGCAGAATATTTGTGTTGTAGATACTCGTAATATCTAGTCTTGTAATCAATGACGGTGACACCAGGCAAATTTCTTCTAGGAGTGGCAGTTTGACCAGGAAGATCTGGAGAAAATTGAGGGATATTTGGGAGTTGAGATGAAGCTGATGACAATGAAGCTGAGCCACGGTGAGTCTGTGGTTGGGTTCTCACGGTTCTTGGGCGGTGATTGACTTCAAGAAGGGCAAGGTTGAGCTTATCATGGCATCTGTAGTCCAATACTGGAACTCTGCGGTTAGAGTACGGGGCAGAATAGCACCCCATGGCGTAGAATGGAGCATTATCGCTTGAAGGACTAGAAGCAGCAGTAGGAGGAGGAGGGGTGGAAGCCCGAGATGAAGCTTTAGAAGACACATTGTCATTGTCATTTTCTTCCTCTTCATCATCATAATCAATGAAATCTTCAAGAGTTGGAGCAGGGGTTGATGTAGTGGTGGTACTCAAAGATTCGGCTGGGGATGGAGGGAAGCTGATAGAGGTCAGCTCTGACTTGTAATCATCATCGTTAGCCAATGATTTTGAAGAAGTATTGGTGGAAAGGGCATCCCCATTGGAGCTGTTATTATGGAGATCATCTAAAAATGAAGGAGAGGATATGTCGTTGGTTTGGCTTAGAAACAGGTCGATCTCATTTTCGGAATCGTCAAGGATTGATACTTGGGATTGAGAGTAGTACTTGAGGATTCTATCGATGTATTCAATTGAGTCTAAGTCGCCACTGGTGCGTTGGGATGGGTCAGAGGTATTCTTATTATTGTGACGGTTCTTATACGAATGTTTAGATACTTTTGATTGTTGATTCTTATTCGGTTTTAGGACAAGAGAAAGTTTGCGAGTACGGAGAGGTCTGGAGGACATAATAATAGAAAGAAGACGGATAATAACCAGGGATGATATCAGAATTGACAAAAACAAAAAGAAATTGAACAGGTATATGGATAAAGACACCCTAATAAATAATAATTTTGGGGCTACGAATCAAAAAGTTGAAAAATCTGGCTGTTGAGTCTCATTTATTTGTATTGAAAAAAAAAAAAAAAAAAAAAGAATTTTTTTTTTTGCAGCATCTTGCATGAAGCGACGGGCGACGGTTGGACGAGTACTAAAGAATGATGATGGTTACATTATGTTGATTGCCAGTTAATGCCAGGTATTTATACGCTGCTATACAAATATATATACGGATTGATATATGAGCATCAAAAATATTAATAGTATTAATAATATAGAACCATTCTGTGTGGGGGGTACTACAACATTACTAATTCTCAAAAGAAATTGAAAAAAAAAAAAAAATTGGCGTTCTCCAATAATGCCACAGGTGAATGAAATCATAATAATAATAATAATTGCGGGCACATATATGTGCCACTATAGTGGTTTCAAATTTATGCTTTGTTCCCCCACCACCAATGAAAACTTTTAGTGGTGGGAAAAAAATGAAAAAAATGAAGCTGGCTTTCAGAAAAACCTTAATGTACCACATGAAGGGGTCTTTTTTCATTTCCTCAAAAATTAAAAATAGGAAAATCACCAATTTTTTTTTCCTGCGAATATACCACAGCGGCGGTAGTCCCTCACTCGAAGTTTGTTAATAATATATTATGTAATCGAGATTATGTAATAGATTAGATAATCAGGGCCACCTAATATATTACATAATCTTGATTACATAACCACTTACGCAATTTTAACTCTTTGATTAGTAAGTTGGTGTCTGGACGTCTTCAGCCAGAAAAACCTTAACACCCCATTGTCCCGTGTCAATGGTACCTCCTGGCCCACGTTGCTTAGTAACCAATTACGTCACGTCACTTTGAACCGCCCCACCCCCCCCCCCCTCCCCATCATCTGTTGTCTCTTTCGGGGTCTCTGTAAAAGAGTTTCGCCTATTTCAATAGACCCCGGAACCCATACCCATCGGTGTGAAAGAAAGAACAACACAAAATTACTACAGTCTACCGATAATGACTCTGCTCCACCTACTGCTCCATCAACATTAGCCTATATACATTTATTAATCATGGTTTGTCTTCTAATGATCTCACCCCTCGTACTTTGAGCCCCGGCCTCCGGGGTACAAATTTATATAAACAATACATAATCATCACACATCATTGATTAATTTGTTTTCAATTTCCTGTATCTTCAACCATCAAATCATCAATAATTCCCCCCCCTTTTTTTTTTTATTCTACAATGTCTGTTAAACAATTAGAAGACTCTGTTATCATCAGTCTCCCAGATAACCCTGACACTTACATCAAAGTGTTGCGCTATGGGGCCCATATTCTCAGTTGGAAAATCAACGGTGAAGAACAATTATGGCTTTCTGCTGGAGCCAAACTTGATGGTTCTGCTGCGGTTCGTGGGGGGATTCCTCTTGCCTTCCCAGTGTTTGGCGGTTCTGCTGCCGAAGGGTTCAACAAATTGCCACACCATGGGTTTGCCCGTATTTCTACCTGGGATTTCTTGGGATTGACATCTTCTAATCCTCCAATTGCCCAATTCGCCTTGACCCCAGATGAAGCCGAACCTGTTAGTTATGGTAAATGGGAAAATGGTGACAATAATTTCCGTGCGTTTGTCAATTACGAATTGGGTGCCGATTACTTGACAACCTCAGTGGCCATTGAAAACATCGACACTAAGCCATTCGACTTCCATTGGTTGTTCCACACATACTTGAGAACCCCAGATATCGAAGACACTCTCGTGACTAACTTACCAGGTGAAGTGTGTTATGACCAAGTTGTGAAGGAAGAATATGAGGACAAGGCCCCAGCTGTCCAATTCCACCAAGAAACCGACAGAGTGTACAAAAAAGTTGATGAATCCAAAGATATCCAAGTGGTTTATTGCGGTAAGGCAAACCATACCCTTAAAAGAGTGAACTTGCCAGATGTTGTGGTTTGGAACCCATGGATTGAAAAATCTAAGAACATTGGTGATTTTGCTCCAAAAGACGATTACAAGCACATGGTTTGTGTTGAACCAGGTTATGCTTCTGAATTTGTTACTTTGAAACCACAAGGCGTCTGGAAAGCCAGCCAGACATTGACTTATGGGAAGGATATAAAGATCCAGGCTGTTTGAGGATCCTTATTATGGGTTTAAGGACTAGAATTTTTATTCAACAGTCTTTCATGGACATATATGATCATATATGACAAGTTTAATCTTTTTTCTTTTTTTTTCTATCGAATAGTGAATTATGAGTTGTTGTTTGTTTTTCTTATATTCCATAAACAAATTGTAAATTATTTCTTATTTTGATACTATCAAGCTAATTTACATCAATGAGTGATAAATTATAAGTTAATTTTCATTTGAATTGTAAGCTATTTTACACTATAAAGGAAAAAATAAGAACAGACATTTGAGAAGTAAAAAAAAAAATATTAATGATAATAATAAATAGAATATATATAAAAACTAACGTTTCAAAAATAGTAACCCAATTACATCACGTTTCTCTCTTATTTGGTTACTTCTTCCACTGGTTCTTCATCATCACTGCTGTGTTCATCATCACCACCGGCTTGACCCATTTGGGCAGCCAATTTGCTGAAATCCATACCACCGGCACCACCAGCACCAGCCATAAGCTTACTTAAGTCGAAACCGCCATTTCCACCGCCCAAGGCCAGCAAATCAGGCATGCCACCCATGCCACCCATGCCTGGCATACCGCCCATACCACCCATACCTGGCATACCGCCCATACCTGGCATACCACCCATGGCGCCCATATCTGGCATACCACCCATACCGGCATATGGATCTTCTTCTGGTTGCTCATCTTGTTCATCTTCATCGACCCACTTGTCGAAATCGGTCTTCAACCATCTGTACTTGACCTTTTCCTTGGTCAAACGAGGCCAGTATTCTTCTTGGGCGTCTTTTTTACGCAACACAAAGGAAATGTGGTTCCCACTGCTCTTGGCATCGTATCTTGAGTGTTCAAGATCAATTGGGGCAAACCAATCGAGGTGCAATTTGTAGTGGGTACCCTTGGTGGCGGCGTAGTCACTTTCACTTTCAAGGTCAAGGGAATCTTCTTTGAGATCAACCTTAAGACCCTTTGGGTCTGTGACCTTCACAGTAAGGTAGATGATATTCTTTTCTGGAGCAGAGGCATTAGAACGTTGAGCCCAAAGAGCTAGAACTATGAGTTAGTACTGGAAAATATCAAAAGTGGTTTGTTGCTTGCGAATTGCAATTGCCTTTGCCGGGAAACGAATGAAGATGGGAAGCCATCAAAAGGGTGATTAACGTACCTTCTGGAGAAATAGTAGCCATTTTTTAGTTGGTTATTTGTATGGTATTAATAAAATATGAATTCCAAAGGAAATTACAAAAGAAGAAAAGGCCCAAATGTCCTTTGAAATGTTTTGATTTTTTTTTATTGTGATTTTTTTTTCCTTCTCGAAGGTTCTTGGGGGGCTCGTAACATAACCCAGTGGGTATATTCTTGTTGTTGTTACTATTTCTCATTATTTATTATTATTATATATTTATATAATATGGGAATCACTTGTCTTCCTATAGAATTGGAGACCAGGATTCTTCAATTGGCCCCGGAGTTGAGACTGGCAAACACTCACTACTTGTCGCTCTACAATGACACCTTCCGTCAGCGACTTTTCGGAGAATACGGGGCAGCAATTGGCAAAGTGTTAGTGGCCAGCCACCTTGAGATCAGAAACTACATAAAAGGCTTCGATTGTATTAGGTATCATTCGCGGAATGCTGTGGCTCGGGCCCTCGGTTTAGTCGATGGTTGCGAGATTGCTGGTGTCGATGACTTGTTTGCGTCGCAACATATCCAGGACTCTTGGGAACTTATCTACTATTTGATTAAGTATCGCAAGATCTTCTTCCATAAGAAAGACTTTATCATCCAACAGAGTGACAAGTATCATTTTGATGATCAGCAGAATGCTATGTCGATTGTCTGGTCAAATTCTCTAAAGTTTAGCAAGATGGTGTACCTTGGGCTGCTGCCCGGGATGTACAATTTGTCAATTGGCCTTATGTTGGAGTCCCCAGCCTACGGATTAGGTACCACAAAATTCCTGGTGGAAGTATATGATGATGAGGAGGATAGTAGTAAATTCCATGCTCATGACTTTTATACCGCATCGATAATTGATGATTTGGTACAGAAAAATTCATTCTTCGTGTTGAATTTGGGAAGATTCCCAGTACACCAAAAAGTATCCCACCAACACCCTACCAAAGTCAGGTTAGTAATGGATGAGACAGGTTTGAATGTCAAGGCAGGACTTAAGTTTTTCTATGTTGATTTAAAGCCACCATCGATATACTTACAGGATCAGTATATTTTCTGGGAATTGACCACCCCAGCGGCTCAAAAGAGTAAATTACAGTACCAGGACTTTGTGAATGTTCTTGAAAAGCAAGCATCAATGAAGATTAATGATTCAATTGATCGAATATTTGAAAATACCTATAACACAGAATTTTCAATCTTACAGCCACCAGAAGAAAGTCGAGCGACACTGGATTCTCGTTCCAACCATGAGCTTCAGCAGATCACAGAACACTTTTGTGTTTATTCCAAACTGAACGAGATCTCGCGGAAGATAAAGTTTGTCACGGTCATTGGCCAGCGAGACTTTGAAGAGTCCAAAGACGCTATTTATAGCGAGAAATTGGAATTGGGAGATGACCGGCATATTTTGAGATGGCGAACCAATTGGGGATAAATCTTCGATACTCTATCTATCTATCTATCTATCTATCTATCTATCTATCTATCTATCTATCTATCTATCTATCTATCTATCTATCTATCTATCTATCTATCTATCTATCTATCTATCTATCTATCTATCTATCTATCTATCTATCTATAATATATATATATATACACATACACGTTCTAATCGGACTGTTTGTTGCTGTTGTTAATAATAGAGGCTTGACAGGTTGGGTCCAAATGTCCACGTGATGGGGCCTCAAAAATCCTGTCAATTTTTTTCTGTGCCAAATTGGATCAACCAGGCAAACTGGCCAGGAAGATAAGACAAAAAGCCACAAGAAATGCTTTCTGGTGATGTCGGATAATAGCAATTCTTCAGTATATAGTGACCTTAGTCTTGCTCTAATGGCGGAAATCAGTGCCCGCCAACATGCCGAGCGAGATCGCGAGCTTTCTACACCTCCGGTTTCTCATCATCTCAATGATCTGTCAGCTAATGATATTGAAACCAGAGTACTTCGTCGACGAGATAACAATGGAAATGTTGTTGAAGTAGAATCATTTCGAAGGGAAGTATCCTCAGACATTGGCGAAACTCCTAGGACCATATATTGCGAGCAGGAATCAAGAACAACTACATTAAATGAGACTATTCGAACCGTGGAAAAAGGGCTAGCAGAGGTGGTAAGGAAAGATCTTGACCATAGACGTCGGTTTGATCGATTTCTCAACAATGCCCGGATTGAAAAGATTCCAATTCCTGTACTGATGAATGGCAGAATCGCCGATAGGGCCCGGGGCATCGTTTGTGATGACGATACCTTTTATGAACCCATTGGGGAACCGATCATCGACCCACTTCTGGAATCAGAGTACTGTATGAGTGATTATGTGGAATCTCCTACTCTCAAATACATGTCAGTTCCAATTGATAATAACATCGAACAACAAGTAGTATTTCAATCAAATCGTCATGAATCGGAACTTCCGACAAACGCCATCGAGGCTTTCGAAAAGCTTGATCAGCGAAGGTCTATAGAAAGATTTGCTTCATCACCAAGCTCTTCCCAAGATATTAATGACGACAAAGTTTTAGATTTTAATGATGAAAAATTGATGGATGTTTACGATACCGATATCCAAAGCATTCTGACAAGTCTCCATTCAATTGACAGCGAAACAGAAGACGAAGATGCATACGATTCTACACATCAATTCAGTGGATTTCTTGAACCTGCTGACAATCTCCATCACTCCACTGAAAACACACAATCAACGCAACAATCGATTATCAAACAACAACCTGCCGAAGAATTCGATAGTCCCCTTAGATTGCAATACTTGGATCGAGGAGAATTTGACCTCAGTAACCTGTTTAATTTTAAAAATAATCTTTTAGTGTCATCAACCAATTACCCACAGTACATGTTTTACGGCACGAAGTCACAAATTAATATTTTGTCGGTAGGTGGGAACTTTGGATCAACTGATGATCTAGTTGTTGCTTCATTTGAGACTAAACCAAAGTATACTTCTGATAGGGATATCATCTCCGCAGTTTGGAAACATTATCCCCACCTGATAAACCTTGTCAAGATGGTAAATTTTTTGGGGAAAGAAATGTTGGTGGTGTGTCGTGATGATGGCAGAGTCTCTTTATACGATACTGAGACTTTGGTCCAGCAACTCCAAGAATTTCTTCTTAGGAAAGCCCGTTTTGAAAAGTCTCGAGTACAACAACAACTGTTGGATTTGCTTTTGTCAATCCATTCATTTGAAGTTAAACCAACCTTCCAACTTCGTACCGCAAAATCCGTATGGGGGATCGATGTCTACGAAAAGTATGACTTATTGGCGATTCTGGATAATAGTCGTCGAATTACAGTATTCCATTATTCTAAAGAACACGATGGCGGTAGTTTCTATTCGGTAATATCACATCCTTTAGCTTCCAACGTTCCTGACATTTCATTCATCAAGGATGATGAAAATAAGGCGGAGAAGGAGGAGGAAGAGGATATTGGTGATGATCTGCCCCTGGTACCACTCCATACTCGGGTGCTTTTATCAGCAGGAGCCATCATGGGAGAGCTTGTTATCTTTGAATTTGTATTTGACAGATACCATGGGCCAGTGAATTGTTCCATTGATGATCACCCAGTAATTGTCGATGATGACGGGATTCCTAAAGATTGCGATACCGGCCCGGATATTGAAAATGTGGGTTCCGCCAGTAGTAATGAAATGGTTCGTCTACAATGGAATATTATGCTCGCACGATCATTGCGTAATGAAATTAATAATAATGATAATAATAACAATGATGATGGACTGAATTACTCGGTAGGTAGTGATAGTAGTTTGGGAAGTAATGAAGAGACAGCAAAATTCAAAAGAATCGAGTTCCAGACCCCGAAAGTTGTGAGTCGGATTCTTCTTGAAGAAGATGTTTGGACTACACGGTATATTGATGGAAAGTATTTCAAAGAAGTAAGATCATTGCAAGAATTAACTGGGGATAAAGAGATCAATGAAAAGTTCGTGGTGGAGAAACTTGCTACTCAAAGTAGGATTTTGGATACCGAAAGTGATCCAATTATGACCAGTGATCTTGGACTTAGTTCAAAAACCTGTTTTTTTGAGATTCCTCGGCGTGATTTAACGAAATTTATAATCCATTGGAAACATAATTATACATTGTATGCCGGTGAGCCAGATACTGATATTGAGGATGATGAACTGGAAAATGATGATGATGATTCCTCTGATGATCCGTTATCTTTGCATCAGGACATGCTAATTCCAACATTTGGAAAACCACGGAAACTGGCGGCATTTTCCAATCCACGAAGAAATATCCTGTTGAATTATAACAACCTTAAAGCAGGTGCGATGGTCACCGATACCTTCCGTCGAGTATCAAAGTTTTATGATGATTATTATTTGCTCCATCAAAGGAAACTCAATACAAAACCACACAAAAGCCTAAACGGGCTTGATTATTGGGAGCCCAAGGTCACGTCATTATTGCACAACCAATACCTCATGGTGACCACCAAATCCCATCTTGGATTATTCCATTGCAATCGTCTTGTGTGCAATGCGGCCTCAAAAAACCTTTTCCAAAGCGAGGTATCATTACAAAACTCTCGTAATAATCACGCACTTCGATTAAACGACAGAGAGTTTGAACAAGCTAACCGGATATCGTTCTCTCAGTTGATTCCCGAACTCTCGTGTGTTGTGGTGGCGTCGCAATCAGGAGTGGCGTCATTATATCGATTGACGTGTTTCCGAGGCATTCACGCGTTCCGACAAGAATATATCTTTCCTGATCCTAATCTTGTTAGTTCTCAACAGCAAGGGATCCATGCCTCGAAAATTTTGAGTGGGATTTGTGTGAGAAGGGTGAAGATCGAGGAATTCGATCGGTTTTATTTACACTTGGTGTATAATAATGGTGCCCATTTATCGTATGAATTGTATGATGATGATCATCGAAATTTGGCAATGGATTTGATCATATAAGAAAATTATCAATTAATGTCAAGTACTGATATTAATGATAAACTTAATATATATATTGTTGGTGCTTAGACTTTCCCTTAAGTGTCTCTATTTGAGCTAATTCTTCGTACAGGAAGACAGCTTACACCAATTTAATGACTTTTACGCTTGTTGTTTTCCATAGTTGCATATACAACCATATGTACATGATTTTGTCTTTATTATACAATCATTTATATCAGGTTACTGATCATCTGATTAATTTTCCCTGCATCATTATCATGTCACAATTACATCATGTAGTATTATCAATACACTCTGTATTGAAAGATACTTCCTTAGTACCTCATAATTCATTTATTACATTCTAGCTAATGGATTTTCTACCACTCACAAGTTTCGGCAATCAGTTTGGCCAATAGCTCCAAATACTTTTGATCCACTTCGTCGAATCCTTCAAGTTCAGTATTATCAAGATCAATCACCCCACGGACCACTCCTTCAGCGTCGACAATTGGCACGACAATCTCACTCTTTGTGATCCCATCACAGGCAATATGTCCTGGGAATTTCTCGACGTCTGGCACCAATTGGGTGAGTTTCTCGCCTGCAGCGGTTCCACATACCCCACGGCCAATCTTAATTGTTTGACACGCCACAAGCCCTTGGAATGGTCCCAAGATCAATTGTTCGGAGACATTTTTGTCCATGACGTAGAACCCGGCCCAATTGACGGATTTCCCACGAGATGGAGGGGCAAGGGAATGATAACCGTGCCAGAGTAGTGAGGCGGCATTGGCAAGGTTGCACACCCAGTTGGTTTGCCCATCCGCAAGAGCCTGATACGACTCGACGATTTGTTCGAGAACTTCGTGTTTTTCGGTCTGAGAGAACCGGGAGTAGTCTCCATGATGTTTACCGTCAGAGCCCATACTTATAACTATGGTAGATAGCAATATAAAAAAACTGTAGGTTAATAATAATTAATATCTGTGGATTTTTGATGATTTTGTTATGAATTTTTTCATTTTTTTTTTTTTTTTGGTTGCAAAAATCCACCAAAATATTACACCAGCCCACATGATCAAGTCCACAATAAGGATATCAATAATATATAAATTCTAAGTAACGCTCTAATTGTATTGCCATCATCTAACTACTTAAGTGTATATAATAGCAAATGAATCCTCATTTCTAAATGGTCAAGTATCCTGCACACAACTGTTGACCCCCAGAAGTGGCCCTGGCAGTACATCCGGTGCTGGCGCCCTTGGAGACCGGAAGACAGAGACAATTATTCTTCCAACTGCCAGTGGCGCAAAGGTTATTAGATGCTACAGGGGTGGCGCTTTCTGCTTTGTCAAAGATCGCTTGCTTATTAACTGCCTCTTCCAACAGGAAATACTGGAAAACTTCGGTGACGATCGCCTGTTTCCCACTCCCGTCACTGGTGCAAGCAAGATCGTAACCTCCGGTATTAGCATCGATAGTATAAGCAGAGGCAAAACTCAGGAAAGGATACCAAGTTCCTGGTTTGATTCCGTTTGCGGTGATGCTTGATTCGTAATTATACGCTGGTTTTATGTTCCCACCAGGATAGAACTTCTGAACGATCTGTGCGTAGTCCAGGATTTGTGCTGCCACCACTTGGTCAACGATAGAAACCCCACTGGCTTTCTTACCTTTCCCACGACGTTCCAATTCGACGTTGCTGCCGTGTTTCTTTCTAGTGGATTCAGTTTCTCTGGCATTTTGGGTTTTTGTTGCAATTTCCACGGTCTCGGAAGCAATATGGACGGTGGCAGCGGGAGTATCGATATGGACGGTGGTAGCTGGAGTATTGATATGAACTGAGGTTGCGACTCCTGAATTGACAGTGGAGGCTATTTCAAGTTGTCCAGTGGACGCTTTCAGAATCCCCGCGGTATTGATGGTGATCATTTGGGTTTCTTGGATAGTCTTACCGGTTTCCATGGCACTTCCAGCAGTATTAATCATCAATTCACTCGATGCCTTTATACTCGTTCCACTAGAATCCCCAGTCTGACTTTGTGAAGCAGTTCTGGTGCCCGTAGAAGTCTCTTCACTGGCGCTGGTAGAGCTGGTGCTGGAACTGGAACTGGAACTGGAACTGGCACTGCTGCTACTGCTACTGCTACTGCTGAGCTCACAAGAATCGCCGTCTTCATATTCTTCTTCCTCTTCTTCTGAGGTAGAGGAACTGGACGAACTCAAGGCATCTCTTTTTCTCTTAGTTGTAGAGCACGAAGTATCAGCATAACATGTCTTGGCAAGACTTTTGAAATCTAGAGAATGTTTGAATATCTCATGTGCCCATGTCTGTTGATTAGTCTGTGAGCCAATCCCGAGCCAGAACGTATTAAACTCGATCAGTTGAGTTGAGGATAAGAAATCAGTGATCTGTACTGCCAATTCGGCTTCGGATACTGGCAAATCACCATTATTATTCTGATCAAGGAGCACTTCTAAATATGTCTCCTCGGTGGCTTTATCACCCCAGATCCCGTGTAATTTGAACCCACCTGAACCAGCAGAAGGGATCCATCTTTGAGCCATCACCAAGTATAAATCTTTATCAGAACATTTTCCTTCTGTGGCCGAATCAGGGAGTCGTTGGGCAGGTGTCACCGCATTACTGCTGGTGCCTTTCTTTTTCACCGGGGCAGCGTGGACTACCATCCAAAAAAGAACGAGAATGGGAATAGATTTGATGAGCATGGTTGCTATAAGTTGTAATTGTTAATGTTTTTGTGCTTATTATTCATTTCTTCATCAGTTGAGTATTCGTTCGAGGAAAATAAATCAGTTAAATGTAAAACTGGAAAATATCATTAGTACAGATCAGCGTTGCTCCCTGCGCATGGGTGCGACCAAGATGCGGCTCAACATGAAACATTCGGTGGGTGTAGGGAGAGTCACATCAACTCCCTCCACTTTTCTTGGGTTTCAACCTTATTTAATAATGGTGTCTCAATGATCTTCAATTTGCAGAAATCGTAACTGGTAGACCGCTAAACTCATGGGGAGTTTACACTTTATTGTCCACAAAAATGAGTCGTATTTTGTGAACAATCCGTTTTGCAGTGGGTACACTAGGTGTGCCACAGTCAGATCTGTGGATAGATATATTGAAGATTAGATAAATCAGTAACTGACAGCATACTCATATATGGAGTAATGTTGGACAGTTATCATGTTTTCATTTATTCTGGATTAGCCAAAAATTTTTCTCTATAATTGTTTTTGTTTCTTATGCAAATAAACATCCTTTGTACGTTGTACTGGATCCTTATTCTTTCTTCCGAGATAACTCCAATATCCAACTATGTGACATTTAGCATATAGTACGGTATATTCGGGGTTAAATTATTAGTCCCAAACACACCATACATGCGAAACATCACTATTCAAGAAGTCGCAGAAAAATACGATCGACCATTCGTAAAAAAAAAAAAAAAAAAGGAAAAGGAAAAGATCGACAGCCAAATCGATCTGAAACCATCATAATAATTTGGTCATATGGTAACTAATACCATTAAAAAAAAGTTGTCTAGTACATTTTGGTACCCATTTATTCTATTTTTGAATTTTTACCATCGCTTTTCCACATGCTATTGTAAGTTAATGTCGTATTGTATCTGACACTTCTAATTCTGCAGTGACCTTGGGCTGCTTTGGTGCGGGTGTTGCAAAAATATTGGACTATATATGTTGTAGATAAACATTAAATATGAGAATATGGATTATTATAACAAGGAAATAATCTTGCTAAAATTAAGCACCAACAGCAATTAAATAGATCAATTGTTTTCCCAAATCACTATGAAATCAGTGCTGCTTCAATATCAAATATACGATACCCTCAGACAATAAGATGCATGAACGATAATTCAAAATTAATTGCTACAAAACGTCTCACAAGGTGATTCTCACCAAATCATAATAATACTAACTTTAGCTCATAGAAAAATAACATTAGACAGAAGTACGAATAATTTTTGCCTTTTCGATGATGTTTGACTACTTCATGTGCCCAAGTGCACAGATTAGGTTTTGGCCCGACCGCGAGCCAGAGCTTATTAAATAGCACTACTTGAGTTGAAGAATCTGATGGATACAATTGGGATTAGTGGCAATTGATAATCGGCTTTTTGATTTATTCAATTGATTTTTGAGTTTGTTTGTTTTTTTCCGAGAGAGTCACAACTGTGAATTATAAAACCACGTAGAATCCACTAATACTCCGTGCCTCATGGGTGCGACTTTTACGATGCAGTTCAACTCAACATGAAACGGTAGCTGATTCCCATCAACTTCAACCACTTTTTATTTATATAATATTAGACTCACCAGCACTAATAACTCACCCATACCGGGAATGGTGTTGGATCATTACCATGCTATCATTTCATTATCACTTAACTAAGATTCTCCAAAAATTCATGTATTTTCAATTTAAATGTAGGTTTTTCTAGCCCTTGTACTTCCTTCCAAGATGATTCCACCCAAATATCCGAATCTGTGACATTAATTGCAATATCCATGCAGTGAGTTATTAGTCCCAAATTCATTTTTATCCATATGGGTAGTGTCAAGTAGGACAATACCGTGGGAAATTTTTGTTCTTTAATAACCGTTTATACTATTTCTAATGGTATTTTTTAATGGTATTTTTACATCGTTTTACAGCAGGACATGGCGCCTAAAACTTCTAATTCAGGGGGGACTTTACGTAGTGACCCGAGTGGCATTGGCAAAGAAAATATTGGAATCTACATATGTGGTAGAAAGTAAATATTATGATAAAAGTATAGATGATTAATTAAGAATCTCACCACACAGTATACTGTAGCATAATATGATCTGCAATTATTTGATAGGTACGAATACTATACAAAGTGTACGCATAGTTTCAGAATTTGGAACTTGCAAATATTAAGAATACACTCATTACCATGCACCATGCTTTGGTTGGAATTGTCTGATACCTCCTTAATTCAGTGTTCTTGATTTTCTATACTGGGAAAATTACTAAGAAGTTTTTTCAGGCATAGCATGATATTTAGTTTCTCTGTTTCTTAGACTGCAAAATTATTATTTTTAATATTGTTAACCTGTTGCCATTGGCTTACAATACTCGCTACCTTTACTATTTATCTAATTTATTTGCAAACAAACCAATCACCGTATATATACTTCTGGCTTCCTCCCCAGAATACTACTAACCCACGTTCACAAAAAAACTCTTCAGAATAACCCGAATTCCTTACTTACAGATCCTGAACCACATTCACAAACAATAACCAACTTAGGATTATTAACATGGGAAAAAATATCGTGGAAATTGGGTTTCACTTGCAATGTAAAATATCTGGCAAGGTCATTGTAAGCCTGATTACTTTGGAGTTCTCTCACTTTTTTCATTTCTGGAAGTTTCGTATTAATCACTTGAAGTTCTTTCAAACTTTTAAGCAGCGCGAGTTTTTTAATCGTTGACCATTCTTCAATTTTGGTATCATTGGCTAACAACGTGTGGAGGTTATTCAAAACATCATCTTCATAATAATCGGCAACATCAATCAATGTTGAAGAAATATCTAAAGTTTGCAAATCTTGCATCGAAGATAACCCACATAGTTTAGATAAATGACGATTGAGGCATACATTGAGATCGATCAACTTGGGTACTGTGGAAAGATCCAAAACTCCGGACAATTTATTACCAGCGATCCCTAAGAACCTCAAACTCGCAGGAAGTTTTCTGGGTAAAATTTGAATATCATTAAAATTCACATGAAGCACCCTTATGTTATGGAGCTGGGAAGGCACAAACATTTGCTCGATTTGATTATTGTTGAGATCCAAAGATAATAACCCGCATAATTCTCCAAGACCGTCCATTGACGTGAGTCGATTATTTGCCAAGGATAATACTTGCAAATTGGCCAAGTTATCAAGATTGGCGATTTTCAGAATCTCATTGCCATCCATATTGAGGAAAGTGAGATTGATCAACTCGGTAGCCCAGGTACCAATTTCTAATAATCCACAACCATTCAATACGAGACTGGTCAACATTGGAAACCGTACTGCAAGACTCATTTCGCGGGTATACCCAAAAATTTCTCCAGGCCTTTTATCACCAGCACACGATTTTATGTCCAAAGTTTCTAACTTTGGAGCCACCATTTGGTCCAAGTTTCTTAAGACCGAACACCTAGTAAACTCCGCAGTTTGAAGGTTGGGGAATTCGTGATGCCTCAAATCTACCACACAGGCAGGGGTATAGTGGCCATTCATTATCATGTTCACCATACTTTGATGGGGCAAGATATCTAATTGTCCCGGAAAAACCAACGAGATGACCAGGATCACTGGATTATTAATCTTGGGCATGGGGATCTCGGTGATCACCTTGGTCAAATTCGGGAGAGAATCAAGAAACATTGCCAATGATACCTGGAACGCGGTTTGTTGTTTAATGAGGTCAGCCCCACTAAGAGAGGTTTCAGTATTCCAAACATTGATCTGTTGGACAAAGTTTTTCAAGGATCCGAGTTTCCCCCCATCATCGAGCTTGATCATAAGGGCATTATTGACAATCGATACCATGATCCTCGTTGGGCCTAATACCACAGGAAAGAGAGTTTCTCCAAGGAGACTCGCACCAATATGAAGTTTTCTAACCAATAAATGGTCGCAAATATCATGGGAGACACCAAGGGGGATCTGATTTCTAAGACGTAGTAGCAGTTCTGTTTCAAGGGTGCGGAAAATTGTCACCAAGGTATCGTCTGGTAATTTATCCAAATAAAACATTATGGAAACACAAAAAAAAAAGAAAAAAAAGAAAGAAAAACAAATGCGTAATATAATAGATTGTCTCCGTATCGAAAGAAAAAGAAGATCGAGGATTTATGGGGATTTATATATAGATGGAAATGATCGATTAAATTAGGTGTATGACAATCAATGACTGCATATGAACACAGCCAAAGAACACAACCAACCAAAACTAACACAATAGCTTGGAAAGAACAAAAAAAAAAAAGATTATAATTGCACCCAAGAAAGAGTGTTAAATCAATTAACTCCCACTCATGTGGGCTTAAGGATCTAATTACCAATAGTGGTGCTATTTTTTTTTTTTTCTTTTCCTTTTGAAAACGACGTATTAAGCCTAACCTGATTTGAGGCAACATCGGCCGCAATTCTCTCACCCTGTCCCCTAAATATGTATCCGGCGATCTAGACTAGTATTTTGCTCGCCTGGCATTGCTAATTTTGAATTAAAAGTTTAGCAAATGTGAAATTAATCATTTAATTGACTTCTGACAGTGCATCGACCGTGAGTTATGTCATGGGTTCGTATTTATACCGTGTGTTTCTTTTAGATATTACCAAAAATGGCAGCCAACCAGAAAAAAGAACTACAATAAACAGCGCCAATCAACAGCATTTCAACATTCAAAATAAATCGCAAAAAGAGAAAAAAAAGATAGATAAGATAATACTAATAAAATAGACAGGAGAATGGTGTGTGAGTGGACACCAATGGGAATTTCAGGAAAAGTAACAAGTGCTCGCACAATATAACTCAAGAACTAAAAACAGAAAAGAAAGGAAAAAAAAAAAGAGGATAAAAAATATTAGCTAGTAAAAAAGGGGGATCGATTCAGATAAGTTAAAAATAAGTGAGTGATGTATAATTGAGGCAGTAGGATGAAATAATAATGTAGTTGAAAAAGATAGCGATGTTTCCTCTAGAATTGGCAGTGGTGAGATTCAGTGCCATATAAATGAAACAAACAGGAACACAGGGATAAACATATGTGTTTTCGTAACTGGTAAGAGTTAAATGCTTTGAGGCTCAACCACATATACATAGGCATTGACCAATAAATAAATAAATAAATAAATAGAAAAGCAAATAATAGACATTGTATATGAAAAAACGTCAAATAATATAATGAGTCGTCTCTCATATGATATCTTGACTCAAATAGTCAGAACAAAAGAGGGGAGAGAAATAAAAAAAAAAAAACAAGGATCAATCATTCCTCAAAGATGTCAGGGGGGCACACAAATAAAAGTTGATTCATAATCAATTAATCTTCTTCACCAGCTTGGGCACGACGTTGTTTTTCTCTTTGGATTTGTTGGTACAATAAACTCAATGCTTTATCAACACTGTATTGACTACCAATGATGGTGAAACTACGTTCTTCATTTTCATTATCTTCTTGAGCAATGGAAATTTGGGCACCAGAGTTTTTACGGATTTCTTGGATCTTGGAACCCTTCTTACCAATAAGGCATCCGACATAATCCGATGGGAAATCAACCACTTGGGTAGTGGATGAGGCAGAAGCTTCGTTAGTTGAAGAGGAGTTGGCAGAATGGTTTGATCCGCCATTGTTGTAGCGTGGGCGATTTTGGTGGGAGTGATCAGACGATTGGTAGCCATGATCAGCAGAGTTGTGGTGACCACCACGTTTTTTTGGTTGCGGAACGTAGTAAATGGTTCCGGTGGCTCCATGCCAGTCTTCAATGAGACAACGGACAATGACTTTAAGGGCGCTTTCAATGTTTTCTGGGGTACCTTGGACCTCAACCACTCTTTCGGTGGAATCTTGGAGGAATTCTTTGGAGGCGACAATTTTGACGTCGTAGTTTTCTTGAAGGGCCTTGATCCGACTACCTTGTTTACCAATTAAGGTCCCCATTTGGGAGTGAGGGATCAAAAGACGGAGAAAAGTTTGGCCATCTTGAGCAGGAGGACAAAGAGACTTAAGAGGGAAGAAACTGTATTGTTGTTGTTGGGCCACTGGGGATTCCAACAAGGCTGTGGCGAAAAGAGCAAGGGCTTCGGCAGTTGCATCGACTGGGCCAGAAACAGTGAGAATACGGTCAGAGCAGCCCATAATGACTTTGGAAACCCCTGATTTGACTCCGGTTTTTTCACGGACGTTGGCAACACAGTTACCATTCTTACCAATGACAATACCTGCTTCTTTGGTGGAGACAAGCACTCTGAAGGTGATAAGCGCGGTGTTCAACAGGACGTCTGGAAGGACATTGTCGATGGTTGAAGGGTGATCTTCGGTGGTGAGTTTGGTATCGAAAAGAGATTCGTCGGACATGATTGGATTGGTATTATCGGTGACGAGTAATTGGTGGATGATACTGGTGATGAAGTTGAGATTGAAATAATCGTTGCCAGATATGCAAACAGCTCAGAGACAATCAGAAATAGAAAAAAGGAGGAGGGGGATAAGGAGCAATGGTGGATGGATAGATGTATGTTATGCGGGGGATTGAGGGCCAGGCAATTGATGTGATTGAGACTATTACACCTTTGATGATTATTGTCAGTGATCCCTTTTTAACTGTTTGGATCATCAAAATAATTACAAGAGAAAAAATTTGCTGACAACTTTGGGGTGGGTGAAAGGCGTGGGATCCCCGATGGAGTGGGAGGATGTGCGATAGGGCACCTGACAGCAGGCGGGAGCAAATCCCTGCGGGAAGCGGGAGAGCGAGCGAGATGTCTGGGTGTGTGTATGTGTCTGGTGTGTCTGGTGTGCGGGTGATTCGGGGGGTAATTTTCCTGTGTTGTTGTTGTTTACGTAAAGGAAAAAAAAAAAAATTCTCAGAGAACGAAGGCTGATCTGTGTGCGGTGTGATAAAAAGTGACGAACCACGACAACGACGACGTTTGCCAGGATAAATTAATCACTGGACAACAACAACAACAACAACAATAACAACACACTCTTTTTTTGTCACCACTACACACACATACACACACACATATATATAGTCCCTTTTTCTTTCCTTCCCGTCCTTTTCCCTCCTCTTCATCCAACCATGAATTTCACCCTGAAAGAAAGCGGCGAACCGTATTATTCCAAAGCCGGTTATGATTCAAAGGCAAACTATGAAGCACTCATGAAATCTCCTTCAGAAATCCTCAGTCCTACCAACAGCACCTTTGGCTCTCCTAAACCAGGGACTTCTAGAGTCATTGACTCCCTTCATCAAAACATTGATCTGCTCAAGAATGAACTTCAAGAAGTCAAACTGAAACATGAAGACGACAAAAATAAACATGTGTCCATAAAGAAGAGGTACGACCAAGTGGTTGAACAATTGGCTACACAAAAACACGAAAATGACATGGTCAATGCTCTCCTTGAACGTAAACAAAGACGTATTACTGACCTAGAAGAAAAATTGGGAGAATCCATGAACTCTCAAGAAGACTACAAATTCAACTTGACCAATCTCGAAGTCAGATGTAAAAAACTTCAAGAAAGTGAAAGGGTTGCCACCAGTGAATTCGAGCGGATGAAGATTGCTTATGAAACCGTCGTCACTTCTCAAAAAGAATACCGTGACTATTATACCAAAGAAATCAATTCCCTTAAAGATCTGTTGGCCAGTTATGTCGCTGAACGTACTGAAGCTTTAGCAGAAACTAAACAACAGATTATCAGCTCTGATTCCGATATTTCTTCAAGCATGAAACAACTCACCGAACAATCTCGCTCTCTTGAAAACCAATACGCCGCTAAGAACTCTGCGGTCATTGACACTTTGAAATCATTGGCAGTCGCTGCCAAATCACACGGTTCAGACACTCAACTTATCATCAACCAATGTAACTTGGTATTCAACGAACTTAAAAACCGTTTTGATTTGGATGTCACCCAATTGATTGAAAATTATAAAGACAGAGAAGTTGACAACACCATTGAAAAACTTCTTGGTATCGATTCCACTTCTTCCTCTGCTGTCGTCCCATCATCTCCTCAACCACATCAAACTTCTAATAAATCAACTCCAAGTCCAGGGGCTACTCTTCCAAAGAAACGTGGCTCAGTTCGCAAACCAAGTGCTACCACCACTACTCCTTCTCCAAGAAATGTCTCAAACGGTTCTGCTAAAGAGCAAGAAAATATTGATCCAAAATCAAGAAAATCGGACAATAATGGGGACGCCAAAAAGAAAGAACCAAAGAAAAATGATCGTCGCAGTTTGAGTGGTGCTGGCAGCTCCAGTAATGGTCCATCAATCACCGCTAGCCCATCTCTTAATAGCATTGCTGCGTTTAGTCCGAACCCAAATGGTAATAACAACAAACGTCACTCCCGCAAAGCCAGTCTAACAAAGGGTGCAGATTTTGGGGATTTTGAAAAAAAATCGGTGAATAAACTGAAACGTAACTCTCTTGCGAACGATCTCATGAATCAAGATTGGCGTGGTAGCTCTCCTTCCGCCCCAGGAACCCCAAAACTAAATAACTCCTTCAATGAAGAGGATGAAAAGGATGAAGTTGATGACGAAGTTGCCGATGGTGATGCTGGGAAAAAGAAGAGAAAGAGAAAGAGAAATAGAAAAAGAAAGAGCATGAAACCAGAAAATGACCCTTCTGCTGCCGACACAGAACTTGATGATATCAACAATATGATTAAGAATGATTTGAACTTAACTACAAGTAATGAATAGATAAAGAGATATTATTATTTGATAGATTTTATATTCATCAACATTTGTTTCTTTACTTCAATACCTTTTTTGTTTTTTGTTTTTTTGAAATTTCCATTTTTTTTTTTCATTTATCTTTTATTCGCTTCGCTTTGTACATTTTGTTTCAAGTTTCTGAATATTGTTCTTTTGTTGTTATTTTTTTATTGTTCGTTATCTGTTGATTTCCTCGCAATTTCCACCGCCTTGAGCCAAATCTGTTTTCTGTTCACCCTTATCATCATCATTAAGTAGATAATATCATTTTTATTCAATGCAATACATTTAGAACAATTAAACGACTTTTTGTCATTTCAATTTTTTTTTTTTTTTTCTTTGAAAGAAATTGTAAAAATCATTTTTTTATCTACAATTTTAAATTTCCCAAAAATAATTTACATGTATTTGTTTTTTACATTATCATTATTCAGCTATCCCCACCTCATGTAATTCCACAGATCCATCATCATACGCCACCGCTACCCAATGGTTGGCCATATCTTTCAAAAACCTCTTGTAAGAAAGTAAATCCTTCACATTAGCAGCTTTATAATCCCGGGCCAACTCATTTAAACTTTTCAATGACTGAACTTTAGCAACCCTAACCACATTTGATTTAAACCTCCGAATTTGTTTATTCGCCAAAATTTCCGGATCGTTAGGGTTGGCAGAAAACTCTTTTGCAATATGTGCTTTTTCCTTGGTAATTTTGAACGGGAGTTTATTTAGATCACGATTATTATTCGTATCGACAACCTGTTGGTAAAACTTTACTTGACCGTTCCAGAACGTCACTGCCACCAAATCATCGATTCTCGTATCCACTGAGGATATCCCAATAGATTTTAAGTCTACCAGCAACTCATAATCATCATTAATTTCCTTTACTTCCAGCACAATATTCAGAATTCTCGACACCATCAACTTGGACCCCGTTGAGGATACCAACAATTGGCAATGTTTCATATCCATGGCGATATCTAAAATGGGATTCGGATAATGGAAAGAATTGATCTCATTCACAACAATTCCTGAACCCGAAGTCGTATCCCCATAAATGATATGAGCAATGGCATCGGTATTACCTTCGGCTATTCGTTGGTACGTCGATTCGAGATTATCGACATTGAGCATATCCTCAAGTTGTTGGATTTTCCGATCATCGATGTATGTCAAACTTTTAGTATTTGGTGGGAAATATAACGTGAGTAAATGGCCACTTTCAAATCCCAACACTAGTTGGGTTGGGGAGATCCACTTAAGTTTCATGATGATCCCCAATTTTTTGAGTTTTTTCAATTCCGAAGATGACATCTTGAGGCTAATGTTCTTCACAAGGATTCCTGGATCGATACTTTCAAACATCATTTCGGTCGAGTACTCCCTGGTTTTAGAGTCATAATTGACCACTGTCACATCGAAAAAATCCGGATTAAGACGATTCAATGAACAAAATCTATCATTTAGCACATCAATATTGCAAAAATTCAACGAATTGATTTGCTCCACGAGCACCGGAGTCAATTCCACCACATTTGCAGTTGGACCATTACCAGATGGTATAACACTAGTGGTATTGTTGATATAGCTTGCTAAATCCCAAAGTTTCATGGTATTATCTCTAGAATGGGTCATTAATAATCCAAAATAATCACCAAACACCGGGATCAAACAATCGTGGTTTTCTTCGGAAATCCTCCATTGAAGCCCGAGTTGTTTCACTGAGAGAATATTATTATCATGAGCCTTCCATTTAAGTATTGGTCTTCTGGTATTCAAGTTCCACCATACTAAAGTTCCTGTCTCATCCCCGGAGATCAAGGTTGTCGATAGCAATTGATTGGTTTGTGAATAGTGGTTGGGGGAATAGAAATACTCGAGAACCGTTACTGGACAATCATGGGATCTTAGAGTGAACTTCAAATTGCCAGTCCTGGCCATTTGTTGGGTAGTATATATAACAATATTAACCTTTTCTCTAGAAGATGATATACTTCTGGTATAGAACTTCCTTTGGTGCAACATTTTTTTGTGCTGATCACATGACAAACAAGTCCCCCTTTATCGAACGCTTTCAATTATTATTCCATCTGACACCTAATAATAATCATTCTGTCATTACACACACAATCATATATAACATCCACCAAGTCAAGCCATGGTAGACATCTCCGTCAATGTCAAGAAGGCCTGCTCTGTGGACGAGACCGCTCCCAAACGTAAACACGTCAGAGCGTGTATCGTCTACACGTGGGACCATCGGGACTCGAAACCGTTCTGGCAGTCGTTGAGAATCACCCCAATTCAAACCGACGAGGTCCAGGTGTTCAAAGCATTGATTGTTATCCACAAAGTGTTACAAGAGGGCCACCAAGTTACTCTCAGAGATGCCCAAAGAAACCGGGATTTTATTGATGGATTAGGCAAGATCTTTCACGGCGAAGGGTTCAAGGGCTATGGCAAACTTATCCGCGAATATGACCAGTTCTTGATGCAAAAATTGGCCTTCCATAGGAAATACAAGGAATTTAACGGGACCTTCGAGTACGAGGAATACATTTCTTTGAGGGCCGTTTCCGATCCAAATGAGGGGTACGAAGCCATTCTTGATTTGATGTCGTTGCAAGATGCGATCGATGATTTACAAAGAGTGATTTTTGCCAGCATTTCCCACGATAGGGGGTCGGAATGTAAAATCTCTGCCCTTGTGCCATTACTCACTGAGTCCTACGGGATTTACAAGTTTGTCACCTCGATGCTCAGAGCCATGCATCAATCCACCGGTTCGGACGAGGCGTTGGAACCATTGAGACAAAGATATAATTCTCAACACGCCAGGTTATACGAGTTTTACGCGGATTGTTCGTCGATTCGTTATTTAACCTCGTTGATCAACGTGCCAAAGCTTAGTATCGATGCCCCAGATTTGTTTGTGGATGAAGAAACTGGCCAACGTCGTGCCACTCCTCCAAAAGAACCTTCACCAGTTGCTGCCCCTGCTCCTCCTCCAAAAGAAGAAACTCCTGATAGGCTTATTGGCCAACCAACCGGGATTGACTTCTGGCAAAACCAACAAGAAAACTCCGAGGCCGAACAAGCTAGATTGGCGCAAGAAAGAGAGGCGCAGATCTTGGCCCAACAACAGGAACAACTCCGTCAACAACAAATGTTTGAGCAACAAAGAGCCGAATTGGCCCAACAACAAGTTAATCAACAACAAGCGATGTTCCACCAGCAAGCTCAAGGGCGGGTGGCAGAATTGGAAAGAGATTTGTTATCGGTTAAGAACCAATATGATCAAGATCAATTATTATTGCAATCATACGATCAAAGAGTCAAACAATTGGAGCAAGACGTTCTCAATGCCAACCAAGCTGCTACTCAACAAATCGCCTCGAAAGATCAAATGATCAACAGTATTCAAGAACAAATCAACTTGTGGAAAAATAAGTATGAATCGTTGGCCAAGTTGTACAGTCAATTGAGACAAGAACATTTGAATTTGTTGAATAAGTACAAGAAATTGCAACAAAAGGCCGCGTCATCACAAGAAGCCATTGACAAGCGTGAAAAAATGGAGCGCGACATGAAGGCCAAAAACATCGAATTGGCAGATTTGATCCGCGAACGTGATCGTGCAAGATTGGAACTTGACAAGTTGAGAGGGGCCAAAGATACTCAAATTGACAGATTGGAATTGGAAATCAGAACTTTGAAAGACAATTTAGATTCCGTGGAGAAAAACCAATCTTCTAATTTAACCGCGATTTTCTCGGCTCATAAAAAGGAAATTGACGATTTACAACAGAAATTCAAGCAAGTGGATGGAATGTCACCAGAAGTTGAAGATAAATTGCGTGAAAAAGAAGAAGAAATTGAAATCTTACAACAAACTATGGATGATACTATCAAACAATTAGCAGAATCTAAAAAGGCCGGTGATGATGCCCTTGACGAACAAATTGATGCAGTGTTAGAGGCTCATCTCCAAAAACTCATTAGCATTGTTGATTCGATTTTAAAGAGCGGGATTGCAAGAATTCAAGATAGCTTATTTGAATTGGACTCGCCAATGCAAACCGGTAATCAGAACTCTTCCCCAGCTTATTTGTTATCGATCATTGAAAAAGCCGGGGTTTTGGCCCAAGATTTCGGTACCGCGTTCAATAATTTCATTGCCGATGGTCCAGGCGGCAATCATGCTGCCATCATTTCTACTGTCTCCGGGTTCTCTACTGCGATTTCCGATGTGATTTTGAACTCCAAAGGGGTAATCAGATTATCAAAAACTGAACAATTGTCTGAATCCATTCTTGCCTCTGCCAGATTGATTGCGGAAACCGCCATGGATTACCTTGATGATTTACTCAATGAGAATTTGGAAGGCGATTCTGATGAAACCAAAACTGATACTGTTATCAATGGGGTGCTTGAAATCCATGAAAGATTGACCGAGTTATCGGAATTGGCAGAAACTTTGGCGCCAAAGATCGAACTTAAAGGTGAATTAGATAAATTGGTTGATGATGAAATGAATTCTGCTGCCCAAGCCATTGCTGCCGCGACCTCTCATTTGACAAGCTTATTGAGCAGTAAACAACTTGCAGCCCTTGATCCAATCAATATGGAAATCAACAAAGCGATCCTTGCTGCAGCAATTGCTATTACCAACGCGATTAGTTTATTGATCCAAGCCGCCACTGATACACAAAATGAAATTGTCGCTAATGGGAAAGGTTCTAGTACCAGAGCCCAATTCTACAAGAAACATAACAAATGGACCGAAGGGATGATTTCTGCTGCCAAATCCGTCGCCGCCGCCACCAATATCTTGATTAAAACCGCCGATGGATGTCTTGGACAAACCAACTCGCACGAAGAATTGATTGTTGCCTCTAATGAAGTGGCTGCGTCTACTGTCCAATTAGTGGCCGCCGCCAGAGTCAAAGCCACCTCGGCATCCAAGACCCAAGACCGTTTGGAAGAAGCAAGTAAAACAGTGTCGATGGCGTGTAAAGCCCTTGTTAGTCAAGTGCAAGCGATGATTGCCAAATCGCACGCTGTGGAAAATGATGTGGATTTCTCAAAATTGAGTATTCTTGATAATAGAAAAGCCGAAATGCAACAACAAGCGGAAATCGTCAAACTTGAAAACTCCCTTAGCGCTGCTAGAAAAAGATTAGGGGAGATAAGAAAATACAGTTATCAAGATGACAGTGATAGTGAGGCTGATGAGGATTATTAGTTCGTGTTTAGGTAACCTTTCTTTTTAGATAGCTGCTTTTTTTTTCTTTTAAGTTCTTATTTAGAAAGACTTTCAATTTTTTTATTACTAGGCTTTAATACGAACCATTTAATTTGATATACTTATTGAAAATCTTTGATGTTCTTATCTTTTGTTAATGTGATTTGCTTCTAGTAACATTTTATAAAACTACAACCCTCGTAATAAGCCAATTGATTTATTCCTTTTGAGTATTAAGATTAGTAAAAAGAAACATATAATGTTAAATACTTCCATAGTATCACTAAATGGTAACAGGTTTTAATGAGAAAGCAAAAAAAAGAAAAAGAGGAAAACAGAACGATTGCAACATACCCCAAGTCGTTTGTAATCATGTTGTTATTTCCGGAGTAGTGGATGGGCCACCTCTGGCTCTTCTATTAGTAAGCTATTAATCTTTGTTAGTATTCAAGTATTTAATATTCATTCAAAATAGTTCGAGTTGTGCTTACCCAAACTCTGACTTGTTTCCCAGTCAATCCTGACTCTTTAGACATTTTTGTTCGCTCTTTGGCATTCAATTTTCTCTTCTTCTGGAAAACAGATTCTAAATAGGTTGTAGTTCTTTTGGAGTATCTGGTTCTACCTGATTTCTTTTTTTCGTTATTGTGAGCTTCAATAAAAGCATCGGCATTAACATTGTTCGATTGTAAGAAATATTTTAATTTTGATAAAATTATTTCATCTCTCATTAATTCTGATTCTATTATGTAGATATGACACATCAATTCTTTTTCAAATCTCTTGAAAATTATATTCCTATCTGCAAAAATGTATCCATTTACATTTGTACTACCTTGAGAAAGCTGCTCAAATTGTTAGTATGAGCCATTTGAAATCAAAATAAATTATATATGCTCACCTTTATAGTTTCTTCTAATGATTTCTGATACATTTCAATTGACCGCTTATAATCTTTTTTAAGCTGATCTGAAAGAACAGGAATGTCACAAAGCTTTCGCCCTTCATAAAATGGAAATTCTGAAAACTGATTTTTTTTTGGAGCACTTGTGACTTCCAAGATGAGCTTCATGCCTCGATCCAAAGTTCTAGAGATATTACCAACGGTGATTGCAGTCGTTTCGCTAAATTTCATTGTTGGAGCTCTGGTTTATAGTATTCAATAGAGGAGAATTGAGATTAAGGTGTTTATTGGAAAGACAGAGAGACCTCTAATTATAAGAAATCTCTTGGGAAGTTATCTCACATTCTCTTCTCTTATCCTTTTTTTTTTTCTTAAATTATGGTCAAAAATTTAAGGAGGCTTTTAATTTGAGACATTTACGATGCTCTTTCGTTCTTAGCCGCTAAGTTGCATGATTGACACTCACTCTTTTGTTTTTTATACTAAAAAACATCGAGGTTATTTCAGGAGAAATGATTAGGATAGTATGTCTGTGTGATCTACCACACAGGCTAAAATCATTTCACAAATGTTTTAGCAGAAAATGAGTCCCGTTTAGAGAGCTCTGAAGCATTCTTTCTTATTATGGTGTAATGCCGCCCCGCATTTTTTGATTTGGGGCTACATTAACCAGACATGTCGCAAGACCTGGGAGATAGAGACCTTCCCAAACAACAGTAAAATAAATAAATAATAACTACTCCAAATAATTCAGTTTATACTTTACAGAATCTTGAGAAATAATACAATACATATTTTGAGCAGCTGTCTTGATTTGATATTAATTATAATTCACTGTGCAAAATATTATCATATCCTCATATTTTAGATATCTCAATCTATTCTGTGTTTGAACACTCACTGATAGCTGACATGCGAAGACATATCTCCCCAAATGAGGCGAGACTCTACTGATCCTCTAAAAAAAAACCAGTAACATTTACTTATTTATATGAATGGAAAGCTCTCGTAAAATTTGTGAGAAGATTTATTGGTATATTCAAAATAAAATTAGGCACATTATTATCCATTTGGTTCCACTTTGTTACATTCACATCTGGCTAAAATGTATTCGTCTGGAGAAATTTATTCACTCACCTTCAAAATTCCAAAGAAAGATGAAAAGATACCAAAACTTGTACTTTCAAAGACAAAGTTTCCTTCTGTTAAAAAGAACGATGCTGTGAAAAAAGTGAGCTATGAAACCTATAAAATAATTAGCTGTGAACAACAATCCATAAACTCTACAGTAGTTACGCCTATCTCTCTGCAGGAAAAAGCAATATCGATGAGCTTTCGGCCAAGAAATCAGTTTATCATTGCCAGAAATATCATCAGCAAATATCTTAGAGAAGAAGAAGAGATTTCAAATGCCTCTATATCCAAGGCTGCAGCGAAGGTATGTCAAAGCTGCATTGTATTTTGTACGATACATCAAACTCTTGCATATAGCTTTTATTAACATTATCTAGATTTGGAAAGAATCTGACAATAACTTTAGATACTATTTTGAGTACTTAGCTTATTTTGAGAATCTCTGGCATCAAGAAAAGTTTCCAAATGATCTGTTGAGATTCAAAACAAAAAACTTTAAGGAGAAGATTATGCTTGAGTCTATAAAAGGAAATACGAACCATAGACAGAATACGAGAAAAATCTCTCCACAAAACATCGAACTGCGCTCAATTTTGAATAATGATAAACAATATGTTGATTTGTGTTCAACATCATACACCAAAGAGCAGACACAACAGATTACTAAAAAAAATTCAAGGCACTATGAGTTTGAAAACAAAGAAAAGAAAAGAAATTCAAAAAAAAATTCAGAAAAACTAACTGGAAGACCAGAGAAGTTATTTCTTTCTAAATTTTCCGTTTCAAAATCAACTACTAAAAAGAAAAGAAAGATCAGCACGAAAGAGAAAGAAACTTCAAAGAATGAAAATCTACTTTTATCCTTGAAACTTATTGAAGAAAATACAATATGCTCTCAAGAAATTAATATGGGGGCTCAGGAAAGCAGTGAATTCACTGGATTTTTGGACCAAGATTTACTTAAGTGCGATGGACTGTCCTTCCCATCACAAACTGATTTACTCCCTCTACCATTCTATGTTGAGTACCAAAATCAAGACAAAATTGATGAAGATGAAAATATCTTCTCAAAATATCTGGAATCGATGAAAATTATGAAGAGTGAGAATCAATACACTATTGATCAGCAAAGCACCATTTTGGGACATGAATTAAATGAGATATTCAACAGTAGCAGTAATGAGTGCCCTCCAGAACAGCCAAATTTAGGGATTGGAACTATTATTAACTCCCATTTAGCGATGGATAATAACCACCAGATAATGAATCAAGACTATCTAGTCCCCAAAGATTTTATTTCTATGCATCCTCAAGTAGACGAAAGAAACTATCAGAAAGAAAGATATCTGGCTTATCCTGCAGTGGCATTCTGTCAAATGGAATTCTTAGATTCTCTCATGACAGATAAATCACTAGTATTTGAGTCAACGGGTACCAAGTAATTAGAATATTTGAATAAGATTCTTCAAAAGCTATTTTGAGGGAGGACTATATATAATATACATTCTATATTTTTCCTTTAATGTTTCGCCAGCAGTTTTTGAAGGACTGGCTGATCCTTGTAAAATGTTCACTGAGGTGAAGCAAAAAAAAAAAAAAAAATTTGAAAATCATTTACACAAAAAATAGCAAAACCAAAAACCTAAAAAAAAAAAAAGAGGAGGTATCGGAAATACTACGATCTTTTGCCTAAGTCATCAAAGTAGTATCATGAACTATGAATACTGCCAGTAACACTAATTCCCAAGACCAATATAACGAGATAGACGATGAAATTGGACCGCGCCAAGATCGCTGGATCGGACCAGAAGAAGATTCCGATGGAATTGACGGAGATGATGATGATGATGATGATGATGATGATGATGATGAAGAAGAAGGAGAAGAAATAGCAATAGAGTATTATCAAGGGACAATTAACTCGAATGATCAATCATCAGACCTCTCTAATGATAGTCATTTCAATAATAACCCCCGGTCAGATGATAGGTTACTGCGGAATATATCCCATAGTATGGCTTCCTCGATCATTGGGGGTTCTTCTTTACAAAACCGCACCACCATCCTTGAAGAAGACAATGAATCCGAAGAAGAAGATAATGATGATCATGATGAGGATCAACCAATACAAATGCGTCCACAACGAAGATTCACCGCCCTTGATACGGGATATTTGAAAAATATCAAAGTAAAAGGTACATTGAGGAACTTTTCCTGGTCAAAAGTCCTGTCCACCACGGTTTCAACGATTAAAAGATCTCATACTTCTAGTGATATTCCTTCTTCCACAAATATTGTTGTTGATGCTGATGATGCTGATGATGATGATGATAATAATAATAATATTAACGAGGGTCCCAAAGTGTTTTCTTTTTCATTACCCTTTGGTGATTCTTTAATGAACATGTTGCCGAGCTCGGTTAGGATCTTGCCGAAATTAAAATTTTTCAATAACGACAGCTCAATCAGATTCATCAACACCCAGAATTATGATATCAAAGAACTCAAGCAAAAAGTCCAAAGAAAAAATTCGTTGTCAACTCTTGAAGAGGCGTACCTTTATAAGAATTTCAAAGGCGCCGATAACTCACGTCTACGAGCCGTTAGAAAAGCGTTGACCCCCAACATTGCCATCGATGCCATGAATTATATAAGCGATAAGAAGACCGCGATTAAAGGTACTCTACCATTGACCAATTCAATGAACGATATCATCAATCAACGGATCAAGGACAGGATCTATTATTCCGACACGATTTTCGACGAGCTCGAAGGAGACATTGTGATTTTGGGAGGGTATCGGGGAAGTATTTTACGAGATCGAGAAACCAATCGTAGGTTATGGATCCCCATCAAAGTTGGTTTGAATTTACGGAAAGTTGATTTAGTGGTGGGTCCGGAAGACGCCGACGAATATGAAATGGAACAGAAAATTTACGCCGATGGGATGTTGAAAAACGTTGGACCGATTGATATTTCCAAAAAACTTATCAAGAAATTGAGCTCGGCTGCCGATGGTCGCAGAAGGGTCCATGAATTCGGTTACGACTGGAGATTATCATTGGATATATCTTCGGCGAGGTTCAAGACGTTTTTGGAGTCGTTACCGAGTAATCAAGGGCCTCGCGAGAAAAGAAAAGGGGTGCTTGTGCTTGCGCATTCCATGGGTGGGTTGGTGGCCCACCACGTAATGAATCAAGATCCGACATTGTTTAATGGGTTAGTGTATATTGGCACTCCGTCAGAATGTCTTAACATCTTGGGTCCTATCAGATTTGGTGATTCGGTATTATTGAGTAAACAGATCTTGACTGATGAAGCGAATTTTCTCATGAGATCGAGTTTTGCATTTTTGCCACGCCATGGCAATGTCTTTTGGGACAAGAATGTGGGAGAGTTTATAAATTTGGATTTATTCAATCCTGACACTTGGGTGAATTATAATTTATCGCCGTTGGTGAGCTCGAAAAGAAAGAAGGCTGAAGCAGAGTTTGAAAAATTATGGAAAGAAAAAGAGGTGATGATGGTGCGGAAAAGTGACACTTGTACTGGTAGTCCAACCAGTGGGTTCGAAGTTTCTGAGACCAAGACAAGTAATTTGGAAACGATAAAGCTGTCATCATCACCGATTAAGATCGCATCATCGATTGAAAATAAACTTTTACCAAGGATTAGCAAGCCGGATATTATTATACCGGCATCATCGACATCGACCTCGGCCTCGTTGACCTCGGCGACCCCCAGTATTTCACCAAAAAGGTCATTAGAAATGCCATATTTCCCTGCCAAACAGCGGGAAGCCGCCACGGTGGCGACGCCGAAAAGTTATAGAATGACGTGGGAGCAATCGTACGATTATTTATCGCGAACCCTTTCACGGACTGCGAAATTCTTGGACGAGCTTAAGTTTAATCCTGATCTCAAGGAACAATATCCTCCATTATCGGTATTGTACGGTAATGCTGTGCCTTCGGTGCGTGGGGTATTTGTCGATGGGGAAAAAGATATTATGGAAGGGAACTATGAGGATTTTTTCTTTGGGCCGGGGGATGGAGTGATCCATCAACGTTGGTTAATGCCTGAGAACATTGAAGGGTTTGGAAGTTTGGTGGTGGAGAAGATTTCCAGTGATTTGGGGCATGTTAGTTTGATGCTTGATATTGAGAGTGTTGGAAGAGCGATCAGTGCGGTGTGGAAGGAAAGAAAAAAAAAAAAAAAAATGACTGCTGTGAGATTGGGTGATCAATAATGAATGACTGTATATATTTATATTATTGACTGAAAGTGGCTTATGTATTATATAACAAAAAATGTATTATTATTTAATAGCTGAAATGTGATGAATGGCTTGTGTGTATATTATGTGTGTTAAAATGGTTTTTTATTATTATTTATTGACTGTGACTGTATTGGGAGAGACCTATCTTAATTTTGGAAATGAGGTGTGTTTTTATTAGACAAAGGAATGGGTTTGTTTAAAATATGAATCCTCATTGAGAGTAATATTATTCCATATTCCATTTGTAAGTATAGGATAAATAGGCAAGATTAGTTGGATTGACGTAAAGGTTGAGATCCTCCCAATGATCAGATCAATAAAATGATTGGCAGATGAACTCATATATATATATATATATATATCGATATATACTACTAAATGGTATATAGTTTACTAACTTTTGTGGTTGTTGAAAGATTTGGGAATCATCTTATATATTTGAATTTTTTTTTTTTTATATATTTGGATTTATTAATTCCTTCTGGGGGAGCTACTATTTAGATAGATAGATAGATAGATAGATAGATAGACAAACAGATAGATAGATATTAGATGATTCTGACTTTTTGTGGTATATGGGATGGGTATTTCTTGCGGTGTATCTTTTTGATGATTGAGGTTTTTTTCTTATCTTGTATCATTTGATATGATGTTTGTTACATATATTTTTTTTTTATCTCTTCTATATCTCTTGTTATGATATTTCTTATCTCGTATCCTCCGAAAATTAGATTGACCTATGTCAATGAACTGACTGACTGACTGTCAATGGAAGAATATCAATAATGAAACTCTCAAATGACTCACCCATTTCAACATATAATAATCACCACTACAATAAATATTAAATATATTCTATATACTCAGCATTATATTTCTCGGTACTATATCGACTTCCATAACTAGATGATATATATATATATAATAATAATAAATAAGAATAAAAAAAGGATAATGACCTGATGCAAACAAACTACTTGATTAAAATTTGAGCCACCAGACACAAACACACAAAAAAAAAAAAAAAAAAAAAGCAAGCAAGCAAGCAAGCTAGCAAAACTAATATTCCAACTTTGATAAAATACTAAAACTGTCTTTTGGACAATAATAACAGCAATAAGTATCAGTTTGTTGGAAAATTTTAATGGGATACCGTCAAGCAATTATTTAAAATGTCAGTCAAGAACTCACACGCTATGGGGAGAGTGACAAATAAAATAAATTGAAAAAAAAAGCAATGGTTGATGATGATGATGATGATTATGATAATAATAATAATAATAATATTTCTCTTAGAAACCGTGGACCTTGATGGTTTTCTTCTTGAGCCCTAATTGAGTAGTCAAAAATTCCAAAACTTTAGCTCTTTGATCACCTTGCAATTGGATAACATCACCCAATTCTTCGTCTTTGACAACGTTACCGTTACAACCAAAGTCTTTCTTCAAAACTTTCAAGATACGTTTAGAGTCGTATTCACTTGGCAAACCTTGTACAGTGGTTAAAGTTTTACGTCCATTTCTTTGTTGGATACGGATATGGAGGTAGTTAGTTGGTTGAGAATCGTCGTCACCAGTGTCGGCGAATGGATCTGGAGAGTGTTAGTAAGTAAGGTATGTCAGAAGAGAGTGTTAGGAGGGTGGCAAAGTAGGAATGATAATCATTGTTGTAGCGCCCCGGCCGGTGGGTGGGTGAATGTCATCATCGAGTCAGGGGGGGGGGGGCAAAGTATTATTTATTATTATACAAGGAAAATAAATGTATGTTATTATGGATAATCCCCACATCGTAATAATAGATTTAGCCGCCTGTTATGAAGAAGAGTATTGAATAATGACATAGAACGCCGGGGATCTTTTTATGAAAATCAAATCACCAATATGAGAGAGATAATACGTACCAAAAGACTTAAGGTTCTCAATAGAAGTCATAAACTATGTTGTAGGGGTTAAACAAACAAACAAACAAACGATGGGACGTTGATAGTAATAAGATGGTTTATAGAGAAAGAAATAACGAGGATGTTCTTTCTGTGCTATAGGAATGTAGCTATAAAATGTCTCTTCTCCAGATGGATAGATGAATGGTGGCGATGGGAATAAAAAAAGTTGGCGACGGACGGCGAGGGTTTCTCCTCCTCCTCTAAAAAAATAAAAAAAAAAAAAAAAAAAAAACTTCCCCAAAGAAAAAAAGAAAAAAAAAAAAAAAAAACCCTTCACATCCCGACACCAGGCAAACAGCGCCAGCAGCCAACCAACTTATTCTTACGCGATCCACAATCCACAATCAACATTCTATCATCATTTAATAAAGAGTAGTAAACAGAAGAGCAATAACTATAGATAAAAAATATAGATAATAAATAAATAAATAAATAAATAAATAAATAAATAAATAAATAAATAAATAAATAAATAAATAAATAAATAAATAAATAAATAAATAAATAAATAAATAAATAAATAAATAAATAAATAATTAATAATGATAAATTATTAGGAACATGTTAACAAATGGATATCAAATCAAATTCAAACACACCGGAGCATCGATCCTTTCTCTAGGCAAACAAAAGAATAAACAACAACAAAATGAAGGAATGAACAATAAGTGAAAGAAAATAAAATAAAATAAAAGAAAAGAAAAGAAAATAACACAAAACAAAACAAAACAAAAACAAAGAAAAAGTATATAGGAAAATTCGCCTCACGTATAACACACTGAACTGAAAAATTATGAAAAGAAAAAATGGGAATTGAAAAAAAGTTCTTCCTTCTATTATTATCATTATTGGTATTAGTATTAGTATTATTATATTATTATCATCATCATCATCATCACCATCACCATCACCATCACCATCACGATGTTGGTGATGATGATGATGATGTTGTTGTTGTTGTTGTAGTTGGCTTTGGCCACTCTTCCTCATCATCACCGTCCTCATCATCCAAATCGTAGTAACTGACATTGATGCAAATACTGCAGGCACCACACTGCACCACAATCAAGTACCCACCTTCGTTATCGACTTTTGTCCCGCAATTCTCCAAGTCCCAATCACTCAAATTGATGCTGTTCTGCAGCTTGCAACGAGGACAGTCTTTTTGCCACAACACCCGGTTCTGGTCAAACTGCTCGGTGAATGTAAACGTATCAAGACTGAACGTTTCCAACCCATCGGCTTGCTGGCAGCTGATTAAATTTGATTTTGCGGCGGTGTTGGTCAATTGGAGATCATAAGTCTTTCTGGACAAATCGTCGGACAATACTTGATAAGCTGCTTGGAGTCTGGTGATGAAATCAATGTTTTGAGCCGAATGATCGCCGGTTCTGTCTGGGTGATACGCAAAGAATAAATGGCGATATGCACTCTTGATGATTTGTAAATCCGCGTTTTGGGAAATCCCTAGCACTTGGTAATGGGTGAGGTATTGGAAGTCGTTGGAAGGAGGAGGAGGAGGAGGAGGAGGAGGAGGAGGAGGAGGAGGAGGAGAGATTTTGTGATAAGTAGGGTCGTATTGTTGTGAATTACTTCCACTGTGAGGCAGCGGTGGGCCTTCGGTTGGCCGGGGGTTGCTGTTGTGATGGTTGTGATGGTTGTGGTGGTGGCTGTCCATGTATATTGTCGATGGGCTATTAGCGTAGATATGATGGTGGCCAGGCTGGCTGTTTATTTCACTGATACTGACAGGACTGATAGGGTCGATTTCACTGTTTGAAGAGACAGGAGTTGTAGAAGTAAGGTCGTTATCATTGGGGAAACTCATCTTTTGTGTTCAAGTCATTTGTGGTATAGTATAGTGCAGTGTAGGGTAAATGTATGGTATGGTATGGTATGGTATGGTATGGTATGGTATGGTATGGTATGGTATGGTATGGTATGGTATGTATGTATTTATTTATGTATTTCCCTTTTGTTGGTTGTCGTTGGTGGTGGTGAGGAAGGGGTTACTAATTCATTACAATTATCGAATGTCAAATGTCAAATACCAAAACAAACAATTATCAATTATCAAATATAAATATCCCCAAGATAGAGAAAGGAAAGGAAAGGAAAGAAAAGGAAAAGAAAAGAAAAGAAAAGTAAAGTAAAGGAAAGTAAAGTAGAGTAAAGTAAAGTACAGAGAGAAAGCAATTTATTAGGAGAAATCAGAAAAAAAAAAAAAAAAAAAAATCGACTTTTTTTTTTTTTTTTTTTTTTTTTTTTTCTTCTGACCTGAAATTGGCACAGAAGGGAATGCTAATGCTAATGCTAATGCTGCTTCGATGGTTAATTATATTAATTAGGGTGGGTGTATCGAAGCTTTCTTTAGTGGCCTTTTTTTTTTCTGTTTCTTTTCTTTTTTTTCTATTAGCATTACGATAGTAGTCAAGTCGTTTTTGCCGACTTACAGGAGGTGGTGGTGCAAACCGCGATATTTTTTATTATTTTCTTGACATTGTTGTCGCTATTTTGTTTTCCATTTCGTTTTCCATTTCGTTTTCCATTTCGTTTCCTTCGAATTCTTTTCCTGTGGTTTGTTTAATTAGTAAGTAAGTGCGTTTCAGGTGGTGGGTGAATTCACAGCCATCTTGGTGGATACTTCTATATCCCATCTATCACCACTTATGGGTGTAAGGGTAAAGGCCAAATCCGAGTCATTTTCTGCTCTTCTCAAACAAAAGAAAAGCAAACAAACAAACAAAAAAAACACACGATATAATTAATCTCTCAACATTAGCTGTAAATTACCCCCTCCCTCCGCAGATCTGACAATATTAAACCAATCAAGGGTATCTATCTGTCGCCCCATCAATAATCACCATTTCTCCAGCCAGCAGCACAAGATGATATGTGATATGTATGGCATCCTAACAATCATATATATATATATATATATATATATATATCTTTATATATTTACACACCACACCAGTATAAAATCATCATCAACAAGAATGACAATCAACACCCATGGCACTCCCCATTCTTGACACCTCAATCTAATCAATCAACCTCACTAATTTTCTATTCTTTTGTTTTTTTTTTCTCTACAGCTGTAATTTAAAGGATAAAAAACCCATAAAAAAAAAAAAAAAAAAAAAAAAAAAAAAAAAAAAAAAAAAAGACGATTAATTAGTTTCCCGACCGCAAATCAAACCGATTATCATCATCATCATCATCATCGCCACTAGAACAAACAAACAGACTGCCAGATGCCCTCCCGGTCACTTTACAAATACCACAAAATACAAATAATAAAATGAAATCATCCCCACTCCTCCTCATCCTGCTCCTATTGTGCCTCACCACCCCTACCTTATCAGCCCCCCAAATAAACACCAGATCATCATCATCATCATCATCATCATCATCATCATCATCATCATCAGACAATCCCTCGTTAAATGCCAACTTTGCCCACCCCAAAATCACCACCACCAGGTTCGGTGGCATCGTCAATGAAGAACTCATAATATTCTCCAAATCCCCCAACGTGCTATTCATCCAGCACTCCAACGATCAAGTAATGATCTCCAAGGACTTTGGCGGCAAATGGCACGCAGTAGATACCGATAAGATCATTTCCAATTATAACAATAAACAAAAACATCCTCACCAGAAACTACCCAGCTCTCCCAAATTGCTCAAATTGATCAAAAATCACTTCATCGATGGCGAATTGTTGTTGACCACTAACACCAATGCCATGTTCAAATCACAGAATTACGGTAAAGATTGGGAGGTCGTACGAGTAGCCGACAGGATAGAAATGTACAATTCCCAAGAATTGCTGAGCAAAGACGTCATTCTAAATAATTTCAACGAAACTTATCCCTTGAGTTTCAAACAAAACTCCAGAAAATCATACTTGTCAGCCATCGAGAATTGTATTGACAATAATATCGATGGGTACTGTTTGAAACAATTTTACTACACCCAAGATGATTTCAAAACATCAAATAAATTGCAGGTCGCCACAACCTGCTTGTTCATCGATGAAGCTCAACCAGCAGTCATTTGTGTAACCGGTGCCGGATCCTTGATCCTCTCTAGAAACTGGTTTGACAACGACGACTACGAAACCTTATTGAGCGATGGGCAACTTAACCAGGTCCACTATTACGACAACTTATACATTGGCACCGGCGCTAATAAAATCCACCTCTCTTCCAATGGGTCGGTTTGGGCGTCGCATGAATTTACAGATATCCAAGATTATCATCTTGTCAAATCCTCATACCAAAACACCATCATGTTGGTACAAAAATTAAACGACCAAATGGGGAAATTATTCAAAGTGTCATTCAACGTCATGAAAAATCAAATCTCCGTCACCGAGTCTTTGAATTTCGTCCATAGAAACCCCAACGGTTTAATAGACTATGAACCCATTTCACCAATCGACGGGATCATCATGACCAATCAGATCGCCAATGGCCAAACAATAATTGAAAACCTCGACCAAGAATTGCGATTGAATACCATGATAACCTTTGATAACGGCGACCAATGGCAGAATTTGCAAATTCGATCCAACCAACAACAACAACAATTAAATTTACACTCCATCATCCGGAAATCTACAAATATCAACCATGTGGAACGTAAGTACCGTTCATCATTCATTCCGTCGGTGATAATGGGAGTTGGCAACCTTGGAGAAAAATTGGAAAATTACGCCGATGGTGATACTTGGATCTCCACCTCCAACGGGATCGATTGGCATAAAGTATTGGATGGTCCGCACCTTTTCCAATTTGGTAACCAGGGCACCCTTATCGTGGCGGTTCCTGACTCCTCCAAAGACTCGCTGGTTATAAAATACTCTTTAGATTTTGGCGCCACATGGGAATCTTACGAGTTACTGAACAATGGTCCACGGAAATTCATCGATTTAATCAACGCTCCCGGTGAATCTTCGGGGAAATTCGTGTTGATCACCGATTCTATTGATTCCCAACCAGCCTGTGAAATTATCCAGTTAGATTTCACCGAGTTGTTGGAAAGTCTCCCCAAATGTTCCCTTGCCAAAGATTTCGGCCAGTTTTTTGTCGAGACTACTGCCAACGATCATTGTTTCAATGGGTTTCGACAATCATTTCAACGCCGTAACCCAGAAACCGTTTGCAGAATCAGTAATGATGGCGAAATCAATTCCGTCACCAAAGAACCTTGTGACTGCACCCAATTGGATTACGAATGTGCCATTGATTTTTACCCCGACATTGATGGCAATTGTATCACCAACAAGACTGAATTAACCGCGGGGTTTTTATCGGATGAATTCTGTGATGGCAAGACCAAAGCGTATTGGCAACCTAGTGGGTATATGATCAAGGATGGTAATTTGTGTACTGCTGTTAACGGGTTAAAACTTGATGAAAACGTCGAGACTCCGTGTGCCAACTATGATGGCATGGAAGATGATGATTATAAAGATACTAACCCATCAGAAAAATTGGCCAAAGCAATAAAGGCTACCAAGTACCATGATGATGAAGCTAATGACGTGGCTGATACTTGGTTTTTCGAACTCGATGGGTTTGTTAAAAAATTTGATTATTTATTATCCACAAATAACCCAAAAAACAACGAGGACGATGAAGTAATTATCATGCTAACTTCCACTAACAAAGCATTCGTTTCTTATTCACACGGTGTTGATTGGCACCAAGTGGGGTCGGCTTACGATATCATTAATTATTCTGTGGATTTGGATAACGGAAGAGTATCGTTGATCACATTGCAGAGCAAAGTCATTTATTCTCATGATAATGGGTATCATTGGAGAAGTTTTATGATGCCACTTCAAGAACAAGACCTGGAGATCTTATCAGCATTGCAAATCGAATACAATAAATTGCACCGTAACTGGGTAATCTTCACCGGGAAAGTGAGTGATGGCCGATCAGTGTCGTATATTTCCACCGATTTAGGGAACTCCTGGAAAGTTTTACAAGACAATGTGATGCTCGGATGTGTCTTTGCCAGTAATCACCTCGACAACGGCGATGATAGTGCTTTAATTTATTGTTCACATTTGCAACAAAACGGGAACGGGAAATTAGTATCGTCTAATGATTTTTTCGCCAGCGAGACCCCAATTTTGTCCAACTTGATATCATTTTGGGCCGATCATAAAAAAGTGTTGATTGGGGTGACCGTCAATGATACCACTGAGTCAATCCAGTTGTTTAGTAGTTATAATGGCGAAACCTGGAAAAATAAATCATTACCATATAGATCCAATTTCCACCAGGATCAATTAGTATTATTTGATTTGAAAGATTACGGGTACCTCAATACCCAACAAGCTGGTGCTGCTGGTGCTGCTGCTGGTGGTGATAATTTCCAATTCTTCGTGATGAATGACCATGTTAAGAATGACAAGGGTCGAAGGTTTGGCGATATTTATAAATCTAATTCCCACGGGGACCAATTCACCTTAATGAAGGCCAATGTTGATTATAATGGGTCGTCGTCGGGGGTGGAATTTCAAAACTTGTTTGGTCTCGATGGGGTGGTGGTGGTCAATTCGGTGTTGAACGCCGGAAGGTTTATGAAACCCGAGGATCATAGTCGATTCAACGTCAACGACAAAATTATTCAATCGCAAATAACCTTTGACGATGGGACAAGTTGGCGATACTTGACCCCACCAGATGAGGATTCTAATGGCAAGAAATACCTGTGTCATGGGAAATCCCCAATAGATTGTTCTTTACATTTGCACGGCAAAGATCTTCAGAATAAATCGATTTCTTCCCCATCCACGGTAGGAGTATTGATGCTGGTGGGGAATGTCGGGGCGGCGTTGGCCAACTATGAGAATTGTGATACGTTTATGTCACTTGATGCCGGGATCACTTGGAAAGAGGTTGCCAAAGGCCCGCATAAGTTTGCATTTGGGGATCGTGGAGCGGTGATGGTTATGATTGATGCGGTGGGTATCACTTCAGAAATTCACTATTCTACTGATTTAGGGAATTCTTGGAAGCTGATCAATTTCACCGATATTCCTATTGAAATCTCGTCAATTGCCACGGTACACACCGATACTTCTAAAAAAATTTTGATATTCAATACTGATCATACCATGATTTACCCCGTTGATTTCGCGAAGTTATTGAACAGGAACTGCAAGTTCGATCCGTATATTGGTCTGAGTGATTTCGAAACCTGGACCCCGTACCATCCTGAAGGTCACAAGCATAGAAAATGTTTATTTGGGAAAGAGATGATTTATTACCGGAAAAAACCCGACTCGGTATGCCATATTGGGGACGCGGTTCCTAAAGATGAAGATGGGAAAATCGCTGGTTATTGTACTTGTGTCGAGATCGATTTCGAATGTGATATCAATTACTTCACCAACAAGCATGGGCAATGTCAAATCATTGATGAATTGCGATCGGTGATTGAGCAGCAGTACTCTGTTTTCTGTGGAGAAATGAGCGATATTGTCGAATACCAATTGCCGAGCGGGTACCGTAAGGCGTCTATTACCCAATGTGATTCGAAGCTGGGGTTGGGTCTAGATAGATCGGTGACCACGGCGTGTCCTGGGAAACAACGCCAATTCGACGATATCCATATTGGATTACGTGGTGGTCGTTTATTGGTATTCGTGGTTATTATATTGTCCGGGATGGTGATTATTGGCTACATGACGATCAAGTACGTTTATCTAGGAACGTTTCATAATCAAATCAGGTTAGGTGATGGCGGTGAAGACGGAGAAGAAGAAGAAGAAGAAGGGTACTTGTATTTACAAGTGCATAAAGACATTTCAATGATAGCATTGATCAGAAGAGACATGATGAGGCTTGGGGAGAAGATCGTGAGAGGTGGGGTGGGGTTGGTGTTAATGGTGGTTGATCTAATCCAAGAAAGTAATGATCGAATGCGTCATCATGGCAGCAATGATAGAAATCGGTATCATCGGGTGTATGAGGGCTATTTAGATAATGAAGAGGAACAAGGGTATCATGATCGTTCCGAGTCCGAAGACAGAGAGATTAGAAGGTTTGTGGTCGATGATGATGGCCAGGGGTTTTAGTATTATACAAGAAGATCAAGCATGTGTTAGAAAGTTTGATAATATATATATTCATTTTCCTAGTTATTTATCTTGTTTAGTTATTTATTATTATTATTATTATTATTATTATTATTATTATTATTATTATTATTATTATTATTATTATTATTATTATTATTATTATTATTATTATTATTATTATTATTATTATTATTATTATTATTATTATTTTGTTTGTTTGTTTGCTATTATTATTATTTATTTTTTTTTTTTTTTTATTTTTTTTTTGAAGGGTATGTTAATTTTAAAGGATGGTTCTATTGCTAATTATTTTGAAAACTTGTGAAATTGTATCTATCCAGCGGGGACTGGACCAACCTTAAGAGTATTTTTATCGATGATGAAATTTTTTTTTGGACCATCGAGCCTTGGGACCGTTATTGATATTAGAATTTTCTAGAGCTGCTTTTGCCAGTTCACTTGTTACCGAATTATTAGAGAATTTCAACATCAAGCAACAATTATCAATCACTGCTCATCATAAATCCAATGGAAAAGCCCAAAGGGCGATTAGAACTTTGGAAGATTATTTGAGAATGTTTGTTTCCGACAATAATGATTGGGTTTCACTTCTTCCATTTACTGTATTCACATTGAACAGTACACCAAAAAACCAATCCAGGAGGTTTGAATGCTTATCAAGTCGACCACGGTTTTCCTCCAAGTTCTCCACTTTCCATTAGTTACAAACTTGACTCGGGGAAGGAAAAGGTCTAGGGCGAAGGTGCCGCACGTTATCCTTTTTATTTCAGGCCAAAATTCCAAGCTTTCACTAATCCCAAGATGTTGAGCTTGATTCAACCATTAGTTGCTCATTTATCTTTTATCATAATTTCATAACATATTCGATCGATTCTGATGATATCACCGAGTATACAGACAGAATGAGGAATGTAGCAAACGCTGCTATGAACCAGAGTTTTGAAGAATAAAGTTACAATTTCAAACACAAGAACGTCGAATTTGAAGCTGGTGACATTGTATTTATTGATGCTGAAGTTCTTCTCCTATCATTTGGTGATACTATACACACAACAAGAAACTTAAAAGATCATTTGAAAACAAAATTTGTCGGACCTTTTACCATTCACCAAAAGATCAGTGCCATTAATTATGAATTAGAACTCCCACCATGTTCTACAAAAGAAAAAAAAAAGTGCAAAGTGCAATTTGTTTTCCCACATTTGCCAATTGAGACGAAAGAATAATGCCACTGAAGCCTTGCTCACCGCCCTCCCAATAACAGAAGCACCAACCTTTGGAGCCTATAAGGACGCGATTGAAGTGGCAGGCATCATTGAAATTTTGAATCATCAGAAAAAGACAAAGGGCCACTTTTTATTAGCCAACCCTCGTTGACCAATCCACTGAATGGGTCCGCTTTAGTGATTTTGAAAAGAACTGCTGCGCAACTAGTGAATGCTTATTTGAAACAGCACCCAAAGCTTGATTGATTCTAAGGGAAGGGATGTCAGCATAATCTATGGTTAAAGGTATTATCAATACTTTCTTATTATTACTAGTTTCTATTACTTTCTCGAAAACTATCGTTCTAGCACTGTCTAGAATGCTCCTGAGAAGGTCGGACTACTATATTAATAAGTACGAACTTTTTGGAATTGTTTTATTTTCTTGTTTTTGGTTTTAAATCTTCACGCAATAACTTTCCAGCATATTTTCATACCTAATCCACATTTTATTTTTATTTTATTCATACAACTACGAATGTATGAATTGTAATATAACATCTCATATATATTAAAATGAGAGCCAACTTACATTACAAGAAATAATTTATTGGCAGCGAGCGCAAAAACACCGAGCCATGGACCATCCATCCGTACTTTAAAATTATACGGAATGGCAAACACCTTTGTGAATAAGCAACAAACAAACAATTAAAATTGGCATGATAAATTGATAAATTGCCGATAGGTACTGGCCTTTTTATATTATTTAGGAAACCCTCGGTGAGCATGAGTGTCAGTTTTATAGAAACATGCGCGAGGCTAGGAAAACATGATTCGCTATCTCTGATCTTTTATAAAGGCTGGGGTTTTCATTCAATGGGAAATTGAGATGTGAACCCAAATACACCAGTTGATCTTAATAATTTATTTAATTTTAGCATTATTATATTGTTCAATTTTAGCATTATTTTATTGTTCAATTTCAGTTAATTTTAGATATCATCAATAATAATGTTGATGTTGGTGAGGTTAGCACGACGGTTCAACAACAAATGATCATTCATAATCAATACAGTTCGTCAACAATAATGTTTTCAATATTTTTGTTCATTGACTTCTCTGTTAAAGAATAAAAAAAGGAACACTGTTGCAGTGAAGTCAAGCCAAGTGGTGTATTCTATATACCCCATAAACAAGACTTGGAAGGATTTCTATTGAAAGAAAGAAGAGCCCACCAAACCAATCCCCACCAGAAACCTTTATGATCTTTTCTTCAAGGAAGATGGAAGATCACAACACAAGCCTTCCAGTGCCTCTCTTTCTTCGATGAAATCTTCACAGAAACTTCCCCCATGTATGTAAAGAAATTTCTTCCAACAATAACAACAAAACGGGAGAAGATTTGAAATTATGTATGGATATTATTAAAGTTTAATCATCATTTGTTACCAAAATCAATTGTACATTTCTGTTTGCTGGATTCCAAGATGCATCAACTTATCCTGTCAATGCAAATGAAATGAGCAACATATTGAACACAAAGACTGATACTAATAGTGGATATGGAAAAGGCTTTTGATAGAATTAGTCACACATATATAGAGACACTATTGATATATTTGCTGGTGATTTTAAACAGTTCTTGCCTGTTACTGGTGGAATTGAATCAAGTGTAGGGTTTGAAAACAGCTTTTATAGGCCCAGGACCAAGCACAGAAAAAGGATTGGTTTGCGGGTAATGACTTTATTAAGCGTACCGATCTTGATTGCAGGTGGGTGGGGAAGCTTTCCCTCCTATGGTAGTTAGGAACCATCGACTAATCTTTCCAGTTGTCTCCTTTATTGTAGGGTGTAAAACTTTATGTTCTTTATTGTCGATTACAGTAGCAGGCGGGTACCTAGTTACTTCAGGCTCACGTATTGAAGTGTGGAATCTACAGGGGGCAGGATCAACAGAGAGTGAGCTGGTTCAGGGACGGGTGATAAATCAGAAGCACACTTCCTCATAAAGCCAGCTGTGCTGGGAATAAACGGCTTGAAATGAAAATGAGAAAATAGACCTACTGTACTTTTTTTTTTTTTTTTTTCTTTTCTTCTGAAATTTCTTGTAGCTTCAGTGTCGCTTCTGTCGTTTTCTGCTTGAGCTGGCTTTCTTTTTCTCGCCATTAATGTGATAATATGCTTTTTGCAAGTAAAAGGACTCGTTAAAACTTTCAACTTTTTGAGTATCTTTCTTGAAAGGCTACGAGAGATAACATAGACATTTATCCTTATTAACGATCTTATTTTGTGTATTGATTCAAAGTCTATATTGGAAAAACTAATAAATTTTCTGCAATGGAACATTCAGCGTCTCCGAGGTAATTTTAGAATATAAAAATTCTTTACCGTACAAAATGGGGTTATATTCTCCTCTAATGGTGGCTGCTATCACAGAACTATTTATTCCAAAGGGGTATGATTCCCGCTGGAAAGTATCTATTGAAATTATTCTTAAATGTGTCGTTTGAGCTACTTCGGCTCCAGCTTAATATAACAAAACAAATAACCATTCGGTGGCTTTGAGCTTGGGGGTAGTCCAGAACTATCTACAAGCATATTGTGACGGAATATATAAAAAAAGAAAAAAAAAAAAAAAATTAGATCCAATCAGAGAACATTAAGCTACTTTATAAAGATATCAATAGCAATAACAGCAAGTAGTGCTCTGCCTGTCAAAAGTTTGATACTGCAAAGAGTTTGGCAAAATTACACTTATATCTTTCTTCTCTTTTTATTGTTACCTTCTTCATCATCATAATCTTCTTCTTCTTCTTCGTCCTCCTCTTCTTCATCATCATCGATTTCCAATTCTGGTTCGCTTTCCTCATCATCCTCCAACTCCTCTTGTAATGAATCGTTTTGTGTTGCTGCATAATACTTCACGGCATTAGGGAAGATATCTTCCACAAACAAATTGATCAAATCTTCCACTTCCAACAATGTTCCTCGAGTTTTCTTTTTAAATTCATGATCGTCAAAATCATCGACTACTTCTTCTCCTTTCACTTTAGTTTTACTCTTGTTGAAATCGTCTTTTTCTTTCCCGGTCCATTCAAATAAACTGAAGAACGATTTCCGTTTCTCCAAATCAGAAGCAGTGAGCAATTCTTTCGGCCACTTGACATCAACTTTCTCAGAAACGAGTCTGGTTTCTTGATCAAATGCGTCCACTTCATTCAGATCCTTACTATTTTCTTGTTCATTGGGAATGCTCCAGAATTTCTTGGTGATGGTTTGGGATTCAACGGTATTTACATTCCCTTCATTATCAAACACGAACGTCACGCTGAAATTTCCAGGGTTTTCAATCTTCTTCTTGTGATCTTCTCCTTCTTGCTGCTTTTGTTCTTTTCCAGAATCCATCTCTGCGACTTCCCAAGTCACGTACAAATCCTTCAAGTATTCAAAATACCCGTACTCTACCGGCTTGATATATTCCGCAAAATCTTCATGCTGACTGAGCACAACGTACCAAAATTTATCAATATTCATAACACATTGCCGACGCCTCTCATAGATCTTGGAAATTTTTTTGAGTCGTTGCACTTCCAACTGTCTCTCAAGGTGTATTGTTTCAGTTTCACACTCATATAGCACATTAAGTGCCTCTTGTAAATCTTTGCTAAATAATGTTTAGTAAGGCATTCGTTCATAAACCTTGAAGCCAAATAAGTAGAAGAGATTCTCATTCTGTTGAGGATCTTATCTCACCTTGTCTCAGACATTACATACTTTTCTTCGGATGCCATGGCGTCAGTTAATGTCAATCTGGGGATGAGCACTTCAAAAGTAAACAGACTGTTTTCGTAATTTGAAGAAAATCGCTGACATCCCGCATCAATCACGCCGATATTGCCTCAACATGCAGCTGGAAGATATAAATTTTGAAATTTTATATGAGTACTTGGAATAAAAAGGGTTACAACAATATGTATAAAATCTTTTACATAAAATGAAAGAAAAACACCACACAGTAGCAGAGCATTTATATTCTAATTAAAAACGGCAAAAAAAAAAAAAATATAAAAAAAATGCGGAACAAAAAAAAAAAAAAACAATGCGACTAAATTACAAAACTTCCCTCCTATTCTTTCATTCAAGCTCTTCTACCTCTTCTAACCATTTGTGGTTCCTTGAATGGGACCTTCAAAGTGGCAACCTTGTGGTTGGAAGCAGCGGCTCTTGGAATATTGAACGCTTCGGCTTGTGACACGGTAGCTCCCTTGACGGTTGCCCCCAAAGCTCTGAACAAACCAACCAATCTGGATGGTTTCATGGACAATTCTTGGGCCAAAGGAGGAACAAGCACCAAAAAGTTGTCAATGTGCATGACGGTGGCGAGAAGGTAACAAAGTAATTTATCTTCATGATACGGATCGATGGTGAAACCTCTTTCTTTTGATTTTCCGAATCCAGAAGATTTCAAAGTGGTGAAACGATCCAAAATACCATCAACAAGCACTTCTGGTGGAGAATTGAGTTTTTCCAACATGGCAAGTTTGTTGTGGCATGATTTACGGGTTTCGTAAACCCCAATGAGCAATGAGGCGTAATAAAGAAGCTTCAATTTCGAAGACAGCTTGGTGGAACCAACACGAGATTTGATGTATTCTGACTTGGCGTATGGGAAGAATTCCAACTTCTTCTTGGTGTCTGCTTCCTTCAACAAAGAATCGATACGAATCATATTCCATTCCTTCTTTGGTATTATACTGTTGATCGAGTAAATGTCTTCCACATTAGTGGCATCAACATTACAAGCTGGAGTAGGTCTGTCGTTAGTGACAGCGTCATTCATTTCATTGATGGTTGGCAATAATTCGGTCGATTGCTTAATGTTTTCCACAATGCTGGATTCATCATGAGCCAATTTATCAGCTTCGATACGATTCTGTGATAAACTATTGATGGATTTCTTGGCCTTCTTAGTCCCGAACTCTTGACCCAAAGCATTACGTTTTGTGACATTGAGAGCATCCTTGGATCTAACCTTTGGACCACGGTACATCATCTTCTTTTTGGAAACCACTTTTGAATCAATCACTGGTGAGTTGTAAATGTCCACACTCTTGTTGACGGAATCATACACTGCAATGTAGTACTTGTTGAAATCGTCGTCGGCATCGGTTTTCCCATCGTATGCTAAAGTTTGATTCTCACCGTGTAAGAGATAATTATTATTATGCTTGTGCTTATATAGGTTGAATTTGGAATCGTTTGATGCACTAAACCCATTGAAAAAACTGGCCACAGCAAGTGATGGGTCTTGAGAGTACGAGCTGACTCGGAGTTCAGTAGAGCTTTGTGAACTTTTTCTTTTTTCGCCCATGGCCGATGATATCTAATAGTTTTATTGCAATATAGCGCGCTTGTCTATAACATTTATCACCAAAGAAAAAATTTTTTACTAATTTTCACAACCTCTTCGCACCGGGTAAAAGTTTTGAGATTGGGAAAATAAATGGTGCGCTTAGGGGAAATTTGGATTATACCAAAACCGCGGTTGTGATTGATAAGGATACACTTCCACTTCCAAAGGGTATTGAAGGTGAGAGAATAAGTATAACAGATCAGCTATTGTTGTTCATTGGGCGATTGTCTAAGCGCTCACTGACAATTGGATACTGGAGGCAAAATGGGGTGACAGCATGTGCATGAAATGTGTGCAAACTTCTAGGATGTTTACTGTACAGGCATCGTTTGTGGATACAATAACAATAAATAACCGAAAATAACAACAACTGAAAAAAACAATAAACAAACAGATGTAAACAAGCTTCGACGTTTGATAAATAGGAAAACAAAAAACAAGCAAGCAAATAGATAAACAGATGTAAACAAGCTTCGACTTTTCATAAATAGGAAAACTAAAACAAGCAAGCAAATAGATAAACAGCCATGAAATCAATAACGATAATGTCAATGTTTACAACCAAGTAATTAAAAGGATAAACAATATTTGAATTTAGGTATTATATAGAATAAAGTAAATTGGTAATTAAAGAGCCAATGATAAGAACCTGAAATAATAGTAGTTAGTTGCATGATTATTATTTTCATTTGAAGAGAATAATAACCATGACTCAAATAGTAGAATATTAGATGAGCCCAACAAGGAAAAAAAAAAAAACGAATAGAAAAACCAGAAAATTAGAAAAGAAGAAAAAATATCACCCGAAAATAACTAATCATACTGCTCAGCTAGAGTAGATACCCCAGTGCTTTTCAACATTGTAACTACCGTCAGCCTTCCACAAGTCGTTGAAAGCAGAGAAGACAATAGTGTCATTACCACAGTTTTCAACAATAGAAGAGATGGCAGCCTTTTGGTTGGCAACAGATGGGACAGCCTTGGAGTTGGTGTCACCGGCAGATGGCCAACCGGATTCGGAGATGAAGACATCCTTAGTTTCACCAGTTTCGGCTTCACAAGCTTCCCAGACTCTTTGGATTTGGTTCAAGAGCCAGACACCGGCATCTTCAGCGGTGTAACCACCATCGAAGTAGGCGTGGGCGTTGACGGCAATGTAGTCGGAGTGAGCACACAAACCTGGGTTGTTGATGACGGCAATGAAGGTGTCGACACTGACAACTGGACCGGTGTAACCAGCAGCAGTCAAGGCAGTCTTACCGGTGGCGACGTACTCGGCAATTTGACTGACGGTGGCCAAACCACTGTTAACCAATTCGTTACCGATGGAAACGGTGTGGACATCGTCCCAGGAACCAGAAGATTCGATGGCGCTCTTCATGACAGAAACTTCAGCGGCGATGCTGGATGGGTCGTAAACTTCCAAGAAAAGCTTTTGGGAGTCAGCCTTACCGGCAAGAACGTTAGAGACTTGGTTACAGTCGGTACCGTACAATCTGATGATATCGTAGTCGGCGATGGTCTTCAAATCTTCGGCGACTTCAGAAGTGGTTTTACATTCACCTGCGGCAGTGTAAGGAGTGTAAGCAATACCCTTAGCGAGGGAGGAAGAGGAGTCGGAACGCTTGTGTTGATGGTGGGCAGAAGGCATAGCAGAGGCCAAGGCAGACAAGGCAGACAAGAGGATGGCTTTGTTGAACAACATTTTTTGATAGTATATATAAGTATTTTGTTTGGTATTAAGATCTGGCTGATATCAGAAAGAGAGTGTAATAGAGTTGGATAAAGTATTTAGATGAATAGAGAGTGGATTCAAACTAAACGGAGTTGTTTTGCTAGTTGGTAAAAGAATGAACGAGTGATAGTGACAACTTTCGATAACAATATATAAATGATATGAACAAAAAAATATCGTAGCGTCAGGATCCGGCGACTTTTTATTCGAAAATGGGCAGACAGATTCGTGTCGCCCCAATCGGGAAAAAATATATAATGCGTTAGGCGATGCGATGTAATGCGTGTCGGTGTGTTAAATTGCGCAGTGGTGCAGCAGGCCCCTCGAGTTCCGGGGTGGGCCTCCCGGTCACTGCTATAGGCAAAACGAAAACAAACATCGGTGTATCTTATATACAAACCCAAGGCTTGTTCTATTAGCAAGTATATTGAAAAGGTTATAAAACATTGCTCAACCTCATCAATGTTATCTCTTTGTAGTCACCAAACTCTAACCCCCTAATTGCCGTGGTATCCTGATAATCGATCCGTCGCTTTTCCATGATTTTTTTAAGGATCGCATCACTAGGCCTCAAGTCACTATTATTTCCATCCTGATACTTCCATCGAACACTTTTAATGAGCTTTCCAAGAGTACGATATCCGCTATTTTCCCACACTCGTAAACCTCTTTTTTCAAGATCACCCAATTCACTGATTTTCATTACTGATATAACTGAGTCGAATATGACCGATCCATATCCGTATTTTTCATCACCCTTGATGATCTGGCACAGTTTTACAGGACCAAAAACTTCCATTAGATGTGTCAACACTGCTTCGTTAAACATGTCCTTGATCGATTCTTTCAATTTCCACTTCACTTCTACGGTTCGTAGGTCATCAGTGATCAATACATCTTGGATTTCGCTGGCGTGATGGCTCTTATAAAACCTTTCTTCTTCCATAATCAACCTTTGTCTCATTCCCTCATCCCTCAATCTCTCAATCAACTGCTTATTTTGCTTCTCATGTCGTTCCTCTTCCATCCAGCGTTTTTCAAGCAACTCTAGCTCTCGGCGCTTCTGGTCCTCATAATCGGTGGACCTTACTTTGTCCTTGTGAGCTAGCCATTCATCATATTTTGCCCTTTGCTCTTTATTGTTTGTTAAAAATTTGTAGTAATCTGTGATCCTGTGGAAATTCTGAAGAGCGCTGGCAGACGGATTCTTATCTGGATGATACTTCAACGCTTGTAGTCTGTAACACTTTCTGATCTGGGCATCACTAGCAAGGTTGTTGGTACCTATTGCCGCATAGATATCAATATTCTGTTTCTTGAGGTCTTCGAATGTATATTCCACCATTTTTACTTGATCCGCTCTTCTTGCTTGCGTCCCTTTCTTTCTAATGAAGTAATTCACTAGAGCCCTTTGTGATTGATGATTTCTCTCTGTTTTTGTGATTTTTCTCCTCTGATCACGAGACAATTCACGTGCATGTGGTGGTTTTTCTCCCCGGAAAATGCCCTCGGTTTTCCATGATTTGCCCCCGCCACCCGGTCAGTTTAGTGCGAGGTTTTGAAACGATGGAAATCATAAGCTGGGCGGTCTAGTCAGTCTCGACGTAAACTAGACAAAGTATAGGGGCAGAAGAGAATAGCATGAGCCTTAGGGGGTTCACTGTTGTTTTGGTGTTTTTCCTGATCTATTGTATATTGTATCTCCCCCATCTGGCCTCACATTGTTCTGTCTTCTTTTTCTTATTGTTCTTCTTGTTGTTGTTCGCACTTCCGGTTTTTTTTTTTTTGAAGTGAAATTTTTTCTGCCAGCACCGGAAAAAAAGACGTTGGGAGGAAGCATCTCTCTATGATAAATAACAAAAGATCATCCCTATTATCTATTTCTTGAGGGGTAAGCTATCACCTGTAAAATAACCGGTGGTTCAAAGGAATATTGCTGACAATAAATATCAGGATAACCAAAAATTATAATAGGGCTTCAAATATCTAATGCACCCTTTTCGGGAATAGTAATAGATGTAGGTAGCATCTGCAAAGTTTGATGCTATAAGGTTCTGTCCAATATAAAAAAACATTCTTTTCTCTTCGACAATAATAATTCGATTTGTCTCAGATCCGGAAAATTGACTTTTTTAAAGTTAATTATACTGATTATTTCGGACCCTTGATGTCTCTTTCCCCATGCTTTTTGAGTGTAGCTCACTTCCCTAATATGTGACGGATTGTCGAACTTTACGCTTATTTTCATAATGTGACATTAGTCATTCAAAAGTTAAATTTACAAGCAATTTAGAGATATAAAACCATCTATTCAACCTGCTCCATCTCCGATACTATACTCATTGAGGGTACAAGATTCTCTTCCAGGTCACATGAAATCGTGTGAACAATTTCCAAACCATCATCATAATCACTCAGATCTTGGAGTAATGTTCCCCAAGTCGTTTCAATGTCATTTATACATTTTTGTTCTTCACTTTCCTCCTTTTCCAGTTCAATCATCTCAGAAAACTCCCGTGGTCTATCGAATTCAAAACAATCTAACAGATAAATCAAATGAATGATATCTGCATCATCATTCTCTCTAGCAGTATACCGTATTTTCTCCTCTAGCCATCCCATTTCTCTCCAAGCACAAATAAATAGCATATCCACACAAACATGGGCCGGAACAAATACCAAATAATGCATGTTGGTGATATCCCAGAATTGCCGCTGTAAATCCTTCAAACCCCTGGGCTTTTGGAAATGCAATAACTGAGTCAATTGACACACCTTCTTTTGTTCCACTTCTTCAAACTCTTTCTCATACGATAGTAAGTACTGTTTGAAATTCACCAAGTTTTCATACTTGTTCTCCGGACGTATCACCTCCCAAAGTTTTCTTGCCGTTTGGTCAATGGCGCAATGGTCGAGTTCAGTCTTTAATTTTTGTGATCCAAATGACGTCTCATACAATTTCAGTCCAATGGTTGATAAAATCTTTTCAGGATCATCGTTGAAATCGATCTTTGGAAACAGGTACGTTGAAGATGAAACCCTATTGATCATCCCCGAAAACGCTTTTCGAATCCTCAGGGGCCTAATAGTATGAAAAGTACGATTACTAGAGCAAAACTTAACGTCTTTGTTATAAAATTCCAAAGGAATTGTTTGGTCCTGCTGCGTCTTCAGATATTTCTCACTCATCAAACATTGTAGATACCTTCTTTGTTGAAAGTAATACCATACCGCTCCAGCGAGACACAAGATCATCACTTTATTAATCATAGCATTTGTATCCTTCGCATCTGTTTCCTGGAATGCTGACTCCTCGAACCATGAAACTGGCTCATCATCGCTTATTATAGAAGTCCCATATATAGTAGATGACATTTTCCCAGCATAAATATCTAAGCTCACCTTGAAAAAAAAAAATTACAATAATCTGGGCAGTCTCTATTTAAATATTCAAATGTATGGAAAATATAGTCCTCCTTTCTATCTAAACATAACAAAAATTAACAGAAAGGAAATGCAATTATCTAAAAACCGAAAGAGTTATTATACAGGGAGTGCAGAGATTTTTTTTATTTTTTTTTATTTTTTTTTTCATGGCATCAATACTGCACGTGATATGTAATCCACGGAAAAGTCACACTCCATTTTGGGAAAACTTGGGAACCCAAATTTTTGGGTCAATTTTTTTTTTTTCTCCCTAGGTATCTCTTTAAACAATCTGACCGGTCAGATTGTTCTGCCAGTTACGGTTTAAAAATATTACAATTTATACTGTAATTTAGAAACAATAATACTATTTTAACATTACAATTATATAGCACCGATGACTGATTTACACTATTTCCCTCACATTTATTCCTCTGCAATTCGAGTGATATCCACCCGTTCGATTTGTGATGTCTGCTGCTCATTTCTCACTACTCTAAAGAAATGGTCGGTATACTTAGAAGCATTCATATGGTTCAAAAATTTCTCATCGTGGGTAATCACAATCAATTGGAAATTCTTCTGTCTTTGTCTCATTTCAATAATCCGTGATAAAGACTGCGCCAACCCTTCACTGTTTTCCACGTCCAAATTTGTAGTTGGCTCATCCAAGGCGATCATCCCACAATTAATTCCAAAACATTCTGCTAACGCTAATCTGATAATGATCGACGCCAATACTTTTTGCCCTGCAGAACACCGTCCTCTCATGTCAAGCTCCACTTCTCCCTTTTTCATGATCACCCGGTAATTATAAGATCTATTTCCTTTGGATTGCAAATTCACATCGCTTCGTATTTGAATCGTATCAACATCTGTTCCCCTATAAGTCTCATGCCATAATTCATCAATCAATTTATTAATCTCTTCCATCTTCATACTATGGTATTTCATAATCCCGGAGTCTAAAGCCTTACCATATTTCATCAAATCGTCGTCAATCAAAGTTTTCGTTTGTAAAGTAACCCATTCCTTATGATAGCTTTCACTAATTCCTTCATAATCTTCCTTTAATTCACGGGCAATTGATTGTACTTGGTTTTCCATTTGTCTAATTTCCCCTAATTTTCCACCGTATTGACTTTGGATTTTGGCAAGTTGTTTTTGTAGTTCTTTTGACTTTGTTTCATATTCTTGCTTTTTAGCTTCCGCGTTTTGATCTTTCAATTCTTCAATCTCTATTTCTAAAGTGCTCAATTTGCTATTCAAATCACGAAGTTGGAGATTATCCTGAATATTCTTTTCCACTCGGTCTTGATTGGCAATCTTATCCCGTAAATCACTGATAATGCTGTTTTTCTCATTGATAGATGCTTCAAGCTTGCTGACCTCCAAATCTATCTCTTGGACCTTCTTTTGAACCTTCTCTAATCGAGACTTGTCTTCACCTGCATATTTGGAGATTGCACTATTAAAATTCCCTAATTGATCAAATACATTAGTAAGTTCCGCTAATTCCACATTGAGTCTTTCAAGAAGCTCCATAGCTTTAGCTTTAAAAGAATCATATTCTCCACGCGTTGTGACTTCAAAGGATTCTAATTCCAGTAATCTTTCACCAATTTTCTTAATCGTATTCTCAAGCTCCTTGACTTTTCTATTATTGGAGTCCAAAGTCTTGGTCAAGTTTTCTTTCTCAATAAGTGATTTTTCCAAGTTAATAATGAACAATCTTTTATCCTTGATTTGATTTTCAATATTGTTCATCTCCTTTAACAGGAGTTCTTTCTCTTCTGTTAAGTTCTTATTCATTAATCTATACTTTTTGAATTCACTATTCTTATTAAATTGTAATGCTTGGAGCTCGTCATTGCCCATCATCGATAATTCTTCATTACCCAAGTTCCCAAATTCATTCAACTCTTGTTTTTTAGCATTTAGTTGAAGTTTGACATTTTCAAGATCCTTAGACATCCTGGTAATGTCATTCATTGGTTGTTGAAGCGATTCCATCTCCAATAATATCTTTCTGTTCGACTGAACATCATTATTGGTAGTTTCTCTTTCCTTAGTGATTGACTCGAGCTGCGTACGGAGATCCCGTAATTCGTTTTCAAGTTTTGGAATCTCAACATTCAAGTCTCTATAATTGACAACATCGTTTGAAATGGCTCTTGCTTGAGAAATTTCTTGTTCTAATTTTATCAACTCAGAGTCATTGCCATCCTCAAGCTTGGATATCATACCGGTGACCCTTTCAACAAAAGATTTCAACTCATCCACAGTAAAGTTACGTGCACACATCATACAGAAATGTTTTGTCTTAGCAACATCAATAGCTTTAACATTGAGGTCTTTAGATGATTTGGCTATCCCAATGTCTTCCATCAACTCCTTATATTCAACTTCCAAGTCTTTCAAATATTCTTCATACTCACTAATATTGACGTCTTCAGGAAGTTTCTGTTTTACTATCCTTTCAGAGCTTATCAACTTAGCTTTCTTAGAAGCCAAGGAATCTGTTTTGTACTTCAATGTGGATTCCACTTCATTAAAATTTTTGTCAATCAACTCTTTCTTTTTATTCAAGTCTTTCAATGTTCCCTCTTGAGCCTCCAAAGTTTCACTTAATAATTTGTTACAACTCCTAACTTCAAGGTCTGCTCCACAAATTTTCTGGAAACTTTCTCCATGTTTCTTCAACAAAGACTCCAAGGCCTTTTCTTTGTATTTTTGATCTTCTTTCATCAATGATATCTTTGCATATATATCAGCACGCTTACTACTAAGAGTAAGTTGTTTGTTGATATCATCAATTTCTGCTTCAAGCTTTGATAAAGTAGATTCATTTTCCTTGATTTTAGAAACAACTGACTCCACCGAATTATCGGTTTTCAATTTTTTTAGTTTCGCCTCCATATTTTCGAGTAATGTCTTCTCATATTCGGTACTTGCTTCATCAAATTGAATATTGTTGATTTTCTTTGTGATACCATGGTTTTCTTCTTCAATTTTCTCGATATCTTCTGAGTTATATTTCTTCAAATTCACTTCATTGGAAATGGAATTGGTAATTTTCTGTATTTTTTTCTCGAATTCCTTGACCTTATTTTCGTAGTCATAAGTACATTCCTCCACTTCATGATCCTTCATTTTTTTAAGCTTCTCGATAGTCCTAGAGAACTTTTTTACAACATCATCTGTAATATTGTCGGTGGGAGGTATGTCCACCATTTTAACATTCTTTTGTATTAATTCATTTCGAGATTTTATATTTTTCTCGTAAATTTTTTCAAGACCTTTCAATTCCCCTTCTTCCCTGATTGTATCTCCATAAGATTCTCTAGCCTGGTCCAATTGTTTAAAAACCTTGCTATTTTCCTTTTCGGTCCGCTGGATCTCAGATTCGTACTTTTGGATTTCTTTTTGAAAATTCGATGACCTTTCAACCAATATTTCATCAGAGTCATGAAGAAATTCGATATGATCTTCTAATCTTTTGATTTGGTTATTATAAGATTGTCTAGAAAATTCCAAATTATCAAGTTTGGCCACTACTGCTTGAAATTCCTGGTTGGATTTAAAAAGTCGTGCTATTTTGCTGTTAATATCATCGATATCTTCCGATAGCTTTTCCACTTCTTGCTTGAAATCATCAATCTGTGATTGCAACTCCTCTTTTTTACTCTCTGCTTTGGTGGCCTTATCTTTGTCCGACTGCAAATGTTGCACACTTTGCTCTAATAGCTTAATTTCATTCACTAACCCTTTTCTAATATTTTTGATATTATCAAGGGCTCTAGTAAACTTTAATGCTTCAAATATCTCATCAAATCTTTTCTTCAAAATGGAAGGCTCACTCAATGGCCATAAGCTATCCTCTTGATGGCAAAAAATCACATACTCTAAGATAGCTTTAGAAACCCCGAGATAATTTGGTACCTGCACATCCAATTCTGATACTTTAGTGCTGATTCTAGTTTTCTCATTTTGATTCATTATAACAAGTTGACCTTCCAAAGTCTTGAAAGTGGAAGTGGTTCTCTTAATGAGCAATTGCATTGATCTCGTGACAACCATTTGATTTCCACCATTATTTTTAAATCCCAACTTTATCTGGGCCTTTACTTCCTTATTTTCGTCGATTTTAGGATCGTGAACAAAGGCACCACCTTTGCTGTTGGGAGGTAGATCACCAGTGGTGGCATACTTCAAGCACTCGATAATTGTGGTCTTACCAGTACCATTTTGACCAACAATTAACGTCAATGGTTGACCAAACTCAATAACCTCTTTTTCAAGGGGAGAAAAAGATCTCACTCCCAGAATTGATAACTATATCTTGTTAGCGAACCGAACTCTATAACGCTCTCCATGATCGGTAGCATTGTACAAGAAAAAACTAAGCAAAAGAAAAAAAAAAACGCACCTTATTGATACAAGACCTGGTTAGGTTGGTTGTTAGTAGCTGGCGAATATATAAGTTGACAGAGCTAAACAATTGAGGCTTTTAAACTTACATATTGCTCTTGTGATCTGAGGTTCCAGAGGCGATGAGATGGTAATGATGGAATTTCTCTAATTTTCCAAGGCCTTTTTTTTTTTTTTTGACAAACGCAGTTCCCGAATGCTTCAATATTCAATACGACATCAAAAAAGAGCGCACAAATGAAAAGCAAATATCCAGTAATTGAGTGATATTTCTGTAAAGTTCGACACTTATTGGGTCAATGGCATAATATTCTTGTTTTCATCTTCCAATGAATATTTGCCCTGCGATGTCCTGGTGTTGGGATGATGTTTGGATGTGATGCGGACAAAGACCCGTATTTGTGGATCAAAACACACACTGGCCGTATCATGATGATACCCACTGCCTTCAGGCAAAAAAGTGTCACACATTTCACCCTACCAAGGTTATTTGCAATAGCTAATGGTTCACGATGTATCTAATGTTGCGGTAGAATGGCATATATTAAATTTGAAAGAATACTATGGCAGCGGATATCCAAGACTGTTGTCTGCGCAACAATATGTTTTGTATTGTGCCTCATTCCTCGCATGAGATCCAGGCTAGGGTACCAACCGTCTATGTTATCGTTGGCCTCAATCATGGTCCATCCAGGTAAAAGATTTGGAAGCATGATAGAAAGTGCATCTTTCTGCGCCTTAGGTTTGCTTGTTGGAGCGGCTTGGGCTATCTTTGGAAGATTCTTAGCTCAAAGGATCATAGGGGATGATAATTTAAACCTAGATGAGGAACAGTTGAACAGTGCTCATTTTGATATTTTCCAAAAGTGCTTGGTATTGCTATCCATGTTTGAAATCATTATGCTCTTTTTTCATGGCTTTATCAGAGTTATCGATCCGCATTTCTTTGGTATTATGTTTCCCTTGTTTTTGGTTGTCCATTTCGCGTTACTTGATGATCTACTGAAACCTGCGTTGGCTGTTTTTCAAGCCTATCTTGTGCCATTCTTTTTGGGGATTGCTATTTCTATTGTGTGTAATTTGTTTATTTTTCCAGAATTTGGCTCAACATATTTGGGCACTACTACATTGTCTGCTCTTAATCAGCTACACGCAACTTTTGATTCATCAATTCAATACTTTGTCATGTCACCTTTCAAAGATAATTTGAGTGGTACATACACAAGCGGCCCAGTTCAATTGAAACAGCTACTTTCAAATCAAAAATTGTTAAAACAGAAACTTTCGCAATGTCAATCTGTATTGAAGGAGTGTACTTATGAAATCTCCTACTCATACCTTTCTCCGAGTGAATTGAAGTTTTTCTTGAAAACTTTTGCAGAAATGAATAAGTATCTCCTTGCAATCATCAATGGATGTCAGTTGGAATTCGCGGTATTGGATGATGGACATGAGTCAATTGATGAAGCAGGCAATAAGCAGTTGTTGCAGATGTTGGAGAAGATCAAAACCCCCATCATCAAGCTTCACCGATCTTTGAGTGAATCTATTTATTACTTGAAATTGGGTATTTGTTACACGTATGATGTTAATCCAAAGGATTGTAATGAATCATGCTTTTTGCTTGAGGGGGTGCCTGTTAACATTGAAACCATGAATTTCAAAGAACAAAACGCGAAATTATCGCGTGCCATCACAGAGTTCGATGAAACTTGGAGAGTCGCCATTGAATCTTTTGCTAATTCTGATGAAAATGGATTGTTATTATTACCACAGGATGACATATTTCTATTGTCTTGGTTCATATTGAATTTCAAAGAATTTTCGACCGAAACTTTGAAGCTCAATTTGAACCTTGAATCTTTGGTTGCCACAAAAAAGCTGAGAATGCAAGCCGGCTGGCTATTTGGCAAAAAAATATGGATTTCCTTCTTAACAAACAGAGAAATGTTTGTCAACTGGTTGAATAAATCCACCACCGCACAGATGAGTGAGTCTCAAAGCTTACAAAGTGGAAGGGCTGGTAATTCAACTCAGTTTCTGCTCAGCTCCTATGCTAGACCACGCACTGGCCGTTCTAGATCTTTATCATTGGTTGAAAACCGGGAAATTAACTTGTTCAAGGCATCATTACAACCCTCGGATGATGAGAAAAAAATAAGAAGCTGGAATTTAGATTATCAGTTATCATTGATTGTCCTCTTCATGTTGAAATTGGGGACAAAATATCGCCCACACATTACATTTGGGTTGCAGTGTGTTATGGCGTTGATGCTTGCTTCCTTTCCTATGTTCATTCCTGAAATAAGACACTGGTATGTGGATATCAGAGGTGCCTGGATTGGTTTTGTTTGTATTTTGGTAGTTGAGCCCTCTGTTGGTGATACTTTCTGGGTTTTCTTTTTGAGAGGCGCTGGAATTATTCTCGGGGCCTCTTGGGGCTACTTATCTTACGTTGCTGGTTGCCATCAAAGATACGTCGTTGTGGAGGTCACTATCACCATTATTGGTGCTATCCCCGGTTTTTATTTCTTCTTGGGTACACCATATGTCAAAGGGGCTATTATCGGTTTGGTTTCGTTGTATGTCGTGATTCTTGCGACGGTGATCCCATCAGCCATCGGAGGCTCAATTTTGATTAATTGGGGTAAGCGTTGCTTGGCTTTCATATATGGAGGTTTCATCGGGTTGGTTTCCAATCTCTGTGTCTTTCCGGTCCAAGCAAAACGGGAATTGATGAATGAACTTTCTTATATCTGTCATTGCTGTGCTGAAATGCAAATGGTTTATGCCAGTGGCCTTGATGGAGAAAAATCTGTGATTTCAATATCCAAGCCAGATTATGATAGATTTATTGAACTTTCAGAAGACTGCAAGAGAGGATTATTGAAGGCGGAGGCTTATAATAAAGCAGCCAAGACAGAACCGAGTTTCAAAGGTGATTTCAAGAAGAAATCAAAGCTATTTGAGGAAATGATTTTCATTTTAAATGAGATATCATCAAGAATGGAAAATATCGTATTGCTAAGACTTAAGTACGGTTCTGAGGTCATTGAAGAATTGAACTCCATAGCCTACCCATATAGAAGGCAAACAGTTGCCTCAGTGAACAATATATTGTTGGCAATTAGGGAGGCACTAATCAACAAGACCCCATTACCCCAATATTTGCCTAGTGCGAGAAATTCACAACGAAAGTTGATTAAAATTATTAGAGCGCATTTATCAGAGAAATATGATGTTACTCTTGAAGATAAGTCAAGCAGTGGGCAAATAGAATATATCAACGATGTTGATAGTGACACGGTTTTGTCCAATATACTTCACAGAAAGCAAGGAAATAAGTATTTATTGAAAGACAAGCTATTAAGTTGGTGTGCCACGACCGCTGGTCTAGAGGAAATTATCAATTACGTTGAAGAATTGGTTGAATTAAGCAAAATTTTGGTCGGTGTCAACGAGTTCAAATATAGTTTTTTGAGCAGATCAATCGAGTATGAACAAAAGATTATTGAAACTAAAATTGTTGAAAAAAAAGATGGCCATGCGCATGAAAATGTTTATTCACTGCCTTCAGATGTGGAGATTGAAACATCTCTGTTGTCTCTGGAATCTAGTGTATCTTTGAATAATTTCGATCCTGTGGAGTATTTTGCCAGCGAAAATCTGGGGCCCCGGAATCTTTTGCCGACTTATGAATCCATCCTTGAAACTGATAGTTTGCGAAGAGTGGAGAGCATTGACAGTTACAGACACCCTACGAGGAATCTTATTACTCGTGTTTATTCATTAAAGACAGCCTTGACTGATGTTAAAAAGCAAGCTGACGCTGCTATGCATAATGAAAATGATTTGCCTGTGGCTCTAAAAAGGATATTTCGGAAGAAATTTCTTAACAAGAAAAAAAAATGGTAGAAGAATATCCCCTTGGAGTACTGAAATTCATAATGAACTAATTTCAGAACATGTGCAATAGGTTGTTTTTTTTTTTATTCATTTTTTTGTTTGTTTTTTTTTTGGTAATTTAAAGAGATTGTTTATTTCATTTGTGAAAACCTTTAATCTTAAAACCTTTGTGATGTGAGAATTACAAAAATCCCGCAACAGATTCTGACTGAAAGTATATTGTCGCACCATATTATTTATCAATTTGATCAATTTTTTTTTTCTGCTTGTTTCAGTTTGGAAATGTCTGTGTGAACATGCAATAGTAGAACATTAATTTAATGTATCAAGTCTTTCGGGATGCAACTATTAGTCACTGTAATCCTGAAAATTTTTGGCGGATTGGAACCAATCATTGGTCATCCAATGAACAGCAACTTTTTGCTATACAAGAAAATAAGAAACTACTCCGTAATTCCTTTATTCCTTGTGATTCATATTTTGCCGATGCTTGGTATCTATTTTTATGATTGTTTATAATACTTGCCTCAAGAATGGTGAGGTCAATCTTAAGAAAAAAAAAGGATGGGGCCGTAACACACAAGGCTCTGGGGGTGTAGCTAATTTATCTTGGCGAGTAATGAAGTACGTGAGAAACAATAATGTAAAAAAGAAAAAAATAAAAAATGAAAATCACAGATCAAGTTGCTCTTTTTAAAATCACATCTCTATACAGACCTATTAAAGAAAACTGCATTTTCAGGAATCAAAAAAATTCCTGAAACTTCATCTTGTCTCATTTGCCGGTGTTCTGCATTGTGCAACAGTAGCTTTAGTCCGAGCCGTCAGAGAACCTATTTCTTACTTGCCGCGGAAAATTGATATGTATCCTGCAGGATCTGCGCGCAGGGTGCAAATTTTCTTCATGCTTTTTTTAGTTCGTCGAATTTTTTTTCATGCGGGTTCACTATCTAATCCATCTGTTCATCTATATATTGTCGTTGTTTCTGCATCGCTACAATTTTATCAGTACTTTTACTTATATTAACATTAGGATTATATTAAGGATCTTTAGCTGCCAGGTCTCTTTTCAATTGGGGAACACGTCCGATTTTCACACATAGAGAGAAAAAAACAAAGAAAGTCCGTGATCCTGATCTCCCTATCACCAATCCAATATGAAATACGCTATAATATTTCTTCTAATAAACCTTTGGACCTTGTCTTCCGCAGTTAATGTCAACCCAGCAAACTTGGAGCTAAATGTTGGAAATGACACAGACTCGCTATTGGTTAAGCGTCTGACATCCAAAAATACTGGTCACAATTACTGGGGAGGCACTCCACAAAAGACAAATTTGCACAGAGCATCCCCGTATTTGATGATCACAAAGATTTGCCAAACTGCAGCATCATCTTTTAAATTTGCAGGAGCAAACGCCAAGGGAACTGTTAGTTGTAAATACACTCCGTATGCAGGAACTCTTGCAATTTGTTTATTCGAAATGTCTACTAGCGAAAATGAAATAAGAAAAGCTATGCCTACGTTTTCCAATCTTTGCGCGAACATGACTTATGACAAGGCTGCAAAGATCTATGCAAATGCTACCAAATATGCCGTTAACCAGAGTGAAGTCCCAAAGAATGGAACCATCAATTATCCTGTCACCATCAGCTCAAAGGCTTTCCAAAAGGCGTCTGTGAAGATCGTAACCGCTGCTAAAGGTTTAGATAGAGCTAGTAGCTATGGTCTCGGGATTCTTTACTATTGGTTTGGTGTCATGGTTATTTCGGCAATTGTTAATTTATTCACTGCTACAGGTTTAGTCAAAAAATTCACACACCCTATTTTTAAGAAAGCACAACGGTATTTGTTGATTCCAAGTTTGCTTTCTGAGAAGCATCGTCAAACCTTTAAATTCCTTGGTATATTCGAATCATATCTTCCTAGCAGAGCTGAAAGTATTATCGTTTCCGGTTATCTTATCTTATACATTGTTTTCATGTCTGTTCATCTTGATGGCACTGGTGTTGCTTTGAACAAACTCATTTCTGATAGAGCGGGTATTATTGCATCAGCCCATATGCCTTTGCTTTTCCTCTTTGGTGGAAGAAATAACATTATGATGTATCTTACTGGTTTCAATCATTCAACATTCATCCAATTCCACAAGTGGACTGGCAGAATCATGTCTCTCAATGTTTTGATTCATGGCGCTGGCTACGCAAGGAGATACCTTGCAGCCGGTACCTATGCAGCCAACATGAAACAGGAATATGTTGTTTGGGGTATTGTTGCCGCTACTAGTGCTGGTGTTATAATGTTTCAATCTTATAATTGGTTCAGAAAAAATACCTATGAATTTTTCTTGATTACCCATATCGTTCTTCTGGTTATCTTTATGGTTGGTGCCCTCCGTCATGTTTATACTTTTGGATGGACAGAATTTTTCCTTGCCGCAATTGCTGTTTGGGTTTTTGACAGACTTGTTAGAATTATCCGGTTGTTCAATTTTGGGCTCCAAAAGGCCAATATCAAGGTGATTTCCGAAGATACCTTCAAAGTTACCGTGAAGAGACCACATGGATTCCGTTGGTATGCCGAACCTGGGCAATATGTTTACCTTCACTTCTTCACTATTAAAACATTTGGGCAATCACATCCATTTACTGTGACCGATTCCAATTTCAAAGATGGGGAAATTAATATTTACATCAAATGCAAAAAAGGTGCTACTAAGAGGATTTACGATATGGTGAGTAAAAAGCCTGACCAAGTTGACAACACAATTTTAGTAGGTATTGAAGGTCCTTATGGTCCATCAGCTCCTAACCACCACTATGATAACATTGCCCTTTTCGCCGGTGGTAATGGTATCCCTGGTATTTTTGATGGAGCTCTCAGACTTGCAAGAAAGTATCCAGAAGGTCAAAAGAATATTAGAATGATTTGGGCTGCTAGAGATTTGGCTTCAATCAGTTGGTTTCTTCCAGAATTGCAGTTGTTAAGAAAAGAAACATCTGTTCAGGTATCCATTTATCTAACCAGAGAAAATCCTGAGAAATTTGTCGCTAAAAAACAATTATCTGAGGCTAATAATTCTAGTACAGATGAGGATAACAAATCAGATGAGAAAACAGATAGTGAAAAGTCAGAAACTTATGCTATTAACTCTACTGGCTCTCCTTTGGTTGATCAATTAGATGGATTCGATGTTATTTGTGGCAGACCAAATATTGAAGAATTAATTTGCGATTGGTTTGCTCATGACTCTGGGTCTATTTCCATTACTTCTTGTGGTCCAGGTATCTTGTGTGATTCTTTAAGAAAAAGTATTTCTGCTAACATTGAAAAGCATAAAGGTAGAGTAGACTATTATGAAGATTTACAGATTTGGTGATTTAATTGACACACCGCATGATAGGGTATATTTATATCAATTGCATTTTTTTTTCTCTAATATATATCGTTCTTTTATATGTGCTCCTCTGTAGTATTGTGTAATAATTCCCTCTGTTCATCATCCTGTGCTAGCTGTTAGACTGAAAAGGTGTAGAATCGAATAATAGTCTATTCACTATTATACGCATTTCCACTATTTATAGTAGACCCGCCAACAGGGGTGCCTAGGTACCATTTGCGACTTATGGGCTTGAGTCCTGGTTCACCATATCCGTGGAATACCTAGTCGTCACACACCCCATGGGAGTAGTATATCCAGTAAAAGGGGTTTATGACACTTTATAAAGATAAATACAAGATAGTTTACATTATTTTGTTTCATGATAATTAATTATTGCGAAAAAACTGTTCGGTGAACGTGTCAGTCCTTCCTGTAAATTCTCTCCTAAACTATTTTTTTTTTCGCCAAAAACTCACAGAAAACATAAATGGTAGTCCCATGAACACGTTAAATAAATTATTATCTTAAAGCTGATGGATATATTGCTAATGTTATACTTTGAGTAAGCTTTTTAAGATTTCAAACTTAGAGTCTGTAAATTTATTTAAATCACCCAAACCAACGCCACAACAGCTAATGACAGTTTGAGAATTGATATTGGTATGACTACCTTTGTTCAAGACATTTACTAGGCCAATGGTATTAAGAGTTGATAAAATTTCAGTAACTTCGGGCTTTGTCAACGTCGAAGGAATATTTTTATCTTTTCTAGCAGTTTTCTTGTAGAAGGTAAACAATTCGGTTATATTGATAGTGGTCTTGATTGAAGATGAAGCTCTTAAAGCAGAAGGTCTTCTCATAGTTGCTGCAGGTAATGTCTTTATTGATGATGATCCTAAAAGTTGGGGGGAATTTGTATTTGAGTCTTGAAGTATTGATTTGTGTTTCTGAACCAATAACTGTTCATTCTTCTGTTGTTCGATTTTTGCAAGACAAATTAGAATAACGGATTGGTAAAGATTGATTGTTTTCAAACGGCTGACACATGAAATACCATTTAATGAGGTGGAGCAAATTTTTGCAATGTGGGAAATAGAGACTTTAGGGGCATCTGTTGGTGTCAAACAATAAAATTCATGCAATTGCTTTTCGGGATTAGACAAATACTGTTTTCTTGTATTGGTTTCAACAGCTTCGATGGAACGATACAAAATGTCAAAAACTTTTCTCAAATCACCAGTATTTGAAGCAGTTTTTTTAGCACAAAGTTGTAAAGCAGAGAAGTTTATTATTGGGAAGTCATTTGGATTTTTCAACTGCTTGAGTTGTTTTTCATTCTCGCATAATGATAAAAGTTTTTGCTTGACTATGTCAACAATTTTATCAGTGGTGTATGGCAAAAATTGGACCATGGAAGTCTTTAAACCATTATGTTTCAATCTTGGTGCAATTTTATCAATCAAGTTCAAAGCATTAGCAATACCAACCAAGACTAGTCTGGTATCAGCATCCTTCTTTGGCTTTGCTAACAAGAAAAAGTCAAATACCAACTGCTTGTCCGCATTCGATTTCGAATTATTTAAGACGGCATCTAGTTCATCCAAGATAATGACGTTATTGTCAGAGAATTCTTCTTCAGAAATCAACAAGGTAAACAATTCTTTGGCCAGCAATTCATGTTCAAGTTCCAAGTATTTTGGATACGTTCCAATTTTTTTAGCATTGATCCCAAAATTCTTCAAAAATTCTTCGAAAATCTCATTCAAATTCGATAGTCTCATACAATTGATTTTCGTCACGGTGATCTTTTTCACCTCTTTATCATCGAAGCTGATCTCAAAGTACGATCTTCCAGGCTCACCTGTTCCAGTAGATACTAAACGGTCCAAGATATAAGACACTTGTTGAGTCTTTCCACAACCTGGTGGGCCAGAAATGTAGAGGAAATCAGAGGCATTATTTTGTATGTTTTTGATGAGGAACGACTCGATAGCAGAATATTCCTTTTCTCTGCCAATGAGACAGAAATTTGTTTTTTGGGAACTGGTTGTGGTAATATCAACACATTTACTAAATAGTTTTTTAGCCTTAGTATATACCGAGTCTTTAAGTGAATTGGTTTCAGGTGTCTTGATGTTGTGCCTATCATCAAAAGCTTCAACTTCTTTTATCAATTGTAATTCCTTCTCACTAAAGAGCTCAGGATGGATGTTCTCTTTGTTTTGTATGGCATATTCCATTTCACCAATAGTTGCCTTATCCTCAACATCTTCAGTGATGGTATGCTCCTCATATGAAGGGGTTAGAAGACCGAAAGAACTAGGAGTTGCTTCCATTGTGGATAAAGATGACAGCATCATAACAGCCTTGCCAGCAAGCCGCGATACCGAAGGAGTTTGCGGAGGTGATAGAAGGCCGCTAGCAATATTGGAATTTTGTCTTTTGGCAGGTTGAACTGACAAAGAGCTAGATTTTCTTTTCAACCCCATGATTATTAACAAGAGTACTTAGGTAATGATGTGATGGATATAATGGAATTGAATCGAGGGATAGAAAATTAGGGGTTCTTTTGGTTATAAAATGATATCAATAAGGAAGAAGGAAAAGAAAAAAAAGGAAAAAAATGGGGGAAAACAAGAGAATATATGATCGGTAAGTTTCACGCACGTCCCATCAAAATTTCAATACCTTAATAGGAAGCGTAGAAAAAAATAAAATAAAATAAAATATTTTTTTCATAACGCGTTACGCGTCGCATCCTTCCCCCAACGGATCTAACCAAAAAAAAAAATTTCGCGTTGCCGATTCTATAACATTACTTAGAAGAGTGTACAAATTGTAATTGTTTAGTTTCCACTTAATTATAGAATTATCCCCATTTGGAAATGATGTAAGATGTTTAGCGTACTATCCCTATCTTTGTGAAATGCTCGGCATATCTCGCTCGTTTAACAAGCTTGGTAGATTAAAATGCTGTAGAAGTGTACTCTACGAACCTCGTTTCACTTCATTACATGTTTATGACCCGTTAATATTGAGGTGTCCCTTGATGAGTAATATATTCACTCGACCACCGGATCCAGAGTACACAAGTGAGTTGAAAACAATTGCATGATTACGTTCTTTACGATAGTGACTCCTTTTTAGCTAGAAGTAATTTGGAGACCACAGGCTGTAGATGAGTTGCCTGGACATTCTATTATAATCACTGTTACTCAGAACTTTGGTGCAATTGATAGAGACCTCTGTTTCCACTATCAAACATAATAATACCCGTGCCGGTGGATCATCGGGTAGGTGGAATGGCGGCGCGCGTGTGTCCGGGTGATGCACCGTTCCTCTGCCGTTACATCGATGACTCAATTATATGTCAGAATAGGCGAAAATTGATAACGAAAAGTTGTTATCGTTTTGTTTTTCGTTCGTACAGTCACAAAACAAAGTAATAGCAAAAAGATGTCTAGTACCAGACTACTTGTTCAAAGTTTGGCCAAGCGCCAATTCGTTAGACATAACAGTTCCTCCACCGCAGCTTTGGCCTACAAGGCTTTACATCGTCATAAGAAACAACCAGGATTACCAACTTTGGACACTCCAAATTGGTCTGCTCAAGGTGCTGTTTCCTCTATTTTATATGAAACTCCTTTGCCATCAAAATCCCCAAAGAAGCAACACATCTTGAACTGTTTGGTGCAAAATGAACCAGGTGTTTTGTCGTTGGTTTCTGGTATTTTGGCCGCTAGAGGGTTCAACATTGATTCCTTAGTGGTTTGCAACACCAATATTAAAGACTTGTCTAGAATGACAATTATATTGAAAGGTCAAGACGCAGTCATTGAACAAGCTAGAAAGCAAATTGAAGATTTGGTGCCTGTGTTTGCCGTTTTAGACTATAGTTATGGTCAAATAATCAAGAGAGAATTGCTTTTGGCAAGAGTCAGTTTGTTGGGGCCTGAATATTTTGAAGATTTGATCAAACAACATGAAAGCGAATTGTCCCCAGAATTGGATGCTACTGCTAAAGAACAAGGCGGCAGTTTGAGTGATTTCCATGGTAAGTACCACCCTAAGAATTTGTCTCCATCTGAATTGTTGAGAATCAAGAATCAATACTTGACTGCATTACAAACCTTAACTGCAGAATTCGGTGGTAAAATCGTCGATATTTCTTCCAAGAATTGTATCATTGAGTTGAACGGTAAACCAGAAAGAATCACCAACTTTTTGAAATTGATTAGACCTTTTGGTTTGTTAGAAGTCGCTAGATCTGGTGTCATGGCCTTGCCAAGAACTCCTTTGGATGACATCGAAGGTCTTGAAGAAGATGATGTGAGTGATACCCCTGAAATTGACGTTAGCAACTTGCCACCAGGTTGATTGTTTCTGTTAGACAATTAAAACACCTATCAATTCTAAATTCATTTAGAACATTACATTTAGTCATCACATATTCGATTCAATATCATATTATTTATCTTTCAAAATAAACATTGTTATGCTATAAATTCATTTGGTTTTCTCTGTATCTTCATTTGTTTTTTCTGTTTTCTTTTTTTTTTTTTTTTTGACTATTTCTGACATTGACATTTTATTTTTCTATATAAATAATGCATTACCAAGTCAGTTTTGAAATAATTCAGCCAGTAACTTTATCTGTTGTATTTTATTCTGCTTTGCTTTTCACATCATAGGTTGATGGTGATACACCACTTACATCTAGTCACTATTGAGGTACGTTTAAAGAACACAGACATTACATTCAAGTTGTTTCTGAAAACACGTTTTATGTAATTAAAATAGAAATTGGATTACAGAAAAGTGAGACCACATAAGTACTTCCAAGATGGACCGACAGTTCAGTCAACAGTTGATAGGTATTTAGAAATATAGAAAAAAAGCTAAAAATTCCCAAGGTTAAGTATTCATCATAGCTTTTTATTTTGCTCTTAGAGGTGCTATCTTTCATTTTTGAACAGGAGATGCTATGCTAATTCTTGTAAATTCAACTTTCCATACTTCCGATATGTAAACTGTAATCTCAAATAAGGAATGGCATATGAAAAGGAGCAACATTTGTTCTGTGAAAGAATCCATATCGCTTATTGATAGGTTTTTTTTTTTTTTTTTTACATTTCTTTTTGCTTTTAAAAGCCTTTTCACGATATATTCTAATATATAACCCCCAGAAATCGAGACTCTATGGGAGGAAATATACATAGAATTACAGTTGCATTTTAAATTAATGATACTCTCAATCTAGGATTGGCTTTGATATCCTACAAAATGTAACTATTCAGTCTCTCAAACTTGAATTTTCAAATTCTTTTCAATATTTGCTTAACTCTGCAAGAAACATCTTATGATTAAAAGAATAGCATGTAAAAGTACTAAATACTGCACCTTTAAGGATATAAGTGCTGAAATTCAAATTAAATAATAATAATAATAATAATAATAATAATAATAATAATAATAATAATCATTATAGTCACTCAAAAGTTTGGAGGACTTCACTTCACTGAAATTCCTCACTTACAAAAAAAAAAAAAAAAGAAAACCAGCCAATACTCCAATTTCCATTACTAACAAGAAGATCAAAAACAGAAGGTGCAACTCTTTATTCTCTTTTTGAAAGTTATTCTAAATTTTGAACCATATATTGGAGAATTAACTGGTATCAGCCAATATGCTCTTATGATATACGCATAAATAAACAGAAACATGCATATCACATGATGGATACCCTTCAGCCAATCAACACGCAGTGGAAAAAAAAAATCACGCCGTCAGAAAATTTATAACACAGCAGAACTCTTGCTAACATTCGTGCAATCAGTACAGGATCATTTATCATCACCATCAATAATGTTGTCAAACGTTGCCAGAAGAGCTACTGCTCAAACCGCTAGAAGAACTTTCGTTCGTAAGAACCACAGTTTGCCACCATACGCCAATGAACCAGCTTTCGGTAAGCCAGACGTCGAAGCTGGTAAAGCATTTGCTAAGCACATCGAAGCTGTCCAAGAACACGCTGCTGGTACCAGCGGCTTGTGGAAGAAGATCTCTTTCTTCGTTGCCTTGCCAGCCATTGGGTTGACTGCCATCAACACCTACTTTGTTGAAAAGGAACACGCCCACCACAGAGCTGAAAAGGCCAAGGTTGCAGATGAAGACTGGCCAAAGGACTACGAATTCCAAAACATCAGAAACAAGGACTTTTTCTGGGGTGATGGTGACAAGACCCTTTTCTGGAACCCAGTTATCAACCGTCACGTCAAGGACTAAATTTGAATAAAAATTATTGATTATAAAAACATGATTTTTGGAGAAGATTATTAGAAGCAAACAGACTGTTTCAAACAGATTGGGGTTGCTTGGTGGGAGAGTAATTGAATACTGTTGTTGCATTCTGTTCAATTAAAGACATCATTCACAGATAATATAAAATACATGGCATTAAATGACCATTCTTATTTTAATTTTTATTTTTTTTATACTAATGTTTTGGAGTGGCTAGTAATTGTGGGTCACAATGAGAAAGAGTCTTTCTAGCCTCTTTATAATTTAAAGAAATATTTTTTTGCATATTCGAATTTTACTCGTGTAAGATCGTTGGAACAATTAATTATGAACGATATGACATATTTGGACCTTATCATTTATCATTGATAGATTTGAAATGAACATGAGAAAAATAATGATATTAGAAACATTGAATTCAGAACGTCTTTATTTTTAGCTTGATGGATCTCAGTTGTTTGATTATGGCATGGTTACTTTAATCATGATCATTTTCGAACAGACTTCCAAAAAGTTAACACATGGAAATAACAGCATGACAATACAGATGTGCCACTGGCCCTTTGTACTTCAATGTTGTAAAATATTCCTCTATTCTCCCTATTTAAAAAAAAGAATTAAAAATATTCCATAAAAAATATATAAATTACGTGTGTTACTGGATAATAACTGTATTCCCATCGCGATGGGACCAGATTCCCCATGTGATCACGTGTGATGAAACGGTCTCTTCCAGCAAAGCAAAAAATCAACACAAGTGAGAAATCAAAAAATTACATAATTAGGACACTAGACGACAAGATTCTCTTAACCTTGACATAGTCACATCACATCCATTCCTATACCCAATTAAGACTTTTTGGAAAATACCACTTATCTATTTTCCTATAGTCCTTCATAATTGCAATCGAAATAGAGTTGTGAACGCAGGTTTTTGATTTTACATTTTCCTTTGGTGTTAGTTACGAAGAGGTAGTCACAGGTCGTCATCGCGTTGACGCCACAAAGTTACCAGAGTAAAAATCATATCATAATCGGAAACAAAGCAAATATTCTCATTGAATTTCATTATTACCTTTGATATCTAAGTTATTTAATTAATTTTTCTTTTTTTCGTTTGGTTCTCATTGTTTTATACCTAGAGACCTTATACAAAATACCACAGAAGTTGATTTACAATGTTACAAGATACAGCAGACAGCACAGACTTAAACCAAACGTGGAAGTTCTCACAATGTTTTGGTGATAAGGGAGATATAGAGAATATTACCGAAGCAGATATTATATCAACAGTTGAGTTTGACCAGACTGGGGATTATTTGGCCACGGGTGATAGGGGTGGTAGAGTGGTTCTATTTGAAAGAAATAAGTCCAAGAAAAACTGTGAATATCGTTTCCACACCGAATTCCAATCACACGATGCAGAATTTGATTATTTAAAGTCTCTAGAAATTGAAGAAAAAATCAATAAGATAAAATGGTGCAAAAGATCTAACTCTGCCCATTTCTTATTGTCCACCAATGATAAAACCATCAAATTATGGAAGATCTATGAGAAGACTATAAAGATTGTGAGCGAGAATAACTTGAACGATGGATTTAATAATGGTTTCAACGGTTATGGAAATAGCGGATTGAATAGCTACAATCTTAGTTTATTGAACAATAACCTTTTATCAGGTCTTTCAAATATCTCTCAGTTACACAACAATCCGAACTATATCTCATTAAACAGCCTTCATTTACCAAGAATGTCCTTACATGATACTATAATTGCTGCTGCTCCAAGAAGAATATTTGCAAATGCGCATACTTATCATATCAATTCCATATCCATCAATAGTGATGGTGAAACTTTTATTTCAGCTGATGATCTTAGAGTTAATCTCTGGAATTTAGGAATCTCTGACCAATGTTTCAACATTGTCGACATTAAGCCAGCCAATATGGAAGAGCTTACCCAAGTCATCACCAGTGCCGCCTTCCATCCTCTTAGTTGTAACTTGTTTGCATACTCATCATCGAAGGGTGAAATAAAGCTTGCTGACATGAGAGAGAACGCTTTGTGTGATTCTCAAGCAAAGGTGTTCGAAGAATACATGGATAGTACAGCTCATAACTTCTTTACCGAAATAACAACCTCAATAAGTGATGTGAAGTTCAGTAATGACGGAAGATATATGGTTAGTAGAGATTACATGACAGTTAAGATTTGGGATCTCAAGATGGAAAATAAGCCGATTAAGACTATCAATGTTCATGAACAATTGAGAGATCGCTTATGTGATGCCTATGAAAATGACGCTATATTCGATAAATTTGAAGTTGTCTTCTCCGGTGATGGTAAGTCGATGATGTCCGGATCATATAACAATAATTTCATGATTTATCCAGACGCTGTCAATAGTAACGAGGCCAATGAAACAGAAATCGTATTACAAGCTGACAAGAGTGCATTCAAGGCTAAAAAGGTAGGTATTCCAACTCTTAGAAACAAGAACAACCAACCAGTTAATGGAACAGGCAACAATAATAGCATGAGAAGAGACTTGGACTTTGAGACCGTGGATTTCAAGAAGAGTATTTTACACTTGTCATGGCATCCAATGGAAAATAGTGTGGCAATTGCAGCAACCAACAATTTGTACATTTTCTCAACCTCATGAATGATTATGCTTTTTTGTTTTCGTTGTTTCATTGTTTTCCTCAATCTCTATCAGTTCTGTCGTATTTTAGCCTCTCATCATTAATCAGTATTCTGCAAGAAAATCCAATTTTCATCGCAATATTAATACGTACCAGCATTTTTATCAATCATCATCATTTGTTTTTTTTTTATTACTTATCATGACGAATTACCGATATGCCTTTGTAATCCAGCAGAATAATAAGATCTCAATTCATGTCTGTCCCTCCTCATTTATAAATTTATCAATATTATTCCCATTTTCTTTCTTTTTTTTTTCTCTCTGCCATCTTTCATCTTGCCTACAGCTCTTTTTTATTTATTTTTCTCAATTTATTTGCCCCATCTCTTGTCGTTTTCAAATCTCCACATACTCAAACCTTTTTTCTTTTGGAAAAGATTCTAATACGAAGTTTTTTATCATGATTCAATAGTTGAGTAGTGATGGAAAGCTGTACCTGAGATGTATTAACGAAAGAAATAACAATAGCTGGTTTTGGAATTCTTAATCCCTTTTTTTTTTTATTGTTGAGCTCTTCTTTTTTTTTCAGCTTTTTTTTTTTGATCTATAATTCCTGCTTTGTCATTTTGATGATTGTTTCATTTTTTACATTCTTTTATGATTGATTTTGGATATGCTTTTTCTTGAAATGAAATAATTGCCTAATAATAAAATAAATGAAATTAAAAATAAAGCGTTTCTCTGTAAATTAAAATTCGATTCGGGCAGGCCATTTTTTTTTTTTGTGGGGACAACACTCTCCGCAGAAGAGTGAGTGTATAAACACTTGAGTTTATGCCACCGGTCTGAGATCGCTGAGATACAAAAAACCTTTTATCCAATGAAAATTTCAAAAGCTTCTTTTCTTTAAAATCATTCATCTTCGTACGAAGAACAATAATAAATATTTACGATCAGTGATAAAAATACATTAAAACATCTCATTGAAATTTAAATATTTACTATGAAATACAAAATCACAGCCGGGATTTTTGTTTGAATGAAAAGGGGATAAGTTTATTCAGTTGATCAATCAAACCGTTTGACTTAAGCCAAAGCCTTCTTGGCAGCGTCAGCTGGGTTAACCTTCTTTTCACGGTTGAATCTTTGACGAGATGGTGGAGTTCTGATTCTTCTGTCGGTTCTAGATCTGACTCTGACAATTCTAGCGTGAATGGCACAAGAGACACAGTAGTGCAATTTGTTGTACAATTTTGGCAAAGCGTATTCAGAGTAGACGGAAGCATCAGACAAATCTCTGACAGCAGCGGCTTCAACGATGTTTCTGATGGTGACTCTCTTGATAGCCTTATCCTTTGGAACACATCTGGCACAGTTGATACATCTAACTGGCTTGACGTGACCTCTACCCTTCTTGTTTCTACCGTTGGAAGCTCTCTTTTTTGGCATGTTGACTATTAACAAATTGTTAGTTTTCCATTAAATTCCAATTATAGTTTGTTTTTTCTAAAATTTCTGGATTTCTATTTGAATTCAAGATAGTGTAGGTATGCAACAGTTTGATTAGATTGTAATATTGTTGATTACTGAATTCTGTTCTATGGCAATTGAAATTTTTTGATTCTTAGTTCTATGTTTGATCTGGAAAAATCTCCACTTGATACAATTTACTTTCTTTTTATCCATAATGATTCGAACTTGATGATCAGTGAGTGATATAACAATTGAGTTGATAAAACGTTATGATGATGATGATGATAGATACTTAATAATCTGAAAAGTTTTCTCTAATTATTGATCATATTAACAATTTTTCAGTCCCAAAGTCCAATACTATTATAATGAATGAAAATTCCAAGCTCGCAATAATAACATCTCATACCCCCACTACTACTTTGTTTCAAACGCTTTCCGTAATATCTTGTACATACCTTTATTTGTTGATACTTCTTAACTAATCTAATAGGAAAAGTTGACTGGAAACAAGCACCGCTGAATTATTTTGTCAAGAGGAATTGAAAAAAGTCCTTAGAACAGTCACGTGTGGAGTAGAACTCACAGTCACAAGGAGTAATTTGGTAGCCCCAGTCACATGTATATCACGTAAATCCAAAATCTTTAGGGCACCAATCTGACAAACTGGACAGTGCCACTAACCTTATGTACACGTGATACATTTTCTGAATTTTCCAACCGATAATATCACCCGGAAATAAGCACCGCGGTCAACCAACCAAATCGCAGGAATTTGGCGTTCAGCCAGTAATCACCAGGTTTTTTTTTTTCTAAGACCACACCATTTTTCAGATTAGAGAGAAAAAAAAAAAAATAGAAAGCTTTAATAAAAGCCTTCACAAGATCTTTTGAAACAACACACCAACACAATAAAACAGGTAAGTAAACATTTGGTACTTGGGATTACTGAGGACGAAAAATTACAAGGATAACTACAAAAGAGACGTAGAAAAAAAAAAACAAAGGAGAAGAGGATTCATCAGAAACTAACCGTGAATTTTAATTAAAGATCTAAAATGTTTGCCTTGAGAAGAGCTGCTGCTTTCCGTCCTGTCGTCAGACCAATGTCTGCTCGTTTCTTCAACACCACCAGAATAACCTTGAACAGCACTCCAGTAAAGACTGCTGCCAACTTGGCTGAAGTTGTCAACAAGGAATCCCTTATCGGTCAAGGTGCCAAAGAAGGTACTATTCCAACTGATTTGGAACAAGCAACCGGTTTGGAAAGATTGGAATTGTTGGGTAAGTTGGAAGGTATTGATATTTTCGACACCAAGCCATTGGACTCCTCTAGAATCGGTACCGTTGAAAACCCAATCATGGTCGACTCTTTTGACGACTACAGATACATTGGTTGTACCGGTAGCCCAGCCGACTCCCATGAAGTTCAATGGATGAGATTGACCGGTGAAAAGCTTTCTAGATGTTGGGAATGTGGTTCCGTTTACAAATTGAACGAATGTGGTGTCCCACAAGATGATCACCACCACTAAATGGAAACACAAGTGCATACTGGGGGGATAAAAGGAGCAATATTCTAATTATTCTTTATTTATTTTTTTGAGAATATTGTTTCTAAAGGAGAAGAGTGTTAATCAATATTAATATAATCAACCGGAAAGTAAAAAAAATGATTCCAAGATATTTTTTTTTCACAAATAACATTGATAAAACAAATGAAGAAAAAGAATAGTACAAGCAGGTAGAACAAACTTGAAAAGAAAAATTAGGAGAATCTGTTCTTTTTTTTTTTTAATTATTATTTTAATATTACACAGGAGGCAGTTTGTTTTAGGATTATCTTATATTTATCTTGTATTTTTTTTAAACCATTATTTTATTTCTAATTATTTGTTTACTAATAAACATTGCATCCGTTCTAACGTCATTTTGTTTGGATTTATAATAATCATAGGCGTCATTTTGACATGAGAAAGGGTGGCAGAAGAACACAAGGTTATTTAATTCATTCAAATAGTTCCCTTGAGAGATTTATGATAGGCATAAAGTTTCAACCATTTGTTACACTGTCATTCTTGCTTTCAGCAGCAAGCTGAGTCTCCTAAAGCAATTTGTTATGTAACAACCACCGATCTCATTGTAAAGTTTCTTGCAAGACATTAATTTGACTCCACGTTCAAATATTTCACTTTTTGTTGCTTGTTTTTATTTTTGACCATCAAAATCGAAAAATTAACACTAAGAATGAACGCTCACAGATTGATTAACAAATGAATATGCAAACTACAATAGTTACAATAATTTGAACTGTCTAATAATCAACAAACATCAATCCAAGTTATTGAAGATTGAGTTGCACCAGTAGTGAAATCTCAAATTGGTGACGCTAAAAGGAAAAAAAAAAAAAAAAAAGATAAATCAAAAGAGACACAGATATGGGAATTTCTTTATGATCTTGTCACTTGCGTTAAATCTACATATGAAGGATGGTAGCTTTGCAAAGTTTATCGCAAGCATTAGATGTCGAGAGGCCATTTAGCAAAATGACATGCAGGTTTTGCATGTGAACATTTCGTACAAATAAACATGAATGAGAAATCAAAATAAGACTTTCAATAAAAACAGAAAAAATAAATATGCAACACCAAAACAAATGCTAAGCGCTCTAGAAACAATCAGAGATATGAAACAGAAAATGAAAAACTAAAGAATAAAGAACAAAAAACCAACAACAAAATAAAGTAATAATAGAATAAACAAAGGAAAAATCAATCACAACCAGCTAGATGGTCCAAAGGTTTCGCCTGATTTCACAGTATAATATGGCTTTGATTTCCAGTCAAGAGTATCCTTATAAACTTGATTTCCCCACCACGTTAAAGTGACCCCCGGATACGTAATACACAAGAAAATTACCACTGTAGCCACAGCAACACCGGCTTCTACGGCAGCACCCATAACGTAATTATACTTGGCATGCCATCTAGGCCATTTACCCCCAATGAACTTGTTGAGGAAGAATGAAGCCACGAAATAAAGACTGTAGTTGTACACTGTGCTAGGAGGAATGTTTCCTGGACCGGTGAAGAAAACAGGAGCACTAAGTTTTCCATACCACTTATTTGGATATCTTCTCCAAAGTAGCCAAGTTATCACTGGACAGAATGCACCAATGAGGAAGAACCAAGTAATGGAATGATACCTCTTTCCAAAACTGAATAAATGGCCTGGCAAACTCCAAATGATAGAAGCATTGAAAACAGTGCGACCATCACTGCATATGAATCCATCAGGTTGGTCAGTAGTGCAGACACCCTTGATATTCTTTCTCATCCAATCTTGAAGCCCGACCATAATGAAACTGGCAATAATGGTGGAATAAAGTTGGGCGAAAAACAAAATTCTTGGTGGGATTTTGCAGTATTGAGCAAGCTTAAGATCTTTTGAAAGAGAGAGACCTTGAGTTGTGGTGACATAACCTGTAAGCTTAAACAAGAGATTCGCCATTGGTCTAAGAGGCATCATATATCCAGCAACCAATTCAGTAATGATATTCAATCCGACATGTTGATTAGTTATAGACTCCAAAACCCCTTGAGGAACGAAATTAATGATAGAAATCATATAAGCAATCACCAAACCCCAAGCAGGGAACTGTTTTTGCCAAATACAAATACACAAAAATGACAAGCCAACAGTTGAAACGAAAACTATTGCATACCACCAATCTGGAGCTTCTTTGTACTTGTTCATCATTCTTTTGTGAATGTCCTCACCACCATTCTTTGCATTCTTCAATTTTTCCCAAATTTCATGGCCATGATAAAGATAAGTGTGAACGAAAATCCCAACCACTGCAGCAAAGTTTAAAGCATAAGATAATAAGTAGGAAAATGGAACGAAAATAGGGGAGTATTCTTTATATTTCTGAAGGTTGATGGTATAATCTGGGTTCAAAACTTTTGAGACATTAAACTTACTTTGAGTATTGTCAAAGGTGCTGCTAGAAATCATTGGCATATACTTAGCATCCCACGTATTAGTGTAGTATAATATTGGCAAAATCAATACAAAAAACAAGAACACCGAACCATAAGTATTGGCGACAACCCAGAATGGGGTAGCAAAAACCGAGCCAGACATGGCTTGCGAGATTTGAGTATAGTCAAAAGTGATTGGCAATAAACCAAGCCCCGATTCAACTCCAAACAAAGAATTCACCACAAAATTGTTTCTTGTTAATGGTCCCCACAAAACAATCGAGAAATAACCTAGACCTTTGAACAAGAATCCAGGAAACCAATACCAAACAAACGAAATGCAGAAAGCCACCAAAAAAAATTTATACCTAGAAGCCTTCCATCCGTTGACAATAGTTCTGTCAAGGCCTTTATCGTTAAGGGCATCAAACAAGGAAACCGAGATTAAAGTTTGCGGCCAAATCGCAGAGGCCGGATACACGATCCATCTTCTGGTGAGCCCAGCCAACCCATAACCGGCCATTTGAGTGGACATAACGAGCAAGATTTCGTATCCAAAATTCACATCCATATTGTAGAAATTTGTTTGAGCAATCAAGATATTCATGGCGTATGCGGTCGATGATGTTAGCGAGACACAAATGGTAATCAATGCATGTTCTTTTTTGGAGAATTTTCCACCGGGATTCAAATCGAAGAACCTGCATTTGTGACATTGTATATCAGGGAGCCTTCCAAAGAGGTTACCAACAGGAAAGCAAATCACTTGGGCAACGATGAAGTTAACACTGAGAGTCGGGTATCTTAATGAGAAGAATTGGTTGATGGCAGCAAAGATCGCGACAAATACGGTGACAAGAAACCATGTTCTCCAGTGATTGAGTCTGACTTCTTCGTCATCCAACGGAACATTTTGTCTAACTTCTGGATAAGGGCTGTTGGAAAGAAGTGTTGGGTCGTCGGTGAATACAGTGGTGATATCATCATCAGGGATTTCTATGTATCCTGGAAGGCGATCGGCGCTGTGTAAAGTTTCCTGATCATAAATCAGTTGATTCTTTTCACTAATTTTTTTACCTGGAGTAGCACATCTTGTTTTCAGCTCTCTATCAAAACATTCTGAATTGTCGTCGGCAGTTATAGCATAAGGACTGCCATATACTAACTCCGAATTTTTTGGGTTCATTATTGCCCAAAATGATGTAGTAGAAAGGGGATACCTAGAAATTTAATGGAAGGAGATACAAAACTCAAAGAGAAGATTCTAACAAAAATACTTGGGGATTTTATAGAGAATATATATAAATTTTGTATGGTACCTGTATGTCAATTATTGACTGTGTATGCGGCTTAATAGGACAGAATGCAGCTCCTCGAAATTGTGGCGATCCGGTAAGCCCTCCCTTGCCAAAAGAAAAAAGAAAAAAGAAAAAAGACTGGTTGAATGTAATTAATAAATAGTTGTATATATTTATGTATAATTATATTTTTCTTACACTATATAATATATTATTTGTAGTTATTGAAAGAGGTTGGCGAGGACATTTGATCAATTTTTTTTTGAGAGCGAATTGACAAGGTTTTAGTTTCCTTAATTTAGGAACATGAGATCACCTACCAGTTTTGGAAGGTCTATCATAGATAATATCGTAAGGGAGTTCAATCAAAGTCAACACAATCTCATGTGAAATGAGATAAAGATATGCTTTTATTATACATGGAATTCCCAGGTGGGCGGACCACACCACCATGCGAGGTATCTATGCTGCTTTGTTGTTAAAACTACTTACAGCGCCTTTTTGAAAAGGAAGCCCCGTATGGTAATACGTATTTGAAATACAGCTGACCTATAATAATATCTATCAAAATAGAGGGCATTCTCCTGGCTCTTTCTAGTGATATCACTGTGTGTCTTGTTGATCAACCGGTTATTAATAGACAGTACCCTCCAGGCAGTCGACGGGAAAAGAATGTTGGATGCTATCACCCATTGTCACGTGTACGTAGAGTTTTCTCTTTTATTCTTTTTTTGTCTGTTTGTTTGTTTGTGGCCCTTCTAGTTGCAATGATTCAATTCCTTTAGATCATCGATCTCAACTGGTGCCTTCCAAGTCAACCATTAGAAAATGAAATCCTACTACTACGACGAATCAGATCCTTCGAGCTATCAGCATGACCATGACTCAGGAATTGAGGTAACCCCAGAACAGCTTAAGCAGATTGGCGTGTTGTATTATCACTTGGATAACATGGATGATGTCAACAAATTAGCCAAACAAAGAGAATATAAAAACAGAGATCAGATTAGTCTATCAAGTAACAGTTTTCCGGGAGGTCAGGAAGCCCTAAAGGCCAAATTGGACACATTTATCGAAGAGCATCTCCACGAAGATGAAGAAATCCGTTACATTGTCGAAGGCAGCGGGTTCTTCGATGTTAGGGACTCCAATGATAAATGGATTAGAAACAAATGTGAGAAAAATGATTTATTGATATTGCCTGCCGGTATTTACCACAGATTCACTTTGGATTGTGATAACAACGTGGTTGCCTTGAGGTTATTCAAAGATGAGCCAAAATGGATCGCTCTAAACCGTCCTGTCAGTGCTGACAATCAATACCGTGAAGAATATTTGCAATCAATCAAAGCTTAGTCTCAATTTCTACGCTGGATTTTTTACAAGTATATTGGCTTTTACAAGTTTTTTTTATCACCAGTTCTGGTAGTGGTTGATTGTTTTTGTTTTTTTTTATCTTCCAATAGTAGAAGAAAACTGTATTTATTTGGGGTTATTATTAATATCAATGAGGTTATTTCTGGTTTATCACATCTACTCAGTAAAACCACACTTTTGACAACGAGTATGTCTGTTTTGGGAGATGTTATGTATTACGTAATCGCTGACATAGGCATGGTTCCAACAGTTTTCCTTTTTTTTTTTTTCTTCTTTGAATTTTCATCAACTGCGCAGTGCGTGTGATCGTCTCGAGAAATTCATAGTTGGTGCCCTTGTCACTTGATATATTTTATTATTATTAATTATTTTTTTTACTACCAAGATAGCTATGAGCTCAGATACCAAGACCTCTGGTCTTTCCAAAGAGGAGAAGCAAAGAAGTATGTTGAAATGAGCTGGGTATTGGCACACATTATGCCAATTTGAGATGATACATTTCTTTGAAACTACAAGTACTAACCAATCGATCCAGAATTCCAACAACAATATAATGATTTCCAGGAGACAATAAATCAATTAACTGAGAAAATCAACCAGTTGAGAGGTGATTATGACGAGCACACGTATGTGTTGATATGAAGCTTCCTGTTCTTCGATAACCAAAGGATTTGATAACAATAGTTAACCAAATTTTTTTTGTGATTGTTTGTTGTTTTTGGGAATTAATCTTCCTATTTAAAGTTGATGACTAACATAACTCTAGAATTGTATTGGATACATTGAAAAAGGCTCCAAAAGATCGTAACTGTTATAGAATGGTTGGTGGGGTACTTATTTCAAATACTGCCGAGGAAGCAGCACAAATTCTAGAAACCAAGGCCAAAAATGTGAGTACCATTTTAAAGCTCCTTTACCAATATCTGTTTGGTTATAATTCACATAACTAGGAGTGCAATTTACTAACATAGAATATTACAGATCGTCACTGCATTAGACAACCTTTCAAAAGAATTGGTGAAAACTCATAAAGAGTTTGAAAAATGGAAGGTACGTATTTTATTATTATCAATTGAGTTGATATATACTATTGATTCATTTATTTTTGTTGATTACATTGGTTAGCATGATATTTCTTCAAAAATTACAATTATGGTCACAATACTAACTATAAATAAAAATAGAAGGACACTGGGGTTAAAATCGTTCGTACTGACTAAGCAATATCGTTCATATATACCAATCAAAGTTTTGTATTATAACTCGCTCTCTTTTATTGTATTGTATTGTTGTAAGTGTTCCATGTATGAATATGGGGATACCCAAGAATACGTCAACGTGACTTTGAGAAAAATCGGGGCACAAAAACACAAAAGTAGGCGATGATACCTCCCCAATCCACCATGATGTCTACCATTAAGCCTGAGAGGTATTATTATTCTTTACAATTAAAGCGAACTAGGAAGGAAGAAAACTATACGGACAGACTATGAAAATACTACTAAACCAAACACCCAGGTCAATTGCTATTGTATCAAATAAACGTGCCCTCTTAATCCAAGATCCGTTCTATCGAAGTCAAAACACTGCATCCCATCACAATAGTAAACAAACGAAATCAACGGATCCCAATTCTCTGAAGCGATGCGTGGTAGAGTTTGTGGACTCTTGGAAACTTGACCGTAAAAAGTACATTGAGTTGTCCTCGGTGTATGATATCGATTGCTTGGGTGTTTTGGGATTGATATCCATCAACGATTATTCTTTTCTTATCATCATCACAAAAGCACTAGAAGTCGGAAGTCCTAGACCTAACGAGAAAATCTTTCAGATCCAAGACGTAGAATTCATATGTCTAAACAGTACGGATTTTGATTCAATTTTTTCCCACACAAAGTATCAAGTAACGGATCCAACAAGTCATGATTCGTCACATCATGGTGGCCATAAAAGGGATGATGATGATCAATATACCTACCCTTTCAATGTCATGAAAAAATCATTGCTTAAAGGGAACTTTTACTTTGCCAATAGCTTTGATTTAACTAATAGTTTGCAAAACAGAGATACTTCCAGGTCGGTATACCATCATTCTTTGTTCAACTTCAACAAAAAATTTCTTTGGAATAGCTTGTTTATTGAAGAGCTAACACAATTCAGAGACCGTTTAGGGAATACAGAAAGGAAGATCTTTGATGAATGTAGGTTCCTCGGTATAATTATTCGGGGGTTTGTCCAAACATTGAACAGTACCATTAATTTGGAAAAACGTGAATCAGACAGAAAATCAAGTGTTATTCAACAGGAATCTTTAATCACATTGATCTCTAAAATCGGCCATGATAGATCGGGGAAAATCTTTGGAGTGAATGGTTTGGATGATGAAGGAAATGTGGCCAACTATATCGAATCGGAGGTGATATTCTATAATGAACACTATTGCATTTCTTATGCCATTATTAGGGGAAATGTTCCAATTTATTACGAAATTGATAACCAGCAATCTTCATCATTACTCAAGAAAATTCAAATCAACAGACCTTTCGATGCAACGCAGCAGGCTTTTAGAAAACATTTTGATTCATTGATAAAATCTTTTGGCGAAATTCACTTAGTTAACGAGATTACATCATCGATTGCCATTGAAGATATAGAAAGGAAACCAGCAAATAATGGGAATAATAATCATAATCTTCTTTCTAATCACAAAAAGGGAAGAAATGGAATCGAGTTTGATATATTCAACAATTACTACGAACATTTTCAAAAATTAGTGGAAAATCCGAATTATAGGGACTTGTTGAAAATGAACAACTTCAATTTCTCACTATCAAATCTCCAAAGGAACCAAGTTAGCATATCACAAATCATATATGCTGTTGAAGATTCGATTTTCAGATTTGCGGCCCTTTGTTATGATAATATCAATAAAAATCATGTCAACAAGCAATCAGGGGTTTTCAGAGTTTGTTCTTTTGATATGGCTGATAAATGCAATGAGTTACAAAAAATAATTTCCAAGCAGGTGTTATTGGCAGCTTTAAGAGATACCTACAGTTATGTAATTGATGTCGATAAAAGCACGGGAGCATTGGTTTATGACACTTTTTTCTCCAAGCTTAATGAAGATCTTTGGACAAAATTGGGCTATTTATGGAATGGTAATAATAATATAATCAACAGGATTTTATCAAAATACAACACTGAATTGAAGCAAGTTAACAAGAAGGGAAATATTATCAATAATAACTTTGATTTACTGAATGAGTACTTGTCTGAGCCAGTATTTGATGATGATTCAATTTCTCATAGTCCTGAAAATGGGAGTCTTTTGGTTCCCCCTGCACAAGGAAAAAAGAGGACTAGCTTCTTGAATAGTTTCACCGATATGACCTTGTCGACATCGAAGAAATTATTCAACCTTTCAAATTATAAAGATTGGCTAAATGATTTGGAAAAAAGAAATAACATTATTTCTGTGTTTTTAGGTAAAGAGCAAATTGATTATCACGGGAATGTGATTAGGAAAATCACCCTTTATGATCCAATAAATGATTACGTTAATAATGAATTGAAGAAATTGTCTGACAGTTATTTATCTGAAAAACAAATTTCCATTTTTACGGGTACCTTTAATGTTAATGGGACTTGTTATGAAGGAGATTTATCATCTTGGCTATTTCCTGAGGCTGATTATAAATTACTGAATGACGATGTGGCTGAGGATTTTGATACCTCTAAGCAAATTCATTATGATAAAATGCCAGATATGTTTTATATTGGTTTGCAAGAGATTGTCGAGTTGACTCCTGGGCAAATCATGAATGTCGACAGTACTAATAGAAATTTCTGGGAGCGCAAGATCCTCTTTGAGCTCAATAATAAAATTGATAACACTAACGGAAATAAGGGACAAGATAAATATATTTTGTTATGGTCGGGCCATCTTGGTGGGTTATTGGCAGTGCTTTATATTAAAAACTCACAAACTGCATTTATCAAGAGAATTGAAGAAAGTATGAAGAAAACTGGTTTAGGGGGGATGGCGGCCAATAAAGGTGGAATTGCCGTCAGCGTTCAATATTCTGATACCACTTTTTGTTTTGTGACGTCTCACTTAGCAGCGGGTTTAAACAATGTTGAGGAACGCCATCAGAATTTTAAAAGTTTGAATACCGGTTTGAGATTTTCCGGAAATAAAACAATACGATCTCATGATATTATTATTTGGCTTGGAGATTTCAATTATAGAATTGGGTCGACCAATGAGGATGTTAGATCGAGGATTAGCCGAAGGAAATATGGTGAGTTGTTTGAGCTTGATCAATTGAATCAACAAATGCAATCGGGAGATGCATTCCCATATTACCAAGAGTTTGAAATCAAATTCAAACCGACGTATAAATTCAATAAGAATGAAGACACTTATGACATTTCTGAAAAGATGAGAATTCCTGCGTGGTGTGATCGGATTTTGAGTCAAAGCAAGCAATTGAAACAATTGACCTATGGTGCATGTTTTGATATCATGTTTTCTGATCATCGGCCGGTTTTTGGGCTGTTTTTAGCCAAAGCAATCATCATTAATGAGACATTGAAAAACAAACTATCGGGAGAACTATATGCCAACCGGAAACGAAAATTTGGAGACATTGATAGTTTTATTTTATCTAATAATTTGAGTGATCTAATGAGAAAGGCAAATTTCAATAATGAGTCAATTACGGAGCTCCAGCAACCATCTTCGGACAAAGATAAATGGTGGTTCAGTAATGGATTGTTAGCCAAGGTGGAATTATTTGAAAACATTCGCAATGTGAAGGAATTTGATGAAAAATCAGAAGCTGATCGTGATGAACTATTGCAATCTTTTATCAATCTCAATGGGGAATTCAAATATGAGCCAGGGATGTATATCAATCCCAATAGACCGGCCAACCCATTTGAGTTTACTGATGAACCGGATTTCATTTATCCTTAATTTTAATTCATTTATTTTTGTGTGGATACAGACAATAAACGACTGGTTGATTATCATGCCTTATTATGTAAGATAAGAGGGTGCGTGGGGGTGTCTTGTGGATATGGTGTTTTTTTTTTCTGCTGTCACCGATTAAAGAGAATCTGGGGATCATCATCCTTTGGTCATTACAGTTGTTGTATATATATTATTTTCTAAGGCGTTTATCATAATAATAATCTACCTAATATTTTGCAAATTACACCTCATATAATAAAGATGTTTGGGCTTGATCTTCAAGAGGAAATTTGCTTTTATAAAAAGTATCACAGTAACTCGGTCAATGTGATGATCCATATCACCTGTGTTCCTATGATTCTTTTTTCATATGTTGTGTTGTGCTCATACTTAGAATTGCCTTCTGAATGGCTTACGCCCGTATTAGGAGAATCGTCGGCGATAAAAAAGCTACAACCGTACTTGAACCTTGGTTTATTGGTTTCGATAGTCTACTCGATATTTTACATCATGTTGGACTGGTTTGGGTTCTTGGCCGCCCCGATCTTGCTTGGGTTCAGCGTGGGTAGTAAGTGGTTGGTCATGAACAAGTTTGAACAAGACACTTACCAAGTGATGTGGTTTTTGGTGGTGGTGAATGTTTTCAGCTGGATTGCTCAGTTCATTGGCCACGGGGTTTACGAAGGGAAAAAGCCGGCATTGCTTGATAGCTTGGTCCAGGCATTGTTGTTGGCTCCGTATTTTGTGCTTTTTGAAATTGCGTTTGCTTTAGGGTTTCGCAAGGATTTGGAGAAGGATTTAAATAACAAGACTGCAAGAATCCTTTCCCAAGAAAGAAAGCAGCAACAGAAACTGGAGTAGTAGTTGTGTAGCATCGGTCTCGACCATCATCAATGCTTTTTCTTTTTCGCTCTTTTCTTTTTTTACATATATACATACATACTTTTCGTTTGATTGTTTTTCACACTGTGGAATCTTCATTGTTGATGTTCTACCAATATATCTATATATATTTCGGCTAATAGTGATGTTGTGTATGCCGAGGTTGTGGCGACAGATCTTGGTGTTGTCCAGCAGATGTGGTTGCTGTAGAATACCGTGTATAGCCTTTTTAGCAGTTTTTGTATCGATAACTGTGATGGTGCCGTTTCTCCAAAAAGTTTTTTTTGCTTCTATCGGAAAACTATATAAGACCCCCGCCAACAGCCGTGATTTGCTACACTATCCATAATTCCAAGTACACCCACAAATTTCTCCAAATATTCTCACAAAAATGGTCACCAGAATTGCTAAACCAAAGGTCTTGTTAACTTGCGACATTCCTGAACATATCCCAGAATATCAAGAGTTCCAAAAGTACTTTGACGTTGTGGTAAGTAATTTATTTGCCGGCATTCCTCGGGAAAATCACACCTGAAAATTCCACGATGTTGGAACCTTTTTTTTTTTTCACTTTCACTAACAAAACCCACTAGCATCTCCATAATCCTTCCAGACAACAGCTCATCCATGCTTTCAAGAACGAATTAAGTGATATCCAGGCAATTTATTCGGGTTGGGATGGGCTCAGCAATATTAAACATTTTGATGAGGAAATGATTCAAAACTCCCCAGAATCCCTCAAGATCATCAGCATTGGCTCTGTTGGCCACGATAACTACGATTCCAAAGCTATGAGATCCCTTCGAAACATTCATTTGACCAACGTTCCTTCTTTGGACTCTAGTGATGGTGATGTTGCTGACGCAGCATTGTATTTCACGTTGTCGACTTTCCGTCATTTCCAAACTTTTGAAAAATCATTAAAGGAATCCGGCACAACTTTGGCTGCTAGAGAAGATCTCCATGCCACCGATTACGATTACACTAATGGTAGAGGTGGTGCTGAAAAATTATCAGGGTTTGCCTTTGGTCACATTTCTGGTGGCAAAAATGTCAACTCCCCTAGAGGCAAGAATGCCGCCATCATTGGGTTCGGAGCTATCGGTAGAGCGGTTGGTGACAGATTGAGTGCCATTGGTATGAATATTCATTACACAAAAAGAACTCCGTTGCCAAAATCTCAATTACCAAAACATTACATCGCCACCCATCATGATTCTCTTGAATCGATATTACCAATTGCCGACGTGGTGGTGTTATGTGTTCCAGGCACCCCAGAAAATAGACATTTGATCAACGAGAAAACCATTGCTCTCTTGCCAAGTCAAGGGTCAAGAATCATCAATGTTGGTAGAGGCTCTTTAATTGATGAGGCTGCTCTTATCAGAGGTTTGCAAAATGGTAAGGTTATCAGTGCTGGGTTGGACGTGTTTGAAAATGAACCATTTGTGAATGCTGAACTATTGAAGAGAGACGATGTAATTCTGACACCTCATTGTGGTTCATCCACCCTTGAGGTGTATGAATTCGGAGCTGTTTCTGCAATGAAACAAATTTTTGAAGCTTTATTGCTCAACAAAGCTCCAGAAAATTTAGTCAACTAGGATCTATAATATAGCTGAGATCAAGTTAATATTCTACAGGATAGGCAAAAACATAAATAGAAAGAAAGAGAAAAAAAAATAGAAAAAATAGAAAAAATAGGGAAAAAAAGCAGCAAACTCTCAGAAATAATATTTTCTTTAGATTTATTCTTCGTTTGTTTTTGTAAGTAACTCTGCCGTTTGTCAGTACTTTGATATTACAACAACGTGAAAGCCCTTTATTTTGCGCTCGGGTAACCCACACCATTACTTCTGCTTACTTGTGTCAACCGCTTCACCCATCAGCCTCTCGCAATGGCAATATCAATGATTGTTAAAATGAACCATTAGAATTCCCGTTATTCATAGTCTTCAAAGTTCTTGGAGGGTCTAGTAAAAAGATCTCCGAAACTGTTACTTCATACTCTCAACAACAACAACAACAACAACAACAACAAAAAAAAAAAAAAAACATATGACGAAATGGCAGAAACAGGGCCGTTATTAGTTGATGCACAAACAACGCATTCCTCATCAGATCTCAAGAAATTTACTCTTGTAGTATCATTTTTTGTGATCTCCTTGATTTCATTTCTTGGACAAACAGAAGTTACTCAATATATTTACTCGTCACCAAAATATCAATTCAACCAGCCGTATTTCTTATTATTTTTGACACATGGGTCATGGATGCTCTTATGGCCTATACAATTGGTGGGGGTCGGGTTGTGGAACATTTACCATGATAATAAAGGTAAATATCTTAGATTGGAAGATATAAGGCAGGCTGATTATTTCAAAGGGAATCTACAACAATATATAAGAAAAGAAATACAATCGGCGTACAAAATCTCAGAGATCATATACAATCATCATAATGGATGGTTGCCTGATAATCCTCATATTTCCCAATTTGATTACGATAATTTGTCTTTCATCAGTTTCTTCAGCTGCTCTGCTGCTGTCAAGTATATTATCAAGAGATCACTATTGGCAACCCTTATCATTACCACGGCATCCATTACCTGGTATGTGGCAATGATTTATTCTTATTCTAATGATGTCACTGCCATCTATAATTGTTGTGCATTTTTCGCGTACTTATTCTCGATCCCCTTATTGAAAGAACAGTTTTCTTGGTTAAAAATAAGCAGTGTGACCATTGCCATTAGTGGGGTGTTTATGGTGGTTTATAGCGGTAATCAGACTGAAGAGTCTACCAAATCTCATAGATTTTTTGGTAATATTTTGATTTCCCTTGGGTCAATCTGTTATGGCTATTACGATGTGTATTACAAAAAATATCTTTGTGTTCCACATCATAGCCATCGTATGGTTGATTCGAAACAACAAACGTTGTATTCTAACTTTATCTGCTCTTTAATTGGTGGGTCTAGTGTTTTGATTTTATCTATATTGATTGTTTTCATCCATGTCTCTGGTTTGAAGAAGTTCAGCATTGATTATCCACTTAGTATTTGGTTTTTTGTTTCGATTTCTGTGCTCTGCAACTTGTTGTATTCCTCTGCAATGTTGGTTTTATATGCATTGACCTCTCCAGTCTTAGGAGCTGTTAGTTCATTAACAACAATTTTTTTGGTTGGTATGTTTGAATGGCTTGTGTTTGGTAATGGATTGAATGGGTTTCAGTTGTTTGGGGATGTGATAGTTATTGTTGGTTTCGGTGTTTTAAGTTACGCTTATTGGAAGGAAATAGTGACAGAGGACAATGGGGAGTAGTTTCTGATATAAATCACAATATAAACCATATGTTATTGTCTCGCTTAATGTATTGGTTTTCAAGTATCTCAAAAAAATCAAATAGTTCTCTTCCATATATCAAAAATTCAGTGGAAAACATTGTTCAATATATGGTTATAGATCTGTCCTGTACCGGTATTACCCAATTGCTTATGTAAGGCGCATTGTTGTTTGTGTGACAAAAAGGAAAAAAAAAATGAACCCTTCCGTTTTTTTTTTGCAAGGCTTATAGTTTTATTCGCACATGGACATGAATACTCTTATTGATGTTCTGATTTCTCATTTTACACCCTACTTGACTATTTGATTTCTTTATAAATCTTTTCCTCTTGTTCTCTATATCATAACAATATCAAAATAAATAAAAAAAAGAAGAAAAAAATAAGATAGAGAAAGGAGAAAAGAAGAAGAAAAAGAGTTGATAAATAAAGAGGTCCTGCTTTCAGATCATGAACAACACATCATCTACTATACTACTGAAAAAGCTGTTGGGAGAAATAAGTCCCACTATTGATGAGTACACAGCATACTATATTCCTGACTGGTTGACTATTCAGTTTCTTGTCAACACATGTATTTCTTTTGCCCCGTTGTTCTCTTACGGGTCCACCGTCTGGAGCATTGAAAAAAACAAGTCCACTTTGGGATTCTCTATCGATATCTGTTGTACCATGATTGTTTCCAGTATATTGAGAATAAACTTTTATTTTGTTGAACCATTTGAGCTCACGTTATTGAGGCAGTCGATAATAATGATCTTCATCCATATCATCTTGTTGAAAGTTTCGTTGAAATATAAGTTGAAAAATTATACCGTGAAGAATCTCCATCAATATACATCAACTATCGACGAAATCAGAAGCTATTTGTATGATATAAACAATGAAAGAAGCTCAAGAAACCCAGTATTGTTAATTTTTGAAATATTCATGATTGTCTTTAAAAATTTTATCAAGTTTTTTGATCCGTATTATAAACGATCATTTGAATTCTGGCAGTGGAATGAAGAAAGCAAATACTGGTGGTTTTTGGGGAAATTTTACGTGGTTAACTTAATCATGACTCTAATATTCAAGAACTCCAAACTTTATGGGAATTTGATTGGGAGTGCCAGTTTGCTTATCGAGAGTTTGTTGCCATTACCCCAAATATTGTTGATGAATAGACTCAAGTCGATTAATGGCTTTAAGACGGTTTTATTGTTAAGTTGGTACTGTGGTGATCTAACCAAGATAACGTACCTTCTTTTTGGTGCCAAAGGGACCTCCTTCTTGTTTGTTTTCTTCGGATTGTTTCAAATGTTTTTGGATGTAATCATTGGGTTCCAATATGTCTATTATGGGCATTACTATACTGTGGACTATATGCAACCTGATATTGAAATGCAAGAAAAACCAAGGAGATCGATTGAATTAGTAGATGCTACAAATCAGAGTTCTTCATGATTTTAAGAGCCATATTCATTGTATTCCACAAAATCCATAATTTATCCGGAATTATCATTAATCCATAATTTATCCGGAATTATCATTACCATTTCTGCATTTTTCAAGTTGTTCATTAGAAATTATCATTTGATAAGCATAGATTGTTATATTTTTGATTTTTTTTTTTTTTCCAGCCAGATTTTGATAAATTTTTTGATTTTTCTTCTATTTTTGCTTTTTTTATTTTGGCATCCCTGCATTTTCTTATCACATATACCAATTCATAATAATTAATACCGATTAAATACCCCCAACCCTATTGTAAGTATTTATACGTAATAGTTGTGAGAAAAGAAAAAAAAAAGTGAAAATACTGAGACGATACTCCAACTTTTTGCCCTTGAGTTTTGTTTGGAAAGAAAAAAACAAGGTTTCCTGAGTGTAACCTTGCAAGGAATTTTCGCGTCTGTTACTTGACCTGTAACATGATAATTTGATATATTAAAATTTCATGTATCCATAAAATCTTGAAAATATAAAAGTTTTTTTTGGAAACTCAATAATAAAGAGAAACTGAGATAAAAAGACGTTGGATATAATAAATGAATATTCATCTCAAAAGATTTATATATAATAAGCAGTGATAATAATAACACTTCCGCGACGCACAACTGCTGTGAATTATCACCACTGTTCATGGACAATTAACAACACTGATTTTAACTTGTTCTAATTACCTGTTGTGATCTCTCAATAACTACCAGTATATATATATCATATATCTTAATGAGCGTGTAATACTCTTTCTATTTAGGGATTAGTCTATTGTTGCATACTTTGAGGGAGATTCTGTTTTCAGGATCTTCAGAGCACTTTAAGAAATATACTATTTAAGGATCTTGAAATCCTACAGCACAGCAATAGACAGTAAAATACTGATTAATTACAGGTCCATTCGTCAGTCCAATTCTTGTAATGGGAGGTGATCAGCTGTTTAATCCTTCACAGAGTGCCTCAGAGAGAAATGGAACACAGCAAGATGGGACTGGTGATGAAAGATTCTGGTATTTTTTAATGCTAAAATTAATATTCATATGGTTATTGACTATAATTACTGATACAATCATGAATGAAAAAGGATTGGAAACTGAAAGAAAGCGGCTTGTGCTAATTTTTTTCTGGATATTGCTATGGGTTATATTCCAGTTATAAAATACGTGATATACTTCGTTGGAAAGTGGGAACAGAATCAAAATTGAAAGGGTTTTATGAAAAGAAAAGGGGTTTAAAATAAATATTAAGGAGGGAGAGAAGAATAACTCGTTGAAATAGAAGACTTTGTATTATTCTTTAAAGTCCTGTTGATGATAGTTATTGTAATCGACTTATTGCTAATTACGCGTTTATGTTTAAACATCCAACAAATATGTAAGTAAAAAATGGAACTATAAAACCCTGTAAGCAAAAAATCATCTGTATTTTCACCAATAATTTAGAATACTTTTTGGTGTTATTATTTAATTAGAAAGGATGCTTATATTTGAATCATATCTAAAAATATTTATTTCTTTTTCATTTACGCGTTTGGTTGGTAATTACCTTGATCAGCCACAGTTTCACGTTTATATTTGTATTTTGTATTTTGTATTTTCATTCACAATAATTTGTTCTTCCTATCCTTTTCAGTATATTTAAGATACGTGTTATGATTTATTCTTTCATGAGCCGATGAGAAGAAATTCTTCTTCTTGTAGAACACGCGCTTAAAACATCCAGTCGTCTCAAGAATAATTCAAACAAAAAAAAAAAAAAAAAAACTTCTTTAAAAAATGGAAATTAATATCTCACTAAAATGCCAATATATCGTTGAATTTGAAGCCCATTTTATACTACTGGGAACATAAGTTTATAATTGACGCCTTTTCTAAGAAATTCTGTCAAAATGAGAAAAGGATCGCTAATTATTTGTCGTACTTCTTGGGTGCTAACCATCTGATCGTCATTAAGTGTGGACGCATTAAAAAGTTGGAAATAAATTCTGCTACACAAAGGAAAAGGAGTTCGGTAGGTGCTATTTTAGTTAACACCAATTGATTATTCTCTATCTTTCTTACATCGACAGCATACTGTTGGGTTACTGGAACCTTCTTCCAAGTTTCGCACGTTTAACTAAATAGAAGTTATTAGTGTCATCTATATACAAAGAAATGCTAATCCAAGGCTTAAAATATCCAGATGAGGCATTACTTGTCGCTGAAGAAGTGTATGGCCAATGGGTGGTGGACCCTTTAGTCAATGAGAGGACGGTACCACCAAAATGGTACATTTCATACTAGATGACGCAATATTGAGAATTAAATGGACTTGTAGGGCTGAAACAGAAAACTAAGCTACAATTATCTATATTTACTTCATTTTTTTATGCTATAAATTACTGCTCAGTGATTGTTATTATCTTGTATTTTGCCCTTTGTTATGGTCTTTATTATTCTCTGTTTAGCTTCACAAAAAATGCTGCATAATAATAATAGTAGTACAAATGTCGGAGCCAAAGCTTCCAAAAAGAAAAAAAAATGTATCTGATTGCCATCCATGATTTTAATAACCCACGCCCTGAGTTGCAGGACACCATACAAGAAATAATAGTATAGATAAATAAAGAATGGAACATTCGTAGGTGTATTTCAGGCTGTTATATAGAATAATGAAGATACTTGAAAAGCGAAGAAAAAGGACGAAAAAAGAAAAAAGAAATTGAAAAGGTATAAAAATACATTAGAAGAAATAGAAGTGAATTAAATAATGGTAATAAGAATAATCAATGAAATCACCGATTAACAGTAAAGAAGGAATAGAAGTGGCAAAAATTTTTTAATAGTAAACATAAAACGAAGTTCACATTTTCTCATTCCTTAAAAGGGTATTAGAATAATAAAACAAGTGAGAAAAAGAAGGCCAAAATGGAAGCAGAGATTCCACTAGCTCTGGAAGCAGAGCCTTGGTAAGCTTCAATGGAAGCAGTCTCACTTGGAGAAGAGGAAGAAGAAGAGGCAGATTGTTGAACAATAATTGGAGTTGATTGAGATGAAGAGGATGAACTGCTGGAAGAAGCTTGTTGAGCAACACTTGGAGCAGCACCAGAGCTAGATTCAGATGGAGAAGAAGAAGAAGAAGAAGAGTCAGAGGAAGAACCAGAGGAAGAACCAGAGGAAGAACCAGAGGAAGAACCAGAGCTAGATTCAGATGGAGAAGAAGAGGAGGAGCCAGAGGAAGCACCAGAAGAGGAGCCAGAAGAGGAGCCAGAGTTAGATGGGGATGAAGAGGAAGAACCAGAAGAAGAACCAGAAGAAGAACCAGAGCTAGATTCAGATGGAGAAGAAGAGGAGGAGCCAGAGCTAGATGGAGTAGAAGTAGCAGCTGCTTTAGTGCTGGTAACAATAGTGCATCCGTGGACACTACAAGAAGTGATGGTTTCAATTTCAGTAGTGTAATCATTAACAATGTCAACGGAAGTGCTCATTGGAGAACCAGTCAAGGTGGAAGCAGAAGCACTCAAGGTAGAAGCAGAAGAAGCAGAAGCAGTGTTATTACCGTAGTAACCAGTTGGGGTTGAAACTTCAGTGGCTTCTGGAGTCAAGATTTCAACAGTACCGGTACCAGAAGCTGGGTTGGCTGGGGAGATGGTGGAAGTAGAAACGTAAGATCCAGTCCATGGGAGGGTGGTAGTGACAGTGGCGCCAGGAGTGAAGATTTCGTCAGAAATAGTGGCATTGACACTGTTACCGGTTGGATAAACAGTAGTTTCACTAGCAGTAAGACCGGTCCAGTAAGAGGTGATGGTGGTGCTCTTGTCTGGGATGGCAATAATAATAGTGGCAACGTCATTGGTACCAGTTGGGTATTCGGTGGTGACAATGGAAGAGTAGGTTTCAGTCCAACCTTCAGTGGTGGTAGTAGACAAGTCTGGAATGAATTCACTAACAGTGATGACAGAATCGTTACCGGATGGGTAGTATGTGGTCAAATAGGTAGTGGTTTCGGTCCAGTGGGTCTTAATGGTGGTGGTTAAATCTGGGATGAATTCAGAAACAGTGATCACAGTGTTAGAACCAGTTGGGTAGATGGTGGTGTAAGAAGTGGTTTCACCGGTGTATTGCACAGGAACGGTGGTAGTAACATCAGGAATGAATTCAGAAACAGTGATCACAGTGTGGTTACCAGCACCATCTGGGTACACAGTAGTGAGGGAAATGGTTTCACCAGTGAAGTGAGTGATGGTGGTAGTAGTGGTATCTGGGATGAATTCAGAAACAGTGATGTAAGTACCAGAGCTGGTTGGGTTGGTGGTGGTGTAAGAAGTGTTAGCACCAGTGTAGTGGGTGGTGTAGGTGGTAGTAGCATCTGGGATGAATTCAGAAACAGTGATCACAGTGTGGTTACCGGCGCCATCTGGATAAACAGTAGTACGAGAAATTGTTTCACCAGTGTAATGAGTGATGGTGGTGGTAGTGGTATCTGGAATGAATTCAGAAACGGTAATGTAAGTACCAGTACTGGTTGGGTTGGTGGTGGTGTAAGAAGTGTTAGCACCAGTGTAGTGGGTGGTGTAGGTGGTAGTAGCATCTGGGATGAATTCAGAAACAGTGATAACAGTGTGGTTACCGGCGCCATCTGGATAAACAGTAGTACGAGAAATGGTTTCACCGGTGTAATGAGTGATGGTGGTGGTAGTGGTATCTGGGATGTATTCAGAGACAGTGATGTAAGTGCCAGTACTGGTTGGGTTGGTGGTGGTGTAAGAGGTGTTAGCACCAGTGTAGTGGGTGGTGTAAGTGGTAGTAGCATCTGGAATGAATTCAGAAACAGTGATAACGGTGTTAGAACCGGTTGGGTAAATGGTGGTAAGAGAAACAGTTTCACCAGTGTAGTGAGTAATGGTGGTAGTAGTGATATCTGGAATATATTCAGAAACAGTAATCACAGAGTTGTCACCAGTTGGGTAGTAGGTAGTGAAGGAAACAGTTTCACCAGTGTAATGAGTTGGGATGGTGGTGGTGATATCTGGGATGAATTCACTAACAGTGATAACAGTGTTAGCACCAGTTGGGTAGATGGTAGTGTAGGAAGTGGTTTCACCAGTGTAGTGGACAGAAGTAGTAGTGGTAACATCTGGAATGAACTCAGAAACAGTGATAACAGTGTTGGTACCAGAACCATCTGGGTACACAGTAGTGAGGGAAACGGTTTCACCAGTAAAGTGGGTGATGGTAGTAGTAGTAGTATCTGGGATGTATTCAGAGACAGTGATATCAGTACCAGTACCAGTTGGGTTAGTAGTAGTGTAGGAGGTGGTTTCACCAGTGTAGTGGGTGGTGTAACTAGTAGTTCCATCTGGAATGAACTCGCTAACAGTAACAATGGTATTGTCGCCAGTTGGCCAAATAGTGGTGTACGAAGTGGTCTTACCAGTGTAATGGGTGGTGGTGGTGGTGGTGGTATCTGGAATATCAACAACCACGGTGTTGGTACCAGCTGGAGAGCCTGCAGTCTCAGTGGTAACGGTGGAAGTGTAAGTATTGGTCCAGTGTTCGGTTGTTGTAGTTGATCTGTGGTATGGAGTTTCAACAATGACGGTAACGTCGCTGGTGATATCGGCTGGGGTGGTGGTGGTGGTAGAAGTGCCAGTACCGGTCCATTCGGTGGTGACAGTGGTAGTGGCTTCAGGAGTTTCGATCACAACTTCAATTGGAGAACTTGGGTTGGACATGGTAGTGGTGTAAGTGGAGGTGTGAGAGCCAGTCCAAACAGAAGTGGTGGTAGTAGTGGTAGCTGGAGCAACCGGGTAGATGGTAGTACATGTTGAGTCCTCTTCATCGAACTGGTAAACAGAATCACCAAAAGTGGTAACATTGGTACCATCTGGATAAGTGACAACCAAATCCAAGTTAGCATAATGGACCATGTTAACGTAGTCGATTCTGGTTGGGTAATAGTAACCACTTTCAAGATAAGTTTGTCTTGAGGCGTCGTAATCAAGACCATCATCAGCAATAGAACCAGTAGTATAAATGACAGCATCACTGAAATTGGCATGAGTAGAAAGAGTGGTGCTTGCACAACAATCAAAAGCGGCATTGGAAGCGAAATACAAAACAACAGCATCATCAGTGGTCTTGAAGTCGAAGTTATAGTAACCAGTTTGCTCAGCGTAGAAATAACCAGTAAGAATCAAAGTGAAGTTGGAAACGGTAAGATTGTCACCGTAGATATCACCCCAAATGATACCTGATTCAATAGCTGGGAAAAGAATATCAATATCTTTGACATTGTTGGCAGTAGCAACCAATTGACCATATTCAGAATACTCATACTCCACGAAGTCTTGATCGTATCCTCTACCATTGGTATAGTTGTAGAATCTCGCGTAGAAACCTTCACCGGTATAATCAGTACTCACATAACAACCCATACTATCATGGATAGCACCTCTGTTACCTGGAGCACCATCTTGGGCGTTGGCAAGATATGAAAATGACTGTAAGAGTGTCACAGAGGACAAAAGAGTACTAAACCACATGCTAATTATCTTAGGATATGACAAGCGTGATGGGATGGATGACTTAGATAAAAAAAAAGAAAAGTAAATGGAAAGAAATAATATAATTTGTGCACGAAATTGGATATCTAATGGATATATATGTATTTTAGCCCTTGTACAGTGAAACTAACGCAGCCAGAGTTCGGGACAAGTCGAGCCATCGTAAGAAATTATTGTTTTGGGTAAAACGTTTTCCTAGTTCGTTTATGTTCTTATTTTTTTTCTTGTTTCCCTATCCATTTGTCTCAGTTTTGTCCCCCCTTCTTGATTTTACTATTTGCACGTAGAGTTTACCATTGTCAGTTTTATTAGCCGTTGCATTGACGTTTTAGCGTGCATATTATGGATAGTCTCTTCTCCTAGTTGCAGCACTAAAGTAAATCATGAGAAAGTGTTGAGATTACCATGTTATTCTGGAATTTTTTTCTTTTTTTTTAAGCTTGGAATATACAAATACTTGATATTGAATTGTATGGTGCCACCATATTATCTTGATTTTATTCATTGAATGCCAGGTCATCTTGAGTCGCGGCTTTTGACCTAGTCCGAAAACTTGGGTTTGCTTACTTCTGCTTCTGCATCTAGGGAAACCAAATTTCCCAATAGGGTATTTTGATAGCCTATGCAAATCGTAAAATATCTTTTCCGAATAGGGGTATATTATGGATGTTGCTGTCCACTTGGAGTACCGTTTCCAAAAATTATTGTCACAATAAGAATAAATCAAATATAATGCAATACAATGCAATACAATACAACACAATTCAACACAACAAAATAAAATGAAATGAGATCACATAAAATTAAATAGAATAAATAAAATAAGTAAATCACACTAAAAGAAAAAACCTCGAAGTTTATTAGTAGATGCGAGGTTAGGCGTTTCGACTTTTTGTTTACGCCATATGGATACTGCTGAAACGGGAAGTCTCTAGGGAACTTTATATTTTGGCGGCAACAACACAAGTAGCGGGTGATGGTTATTCATCTTCAGTAGGTATCCTTGCGCTGCAATCAAAACAAATGAACAAATATTTTCTGACAAAGGTAATGTGATCATTCTAATTATTTGTCAAGTAGTATGAAATCTTTGTAGCAAAAAGATTGAAAAAGGCAATCGTTATTGCCCCCCCCCTCTTTTCTTTTTTTTTTTCTTGTTGAGTGATGGTGGCCAGAAACAAACACAAGGTTTTTGGACAACAGTAATTTGCGGCGGGCGACACTGGGGGTCATGCATATCAAACTCTATTGCCCAGAACTTGGAAGCTCTGGGCATCGACACCACAAAATAACAATAAAAAACAACAAAATAAATATATGCTTTATGAAATTCTGTGGTTTTGAGGTCTATCAAAATCAGATCGATGCTGATAATATTTTTGTTCATTGCTTTTTATTTCCGTTTTCATTTTTTGGTTGTGCAAATGAAACCATTTAGCCGCTTCTGTTGGTTATGTCTTTATTCACTGAACGCCTAAATTCTTTCGAAAAAGAAAAACTAAACTAAGAAGGAGTAATAGCATAGCAAGCACATTATTTCCACATTATGGCCTGTTATCTTTACTTGTTGTGCTTTTTTTTTCCGTTTCTTTACTCTTTTTGTTTTAGCACGTCTTTTAGCTCCCAAACTAAAGTAACAGAGAATAAAATTGGCCACCAAAAACCTAAATCAAATAACATGGCATGCAAGTCGGGATTCCCAATTCTTAAAGCGTTGCAAAACACACCTGAAAAGGTAGTCCAAAATAAAATATCTCGTTATTTTATGCCCCCCCCCCCCCCTCCCCCCTTTTTTTTTCTTTCTTTTTGTTGCTGGATGTTTTCTATTTACGAAAAGTTTCTGCAGAGCCAACTTTTCATCACCTCAAGCCTCTCCCTGTTGCTTGTATTCCATTAACTTTCCCAGCAAAGAAATCAATGCACACATCATTTATTATATGGATATGCTAATCCTCTAAATGGAAATCAAAAAGTTAACAGTTTGTGTTTGTATTTCTTGGTAGAATTGTAGTGAGTTTGGGATAGGGGTGCAGTTCAAAATACCACGCTTACTAAAATCAAGTATTTTTAATACGGATATTAGTATTAGTTATGTAAATACCCAAATTTTCTCTGCTACTCTTCCCACTGTGTAGCAAGCTTCTATGAAATGGGGAAAATTCCAATAAACCTACGCTATTAGACGGTTGACAAATTGGGCAAGTTCCACCAACTAACGATAACAATTTTCTGCATTTTTCGATATGCTATTTTTCTGCATTTTTCGATATGCTATTTTTCATTAGTTCTTACGAGATATTGATATATTTTTTCCTTTCTTTTTCTTATCAATGAATTATTGCGGTATGGTATCATGAACTACAGAATAATTAGAATTTTGGTATATCAAAGGTGAGTCCTCTACACTACCATAAACGTGAAAAAGAATATGCTCATGGTTATCGTAATGAACTTGCCAATTTCTCCTGTCTTGATGTTTAAAGAGGTCTCAGGACGTTGGCATGGTCAGTTTTCTTTTCTTTTTTTTTATTTTTGTTGTGTGTGCATCTTACACATTTTCACGGATATTGTATTATTGATTCACCTTTCGTCACAATTATTCCTATCGTTTCTAGGAGGTTGTTCCCATCTATAATTCACTCTATCCATGAAATAAGTTCAGTAATATACCATACGTTTTTTTTTTTTGAGAATATTCATTGGAAATAAAATATTGTTTGTTGTCTTTCTCCAAAAAATCAGGTTATGCTTCTTTTTGCACAAGTTATGCGGAGGCATGCAATGACTCTTATCATCCGTGCGCTTGTCTGAAGCGCAGGACGTAAAACCGGATTTCAAGAAAAGACTCGGTATGTTGGAAAAGAAGATTAGCTCTATTAAGCAAGAAAACACATATTGCGGCCAAAATAATAGCAGTTACTGAATTTCTTTTTTTTTTTTATCGCTACTGATTTGTGTGACAAATAATGTAAAATAAAGGAGAAAAAAAACAACCAGAAAAATTCCCTCCAAAAGATTTTCGCCTAAACAGCTCTAATGCATGCACCTTGAAACGCTAAAATACTGCATGGAAATATTTACACAACAGGAGGTCTTCCATGAGAATATCGAATCAAAATGGAAAGAGAATACAGAACGGTCTAAATAGTAAGACTTGAAATTTAATGTGAAAGTTTACTAAATGGTTTCAATACCGGAATACTATCTACATCACTCATTACACTCGTGCTAACACCTCATATACCACAACTGACCTAACTGGTACTGGTACTTACATCACTGTTTCTGAATTCATTCCAGACGCTAATACCACTACAATCACTGACTTCACCATTGAAGCTGTTTCTTTCACCACTTCTCACTTATATGGTGCTATCTCTTTACTGAAAGCAGTTTTTTTTTTGGAGTTGATAATAGTTAGTTTTAGGATCCATGATTGTCTCCAATAGCAGTGAGTAATAATCATAATTAGCTATAAAATTAGCGGAAGTCTTCGAGCTGTGAGTTGCTAGTGATTAACCTATGTTAAAATTACATACTATAGGAATACTGTAGATATTATTACCAGTCTCAGCATACAGTTGCAACAGTCTTTGGGAATAGCCATGTGAAATTGCGATATGCAATGTTGAATCGCTCATGTGCGATCCAAAAAAATCATCTATCAATAAATTCACATTTTATACACAACAATAATTTTTCCAACAATATCCTATTGATAAGGATATTCTAGGCCACATGTCATATAATTAATTTAAATAAAATATACGAAAGAAATGCTTGTGATGCTGTTTGAATGATAGGGTTTAAAAGTGTTCTGTCACAAGAAGAGAGAAGATCCCCGGCTCGTCCGAGATATTATAATGTGCAGTCTTATTGCCGAGCGGTGTGATCAAGCCTTTTCCCCAAATGTTATCTTTCCAAAAATCGAGACTCTTTAATAATGAGTTATTTAATAGATTTGCACACATCATTTCAAAAATACTGTCTATATCCATAATAGTAATATTCCATTGTTTAAGGAAGATATTTCTTCCAAATTATGAAATTTACACAATCTGCATATGCACTAAACGATATGATGCTTGTTGAAAAGGCAACTCAAGGCATCAAAAAAGGGGGAGCACATCACCAAAAACGTTATAGCTGTAAAATGAATAGTCCCAATTATTGTTTGTTGGCATGGTGTTCTTATTGAGCCGTTGAAATCCCGCCGGAGCTATAAATAAAACTTTTCCCAGAAATTTTGGAATAAACAGTGACATCTCGATGTGTCGGGGTTAATTATCCACTTTTTGTGATAGTCTTGGTTTCCTAAAAAAAACCTGCCTTGTATATTGGCTAACGGGAATTAAATGATTTTTTTTTTAAATAACCATACGATGCACCACAAAACTTACCATTCTTCATAATTTGTGTACAGAAAAAAAAGAAAGAATTAATTAAATGCGTGCAGGTGCCGTCTCTATTTCGCTTGCGTACACTAAACCGTCCATGCATATGGATTTTGACCAAAAGGATTAGCCTCCAAACTTAACATGGACAGAAAGAGAAGCATTCAAGCTATGGGGAGCTTGGCACATATCAATGTAAAGATTCCTTTTTATTTTTTACTGCACTAAACTTTATTTTCAATAGGAAGATGGTTAAAATGGTTGCGAAATGAAATTCTGAAATCACTATATATATCAGCTTGTCGAGCCACGTCTTTTACATGATAATTGAACAATAATTCATTATATCACTAACAATAGATCAATACTTTGCTTTTTCAATAAAAGAGTTAGCATGTGGTTTAGTACTCTTTTGTCCTCTGTGACACTCTTACAGTCATTTTCATATCTTGCCAACGCCCAAGATGGTGCTCCAGGCAACAGAGGTGCTATCCATGATAGTATGGGTTGTTATGTGAGTACTGATTATACCGGTGAAGGTTTCTACGCGAGATTCTACAACTATACCAATGGTATAGGATACGATCAAGACTTCGTGGAGTATGAGTATTCTGAATATGGTCAATTGGTTGCTACTGCCAACAATGTCAAAGATATTGATATTCTTTTCCCAGCTATTGAATCAGGTATCGTTTGGGGTGATATCTACGGTGACAATCTTACCGTTTCCAACTTCACTTTGATTCTTACTGGTTATTTCTACGCTGAGCAAACAGGTTACTATAACTTCGACTTCAAGACCACTGATGATGCTGTTGTTTTGTATTTCGCTTCCAATGCCGCTTTTGATTGTTGTGCAAGCACCACTCTTTCTACTCATGCCAATTTCAGTGATGCTGTCATTTATACTACTGGTTCTATTGCTAATGATGGTCTTGATTACGACGCCTCAAGACAAACTTATCTTGAAAGTGGTTACTATTACCCAACCAGAATCGACTACGTTAACATGGTCCATTATGCTAACTTGGATTTGGTTGTCACTTATCCAGATGGTACCAATGTTACCACTTTTGGTGATTCTGTTTACCAGTTCGATGAAGAGGACTCAACATGTACTACCATCTACCCGGTTGCTCCAGCTACCACTACTACCACCACTTCTGTTTGGACTGGTTCTTACACCTCCACTTACACCACTACCATGTCCAACCCAAGTTCTCCAATTGAAGTTGTGATCGAAACTCCTGAAGCCACTACCACTGTCACCACCGAATGGACCGGTACTGGCACTTCTACCACCACCACCACCCCAGCCGATATCACCAGCGACGTTACCGTCATTGTTGAAACTCCATACCACAGATCAACTACAACAACCGAACACTGGACCAATACTTACACTTCCACCGTTACCACTGAGACTGCAGGCTCTCCAGCTGGTACTAACACCGTGGTTGTTGATATTCCAGATACCACCACCACCACCACCACCCATTACACTGGTAAGACCACTTCGTACACCACTATTTGGCCAACTGGCGACAATACCATTGTTACTGTTAGCGAGTTCATTCCAGATGGAACTACTAGTTACACCACCCACTACACTGGTGAAACCACCTCCTACACTACTACTAACCCAACTGGTACTGGTACTGATATCACTGTCTCTGAATACATCCCAGATACTACTACTACTACCATCACCCACTTTACTGGTGAAACCGTTTCCCTCACTACTGTGTACCCAGATGGTTCTGGTACCAACACTGTTATCACTGTTTCTGAGTTCATTCCAGATGTTACCACTACTACTTCTGTCCACTACACTGGTGAAACCACTTCCTACACTACCATCTACCCAACTGGTGCTAACACTGTTATCACTGTTAGTGAATTCATCCCAGATATCACCACCACCATCCCAACTCACTACACTGGTGAAACTGTTTCCTTCACTACCTACTACCCAACTGGTGACAACTCTGTGATTACTGTTTCTGAATATATTCCAGATATCACTACAACCACCATTACTCACTACACTGGTGAAACTGTTTCTCTTACCACCATTTACCCAACCGGTTCTAACACCGTTATTACTGTTTCTGAATTCATTCCAGATGGAACTACTAGTTACACCACCCACTACACTGGTGAAACCACCTCCTACACTACTACTAACCCAACTGGTACTGGTACTGATATCACTGTCTCTGAATACATCCCAGATACCACTACCACCACCATCACTCATTACACCGGTGAAACCATTTCTCGTACTACTGTTTATCCAGATGGCGCCGGTAACCACACTGTTATCACTGTTTCTGAATTCATCCCAGATGCTACTACCACCTACACCACCCACTACACTGGTGCTAACACTTCTTACACCACCACCAACCCAACCAGTACTGGTACTTACATTACCGTTTCTGAATTCATTCCAGATACCACTACCACCACCATCACTCATTACACTGGTGAAACAATTTCTCGTACTACTGTTTATCCAGATGGCGCCGGTAACCACACTGTGATCACTGTTTCTGAATTCATCCCAGATGCTACTACCACCTACACCACCCACTACACTGGTGCTAACACTTCTTACACCACCACCAACCCAACCAGCTCTGGTACTTACATCACTGTTTCTGAATTCATCCCAGATACCACTACTACCACCATCACTCACTTCACTGGTGAAACCATTTCCCTCACTACTGTGTACCCAGATGGTGCTGGTAACCACACTGTGATCACTGTTTCTGAATTCATTCCTGATGTTACTACCACCGTTCCTGTGCAATACACCGGTGAAACCACTTCTTACACCACCATCTACCCAACTGGTTCTAACACTGTGATCACTGTTTCTGAATTCATCCCAGATTTAACCACAACCATTAAGACCCACTGGACCGAAACCACTACCTATTTGACCACATACTACCCATCCGGTAACGATTCTGTCATCACTGTTAGTGAATTCATTCCAGACTTGTCTACTACCACCACTGAAGGTTGGACTGAAACCTACTCTTCCATTGTCACCACCGAATACCCAACTGGTACCAATGACGTTGCCACTATTATTATTGCCATCCCAGACAAGAGCACCACCATCACCTCTTACTGGACCGGTCTTACTGCTAGTGAAACTACTGTTTATCCAACCGGTAACAGTGTCAATGCCACTATTTCTGACGAAATCTTCACTCCTGGCGCCACTGTCACTACCACCCTCCCATGGACTGGATCTTACGTTTCTACTTCCACCATCTCCCCAGCCAACCCAGCTTCTGGTACCGGTACTGTTGAAATCTTGACTCCAGAAGCCACTGAAGTTTCAACCCCAACTGGTTACTACGGTAATAACACTGCTTCTGCTTCTTCTGCTTCTACCTTGAGTGCTTCTGCTTCCACCTTGACTGGTTCTCCAATGAGCACTTCCGTTGACATTGTTAATGATTACACTACTGAAATTGAAACCATCACTTCTTGTAGTGTCCACGGATGCACTATTGTTACCAGCACTAAAGCAGCTGCTACTTCTACTCCATCTAGCTCTGGCTCCTCCTCTTCTTCTCCATCTGAATCTAGCTCTGGTTCTTCTTCTGGTTCTTCTTCTGGTTCTTCCTCTTCATCCCCATCTAACTCTGGCTCCTCTTCTGGCTCCTCTTCTGGTGCTTCCTCTGGCTCCTCCTCTTCTTCTCCATCTGAATCTAGCTCTGGTTCTTCCTCTGGTTCTTCCTCTGGTTCTTCCTCTGGTTCTTCCTCTGACTCTTCTTCTTCTTCTTCTTCTCCATCTGAATCTAGCTCTGGTGCTGCTCCAAGTGTTGCTCAACAAGCTTCTTCCAGCAGTTCATCCTCTTCATCTCAATCAACTCCAATTATTGTTCAACAATCTGCCTCTTCTTCTTCCTCTTCTCCAAGTGAGACTGCTTCCATTGAAGCTTACCAAGGCTCTGCTTCCAGAGCTAGTGGAATCTCTGCTTCCATTTTGGCCTTCTTTTTCTCACTTGTTTTATTATTCTAATACCCTTTTAAGGTATGAAAAAAAAATGTGAACTTTGTTTCATGTTTACTAAAAAAAATCTTTCATTTCTGTTCTTTCTTCACTGGTAATCATTGATTGCTATTATTGCCACCACCCTTTCTTTCTATTTCTTCTAGTGTACTTTTTTTTCCTCTTATTTTGCTTTCAAAAAACGTATCAATGGTTTTTTTTTGTTCTTTCTCACAGATAAATCATTGGTTCTTGGTCTGATCGACTGCGATTTTCATTTTTTTTTTTTTTTATTATTAATCTGTTATACCCAATATTATTATATATACATATATAAATGATTTACAATCCATGGAAACTTTGATATTCAAAAAGGTTGATGTAAACTAAAATTATTTGTGAGCATCCAGAGAAACTTAAGAGCCGACTGTTGAATGAATAAATATCCCGGACAAAGTTAAGCGCCGACTGTTGCCGTTAGTGCTACGAGGAACAACAAAGAAATGAGTTACAAGGAAAATAGTAATGAAAGATGGCCAAGGCACTATACCGGAATAATGTTAACTATACAAATGGTACGACATAGCGATATCAAATACTACTGAAGACAGATATCTGGTCTAGTAAATTACATTCTGTGTTTCCGGGATTTTTGCCCTAACATGATGGGTCAAGTAGTAGTAGCAGTAGCAGAAGCAGTAGTAGCAGTAGTAGTAGTAGTAGTAGTAGTAGTAGTAGTAGTAGTAGTAGTAGTAGTAGTAGTAGTAGTAGTAGTAGTAGTAGTAGTAGTAGTAGTAGTAGTAGTAGCAGTAGTAGTGATAACACCAACACCAATACCTTATCCTTGCCTTTGATTTATAGGCATACTTTGTAATCGAATTAATAATACTCACAAAGGTTTCTGATCTACAAACTTAGAGACAGTAAAAATCACACATTTGGTCAAACAACCTCATTTCGATCAGAGACAAAGATCGTCGTCCTCTTATCTCGGTGATGCTGCTAATGCTAATCACGTGAGTTGCCGTTACATGAATATCTTTGCTAACCCAGTTGCTTATCGTTATCATCAAACTGTTGGAATTGTTGTTCATAATGTAATAATTATCATTGAGTATTAATTGTTGTTATTATAACCATCATAATCATCACTGCTACTATTGTCTGTTTTGCCATCATGTGGAAGTAAGGGCGATGTACCAATCCATCCCTCTCGTGATTTATTTGTTTTGACACACCGCGTGCTGTCAAAGATGGGTTGTCCGAGGAAGGACTCAGCGAGAGCTACGATCCACGATTATTCTAGCCAAGTAAATAGATAACACGAACACACTTTGGGATAACTCGGAATAGAAACAAATAACTCAGAATGAAAAACAACTAAGTCCATACATACATCCATAAATCCATCAATTATTAATAAAATCAAACATCAAGAGAAGTTGTGTGCCAGTTTTTTCATTGCTGGTACCCTATTCTATCCGATAAGCACGGATCGGATATCCCGAGAAAAAATTTTCTTTTACCCCAAATTACAAAAAAAAAATTTTTTTTTTGACGTCCGAGGAGATCCAAAACGTGCCCTATCAATTGCCGATCAGCAACTTTGCTCTGATTATTAATGAATGGTAATCGAAAACTGAACAGCGTTTTTTATTGATGATATAGAACATACCTATAAATAAATACATAGATGATAATAAATAAGTAAACAAACAGAAAGAATTAAAAAAAAAATGTAAAGAAAAAGAATAGAAAAATCGTATCGTTATTGTCATGTAATTGCAGAGAAAACTGATCGCATATCCCTTTGTATATGGATATATATGAACGAACATCGCTCAATTTTGCACTGCTAATTTTTGTATATTTTTATTTGTTAACCAGGTAAATATGGAGATTCTTTTTTTTTTTTTCTTGTACGGTCAACGGAAACTGTTTCTACTTTGTTGAATACTTTTCCAGTAAGCAGCAGATTCCCCATTCATACCAACGTTTGGTTTTGTAGTGACATGGCGCTTTTTATGATCTTTGTTTTCTTTGGAAGAGCTTTTGAGCGTTGATTCATTGTAATACTGTAAAGCAGCCGAAGGAAAAGATAATGGAGACATGGTATTATTAGCGGTTCTCAAAGAAGTTGGGGAGTTGGCATCGTTGATAGCACTGAGGGAGTAATCATGATACGATGCCGACGACAATGGGCTGGTGGTAGAAGAAGAAGAAGATGATGATGATGGTGATGGAATAGCGCTGTTCAGAGACAACGGATCATAGTAGGTGCCAAACTGGACAAAGTTGGCCGAGGCCCTTCTGCTGGCAGTGTTGGTGTTTACATATAGGTCTTTTAATTGGCAATCTTTGGAGCAGTAAATGCTGTCACCATTGGCAAGTCGCTGTTCACAGAACGAGCAATATTCTTGGAAGGATGAGTCGTAGCTTTGGTACATTGTTGTTAGGCAAAAGGTGGAGGGTGACAGGAAAGCAGTGGTAGTATAATAGTGAAAGAAAAGAAGATAAAAAACAAGACCACAAAGTTTATTTATATTATTACAAGATATTATTATCATATAGATATATATATATACAGGACAAATTTTTTTTGGCGTTATGGGAATGTGCTATTTCCGGATCGGGGAGGAATGATGTGTTTGCTTGTTATCAAAGGGGGGGCGTAAAACCACACTACATTATGTCATACAAAAAAAAAAAATAGGAGAGAAATCTTTGATTAAATTATGAGGATGTATGGCGGTGACAGAGTAGAATCAACAATATAGATTCCACACAACAACAGTGATATTGTAGATATAGATAGATATATTGTCACACAAATGCCACCTCAAGATGACTAATAACTCGTTATCTATGTGAGATACAGGTATATACCACCACAATGGAACAATCCCCGCCCTCATCGGTTATACACGGAAACGCCGCATATTATGTTATGGTTTGTCGTGGCCCAAAGCTATCTCATATATATAAAGTTATACAGTTATATAATATGGATCACTGCTGACAATACTGTTGATGATCTTCGGCCTTCTTTGGAAATGAGTTAACTTATTGTTATACTCATAATTAAAAAGAAAAAAAAAAAGAAAGTAACTCCCCTGAAATTGTACAAAAACAGTTACTTAAACAAAAACAGAGGTTCTATTTTTATTTATTACAGGTAACATCCCTTGATTTTGTATATATATTATTATTTATCTTAAGGAATTCTCTATAAATATATATACATAACCACAACTTTTCTATAAATATCTTCTATTTTGTTATTCGATCGTAGACGGGATCAACAAATCTAAGACACCGTCAAAAAATACCCAAATAAACTAGCCACCGCCGCCAACATATAAAGATCCACAACATCCTGTATACACATCTCCACTATTGTTGGAATAATCTTGGTCGTACAATCTCGTATACATTCTTTAGCTCAACAAACAAAAAAAAACATAATTTGTCTATACACAGATCTTTTACCCCATGTTGCTAACCTTACTACCTCTATTGTTCTCGGTGTTGGGGACCAACGCCCTCGATCTCCAGATCGATTCCTCGGCATCTATTTGTAACGATTCCCAGAAAATCGTTGATGGTATCCTTAACTACTATGAAGGTTTGAAGTATGGAGGAACCGTGGGGATGTTCTCCGAACCTTACTATTGGTGGCAAAGCGGTGAAGCGTTTGGATCTTTAGTGGATTTCAATTATTTGTGCCCTGGTAACTCCACATTAGAATCAATAATCCATGAAGGGATCACTACCCAATTGGGTTCCAACAATGATATGATGGTGGCCAACTTCAGTACCTCCGAAGGTAACGACGATCAAGGTGTTTGGGCGTTGACCATCATGAGTGCTGCCGAAAAAGGCTTCCCTTCTCCTAGCAACGTCAGCTGGGCCCAAGTAGGCGTCAACATTTTCAAAGATATGTTTAGCCGTTGGGATGATACTTGTCAAGGTGGGATCAGATGGCAAATCTTCCCTAACAATAACAATGGTTACAGTTACAAGAACAGTATTTCCAACGGTGCCATGTTCACCCTTGCCACCAGATTGGCCAGATACTACAACGATACCAAATATTTGTACATTGCCGATTTCATTTGGAGTTGGGCTGCTGATATTGGATTTGTCGTGGAAAATAGTACCGACATCACCGTGTACGATGGTGGGGATATTTCTGCCAACTGTCAAGACACCAGTGACGAGTTTTGGTCGTACAATTATGGGGTTTTCATGATGGGAGCTGCCTATTTTTACAACCAGACCCAAGAAGCTACTTGGTACAACAGAGTGGAAAAGCTCTTGAACTCCTCCATCGATTTGTTCTTCACCGATGATGGCATTTTGTACGAATCCCAATGCCAAATAAACTCCACTTATATCACTTGCAACAATGACCAACGTTCCTTCAGAGCAATCTATGCTAGGAGTTTGGCCACTACCAGCATTTTAGTCCCTTCATTATACGACAGAATCTCTGGGCTCCTTGAATCCTCTGCTAAAGCTGCTGCCGCCAGTTGTTCTGGAGGATCAGACAACGTTACTTGTGGTTTGGACTGGTCCAAAGATGGTTGGGATGGACTTTATGGTTTGGGTGAAGAATTGAGTGCTTTGGAAGTCATCCAAAACTTGTTGATCAAGGATACTGGTGCTTACGCTACAAGCGGCTCCAATGCCTCATGAAGGAACCCATTCCCATTTACCTGATGTTTTTGTTTACTAGTTTTCATTTGTTTTTCCGCTTTTTTTTTTCCTTTCTGCATGTTCTTTTGGACAGTCTTGTTTTAGCATTCCTTAGCATTTAACGTATTATACAACGTTTATAATATATCATCATAAATAATAATTCTTAATTCTCATGACTTTTATGCGTAGTCAATCGACACCTTTTGTTTTGTTTTGAAATTTCGTGCCCTGGTGCATATTTTTCAATCATTTTTCTTTGAAAGATCCACGTTTTTGAACACATTAATTGTCACTTATATTGGTGCTCATTACTCCTTTATTTCCCAAGAATAGAGTCTATTTCTGCTAATACTATTGAAAGAGGAAACTAATAAGAACTGAGGGGAGGAAAATAAAAAAAAAAAAAGAAAAGAAAAGAAAGAACCTGTCAGAAATGGGGGAAGAAGTTGCTTTATCATCATCTAGCATGGTATTATCACTCTGGCTTCCTGCTCTTGGATCAATTTTTGGAGGTTGTTGCTCCAATGTTTTTACCATTGAGAAATTGTTGAAAGATACTCCGAAGATCACCAACTTTGTCACACTTGTCCAATTCATATTCATCTCGGCAGTGGGAGGATGCTTGAACTTGGAGCTTGTCGATGGTTGGAAACCTCAATTGAAGCCTCGCCAAGTGGCGCTACGGCGATGGCTAATACACGTGGGATTCTTCTTTATCACATCGATCTTGAACAATTACGTATTGAATTTGAATGTCTCGATGCCAATCCATGTTATTTTCCGATCCTCAGGAACCATCTTTACCATGTTCATTGGGAGAGTGTTCATGAAGAAGAAGTATAACCAGTACCAGGTTTTCAGTGGTGGGTGTTTGACCTTAGGATTGCTTTTGACCACCATTGGGAACTCCTCTATGAAAATTGATCTGAAAAGCCTTAGTGGGTTGTCGAACATGGATTACAAAAGGCTGTTATCATTCACGGCAATTTCCGAATTTTTCCTTCTGGGGGCGTGGCAGCGGGCGGTGATGCTAGCCATTGAGAGGGTCAATTTGGGGATCGTGCTATTAATCTTGGCGTCAGTGTTGATTTCCATCAATGGGTTCTTGCTCGAAGCAACCTTTAAATCGATCACTGACAAGCAACAGGGGAAAAATCTTTGGAAAGAGGCGCTTTTCTACCAGCACGTCTTTTCTCTCCCATTATTCATTTTATTGCTTGGAAAATCCGTGGTTGGGGAATCACAAGCGTTTATGGCGAGCATTTTTGATAATTTATCCCAAACAGGCACCAGTCGCAATGTTATCTTTCTGAACCCTCGAGCATTGATGCCTTTGTATTTGTTGATTCTCAATGTGATAACCCAGTACATTTGTGTGCGAGGGGTCAATAGATTAAGCAGCCATGCTAACTCTTTGACGGTGTCAGTGGTGTTATTATTGCGGAAATTCACCAGTTTGGTGTTGAGTATCGTTGTCTTTGAGAACCTGTTGGACTGGCTCTGTTGGGTGGGAATTGGGTTTATTTTTTGTGGGACTGGGTTGTACAGTTATGGGAGTAGTTTGAATAAAGGTAAGAAGGATAATGATGCTAAGAAAGATGAAATGAAGGACCCTAATATTAACGATTCAAAAAGTAATAAAGTAAATAACGATCCAAAACAAGAGAAACTATGACAAAGACATTTGAAAGCATTTACGATCAAAGCATCGTACAGTAGAAAAATAATAAAAAAAGCATTTTTAATAATAAATAACCTAAATATATATCGAATTAACTAGACTTTCTAAAAGGAAAATATATATATATATATATATATAATACGTGACGAGATGAAATGATCGTAAAATATAGCCAGATGAAACTTGATGAAAAGAGCGAAAGAAGAGAAAGAAATAAAGAAATCACGTTTTTATATATTGGCCAAAACCAGAAACATATAGTGGTGACTTGGGGCGATAAATACCTATGGTGTAGTATCCTCCACAAGGCACAACGAGATGAAATAACAAACAAAGAAAAAGAAAAAGCACTGGCAAAAAGACGATCCTGTTTTTCTTCTTCTTCAAATTAAAAAAGCAGAAAAGCAGGTACAAAAATATTGGTACATGAGAAGGTGATGGTCATTTAAAGCATATGGATAATGAAACAAACCTCAAATCTTTTTGGTGTACTTTTAGTTGGAGGAAAAAAGATTAGCACTGGATTTTATTGTTTTCAATTTCCAATTATTATGCTTAACTTCTAATTTTTGTTTTTGTTCTTGTTCTTGTTTCTATTAGGATCATTGCACATCATGAAGACAGGAATGACACATACAGGTTAAGAAAAGCGCCATGCGCTCCATTCCTTTGTTCTGTTTAATACCACCAAACAAATACAAGCAAGTGCATATATACAGACTTTGCCCCTATTAGTCAAAAATGAAAAATTTCCAGTGCCTTTTTCCTTTCCTCTACTATTGGTAGTCTTTTTTGACTATCAGTATTACTTGAACTATTAGTAGCACCAACAATATTTTTATAATTACCAGTGCTTTGCCAATTTTTCCAATGTTCTCCTCTCTATGATGGATATTTTTTTTTTTTTGTTTCCCTTTTTATTCTAAGTCCCCAAACACACCTTCATCGCCATCATATTCTTCTTCCTCTTCTTGATGCCCATGTTCTAGTTGCTTCTGTTCATCTCCACTATTGGGACTCTTATTATTGCTTCTAGAATCATCTTCGTCATCATCCTCTATGGCGTTATTATTATGTGAATCATGATCCGCATTTGGGCTTAAAAACCTATCATGGCGACTCATTGGGGCATCCAAGTAACCTCCATTGGTATTATTTTGCGAAGTCAAATTTGAAATCAAAGGTTTATGATAGTTGAAAGACGATCGAAGGTTAGTTGGCGGCGACATCAATTCATCGTTGAATTCGGTATTTTTCTTAAAGCTTGACCCTGGTAAAATCGTTGGGCCGCCGGTGTACGACGATGGATTACTATTCAATGAGGAGTAATGTGAAGGAGACTGGATAGGAACTGGGGTAGGCGAGACAAGTCGATGATTGTCACTGTTGTTGTTGTTGTTGTTGTTGTTGTGTACATCCTCTGCAAGGGTCGGAGAAGTGGCACCTTTCAGCAGTACCAGCTGCTTCTTCAATTTATCATTTTCATTCATGCTAACTAAGATACTCGCGGCTTCCAATAGTTGTACCTGTTGGTGTTTTGATATCAAAAGTTTCTTGGTGTAGTTCCACTCGGCAGTATGTTCCCAAAGATGTTTTGCTAACGATGATATATGCTTATAACCTTTACCACAGGCCTCACATTTCAATTCCTGTTTCACCCTGCCAGTTTCGCCTTCAGATATTCTTCGAACCACAAACTCTCTTGTTAAGAGAGGAATGCTGTCGGATCCCTGGGGGTGAGGCTTACCATTGGCGGTGGCTTGAGATGGGTTATTACTAATTTGCCCGTTAGGTGGTATTTGGTTCGGGTTTGCTGGATGGTATTGGAATCTGGCATTATACGATGAATGTGAATGAGGGGCCCCGGTACCATGTATTCTATCAGGAATACTGTATGGAGAGGTTGTGGAGTTCGATCTAGGTCTGGCAGGAATGGCATAAGGCGAAGACGATGAGTTTCGTCTTGTGGCAAAATGGTGCCCAGTACTCTGGGTGTATAACGTCATTGATTCGAGTTGATTTTGGACAGACCACGATTTAAAGAAAAAGTTTGTGGAAGGTATTAATTGTTAAAGAGGAAAGACAGTTTTTTATAAACGCTCAATTTTACTATAAAGTTTGACACATCAAGAGTCAACACCAATCAAACATAAAATGTGAGAGACGGTGAAGCAACAGTAACGAAAAAAAAAAAAGGAAGGCAGTAACGGTATCTTTCGGTAGCTGTTAGTAGTGGTCAACAACAACATTAAAAGAAAAATGTATCAAAATGATTTAAACAACACAACCACAGTCTTCTACGGCTCTCCTGGTGCCACTGATCCTCAAAAGGCTGTCAAAGGAAAGTAAAAGACACTTATCACCCTGAATAATAAAGACAATAGAGAGAAATCAGGTTGAAACAAGTCTTCCAAAAGTCATGACCAGATATTATTTCCTTCAAAGAAAAACACCAATATATTGTTGAATCCGTCACCCAGAAAAAAAAAAAGAAAAGAAGAGAATCAGAGTCAGAATCAGAACCAACTTACAATTAGTAGAAACTGAGAGAGGTCTAACTCAGTGATCGATAGCTTTGAAGGAAGAAATATTGGGATATTCCGTGGTACTGTGATGGTGATAGCTTGTATCTGTCTAAAAAAGAAAATTTTTTTATTTTTTTTTTTTTTTTTCTTGCAAAATAATTGACAGATGATGAAAAAAAAAAAAAAAAAAAGATTCTTTCTGCCGTATCGGACATCTCCGCGTCCTCTTTCCCTCCCGCCCGCACCGGATATAACGATAATACTCTTCTTCAGCAAGATACTGTTCTGTTACGACATATACTATGCGCTGTATCCTATATATATTGTATATTATATTACATTACTATGATATATATATATATATCGTAAACCACATAGTATATCTATCCCCCCCAAGCACCACTTGACAGTCGTTTTGGCAGATAGATCATGTGAAATCTCGCGATTGTCCTTGTGTTTAGAGTTCTGATCAAATATATCAACGCTGCTCTTTTCCCCATATTTAGTTTTCTTCTCGTTCCATCCATTGCAATTGTTATCTGTTGATATAATCATCATTATCCATTTCCCAATGTCTTTCCAATCATTGTTCCGTGCTGCTTCCAAGTCCAACTTGAGAAATGTCCAAGTTAGAGGGTTGAAAACTTTCGACTTCTCCAAGCAACCACGTCTCAGAATCTTTGGTAAGGCCCCAAACTTTAAGGCTGCCACCACCCAGGGGGACATTGACTTCCACGAATACATTAAAGGCTCCTGGGCCGTGTTGTTCTCCCATCCAAAGGACTTCACTCCAGTCTGTACCACCGAATTGGGGGCGTTTTCTGGTTTGAAGCCGGAATTCGACAAGAGAAATGTCAAGTTGATTGGTCTTTCTGCCCAAGATATTGACAACCACAACACCTGGGTTAAAGATATTGAAGAAGTCGCTACTCCTGGTAATGCCAAATTCTCCTTCCCTATCATTGCCGACACCGACAGAGAAGTTGCTTTCCTTTACGATATGGTCGACGAAGAAGGTTTCAAGAACTTGAACAATGGGGTTGTTCAAACTATCAGATCGGTGTTTGTTATTGACCCAGAACAAAAGATCAGATTGATCATGACTTATCCAGCCAGTGTTGGCAGAAACTCCAGCGAAGTCTTGAGAGTCGTTGATGCTTTGCAAACCGGTGACAATAACGGAGTTGTCACTCCAATCAACTGGATCCCAGGCCAAGATGTCATCATTCCACCAACCGTGAGTGATGAAGCTGCTAAGGAAAAGTTTGGTGATTTCAAGAAGGTCAAGCCATATTTGCGTTTTACTAGCTTGAAATGAGTTATATAAATATATATATATAATTATTGATTTCTTTATATACGTTTACGATTTTGGGTACTAATTCAAAAGTATTTTTTTTTCTTTTTTTTTTAGTTCTATAGGATATCAATTACTTGGGTTGTCAATCTGTGAAATTTGTATATTTTTGTAAGATAGTAATTGAACATCAATCAAATAGGACATTTTTTGAATCACTATAGCAAGATAATACTTTGAAAACTTACAACAATCTCTTTCCCTTCCCTTCTTTTTTTTTTTTGATAATATCAAGCCATTATTTATTATCTTGGGTAAAACAAGATCTTTGATAGAAGATCAAGATGAGCTAAATAGAACAAATGAGGAATAAAAGAACTGGGGAAAAAAAATGAGTAATAGAAACATTAATGCAAAAGGATTGAAACTAATCCCATGGTAGAATAAAATGATATGTCAAGGGTATCTATCGCATGAGCAATACCTGTGGAAGAACTGAAAATTTTTGGAAGAATTTGTTAATAAAAATAAATGCTCTTACAACAAGAAAGCAACGACGGCACCCATACCGACAACACCGGCACCAGCCAAGTTACCGTTGAAACCAGCAGCCATACCAGAGTAGGTGGTGTTGGAAGAGTTGGCGGAGATGATGGAAGCGGTGGTGGAAGAAGAAGCGATTTCGGAGGTAACGTTGGCGGTGGTGGCAACGGCGGCTTCAGTAGAAGAGGTGATTGGAACAACAGTGGTTTCAGAAGTGACGAATTCTGGCAAAGTAACGGAACCAGAGGTGACGATGGTCTTGTTACCAACGGTGAAGGTGGCAGTCAAAGGACAGTAAGTGGTGTAAGAAGTGTAGGTAGCTTCGACGGTGATGGTGGTAACGTTAGACATTTTTAAAGGATTATTTTGTTAGCGAATGAATGAATTAGCAAGCGAGCGAATTGTATTATTAAAAGACTGAATATGATAATAATAGTATTATAACAAAAGATTAGAAGTATGGCCAAATGAATTAAAGGATATTGATCACAATTTATACCGTTAGAAAAGTGAAAAAAGAAACGACCGGATATCTCTCCTAAGATATGTGTTATTGGGCCCAATTTGGCAAGTGGTAATCCTGAACTCCCTCAGTTTCCCGTATATTCCTCCATCCGGTAACCACAAAGGCCCAGGCGCTCCCAAACTCACACCGATCTTCGTCCCAAAAGATGCAAAGAGCCGTTGTTTTTTGTTACTAAATGTAGACGCATGTCACCTAAGCCGTCGATCAGTGGCAGTGTCAGCTAACAAAAAGGGGAAGGGTGAGAAAAAAAAAACAAAAAAAGGTTAATGAATGGAAATTGCTTTAAATTAAAAATTAAAATCAGTCGATATATACTATACTCTAATTACAATCATTTTGCTCACAGTAGGCAATTTTCCTCTCCCATCTAATCTGGCTTTGAATGATATTCTAATCGTAAAATGTCCCCAGACAACACAAAATGGCGCATAAAAATTTTTAGTGCAAGAGTTGACGTACTGCTGATAAGTCCTGCAAAGATTAATATTGCTCAAAGCGTGTTTGTTGGAACACAAAGCCTTTGACCTTGTAACATGAAAAGTGTGGGCCCAGACCCACTCTCCCTATTTTTTTATTTTTTTTTTTTTTTTTATCGCAGATCCCAATGTCAGCCACGCTCTAAAATAGTTTTCTGAAAATAGTTAGGTTATCCTCTGTTGACGTTACGATTCTACAAAGTACAGATAACTTCGTACCAGTAAAATAATAAAATTGAGCGAAACTAATAGCAAAATTAATCAAACGAGAAACAGAACAAAAAAAAAAAAAAAAGAAGGCACGATAATTTGCCTTGTAGCATACAATAAAAAAATGGCGAAATAATATAGGAAAATAGAAAAAAGGAAAGGAAAGGAAAGGAAAAGAAAAAAAAAAAAGAAAGAAGGAAGGAACGAGAAAACAAAAATATCACTAGCTGCTGTGCTTATGTCTACAAAGACTACTACTAAAAGCATGTTTCCCGGAAGTCAAAGCCTTCGAGCTTTTAACCGTAAACAATCCTTTGCCGTCCTTTCTGCCAATGGACGCATCTGGAAAGATTCCAACCGGCTCTTTCAAAAAATGGGTTGAACGTTTGCCATCATCAGCAGGTTCAGGACCGCCGGTCTTCAACAATACAAACCTTGCCTTTCTATCAGCCAGTTTTGGGCTTCTTTCGTCTCTGATAACCTCTGGAGACATTGACAGAAGATGCTTTATTTTAAAATGATGTTTCGACCCTTCTGGTTGAGTTAGCTCGGCGTTATCAATATTGTGTCTCAAGAAAGATTCTCCTTTGCCGGTTTGATCACCTTCAAATGAAATTTTACTCATGACAGTCAACATCTCCTCGTCAATAACAGGTTCTTTACCACTCATCTTTTCAGGCATTATTTCATGCTCACCAGCAGCACCGACAAATTGTTCTCTATGATGATATTGGGATATCACAGATTTTGGCTCATCATGGAAACCATCCTTTGGTCTGACCTGGGCATCACCATCAAACAAACGGCTTTCAGCTTTATGCTTCTCGACCGTCCTATCTATGTCATTATTTCTATTCGCATAATGGTAAAGCATTCTAATATCATGTTTTAGTTGTTGGATTTGTTTATTCTTAATATCCAATCGCTCTTGAAATGCAGAAAGATGTTCCTTTACCAGCTGCTTGATGAGATACTCGTTATTAATGTTCACCATTTCCAAAAGCTGCTTCTGCCTCTCATCAACTCTAGCATCAATATCGTTTTCTTGGAGCTTTCTATGCATCTTGTTGGAATACATTGTATACTTGTTGAAGCTTGGATGTCTGAAAATACTTTCAACTTCAGATTTTGGAGACATGTGTTCTTGAGTTTCTTGCATCTTGTCAATTTTTTCTTTGAGATCATCAAGTTCCTTTTTTAAAGTATTATATTTCTCATCGTAATCTTTTTCTTTCGCTGAAGCTTTTTGATCTTCTGGGCTAGTGTTAATTTCGGGACTTTCTCCACTTATCTGTCTTATGGCCTCGATATTTGGAGTATTTGAGTCTTGGTGTAACAATGGTTCTTCCATCAAATTTCCTCCACCAGTTTTTCCCGTTTGCTGATCTGAAGGCTTCAATAAATTCAAAGATTGCATATGGTCTATTGTTCTAAAAGCTGATTGTTGATGTTCTGGAATAAGCACATTTTCAGCCCGATTTGATGTATCCTGGGTTTCGTAAGGCAAATTTGCATTGGTATCATAATCATTTGGAAGCTTAGACATAACCTCCTCTTTGTCTGAATGATTATTGGTGTTAGCGGTATTCAAATCAATATTTTCCTCAGCTGCCCCTTTTTCCAACGTCAAATTATCAGTGTTTGTGGCAACCCCAAGATCCGCTATTTTGTGTTTTTCATGATGCACCATCAGGTCATCGCTTGCCCTGCCAACACCAGTCTCGGGAAATTTGAAATCTCCTTCACTCCCCAAGCTGAAGTTAATACCACCAAAATCTTTTGAATGTTGACGAATTTTATTCTTCAACATCCTACCTTGCCAGCGTTTCAAATCTTGCACAGACTTTTCTTGTTTAGCCAAACCATCTTCCAATTTCCCAAATTGTTGTTGAAGGCCTTCAATTGCACTGCTCAATCGCTTCTCAAATCTCTTGTTTTGCTTGTTTATCAAAGAATTAACCATTTCACGAATTTCAACAAGCAGTGGTTCGGAAGCAAAAAAATCAGGAACATCAGAATTCCGTGGCCCCAACGACTTAACAACAGAAAAAGTTGGACTTGGAATTATCACCGAGGAATGTTTCTCTTTGAAGGAAGTGGGTCTTGAATATTGATTGGTATCATTTTCAGATTTGGGGATTATATTTGAGGAATCCATACTAATATCATTTGGTTGTCCTGCTTCAAAAGAATCTCGACGGTCGTTACATTCATCAAAGGAAGCGCCCATGGTATGAGAAGCATCGGCATTATCAGTGGAGCCAATGGAGCCAATCACAATATCATTATCCTTGCCATCATCCGGGCTCTCACAAATATCTCCGTCTTGTCTCTCTGATGGTAGATTTTCTTCCTGTGTCTTAAGTTTACCATCATCTATAGTCATAGTTTCAAGACCTAAACCAGAGATTTCATCTTTATTTGGAGCATCTTTAGCACATTTCGATGGCTCATAAACATCAAGATACGAATCTTGTTCCTTATCATCAATAGAGAGTTCTTTATGTGGATAATCAGAGCTCATAGTACTAGCGCAATCCCTAACCTCAAAAGACCCAGTATAGCCAGTAATCTCATCTTGATCGTGATGAGTGTGCGTAACTGGTGAACCGGTGACGCTATCAATACTCAAGCAGGCGTTTTCCAAATTATTTTCCTTAACACTAGAATTGATAATATATTGACCATTATCACCAGCATTTAGCAATATATCGTATGCAGGATTATCAGCTTTGAAAGTTCCATCATTCGACAAAACCTCCACAGTGGTGATGTCATCATCGTTATCTTGGGTAACTATATCCTTCATCAGATTTCCAACCAGTAAGTAAGACTCAACCTCAGAGCTTAATGTTTCATTATAGTTTTGCGATTTCAAGAGAATGGAGTTGAGGATATTATTGGTCATTTGGGATGCAGACGTACTGTCGCTGGACAGCAACGATAATGGAAGAGAGTCTTGAGAAACTTTAGGGGATGGTAGCATCACCTTGGATTTTTCTGGTTCTGATAGTTGAACGGTTGAAGGTGATGGTTGTTCTTGAAGAGGTTTTTGAAACGATGGTGGTGATGATTGTGGATATCCGTCTAATTGATTCGTAGGAGTATGAAGTTGGGAGAATGAATGTTGTTGTATATCCGTGAAGCTTGACGAATTTGCGGTGGTGATTTCATTCATTATGGATGCTCTAAGTTCGGCAAGTTTGGAATCGATGATGCTTGAAATGTGTGCATCTAAATCCTCAGATCTTATGGCACAAGGTTTTTCGATATTTTCCACAATATTATCAAGGGGGTTTGTGATAGTTACTTCGGCAGCATCTTCTTTGGTGATATCAGCAGCATCAATATGTTCCTTGGTAATCGCCATAAATTCATCAGTAGGAGGATCAATTATCAATGTTTTTGGCTCATCACCTTCCTCCACGTCTTCATCGGCATCAAAAAAAGTGGATGCGCTTGATGAGGTTGGCCTGAAAACATCTAGTTCACTATCGACGTGACGCAATTTTGACTTGATAGTATTTAGTTTCTTTTGGTATTGTGCTTCTGAGTGCACATTTTCACTATGGTTTTCGTCAATAACGGATGATGATATTGGTTTGGGAGTCTGCTTGGCCATTGATAATGATTCCAATGATCGGGCAATGTTTTCATAACTCGATTCCAAAGCACTAATTCTGTCTGCGTGTTTGATAGCACGTTCATTCATTGCATTCTGGATCATTGATTGGATCTTTTCTTCATCGTGTTTGAAACCATCATCATTGGTTTCCGAAGAAGAAGAAGAAGAAGAAGAAGAAGAAGAAGAAGAAGAAGAAGAAGAAGAAGAAGAAGAAGAAGATGCTTCTTCAAATGGGTTTTGTTCCTTTAATGAATCAGAAATTTCAAACTGATGCGTTAACTCATCTAATCTTTCGTTCAACTTTATTATACTATCGACAATATAAGATTCCTCTTCAATAGTTTCTAACGTATGCTCTTCTGTAGTATCATTGCCAACATCATCAGCCCTGCTAACCAGATTTCTTTCATTTTGACTTTCCGGAGATTCGAAATTTTCATTGATTTTATTGATGGTACTCCCAGAAATGTCTCTGTGATGCTTTTCGGTGAGAAACTTTTGCTCTAATGACCCTGTTCGGCGTTCCAAGTTTTTAACCTTCATGGTGAAAGACCTAACAAACTGCGAGAGTTTCTGCGCGTGCAATTTGGTAAAACGATCCAATCGATCATTGAGTTCTGTGGCTCTGGTTTCGCTATCAAGGGTCAAATCGAGTTGTAGATTTAGGAGGTTTTGGGAAACCTCACCTATGGCTTCTTTGAAGGATGAAGAAGTCTCAAAGTTTGGGAAAATGTCGGGATGCTGATCTGGTACTTGTACTTTGGGCTCAGTATCTATAACTGAATGTGAATCTAGTGATACTTGGTTCAATGGTGATATAACCTCTTTTTCCACAGGAAATGATGATTCTAAGCATTCTTGAATCGGAGCTTCTTTAGTGGAATTTTCTTTAATGGGATATTCTGCAGTGGAGCTTTCTCCAGTCAAATCTTGTTTTTTGGAGTCTTCTTTAGTGTGAACTTCTTTAGTGGAATCTTCTGTAATGGAATCTTCCTTGGTGGAAACATGTATTCCCAGTGATCCAAACTTGAATCCAAATAATGAATCCATTATGATAATGAAACTGTCTTGGTTATGATGTTATATGATCAGGAAATAGAAATTAAGGAGAAATTATTTGGTAGGTAATGGTCCATTAACTTCTTGTTATTAGTGATAAGGGGCAAATTTTCTTTCTGGAGGTGAGCATTATCTCCAAACACTAGTGATCCTTTTGCTGCACACACACACACAGACACACAAATCAAGGACAAGGAAGTTGATGAAATAGATAATACACTGGATTCTGTAAATAATTGGAAATAGATACCAAGGTGGTATGTTTATGGCAGTGAAAAAATAAATATTAAGATCAAAAATCAGTTCTATATTCCAAAGTTATCAATTTCAAAAAGACCAGATCATGTATCTAAAACAATATAAAGACAAAAAAAAAAAAATTGATAGAAAAAATACACACGCAAAAATGAATATAGTGTGAAGATCTACTCTCTTAGATATCTATCACTGACAGAAGTGGTGTGGTTGGCTTTGTCTCGGACTTGAATTGACTGGGGCCGTCTGTGTTTGGTAACGACTAGGTAATTATTGATAATAACCAATGCGTAAGGAGGGCCGTGGTAATTCATTATTTCGTTCTATTATTATTGAATGATTAAATTAGAGAAACTCTCGTCTGTATCGATTGATTAAAGTATAATCTGAGACCCACACATTTGGAAATCATCGTATCTTTTTTTATTAGACGAGCACTGGCTGGCTTTTTGTTTTGATTAAATTTTTTCAGAGTAGACGATCTGGTATTATCTCTGTTTCCATAATAATGTTTTGTGATGAATTACTAGGAAACCATAGGTATGATGGCTATTTAATATCCGATCTTCTTTTTTCTTCAACTACTAAGAGTACTATTACTACCATATGGATAAAGTGATTGTTGTTTAAACAAATATTTTAGACTTGGGCCCCCGGAGAAAGCAGGAATCGAGATCTGCACGTGGTCAAAGGGCCAGATTGGTGGGACTTTGTGATCGATGATTCTTGAAGGCAAATATCAATGGATGATGGTTGAGATATTCAAGTTATGAGGAGAATTATCTGGTGATATGAACGGTATATGGTAGCACATCAATACACGCGGCAAAAGGGTTTCCGGCTCATTGCTGTATATAGTGCGCGGATACTTATCACTCCAACAAAATACATTTGGATACCAATGGGGAGTGAATCCAATACATGACCAAAGAATAAAGAGAATTGCCCACAGGCTTGGTTATTTTATTATCATGAAAATCTTGACTTTCTCTCTGTCTTTCAATCAAATATACCTACCTCAGTTTCCCCTGTACCTCGGTACTTTTGGTGGGTACAGAGATGAGTCGGCTCGATGACTCGCATGCTGATGGTAGGCTATCTACCCCCCACAAAAATGCCAGTCTTAGTGAGCTATAAATATCTGAAAATCTCGTTGGCTTGCAAATAGCATGCTAATTACTGGTGGATAATCACCAAATTCTCATTTGTTGTTTTTCAAAAGTAATAAAGGTGTCATCCTGCATTGATATCAAAGACAGCATATTTCCGTAGTGCAAATTGATAATAAACAATGACCATCTCTATTGAACAAGTCTCGCAACACAATTCCAAAACCGACTGTTGGATCATATTCCATAGTAAGGTTTATGATATCACCAATTTTGTATCGAAGCATCCAGGAGGCGCCAAAATCTTAATGAAACTTGCTGGTAAAGATGGATCGGCTCAGTTCGATAAATTCCATACCCTTGATATCATGAAATCTTACATTTACGAAAAACTCATCATTGAAGTTGGCTCTTTGGATGATTCTGCTGCAGAGGCAGCGGTCGCTGAGGCGACAATAAGGGCCAAAGAGGAGGCCCAACAAGAAGCATCGGTCATCAACAAGTACGAGCCACAAAGAATATCCAATCTCAAAAATAAACCTCCATTGGATCAAATAATGAATTTATATGATTTTGAGTACGTGGCCAATAAAACTTTGGAGCCGGTAGCCAGAAATTATTATTCATCAGGAGTTGATGACGAAATCACCGTTAGAGAAAACCATTTTGCTTATAAACGCATTTTCTTCAATCCTAGAGTGTTGATCGACGTCACCGAGTGTGACATTTCTACCAATTTATTAGGCCATAATACCAGCGCACCATTCTATGTTTCTTCCACCGCCATGCAAAAGTACGCTCATCCTGAAGGTGAGAAAGTGTTTGCCCATGGTTGTTCCCGTGAAAATATTGTGCAAATGGTGCCATGTCTTTCATCGTATCCTTTCGAGGAGATTTCCAAAGAAATAAAGCCAGGTACTCCCTTTTGGTTCCAACTTTACCCTTCTGCTCATGATGGGCTCAATGAAGAAATAATCAGAAAAGTGGAAGCGGCTGGATGCACAGGGATCTTTATTACGGTGGATAATGTATATGGCGGTAATCGTGAAAAGGATAGACGAGTAAAAGCGATAATGGGACACCTTATCGAGTTGGAAAAGAACAAAGGCAGCATATCCAAGGATGATATGGATCGTCTCTATATGGTATCCTCTGCTAAATCTGAAGACCAAGAAGAAACAAAAGACGATGACTCAGCACTTGGTAGGAGAGCCGTTACTTGGTTAACTTGGGAGAAAATGCGTCATTTGAAAAGTATCACCAAAATGAAGTTTTATCTCAAAGGTATTCAGTCTATCCCTGATGCTCGGCTTGCGGTAGAAAACGGCATGGATGGTATCGTATTATCAAATCACGGAGGTCGTCAGGCAGAGTATTCTAAATCTACAATTGAAGTACTTTACGACTTGAATCAAGCAGGTATTACAACACAAATTGATGTATTTATTGATGGCGGGGTAAGACGGGGCACAGATATCCTCAAGGCCCTTTGTCTTGGTGCTAAGGCCGTAGGACTTGGACGAGGACTATTATATCCGGTGGCTACATATGGCGAAGCAGGTCTAGTGAGGGCTATCCAGATGTTGAAAGAAGAAATGGTGACTACCATGCGCAATATTGGCGTCAGGAATTTGAATGAATTGAATGAGGAATTGATCGATACCATCAATTTGAAAAGTAGGGGTTCTAACTTTGGATATTCTGAAGACTTGTATAATAGAGCAAGCTTGCCATTATTGCCACCTAACTTTGGTAACGTGAAGCTATAATATTTCTTTATTCTTTAACAATATCTTAGAATTATTCGGTTTGCATTTCTGTGCTCAAAACTTCGACACCTTTTATTCTTTATATTATTGATACCACTTTCCGAAAGGTTCAATGAGACGTAAGATTGTTTTTCATGGTTCTTGGAGGTGAGGAGACACCCAATGATCATTTCAATTTGATAACTATATTAAACTTGAAGTATAATATTGCATACAATACTGCCTCAGCATTCCAAAGTCGAAGCCCGTATAGCTAGGTAATCTAATACTCATCATCCATATGGTACATCCCTTCTTCATTTATAGAATACTTTTCGTTAATAATATCTTCGACAAAGTCATGAAGACATTCATCAAGTACTGATGCAACCTTGTAGTTTTTCTCTTCTTTTTGTTTAAAAATGACTTGACCAACCTATCCTCCATTTGTCAAGCACTTCTACGGTTGATAAATAGGCTTGCAAAATTCCCAAAAAATATCCCTTTAGACCCGTTGTATATTTTCAAAGATTGAATGTATGGCTCTGGAAACATGATGCCATTTAATCCACGCTCTAATTTTTTGATTTGTTGGTCTGTTGCTGGAGGGTTCAGCGCTTTCAATACCTTTGCATAGTTTTTATCGTATCACGCGTTTTGTTTTAGTCACTCAATTCTATTATTCCCCATGACTGTTCAATAGTTCAGAATCAATTTTTTGGAAGCAAAGTTCTCATTAGTTAAAGTGGAAACAGTTTCCCGCAATTTTTTATTATCCCTAGTATTTTTCTCCATAGATCTTGGCACAATAAAAATCTTATTTTCGTATCGAGAATAAAATATTCTGGGGTTCCTACCCTCAGGTTCAAGATCTTTGTTCGAATAGCCATAAAAGCTAATTTTATAACAATACAATTTAACCTCGATGACATCAGTAGAAAAGCAAGTTGAAGGCAAATGGATAAATTCTACAATTAAAAAAACTCAAAAGCTCATGATACATATTACATTGGTATTAGGCCATTTACGTATTTGGCAGAATATACATTGATCAACCAAAGATTATTTAATTAATATACTTCAATTCATGACATAAGAGCACAGCAATAGCGCTAGAATAAATATCTCGAGAAAATAATAAACGGAATATATTGTTTATTAAAATGGCCTTGACAGAATACACAGAACTGAACAATTTAGTGATTTTTTTTAAAAAAAAAGAGTATGTAAGTTATAAAATTTTAAGATTCTCTTTATAGCAATATGCCTAAAGTTTCTGAGCTCTGGAAACTATCACGCTATTTTTTTATTTCTCCTTACTTTGTCAGATAATTTTCCACGACCGTTTAGCTTACCATTTTTCACGGATTCTAGAAGAGAGCTAAATGAAAAATAGTTGAATATGCATTTGGTATGACTCCAATATTAGAGGCTACAAATAAATGATCAAAACATTTCAAACTATACCATAATATTATCCGCTTTTTTTTTTTTTTTTTCAGGGCAATATAGACCGTTAAATAAGAAATATGTTCTTTTGGAAATATAAGCTTGAAGGATATATATTAGCAAATCTAAATGCTGTCAATCATCCTCATGGATCAAGCCATATTCATCCACCGAGTATTTCCCACCAACAAGTTCGTCGGCAAATTTACTGAAATATTCTTCGAAACTCAAAGCTAGCTTGCTACGGTCTCCATCGTCATGCCACATCTCAATTATTTGGCCAATTTGGCCATCCTTGGTTGGATTTAAATCAATACAAAGATGATCACCTCCGCCATTATGGGTGAATGGGATCCATTTAGCATCATACCATACTGGTTGAACTCCTTCAATGTGTACCCCAGAATCGTCCATATCATCAAAAGTCCCATCTTGTAACAAGTCCCACCAAATCTTCCATTGAACATTCACATCTTCTATTGGTAAAAACAGGACCCCCGAGTTGAAAAAAGAAGTCTCATTAGCAATCCCGTTGTGGGTCTTCAATGCTTGAATGTACGATTTTGGTAATTCAATCCCGTTTAACTTCTGTTCTAAATCCTTGATTTGCTCATCGGTGGCTGGAGGGTTTAATGCATCCAATACTTTGGAATAGTTTCCATCTGATTTGGCCATTTCCTTAAGCCACGATTCAATTATCTTCCAAGACTCTTCGACAGTTTTAATCGCCATTTTTTATTTTGTTGTTGTTGTTTCTCTCTAATGATGAAAATAAGTGTTTCATAATGACTACATCAAGACACTTTTTAACATGGACCCTGTTGATCAATTTAAATAGTCGGGTAAAAAACCTAAAAAAAAAAAATGTGGGTGACCATATAGGAAAAGATTTGAATTATCCGCGGTTAGGTCACAATGCGGCATTAGCACGGCGGAGAGTCGGACTTTTAAAAAGTCAGTGAAAACCTTCGGTTAAATGCAGAAGGAAAGTAACTTTCGGCAGATATAAATCACGGATATACAGTATGGGCAAGTTTGGACACGAACAGCTAGCCCTCATTAGATAGCCATCCGAATAGCTTATCAAGTATCAACAGGCATCGTAAGAGATGGTGTAAATCATCAATGATTATCCCAAGAAATACAAATGAAGAAATTCGAAACACATACAAAACACTTGCATTACCCACACTCCTCAAACAATTCTTTTGAAGATATTATTTTGTGTAAATAAACTTACTGGCGATGAGCTGCGAGTACATGTACAGATATAATACCTTTTATCTGGAAAATACAGTTCAATCCAGAAAAATTATATGAAGGATCTCTTTTATAATACTTTGCTACGAAATACGGCACCATAGTACGGTATTTCTGAATCCTGCAAAGAGTACCAATAGAAGATCTGTGAGAAAAGCTTTAAAGACTATATAGAATACATACTATAGAGTAATCCTATATATGAAAGTTTCAACCATTGCGATATTTAGCACCCTATAATAAGCTTGCTTCAGATAATAATACCCTAATATTGATCACCGGTAGATGACTCCACGTTCAGCAATAGGTCATCAATTAATACCATTTCAGTAGAATGCACCATCAATAATTGTCATAAGTCAATCTCAGTTGTAATAGTGTAGTGAAGATAGACGATTGAACCTCATTCTTGTGGCAAGATACCCCCCTTAGTATATCTGCATTCATAGTTTTTCTGGGCTGGTGGTTCTTTTCCTTTGTAATAAACTGTGTAAGTGTGATATTTGATTAACAATTAATTTTGGAAGGAATAGGAATATATTTTTCTCGGATAACAAGAAATAATCAAATAATCTTTAATACTAAGTAAAATGTTGAATTTATACAATGATAACTGAACTAGATTAGGCATAGGAGATAACTTCACACTTTTTGGTGGCACAAAAGTATCAGAATAAACCGTCACAAAGGTTTCACAGAAACAACTTGCTTAAGAATAAGTTTGTTAAATAAGTGTCAGCACATTACTAGATCGAAACAAATAAAAATCCCGCTTTATTATAGTGTCCCAATATGCCCTTAAATAACATTTATAATAAAAAATTGAGAAATTATTGAAAAACACATGAAATCAATTAAATTTGAACAGCAATCAGTTGAGATTGATCTTTGAGACTGAACTTTGAGATTGTTGGATATATAACCATATTTAAGAAAAAACCTCTTACAATTTCACAAGCCATACGTCATCTTATAGGTTTCCTTCAGTACAAAATAAAATACACAATCTACACAATATCAAAAGAATTGGAAAAAAAAAAAGGATTACATAGTTTCCAGACAATTTTTTTTGTAGCCTAAATCAGTTCAATGAGCGTTATTACTGTCCTGAAAATACAAGCCAGAATTATCTGCCAAATATTTTCCTTCAATGATATCATCGGCAAAGACACTGAAATATTCTTGAAACCCTGAAGCAAATTTTGTGCGGTCTCGGTCGTCATGTAGCACCTCAATGATTTGACCAACTTGACCTCCTGTTGCTGGACATAAATCAAGACATAAATGATCCTCAAAACCATTATGAGCGATTGGGATCCATTTGGGACTATGCCAAATTTGCTGAACTCCATCCTCTTCCACATCAGAATCATCATCAAAAATCTCGAATTTGCACATAATATTCCAATAATGAAGGACAAGTTCTGTCAGGAGAAACAGCCACGAATCAATAAAAGGAACTTGGTGAGCAACCCCATTATGGATTTTTAAAGCTTGAATGTATGACTTTGGCAATTCAATTGCTTTCAACTTCTGTTCTAAATCCTTGATTTGCTCATCTGTTGCTGGAGGGTTCAATGCATCCAATACTTTGGAGTAATTCACATCAGCCTTGCCCTTTTCTCTTAACCAAGACTCTATTACGCTCCAAGATTCTTCAACAGTTCTAATTGTCATTTTATACTTTTTCTTCAACTGTATATTTGCCTCTGGATTTACTAAGCGAACCATATCGCTATATTCTTGCAGCGTGTTGATTTATACCCTACTTTAACTATGAGAAGCGTGACCATCAAAAAAAAAACAAAAAAACAAAAACAAAACGAGCTGATGACGATTTGAAATAATATCTACCTAAGGATGATAATAATGTGATAACACCATCGAATTAAATGTGTGCTGTTTGTGAAAAATAAGTAAATGATAATAAAACAGTCACATTCGTGTGGCTTAGAAAAATTATGGTATATATGTAAGATAATATTTACGGTTTGCGTAGAATGCGGAAAGGGAAATATGGTAAAGTACAAACAATCATTCGTGGGTTTATCTTGAGATCATCAAGCGGGATGACTGTTAGACTCTTCAGCGAAAAGTTCTTCTCAAAGCATAGAGAAATTAACCTTGCATATAACCATTCTTGAATGCTCTAATCACCAAAAAAAATAATTAAACGATGGATCAACACCAAAAAACATACATGTTGGCGGACGGAACCATATCACTGGTATGGTTTCAGGTTTGCTGCACTGGCAATTGCCAACAATAGATTGGGCCACTAGAAGGGAAAGCTAAAAAGGTAATGGTATGGCAATGGCAACAGTTATCTACATCTTATTTGAATTAAAGGAAAAAGCTTTGATTATTGGTATCTAAAAAATGGCCCCTTTTTTTCTCGATTTTTTTTTCTTCTTAATTTTGGTGACGCGTTCCTATTTTTTAATTGCGAAGCGTAAAGGAGGGAAAGTATACATATCTGTGACACTCAACCTCCAAGGAATCTGACGAATTGACGAATAAAGTTACGGCCAATAGGTGAGTTTATACATGTCTTTGCCAATACGTATTAATCTTCACCGGAGATGTCAGATCCCACTAAAATAAAATAAAAAAACAGCTATGACAACATTATTTTTTCAAAAAGCAGGAACCATAATGTCTTCACTCGTCAGCAACTGTGATTAAGATTCTTCTTTTCATTTTTACTTGAATATGTCATGAGTGGCTACCACCCAAGAATAATTTCTCGATGGAGAATGAAACCTCTGTTCTCCAATCCGTGTAAAACTTTGATTTGGTCGCTTCATGCTCGTCTATGATTTACGGCAGTAGAGAAAAGACACTTGAAACAAGATTTTACAAAGATACGGCAGCTTCCACCAGGGCCACAGGTGAGATAATACTACCACACTTAGAACAACACCATAATAACCCACCTGTATTTTCCTTCTTCTTATAAGGAAGGATTTCCAATATGATCGAAACGGCCCAGTGTCCAACAATATAAATTGTAGAAATTTCTGGAGGGTCTTCTGAGTCGACCGTGCTGCAGCCATATGCACGGGAGTCTGCCACGAAAAAATCAAAATCGATTGGAAATCAGAAATTCAAAAAAATGATTGTATCACATCGTCAGCTTAGACGGCCATCCCTCACACGTACCTTTAGCTCCATCATAGCAGCACACTACACACCAGTCACCGTTGTTGCAGGAAGAAAGACGGCCAAACTCAACGAAGGGCAAATAGGAAAAAAAATAATCTTGAAAGATACTTGTTTTTTCCTCCTGTTCCTCTGGAACAAATTCTCTCCAACAACAACATACACCGTGGTGTTATTTTTTTTTTTTAATTTTTTTGATATCAAGGAAATAGAACTGCCATAGATATAGGACACGTACAAAGATACTATTCCGCATTTTCCCCTTCTGTTCCTGACTCTTCATTCGATTATTACAAAAGTATTGGGCACGTTTGTGTATCCCATATTCATCAAGATTCCAATCATCTCACAAGACTGTCCCAGATAACTTTCAATAATGGTTTCATCATTTATGGGCTTGAGGAGGTCAAGCTCTCTCAGCAAGAGTAATAATAATTCCAATAATAATAATAATAATAATAATAATAATAATAATAATAATAATAATAATAATAATATGAATTCCAATCTGAGCTTTCTGAACAGTTCAGGCGATTCGCGAAGATCCTCATCCGAGTCAAAGAAAGGCGAGAGCTTACTTAGTATATTAAGCCCTAGCCCCAAAGCTGAAGAAGGCTTTCAAAGCCAGCATAGCACTGACAATAGTCGAAAAAGAAGTAACTCAGCCGGTACCAACAGCAACTCCTCAGTTTCCGATGATAGCGTGATAATTCGTCGATCTAACTCGATGGGATCAAGTTACGATAATAACAGCCCCGAGCAATACCAGCAAGAGCGATCCGAGAATACATATAGATCAAACAGTGCTACTATCGATGAAAATTTTGATGATGAAGATCCATTCGAAAATGAGGTATTGTTGCAGGAGCCTCCTTTGTCTCCACCAAAAGAACTTCATCCAGGTAGACTCTATGCATTATATGAATTTAGTGGTCCTGATCCATCCCAATGTGATTTGGAATATGATGATGCAGTAATTCTACTTAATGATGATGATTCATACTGGTGGTTAATTAAGAAAGTGAAAGACGGCAGAATCGGCTTCGCGCCAGCTGAGTGCCTTGAAACACCAGGAGAAAGATTGGCGAGATTGAATTGTTGGAAAAACGAAGAACTTGAAAGAATCTCCAAAGAGGAGACCCGGAAAAGATCTAAGAGCTTGCTAAGTCTTACGAAAAAGGCTAGTAAATTGGCTCATGGAGGTAGTGGTTCTGATTTAGGGAGTGTTACTGGTAGCTTGAAGAAAAAAACTAGTTCCAAGAGTGTTATTTTCAATGAAACTGTGGAATATTCTCAACCAAGCTACATAAGTGACAGCGAAGATGAATATTCAGAGGACGAATATGAAGGTATGGAAGAATATGAAGGTATGGAAGAATATGAAGATGATCAGATGATTGATGATAATGTGAACTACAGTGATGATAATGACACCCTTGATGGCAAGGAAAGTGTTGATAAACAACATCATATTGTCATTGATGTAGGTGATGATTATGATGGCAATATTGATATAGACAATATTGACGATGGGCCAGCTGCCAATTCTCAAAGATCTCCTGAGCCTCTCGTTGTTTCCAAAATACGGAAGAAGTCTATTGACAATCTTAGAAATGCTTCTGCTTTCAAGAATAATAGCAAAGAAAACTTGAATAACGACGGAGGAAACAAAGCAACTGTCAGAAGAGCACCTACACCAACTACTATGAAACACCAACAAAATCTTGCTAATTTCAACGGCAATTCTAATAATCCAGCCTCTCCACCATTACAGGCGCCTTCAATGGACAATTCAAATAATTCGGGGCAGGGCTTGCATCATCATCGCAACAATAGTATGTTATCAATCCTGGATGATGATGCCTCGCTATACAACCGTTCTTCATCTATTTATGATGGTGATGCTTTATCATTTAGAAAATCCCAAGATATGGAAACTATGTTACAATCTACTCCAAAAAATATGAACCTCAGCCATGCGCACAGCAATAATAATCTCGAAAGCTTAGTAACTACCCCTCCAAGTGCTAACAACCCTGATGCTGGTAGTAATGGAGGAAGCAATCCATTGGGGGTTATCCCAAACCCTGCCTTGAGCCAATCTCTCGCAAAGCGTACCAATTCTGTTGCCACAGTTTCGAGCTCAAATTACAGTATTGGAGATTATTCCCCAAGCTCATCAGAATTTGAAAGTGATACCAATACTAGCAATAATCAAACTCCAACCAAGTTCCAGGTATTGAACTCATTGCAATTGAGCAGCAGCACTATTAATAATGGGATTGGGCTTAAGGGCAAAATCAGTAATAGTAGTAGTGTGAATTTTAACCAGTTACAAAATACCGGAACCACCAATGGGTCATCTAATGATGCTGGTAGTGCCACTGCCTTGAATATCCTAAAGAGAGCCCAGGATTCAGACTATCCAACACATGTGAAAACAAGTAGTATCAATACTGCCGAGTTTAGTGATATTACAGACAATGTTGATTTGGATGGTTATTCCACCGATGAAAATGAAAATGGAAATGAAAGACAACAACACAAGACAACAAATGATCACGACAATACTATAAGTGATTTGAAAATGGGAGACGAGAAGAAGATTCTTGGGTCTCCGGTAAACTTATTTCAAGAAAGTACGATACTTGAAGATCCTCAAGTCACTCAGAGCATGATGGACTCCACTACCAATAATCTTATCGGATTGTCACCTGTTAGGGCGGCGGATATCCCAACCCCAGCAGACACTCTAACATTGTCATCTGCTAAAAAGAATGACTTGGCAAGTGATACGATCAGTGAAATTGATCGCCAACTCAAAGAAATTAGTGAATTGGAAGGAAGCTTTGGAGATGCTGACATCAGTAACTTCCAAGAAGATGACTTGGATCTTTCACATAATTCTGCAAATCATAACACCACTGAAGGGTTATTTGGTGTTAATTCTTTGGGCGTGAGCAAAACGAATAGTTTGAAACAAAAGCCAAAATTAATGTTGAGTCCATCGAAATCGTTAACTAAATCAAAAAACCAAGAAAATAGACTTGAAGGAGCTAATTTGATGGAATTTAAGTTGGGAGATCCAAGAGGGTTCACTGATAATGACTCGAATTCTACAATTGGCGCTCTTAATATTGACAATAATCTTGGAGAAAATATAATTTCTTCTAATACTGAAAGTAATGAAATTTATGATGACGATAATGAGAGCATTGGAAACGGGAATGTTAACAACTCACCAATCATGATCAATAACATCAAAGCAGGCAATTCAAACTCCACCACAATCACCAATAACTCCCGCTTTTCCCCAGATGATGACGACGACGATAGGATTTATGATGATGATATTGAAGGTCATACAGTTGATTTGACGCCGAATTCATCATTCTTCACCAATTCTTCATCCTCTTTAATTCAAGAGAAATATGAATTCAATCACCATAGCAATCATTCACATATTACTCAAACCAAAGACGTTGTCAATTCGAAGATTAACAATAGTACTACTAATGTCATGTTCCAAAATGGCAGCGCTGTTGGTGTAACGTCCTCTCAAATTACCAATTCAAATACCAAGTCATTAAGAAACAATTCATTGTCAGATTCTAGTGACCACAACACTGCCAACTATATGACCGATTCCGATAAGCCCAAACTTGTCGCGGGAACCGCGTTTGCCAATCTCAACAGCGAACATAGTTCGAAATCGGAAAGCAACAACTCTGGACCAATTAGTTACAGTACAGCTGGTTTGGCCAATACATCAATCGTTAGTGACGATGATTATGAAAGTGCAAACGGTAGCGTCGCTGGAAGTATTAAGAGCAGTCCATTCAGGTTGGAAGGTAATAAATCATTTAGCAGCTTATTAGAGAATTATCATCCTGAGGTCAATGAAATGTTCTTCGATGTGTTCAATAGAGCCGACTCTTTGACTTCTAAGTTAGAAGATTTGAAGAGATTATTGGTAATTAACTAAACCTAAGACGCAGTGAAAACCGAAGATTAAGACCTTTTGTTATTTTTATATGTGTTAGCATTATGATATTTCTCTGAATTATGATCTCGAGATACTTGTCTCTTATTGGTCTTTGTTTTCATTAATTTTCTTTTTCTGGATCATTTTTTTTTCTTTTTTCTTTTTTTTTTCTACCACTTCATGTCAATACTTCATGATTCATGACTTACACCACAATTGGTATAGATGGTTAGTTTTCGTTGTTTTTACTTTTAAGTTTTATGTTACGACATGGTTATCATAGCTGCCTGCTATTATCTTTTTTGTTTCTTTGGTGTGCTTATTTTACTCTGGTATGTTCTTTTTCTTTGTATACATAATAGGCTTGGTTTTTTGTCCTCTTGTTATTTTCTTCTTTGTTTTTTTTTTGTTTTTTTTCCCCACTCTTGTACCAAACTTATCATTTTTATCTTTATTATTTATTATACCCGTTAAAACTTCAACTACTGTTTTAAATTAAGTCAAGTTATGTTATGTTTTTCCTTCTTTTTTATTATTTTTAAAAATAAATGTAAAATACCCGCTTAAAATGTCATTATTGTATAACCAGCGATGTAAATATTATCAGCATCTGTAATTCGTTGTCGTTCGTTCAATTTCTCAACTGGAATGCTTTCAGCCTGACTTTATGCGTAGATCAAAAAAAAATATAGTCACGGGATCACGTCTTATCTTTTCATTTTTTTTTTCTTCTATTTGTTTGTTTATCTCTGAAACAAATCAAACACTGATAAAAATAACAAATATAATCAATTAAAGAAAAATATAAAATAGTCAAAGAAGAAATCCTTACCGCAATCGGGCACTAAAAACGGCTTTTCAATTATCAATCATGTCTTCAATTAATAAGAAGTATTCCCATTACCTTTCAACCCATCCGCTTTTGACGAAATCTGTCACCGCAGCGGTACTTGCAACGTTAAATGAAACTATTGCTTCTCTTATTGCCAGAGAATTCACCAAAGTTCCAATCAGCTTCCTGATTCCTACACTAAGATCAAAACTCAATGTCCAGTTATTGAATCCTTATAATTATAAGATCCCTCTTTTGGCGGTATTTGCACTTATTGTCCAAGGACCGTTCTCGCATTATGCGTACCAACTTTTGAATAACATCAGCATATTTAAGAAGAAACCGCTACCATTGGCGAAGAAATTGTTACAAATGGCTGTTTCGCTATTGACGATCACTCCAATCGTTTGTTGTCTCAATGCCGTGTTTTTAGGATTGATAAATAATAAAGAATTGGTGGAAGATTTTGCCAAGGGAAACCTTTTACAATTTTTTGTGGAGTTGTACGGGTCACCAAAATCAGAAAAATTGAGAACCGTTGCCTACGAAAAGCTCCAGAAGATTGCCGAAGTGGCGAAATTGTCTCTTCTGAATAATTTGATGAATTTCTTGCAGAGTTCATGGATCTCAAGTCCTTTGATTTTGTTTTTTGCTCAGAATTATTTGGACCCAAACAGTTGGGTGGTGTTTTTCAATTTTGCCTATTTCCTACTCGGGACTTTCCAGAACACTTTATTGAAATTGAAGTTGAAACAATTAAGACAAAAGAAAAAGAAGGAAGAAGAAAAAGAAGAAGAAAAAAAAGAGTAGGGTTTTTCATGAAAATATTTATTAGCAGATGATTTTCGTGGATGCAGGATGTGAATAGTGAATCTGCGTGTGAGCTGATACAATTTCACATCTCCAAAACATTGGAGACTATTAACAAATGAATTAGTTCATTGATACTTCATTCTTTAAATATATGATTTCACTTCGATTGATTTTAACTATTGTGATCTCTAAAATGTGATGAGTAGAATTTTTTTTTTTTTATTTTTTTTTTGTGTGGAATATAAAAACCTCATCTTCCCAAACTGATTTTTCACATCCATCCCTTTTTTTTTTTTCATTGTCATTTTATATAATTGAGGTCAAGAACAATTTATATTTAGTTCTACGAATATGAATTATCTTTCATTCTGTACAGACTCAATGTTGTCTTCATTGGTGTCCTTCCTACTTCACTCACACCACATCATCACCTCTAATGAGAAATCAGTGTTTGAAACTTATTACATGTTCCAAGACTACAACAAAGTCAATGACAAAGTGCCACCAAAAGATTTAGAGAATTATCTCGAATTATTGTTCCAAATTAAACAGATCTCTCAAACAGTTATTTGGTTCAAACCCAACTCTTTAAACGAGCTTTATGATGAGCTCCTGGTCACCAATACCGATATTCAGGAAGACAAAACTAGGTTAGTGAGAATGAAGCTTGATAATTACAAGTTTGATATTATTAATGTCTTGGAATTGAATATTCTCGACCAAATATTGCACCCATCTTCAAATATCAATAAAATCGATATGTCCCTTAATGATTGTCCAACCACAAAAACTTCATTAAATGACTTTGATAGTATTATGGAATTCCTAGAAAAGCCAGTTTCCAAAAAATTCCGCATTCTCAATTCCACGCCCTCCCCTGCTCCAGCCACGATGAATGAAATTCTATCACTTGATTACGAAATTATTACTACCAACCTCTTAGAATTTGAAACTGCTGGTAATCAATTGAATAAAGAAATAATCCCAAAGATCACTCCAAAGCGGCCATTTCTCGAAACTTGCACTGACGAATCTCACGCAGTTCAAATGGCCAGAATATCCAAATTTGAATGTGAAAGAGATAGTTATAACAAGATGAAAACCGTAAACAAAAGCTATAACCGCAAAGACAAGCATTTTCAAAACGACTATTTGAACATCACCCATAACATTGATCAAAAAATGTATAACAAATTTCCTCACGATATGAGATCGTGTTTTGAGAAGAAAATTCACTTCATTCCGTACTACAAAACTTCCAGAAAAACTGCGAACAACAACAACAACAAGGCTCCATTTACTAACGCTTATGCTGGTGTGAATACCGATATGTCCATTGGAGATTGTTCATACTTGGACACCTGTTTCAAATGGGATGATTGCAAATATGTGCATTATTACACATGTTACCCAACCTCGGAATTGGATAAGCAATTGGTGGAGTGCCAGGAGTTTAATAAAGGCATTATGAAAAATAATAAAATTCGCACTTTCTATTGGCATGAGCCATCAGGGTATAATATTAGAAACGAACTACCGGCCCAGTGGGTTAAGTGTGATATTTATAATATCAACATGAGTATTTTTGGAAAGTTTGGGGCAATAATTGTTGATCGTGAGTATGATGATTTCTTAACCAATGCCCTCTCTTTTATAATCCAAAATATTTATGTTTGAAAACTAAATACTAACACAAATATAGCTGCCTGGAGCATTCATATGGAGGTATGTTGACTGTAATATTTTAGGAGCTTTTGTACTGAATCCTTTTTCCAGTTTGTGTTACTAACAGCCTTTTAGCTTCAATTCCAACAGATCGAGGACCAGTAAGTAAATTTAGATAAAATCACAATGGTTAGAAGCAGACTGAACTAACATGATCTTTTAGTAAAATTATTTCTACTCCAGTGCAGCCACTTCAAGATGAAGGAATCATCATTTTGTGGGTTACTGGCAGATCTTATGAAGTTGGCAAAAAGTGCTTGGAAACTTGGGGATATGAGTATGTTCAGGAACTTGTCTGGACAAAGACTAATCAGTTGAACAGGACAATTTGTACAGGAAGAACAGGGCATTGGTTAAACCATTCTAAAGAACATGCGATAATTGGGTAAGTTCAAAAAAATACAACCAACAACAATAATATGGCTGGGGTTTAAGAGACCTAGTTTACTAACAACAACAGAATGAAAGGTCGTCCACAATGGTTGAACAGGAAAATTGATGTTGACTTAATCGTTGCCAGTGCTCGAGAAGCATCAAGAAAGCCAGACGAGGTAAGTAGACCAGTTAATTTTCTCAAAGCCCTAACAACAAAAGAAAATCGAATCTCACACAGAAAAACTAACCAATATTTTATTTCAGCTTTACGGAATTGTTGAAAGGGTCGTAGGACCTCACTGCAGAAAAATGGAGTTGTTTGGAAGACAACACAATACTCGGTCTGGATGGTTTAGTAAGTATTTGCTTGCAACTGGAAGTTTTGTTTTCGAAAATCACTAACCACAATATATAGCAATTGGAGATCAAATTCAGGATGTCAACATATATGAAGAAGAAGTGAAAAGAAAATACCAGAAATGGCTTGGCAGACGATGAATAGTATTGAACATCCTACCTTTACCTATTGTTTATTAAACCTACATTTGATGTTGACTATTGTAGACTTTTCGGTGTAACTAGAGAACAAGGGGGTGTAATCGACTACAGAATAACACCCCCGATACGCTTTGTGTCTAATCACACTACAGAATCAAAATTTTTTTTTTTTTTTTTTTCTGATTTTTGGGCCTCATCTCTTTCACAAAAAAAATTTTTTTTTTTTTTTTTTTTTTTTTAATCGTTACAAAACCAAACACAACAAGTAATTTGACATATTTGAAAGCTTATTGAACACAACACTAATCTCAAATTAGTCATAAAGTTGTGAAGTAAGAAGGTTTTGTTATATCATTTTCCTTTGAAAGTTAGTAGACCAACAATTGGCGTGTGTCCCATATATTTGTTATTGGTCCCATTGAACAAGATTGTTCTAACAAGTTTGACCTAAATTTTACCAGTCATTTACTATACAACATTGAAGTCTTATAACAGCTATTTGGAAAACAGCGTTTCCACTTTTGTTAATTGTTTCCAAAATTTGCCAATTTTTGCTCCAATACCCATCACAACATGACAGATTGGCAACCTGAACCAAATTCTCTTGAACAGCTAAGAACCATCTTTTCAGGCTCATTGTCTCCAGATAAGTCTATTCGTCAACAAGCTAACGAGGCCCTTGAACAAGCTCGTTTGCAACCTGATTTGGATAGTTATTTACTATATATTTTGGTGGAAGATGCCAACAGTGGTTCAAACATTAGAGCGTCTGCTGGTCTCTTGTTGAAGAATAACATTATTTCCAAAGACTTTGTGCACTCGAAACCTAAAGACGTCCAAATCAGTATTCTCAATAATATTTTGAAAGGTTTATTGGACAGCGACACTTTAGTTAGAAATATTACTGGTAATGTCATTTCTGCATTATTCCAAATCTACGGCATTCAAGACTGGCCACAGGTTTTGGTGCAATTACTTGAACTTGCCAATGGAGAAAAGGGAAACTCATTAAAGTCTCAAGAGGGAGCAATTTCTGCATTATCCAAAATTTGTGAAGATTCAGCTTTATCATTAGACAAAGAATTCAACGGCCAAATCCCATCGGAGTTTCTTATTCCAAACTTCATGTCTTTGTTAAACCATCAATCAACAGCGGTCATTTCTAAGTCGGTTGTTTGTTTGAATCAATTTATCACTTTAAAGTCCCCATATATTGATCAGCATTTCGAAGAACTTTTGCTCAAAGTCTTCAACCTAACCAGCATTAATGATGATGATATTAGAAAACATATTTGTACATCCTTCTATTTAATATTAGACAAATACCCAGAAAGCTTAATTCCACACATCGAAGGTATCACCAATTTCTGTTTACATACTATCGTGGAGTCCACTAAAGGTGAGGATGGAAATGAAGAAGTTGCTCTTGAAGCTTGTGAATTCTTGTTAGGTTTGGCTACTTCCAGCTATGATCTCAGCGTAATTAAAAACTTGTTACCAAATATGATACCAATTTTGGTTGAGAAAATGGTTTACTCAAAGGCCGACATCGAAATTTATGAACAATTAGACTCATTTGATGATGCGGAAATCGAAGATAAGGATGAAGATATTAGACCAACAAATGCTAGAAATAAGGAGAAGCTCGCCACTAAATTAGAAAACAAAGAGATTTCTAACACCGTCAAAAATGCTAGCAATGATGATGATGATGATGATGACGACGATGAAGACGACGATGAAGATGGATCTGATGATCCTTCCGTTTGGAACTTGAGAAAATGCTCTGCTGCCACTCTTGATGTCTTGGCTAAACTTACCCCACAGGAAGTCATTAGCATTGTGCTTCCTATCTTGAAAGAAAAAATCGTTAGTGATCAATGGCCTGTGAGAGAAGCTGGGATTTTGGCATTTGGTGCCATTAGTAATGCTTGCCTTGAAGTAGAAGCTGACAAGGTCCCTTCATTGATTCCTTTCTTGGTTGAAAGAACCCAGGACCCTGTCCCAAGAGTCAGACAAATAACATGCTGGACTTTGGGTCGTTATTCTGGCTGGGTATGTGAAGAAGCCCACAAAAATGGTGCTTGTGCTAACTATTATATTCCAACTTTACAGGCAGTGATGGCATGTGCCTTAGATAACAAGAAGATTGTTCAACAAAGTGCTTGTTCATGTATCGATAGTTTCATTAATAACTCAGAATACGATATGATTGTTGGATTGATAGAGCCTTTGTTGGAGCACTTCAACAAATGTTTCCTAAAATACAAGCGTAAAAACTTGGTCATTTTGTATGGAGCTCTTCAAACATTTGTTGACAAAGTTGGTGATGTTGTGACCTCCAAGGAGGAATATATTACATTATTACTTCCACCATTGCTCGAAAAATGGGAACAACTTCCAGACGATGACAAAGATTTATGGCCTTTGCTAGAATGTATGTCCTCCGTGGCGGCTTCCCTTGGGGAATTATTTGCTCCTTATGCTGTGCCTGCTTATCAACGTTCTCTTCGTATTCTTCAAAACTGCATTAATTTGGACAAGATGTGTGATGTTGATCCAACTATCAACAGCCCGGAGAAAGATTTCATCATTACCGCTATTGATTTGATCGATGGCTTGGTTCAAGGTTTGGGAGTTCATAGTGCTGAATTGATTATGCAAAACGGTGGTCGTGATAATAATACAAACTTGGTTGATTTATTATTGACTTGTTTCCAGGACCCCGTACATGACGTTCGTCAATCAGCATTTGCCTTGCTTGGTGATTTGGCTATTTTTGTTTTGCGTCCAGTTGTGTTACCATACTTGCACCCAATCATGCAATGCATAATTAATGAAATCAACTCAAGAAACTATGAGGCCAGTCCAGTATGTAACAATGCTGCTTGGACTCTTGGGGAAATGTCCTTAGTGATGACTAAAGAAGAGTTGGTTCCATACCTTAATGACATCATTCCAAGTTTGATTGGATTGATCAATGATGAAAATTATGAACAAACCGTTATTGAAAATGCTGCCATTGCTATTGGAAGACTCGGGACTTTCTGTGCCCAGGAATTGAGCGGTCATTTGTCTGAATTTGCCATCAGATGGTGCACTTTCATGAAATACTTGGAGAGCAATGAAGAAAAGGAAACTTCTTTCAAGGGTATGTGCAGCATCATTTGTGCTAATCCAACTGGATTCGGAAGTAATGACGGGTTGTTGTACTTTGTCGACTGCATTGCTAGCTATATGCATCCAAGCATGGAACTTTGTGGCATTTTCCAAAAGTTGCTTACCGGGTATAAAGATATGATGGGAGCTGAAGAGTGGAACCAATTTTTGGGAAACTTGGAGATGGATGCGCAAAACGTTATCAAAAACAGATATGGAGCCTGAATTTTATTGGGTTCTAAGTTTTTTTTTTTTTTTTTTTTTTTTTTTCTTTTTTGAAATGAATGAATGAACACAGCTGAGTGAAAGGAGTTTCTATTAGCTTTATAGCTCATTGTGGTTTCTTATTAGTATAGATTTTCTTTACATAATCAAAATATCCTTGCATTACTATTTTTTATTTTTTCATTTATCTTTTTTCTCTTTCAGTTAATTTTTTTTTTTGTTTCTGTTGAGTTTTTTAATAATCATTACTTTTTTTTTTTCTTTTTTTTTTTCATGGAATAGGAAAAAGTTCACATACTCACTTCATACTTGTTTTTCTTCTTGTTCTTCTCTTCTTTTTGTCTTTATATATATCATTATTTTGCTTTTTATTAGTTCTTTTATTGTTAGAATTGAATGAATGCTACTGATTAACTTAAAAAAAAAGAAAAGAAAAGTAAGCTTTTGTAGTGGTATTGGTAATGAGCATAATGTTTGATATATAATCTTAACTAATGATTCCAATTGCAAATGAATGATATACCAAGAAACAATAGATATATATATATATATATATATATTTATATAGGATATAAAAAAATCCCCCTAAAACATTTGAGAATCCTTCATTTCTCGTTTTGATTTTGATTTGTATTATATAGTATAAGTATGTATATCTAATAGGATATTTATTTCACTTTCTTGGTTCCAAAATCAAGCCACCCAATGGGGTTTCACTATGACCTCTACCAGAGACAAATACACTCTTACCTCTAACCACGGTTTCCACCACTTTCCCAACCACTTCAAAGCCATGATACGCGGTCAACTTGTTTTTGAAATGCATGGCGTCATTGGTCAATTTCCATCTGACTTTATCGTCAAAGATTGCAAAATCGGCATCGTGACCTTCTTGGATGAACCCTTTACGATGGTCCAACCCCACCTGTTTTGCGGTGTTTTCACAACACCATCTGACGATATCGACGAGAGAGAACCGGTGATCTTTGCCATTAGAAAGCATTTTGAGGGTTTCCGAATACAAGATCGGGAGTCCCAAGCCAACGGAGGCGATACCACCCCATGCGCTGAAGAAATCGCCGCCGCTGAGGTTTTTAAGTTCTGGCACGCAAGGAGAATGATCGGATACCACCGTGGTGATGATACCTTGGGCGAGGGCTTGCCAAAGGGCTTTTCGATTACTTTCGGTACGGATTGGCGGACAACATTTGAAATGGGTGGCTTTGGCAGGAATTTTCTCGGCAGAAAGCGATAAGTAATGGAAGCAAGTCTCGGCGGTGATGGGGAGATTATGCAATTGGGCGAATTTTATCAATGGCACGGCTTCTTGAGATGCAAGATGGACAATATGAATAGGAACCGTTGGGTGTAATAGAGACTGGGCCAAGATATTGGTGATGGCGACAGTTTCGAAATGGTCAGGCCGGGAAGCAAGGAAAGAATTGTAAAGGGTAGGGTTGATACCGGTTAACGAGGGGTCAAGGTTGGCAGCCCTAAGGATTGGCGAGTCACTATGGGAAGCGTGGTTTTTTTCAATGGGTCTAAGGATTGGGGATTGTTTTGCGAGTTCGGAAGGTTGACCGAATTTCGGTTCGGCTGGAGAAAGTACTGGGGAACTGGCAAGGGCGTCCTTTTGGGCGGCGGTAAGGGTGGTAGCAGTAGAATAATTGGAGGATTTTTTAGACGATGATGATGATGATGATGATGATGATGGAGGTGGTGGATTGGTGTTTTTGTTGCTAATGAAACTTTCGGAGGTCCCGAGATCCAACTTATCTAAATCCAATTCGTCGATACTTCCATTTTCCAATGCTGATGAGCTGGTGATGGTAGTAGACGGCCCCCCATCAGATGATGATTTTCCTTCATTATTATGATGGTACAGTTTACAACATTCATCTAGACCTTCAATGTGGGGAACCCCATGGTCTTGCATTTCTGCATGGAACATGATCACCGTGGACCGTCCCTTGACTTTCTCGAGCGCTTGGTTGATATACCCAGTATCGATCGCTGGGAATTCATCGACCCCAGAATCAATAAGGAACCCTTTGAAACCCCGTACTCCCGCGTCCATGAGCGGTTCCAAATCATCGAGGTTGTCGGGGACGAGCCCGCCCCAAAACCCCACGTCGACCCAAGTTTTCCCCTTGGCGGCGTGGATTTTCGTATGGAAGTTTTGTAATGTGGTGGTAGGAGGAATGGCATTGAGGGGCATATCCACCACGGTGGTGACCCCACCAAAAGCCGCGGCTTGGGTCCCCGTGGCAAATCCTTCCCATTCGGTACGGCCTGGTTCGTTCAAATGAACATGAGCGTCGACAAGGCCAGGGAGGATCACGTACGGTGAAACATCACGATAATTATTATTGCTCGAGGTGATGTCGTATCGAGAAAGTTCGGGACAATTGGGTTTGAGGATTCCTGGGAAAATCTTGAGGATTTTCCCTGATTCAATTGAGTAGACAATAGTGGCAGGAGCGATGGTGTGGTCAATCACCACTTTTGACGATGTGATGGCCTTTGACATGTTGGGAAGGGAGATAACAAAACAAACACAAGTAAACCGGGGGAAGGATGGAATAATATATATAAATATATATATATATATATATATATCAACCTCTAACGACACTAGAAAACCCTTAATTCGAGAGGACCGGGGAGGGGCAGGGCAGGAAAGGAAAGGGAAGCAAGGGAAAGACTATTGAAAACTTGTCGAATCAAAAAGATAAAAAAGCAACATCCGGCAGACCTGCAGGGGTTTTTGGGAGTGCGCGGAGATGTTAGATAACGTCATGTGAATAACAGGTGACTATCACGTGTATACACCATCTAAGTGGGTGTTACAGATCATTAAGCTCTATCAACAAAAATTACCGTCATTATTAGTCCAACACTCACAAATAATCTCTATATAAAAGTTGCCGTCATTAGCATTATGACAATTAAAAAAAACCATATGCTTTACAAAAGTGATTACCATTATTATTGTGTCATTTACAAATCATAAGCTTCTATAAAACTTAAAGTCATTATATTGAGTGTAGGTAATTAATGGAATAATAAATAAATAACATTATAATACAAAAATTTATCATAATTAATGCACAGGCAAAAGACAACAAATATGTGTCCTCCAAAAAAAAAAATAATAAAAAAATGAAAATGAAAATGAAACAGAAAGAAGAAAAATATTAAAAGAGGATTTGAAGGATGAATGAATGAATGAGTGAGATCACCCAGGAAAACAACAGATGGAAACAAAGAAAACAAACAAACAAACTACCAACTTTAAAATGCAATCATGAACCAAAAGAGAAAAATAAAAAAGGATCAAAAGAAAAAAAGGGATGGTCATCCAATAAATTAATCATCACCTTATGCTTGCATAAGACGGCCTTGGCCTCCAAGAACGTGGTTCTTGAATTCCACCATGGCATTCAATTGTGAATAAAACCCTTCTTCTTCCACAGACATTGGCTGGCCAGTGGCTTGAATAGTCCCCACTTTGGCGGCCAATTCTTGATCAATGTTCTTTTGAAGATAATAGTTATCCAAATTATCAAACTCTTCAGCCAAGAACGATAATTCATTGTTTATCACTGGTAGTTGCCCCAGTTCTTTGGTGATCAATGCCGCTTTTCTCCAGTAGGCAAACCATACCACCATGATCCCAAAGTATTTGTTGTAGTTGATATTATTGCTTCGTTCACATTCGGCAACGTACTTCTTCACGGAAAACTCAACATCACAACGATGTAAGAACAGGCTCTGGAGGAGAATATCACAATTATCGCCATTATTACACCATTCGACAAATTTCACATCGTTACATAACTTACCAAGCAAGTGATTCACATCGAAGGTTTCATCTTTGTGGTGGGCAAGGTGATCCAACACTCTCATCACCCGCAAGGCTGGGAAATTATGGTTAACAAGGTATTGAACAATATGATAAGCGCCGTCTTCGTCAAGATGGGTCAAAAGGGTTTTCGAAGTTTTGCTCAAATGGTTTTCATCAAAGTTTATGAATTGGAGAATCTCTTTAGTATTGTTGAGGTGGAGATTGAGAGTCAAGTAACTCCCAACGGCTTTGGAAATCGAATTGGCTAATTGACCAACCCCCATTGAACTCTTGATAAGGGAATCAAATAATAGTTGACTTTTCCCCTCCTTGGTGCTAATTGGATGTTGTTGTTCATAGTGGAGGGTAGATTTATCAATAATCTTCATGATATGTTCTTGGAATAATTCTTGGGCAGCTGGTAAATCACCACTGTGACAATTGTTGATCAATAAATTGATGAAATATTGATCCGACAATTCATTTTTATAAACCACCCCGGCTTTCTCGAATTTCGAATACAACTCACGCAGACGATCAGCTTTATTGTTGGCGACAAGGCCAATAAGATAAATCATCACTACTTTGTTCAATCCTCCAGTTTGGTTCTTTTGACTGAGTTTGTGGTTACCACTGCGCATCGAGATCAAAAGATCATCAAGGATCTTGGTGGCGGTGAAGAACTGGTTCAATTCACATAACGAGTACATTAACACGGCATAAATATCATATTGGGCTTTAAGTAAAGCTGGTTCATTTACCGATCTTCCCTTGTACTCATTGTAGACATTCAACATGAATTTGTAACCGAGTTCACGATTACTGACCTCTTCACGGGTGTTGTTTTCAATCACCGCGACGTCACACCCGTACTTGATTAGCGACATGTAATAAAGCTTGTTCTTTTCAAAATTCAGCTTGCTGAGCACGTTCAACAATTTCTTCAAAGTCACGGAATCTTTCATCTTGTAACCAAACATTGCTAATCCAACCAACAACAGTTCATAAACCGGTTGACTTAATGCTTGGAAAGTTTTGTAATTGGCGGCTAAGAAAATCTCCATGCCTAATTTGAAATAATTTTCCCCGCTGTCAACTTTTTTCACGCTGATTGCCCCATCGTCATCGAGGGATGATTCAGTACTTTGACGATCTAGGTACAATTTGTAACTATCGAAAGCTCCGTTGAAAAGACATCCCAAGACAATATCATAAGTCTCATTATTAGGACACAATTTTTGCGATACCATATCGGAATAGATGGTCAACACGGTGGTCAATTTTTCTTCGATTGATTCGCCCCCAGAGACTTCACGGTTGGCGGCACAATACAAGACAATGTTGAAAACCGGCACCAGGATAGGTAATTCATTACGACGGAGGGCTTGGTAGAATGGATAAACTTCGACAATGTTTTCTTTGGCAATGCAGTCTTTCATCCCTGACAACATATTGCGAGCCTGTTGGTTTTCCAAAACTTCATCCATGGCATGTTTAAGTTGGTGCAAGTGGCGGGCCTTAAGTTGCACATTGTAACCTGGACGATGGGGCACGAATTTGTTGATGATGGATGATTTGTGGATTTCATCATCATTGATTTTTTGCTCGGCAACACGGTTCTTTTTAAGGAAATGTTCTGGAGCGGTGGTGGAATTGGCGACGACGGTGGCGTAGCTACGCTTGCCGCCAATTGCCAACTTGAGGAGATTTGAAGGTGATCCTGCTTGTGTCGATAATTTTGGCTGGTGTTTTTGTAGTGATGATGATGGTTCTTGGGGAAGGGTGGTGTGGTATAAAATATTATTGTCCTTTGTGGAATCAAGTAACAAATTATTATGATTATGGTTATGGTTGTTATTATTATTGTGATCAAACCCAAGAGCAACTGCCGAGCCTGCAGCAACTGCTCCGGTTGGAGGAGCCATCATATGGAGATTAGCCAGGGCATTTCTGGAACTTCTGTTGTTGGCGGCGATGAATTCCTCGTCGATGTTGGCGTATGGATTTAGACTCGACGCGGCGATATTGCGGTTGGCGGAAGCGGGACAGTTGTTGTTATTGTTGTTATTGAAGTGGTGATAAGCTAAGCTGGAAGTGTAAGGGTCCAAGGCCAATGTGGAGTAGTATGAATATAATCCGTTGGAATAGTTAGGGAAATGGCCCTGGCTATTGCTTTGGTTTTGGTTTCTGTTATAGGTGCCGTTGAACGGACCATTTTTCGAGGTATTGGAGGTGAAAAGTTCGGGGCCTACCACGAGTTGGGTGTAGTTTCTTAAATGATATGAGGAGTCAAAGAAGGAAGGCCCTGCCTTTTTGGCGGTTCCTTTGGAGATGTTGGAGAAAGTCTGACCAAAGAACATTGTTATTTCGGGAAGATGGGATGATCAACGCGGATGAATGAGGAAGGAGGACAATAAAAATGATATAGAGAAGCAGAGAAAAATAGGAATATGGAGAGCTGGAGATAAGCAGGAATATTGTTATTATTATGAGGTGGACATACAAGGAGATGGAGCCACTGGAAGGTGTATTTGTTGTATTAATAAAGTATGACTCTCGTATGTGATGTGATGATAAGGGTGAGTGGGGGTGTATCTCTGGATATAGTATTAATTTGAGAGGGGGGGAGGATAGTAGAGGAGACAACAATTTAATGAGAAGGAAGGAAGGAAGGATGGACGGATGAGAGAGAGAGAGAGATAAAATATATGATTTGAAAGAGAGGATGGTTGGAAGAAATAGAAGAAATCGAAGAAGAAGAAGTACGGGAGAGAATCAAGACGGAAGGTCGTGCATAATATTTTTCAGTATCACCGACAAGAGGGAAAAAAAAAAAAAGTGAGTGAGTGAGTGATTTGCCCCGTAATAACGCTGCTGATTGTATCACTGTTACTAACAGCCGCGATGTTTTCGTGGGTTCCGCCGCTTGCTCGCCCCCAACGGCCGGGCGGTGATTGGCTGGAGAGGGTGTTACCCGTGCACGGGATCCCCCGGGAACCCACGAAAACCACGCAGTCTGTCCGGCCAATGGGAGGGCGGATTATACCAACCAACCATGGGATAATGATGGTGCTGCCATTGGATATTGTCCAATACCGATTATCCAGTATATATTATTTTGTGATGATTATATTATTGTATTGTTACAGTATATATAATATATATAGTATATATAATATAAATATATATATATGGGGCACTGAATACTTTTGGGGGGTACCTGCTTACCTAATCTGTGAGTAACAATAATATTCAAGACGGTGTGCTGACTATCACGTGGATGAACTGGTTGGTTGGCATTTCACATGTCAGCAAATAGCCGGTATATGCTATGCTATGATTATTATACCTCCATGTTGCTGTTATTCCCAGATCATACATATATATATATATGTATTATATTGTATTATATTGAGTTATGTTATATTGAGTTATATTATATTATATTGAGTTATGTTATATTGTATTATATTATATTATATTATATTATATTATATTGAGTTATATTATATAGGTACTATTCTTCCACTTTCCAATCAATACTACATATCATATCATCCATAATTGTCAATAAGACATTCTCTTGTTAGTGCAAATGTCACTTTTTTTTTTCTTGTTCTTTTGCATTCTTTCGCCTGGTTTTTTTCCTGTAATTTACAATTATAGAACAAAGAGGCAATCAAGGATTATTATTGTCTACCTGTATTACTTCCTATCTCTTCACACGCCATTCAACTGGTGATACTCACCTACATTATCATTTCGTGCTTTTGTGGTCTCTTTTCTTTCCTAATAATATAGCAAATTATTCCAATGAACAACTTGTCATCCCAAAATATAGACGATGATAATAATCATCGTCATCATCACGATACAAGGAAAACATGGCAACAACCACAACAACAACCACAACAGCATCATCCATTATCCACCAACAACAACAATAATAATAATAATAATAATATCCCAATGATCAACGATATGACTTTTCAATTCAATCCCGTCCCTGACTTCTCCGACTATTTATTGAATAGCTTTCAACATTTTCAAAATGGCTCCAACAAGCAAATGCCAAATCTACTCCTAAATGGTCTACTGGATAATACTAATAATGATACTAATAATGATACTAATAATACTGATAATTATGATACTAATAACAATAGTAATAATAACAATATTAATAACAATAATACTAATAATACTAATAATAATATAAATACTCCAATGGGAATTCCTACTGCTTCAATGTATGGCTCGCCAATCAACCAGTTTTCTCCAGCAATCAATGATGGATATAATATAAATAATAATAATGGAGGTATTAATGATAATAATAATGGAGGTATGAATGATAATAATAATATGGATAATAACCATTATCTACAAAATGGCCCTGCTACCCATCACCCATCACATAAAATATCAAGAAGTTTGGAACAACATCAGATACCCAATATGAATAATAACTTTCTTTACGAATCAAAGGATATTCCCATCAAAAATTTCGACTCATACCTGTCGCCGAACATGAAGTATGGGTTCAACTCTAACAATATATTACAACAACAACAGCAACAAAGCCCATTACTCAATTCTTCTCCCCAAGGAACACTCTCTCAACAGGATGAACTACTACTACATCGACGTAAACATGCTCATCCAAATCTCCCAATCATTAAAAATGAACCATCGCTCGAATCAGACTCGATGTTACTTTTAGAAACCTCGAATCCAAAGGACAAAATGGAAATATGCCTCAATCATGCCAAACGATCGATCGCCGAAAATTTGAGTCTCAAACAATTTGCCAATACTTTGAAAGACGATACCGTCCATCGTAAAGATTTGAAATCGGTATTTGGCTTCCGGGTGTTATTGGATACCGTCGAAGCCACGGTGGACAATCCCGACAAATTTGCCGCCCCGAAAGACGTGTTGTACAAATTCTATGCGTATATTTGTCAAGCTTCAGGGTTTGATAGTCTTACCAGCAGTTCTTTGGGGAAAATCGTCAAAGCCCTATGGCCAAATGTCGGCACCAAAAGATTAGGTTCCAGAGAAGACTCACGGTATCATTATGTGGGGATCAAATTCAAAGATTATGTCAAACCGATGATCGATGCGTTTGTCACGAAATCAAAATTGACTAAAGGCCGGGACTTCCTCACGGTTACTCCAGTGGAATTGGAGAATTATATGCTTTCCGATGGGTTCCAGTACTTGGAATTTTTCATTGATTATGATGATGATGAGGTAAATAATAATAATAATAATGAAAAAGGCAATACTAAATTGAAATTGCAATCTAATAATAATAATAATAATAATAATAATCACAGTAAACTGCCCGACCCCGGGAAGACAACTGGCACCACCACCATTGAAGATTTTAAAGTTCCTAGTCTCACTGCGGTTTATGATGGGTTATATTTCCCTAAGAATTTGAACCCATTCCATGATCTTCCCAGGGATTCGCTTAATAGTTTTATCATCACCGAAACCAACGCCGAGATGATTGAGCGGAAAAACAAAGCATTGAGACGGTACGAAGTGCCATTTTTCCAAGGGGACGGCAAAAAGTTTGCCGAAAGATTGTTTGATGAGTATCAACTTGATCTGCCGGTGTACGATTTGATGGTGTATTATAATCTTTTGAAAGTGTGTGCCGTGGTTTGTTGCAACGGGATCAATCAATCAGGCATGCGCCGTCTACGGAAATTCGCGATTAGTTATGAAGAAGCGGTGATTTGGCAAGTGAAATTGCGTAGTATCGAAGTGGATGGTGGTGGTGGAGTCAATTACGACGATCGGAAACGTGCTGGGGGGTTGTTCATCAATATTCTTTCGACGGTGTTGGATTCTGGAGAACTGACGGTGAAATTTGGGAAAATCGTCACTGATAAAGGGTTTTTATTTGATTCGATTAGCAGTAAAGAATTGATCAACACTAAATTTATCATCAATGCCATCACGTCGGTGTCGCCTAGCGAAGAGCACGCTAATAAATTGAAAGTTACGTATCTTGAGAAATGGAAAAAGTTTTTACAATTCATTTATTGTTTATTAATGTCGCGAGAAAAACTGCAAGCGGAGAGAAATCATAATAACCATAGTAATGGTGGTAGTACTCCTCCTGAAGGCGGCATGGATCCTGATGATTTTTCACCGATTGATCATTCAATTTTGGAGAAATTGCGAGTGGGGAAACTTTTATCAAAAGAGTTGGATTTGTTTGACCGGCAAATCATCATTAATTTTTTAAAGTTTTTCATCAACGAATTGTTGCTCCAATTTAATGATTCTCCGGTGATTTACAGTCTCTTATTGACGAATTCTGGGTTGGATAAATTGGTTACGAAATTGACATCGAATCATTTTGCCGATGTGCAACTTTCGACCACCTCGTCACTTGAATCATTGAATTTGAACGATACTGAGGAAGGAGAAGAAACAACGGGGAAGGAGAAAAAATATCAACATAATGATGATGATGATGATAATGATGACTCTAAACTTGTGGAGGATTCGACGCAGATTCTTGTGAGAAATGCCAATATCATGGTGATGAAGTCATTTGCTTACAACTTCTTAAGTTCGTACGCTGAATTGTATGGGTTAGATAAAATGATTCGGAAACTTATTCATCGGTTGGCCGATGGCAATACCGAGGGGATGAATAACCCAGTGTTTGATAAATTGGAGGAAATTAATGTGTTTTTTGTGATCCATCGGAAACCTAGAAAGCGGAGAGGAGAAATGGAATAATGAACAGAGAAGAGCTTTTTTTTTTTTTTTTCTTTTTTTTAGTTATTAATATAATGATTATTTATGAATTTTTTATGAATTTTAAATTGTGAATTTTAAATTGTGAATTTCCTTTTTTTAAAAAAAATTAAAAATGGAGATCTATCTATCTATCTATCTATCTATCTATCTATCTATCTATCTATCTATCTATCTATCTATCTATCTATCTATATATCTATACAAACATACGTACATACGTACATACGTACATACATACCCTTCCAACTTGTTATCATGATTAACATTATAAGGTATTTTTTTTATTTTTACTTTTATTTTTTTTTTTTTTTTCAAAGTATGCGTGAGAATAGTTTGTACAATAAAACAAAAATGTCGAGTCTAATGCATATGCGAGACGACCTGGGAAAGGAGCACGAAGCGAAATGCCGAATGCTAGTTTAGTGGTGGTATTTTCCTTTTGAAATAAATTTTAATATATATATATAATATATATATATGTATATATTCATATAGAGTTGGTATGTAGATAAATAACAACACATGGTAACAGCGAAGAAGAAAACTCTATTAATTTGGGGTGGGAGCGAACGAGGCAAAATGCATGGAACCTTCTTAGATGGTTATTAATGCACGATGGAAAGAAATGGAAGGAAATGGAAGGAAAAAAATCAACAAAAAACAACACGAAAGTCTTGATTAAGCCGATTCCTAATTTATCAGCATCCCGCCAATCGAGTAAGTAAACAAATCCAGATATTTTATATATATTTATATATATACTTGATTGTTTCTCGATGGGTGGAGATGAATATAGGTGTAAAGGAGGGGGAGGTTGTAATACAATAATTGGAATTGAAGTTGGGCAAGAAAAAATAAAAAAAATGATCAAATGAATAGAGTATCTATCTATCTATCTATCTATCTATCCATCTATCCATCTATCTATATATCTATCTATCTATCTATCTATCTATCTCCTCTCTCGCTAGCTGGTGTTCGTGATTATCCCAAATATCAAAGATAAACGACCCGACCCAAACTTTTGGATGATGGAAAATATGATTATTTAGGGGGGAAAAACCCACCCACCTCCACGGCTTACAACTCGGGGCTGAATCATGGTGTTGGACCACATCAACAGGAATATAGAATAGATTAGATGACTTACTGATTGACTGATTGACTACACAGGCGGGGGCAATATGTGGGAATAATATACATATATATAATTATATCGATACTTGACTATCAACAACAACAACACACACACACACACACACACACACACACAAGGCAGAGAAAACCCACAAAAAAAAATAAACAGAAAGATTGAGGAATGATCAATCTTCCATATTTTTATGATTATTATTATCTAGTTAACCAAATATTGAGAAGGACAAGAAGAAAAAAAAAAAGTACTCCATGAAAAAGACGAAAAGAAAAAAAAAGCTTTGCTAAAAAAACAATCGAAAAAAAAAAAAAAAAAAGAATTTTGAGTATAATTTTCAGTTCAAAATGGCAACATTGTTTGATCGAAAGTTCCCAATTCGTTGGGGTAGCTGAATTGATGGTGGCCGAGTGATTGATGTTGATACGATACCCCTGACAGCTGCTGCTGTTGCTGTTGTTGCAAAGAAGAAGAAGATGATGATGATGGTGATAATGTCGTTTGCCCCAGGGACCGGGTGAAAAGGGGGTTAGTTGGGTCGTTTTGTTGATGGGAAGATGATAGATCAGGAATATTATGATGGTATTGTTGAGACATGTGAGGCGGAGGAAGTAGTAATTGTTGTTGTTGATGGTACGGGAAATGTTGATGATGCAGTTCCGCTTGATGATGATGATGATGATTATGATGATGATTGAATTGTTGGCCTCGATGGCGGGAATATTGTGGCATCATGTTATAACTACCGTATGACGATGCCAATGGTTGTTGTTGTTGTTGACCGAATGAAAGAGGTGGTGGTGGGGTACTATGATTCTTCATCATTTGAATTCCTTGAGGGGGGAAAGAAGGATACGTTGGGTCCTTGATGGAGTTGGTGCGGTTAGATAATAGCATTCCTTGCCCGCCAGTAGTGGCGGGCGGGGAATTTGGGGATTTTTGCATGTAATGTTGTTGATGAAGTGGAGGGAACGAATTAAGTGATTGGGATTGTTTGATATGTTCATCATTGATAGCGGGTATCGATAAAGAAGACGATGACGCAGATGATGTTGAAGATGAAAAAGAAGAAGAAGATGAGGATGATGATGAGGATGAGGATGATGATGATGATGAGGATGATGATGATGATGATGATGAACTTTTAAGTAAATTGTTAGAATTTCCATACGACGATGATGGGAGTTTAACCGCTGGTAATTTTTGATTCCCACCACCCACTAATCCCCGAGGAGATTTGCATTGTTTGATCGAATTGTATTCGTTGAGCATCGATGGTTTCACTCTGACCATCATATGACAATACGTTTGTTTGTGGTTCACCGCCCTCCGTTTGCCGGGCCCTGGAAGCATAACGGTACTGAAGCATGCTTTAACCACTTTTCCAAAAGAGGTCGCGGCGATTTGCCGGATTTGCAATTGGTCGAAATACCCATTATTGTCACAATACCAATTGAACTTGTTCAACAACTCGGTTTTGACGATTTGGTACTGCTCACCCCCGGCAGCAGGGTCGACTGGCTCGACGAACTTCAATAAGAAAATCGACGCCAAAGAGATTTGGATCTCGTTGGGTTTCAACGACGAATGGTGATGGACGCAGGCGGTGATCAATTTTTGGAAATCCAAGTCGAATTGGTCAATCGCCAGTGCTTTCATTCTGTCGAACATTGAAGGTGCCGACGTGGTAGTGTTTTTGCTATTGGTCATGTTCTTTGACGATGATTGTGGTTCATATGTTATTTCGAGTCGTTTTTGACTTGGTAGGTTGTTTGTATTCGTCAATTTGTGTTTGTTTTTTTGTTTTGTTTTTTTTTTCCCCGAATGATTAATTATCTTGAACAATAACTATGATACATTATTATTATCCCCCAAAGAATAAAAAAAAAAAAAATTGATGTTGAATCAGGAGGGGGAGAGAAGGCAAGGCAACGATTGGGCTGTAAATATGGTACAGCAAGTAATTCAATATATATATATAGGGATATCTATAATGGGCAATTCCATATATGTAACTATATATATATATACATGTATAGATAGAGTATTGTAAATTTTTTTTGTTCTAAGTCTTTTTTTTTTATTCTAAGTCTTTTTTTTTTGTTCTAAGTCTTTTTATTCCGGTCTATGTTTGTTGTTAAATTAATTAAATTATAGTAAGTACCCAATTTTTGTTGCCTTTTCTCTTTCTTTTTTTTTTTGGTCTTCCTATCGTCGTTTAAAGTTTTTCGACTTCTATATCTATCACCAGAAGCTTTTTTAGTTTCAATTGTCGATGTGAGTGAAGTGTTGCGGAGAGGTTCCCTTTTTTTTTTTTTTTTTTCTCCATATAGTTGTGGAATAACCTTCTTAACAAAGTTTAGTCTTATACGAGGGGAACAACAACTATAGTCTCTTGTGATGTGCTGGAACCTATTTCTAGAATGTTGAGTTACGGAGGAGGAGGGAGAGGGGGTGATCAACCAAACGAGATTGGAAAATCAAAATAGGGAAAAATGAATAAGCACAAAACTTTAGTTAGTTAGTACATGGATGGGATAGAACAATCTGTGGTGCAATAAAGTTTCGCAATAAACAAGTCGGTACTCAGGGCTAATTTAAGCTTGGACAGACACACATCAATAGACCTCTCTTTGTGTGATTGTTCTCGACCCTTCCATCCCTCACCATTGATACCCATAATGGAGTTTGTACTAAGGTGAACAAACACAACAACATGTATTGTGAAAGTATCAATCGCCTGGAATTGGGCTATTTCAAGAAAAAAAAACAAAAAAAAACAGAGCGATTGTTGATTCCTTCCCCTCTAAGCAACCTGAGAAGGCAGATAGAGAATGTCTATACCCAGGGATGTGAACATATAATGTATTATGATATGATATGATATGATATAGCATAACATACCATGTGTGATAATCCATCAGAGAGAATATACAATAATGAATACCAACAACAATTGGAATTTTCCCATGTTTGCATGTCATGTTGCAGAATAGTCTTGCTTAATTACCTGGACCGTGCAGCAATCTGAATACCTCAGTAAATTATGCTTTCCTCACCCCCTATTCCCACTCTCCTATCTCTGTGTGTGGGAAAGAAGGGCGGTAATTGGCAATGAGTACATGCTGGCTGTACTATCACCACCACCGGTATCCTCTTCGACAGATACTATATATCGATCGATCGATCGATCTATAACCATCAACAAGGGGAGAGAAAAAGGAATAAAAAAAAGACAAGTTCGAGCGGGAAAAAAAAAAAAAAAGGGGGTGGCGGCAGAGAGACAGAAAGAAAGAAAAAGAGAAAGAGAGGAAAAAAAAAATACGTCTAATTTATTCTGGTATTCAGTTGGTAGTGCAACTTCATGTTTGGGGTGTGTGGACAGCAGCAGCGACAATGGAATGATTGATCACCAACGATACTTTTTTTTTTTTTTTCTTCTATTTCCTGTAACAGTTACATGTTTTAGTTTGCTGATCGTCGTCATTATAATTGTTGTTGTCACTCTATTACACGGTGATGGCGGCGGTGGTGGAGGGGAGGTCGATTGATCGATGAAGATTGATTGTGCCAACCAACCAACCCATTTGTTGTAAGCCAGGAGCTCCTATTACATTTGTTTTTTTTGTTGAGAGGGGTTCCTCCAGCAGGTACTGCTTCAGATAAAATAACGCATTACTTATGTACAAGAGAAACAGGCTAGTCTCTATAAATCATTTATTTATTCTCATTTCTTGCCGCTCCGTGAGATTTCTTCTATCCATCGACAGAGGGGTGTGTGGGTGAATGATGTCTGTTTGTCTGTCTACCTCAGACACCCAGACACCTCCCAAAACATCGTATAATTACTCTCTCTCTCTCTCTCTCTCTCTTTCTTGATAACTAAATTGGAATATAATTGTTATTATTATTATTATTATTATTATTTTTTCGTTTATTTTCAGTTTATTATTACTGTTATCCTAGTATTCCGGGTGGTTGTCCCATCCCTTAGTACATACAGAACTCACTTACATACATAATTACTTACTTACTCCGAACCGGCAGTGGCACACACATGGAATTGTCACAAAGCGATTTTTCCTGTGATCCCACTAATCCAACCACCATAGCATTTGCCTCCCTCCCCCATGCACATGCACGCACCCATCATAAACAGGAAAATTAATTTACTCTCCCTCCCCTGGGGGGAGGCCTCCCTGAATAATAACATTATTACGAAAATGGTAATCACAAATAATTATTTACCATCAAACAATTCCTAATTACAACACAACACAACACAACACCACATTAGGAAATGCGTCATCAATTACATTATTACACTTCTTATTCACTACTAAAATAACTAATAAATATAAATTATACAAGATCAATAAACACAAATGAAAAATGAATAAATAAAAAAATTAAAAACAATTTATATATATACATACATATATACGACACTAAAAAAAAAAAAAAACATCTCATACCTTGTCTAATTACCATCGTTATTATTATTATTGTTATTATTACTCTGTTGTAACAAACTATTCAACCCTTGATTACCACCCAACCCTGGAATCGACCCCAATAACGCCGCCACCGCAGCAGTATTATTATTATTGCTGCTCCCCCCTCCATTATGATCGCCTCCGCCATATGAGTGCTGTGCTTGGGCACCAACTGGAGGTTGAGAAGATCCATGAGCTGGAGCTGGAGGAATGCCACCACCACCACCAAGCGCCGCCAAAGCAGCCAAGGGGTTTGCATTGGCATTTTCGTTCATACTCGAAGTGGCCGCTGGTCCACCACCAAACAAATTCGCCAATGGATTGGCTTCTTTTGGAATCGCTTGCATCGCTTGTTGTGGTTGGTTCAATGGATCGGTGTACATATCATCTGGCTCACCAGGCTTGGTAGATCTTGGTCCATTTCTACTACTATCCGTTGGCATCTTCTTGGAAATCGCTTTAGACGACACCCCTCTACCAATTTCAATATCTGGTTCATCAACCACCATTCCTGGAACTAACTCCGCACCACCAGTACCACCCCATTGAGCAGATGTCACCCACCTTTTATCGGCATCGGTCAATCTCGCAATTGGAATAATACTAATCCCGTGCTGATAATCACAACATTCTCTTGGTCCAAAACCAACCCCCCATCTAAGACGTAAATTATATTGAGAACTGTTTCTACCAAACGACGAAATGATATTCACCGCTTCATCACGGCTAAACACCTTGACAAAAGCGTGTTTCTTTGGAACGTTCAAAATCACACTCTGCACTTCGGCGTACGGTCTCAAAATCGCCGCCAATCCACGCTCGTCCATCCCATTGGTGATCCCACCAATGAAAATCGTTCTACTCATCACCTTAAATGACCCAGTAGGCAAGCTCGAGTCGAATCCAACGTGTCTTTCTCTGTAATGTAAAGTTCCTGGAATATTTTGTTCGCCTGGATTCAACAACGCTGCTTCAGCAGTATTGATCTTTTGTTGTCTCATGGATCTTCTTTCATCAAAGTTCCCATCAGATCTTCCAGGGGATCTCGATCTCGATCTCATATTATTACCACCCATGGCACCTCCACGGCCTCCTCTGCCACCACGACCTCCGCGGCCACCACGACCCCCACGAGAGTCATAACTGTTATAACCAGTATTTTCATTATAACTGTTGTTAGCACTACCATGGTTATTGTAGTTGTTTCCATAGCCATTTCCGTAACCATGATTATCGTTGTTGTTATGATTACCACCATAGCTATTGTTGTTGTAATTGTTGCTATACCCATTACTATTATTGTTACCGTAGCCATGGCTGTTACCATAATCATTGTTGTTACCATAATCATTTCCACCATTACCATAGTTATTGTTGTTATGATTATTACCTCCATAACCGTTATTATTATTATGATAATTATTATTACTACCGTAGCCATTGTTGTTATCGCCATTACCGTAATTTCCATAACCGCCATTACCGCCATAATTGCCACCGTTATCACCGTATTGGGAGTCCCCGTTATAACTATTACCGCCGTATCCTTGTCTACCACGATAATTGTTTTGTGGAGCACCACCAGCAGGAGGATGATGATGAGCACCACCACCACCAGCAGCATTAGAAGCTTGTGGAGGCATACCATTTGGGTTTTGATGTTGCATTTGTTGCAACATTTGGAAAATCGCATTTGGATCAGGAGGAGCCGCTCCACCTTGGCCATTATTGGTATCCATTGGACCATTATTATTGAAAGACCCGGCAGCATTGGCTGGTGGGTTCATAGGAGGAGCTGGAGCTGGAGCAGCTGATTGTTGGGAAGGATTTGGCGCAGCCAAAGATGCTAATGATTTCAAAATTGATGATGCATCATTGGTATTCGCTGGACCATTACTAGCATCAAAGAAACGGTTACGAATCTTATCCAAAACTTTTTTATCAAAAGTAGACGCTTTCGACCAAATTTCTACTAATTTCTGAGTCTTTTCCTTTTGGTTGTTACCTTCCATATTACTTAAACAAGCATCCAAAATACTTTCAATGTTGTTGTTGAACGCCAACAACCCTGAAATATAGGTCCCGTTAGTTATCGTCATGTAGCTCAAGTTATCATAGTTAATACGTTGATCGTCTACTTTACGAGCTTGGCCTTGGAACGCTCTGGCAATCGAATCAATAATATAAAGCCCACCAACTTTATGCGACGCAGGAATGTCTTTACAAAATCTGGTGACTTTTTCGACAATTTGTGATTCCATCTATCATCAAAAATTACAATTCTCGATAATATCTTCATATCCTCTCCAAAATAGAAAGTTCTCGAAGACAAAAAAAAAAAAAAGAGAACATGCTTCTATATTGGTCTACCCAGAAGGAAGAGGATAAAAAAAGATCCAAGAATCATAGATCGGGTTAGTAATTTACTTCTCTCCTAAAATTTGGATTTCTCTTTACTTTAATCTTCTTGCACCTCTTAATGTCAACCAATTCCAATTCAATTATTATCGTTATCATTAGAAATTATAATAATCACAATAATAATAATCATCATCATCATCATCATCATGACAATAGTGCCTTTCAAAGGATTGATTCATCCTCAATACATACATTAATATTCTTGATGGCGATTTCCGTCAACTTCTTGATACGTGACCCGGAAACCCCAGGGGCCTTAAGGACTCTGATCTCCTCCAATATCTTATCAAATTGTTCCAAGTCAGACATTATTATTTTTTGTTTTCTCAATGTTTGTTTTTGGAACTGTGATTACTGGGTAAGCTTAGGACTCGTAATGATTTATTAACGTGGTTTTGCAATGGAACGTCTGATACAATACGTAGACACTAATGTTGTTGCTCTTGTTGTAATTACCAAATAATACGCTTTGTGTGATGATACAACTAATAAGAATGATACAAGATTCTCGTCTAACAGCTAAGCTTCTCTTTACTAGCAAGATTTAACACTAAATAAATAAAAAACAACGCTGACTTCAAGAGCTCCAATATACTTTAATCTTCGGGGACTATGGCAATTTAATTCCTTGAATACAAATAAAAACAAAAAAAAATAAAAAATAGAACACCTTCTTCAATCTAACTCGTTTTTTTTTTTGGTTTTTTTTTCTTCCTTTACCCTTTTCCTTTTCTGCCAGATGATACTATCCTATAGATTCCTTGGTATATATCTCCCGGTTATTTGCAACTTGTGATTTGAAAGATGATAATTTTTGCCACAACAAGAAGAAAGGAAGGTTTTTTTTTTTTTTTTTTTCTCTTTTTCGCCACAAAAGTTTTTGCTACACGGGGCAACAAAAAAGAAAGAACAAAAAAAAAAAAAAAAGTGAAAGCCACGTGGTAAAAGTCTCACGTGTATGGCATTATTAGCAAATCACGATTTATAACACATCTTTATTGTCCCCGGAACTAACACAGGGTTTTTATGGAAGATGTGTTAAGGTAGAAGCTAGGAAATCAACTACTGAGGAACCGTCTTTTTGAAAAATATTGATCATTGCGGCTGAGAATTTCGTTTTTATAGAGTGTTTGTTGGCGAAGTGGTCATGACATCTGTACACCAGATGCACTACATCCAGACATGAGAACATAAAGTGTGGTTTATTTTTCTTTGCAAATAAAATGTAAACAAGTAAACAAAACCCTTTATATTGATGCTATCTTGCAAAAAAGAAAAATCCAGATAATTTGGAAGGGGTTAGAAAATGGATTTAGAAGAGTTCAAGTTAACAATTCCTTGCAGAGACTCACAATTAGACTTATTAGACTCATATGCGTCCCTAGGAAACTTGCTCCGAATTCTCATAGTTCACGGGATCAATTCAGGTAAACAATTTATCCTCAATAATTATTTCAATTTATTGAAAGAGTCAAAGGATGAACAAGTCAATATAGTCAATTTTGACTGTTCTGCCGTGATATCCTTAAGGTCGTTCTACGAGAAAACTTTGCAAAAAATCGTCGAAGTTAATGGTAATAATGATGAGCAGGCCGGCTTCTGTGATAGCCTGAACAAATTCATGATCAAGTTAGAAAACATTATCCAGACACATAACATCACCAAACTACATTATTTAATTTTTGAAGATTTTGGCAGCCTAGGGGATTTCACCGATCTTTTACAATTGATTTTCGGGTTGAATAAAGTGATGGAAACATCATCGATCATCAAGGATAAGTTTGTGTTGGTGATTCTATTAAACAACTACAATCTTTATTACACCAGCGACAACTTGGGAGAACTCAACAATTACTCTTTGCCAACGATTTTTTTCCAAAATTACACCCAAAATGAAGTGTTCCATATCTTGACCGATTCGATCACTTCGAGTTACTTAATTCATCATCATTGCAAATTCGAAGAAAAAACTACTGTTACAACCAACAAAAATAGTGATAATTGTAATCGGTTGAACCCCGAACAACAACAATTTTGGGAGGACTTTGTGAAATTGGTGATTGATTCGTTCCATTCGTTCACGGGATCCAACGTTACAGTACTTGTGGAATTGATCTTGAAGATCTGGCCAACATTCACTAAAAAAATCTTTGTCGATAAAACTTATAATTTCAATGACTTGCTCAGATTGTACAAAGAGAACCAGAGTCTATTCAAAGGGGAGTCGGTAGTGAATGATTCGTTCATCGATGAGCCAACAGAAACCAATCGGAAAGTCATGAAGAGTATCATGAGACATAATAAATCGGTAATAGACCTTCCAGTATATTCGAAATTCGTGTTATGCGCTGCGTATTTGGCGTCATTCATCGCTCCTAAATATGATTTTGTGATATTCTCGAGGCTAAAAGAACTCAGTTCCCGGAAAAAATACCATCAGAAAATCGCCTCCTCAAAGGGGCAAGGGGCCATCAATACCAGATTATTGAACCCCGCGGCGTTTGAACTAGAAAGAATGTTGGCGATCTTATCGAGTATTTACGGAAATACCGAAGAAGAAATCTTGTTTAGCAAACCGGGGAAACATCCAAAGATATCGTTTAACGTCGAGTTCTATTCACAATTCTCAAATCTTGTGTCGTTGAATTTAATTACTAAAGCTCTGGCAGCGACAAATACTGCGAATTTGGATTTATTGAATGGCAAATTGAAGTTCAAGGCAAACTTCAATTACGATTTCATTGAGCAGATTGCCAAAGATTTGAATTTCAAAATCGAGGAATATCTTATGGACTGATGTAATATATATTATAAAGGGGGGGGGGGAAGTAAATTGTATTATTAATTATTTTATTATTATTATCATTATTATTATTATTATTATTATTATTATTATTATTATTATTGTTATTATTAACACTACATATCTAATAACATTGTAGAATAACAAATATGTTGGTACATCCTCGAGGATCAAGACTGAGAGTTTATTACTTCACGTGACTAAAAGTGAAATCTTTTTTTTTTTTTTTCTTCCAAAAATTTTTTTTCAAAATTGGTGGTGTTGATATACCACCTATCAAAATAATAAAACAAGACTTTTGTGTTTTTGATTCTTTTAGATATTGATTACCTAAGAGTAAAGAAAAGGAAAAGGAAAAAGAAAAAGAGGAAAAAAAAATGCTAAGAAATTCATTGAGAACTACCAACAGCGTCTGTGTCAGAGGCTTTTCAACAAGCAGCATCGCCAGATTGGCCGAGCCAATTGAAAACGTCAAGACTAAAACCCCAATTGACTCTATCTCATCAAGTTTATTTCTTTCTAGAGTACCTATTGTCACCCCAACATTGGGAGAATTTGAAAAACAGTACTACAAATACCAAGATGAATTACAGCGCAGATTGATGTGGTCTTTCCCTTACTATTACTATTTCAAGAAGTCTTCATTGGCAGAAGCCGCTTTTTTCAAAAACCAAAAATGGCCGATTTCCAAAGAAGAAGGGGTTTTCTATCCGAAGGGTACTCCAAACATCAAACATTTAAGAGAAAGAAGCGAAAAGCAAGTGATAAATGTCAAAGAAGAAGAGGATGAGAACTCCAAGTTCAAGAAAGAAAGTGATGTTGTCAAACCGATCGTTCCAAACTCGAGAATCACCGATGCCGACGTAAAGAAAGATTTGAAAAGTTTAGAAAGAAAGTTGGACTCCACTTTGTACTTGATTGTTCAAGATAAGAAGTCTAGTGAATGGAAGTTCCCAAGTTTCAAATACAATGCTGAAGAAAGAATCTCTGCTTTGGACGAATATGCCACCGAAAATATACAGAATATCAGTCAGAAGGATTTCAACATGTTCACCGTCACCAATACCCCAATTCACGTCGTGAAGTACGATTCAAGTAACAAGGTTGTCAACAACGCCTCTACCAATGTTGCCTCAAAAGAGTATATCATCAAGTCTCACATTTTGGCTGGTGATTTTGTGTTGAACCAAAAAGAATCTCAGTTCAAGGACTATTTGTGGCTCAGTGGTGAAGAATTGCCAGAATACTTGAGCAAAGATTATTATAAACAAGTGGAATTCTTATTGGCCGATTACTAATCGAATTTTAGCCAATTAATATTAATTCTGTGTTTTTGTGTGTGTAAGTGTGGTGTTGTTGTGTCTACTGTTAAATGTTATCAATGATTAATTATTATTCTTTTTTTTTTCCCCTTTTTTTTTTTTTGTTTCCTTGTGGAGGGCCAAAGAGTCTACAAACCTGTACATATATCGCCAAGTTTTCTTATTATTTCTTTTATATACAAGTATAAATCATTCGTTATTGTTTACTCTCTAATATAAAGCTTATTAAACCACGGTACATTGGAAAGTTTATGTAGTAAAAGTTTCTAAATCTTTTTCATAAATGTTTAGAATTTTGTATAAAAGAGCTTCAAAAAGCAGGAAGACTAAAAAAAAAAAAAAAAAAAGAATGAAAAGCATTAATCTAAATGAATTGAATTGGAAAATTTATTGTACAATATTTTATAATACAGATTCGAAATATAGAGAATGAATAAAGAACATATCGATCGAGCAAATTATGACCTGTCAAGTTCCAGATCAGAATCCATTCTTTCGTTACTCTGGACACTCCATGATTGATTCTTTTTGTTGTTTTTGGAAGCTTTCATCATCTCTCCCAACCCACCATCAGAATCTGAATCAGTGTTGGCATCACTACTTGCGTCGGATTTTTCATTATTCAATCTTCTTTTCTTTGAAGAGCTTCCAGAATCTCTTTTGGAGTTTGTTTTTTTCAGGATCCTACTTCCAAAACTTTCTTGTTCGGATTCTCTATCACTATCATTCATTGATCCTCTCTTCATTGTCTGTTTCTTCCTTGAGTAGCTATTAGCAGTAACAGTTTCTTCATCACTGTCTGAGTCAATTGTATATTTTCTGTGACTCTTTTGGGAGACGGATTCGGTTCTATTTCTATTCTTTGCCGATGTAAAATCATCATTACTATTATCACTCAACTCTATTGTTTGTTTCTTTTTGCCTTCGTACTTTTGTTTCCTTATTATTTCAGAAAATGACAGTGTTTTGTTCAGAGACCTGCCATTAATCAAAGCGCCATGGTGTTTACCATTTGATTTATTTTGCGAATTTTTAAAATAATCGGTAATGTCATTATTATTGGTTTTTTTCTTTTTGATTTTTATCTTGTTTTTCGTTGAAATGATTGAACCCTTGGATTTGTCATTTTTCTCTTCTGTAACTTTCAATTTTGAGGAGGACTTGCTGTCGATTTCCTCTTCCTCTTCCTCTTCTTCGTCATCATCATCATCATCATTATCATAGTCACCAATTATATCGTCAAGAACGGCCACTCTCTTCCTTTTGTATTCTCCGCTATTCTTTTCATACATCTTTCTATCAATAATAAATCTTCCGTAATCAGTAGTGTCGAATAAGATCTCATAGGCTTCTTCCAACGGCACCCCAAAATCTTTGGTAGCCAACTTAGCAGCAATTTCTGGGGCCAAAACGTACAAGTTGAAAAAATCCACTCCCCAAAAATTAAGAACTTTAAAAAAATTGGTTTCCAGAAGCTTCTCGTGGTTACGCTTCTTACGTAAACTCGAGAAATTTGGATACTTCTTTGCAATTTCCAACGATATGCTCTGTTGAACTTCTGAACCGAAATACCCCACACTAAATTCATTAAGATCCAAATTGGAGAGTTGTCGAGCATTGAGGATTTTTTTCTCAGAGGTTTCGAAAACCTCTACCGCCCGCCGGTAAAATATGGAATCGAGCTCTTCATTAACAATATCTGGAATAATCTTCTCAACTGAAGTTTTAATCCTTTGAATTACCAATTCTTTAGTTAAAGGTTCGGGGAATTTCTTACCAAGTTTGGGGTAAATATTTTTGGAATATTTTTCCATGGCATCCTCGATTTCTTTTGAATCATCTTCAAAAAATTTCCCAAAATCTTCCACGCCATTGGTCTTATTGTTTGTCGGTATTTCATTCAAGATATCCAACGTTGGCAATTCTTCAAGGATTAAATCATCTTCTTGCTGGCTACTTTGTAGTCTCTCATCGAGTTTCCTGGTGGTCGTCTCAAGTTTCTTGGAGCTGAATTTTGATGGTTTGTCCTGGCTCAAATATTCATCGATATCTTCGAATTTGGAATAATTTTTATTGAGCAAATCGCCTAGACCAATATCTTCCAAATCTTTGTCGTTGTAATTTTCCTCATCTTCTATTGAAATGCCATCATTTCCACCTGACAAACCGTGAATATCAACTCCATCATCGTTGTCGGAAATCTCATCATGCTTCCTCTCGTTGTTTCCACGGTACCAATTCTTGGAATCTTTCTTGGAAAACCTTGACGAAGATGAATAATCAGTAGGTCTAATTGGCACAGCATTCTTGGAGCCTCCCGTTGTTCTTGAATTGGCCTTCAATCTTTTCAACTTGTCGGCATTTGTTAATTGTTTGGCTAGACCTTTTGAAGCAAAAAAATTTGAAAATGCCATTATCACCAAGAAAAAAGAAAAAAAGATTCCAGAACTCTCCTCCACCGTTTTTGTTTTCAAAAAGGGAAAATCTCGAAAAATAACTTATTTCCCTTTTCACTCTTTGAAACTAAATTTGAGTCTATCGAAAATCTATAACTTTGCACGCTATCCCCTTGTGAGTGTGTGGATTACTAGTTTTGTTTTTTGCTTTTTTTTATTTTTTATTTTTTTTTCCCACGAAAAATTGTGATTAGGAAATCTCTTTAACAATAAACCATAAAGATAATCACAATTGAACTAAATATCGTAATAATATTTTACATTAAATAATTTAGTTGCTCATAAATCAAAGAAAATGATAGGACATAGAAAAAGAACCAGTGGAGGTGGTGGTGTTTCTGCCTCTTCTACTTCTGGTGGTGCTGCTGCCGCTGCTGCTTCTAATGCTTCCTCTGTTGGTCCTTCCGCCGCTGTTGGTGATGACCACGTTGCTCTAGCGAAAAAATACTTTGCTTCATTGAATACCGCGACAATTCGTGATGAAGAAGACCGTCTTTATTCGGAAATATTGGATATTAAATGGAGTCCCGTTGGTAATAGAGTGGCGTACTCCCGACACACCAAATCGTTATTGGTATGTGACTTTCTGGGAGCCAGTATGAACCTGTTTTCCAAACACCATATAATCAAGAATTGTCATCGAGACGCCATTGGATCATTGAGCTGGGACCCGAATAATGACGTTACCATCGCCACGGTGGGCGGGGATAATTTGAAAATATGGAATATCGAAACCCAGAAACTAACGATGGAATTTCCGATCAAAGGAAATACCAAATTGGTCAGCTATAGCCCCCGGGGCAAATACTTGAGTTGTATCAGCAAATTGATCGATAAAGAATCGGGGAGTGTGACTACCCATCATTTGACGGTGATAGATATGGAATCCAAGGACTTGAAAGTGGTGGCCGAGGCCAGTTTTGACTATTTTATATTCAGCTTTGTTTGGGCCAACGACGATGGGTCGATCGTCTTGGGATTTAGCAATGGGGAGGTAGGGATCTTCAAAGTGAATGAAGAGCTCGCAAATGGCTTGGAAAACGTTTATACTTTCAAAGCTAGTGTGTCGTGTATCAATGCCATGGCCTTTGATCCAAGCGGCCAATATTTGATCATCGGAAGCCATGAGGGGATAGTATCTGTTTGGTCCACTGCTTCTTTGAGTTGTGTGAAGACCGTTGCGTTGGTTGATGAATCTGTGATGGCCATTGACATTTCGGGAGATGGTCGTTATGTGGCGGCTTGTTTCCAAGGGGGAGCGCCTACAAGAATCTATGAGTTGAAAACTTTCACCGAATGTTTTGAAGTCACGAATAATAAAAGTTCTGGCTACCAAATCGCCAACATCGCGTTCAGAGGAAGACAGGCGACTTTCGCATATACCAGTAACAATGGCGAATTAAAGCTTTGTTTCAAGTGAATTATAAAAATTTTTAGTTATTTAAATAGTGCTTTTTTCTGGCTTGAATAATTTTTCTTCTTCTGTTTCCCTTTTCTTTCAATTAATGATAAATTGGTGTGGTTTGCTGTGATTCTATTACTGTACATGAAAAAAAAAATTACAAATAAAATAAAGTACATTATATTAAAAATACACCCAGGAAATTAAAGAAAGTGAGAAAGAATCACAAAGTAAAAAATATACGTTGACAAGGCTTCACCAGTCTTCCAAGTTGTTGTTCTGCGACGTCGATGAGTTAGGGGTTTGGCCAGTGACTTTCAAGATCAACTCATCAACCACATTCATTTTGGGGATTTTTATGCTTTCCTCGGCCGATTTTCTCAGAAAGCTGTTCATTTGGACCCAGTTTCTAGATTTCTTTATCAATTTGTCTAGTTTTTCTATACTCTTATCATCGTTGGTCATTAATTCCTCAATGTTGATGTCTTCCAAGCTGAGTCGGCCTTTGAGTTTTTTGAACTCTTCCTTTTTAGTGTCGTTGATCACTGTTAAGTAACCGACAATCATTCCAATGAGTATCAATCTTTGGTATGCTGTTTGGATCCCTAACATCTTCCCTGACTTCCTGGTCTCATCAATCACCTCCTGCTTTCCTTCCTGATATCCATCGTTGTAAAACCTTGGGGTCTTGTCAGTATATATATTATGCACTGATTTGTCGACAGAGCGGCGTGAAAAAAAAAAATCAACTTACTCTTGTTCAAGAGACAATAATTCATCTAGGTCCATGGCAATATCTATTTATCTCTGTATATATATATATATATAATCTCTCTCCATATATCTATATTATATATATACATATAATATAACCTATGTTTAGTAATTAATATTCAACCACACGTGCACTAGTGGTTCAGTTTTCTAATTGATTTTTTTTATTTTTTTTTTTTTTTGCTTTTCAAATCATCTCTTTTCTGGATGGTCTCGCCAATCAACAAATCTACAATTCTCAACTTTTAATTTCCCTTTTTGTTTTTTCTCATTATTTCCATTTATCGTTATTCTTTTTCATACTTATTCACAACAAAATATGGAGAACCGAATAACCAGCCAGTTTACCACGCCGTTGGCATCGGCTTATGATAACGATGACACCACCCAACCCACAGTCGAGGATCTCATCATCATTGAAGATGAAGAAGCCTTTTTAGAATTGGGAAGCTCTTTGAATCAGTATGAGAACTCCAGTAACTCTGAGTTGGTCAACGATTTTAGATCATACCTTAATCAGATACTCTACAATTATTACGACAACCCTAATAGAAACAGAGGCTACACTAGCGGCAGCAGTCTTCGGTCATCGATTAGCCAAACTCAACAAATTATCGATTTGAATTTCGGAGTGTATAAAAGTTTCGGGGACGCCAGCTCGTCGATGATAGCCTCATCGTCATCATCGTTTCCTCGGCCATTGGGGAACGATGACCAACTTTTGCGCCAGCAGCTGAACGGCCGTAGCAGGCACTCTGTTATCACCAGAAATCTGTTAGAGCATATTCTTAGGGAAGAGTCATGTTTGCTTAAAGATGCCTCTAATATCATCGATGGTGGTAAATCTAGTACCAATAATGACCCAGATTTCATTATTGACCACCAAGGTATCTTCTGGAGGAATCAAGCCCAAAGAGAGATGATGTTTCAGTCTAGGCAGTTGGATTTGAAGAATTTTTTCAATATCCAAGATTCTTGCCAAAAGTCTAAACAGGTATGTTGTTTATTTTTCATAATCACATTTTTTGACATATAGCTTTCTTAGCGTTATGGTCTGTGCCAGGAAGGAGAGGGGTGACGAACTAGAAAAAAAAAAAATTTTCTTATCAGGACCTAGCCAATATGTGATGACCACATTACACAGACTGGAGGATCGCTATATAAACTATCTTCTGATAATATTTTTGAATTACTAACTGAGTATTAGAATATAAATACCTCACTAACGTATTACACTTCTCCATCAGCGATCTCCTATACCAATGCAAGTTCCACCATTCCAAGTTCGTCTGCATTTTTCCTGTTCAAGAATTTTTTCAAGAATGCCAAACCATATTTAGTTCATTTCCAACTACGAAACCTCGTAGCTTCAGGATGTGATAATTCTGTTATTGTCAGCGACTACAATGCGGTGCTGCAATTGGACCAGTACTTGCACGGCAATACACTAAAAGGCACCACAAGGGGCTTTGAAATCAAACAATTAAGTCCTCAAACGGGGTCTGTTGATGTTTTGATCGATCAAAGTGTGAGTAAAATTTGATGTTTTTATTTCTTTTTTTTTCTTTCCTTAATTTTCAAAAAAAAAAAAAAAAAAAATTCTTTCTTTGACTACTTTAAGATAACAGTTTTGAAGGGCAAAAATATTAATATTTTATAGAAATTGAAGAATTCATTCAATCAGCATATCAAAATATCCACATTATCAGCCAATCAGGATTTAGTGGCTGCGGGGTCATACACTGGTGATTATCTTTTGTACAATAATCAAACAAAGGACATTTACCAGGACATTTTGACGACCAACGCCAATGGTATTATAAATGTTGTTCAGCTTGTTCCATCAACATCACCTAAAAGTATAACTTCCAGCGTGTTGTTCGCTACCAATGATTCTTACTTACGTAATTTCAATTTAGAAAAACAAGTGCTTTCCAATTATCGTTTCCCATTCCCGATCAATTCATTATCCCTCAACCCATCGAACCCTGATTTGAAGCTCATTGTCGGGGATTGTTTGGAATCTTTCATCATTGATGGTAGAGTGTCCCACAAGCAACCAATATTGAAATTTAGCAATCATCATGATTATAGTTTTTCTTGTGATTGGAGTAAATTCAATGAGAACCTAGTGGTGACCGGTAATCAAGACGGCACAGTTGTTCTCAATGATTTACGGAAAATCATTGTGAGACCTCAAGATGCCGATTGTGGTGTATCATCTGGAACCCGTACTGACCAGCCGTTTACCGCTAATGAGTTACTCGACGCTAATCAGAAGAAATGTTACATTGGAGAATGGGAAGATGCTGCCTGTTTTTCGACATTTTCCAGTGATCTAACCAATAACAATAACAGTGTACGAAACGTGAGGTTCAGTAACAGCAGAAACTTTTTATTCTTTGGGGAAACCGTGGATAATGTCAACGTTATTAACTTGGACGATTTGACATCCTTTGGTGAGCCGATATCCGGAGCCCCAACAATGTCTAATTATACTTATGATGCTTATTGTTTTGATGATTATGGCAGCGGTAGTTTTAGTGAAAGTTCTTCGGCTCATATTCCACGGTCCTATTCGAATTCCAATAATTCATCTTCAAGATCCAAATACACGGTATCGGGCCAGTGTATTCAAACATTTGGCAAAATATCGGGCTTATGTGTGAACGATTGCGAAGATGGTAATGGTGAGGTGTTGACAATAGGTATAAGCGATGAATCGGTAGGTGGAATCTTGCAATATGAGTACGAAAGTGGGTCCAAGTGTTTAGATTTTGATTTCTTCTAGATTGTGTTTTATTTTCAATTGAGAAAGGTTTGATTGGTTTGTTTGTTTGTTTTTTTCTATTTCTTGTTTTGTTTTGTGTTTCCATATGCATGTATTAACTTTTCTTTATATTTTTTGGGACTAACTTTTAATTTATTTATTTATTTATCAGTACCATTGTTATTATTTTCATTATTATTATTACTATTGGGTTTTCTTTCCAGTTCTTTTCCCTTTCCTTGTTGTATTTTTGTTTTTATTATTGTGGGCTGAGTTTGTATATTTCGGATCTTATCTCTCTCTAACCTTTTTTTTTTTTTTGTTCTCTCTCTATTCCACTCTTATAAAACATACGTTGCTGTTGTCGTTGTTGTTGTTGTTGATAGACATATTCGGGATCCCCCATGTTGACACCCTGTAAACTGCACCATCAAGAGCCCCGCTGATGATCATGGTCACGTGAAATTCCAAAAAAAAGAAAGCGAGCCAAAAAATAAAAGCACCCTGGTGGGGGTGTCAGTAACATTTATAATGCCTTGTTCCTCCCATCGTTGCTTGCTTGGTGTACTATCGCACAATCTTTTTAGTTCCTTCCTAAATATTTTTCGTTAGTTTCGAAGAATTAAACGAAATCTACATTATATATTTTTTTCGTTCCATCATAATCATGTCTGATCATCAATACCAATTCAACGTCAAGATGTCTTGCGGTGGGTGTTCTGGTGCCGTTACCAAGGCCTTGAACAGATTAGAAGGTGTCAAGGGTGTCAATGCCGATTTGAAGACCCAGCTCGTGGACGTTACTACTGCGAGAGAAGTCAGCTACGATTCGGTGCTCGCTGCCATTAAGAAGACCGGGAAAGAGGTGGTCAGTGGCAAGACCGTTGCTTAATGAGATGGAGTGGTCATACCAACCAAATTAGAAAAAAAAAAAAAAAAAGAAAACAAAAACAAAAACAAAATCAAAAAAAGCAAAAAAAAAAGAAAGAAAAACTAATATTGCCAGGTCCCCAATTAGAGAGTATTGCTGTTTCTTTTATAGTATTAATCTAGTAGAGGAATTCTTACAAAACAATAAAATAAATGAATGAAAAAAAAAATAGAAAGAAGAAATAAGTTGTTTTAACTTATCGCACTTGTAATCACATCAGTAAAAGCCACAGTAACATATAAAAATAGAGAGAGACAAAAAAAAACATTGAAAAAGCCATTTACATAAGAAAAAGATATAAATCACAAAAAGAGTACACATCGCCAATCAATCAATTTCCATGGGATCAGATGGTGAACTCCCTGGGCTTCGTACTTTGGCCTTATGTGTTGAATGACCTCTTGTACTTTTACGCTTTTTTGTAGCTTCTCTCAAAGACTTCCCTGCTCCGGCAAACCCATGCTTGTCGGTGTCTTCTTCTCCTTCTTCTTTGTTCAGTTCTCCTGATTTTTTTTCCTCGGATTCTGGAGGTGGAGTCAATGGAAAACCGAAAAATAACTGATTTTCCGGTAACCTCAATGGTTTCACTGGGCCATCCAAGCTAAGTTTCGTGACGTCTATTGGCTCAGCATTATCATTATCTCCATCAGCGATGGTCTTACCAGATAATCTTGCCCCGTGACCCTGGAACGACGACGACGCAGTGGTGTCTGGTTTCATCATTTCTGCATAATTGAGGGCTTTGGCCATGGCACCGTAATTATTCACCGGTTTCCATTCTCTTTTAGTCGATTGGTTCTTTTGATACTTCTCTGGAGCCTTGTTTTTATAATCTGGTTCGACATAACCCACTGGCGGAGCGAAATCGGTTTCCAAATCGGTTTCCACCACACAAATCCCATGGTTCACGGTCTCCGGTTTAGCTTCCAAGATCTTAATCTCGTAAATTGTGTCGTTATAATTCACTTCGATGATATCGTCGACGGTCAACGTGGTAAATTTTCTCAAAACATTCTCCAACACCGCTTTAGGGTCGCTGATATCCAAAAAGTTCACCGATTGGGGTTCGATCTTAACGAATTTCCCCTTTGGCAAGTCACAACTATTGAGCTTGATCAATTCTCCTGGCTCCAACTTCAAAGTGCTCATTATCCATTGAGGAACGTAGATTCTTCCTTCTTCGGCTGTGAATTCCAATACCCCAGAGTGACTGATCAATCCATTATTCTCGTTGGTCAATTGGAATAACATCGGATAACTGATATTCAATCTCGTCAACTTGTTCAACGCCGATGCCGGCAAGAAAACTTTCCCCCCGAAATTAGCGTCATCTTTCCGAGTGCTATCAGGCATCATGACAATTGGGTAGCATCGGAAATAATCTTCAAATGTTGAAGATTGGTGCATTTGACCCATGAACTCTCCAAATCCATCGTTAAATCCTCCAAATCCACTGAACTAAATTTTTTTTTTCTTGTTAGGTTGGCAATTCAAAATCGTATATATTTTAATATTATCATCATGTATTCACTCACCATTTTATATTGGAAATTATTTTTTATTATGATTTGTTTTATTTCCAAATGGGACAATGCTTTTGATATATATTGGTCTGAAATGCTTATTTAATAATATTTCGAAGTGGCAATCAAATCATCGGGAGTGCAGAGCGTGCGCTGGCTCACAACGCCAATAAGCGATTTTCTTATATATTATATTAAACTATAATCAGGGCTCTTTTTTTTTGATCTTTTGAAAATAAAATATTCGATGCTCATCAATGAGCCGAAAATTTATGTGATAATAATATAACTTGAAAACAGACTTGTGGCAAGAACAAAGGAAAGTTTCCTACAAACTGTGAGCAAAGTAAGGCATGATTATCGGACTGCTTGATTTTTCTTTAGATTTTGCAATATTAAGGCCCCTCATTTTACAAAGTCAAAAGGATACTTAAAATATTACAAAGATAAAAGAAAAGAAAAAGATAAAAGCTACAACAGACTTCAAAAAGCATCTCAAAAAAATAAAAAAAAAAAGAATGCAATACAAAACGTCAAAGAAACACCACAAATTGAAAAAAGCAAATCAATCAAACCAATATTGGTCTGTAAGAACAATCAACAAGAAACTATTAATACATTGTTTATATATTATGAAGAAACATACCAGCTGTCACGGGCTGTCAATGGCATATCTCTATCAAAAGTAATCCCATGAGAAATTTCAGGCCCATCCGAAGATGAGGAGGTTATGGTAGGACCGGGAATGGTGTCTGTGATGTTTCCCGAATCACTGAAATCTAATTCGGGATTATTGGTGTTTCCACCAATAGAATTGATTTCTCCTGTGGTGGTGGTAGTGGTGGTGGTGCCAGTGTTGCCTTCATTATTCTTCTTCTTCTTGACCGCAACACCTTTTTTACGACACAATGGACAAGAATTTCTACCGGTGATTAACCATTGATCAATACATTCTTGATGGAAGAAATGACCACAGGCTCTCAATTTCCGACAAGCGTCTTCGTCCTCATATTCGCAAAGACAAACAGGACATGAATCATTGGATACAACTTTAATGGTGGCGATTTCGTTGCGCTTATGGCCTTCCAAGCCTTCATCGCCCGATTCATAGTCGGATTCTTCATCATTGTCCTGATCTTCTTCAATGATAGAATTCTTGATCCCCGATACATCATCAACCACAATTTTCAACAATCCGCCGGATCTGTCGACATCTTCTTGGGTCGCCACCAATGGCTTGACTCTACCCAACATTGCTTGCAACGCCAACAAATCATCATAAGTTGGGTTTTCCGACATAATTGTTGGCGCAGACAACACCGCATGATCTGGTGGGAAGGAATGACCCATTACAAAAATAACCCATGATCTTTGAGCTCCGTGAGCATTCTCATTTCTCGCCCTGGTACGTTGATCATAACTCTGGGCGATTTCTTCAAGACGCCTGCTATTACGACTGTTTTCAAGTCTGAAACGAGATCTGTGGTTTCTGTTTCTGAAAAATGACATTCCGCTACCACCGCCATTGTTATTGGCGTTGTTGGGATTACCACCCTCATTTGCTGGAGTTGCTTGGGAGTTACTATTGTTAATAGCATCATCTGAGCTATCTCCACTGTTATTATTATTGCTATTATTGTTGCTTCTACTATTGTTATTATTTCTGTTGTTATTGAAACGATCAATTTCCTCTGGTAATCCAGATCTAACACCAAGAATCAATACTGGCACTTGTTCTTGGTCATCTTCTCCATCGATCGTGGATCTTCTTGAGCTGAACCGGAAAGCCCTGAAAAATGACATTGATTGGGTTCTTAAATCTTCAGCGGTTGGCTCTAGGCTTGTTGCGTTATCATCACTTGTGTCATTAGCTGTTGAGGACTCTGGATTTTCTGACTCATTGTCATCATTTTCCGCCGATGGTCCATTTTGTTGATTTTGCCTCTCTCTTCTTTCTCTATCCATTTGCAACCTAACACTATTTGACAATTCATTGGCCAATAAAGTACCTTGCAACGCCATAGTAAACTCAGCGAAATTCGAGTCGGAACCATCTTCAAACCGAAGGGTAGGAACCCTCAGAGTCAACCCTCTGTTACGGTTTCTGTTATCGATCCTAGTACCATCTTCGCCATTGTAGTCACCGATAAGATTACGAAGGGTAGAAACCGCTGACTGTTCCAATAGTCTCGAGAGTACTCTCGCCTGATGTTGGAAACCCGAGGTATTATCCAAGTCGTTGGTACTGGAGTTATTCTGGTTAAAGTTTCCATTAGTAGGGGTACTAGCATTGCTTGCAGAAAACGATCCGTTAATTGGCAGGTTCATTGGGGAATTAAATCTACTTAAATGGGATCTGGCATTACTCAAGTTCAAGCTAGGAAGCAACAGTCCATCTCTTCTTGTTCCTCTATTCTCATTCTGAGGGGCGCTAGAATCTCCGGTAGATGCTGCTGTTTGGTTATCATTATTACTAATAGAGGTTTCAGCACTTAAAGAGCTACTACCACTTATTGACCGATTACCACTTAGGATATTCAATCTAGGTTTCAATCTAGAAAATGGATTGAATCCTCTTTTTTTTGAGCTTACTCCACCGGTTTGGATTTCGTTGCCCGTAGCCATATTTGTAGGTGACACGACAGCAGGGTTTGGATCAGAATTTTCTAGCGTTGAAGTACCATTTTCTTGATAAGATCCATTAGTATTAGAATGCATAGTATTTTGCACAGCCAACGGCTGAATACTACCATTTTGAGACACTAATTCCAGCTGTTTAATATTCTCATCTGTAATACCATAATTATTCGTTGACTCATTGTCATCACTTAAGAAATCTTGAAGTGCAACAGGATAGCGAGAGTTTCCATAATCCTGCAAATCGCTAGCATCAAAATCATTACTCATTGGAGGTGAGGAGAAAATAGTTCTTGGGTTCCTAGTTTCGTCCATAGTGATATCACTAGCACGCTTATTCTGGTAATGGGACCGATGATCGTTATTTATGTGATTTGAAGTGTCAAAATATCTCAGGACAGGCGATGTTGTGCTGTCAGCAGAATCGGCGCTAATTGGGTCTTTATCTTTGAAAAATTCTTTTGAATTGCCAATTTCATGTACTGATTCTCTACTGCGACGTTCGATAGAGCCGGGAACCACAATCCCACTATTTGATAATGCTTCAACCAAGAAAGGCAAATCGTTATCATCATCAGACTGATTCAAGGTTTCTCGTGGCCTAGTCGATCCAAGGTGATCAGTGTAAAGATTATTGAGAAGTGATGAGCTTTCGGATGAGTTGTGCGCATGACTTATTTGGTAAGATTCTATTTCGTCAGAAAGCCTTTTATTATTATTGCCGGAGGCAACGTCATGATGTCCATTAATGTCAGGGAAGTAATTCTGTCGAATATAGTCTTCATCTTCTATGTCTAACATATTACTAGGCCCATCGACCGAGACTTGTGATTTACCAAACTTTTTCATGCTTTTGAAGAGTCCCTTACGGTTTGATTGAGATGCCATGGATTTGCTGCTGGGAGTTGTTACTGATGATGAAGCAGCAGCAACGGCCATGGTTGGGATATCTTTTTTTTTTTGTAGGTTGGCAGTTGAAGCCATTTGTTGGGTGATCATTCTTTCCTTGGACTCGTAATCAGGGAGATCCTTTCTTCTCACGGTTATCAAATCATTGAAATTACGTCTCCATTTTTTTTTCTTCTTGGAAGAGTCGTTGGTTATGAAACTACTACCAAGTGACAATGTTGAGTTAGCTGTGGAAAGTTGGCGGGTAGATGAGGGTAATGGAGAAGGAAACAGTGAGTTACCATTATTATTTCTCAGGTTTGGGGTACGCGATGAGGAACTGCCTGCCAGATTGCAATCTGCGGTATTGTTTATACTATTCGACATGGATAAAATATGATTGTTTTTGGGATGTATTATATTTTCAATTGGATGAAATGGTTATTGTGGTTGGGCATTCTAATTTTCCGATAATATCTGGGGTTCACCAAGGAGATATTTAGTGCAATCTTTTTTCAATGAGCAGAATGAACACGTCTTCAAGTGAAAGGATGGTTGATAATTCCGTGTATTAGTTATAATTTTTTTTTTTGAAGTCTCCAAAAAAAAAAAAAAAGATAAAAAGGGTTGACGAAAAAAAAAAAAGACAGTTGGAGATAAGGAGATGCACAGCACACAGATATAATTACACAACGACACACCCTGTTGCTTTGGAAATTAAAGTATCGTTCCTTATTTAGCTAATGAGCCGCCAATTGGTGAAAGAAGAAAAAAAAGTAGTAAAAAATTGTCACCGTTGTTGATTGTTGATCGTTGATGAACAATGTTTCAAAAATACCGTCCCGTGACCAGCGTCGATCTCACTCGTATTACTGGTCTGTGTCTCTTTAGTAAATGAGCGGTTCTATTTTATTATATTCTATATATATCACTATTATCGTCTTCGTGTTAGTTTATACTCACTGAATCGCTGTCCAATCTTTTAAAGTCATCTCAGACATATGTCAAAGTTTTGGTACCAACCTGCCGCTAATTTTTTTAGCACCACGCCTAGTGTTCTACACTACGGCATTTTGTCTACGCGTCCGCTAGTAATCACCAGTTATTACATTTATTCATCATATACATCACACTACATCAACAAGAACATCAAAATCATTTGAAATGGGAAACTGTACCCAAATAACAAATAGATCCTCTTCTGTCGTTGTTTGTGGGTCACAGTTTGCGTGCTATTGTTGATCCCATTGCCCAAAAACACTTGCTTCAAGGATCTCATCAAGAAGAATGCAAACGCAAAGTCCAAGTACCCGAAAATCAACCAATAATTGATAGTGTTGCCTCCAGTCGCGCTCTTGGTGAAGAAGTCAACAATCAAACTAATCACCAAGGGAATAAACTTGTAGTTCGAGTAACTGATCAAATCCCAAAAGTTAGATTCGACATTCAATAAATACAATCCCAATTTCAACACCAAAATGTCCAATAATTGGTAGCCAAACACAATTGATGAAGTATACCCAAACAATTGTGGGTGGAATTCCCCTTTCAACCCTTGGAAAATCGCGCACAATAAAATATAGGTGATAAATGACATCAAAGGAATGTATAAATCAGGAGAGTTGATATCATTAACTGGTAATTCAAAGGATTCGACGGATCGGTTACCGTTATTCATGCTCGACCCAGAATTGTTCAAGATCAATCTTGACCAGCTAGAGTGTCTAAATGGGAACAATATAAGCAGAATTTTCTTTAACACGTACTTGTTAGACACCTTGAACAAATTTTTCAAATCAGACGAGCTACCAATATATGGCTTCAAATTGTTTTCCATCATTTGGGTTCCCTGAGCAAACGCGGTTTGACCAACTTGAAATCCCAAGTTTGCCTTTGGATCGTTGAAGAAATTGTTAAAGGCTTGTGGGGTTCCTTGGAGACCCACATTTTCTCGTGGCGGTTGTTGTTGTTGTTGTTGTTGCTGCGGTGGCTGTTGTTGCTGTTGTTGTTGTTGGTTCCTTAAACCATAAATATTTTGTTGGTATTGGTTACTGTTGTTGTTGATATTATTTGCTATTCCTTGAGGGTGAGCAACTCGTGAGTTTGCTTGATTATTATTAGAATAGACGTTGGACGAAAGTCCTTGATCCCCATATGGATTGTACATGATCTGGTAAAAGTATATGCCCGAGTAATGATTATGTTGTATCTATGTGGACAAATGGCTGTTACTGTTGAAGATAATAGTATTCTTTATTTCTCGAGCGGAAAATATGATGTCTTGTTCTTGGTGACTGCTGTTGGACAGAAAAAGAAGAATGATCTTGAAATAATGCTGGAACACGGTCTCAATTGCTTGGTTGCCCCCTCCGATTACAGTGTGATCGGCGTGAATGAGAACGACAACTGTTTGATTTTCTGGGTTTTTTTTTTTTACCTCGTGAAAATGTTCTACGGATTGATAAGAGCACTACCAGAGTAGTGCGGTTTTCCCATATATTATCATTCACTTGCTATGATTCTGACTAAGGATAATAAGTTTCTTGAGTATGTCTAGCTATTGCTGTAGCTAGAATTAATATATAAGCATACAATATTCCACGTAATGACGGGACGCGGAGCTAAGGATGAAAAGAATCAATGAAAAGGAGATCAGCGGGATTATTCTGCGATCACTGAAGCTCAGCTTGGAATAAACAGAACGAAAACCATCCAATCCCCCAACCTGTACTTGTAGCTTCAAAAAGAATTCATTTAAGAATATTTTTTGATTAATAACTTACGATACAGGAAGATTAAAGTACAATACCCAACACGACGACATTCTTACTGGGACGCCCCAACCGGGAGATGAGGTTTCCGACTAGGAAATCCGCCCTAATTTCCAACTTGGGACTACTTGTCAGTCAACTAGTTACTTTAGTTAATTGATAGAGTATTATCAACGTGAATATATATTTACATCCATATTAAACAGCAATAGTCACATCGATTTTCAGCGAATGTGTAGGAAAAGTGATCAACAAGGTTGATAGATACATTTCCATTGGAAAAGTGAAGTTTCAAAGAGTACGATGTTGGCATTAGAAATAATTTGAGATTAAAAATGATACTTTAAGATCCAGCTCATTCAGAGTTTTTTCTTGATTATCTTACTTATTTTGAAGATTTTAATGAGGAGGTCTCATTTAAAGATTGACTAAGAGAAATTTGTAATATTGAAGAAAATCAAGGTTACAGCTACGATTCGAAAAATCAAAATAATAAGACTATTAAAGTATCAATTGGCGAAGTTGATAAATAGAAAATAAGAAATAAAATGAATCAATTGACTTTCTCAATTAGAAAAAAAAAAAAAATTTTCATCTCGAGCTTTTGACAACGATGAGAATAATAATCCTCACAAAGCTGGCGACAAGAAAAGAAAGCTGATCTGTTAAGTGTTATTCTTGCAATAAATACGGTCACTTCGCAAGAGACTCTAATTACCTTAGCAATAGCAATAACAAAAAGAATAAAAATATTCAAAAACCATGTTTCACTCGAAAAAGAACTGAAGTAAATAATAATTAAAGGGAAAACAGCACTATTTTAACAGGATTCCTGTGAAAGTCCGGTTACTGCGCCCTGCCGGTGGTTCTGCTTTCATGAACTTCGCGACTACAGTACCTACTTTATATCAAAGAATTGAATAATATATCCATGGAGGAACAATGTAGAAATAGAGCCAAAAAGTAATTTAAAATAATAGAACAAAAGAACAACCAAAAACACTCCGTTTATAAATAAATACAAAAAAAAAAATATCGACGCAAAAATTGATGATTCTTCATCCAACTTTACAATGATCACCCCCACCCTTCTCATTGATTGCCTGGACAATAGTTTGGGCTGAAGAAATCACAAGAATCAATACTCCAAATACAATCACAAAATAACCACAGAGATTCTCCTTTAGAGTCTTTGATTTGTAATCGGTCAATTTCATATAGCACATCACTGGGAAAATAAATGCCATGATTGATGCAGAGACCGATCCAATAAGTTCCAAAGTGGCCCCAAGATTACAAGTAAGTAATGATGCTCCCATGGTCACAAACACTAATAAGGTGGTTATCCAGAATCGTTTGTTATATGACATTTCTTCGCCCTTAGGTTCTTCAAGATCATCAACTTGGTCGAAATCATTATCGGTTTGTGATAATGGCTGATGAGCTATTTTCTCTGGGTTCTTGTTAATGTTTATTAAATCATTCATCACTTGGCGAACGACAAAGATTTCAAGCGGGAAGGTCGTCAACATGTTAAGCCCAAAGCACACTCTAGCAATATTGATGACCCAATCATCTTCAGGGAAATTATTAAGGATGTTACCCTTGGTGTTATCCTTAAAGATCAAATCTCCAGAAACCCCCACAAGGGCACAGCAAATCATGGAGATGAAACAACTAAGATGGGTTAATTTGGTGAATCTGTCCAATGTTGGTTTTCTTAAAGAATCGTAAATGAATGAGGTATTATGATGGCAAACTAGAGCAAATGATATCACACTGATCCCCTGGAATAACTGTGGATTGAACACGTAGCCTTGGAACGGGTTTTCAAAAGTGTATCGGGAAACGGTCTCTTTGGATAAGGTGAACCCATGAATGACAATAATAAGAATGATAGTTGCCATGTTAATCAATGCAAAAAGCGACGATACCGCGAGGTTGGCAATATTATCGGTCAACGATAATGGATAAGAAATGAAGCAAGTGAGCAAGACAATCACGGTGTTTCTCTTCAAAATCAACGCTAAAAGAGCATTGTTCTCGATCCAGGAGCTGGGGGTGATCGATTGTAAAACATGAGGAATGGTATCACCAATGATGATACAAAAGGCAATGGACCCGCCAATTGCAAAAAATCCTTGAGAGATCAAGATCACGATTTTTCCTGGTTTGCCAAAACACTTGTACGCAGTATCCTGGTAGGTTTTTGTTGCCGATAGTTTACAATTGATGATTATCAATCTGATGGTCCAGTCAATGATTACCGTGAGTAAAACAAAGGTTATCAAACTGGTGAAGATCCCACAATTCTTGGTGGCGTAAGGCTGTCCAATGATCCCGGCCCCCAATATGCTGTTGGACATGTTCATGAATGCCATTTTCATACTGGACTTCCCGGTGTCGTCATGGTCGGTGGCAGGGGATTCTTCATAATCTAGTTCGTGGAGGACAAGATCGTTGTCGTTATCGTCTTCATTATCGTCTTCTTCTGGGGTTGTTCTACTTTCCAATGAGATGGATTGCAACTCGAAGGAGTCACCGGGGTTATTTATCGTCATTATTGGATATATCTTGTATAACAGATAATATAATTACTTAATATACAATTGCAGAGTGATGATAATTTGGAATGGCGGAAAATGCTCGGCTGTCCGGTACGGCCAGAATGCGAACCCACCGGAGTGCGTAGAGTCGGAAATTTTTTTTTCCAGAGCGCTATAAATTGGGAGAATTTTTTTTTCTTCTTGCGAATTTCATATTTCCTTTTCTACTCTTCTTTATTGATTATAGCTCGGCAATTTAATTATTGTATGTTCAATTTACTTTTCCATTCATTTGAGAAACTCTCAGTTTATGATGATAACCTACTCAGCTCACTCAGAGTCACAATGTGCTGATAACTTTTCCTATCCAACATTCATCAATTATTCTGATACAACTGAGAGTTCCCTTGTATATTAATGTGTATTATACATGTATTGGCAAGCCATATTCTCATTAATAATTTTTACTAACTGTTCTGGTTTTAGAATTCTTTTAATAGTCAAATAATCGTGCTAAATAAACAATGTAAATCTGTCTAAAACTACAAGAAGCATGTAAGAGAGATATACATATACATATATGATATCAACGACATATACCATGTTGGTTATGCGATAATGCTATTTTAGAGCGCCACCATTAAGCAATTTCCACACTGTAACCATCATGGTACTTTCCATTACCATTATAACTATTGTAGGTGATCCATCGCGGAAAAAATAGTAAGAAAAATATCAGAAAAAAATCCTCAAAAATTGCTTCTCATCTCCCGCAATGATTGGTGTTCTTCGTCTTCTCCACTAGAGAGTCTTGTCTGCCTACCATGTTTAGGCTACCTTTATCGAGGTCTCTTGTGAGTCCGTCCTCCAAACCATTGCAAATCAATCCTATGAGACGTCAATCATCAAAGATCTTTGTGAAAGATCTCAAGATTAACGCCTACATTGGGAAGAATTACTGGAATGAAATCAACCAACAACCATTGCTCTATAAATTATCAGTATTTTTGGGGCTTAACCACTCAGTGCTTCAAAACTCTGGTCCCACTGATGATTTAAACCATTCCATTTCTTATGCCGATGTCCTGAATTATATTTTGCATTACCTCAACAATGAGAATTGTCAATTCGACGATTCCCCGAAATTTTTAAATACCATGTTTGAAAAACTCGTGCAACACAACAATAAAATACCTAATTTGAATGATAGATTCGTCAATCAATTGACTTTGGTGTTGCAAGATGATAGATGCCATTTGAAACTCCGTAACTTGAGAATTGAAAAGTCGTACCAACTTACCAAGCCTTCATCATCATCACCATCCTCAACAACAACTCCAATGCCTACCAATTACTTGCTCCTTGATCAACTCAAGTTGTTGACGAAGATTGGGATCTTTGATTTCGAAAGAAAGAAAAAACAATACGTCACGGTTGATTTGAAGCTCGATTACGATGAGATTTGCGCAAAATGTCTGGCCAAAAACTTCAACGAATTCATTAGTTTTGAATTACTTGAATCGTTGGCAGAATACGTGGAAAACACAGAATTCCTTACAGTTGAAGCATTGATTACTTCGGTCGATGATTACCTTAGAAAAAAATTTGGGATTGTCAATATTTTCAACTTGAAGATCACCAAGCTTAACGCCGTGGTGAACTCTGAAGGAGTGGGGCTTGAACTAGTTACAGAAACTCCTATTGCCTTGTCCACTAATGGTAGTGGTAACACCAAAGAAGAATCATCACCATCATCTCATGCTATCACCAGTGACTCGATGTTCAAGGCTAGTACTACCACCACCGGCAAAGCTTCGCATATTGCTTATTTGGGGTTCGGCACCAATGAAGGTAATACTATGGCGAACATTTATCGTATGCTTCATTGTCTACGCGAATGTCCATCGATCGAAATATTAGCCACCTCATCACTTTACGAAACCGCACCAATGTATTATTTGGACCAATCCAGTTTTGTCAATGGGGCTCTTAAGATTCAAACCACTTTGTCACCATTTGAACTCCTCAACTTTCTTAAAGAGGTCGAATACCACGAGCTAGGAAGGGTCAAGGAATTCGATAATGGTCCAAGATCCATTGATGTTGATATTCTTCTTTACGACAATATCGTGTATCGTAATGAAACCGATGAGAACTTGGTGGTGCCGCATCCTAGAATGCTTGAGCGGTTATTTGTATTGAACCCACTTTCTGAAATCTTGGACCCAATGAACGACGTCATTCACCCGGTCACCAATCAGAATATATTGGATTATCATCATCAAGGGCTACTTTCAAGATCATCGGAGCCTGACATGACCACCTTGGTGCCAATCCGGAGAAACTTTAAACAGCACGGTGATCAATTCGATAATTGGAGATTCAACTTTGATGGCGATCGTACCAAAATCATGGGGATCATTAACATGACTAAAGATTCGTTCTCGGATGGTGGAGCTAATTATTTGGTAAATGATGCTTTGAAGACTGCACAGAGACTCGTTGATCAAGGAGCGGATATTCTTGATATCGGGGCTACTTCTACCAAACCAGGCGCGAAAATTGAGGATTACGATACGATGATGGCGGCTTTCCAAGAGGAAGTGAATTGTATTGTCCCATTGATCAAAGAAATCAGACAATCTTCCGATGAAAAATTAAGAAACGTCTTAATTAGTGTCGATACTTTCTACGGTAACACTGCTAAAGCCACTTTGGAAGCCGGGGCAGATATGGTGAATGACGTGAGTATGGGGATGTACGATCAGACTATTTTTGATGTCGTTAAACAATTCCAATGTCCGTATATCGTCAACCATACCAGAGGCACTCCAACAACCATGAAGAACCATACCGATTATCATTTGATCAATGATGATGGTGACAACATTGTGGAGTTTGGGACCGTCAATCATGAGGTGACGAGAATGGTCGCGAGAGAACTTGCTATTACTATCAATCGGGCTTATAAAGCAGGGGTGGCCAAATGGCAAATGATCATTGATCCAGGTATTGGGTTTGCGAAAACTTTACAACAGAACTTGAACCTTGTAAAGAGTTGTGGAGAACTAAGAGATTACGGGGTATTGTTCCGTGATTCTGCCTCGGTGCAAAATTATAATGAAATCCATGGTTTGAATCCTTGGGGTGATCAATCTATTCCACAACAACAGTCGGTGGCTAATAACGATTATCTTAGTTTTGCTAAGCTTCCAATATTGGTTGGGCCTAGTCGTAAAAGATTCATTCTGAAGATCACCAACGAGACTCTAAACTTGAAAGAAAATGAAAAGTTGGTGATTGGTACAAGTGGGATCATCATGGCGTGCATTGCCAATAGGACCAACATTGTTAGAGTTCATGATGTTGAAGAGATCAAAAAGATTTGCTTACTCGGGGATGCTATCTACAATGGGATCCTTTAATAGTATGGGCTATGAATGAATTTTTATAGTTTAGCTTTCTGTGTTTGTTTTTTTTTTGTTTTTGTATTTTGTTTTGGGTTTTTAATAACTCTTTGTTCAAGGACAAACAAAAATTTGGTGAACAAATCTGTTTGTCATGACTCTATTATCAAGGATCCTCGGCATACAATTGAAAGAATTGGAAAACCATGATTTTTAAGGACATTTCTTTTCAGTAAACAAAAAAAAATCGAGCAGGGAAAAATAATTTAAGGATAAATAAAGAGATAAAAAAAAAACAAGAGAAGTGAAGGAGAGGACAAAGCTAGCATTATACACAAAATAATAAGAAAAAAAAATAGTAATTTAATGAGGAAACAAAATATTTGGAATAGGAAAACAAGGAAAAAAAAAATAAAGCATCAACAAAATCAGCGTACTTATACCATCAAACACCATCAGCCCGAACTCACCAGACTTTGATCTCAACAATAACAACCAAACTTCAATATCGACAACAACAACAAAAAGGATAATAAAGATAATAATGAGGGGCATTTGATAGATCTGACATACTGCAAATACCAGCATCATTATTATCATCACATCATCCAGGTACAACGCTTAAGCACAACTCACATCAACACCACAAAACATACAGAAACATCTCCTCCTACTCGACAACAAGACTAACTAACTAACTAACTAACTAACTAACAGGAAGGAAGGAAGGTAAAAAAAAGCCACTTTTTTTGTCCACTTTTCCGTTTTTTTTTTTCATTCCAGCCATTATTTCATTCAAATCAACAACATCAATCAAACTTAGGCGGCAATGGAGCAGTCTTTGGAGATGTGACCTGGTTGATGACAGTTGTAACAGGTCTTTTCACGACTACCTTCAGCGTTGGAACAAGCCTTGGAGATGTGGCCGGTCAAACCACAGTTGTAACATTTGACATCGGCAGCTTGACAGTCTCTGGCGAAATGGTTGATACCACCACACTTGAAACAAGTGGTTTGCTTACCAGCAAAGCTTCTTGGAACAGAGGCAGCAGGAGCAGCAGCAGCGGTGTTGGAACAGTCCTTGGAGAAGTGACCGATCTTTTGACACTTGTAACAACGGACACTGTTGTTTGAACAATCACTCTTGATGTGACCGGTCTTACCGCAAATGTAACAGGTCTTTTCAGCAGCGGTGTGTGGTTCGGAACAGTCACTGGAGTTGTGACCTGGCTTGTGACAGTTGTAACAAAGACGTTCGGTTTGAGGACAGTCATTGGCGATGTGACCGGTGTCACCACATTTGAAACAGGTTCTAGCGTACATTCTTATTTTTATTTTTTATTGGAATTAAATAAGCAAATAACAATAAAGAGATTTTCGAGAAGGGGGGAGATGGTGATAATAGTCTCACAGATTTTTTTTTAAAAAAAAAAATTTTCCATCGGGCCCAGAGTTACCCGTCGTTGTTAAGTACATCAATCATCAACATTTAACGAAGTGTTCCTACAATCTCAACTTTATAAAATAAAATATTACCCCATTGATATATTACACATTAAATAAATAATAACTACATAGAAATAACTATGTCATCTCTTTTCATCGCTGTCAGTCAATACTCCGTCCTCAGATAACGAAGAATCATGAACACTCACTTCCAGAATCACCGGATTTGGGCCTCCTGAACTCGGTTTCCCCAACATCTGGGGTTTGATCGATCTGGTGGTGCTTCCTGGTTGCGACAATGTTCTTCTAAGTGACGAGATACTGGTTCCTCCGCCAACAATACTTGGGGGCGAAGTGGCAACAGAATTCGAAGAGATGCCGTTTGTAGTGTTAATGTTGGTACTGGTGTTATTAGCCATCATACCAGACATCGTAAGTGGGGTATTATTCCCCGAGGGAATTCCCGATGGATTAGCAGTATTTATGCTGGTGAGTTCACCAGTGGCCATCGTATGCAAAGGTAATTGACTAGATGATAATAATGGTGAAGATTTCGACGAAGGTAAAGGTGAAGAATTATTGCTAGTTAAACTATTGGCAAAATTAGAAGGTTTTGACGTGGTGCATGCAGCTTCGTTATTGTTGCGGAGGCTGTTATTGTTGTTGTTCCCGCCTGCACTGGTTGGAATAGGGTTATTGTTCGTAGCATAAGAAAAGCTGGAGGTATTGGAATTAAGAGATATCTGGGAAGAAGCACTTAAAGTTCTTGATAAAGTATGTAAGCCATAGCCATTGATACCACTACCCCTTGATTCTCGCATTGTCACATCACTATGACTATCATTTTCCCCCGCATACAACGTGATCACCGATCCATTTCTTGTAGCGCTTCCTTTTCTCGGCTGACTTCGTGTTTGAGAGTCAAGTAACCTAATACGACCTAAAATATCCTCCTCGGTACGGCAAGGCAACAATATACTCAACTCGGTTAAACTCAACTCCCGGCGACGTTTGGATAATAAGAGTTCATCTTCATCATGAGACCAAGGTAATGATTGACTAGACGACAGCATAAGTGTTTGCAGAAAACTATTTCCTGCAGAGCCAGGTACTGTTGGGTCGAAATTCATACTGTTGGTTGACATTGCATGGGTCGCCCCTTGGCTACTGTACAAGTTGAACGAGTTTTTATTTGATGTAGCAGAGTCTAACGAGTTGAGAGATGATAGACTATTAGAAAGCGGATCATTACTATCTGGTGGGGAGCCAATATTATGGGAATTTGATGCTATGGAATTAGATGATGCACCGGTAGAACTGAAACTCCAATTGGTGTAATTAGGAGGGGCATTGGTTCCAAAATTCATGGCCGATAGCCCACTGCTAGGATTAGTAGTTAATCTGGCTTTTGCAGTGGTGGTTCCATTGCCCATTAAACTAGCAAACAATGAGGTTCCACCATTAGCATTTTTACTATCTTGTAAAGGTGATGAGTTTGAAGATACTAATAATCCTGGCGAGCCATTCCTAACTCCAGAGCTTAAAGCATTAAGACCAGCAAGCACCCCATGCAAACCATCATTGGTCCCGCCATTATTATTATTATTTTTATTATTGTTTGCCGAAGCCGCCGCTGCTGCTTTAGCAGCATTTATCGCTCTTTTCAATGGCTGATTTGTAGGGGTTTGGGTATTCTTCAATACCCCGGACCGTAATCTTCTCCAACGAAATTGACAGGCGTTTGGAGTTCTGTTATTAAAGTGCGCTGCAATTTCTTTCCAGCCGAGCTTTTGTTCTTCTTTTAAATGGCGAAGCAAAATGTCGTCCTGTGTGTCCCATGATGAAGGGGCACGGGAAAAGCTGCTGTTATTTGTGGTACTTGCAGTTCCAGTAGAAGCTGTAGAATTGTTGGCGCTAGCGGCTGCCATTCGAGAATTATTATTGTTAGTTGTTTTGAAGATATCGAGGAAGCAACTTTGGTACTCGGGTTACAATCTGTATCGAAATATGTGGATCACTGATGATGTGATTTATATGGGAGGAATGGCAGTTTGTTTGACGGTTACCAACGCTTTTTTTGTGTAATGACAACTAAACAACAAACAACAACAAGAAAAAAGCAATTATTTGGGGAAGAAAATTGGAATTCTGGTTTTCTTTTTCCTTAAGGGGCTATATACAGCGGGCAGCAACGTACTATTATTTATATCTGACGATGATGGTGAAATAAAGTGGAGGTCATATAAGATGATTTTGATGGTGTTTTCGGGCGGTGATGGACTACGTTCATTCGATGATCATCGACTAGTTGCAATCGGTCACCCGGTGCAGGGGCTGTCATGGGGGGGTGCACCACCAGGTGCGAATTCGAATCATAACAATGCTACTTTTTGATGATGTATAATACAGAGCAATAATATATATTTCAATGTTTTGACGTAAACAAATATATCAAGAATTAAAAAGTTGATGACGAAGAAAGGTGTAAAGATGAAAAATGCAAAGAAGTGGATATGAGTTATCTAGGATATCATGTTTAGCAACAAGGCCCCATTAAGAATAAGGATAGGTACCTTGTGCTTCAGAGCGAAAGATTTAAAATCAGGGGAATAAATAATAAAATGGACGTTTTTTTTTAGCAAATAGATTACCAAGCAGAAGGGGCGTTACCCATGAAACCCCAGTTCTTTTCAACGTCCCAGACGGAACTGGTCTTCCACAATTCGTTGTAAGCACTGAACAAGATACAATCGTTGGCAGCAGCAGATTGAATGTTCTTGATAGCAGTGACTTGGTTTTCACTAGATGGAACGGCAACACCATCGGCGTTACCAGCCCATGGCCAACCAGTTTCCAAAGTGACGGTTTGTTTGTTGTGACCATGTTCTTCACAGAATTCGGCAACGGCTTCGATGTGGCCCAAGACGTAGGAACCGGCGGTTTCTGGGGTTTGACCATCGAAGTATGGATGGTTGTTGATACCAACGTAATCGACAGCACCACAAAGGTCTGGGTTACCGTAGAAAGAGGAGGCGGTTTCGGCGGTGGTCCACATACCTGGGAAATCTGGGTAGATGGATCTGGCTTCGTTGATGAAGTTAGCAACTTCGGCAGCGGTGTACCAACCGTTGTAGATTAATTCGTTACCGACAATGACAGAGTGGACAGCGTCGTTGAATTGTTTACCAGCGTAACCGATGGAGGTAGCGATGGAGTTAAGGTCGGCTCTGATGGCATCAGTGGAGGAGATGTCGTTGACGGCGACCATCAATTTACCTGGGAAAACTTCGGCAGCGTATTGGACAACGTTACAGTCGTTGGAGTACAATCTGAGGATTTCGAAGCTGGACAAGTAACCGACATCTTCTTTGATTTGGTCAGCAGAGCGACAGTTCTTGTATTGGTCAAATGGGGTATAGGTGGTACCGAGGAAACCAGTGGCCCAATCTGGGACAGAGACGTCTCTCTTGGAAGGTTCAAGAACTTCGACTTCTCTGGCCAAAGTGAGACCAGCAAGAACGGAGGTAAGGATGGAGGTAGAAAGCTTCATTGTGAATTGATTTATAAAAGCAGAAGTGGTTATTGGAGAAAATATGAATCTATACATGAAAATAGGCCAAGCGAATAGTCAGAGTTATATATTCGATGAAAATTTTTGAAAAGGCCAGATCCGTAACACACCGGATAGGGAAGAGTGCAGCAACGTGCGTTGGGTTCTGCTGGTGGGGTGCGGTGGGGGTGGGGGTGGATGGACACAAAAGAGCAATAGGGGACAAACAAGCAGGCAAGTGGAGGGTGGCGAAGGGATGATTATGGAATATAGGTACTTATAGGGATGTTATCATATCATATAGATTATATATATTGATTGTATCTCATAGTGTTCTAGCAATGGTGGATATTCTTATGTTGTGGTTATTTTATGTTTAGCGTCGCACTGCATGGGGTGACAGAGAGAGATCCTTCTGGCCTTTTGGAGAAGAAAAAAAAGAAACAGCGGGAGAAATTGCCAGTTGCCAACTGCCAACCGCTACATGATGGTTGTTTGTTTATCATTTACAATATGGGACAAGGGGTTGTGTCATGTCTCACAGTACTATCAGAAGGTGTTGCTGTGGGTATTGTACCCTGGGGACAACATGTTCTATCCCTAGTGACCAACAGCCATGGCTATTAATAGGAAACAATTACGTAGATGCCATTCTATTTTTATTGTTTGTCGTACATCGTATTACAAATAGAGTTACATTTACCACTACCAAGAAAATAACCTCACCGATAAAATGACGTCCCAGTGGGGATCAATACTAAATATAACCACATTGTAAGATGGTGATACACGCTAGCTCCCTTATTAATGATGATGACAATTATTCTTTTGTACACAACCACGTAGTAAAAAGGTATCAAATTACTAGCAAATACCTCGGAGAATACGTATCGGTGCTGAATTTGGCAGCCGGCATCCTTGGTTTAGAACTGCTATTCCTGAACTGGGAATGTACATGGAAATCCTTCGGTGTTTGTTTTTTTGTTTTGTTTTGAAAAACATCAACAAAGCACATGCCTGGGCTCAATCTTTTGACTTTCACAACAATAAACATGTATATTATCATGATAGGTCAGCCTTATTATTCCATTTCGATTGATAACATTCATGATTTTCTAAAAATAATATTCTTGATGGGCAGATAATAAATCACTTTTTGATCCTGTTCTTACAAGCAGATTTGAAAAACCAAGAACCATGTAACGTAAATAATAGAGTGAAATAAAAAATTGGTACTCATCAAAAGCTGAGTAATTATGCGAAAATAAGAAAAATAATCCAAATAATCTCGAACAAGTAGAAATAACAATAAAACTTTTCAAAGACATTTCAATGTCAGTGTAAGGTATCAAGAAGAAGAAATAATAGTAATAATGCGATGAAATTTTGGGTCGTTAATCTTTTGGGTTTCTTCACCAGACAGAAGGAGCATTACCTAAAACACCCCAGCTTCTTTCGACATCCCAGTCAGAAGTAGTTTTCCACAATTCGTTGTAGGCACTAAAAACGATACAGTCACTACCAGCTGCAGAGGCAATGTTCTTCAAAGCAGTGACTTGGTTTTCACTAGATGGAACGGCAACACCATCGGCGTTACCAGCCCAAGGCCAACCGGTTTCAAGAACTTTAACCTCTTTGCTGTGGCCGTTTTCTTCACAGAATTCGGCAAGAGCTTGAATGTGGCCCAAGACGTAGGAACCGGCGGTTTCTGGGGTTTGACCATCGAAGTATGGATGGTTGTTGATACCAACGTAATCAACAGCACCACAAAGGTCTGGGTTACCGTAGAAGGAAGAAACAGTTTCGGAGGTGATCCAAGAGCCGTTAAAGTTTGGGAAAGCAGCCTTAGCTTCGGTGATGAAATTGGTGACTTCATCAGCGGTGTACCAACCATTGTAGATCAATTCGTTACCAATGATGATGGTGTCAACCTTATCATTGAGAGTGGAGCCGCCGGCAATTACTTGGTCTTGGATGGTGGTAATGTCACTGGCAATTTCATCAGAGGAGGAAACGTCGTTAACGGTAACAATCAATTTTCCAGAAATGGTTTCGGCAGCGTATTGGACGACGTTACAGTCAGAAGAATAAAGATGAAGGAGGTCAAAGTCCTTGATGACATCGAGATCAGTCTTGATTTCATCTTCGGTACGACAATCCTTGTTTTGATCACTGACAAGAATGTTAGTAATTGAAGTAATTATGATAAATTATCAAATATTAATACATACAAAGGAGTATAAGAGAAACCTTTAAATTCTTTTATGTAATCTGGGATGGAGACTTCTTTTTTTTCGACTGGAAGTGCGGTACCAAGGGCAGCGAGAGCGGCTAAAGCGAGAGGAAAGTTCAACATTTTTTAATTAGCGAGAGATATGTGTTATTGAAGTTAGTGATAATAATTAATGGACTAACAAAACAGTGGATTGATAGTGTTGGAATCAACTGGCCTTTTATATATACGTAATTTACAATTTTTTGGAGGTACGCAAAAAGGGAGGCTTATTTGTGCATGTTGAGACAGCTCCTGTTTATTTCTTTCTTTCTTTTGTTGTCTTTTTACCAAAAATAACTTGTGTTTACCAGATATCAGTAGACATAACAAAAGATTTGTTTGGGAAACATATACTTGTATATTCTTGTAGCATTCCTTTTACATAGTTGTTCTTAATGACAATATTGGTGTTCTTATTTCCTACTATTCAAAATAATGTGTTTGATTTAACGAAGGCTTTCCACTTTACTGCATGAGGTTAAAAAAAAAAAAAAAAAGTTCTAAAAATACCCCAAATCTTCCTTTTTTTCTCCGTCGTGGTTTCTTTTTCTCTTTGTTTAATGGGTGTATCATATGTTATTGTAGGAATTATAGTAAATCTTATATATATGATTGCCACTAATAGTTCCTATTCTATTCTTGATATTAATACTACTAGCATGGTGGTTTACGAAAATTCTCCGATGTAATTTTCTCTCCCCTGTATCTTTTCTTTTTTCTAAATTGCAAAATAGCCTCTCTGCCAGAGGGACCTAGATCGCCCCCACCCACACAAGGCGGTTGTTCCGAGACCCCAGGTGGCTGAGGACCCGTGATCATCGATTGGTCGACCGTTGCCCTGATATTCTACATGGCCATTGTCTGACATTATTACTGTCCATTTCCCCCATATAAACACAGATTATCACAATCACATTGTTTATCCAGTGGGAGGAATCCTATTGAGAAAAAAAAAAAAAAAAAAAGCAACAAGAGGAATGTACTTTCCTTTTTAGGCCCCATCACCCCGTAATCCACCACTTTTTGTAAGCGATTACCTAAGTTGCACCCTCCAAACCGCAGTCTCGAATGCTCTTTTTCGCCCCGTTTTGATTTTGCCCCCTTTATTAACCAAGCCTCGCCTAGATCCCTCACAAGCCCTGCTATTGGGGCTATCCACTATTTCTTAGATCTCTGTCCTTGGCAAATAAACTTTTTGATGGGCTTTGACAATTTATCCCTTATAAAGAAAAAAAGAAAAAGACAGCTTGCAACGTTTCATTATTTTCTACTTACAGTAATAATAGGATCTTTGCACCTATCATCCATGATACTTCAAATATATCATCCACCCATAGTAAATCTAGGTAGCACCTTACTGGTAAAAAAAAAAAAGAAAAAAAAAAAAAGAAACATCGCCTCTCTCTTTTTCTTTTAGTAGGAAAAAAGGCATCCTTTACTGTCTGTATCTCAATGACCTACGTTTCATTCTAGTCAACACAAGAATCTAGACCATAACCACTCGTTTCTATTTAATGTAAGCACCTAATTTAGAGGGTCTTTGACACTGTAATTGAAAAAAATTATTTGTCAAGCTCTAACAATTTTCTTCTCAATTACCATTATGTTTGATCCACAAGATCAATTTCAACTCCAAATGAATCGAGCATCAAAAAGCATCATTAGAAGAGAATATGGGACTGGGAATATGGCTGGAATTGTACATGAGTAACCCACCATTAGATCAGAAAACACGTGGGGCTTGTCCTGTATCAAAGTCCTCATAAAATTTTCCTCAGGATGTATACTTGGTTATCTTTTATGTGATCACATATTGGTGAAAAAATCTTGGCTCAGCATCTTGCAACATATCATCCCCGTAGTAGCTTTTGTATGTCCATGTAGATGTGACTGAAAAAGATTTTTTTTTTTTCCAATAATGTAGAGAGGTTACAAGATGCAATTTAAAATTTAAATGTTGCTTTCCTGGTAAAACTGTCAGTTTCATCTTTATATAATTTGAAGCAATAGCATTGCCAAATCTGATGTGATGTAGGTTTGGAATAGTCATAAAAAGCTCACGATTTAATGACATATAGCTTCTATGTTTTTCAAACCGAAAAAAAGATTTTTTTAGGATTTTTTTAGAAATTGATCTAGAAAGAAATTTAATACGATACCTACTATGGGTGATTATCTAAACAAATATTAAGGACTGTAACAAGGGCTGTTATCTTCTGATACTCTTAATCTAAAGCTTCAAAATATAAACTGAAATAGAAAAGTTTTCACTTACTTCAAAAATTACAATACACATATACATCCACAAACACTCACATGTATTTAACTGTTAGAACTTGTACTACTTTCAACATATTTTAGAGCAGGTGGTACCATCACCTTTTTGATGAACGGTTTCCTATGGCAATATTTTTGACTAGTCCAGGAACAATTTCTCACACAACGCTATTTCTGCAAAATAGTTTCTCTTTGTTTGGTTTAATCTTTAATTTGAGTCCACTTAACCCTTTTACTATCTTAAACAATCGACACTTATTTCTTGCTAGCTACAATTTATTCAATTAATCTTGGTAAATCTATCTTGTTGATGATAACGATAAGATGCAGGTCATTACCCGCACATAATGTTGGGATGCTGTGCGGGTTACTGGTGATGCTGGTCAATTATTGCAATTCGAAAAATTCCAAATCACCATTATCTTATTCTGTCGAAGTGTTAAAATTGAACTATATCAACTGTGAAATTTATATCAAACTCAACACAATGGTAAGTTTCTACACTAATAATGGGATAAATATTGCTATCCTATTATCAACTAAAGGGACGAGGAAAAGTTTCATCACCAACGCTTTACAGGAGTCTTTTTTTTTTTTTCAATTTTCAAGTTTCTGATATGATGATTCACACGTCAGTTCATTGTTGATTGATATTTTTTTATTTATTTTTTATTTTCTCTCTTCATCTTTCTCATAATATATTAACTAACATAACCGTTACTATAGTCCTCTTCAGCAGTCCCAGGTGGTGCCAGAACTTTGGCCAAGCGTCGTAATGCCAAAGATAAGGCCAGTTCTACCCCAAACTCTGCTCGTTCCGCAGGCGCTAACGGTTCTTCTGCTGCCATGTTGAAGCTTTTCACCGATGAAGCTGATGGGCTTAATGTTGACCCATTGGTGGTGTTGTTCTTGTCTGTTGGTTTCATCTTCTCCGTTATTGCTTTGCATGTCATCGCTAAGATCACCGGAAAGTTGACCGCTTAAATGTCCTCACCAAAAAGAAAAAGGCTTTCCCCTCTTGATATTTTTTTTCTCTCTTTTGCTTCATAACGATTTTTCAATACTTCACATGAAAATTACCTTGGTTGATTGAGATGAAAGTATCTTTGATAACCATCGAATAGGAAATGAAGACGAATGTGAATTATCATGGTGTAAGGAAAGAAACCAAAAAAAACAACAACAAAATCTTCCTGATTATTTGTCAAGGATTGTTAATTTATTAATGGTTGGATTATTATTGTTCATTTGTTGCGTTACGAATTCAGATCATTAGTTTTTATGCTCATAATTTTTTATCATTTTCGCTCAATTTTTTTTTATCATCTTTATTTCGTCCATATTGGCAATGTCCATTATGCTGTTCTGTCTAATATTATTTTCTTTGTCTTAGATATTATGTTGTAAACTATTAATCTTTACCAATATCAGTTATACAAAAACGTATTGGATAATAGTATTATCATCTATTCACAAGCATCTACACATATACAAAAATAAATATACAATCACAATGATCACAAATCTTTCAATAACACCTTCAAAACCTCTGCAACTTTTTCTAGACTCACCACATGTTTTTCATTGCCTCTTGCATCGACAAATGAGTCCCATTGCCAATCTTTGGCATTTTTCTCGTGTGCAACTTCCCATGCCCATTTATCATCCTTTTTGGTAAACGGTCTACTTCTAACTTCAATTTCTATCTTTGGATGTGATGAGCCACCAACAATCACGCATAATGGAACCCCAACCATAGCACTTTCTCTGATCCTCATTGGCAAGCTCGAATCTCTCTTATCCACCAAGAAATCAACCTTGGCATCATCAAGTTGTTCAACAAGTTTCGAAACTTCTGATTCATCCGAATTTTTGGCAACGATCACCAGAGCCTCATATGGGGCGATACTTGCTGGGAAAGCGATACCTTTAGGATCACGTAACACTTCGGCGACCGATGCCAAAAGTCTAGAAACCCCAATCCCATAACATCCCATTTCGAACAATTGAGGCTTTTGATCACGATCTTTAAACCCAGCGTTCAATGGGGCAGAATATCTAGTGCCCAAATAGAAAGTGTGACCGACTTCAATGGCTCTCATGGATTGTAAATGACCGTTATTACACCCACCACAGACTTCACCTTCATGAGCATCAACGATGGAAATATCGGTAAATGAGGTGAAATTATTGCGTTGGAATTTGATTCCATCAGGAAAGTCTGGAAGCTTTGAGGCTGAGGTTACTCTAGGATCAATAACCCTAATAATCCCTTTCACTGCCACTTCATCGGCATCTTTTTTGAATTTCTCAAGCACTTGATCGTTTGTCAACAGGTCGTCTAGGTCAATATCGTCGATTTCCAGTTTCGCCATGCTTGGATTGAATATTCTGTCACTAGGGAAATACATGGCAATCAATGTGGAATTATCCTTGGTGGTGAAGTATTTCACGGAGGCCTCTTTGGCAGGCTCCGATCCTTCTATTGGAAAACCAATTGTTTTTTCAACATTACTAACTTCTCCACAAGAATCACATTCCATAAGGGTATCTTCACCGGTTGGATGAACAAAATGCCATTCTAAGGATAGATCACCCCCGATACTTCCTGAATCGGCAGCAGCAGATTTGAATGGAACTTTCAAGTCTTGGAAGATTTTACGATACGCCCCATTGACATCATCAAAAGTTTTCATCGCTGATTTTGCATCGATATCAAATGAGTACCCATCCTTCATCACGAACTCCCTCCCTCTTAAGAGCCCAAATCGTGGACGCTTTTCATCCCGATACTTTCTGGTGATCTGGTACGCCCTCACCGGTAATTGTTTGTAACTTTGTACTGATTTGTTCACCACATCTGTGATCTCCTCTTCACAAGTCGCCACAAGACACAAATCTCCACGTTTGGCGTCCTTAAGCTTGAATAATTCGGTATTTCCCCATCTCCCAGTCTGTTCCCAAAGATGTGATGGGGATAAGGAAGATAAACTAACTTCTTCGAACCCAATTTCTCCCATCCGACGATGGAGGATTGACTCAAGTTTTCGAAGCACTCGAAGTCCATTAGGCATCCAGTGGACTAATCCTGCAGCAGGTTGTTTGATAAACCCCACACGCTGGAGTAATTCATGGGTTGGAATTTCCGATTTGTCTTTTGGGATGCTTTTGAAGTCTCCATATACGCTATTCTTCACGATAGTCGAATGGTGGCGATTAAAGCCATTAAAGAGGTTAGTAGTCTCTCGAGGGAGACATCTGGCTCTGAACATGGTATTATTTGAAGATATTAAATAATAATATATAATAGTTAAATGGCACTATTGATATATTTCGAATAAAGATTATATAATTAGTACCCTCACCCGGACGGAGACTGATTTTTTTTTCTTTGGGTGCCAACAGGTCGGTAAAGCCCTTCAGAGAGAACCTTAGATTAAAGACTTTCCTTCTGGTGATGTATTATATCATTTTACTGCTGTGATCAGAAAGCTTAAAACAACTTAGACTCCAGCCTATCCCTTAACAATTACCTCTGTGATTGATGGGCTCTAATCAATTTGGCTTGCTTGCTGCAACATATCTCAATTCATAGAAATGATAATGTTCTACCTTGGACCGTATTTTGATAAGCAGCTATCTAGCTTGTTTCTCTGATTTAAGTCTACTTTGAACAGACCATGGATTCATGACCGAACGCTAGTTAATCTCCGCTACATCCATTTTCTGGATAATGAATATGCTCTGTGCGTACTTCAGAACCATATGCTAGTTTAACCACAATACAACTTTTGTAAAGCTGGAGTATTATTGTGCATTTGTATTCTTTTTGACATTTTTCTGATATATTTCGAGCTCCATATATCATGGATTCTATCTTGTTGCGTGATCATATATAAGTGCTAGCTACAGTCTATCTTGTCGTACAGCCATAATTCCAAAAGTTTCACTTACTTGTCCCTTTGTTTTAATTACAAAATAGCATAAAGTATATGTTACAATTTTGGTACTTTTCCCAATGCTGGCCCTTGAATAATCAAGTATTGTCATCTTGCTCCATATCCAAAAACTGTTACATTCTCATGCCTATTACTGATATATCGTTAAAGCCTTTTCTAAGTTCTTTGATATGACGCTAATGAAAGTGAAGATAATGACCAGAAAGTAAGTGAGGAACAGTGATTGAGGTGCTGACTTAAGTACAGGATCTAGTAGCAAAGAGCAAAAGTGTTGGATGAGGAGAAGGATCAGAATGATAAATTCAACGTGCTTAAAAATTTTTTGTGACATTATACGCAGAGAATTGCCATTTCTTTACCCTCTCCAGTGGCAATTATGGTGATGCCATCGATGAAACCTAGTAACTCTGCTTTAGGTTTCATTATGGTGGCATAAATATCGTTGGAGTGTATGTGAAGCAAAAATCGGCTTATTGGCGATGGACAGATACCATTCTTGGGTGGTGGGAAGATAAAATTGCCAAAGTTTTTGATTTCATGGATCACAATTTTGAGACAGGTTTCCTGAAATCTTTTGGGTATCTGAAGGCAACATCAAAGTGAAAACAGAAAACACGCTCCTTGCCATCCTTACGACAGTCAAATTTCAACTCACAAATTTTATTGAATGGCCAAGATAACTTGATTTTGACAATTTTCAGTGTCTCGGTTCGTGGAACCAAATATATGGTGATTCACAGAAACTTGGTCTTGATTTTCATTTTCTATCATCTTTCATAATTTGGTGTTCATCATGATATTCCTCATATGACTTTCCGCCTTCTCTCATAATTTCTATTTCTTCATCATCTGGATCATCATAAGAAACTAATTTCTTGAGAGCACGAGCCAATCATTTCATCATCACTATAATCATCTTAATTTTTGGGAGCTATCAGTAGGTTACTGTTCATCCTAATAATTGACCAACATTGAAGCTGATGGTAATATTGTGAGTTCTAACATAGCCAACCCAAACACCACTGCTAGTAGTTCCGTGTCTTCGACATGATCACGCCAACTGGTGCACCCGGACTAATCAAATATCTTATTTATTTCAAATGCACGAGCGCTTCAAAGTCACTATCACTATTTTGTCACTCTTTATTGTCATCTTCTTGTCAAGAGATCAGCTCTGCACTTGATCAAATCAGTTTGGTAAGCAGAACTAATAGGGCCAACATATTTCCAGCGATTGAATTTGGAAATGACTGGATTATATAGACCTACGCTGCAGAAGAAAATATGTTACTGAATAATAATATTATTATTTAATTATATAATGAAATCAATATCACAACAACCACCGGTACTCCTGATGTAAAATGGCAGTATAAACACGTGATAATCTCCTGAATCAGAGAGGGAAAAAAAAGCAATAATTTTTGAGATGAGAGAAATAGGCGGATTAACACCATCCCACCAATTGATTATCTGACAGTTACGAAATTATCCGAGAGTCAGCAAAGGAAGCTCTATTTTTTTTTATCTTCTTTTATATTACAAAAATATATGTCTGTCCCAAGAGCAAAACCTTGGGAAGTATCGCTGGGAACATCTGCTGCAGGTAAGAATATGATAAGCTTTTTCCATCATTTGTCACACACAGTTCCAAAAAATACTAACACAACTTTTAGCTGCCTCAGGAGAAACACAAATAATGGACGATATACTAAATAATGCTCCTGCAGCGACCACCAGTACAGCCCTACCGCCGAAACCAGATTCTCTAGGACAACTGGCAATAACGAATAATGGAGGTATGGAAGGTGATATTGGAGGTAACCCTTACGGAAGTGCTTTTGGCTCACGATATGGTCTGATGTACGGCTCGAGCTTGGGTGGATATGGAGGATACGGAGGATATGGGGGTATGGGTATGGGTATGGGCCTTGGAGGTCTTGGAAGTTATGGAGGATATGGAGGATACGGGATGATGAATGGGATGGGGATGGCGGGGATGGCCAATGGCGGGATGGGAGGATTAGCCGCAAGTACCCAAGCGACATTCCAATTAATTGAGAGTTTGATTGGGGCCGTAGGAGGGTTTGCTCAGATGTTGGAGGCGACGTATATGGCGACCCAATCGTCATTTTTCACCATGATGTCGGTGGGAGAGCAGATGGGGAATCTTCGAAATGCGTTGGGGTCAGTGTTTGGGATATTCACCATTATCAAGTATATCAAAAAACTATTACACAAAATCACCGGTCTAAGAATATTCAAGGAAAAAGTCAACTTTAGCACCGAGGAGTTCCATGAATTCAGCAGTGGCCCAAATAAAAAGAAACCACGGATTTCTTTGAAGCCGTTATTGATCTTTGTGGCTGCGGTCTTCGGTATCCCATATTTATTGAATAAGCTTGTCAAAGCTCTAGCACAACAACATCAAATGCGTAACCAGCGATTCAATGGCGGTATGCCAGGGGGATTTATTGGTAATGGAGAACCACTTGATCCAAAAAGTATCGAATTTTGCAGAGCGTTGTATGATTTTAACCCAGAAGATCCAAATATCGAGTTAGCAATGAAACAAGGAGGACTTTATGCGGTGTTGTCAAAGAACGATCCATTTGGAAAGCCTTCTCAGTGGTGGAAGTGCCGCTCTCGTGATGGTAAAGTTGGTTATGTTCCTTACAATTATTTAGAAGTTATACAAAGATCAGCTCTTCAAGAAAAAGTGGCAACCCAGAATCTCGAGACTGTGAATTCTAGCCCTCATGATATTAAGAATTAGTTCTCCATTTTCCCTACGTTTTTGTTGTGGTTTTCTTAATTTTTTTTTTTTTTTTTTTTTACTTTACCAATCTGGTTTCAATATATTTATTTGGATGTAATTAAATATAAATGATGTAAACCTGGTATGTAGTGAGAAATAAAAATCATAAAAACGAATAACGGAGAAACAAACTACCTCAGTCTCAAACAGAGAAAGTCGACAATAATAAACGAACCCCACAAACTAGGCTAGCCTCTTCTACAAACCATCATCGGCTCTATTTTGTTCACTCTCTACTTTCTTCCCCTTATCGGCCAAACTGTCATAGCCTTTGAAATTCTTCTTGACCTCGGGGGTGCTTGACTCCTCCCGGTTTTTACTTGTCTTTAATTTTGCATCTGCTTCATGCTTCAATTTATCCTTTGCCTCGCCAAACTGTTCTCCAGATTTGTGCGACACACTATCCATCGTTTTCTTTGTCTTCTGGGCCGCCAGTTCTGCTTTATCCAAAATATTGATAGCGATATCCCCGAGCTTGTGGTTGATGGTATCGGCGGTATGCTTGATGTTTTCGGAAATCGATTTGTTAGCTGCGACGCAGACCCCAAAGCTCCTGTAATGACAAGGGGTTCTTGAAATAATCCGGATATTTGATCTCAATAGGTAAAACATTTTTATGGTGTTATGGTTGATGCAATTATCAAGAAACGGTCACCCCAGTCAATGGTTTTATTTATATATCACCAAAGCTTGCTATGTGCGAGAACCCCACCTTGGACCAAATGACAACAACCTCCCCATTTCTTTTCTTCTGTGCCAGGTGACACTACCTTTTTTCTTTTTTGGGTGGTGGTCATAAATAAAAAGGATAATACGGATGTGGAAAATATTGTGACAATAGTAATAATAATAATAACAATAATAATAATAATAGTAATAGTAATAATAGCAAAAATCATCTGTGGTGATGTGCCACACCAACAATGCATCACTGCGCATCGCACTGCGTGTTATCTTATCAGTCAGTCGTCACAGTTTATCTGAAAATGACATAAATCGTCGACGTCAAATAATTTTTCCTCCTGTGATTTCTCTTATCTTATATATTATTATCATCATTTTTAACACAGCTACCCCTCCGTCACTCTTCCAAAGAAAGATAATATTGGTTACTTATTTTCCCTCTCTCTCTATCCTGTCATTTCCTTACCCAACACAGACAATTGCTATCACCTGCTCCGTGTATCAAAAATCATCCTGAATCTCCTTTCGTGTCGAATTTGGCCAATAATCCCACCCCTACCCCCCAACCATCAATCATCCATTGACGAATATTGTTTACAGCTCTTTCTATTCACACTATACCGATCTCTATTAATACATATATACCAGAAGGCTTCACAACAACCCTACAGACAAAAAAAAAAAAAAAATTCTCTCTCTTTTTTTTTTTCAAGGCGACGCACCTAACTTCTCTTTTCGAACGCAAAAATACGGCCCCAAATTTTCCGTGAATTAATTTCTGACAATCAATCGTTCGATTCTTTCTTTCCACAAGAGATACATCACAATTGTCATTACTCCGGCTCATCGATAATCACATATGAACCTCCTGGAGTCTCTACCCTCGTTGACCTTCGAGGCGGCCCCACCATCTGACCCGAACTCTCTTTCTCATACTATCTCTTTGACATCGGGGTATATCTCATTATCCTTTTGGCTCTTTGCCCAGATCCCCCAAGTGATCGAGAATTACAAAAACCAATCGGTTGATGGTATTGCCTTTGGATTCTTGGCATCGTGGGTCGCTGGTGATGTGTCTAACTTGATTGGTTGTATATTAACCAATGCCCTTCCGTTCCAAGTATTGTTATCGAGTTATTATTGTTGTATCGACCTTATCTTGTGCTCACAATACCTCTACTACACCAAAATATACCCAAAGATCAAACATCATCGATACTTCTCTACCCAAAGATTACAGAAATTAACCAGTGATGATCTACAAGAACAGCCGTCTTCCCCAGAAGCAGAGTTCCCATCAGAGCATATCTTATCGCCGCCAACATTTTCCCAGCCCATCGCCATCGGGGGAGGCAAACCGGCACCAAAGATGAACTTTGTCAATAATGTCCTCAATAATGTCAATAATAATAACCACAATCAGAGCAAGGGAGGAAGTCTGTTCACCTCTCTTTTACCAACCGGCAATTCATTTTCCAATATGGTTACTGGTTCCTTTCTTGCCAGTTTTGGTAAAGTTCGGGGCGCCCCAATTGGCATCACTAATATTAATAATCATAATACGATTTCTACTATGGACTCAATGTTTACAGTATTAGGGGAGAATTCGGAACTTATTGGCAAAATATTCGCGTGGTTTTGTACGCTGCTTTATTTATCGGCAAGAATCCCCCAACTTGTGAAGAATTATCATCGCAAATCCACCGAAGGACTTTCGATTCTTTTGTTTTTTTGCGCGCTTAATGGGAACATTTTCTATACGTTATCGATCCTCACCAGCGACGATTTTGCCCAAGCCCCTAACTCCGAAGTCCGATGGGATTTCTTTATTCGGGAATTACCATATATTTTAGGATCTGCGGGAACAATAGCGTTTGATTTATTGGCATTATATCAATGGAAAATTTATCGAGATAATGCTTCTCGTTATCAACCACTTTCTTCCAATGATATACAGCATCATCATCATCCACACCAACATAATGAAGACACGACCACTACAGACATTGGATTAGGACTTTCGTCTAGTGCTGAAGAATATGAAACAAAAGCCCTGCATTCTACCAATATCCCGGTGACCCAACCTTCCGAATCAGAAAACATGCCATTTTCCCATACTATGAATGGTTTTTTAGGAACTCATAATAATAAAAGCACTTCATCACTAACCAATTTCCATACCGATCGTGGTGGTGCTGGTGCTGGTCAAATATTTGACCAACAAGAACCAGAACAGACGAAATTATTATTCTCATCACTTAAAGAATTACTAGGAGATCCCAATGAGCGATCACGACTTTCCTTTGATTCTACGAAACGATCATACGGTAGTATTTTCGATGCGCCTGCACCTCCGGTGACCCATGCCTCTTCCAGCACCACTATCCCTCCTTCATCTAGAGGGGCTAATGGGAGGGCTAATAGCAGTGTAATGAACACCCCATTGACCCCATGGGATCTTCTCGATCTACCAACTGATCCAAGTGATAATACTGACGAGGAGGTCGAAGGGTATTCTAAGGACCCGATGTATAGCCTTGGGGAAGAGCCAACACAAAACGTTCCAAGACAGTTCAATGATATTCCGTCGTTCAATGCTAATAATAAGAATCACAACAATCCTAAACCAACGCAGTATGGTGTGATTGTGGATTAATAATTACAAGCGCTACAACTTTCGTTGAGCACACTATGATTGCATTTTTTTTTTTTCATTATATGAGACATTTCTTTAAATTCATTCTTTTCAATTTCTTTTCTTTATTACTTGGCAGACAAATTTTTTTTTTCTTCTTTTAAATTGCATCTTATGATTTATATCTTATTTACAACAATTCAATTCCTGGGAGGAGGGAGGGGGTGGGGGTCATATTTTACCAAAATATCGAAGAGAAAAGAAAGATAAGAGTTGGAAATCATCATTAATACTACTAAGGAGGAAGGTTTTTTTTTGTTTCACTAAATTTCTATTTCGATTTTAGATTTTAATTACTTGATTTCTCTATTACTGTTTTCTTTTTTTTTTTATTGCATGAGTTTGGATAGAATTTACTATAGAATTTTCGCTGGTGATCATATCATATCATCATTAATTTGTAATGACTGCGCTTCTTCTTCTTCTTTTTCTTCTTCTCAGTTCTTCTCTAGATTTTCACATTTGAGTTTATATTTGTTTAATCATATACATATATATTCTAACGTTTTTTGAATATTCATATCCATGTAGGTCTAATAATTTGAAAAATCTTATCATCCTGCGTTCCTGCCATCCATCGTCTAAATGATACATCCCCAACCTCGTCTAAAAGTATTCCATTTCTGGAGAATATACATGATTTTTCTACAAATCCAGGTAATCGATCTAAATAACTAATAACACATAATAATAATATCTACTTCACAATTTTTAAAAATACTGTACAAAATTAAAATAAGAAAGTAAAGGAATAATCATAATAAAAGAAAAACAAATAAAAAAAAAAAAAAAACATGTCAAGTAATCACAATAAAAATTTTGTAAGAAAGTAAAAGAAAAAACGTATTTATATATAATTCAAGAAGGAAACTTAGAAAATTCCATTCTCACCAAATAAGAAAAAAAGAAAAATAATTGTTGAAAATTCCTTATTATTCAATGATGGGGGAGGTATCATGAAAATCACTGAAAATCAACTGTAAAAAATCATGAAAGAAAAAAAAAAATCATAAAAGGATCGTTATGGCAAAAGAAAAAGAAAAAAGAAAGTAATAATAAAAAAAAACTCAAAATATCAACCTTATATTAATACCTCATCCTCCTCGACTATTGGTTCACTAATCACATTCTCATTGTTAGTATCTTGTGGAGCCACAATATTCAATAATCTCAAACCTCCAACTTTTGGACCTTTAACCACAGCTTCAGCTGCCGGAGTAACAGAAGGCTTAGTACCAAGGAATTCATGCATCGAGTTGTTGGAAATTCCTTGCTCCAAACTTGGCGATAATAATAGTTGATTACCAGCCATTTCACCACTTGCGTCATTATCACCAATAATACTTCCCAAGACATCAGCAACCTCAAGAAGTCGAGTATTATGTTGTTTATTTTTTTCGTGTTGTTCCGCTCTACGGGCGGCATTGTTGTACGACATCTTGGCCACGAGATAACTGGCATTTGCCGCAGTATCAGCAAACTGCTGAATCTTTTGAGCGGCAAGATATTCACGAGTCTCAGCAGCAATACGAAGTTCTTGGATTGCTTTCATCAACAAAGCCTCTTTTGGAACATTAATGGCCTTACGGAATACGTCCTCTTCTTCGTCATTCGCAGAAATATCTTCAATATTCAATTGATCTGAAGAAGATGATGATGGAGGAGTCTCGGCTTCTTTAGATAATGACGCCAGGGATTTTTCCGGGGTGGTGGCAACACTTTTTGAGGCAACTTCTTTTGATTTAGAGTATAATGATGAGCTTCTAGAAATCGATGTTGAATAACTATTATTTTGGTGAGTATAGGTCGCTGGAACATCGGAAAACACCGATGGACTGGTCTCAGTGCTCTCATTGAGCAAATCAGGAGAAGATGCAAAAATTTCCGTTGGGGTCAACAAGTCGTTAAGTTGGTTATCGTAATTGGCATTGATGTTTATCAAAGCAGGATTCGCTTGGGCAATTGCCAATTTTTCTTTGAGCAATTGAGGAGGAATATAAAGCACGGAATCTTTGAGGAAATCAATAAAGAATGAGAAACCCTCGTGTGATTCATTACGAAGATACTCTGTTTTCGCTTCGGTCTCGGCATCCAAATTTGTGGTCTGCAATTCCAATGCAGAAACTTGTTCTTCGAGCGCCAGTATCTCCTTCTTTAATTTTTGATTGGCGTTCATCTTGTTTTCAATGATGGCATCATATTCAAACTTGATATTGTAACGCTGCTTGACAAGATTTTGATTCATTTCTTCCAATTTCTGTTGGTATTGTAGTACAAGATTTTTATGGTTCAGGACTTCTGTCTCGTAAAATTTGAGCTTTTGTTCAGTTTCCGGATCCACTGTTGGTGAACTTTCTTGATCAGCAGCTGTCAATGCATCTTGTTGAAGCCGTGAAATTTCTTCTTCATATTGGTTAATTTTCTCGTATTGTTCATTGGTATAAGTTTCCATTTCTTTTATTATTTCATTTTTTTGTTGTAGTTCTTTGATTCTCGTTACCAATTCTTTATTCTTGGAGTTGAGTTCGCCACTCAAAAATTGGTTTTCTTGCTCGAGTGAAGCGTATTGTTTCATGATTTTTTCATCCATCATTGGATTATTACTAGATCTCACGGATAAAGATTTTCTAATTTGTTCGTCTTTATCATTAAGTTCGCTTTGTAATTCTTTGATTTTCTCTTCCATAGCGATGATATCAATACTCAGCATTCTAGGAGGGTTTGGAGGTTGAGGACTTTTAGGGGATCCTGGGTGTACACCACGAGCTCTTGGTGGGAAAAACCCATGGGGGGCACCATTAATTGGAGGGCTATGAGCAGTAGCGCTAGATCTAGGACTGGATTTTGGGTTCAAGGGTGAGTTATTCCCCCCACTGCCGCTGGAGGCAGAGGACATTGAGTTAACACGCGAAGGGTTGGAAAAACTGGACATTACTGGGGAGCTTGGTCTGGTGTTTTTAAGATGTTGGGACGCGGCGGATGCGAGAGAGCCTCCTGGACGTCTTGTTTGACGCTTACTGACAAGGGAAAGCTCTGTTTCTTTTAATCCGGCATGTCTGATATCAAACGCGTTGAGGTCGAAGTTTGGTTGTTGATGTTGATGTTGTTGGCGTTGAGGCGAAGGGAATTTCGGGATCGAGGCGGGAGGGGCAATCATTGAGCCAATATCCGAAGTATTATTCAAAAGGTCTTTGTGCCTTGCTGATTCGACTGAGAACATGATGGCACGTTTGTTGAAGGGGATCCCACAAGAATGTGTTGTTGTTATTTTTTGATTGATGGACACAATAGAGGGGCTTGAGGACAATAATTTTTTGCTGGCTAGACGGAAGTACTAAGAAACGGGAACAGCAGGCAGACGATTTAGAAAGGGGGAGGAAGGAGCCCAATAGTGACAATCTATAAATATATGTTGGATAGCGAATGGATAGGTGAGAGAGTTAATAGATGGTGGGGATATATTATTTAATAGAGAAGAATGGGTCTGTTGGTGTTTTTTTTCCTTCTAGGATGTGTATATATACATGTATTGTACAATAGTGCTTATGAGAAATTCAATTTTTTTTTTTTTTTTTTTGTGATTTTGCGTTTTCTTTTTTATTTTTTTTTTTGTCTCCAAAGCACCGGTGTTTCCATTGGAACTGCAAAAGGCGCCGATCTTCCGTTTGGCCACGGTCGTCCTTCCTGTCACGTACATACGCTTGCAGCAAAGTGCGCGAATACTCGCCCAGACACCGCGGTCTCAATAGGGCAAGCAGAATCCTATTGTTGTTACCACTATAACATTTGCTATTGACTCGCCACCCAACAGACAATACTCTTCCTCTCTTTATTTGACACTCACAATGTAACAGTGTCCTTCCAAAGGATCTATACCCATAGCAATAAGGTCTGGTGTTCTTTCATTATATACACAAGTGTAGACAGTACAAGCTTCTTCTTGAATATCGGTGTACAAAACAACACTGTCTTCTCACTTCGCTAAATAGTTACCCAACTACATTACTATTTAGTCACCTACTACCAACAACAATACCATCATCATCCTCACCCTATTCATTTAAGATTCTCTCAACCTGCCAGTCTTGTTGTTGTCCCCGCTGCTGCTGCTGCTATTGGTGGTGGTGTCTGGGTGGTGGTGATGATGATGAGAATCATTTAAAAGTCCGGGTAATAAAAGTCGCCTCTCCCCGAAATAACTCGCTGGAATTTTTCGCGTTTGTTTTGATCTCAACTCACGTCTCATCTCATCTCATCTCATCTCCTCTTATCGATATTACCTGTATGCTATCAACTGAAAGAAAATAAATAAATAAATATAAATATATCACTGTTACTTACTGCCTCAATTGTATTATAGACATAAATATTATACTCATATAAATATTATCATAGATCATGTCCCAAATTGATATACAAACCGAATCCCATCCCCAACAACAGCAGCAAGAAGAAGAATACGATGATGAGGAGTTTTCTGGTCCAATGCCCATCTCTAAGCTTGAAGTATGTATTCAACATGCCTCTAAAACCATTTGAAACCTTTTCTTACACTAACACTCACTCAATAGGGAAATGGAATCACTCCCGGTGATATCAAAAAACTAATGGAAGCAGGTTATCATACCGTCGAATCTATTGCTTACACGTACGTATTACAACATATCAAACAGTACTAACCAGGTGCCATACTAACGTAAATCAGTCCTAAAAAAGCCCTTCTCCAAGTTAAAGGTATTTCCGAAAACAAAGGCGACAAGCTTCTTGCCGCTGCTGCCCAATTTGTCCCGATGGGGTTTACCACGGCAACGGATTTTCATAAACGTCGTTCAGAACTTATTTGTCTCACCACCGGCTCAAAACAACTCGATACCCTTCTTGGTGGTGGGATTGAAACCGGTTCGATTACCGAAGTTTTTGGAGAATTCCGTACTGGGAAATCGCAACTATGTCATACTTTGGCGGTGACTTGCCAACTCCCAATAGATATGGGTGGCGGGGAAGGTAAATGTCTTTATATCGATACCGAAGGAACTTTTCGTCCCATTCGTCTTGTTTCAATTGCTCGTCGTTACGGTTTAAACGAAGAAGACGCTCTCGACAATGTGGCGTATGCTAGAGCTTACAATGCTGATCATCAACTACAGCTTCTTACGCAAGCGGCGCAAATGATGACCGAATCCCGGTTCTCTTTACTCATTGTCGACTCAATCATGGCATTGTATCGTACTGATTATTCTGGTCGTGGTGAATTAAGCGCTCGTCAAATGCATGTTGCTAAATATATGAGAGCCCTTCAAAGATTGGCTGATGAGTTTGGAATCGCCGTGGTCATCACCAATCAAGTGGTAGCCCAGGTAGATGGAGGAATGTCATTTAATCCCGATCCAAAGAAACCTATTGGTGGTAATATTTTGGCACATGCGTCGACTACAAGATTGTCATTGAAAAAAGGCAGAGGTGAACAGAGAATTTGCAAAATTTATGATAGTCCTTGTTTGCCAGAAAGTGAATGTGTTTTTGCGATTTACGAAGATGGGATTGCAGACCCAAGAGAAGAAGGTGACGATTGACAATAACGTAATATTCATTCTATTTATTCTATGTGTGCTCTGTTTTATTTTATTTTTCCATCTTCTCAAAATATCTTTATATAATACACTCCTTATAAACTCTTCAATTGCCTATGATCTTGCTACCCTTGTTTTTTCCCAATCTAATATCATCACCACCTAGTGTGTGACGCGTCATGGCGAAAAATTCAAATCAAGTCACGTAAAATAAAAAAAAAAAAAAAAATAAGAGAAAAAAAAAATGCGAAGCATTTATTTATATATAACATGTACGTGTGGATCAACACTTTCCATCAAGTTTATCTTATAAAATTATAAAACTATACTCAAAAGAAAGAAAATTACAATAATTGACAATTTCTTCTCAATTATTGTGGCTTCTTTTTTTTTTGCTCTTGATTCCATATGCAAAGAATTCCTATTGCTTATTTACTTAGAACCTCGCTGTCTATCAACATAATTCCATTTATCCATAGGAAATCACTGCTATATATTTATCCTACAACATTAATCATGGCAAAACAACAAACTTTGGCAAGATTTTTCACCTCAATGAAAAAAAATACGTCAAAATCAGTGAAGGAAACTGATGACCAGAAGAAATCCGATACCCCAAAATCACCAGAGAAAAAGAAAATCATCAAAGATGAAGAAGATCAACAGAAGCAACAAAAATCTGTGGTTGGTAAGAGATCAAGATCAAGCTCCCCGTCAAGATCCTCGTCGCCAAAGAAGCTTAAACCATCTGTCCAAATAAGTGATGAGGACCTTAAAAAGGAACTTGCTGCTGATAAAATCGATACCAAAGTAGCGGGATTGGAGAAATCAAAACCAATTCTTTACAGTCTCCTTTGTAAAACTTTTGATAAGATCGAACAAGAATCTTCTCGTTTGAAAATCATTGAAATTGTTTCAGAATTTTTCTTTGAAGTATTACAAAACAGCCCTGAATCGCTTGTTACCATTATTTATCTATCGATCAATAAACTTGGTCCCGACTATGATAATCTAGAACTTGGTTTAGGAGAAACATTGTTGATCAAGTCGATTTGTGAAAGTACTGGTCGGTCAACCGCTACAATTAAGGCTAATTATAAAGAAACTGGGGATTTGGGGCTGATTGCCCAAACTTCTCGATCCAGACAATCGTTAATGTTCAAACCAAAACCATTGACAATTGAAACCGTTTTCAAGAACTTGAAAGAAATTGCCGAGAGTACCGGGTCGGCATCACAAAGCAAGAAAATCGGAATCATTGTCAGAATGTTGAGTTCTTGTAATGGGGTAGAAGCAAAGTTCTTGATCAGGTCGCTTGAAGGAAAACTTAGAATTGGGTTGGCCGACAAAAGTATATTATTAGCGTTAGCCAAAAGTTTATTGAGCTTTGAGTATCAGAAACAGGGAAAGAATTACAACAAGATCGATCCAAGTTTGATTAGTGATGCGGAATTGCAAATCAAGGATACTTTCAACCAAGTCTCAAATTATGAGGTGATCATTAAAGCTGCAATGGAACACGGGGTTTTAAATCTCAAAGATAATGTCAGCTTACAACCAGGAATTCCTTTGAAACCAATGTTGGCAAAGCCCACAAAAGCCATTACCGAAATCTTGGATAAGTTCAGCAATACCAACTTTACCTGTGAATATAAATATGATGGGGAAAGAGCCCAGATTCACTTGTTATCTGACGGGAAAGTGAAGATTTATTCTAGAAACTCTGAAGATATGACAGAACGTTATCCTGATTTGATCCAGGCACTTTCTAATTTCATCAAGCCTGGAAAACTGGTGAAATCCTTGATTCTTGATAGTGAAGCGGTTGCTTGGGATCGCGTCGACAAGAAAATCCTTCCTTTCCAGGTATTGACTACCAGAAAAAGAAAAGATGTGAAATTAGAGGATATCAAGGTGCAGATTTGTGTGTTTGCTTTTGATTTACTTTGTCTAAACGATGAACCCTTGATTCATAAACCATTCAATGAAAGAAGAGCGATAATGATGGATCATTTACAAATCACTCCAGGACAGTTTCAATTTGCCACGTACAAGAACTTGGAAAATATTGAAGAAATTCAACAATTCTTAGATCAGAGTATCAAAGACTCTTGCGAAGGGTTGATGATTAAATTGATGAGCAGTACCTATGAGCCATCACAACGGTCCAGCAATTGGCTCAAGCTCAAGAAGGATTATCTTCAAGATATCGGTGATTCTATTGATTTGGTATGTCTAGGTGGGTACCATGGTAAAGGTAAACGTACTGGTAAATACGGTGGGTTTTTACTTGGGTGCTACAATCCAGATTCCGGGGAATACGAAACCACTTGCAAAATTGGTACTGGATTCTCCGATGAAGATTTTGCTAGTTTAAGTGAGAAGTTAGTGGGTACCGTTATCAGTCAACCAAAAACTTATTATCGTTACGATAAAGATAATTCCAAAAGTTCTCCAGACGTGTGGTTTGAGCCAAATCTTGTGTTTGAAATCCGGACTGCCGATTTGTCTTTGTCGCCAGTTTATAAGACCGGGGCAGATAAATATGGCAAGGGGATTAGTCTTCGTTTTCCTCGGTTTATTAGACTTCGTGATGATAAAGGACCAGAAGACTCTACTAGTCCTGATCAGATTATAGAACTTTACGAATCGCAGGTCAATATTTGAAATAGTCCCTTATTTTGGATCGCAAAATGAATGTCTAAAACTTTGAAAATCTCGAACTGATTATTACGTGTGATTGATTGTTCACTTATAGTGTTGTATTATTATTATTTCTTTAGCGAAGTGCTTTCTTTTTTCTTCTTCTTCTTCTTCTTCTTCTCCTTCTTCTTTTTGGTACTATAGATCATATTTTCATATATTCTAAGTTTATGATGCTAATTCCGCTTTTGTAAATATTATAAAATGTTTAACAATACCTAGCAAATCTGTGGTTATTATGCTGGTTCAAGCGCCAAGAACAGAAAAAATGTTAGTGAGGAGAAGAGGGCAAAAAAAAAAAAAAAAGCGCCATGATTATTCCTAAAATCCTCTCTATCGCAATGCACTTTCTCTACTCATATGGTTTTAACATTCCCACTCAGAATACCACTGGAACATTTTCACTTTTCTTTGGCACTTTATCGTCCATTTGGCTCACATTGACAAAACAAAAACAAAACAAAGAGATCCTGTTGAAGTCATCTGAGAATTGAGAGATGAAGCAGCATAAACAAATTAAAAAATCCAAATATTCTAGGCTAGGATGCTTCAACTGTAAACGACGGAGATTGAAATGTGGTGAAGAGCTAGATTCTTGCTTCAATTGTTTAGATAAAGGAATACGATGTAGCTATTTGGACCTTACCCCGGAGCAAAAGCAGAAAGTCATTGACGCAAATATAAAAAACAACCCCAATTACTTGCTTGATCCTGGGAATATCGGTAATCAACAGGGAAAGATCCCGGGAAGACGACCCATGGTTGAGTCGTCACCACACTTCAAGAATATGAAGCAAGAGCTTGATAAATTCCAGTTTAGCATGGGGGTATCGCGGTTCAGCATTATTCCTAAAGTTTACGGCCCGAACCATACCACTGGTAATAATAGTGATGACAGCGGCAACAATATCAGTGGCAAACATGCAAACAGGAACAGCTATGGAAAAAGTAATCAATATTCTATTAACAGTATTGATAACTATGACGACAATGATAAAAACACAAAGTCAAAAAATGGCCATGGACAGATGAATATGCACTTTGCAAGATTTAATTTGAATCCGTCGAATCATGGATTTCCTTTGCCAAATCACGAAAATAGCGCCACGACTTTTAAACTTCGTCAATTAAGTATCAGGAAATATCCTCGAACTTTCTCACTGGGAGTCAAGTTTAGTGTATGTGGAGAATACGAGGAAGCTCTTGCCTATGCAAGGGAGTTAATGAGCGGGTGGTTTACTGACTTTTCATACTGCTCGTGGGAATCTTTGGCAGTATACAATGGTGCCATTTCTAGAGCGATGGCGTTGATATTGGTAAACATGGAAAAAGATTGTTACAAAAGCTCGATGGCGGATCGAAGTCCTACCATCATTGGCAACCTTCAAAAATGGCGCAGCCACTACAAATTGAAAGGATTAAGGCATGCCCAGAATGTGATAGAATCTTTGAACCAACCTCAATTGGCATCTAGTATTGAGTATCTCAGATACTTCAGATATTTGTTACATTACTCATTGATCAACATTGGGTTGACTTTACAATCGAAAGCAGAATATTCATCTCTTGCAGCATTCATTAACGGATTCATTTCTAGCTCTTTATCATCTGAGGTAGTTGACAAGGTGTCAAAGGATATACAATATCAATATTGTTGTGATGCTGAGATTCAGGAAGAGCAGAAGTATACCGAATTCATGTTTTCTTCCGTCAGAGATTTTTACTCAAAAATCATAACTAAGGTTTTCGTTCCATCGTATCGAACGGACAGCTTCAAAGAGTTTTTCCAAGAACTATTAAATTTTGAAAGTTTTTTAAGTTATCAGAATTTGAACCCTTATTCCGTGGCGCGGTTCCAACTAAACGATTTGATAAAGTTTATTAGTAATCAAGTTCTCGGTGATCAAAAATTGCTTGATAGCTTCAATCCGAATTTTGTCACCGAACATAATGTTGTGCTTGAATCGAGGTTTACTAATGGATTTTTTGATTTTTTCCCATCTGAAATCGTCTATTTCCAACAGGTTCACAAATCAATTAACACCATCGATAAGATCATGTATCTCCACTGGTCTGCCACAGCGTATTTTTTGGATAATATTTTTCCTGAGGCCGAGTATTTTTTCAGTGCCAAGTTTTCAGGAAGCATTCATTGGGCGGGATTCAATATGGATTTGATCAATGATATTTTGAAAGATCTACAAAACCTTTATGCTAATTCGCAGATTACCAGAGAAGTTTATGAATTCTTGTATCGGAGAACAATTTATTTAACAAGAATGATCTCATTCTTGGCAACTCGTCATAGAGATTACGTTTGCAATTTGGAGTTAATTCATCCATTTCTGAAGACTCCTTCAGTTTTCAAGGAGCGGTTCAGGTTTGCTTCTAGAAAACCTAAATTTGTCAAAGAATTACAATTGACGAGCTTTAAAACTGGGGCGATAATAAAAGAAAATTATCCGGCCAACGATCCTTCACTTATTGAACAATTGAACACCGCGGACTCAATCAGTATGGCGCAACTCAATCATCCTGCAAACATTCGTTATAATGATTCTAAAACCACTGTCAATAAGAATGTTGACCAGAGATATTTTGAAGTGACTTCATTTCTTGATAATTCTACAAATCCGTTTAATGTTTTTGAGTCTCCACTCGAGCTCATGGAACTTTCTGATTCTGGGTTACTAAAGAATATTGATTACCAGCCGGTAATGAACCCTAAATTCAACCAGGCAAATTTCTTCAATTTTCTTGACCTAAAAATGGTACTTCAGAGCTATTCCGAGGACAAGGATATGATTCTTCTGCATCTGAAGACCCTCTGTTGATTTAATAAAATCCCATTACACATAAATATCTAATAAAGTTACAACGTTTCCTACAAATGAAACAGGAGAAACAACGTGTCTATTAGTCAAAATAATCCGGTTTTTTTTTTTCGATGAATTTATAAGATGTTATCATTAATGACAATAAAATGATTAATCACTAATGACAATAAAATGATTACTAAGTCTAACAACGTTAGTAACCGTTATAATTTACTAGGTATTGGCGTGTTGTGTTGTAGAAAGAACAATTATTGATCCAAACAAAAGTCAAAAAAGTATAAACTTTGCGCACTCCAAGAAAAAAAAAACGCAAAAAGGTGAACGTTTGGTGCTTAAATAGGAAAAAGGAAGAAGAAAGGAAGATAAAGAATATTGTTTTTTAGTTATTATTTTTTAGTTATTTGTTTCTTTTTGTCATTTTTTTTTATTTTATCACACTGGGGTCGTATAATAGTAATAGTAATATTGCCGTTCAAAAACAGTTGTGTTCTTTTTCGTGGGTGGAAGTATTGTTGTTAATACCGAGCGGTGACCATAGTACATGAACAATGACCACTCCAACATTTATCAACATCCATGACCCCAGCGCCATAGATTCATCGAAGAAGAAACGGAAAAAGCACAAGAATTCGCGGTTAGGATGCTTGAATTGCAAAAAAAGAAGGATAAAATGTGGTGAAGAGTTGGATATCTGCTATAATTGCATGGAAAGGAACTTGGTGTGTAATTTCATCGACTTGCCAGAACTGCAGAAAATGAAGCTCAAAGGATGGGAACAGAGGAAACCGCAGAATATGGATACCGGGGATTTAGAAGAAGAGTTTCAGGAGCTTAAAAGACAAGGGTATTTATTTGCTGCGGAAAAATTCGATGTAGATTGCTCTAAATTATTGAACGAAAGACCACTACCCCCGGAACAAACCCTATGCTCAACTATAGATTGGGAGGCTGAAAAGTCTGGGGAATCTCCATCAGTTTCCACATCATCATCAACATCATCATCATCATCATCATCCTCATTGCCATTAATACCGTCACCATCAGTATCATCATTATCATCATCATCACGTCCAAAATCTAAGTCTGCTAAGAGAAAACCGGCCATTGAACCAAAACCACAATTCACAGTAAATCCAATATACCGAGTAAAGCCAAAATCAGCATACAAACAATTTGCCCCAACCATAACCCCCAATATGAAATATTCCCCACTCCCGAACTCCACATATGAACCCACCTTGTTCAGATTAAACAAACTCAGCCGTCATAAGTGGTTTTATGAAGTGCTAAAATCCGACGAGCTTTTTGTGTTGTGCGGGGAGGATGATGTTGAGTTTGCCCAGTATCGACGAGGACTCGAAAATTGGTTCCAAGCTTTGATCGATTATGGGTTTGTCTCGAAAATTTCATTTCATGAAGATATGACATTATGCGGTAGTCTCATATTGAACCAACTTTCCAGACCATCCAGAAAAAATCATTGTCTAAATCATGACATCGATGTCTTGAAAAAAATTGTTCTATCACACAAGTTGACAGGCTTACAACTTGCCCAAGATGTCATTGACACAATAAACCAGCCCAAAACCATTTCTAGTCATCAATATCTCTCGGCAGTTCATAAAATCATGGCTTATTCAATGGTTAGTTTGGCAGCATCCATGTTTCATGAACAAGACTTCAAGACTTTATTGGCATTCGTTGGGGGCTTCATTTCTACCTCGCTATCAAAACAGGTGATTTTACGATTTAGAACCATTTTACAAGAAGACCATATGAGCAATTATTCGGTATATCCAGTGCAGCTACTACGAAGGATTTTTCCATTCATTCACAGTTACTATATGAGAAATGTCGCATCGCTATACGTTCCAAATTTAAATGCCGGTCTCGTGGTAGAGATCTATGATGATTTGGTGGAGTTTCAAGTCCACGTGCAAGATATGATCAGTACTGAAGTGCTCATCCACTTGCATGAATTACGAGTCTTCCTAGATGAAATGGTGATCAACAACAAGGAATTGTTTGCCTCCTATGACCCATCAAGGGCCATTTCGTACTCCCCGGGAGTTTTGTACACATTATTATCGAAATTCACTGCACTTTATCCACCTACGGGATTATACATTTTCCATAATTATGGGTCTTTATCGGTGATTGAAAGAATCTCCCAGTTGTATTGGCTAGTTATAAATTCGTTGCTTGATACCATGTTTCCTGAAGTTTTGTATCTTTTCACCATAAAATTCTCAGGATTGGTTAGATTTGCCGGAATTGATATCAGATATCAAGAACTGATCTTGGAGGATTTAGACCTCCTTTACAAATGGCAAAATCCTCTGCTCTATGACTACTTGTACCGAAAAACTTTCTATTTGACCAGATGCTTGTCGTACGTGTCTTATAGATGGAGAGTCTATGATCGAAACTTGGTGATCAAAAACCCTTACCCTGATACCCCATTATTCCTGAAAGTTCAATTGGAATCTCGGAAATTACCATTTTTGAAAGAAGAACAAATCACCAGTTTAAAGCAGGCTAACATCAAGTATGAGAATTATCCGAGAAATGACAAGCATTTCATTGACGATAATTCCCAAGCCGGTTTAGCCAAACCATGTCACCGAAAATATGTTGAGTTCATTGACGAAGGGTTTGAAAACAACGAAAACCGTGATCTTAATTATGAAAATGTGCAACTGGTTTTACACCGACGGTTCTGCGGACAGTTCGATATAGAAACTTTCCCGTTGCATTTAATGAAGTTTTCGGAATATGGGTTGATCAAAAACATTGATTTCCGGCCGAATTTGAAGAACAATAACATTAGAAGATTGCAGATGGATGAGGATTTCTTTGAAAAAAATGAAATTGCCTTAAATAGTTTTGTTTCTGACTGGAACGGAATCGTGAAACATTATATCTCTGATGAAAACCAATCAAAATGAATACGACCGGAATATTTCGTGAATTCCGGCAATTGATGACTTGTCAACTTTATTACAACCACATTAACTTTTTGGCTAATCATATCTGATACAATAGACATTTTAGAACTAGAATTCTCGTTGTAATGGTTAAATATTGGAGCGACATTCCGAAAAGGAGCTATTGTCATCCGTATGGAGCGCACCGTAAATAATATTGTGTTGATTGCTGTGTTTTGACTGTATTTTGACTGTATTTTGTACTTCTGCTTGAAAGCTTGTTACTAATCAAAGGCATACAATGATGTTTATTGTTATTAATGGCTACAAGCTCAGGTAGAGGGTCAAACGGTTTTTGGTTCTGTATACTCAAACATGGGTTTCTTTGATGTTACATTATTCTATACTCTTATAAAGAAATTCTAGCCTGTTATTAGATATGCTCGGGAGACTTATCCGTACTAGACAATAGATGGGAAAATAGACAAAAAAGAACAAAAGCTAGATTAGTTTGCTTAACGTGTTTGTAGTGATATCACTGTTAACATTTATTCTCCTTATTTTTTTCTCCTTTTCATCTAGAAATTTTTTGTTTTTACATAAACCCCCTTTCTTCAATGACATGCTTTCATTCCATAGCTATTTACCAATTGCCATGGACTTTTTCCATTCGGTAGAGCTGGTTTATTTCTTTGTTAAATTTTTTTTTCTTAGCATTATAATAAGCAATACATCACACCTCTCTCATTCGACCTTTTGACGTTTCGCTTCCCTGTCTTCCTCGTGCTTCTCTTCTTCTCCCGATTTTCTGGCCTGGTTTAACTTCGGATCCTTTGCATTCACTCCTTCTGGCAAAGAAATCAAGGAATTTAATAAGATATATGCAGAAGTATCCGGTAACGGCCGTAGAGTGTTTAAAAGATCGCCTGTGTCATTGAATATCTTAGGGTAATTGAGTTTTAACCATGAGCTTGTACTGGAAGGGTTTTGCTCTCGGCAAATCAATTCTCTGTCCAGTGGAAGCAATGGAATATTATTGTATAATTGGAATAATTGTTCATGCCTCTTGATGATCTCCTGTGACTTTCCCAATTTCAGATGGGTCTCCTGGTTCGAATTGACATCCAATGCAAGTTGAAGGATCGTGGCCAATTCTGGTTTTTTTTCAATAATTGTTTCGATTTTCTTAGTTACCAGTGGGGCATTTTCCAGCAGGTATGCTTCCAAAAATTGTAGAGGTGGTTTATCCTTAATATTAATATTACTATCCTGTGAAATTTCCAGAGTGACATCTTCTGAGGATTTCGCCATTCCATCCTCGTATTCCGCTAGCAAATCTAGTATGGCGCTGTTTTTTCTCGAAAGGTTGTTAAGGATCTTTCGAAGAGTTTTCTCCTGGGCGAAAAGTTTCTCTGATTCAGTAATCTGCGTATTATACTGGTTTAACAAGCTCTCGTATATTTCTTTGTAATTCGTCAGCGTATTTCCATCATTATCATCATTTTTATTATTATTATGATTGTCATTATTATTTTCTGTGGGCAACACTTCTGAGTCTGGCGATAATGGCTGTTGGACATTGGAAATTGCAGCTTCATCTGCAGTTTTTATTGCCTGTTCAGATACTTCGGGCATGGTTTATTAATATTATTGATTAAGTGATTTTTATTGTGACTTTTTGTTTCTAAACTGTTTCAGCCTCTCTCTTCGCAATTTTGGGGAAAGCGTCTGTCAATGTTGAAAATCATGATTCTATTTACCCGGAGGTGCCCACATTTTAATCAACATCAATCAGTGCCCACCCACACTAAGGTTATTGTTTGCTCTACAATATATAACCCAGTACAAATATTTTTTAAAATATATCATTATTATTATTATTCCAAAAACCACTTAAATTAGAAAAAAAAAATTTGAAAACCATGTTAATATGTCCAAAAAGAAAAGCGTAAACAAGAAAAGTAAGTACAACCAATAACAAAAAACTTGAATATAGAAATAAGAAGGTTACTACTTCATTAATTTTCTTTGACAGCTTGCCACCATCTCTCGTGATATCTTCCAAAAATTTTTACCAATAGAGGTTCATCACCTTGGACATCATTGACATCTTTGCGACCAAATAAACGACCTTTTTCCTCATCCCAGTCTGCAAATGTACATTTTTCCCATTCCTCTGGGGTGTTATATCCTAATCTTTGCAATTTTGGAGAGTTGAGAGAATCTGGATCAATAACAGAAGTCAACTTTGGGGTTTGGAAATAAATCAATACTAATCTTTCAAATTTCTTTTGGTCTTCTGGTGGAGAGATGACTCGATGAATAGAAGATTTGAAATAGCTGCCAGTGATAAATTCCATGGCATCACCAATGTTAACAATCAAGGCATTAGGCTTGTGTCCAACATATCTCCATTGACCAGTGTAGTAATCTCTAATTTGTAATGATAAAATCGGTTGCGAAGTAATAAATGTAAAAGCAGTACCATCAGAATGTCCTCTCAACCAAGTCTTATTGGTAAGTTTCTCTTCATCCTCGGTCATTCCCAAATAATGCATCAATCTGCCAAAACCGGTTCCAGAGTTTTTCAAGTCGTTTTTATAAACTTTGAAGTAGTTTTCCCACAAAAAACCTTCTGGCTTCTCCAAGATGATATCGCAGAGGTTACATAATCTTCTCAAGACCTGAAAATGCAAAAACTTATAATATTCCGAGAGTTCTGGCAAGAAAGCGCGCACCACATCAGGGTACTTTCTGTTAGGATCAAAGAAATAATCATCCTGGTTCATATCTCTCAAGTTATAGTGTTCAATGGAGTCTCTTACTCCATGTTGCATGGCCCAGTATCCCCTTGGTTTGAAACCTAAGCCTCTTTCGCCGCCAAGGGACTTGGTTCTGTCTTCCAAATCAGTTTGCCGAGCCCCGGCTAAATAATTGAACTTATCCTCTTCAGGAATTTCGAGCACTGATTGGGAAATAGCTCTCAAATACTCTAATTTCTTTGGATCGAATCCCCAATTAGTGATGTTGAAAAACCCATAGGTAGAAATTGACTTTTCAAGTTTAGCTGCCAATTGTTTCCTGCACTCTAATCCTTCTGGGCCCTCAATATACTTGGAAAAATCAATTGAGTCCAATTCGATCACCGGAACATCATTATGGGCGGATGGGGCAGCTTCTTGGAATTTTCTGATGTTGAATCGTTTTTCAACATCGGCAATATCCTGGTTAGGAAAATATTTGGCTCTCAAAGAACTGGCATCAGCCACCAAATCTTTTTCCGTCACTTCTCTACCATCGGTTTGGGAATTATGAGCAGGAACCGGAGTTAAACGGATAGAATTAAAGGGAGATTTCCTATTATAAGGTTCGATAGTGATGGTTTTGGTACCGTGGGCTACAGCAACAGAAGCCATATTTTTTTTGAGGGAAGTATTATTGTTGGCAAAAAAAAAAAAGGGGGGGTGGGGTTCCCGAAGATTCTTTCAGTTAATTATAAGGTGTATTATATTATCTCACTAAAGATATCAATCCACAAGAAATTGGCTAGTTTATATAACTTTGCTCAGGGTAAACGGTTCATGTTGAGCCCACAGTTGCACACACGCGCACACAAAGTCATGTGCCATTGCTGCAGAGTGGTGCTTTTTGTTTGTTCCACTGCATGCACAGGCTATACCCCAACCTTCAACGAATTCTATTCGTTGAATTCTATTCGTTGAAGGTTGGGTTTTTCTGTGGATCCTCGGTGAGGCTCAATAATAACACAATCATTCAAGATCAAAAAATGACTCGATTGTGTTTTCCGGTGATTATCTACGGACATTAGGAAATCAGAGTGTAGTTTCACAGAAATATCATTAGAAATATTTGATGTTCACAAAGATTTATCACAATAATCACGAAAATTTCTTTGTCTTTGGGGAAAAAAAGAAAAATTTGGCACTCTTTGGAGCTTGTTGATCTAAAGACTTGCTTAATTGAAAATTGTTTGACTTTTTATTTCATCACGTTGCTGCCATCTTTAGGGAGTCGGGTAACATTTGCTAATGCTGTGGCAATTAATCAAATGTGTGGCAAATCATTCATCAAAAGTTATAATTGATATATATGGCATTCTTCTCTTATTTATAGATTGCTATTTCATATCAGTTATTGTACTAGAAGAGATATGACCATCTGACAAGTCTAGCTTATCCTCCCAAGTTAATGCGTACCTATTTTTAAAAAGGAAATACTGTAAACTAAAGCATTAACCCCTTTTTTTTTTAATTAAATTTAAGTTATTTGCTGGCTCATGTTGTTATTTTTTTTTGTATTCACTTTCAGTTTTGGTTTACTGAGTGGGATTTAAAATTTGTTCGGTGTTGGTGCATCCCATTCATTCTGTCAGATTGGGAAATCCAATTTTCCAACATTGCATGATCCACTTTGCAGAGCACCAATAGTCCGATTCCGATTTGCATCAATATTGAAAGCAGCGTCAATAATAATAAATATAGAACTATTTTTAAAATATTAAGTGGTTTCAGATGCCGATGCTACTAATAAGATGACATACTACTCATTTATCCTTGAAATAAGGGCAAAACTGTTGGTGACCATGAATTTCTGCAATATTTAAATGAATTTGTGTTCGCCATGGCTGCCACAAAATTACTCAGTTCTTGTTTTTTTATACTACCAATCACTACATTGAAAATGTTTTTCACATCTGTTGTCTTCATTCTTCACTTGCTTTTCTTGGCAAATGGGACTCCCATTCTTGCAAAAAGATCCGACCGGTATATACAAGCATCTGTCCAATACATCGACCAATCTGATCTTATGATGGAACTTAGCGTTGGGACTCCTGGCTCAGAAATCTTGGTGGTTCTTGATACTGCTTCTTCTGATTTGTATGTTTCTTTGCCTAATGTCACCACTGGCTATTATTCTGTCGACTTCATTGGCTCCTTCACTCCAAGCGACTCTTCTACTTTCAAATATTTGAACATCACTTATGACATGCAATACCTTAGTGGTGATGTCTGGGGCTATATGGGAACGGATGATGTTAGCTTATCTGGTGAGATTCTTAGAAACTATCAATTCGCCTATGTATATTCCCTGGGTAATGGCATCACCGCTTTACTTGGGCTTGGTCCAATTGGTTCAGAAAACGTTTACATCAATAGATATCCAAACTTTGTTACTCTGTTGGTAAATCAGGGACTCATTGACAGAGGAATATTTGGCTTATATGCTGGGACTCAATCCTCGATCGATGGTGGTAGTATTGTGTTCGGGGGAGTTGATGTTGCGAAATATTCAGGTAATTTGGTTCAATTGAACTGCGTTCCTCAGTTGTCGACTACCAAAAAAATTGTTAATTATTGGGTTGATTTTGAAGGATTTTCCATCAATGGTGATAACGGTATGACCTCTTTGCTTCAAAATGGTACTGCATATACCGCAATTTTTGATTCTGGTACATCAGTGCTCGCTCTTCCGGATGCAATTTACCAATACATTGTTTATGATTATTTCAACGTCTCCGACCCTGATGATACGGTTTCTTGTGATAACAATGATACTCTCAATTTCCAATTTGATGGATTTGACATCACAGTGCCAATGAGTGATAATTTGTTTTCCGTTGGTGCTGGCGAATGTATAATTGCCATGCAATCCCTGGGAAATGATGTAAATTTTTATCTCGGAATCACCACCTTGCAAAGAATCTACACAGTGTTTGACCCTATAAACATAAAGCTTTATGTCGCACCAATCATCCAAACTAATGACTCTTCGGTGTTCTCCGTTCAAAATGATACTGATCTTACTACATTGAAAGACAGCACTGCTAGCTCCTTCCTCACTAGTGAACCAAAACCAACGACAGTTACAGCTCAATTTTTAACCTCAACATATGCGTCATTATATGTTAGTCCTGGGTTAAGTTTATCAACTAGTTCTTACTCTGGTTCCATCTTTCACCCAACCTCTACTGTTACCACTTCAAATGATTTACCTTCTTACTTGACCACTCACTCTGAGTCTGGTGCCTCTCCACCGGTATTCAGTACCTCTGTTCCGTCAGTCTCCTCTTTCAATTCTCATGGAATATCCTCTATTGTGTCTCTGTGGACTACAATGTCTACACATGTCAACAATGGCGGAAACCCTTATAGTGAACCTCAAGGGGATGCAAACGGTAATAATAACCCCATTTACTATTGTGGCAGACCCGGCTACTGAGGTTCGGAAAACAAAAGAAGAGTTTCTTGGGTTTTCTTTGGAAAAGAAAAAAGGATACGCTGATTTTTAATTTCACTTTACTTTTTTTTTCAAATTCTTTCCAGACAATTTATTTCTTTTTTTCTCAATAATCAAATTATTCACTTTATTATTATAAAAACAGGGGTGAAAAGAAGTAGAGATAAAATAAAACAAAATACACATGATTTAGTTAAAATTTATAACGCATAAATACATATAACTGTATCTCATTCTATTGGTTATAAATATGAATGCCTGATTATACACTGATGATAATTCATCTCATCAGTACATCAAATACCACCGAACTCAATTATATATAAAAAGAAAAGCATTTAAAGACGATTTGACAGCCCTAGCAACATTCTTATAAAGTTTTTTATGCTATGAAAGATTCATAATGTATACTTGAAAATAATACAAAGATAAGTAACCAAGGGTTTCCTTCATGTGGCTGGCCAACAATGACGTTACTTTTCAATAGCAATTAACCAGAGAGTTCAAACCTGATTGAAATTCTGTGCTTTGCGTAATATCGTGGTACTGGATACCAATGGATACATCATTGTACCAGCGCAGAGTAAGTATAAAATATCTTAGGAGTTAATTAAATGCCAAATAGAATGCAAGACACTAAAAACCAACGAAATAAGTCCAAAATTTGATAAATATTAGTAAAAGTTGGTATGTTATATACCATCTGAACGGATCTAATAAAATTGACAGCATATGGACTAAGAAAACATCTCTGAATCAAGCTCGTCCTTATTAGCTCAGTTGGTAGAGCGTTCGGCTTTTAGAACATAAGGAACCGAAATGTCCAGGGTTCGAGCCCCTGATGAGGAGCTTATTTTTTCTATTTTTTTAAATAGCCAACAAAATGAACTTTATCTTCAAAGACATATTCGTTATTTTATTTTTTTTTTTGTTGAACTTACAAAATAAAAAGCTAGGACAAGTATAGATATGCATAAATTATACTAAAGAAAATAACTAAATCATTTATAAGTATTGGCAACAATATGCTTCTCTCTTTCAGATTTGAATGGTTTAGAGCCTTTTTTACTGTGCAATCTTTCATTGTTTTCTCTTCTCTTGATACTTTGAGTTTGGATTTGCCTTTTCTCACTATCCTTTTTAATACCAATAGGCACATGTCTGTGTCTGGATATTCTTCTTATTTCTGGCATGAACTTGAATTTTTCTTTCAATTTGGCGTCGTATTCTAATTTGTTTCTTTCTCTGGTAGACTTGACATTAGTTCTCTCCCAGGCGACGGCTCTCCAAATTCTGATATTACAATCATCAGAACCACTATAAATGAATTTGGAATCCAATGAGTATTTGGTGCAGTAAACTTGCTGCATTCTCTTGGTGTGATACACTTCTCTTGAATGACCTTCGTTAACGTTGAAGATTCTAATAGTTTTGTCATATGAACCAGTCACAAGCTCTTTACCAGTTGGGGCAAAATCAACGTCTAATACAGCAGAAATATGATCTTTATAAACGTTGGTACTTCTCTTCATATTTCTCATGTCGTAACCGTAGACATTGCTATCTTCAGAAGCACACACAAAGTTATAGGCTGACATTGGGTTGAAGCAAATGGCATTAGTTCTGAGAGTATTAACGATTTTTTGAGTTGGTGAATTGGTTCTAATATCATACAAAATAACGGTGTTATCGCTACCAGCAGATGCCAAGATTGACGTCTCGACATTGTTGAATCGTACTGTGGTGATATTGTCTGCACCCCAGGTCAAGTTGGAAATAGGCTTTGAACGGTTAGAGTCCCATAATTCAATTTGAGCGCCACCCGTGACAAACAAATCTTTATTAAAGTGATGATCTATTGATTCAAACGAGTGTTCACCCAAATATGTTTTTATTAAACCATTACTTGAATTGATTTCGTTCTCATTCATGAAACCATTTTCGAGTTCATTGCCAGCTTCTTCTTCTTCGTCACTACTTTCATCATCATCAAAATCACTTTCCTCATCTTCATTATCATCGTATTGCTTTAATTTTTTAGCTTGCTGTTTGAAATCTTCATCATTAACCGACCACATTTTGATGGTCTTATCGTGACCACAACTTAATAGTCTTCCATTTGGTGTAACGATCAACCCACTAACTCTTCCATAATGTGCTTTAAATGTGACAAGCTCTTTTCTTGATTTCAAGTTCCAATATTTGATGACCCCGTCTCCACTCCCACTGGCCACTTTGTTCAAACTATCAAAATTACGAGCAATAGAATAGATCGCATCCCTATGACCATCACCAAGCTGCCCAACAAACGGTTGTGCGAACATTCTTTCCATTTTGGTGGCTGTCAATGCCTTCTGATATTCTCTAGCTCTTTCGAATGGGTGGAGCGCAGGGTTCAAGTTACGGGATATACGACTCTCATCAGTATTTCTTTCCGCAATGTACGTATCACTTGATCTTGAAATAGTCTTTATTTTCATTTTCAACTTCTAGTTTCTAATCCTTTGGTAATGTTCTTCCCTTGATTCTATCTCATCTCTGGAATTTTTTTTTTTTTTTTTGAAGAAAAAAATTTTCCCTTCTGCTGACATGCATGTTATTGCATGTGCATCTCATCTCTATCTTCTTCGATGAAGGAAGATTTGTGTTTCTCCAGGATATTTCTACTGTTACTGTTTCCCGATAATTACTGGACATTTATAGCCGCAATTAGATACTTAACCACATCAAATGTGCTGTCCCTTCTGGAGGTGTACTGTGATGGTTACCATCCGTGGAAATCCATATCAGATTGAGAAGACAGGGCAACATAACCGGATTGTGGAAATTTTTTTTTTTGTCTCTCTTATTTAATTTCCTTTACGCAAAGAATGCTAGTATTGAAGAAGTACAATATTTAAACACCTAAGATATTGTATAGATTGGATAAGGAGAAAGAGTGGAAATAAAAATGAATGGGAATGATCTAGTGAACTCTTCCAAGAGAGCCCATGAAGATAGTCCTAATGACGGTGCCTTCAAAAGAAAGAAGAGCATTGCAGGTCCAGAAAATGGCCACACGAGACAGTCAAATGGTACCAGCAGTAAAATTGACGGTACTGGTGCCATTGAAGCCCCTATTACTATGCCAGTGATTTCAGAAAATGCTCAAAAATGGCAAGCGACGATTGATAAAGTTATCAAGAGTGTGGTGGCGATCAGATTTTGTCAAGTTGCTAGATTTGATTCAGAATCCGCGATAGTCAGTGAAGCCACCGGGTTTGTGGTCGATGCAAAAAAAGGGATTATTTTGACAAATAGACACGTTGTTTCACCTGGTCCATTTGTAGGACACGCAGTATTCGACAATCATGAAGAAACCGATGTGAAACCTATTTACAGAGACCCAGTTCATGATTTTGGGTTTTTGAAATTTGACCCTAAATCAATAAAATATATGAAGATTAATGAACTTAAATTGCGCCCGGATCTAGCTAAAGTGGGTTGTGAAATCCGTGTTGTTGGTAACGATGCTGGTGAGAAATTGAGTATTTTGAGTGGGTTCATTTCTAGACTTGACAGAAACGCTCCAGAATATGGTTTTATGACTTACAATGATTTTAACACAGAATATATTCAAGCAGCCGCTAGTGCTTCTGGTGGTTCAAGTGGGTCTCCAGTAATCGATATTTCAGGTAATACTTTAGCATTACAGGCTGGTGGTCTGACGGATTCAGCTACAGATTTCTTCTTACCAGTTCATAGAGTTCTTAGAGCATTGAAGTTAATACAGGCTGAAAAACCAATCACCAGAGGTACCATCCAAGTTCAATGGTACTTAAAACCTTTTGATGAATGTCGTCGTTTAGGGTTGTCTGAAGAAGCTGAAGAGAAGGCAAGAAAATTGTTTCCAAATATCATGAGTTTGTTAGTTGCTGAGACAATTTTACCAGAAGGCCCAGCGTACAACAAAATTAAAGAAGGTGATATCTTGATTTCTATTAATGGCGAATATATTTCCACTTTCATTAAGGTGGATGATATTTTGGATAGCATAATTGGTAATGATGTTCATATTCTCTTGCAGAGAAATGGTGAGTATATTGAAGTCGATTGCAAAGTTCAAGACTTGCACAAAATTACTCCAAACAGATATTTGCAAATTAGTGGTGGTTCGTTCAATGACTTGAGTTATCAAATTGCAAGACTGTATGTGCTTCCAGTCAAGGGTGTGTTTGTCAGTCTTGCTGGGGGTACTTTCAATTTCGGGGGTTCTAGTAAAGGTTGGATCATCGATTCTATCAACAATAAGACAACTCAAAATCTAGATGAGTTTATCAAAGTCATGGAAACTATTCCTGATCGTGAAATTGTCCCAATCAAATTTAGACACTTGAATAGAATTCAATCACAAAAATCTGGAGTGGTTTTCATTGATCGTCACTGGTATGGCGCGACTTTGGCCATTAGAAATGATGAAACTGGTATCTGGGATTATAAAGAGTTGGCCAAATCTATACCACCAAACCCATCAAAAACTCTCAGTGCTAAATTCATTGATGTTCCAAATGTTAAGCCAGGATGTGCTAAGTTAGTTAGAAGTTTCGTCATGGTTAACACTCGTTTCCCAACTGCTCTTGACTCATATCCATTTTCAAGCTGTAAAGGTTACGGGGTGGTTGTTGACGCTAAAAAAGGTTATGTGATTGTCTCTAGAAAATATGTCCCACATGATATGTGTGATGTTCTTGTAACAATTGCCGAATCAATTATTGTTCCTGCCAAAGTGGTTTTCATGCACCCAACTTATAACTACTCTGTGATCCAGTATGATCCAAAATTGGTTAATGCCGATGTTATCAGCCCTAAATTTTCTAAGACACCAATAAATAGAGGTGATTCCTTGAACTTCATTGGTTATAATTACAATTTCAGAGTTTTAGCCTCAACAACTTCTGTCACTGACTTGTTATCGATCAATGTTCCATACTCTCACGCATGTCCACGTTATAGAGGTTTGAATTTGGAAAGTGTTGTGATTGACAGTACAACCTGTGGTGATTGTGATTCAGGTGTTTTAGCAGATGATGATGGAACCATTAGAGCAATTTGGTTGGAGTATCTAGGAGAGCTTGGATCGGATGGTGATGTTTCGTATAGAATGGGTATTGATATTGTCCATATGAACAATGTCATCGAAGCTTTGAAGAATGACAAAACCCCAAGAGTCAGAATAATTGATGCCGAATTTTATGCTCTTACAATTTCCAGTGCCAGATTACAGGGTGTTTCTGAAAAATGGATTGCTGAATTAGAAAAAATCGGAACAGACAGATTCCAATTCTTCTGTGCTTCAAGAGTTACTTGTGCGGAGGATGCCATCAGAGTTGCAGAATCAAAAGATGATGAAAAGAAGAAGAATGATGAAGAAGAATTGGATAAATTGAAGGTTGGTGATATTGTGTTAGCACTTAACGGTACTTTAGTTCACAGAATAACCCAGTTACACGATTTTTCATTCGAAGAGGAAAAGGAAGTTGAATTGACTATTGTCAGAAATAGTAAAGAAATAACAATTAAAGTGAAGACAACGGAAGTGGGTAGTAGTGATCATTACGTTGCCTGGAGTGGTGCCAATATTCAAGAACCACATCATAGTGTCCGCCAAGAATTAAAGAATTTGCCATCCAGAGTTTATGTTTCTCATACCTCATCTGGCTCACCAGCTCAGCAATACGGGATCGCACCAACTAATTTCATCACTCATGTTAATGAAATTGCAACTCCAACTTTGAAAGAGTTCATGGAGCAAATCAAAAAAATCCCAGATAACACTTATTGTAAATTGAGAATGTGTACTTTTGAACGTATTCCTTTTGCGATTAGTTTGAAAACAAATTATCACTATTTCTCAACCGTGGAATATAAGAGAAACACCGAGGGAAACTGGGACATAGCTTCTTATGATAAAGATTTCAAGGCTAAGAAGGATGTTGTAGTTCAAAAAACTTCATATTAATTTGGAAAAAACCTGGTTTCTATTAGTTATTGGTGATGGTACTTTAAATATTTCGCATTTCTACGTCAAATCTGATTAATTTTTTTTTTCTGTCGGGAATAAAATTTTAGACAATAAATAGTGCTCTTTTTTTCGTTTGCTACAGTTTCAATAATAATTATTAATAAAAAAATATAAAAAAACGAAAGAAACGAAAATAATTGTAATGTACATTGTGGAGGAAATCATATATGGAGATTTGATAGTGTCATTGATAACTATAATCCCAAATTTATCATGACTATGTACACATGGGGAGAGTAGGTTTTCCACAGGAATATAATATTACTTTATGTCAGATAATTTTCCAAAATTGTTCTTGGATAGACCAATGAATATGTCTTGAATAAAATAATAGATCTTTGCTGGTGATAGTTTAATGGTAAGGTAAAAGTCTCTTGAGTCTCTTATTCATATCGCCATGACCTTTGCCCATAGATTCAGTTTTACCATCTTTATGTTGCAATAATCTCTGTGACCAACCAGCATTACCATGCTTTCTTCCAACTTTGCCTCTCTTGAAACCTTTGGCAGTCTTGATCCATCTTTTGGCAGCACCTTTATGGGTCTTCATCATGCCTCTTGTGAAGACGGTTGTTACTGGTGTGCGGGCACCAGAAAAGGCACAGGTGTTTAGTATTTGGAGCTTAGACAATAATGACCCAAACATTGTAATCGGTATATATAGTTATGGATAGTACAAAGTCTGTAGCATGTAAATTTCCATCGTCAGCTTTACTTTGTATAAAAAATTTCGATGGTTTTTCTTGGGAAAAATCCCAACACCAACAAGGTATATACACCCACACATAAGCTTACCAAGAGGGAAATGGCTGCCAAAAGCCGTCAAACAGGAGCATATGAGATGGTTTTGCATCTTTTTCAGTAGTTTTGGTATAGATATTATATTCATAAAATATTCATGGGTTATGTCAGGATTGGATATTAACAGTGATAAATACATTATTAAATTTGACACATTTAGAATAGCTTACAATTCGGAAAGTGTACTTTGACAGACACCTATATATTCAAAAAAGAAAACTCACCGAGTAAGAAGAAAACAAATTAGAAGATTTACTTCATTAGAAACCATCAACAACATTTAATAGCAGAGTGTAAGATAATATAGCGGGGGGAATAAACCAGGGGTAGAAGAAAAAAAAATAAGTAAATCAAAAATTAGAAACGTAGCGACGATGATACACGTATCTTTTATACCAAACGTTCAATTGTGCTTGCTATTCATGTTATGTGTGTAAGAAGTATCCATTCCATCATTTGGATAAGGTGAGCTATGGGAATTGTTGGAAATAAGGGCTTGGGAATCATCGAATGGATTTTCCGGCTTGTGGTTGTTAGAGGGCACGTAGACTGGGTCGATCTCACGGACAAAAGCAGGTTCTGCCAAGGGAACGAATTCTTGGTCAACCTTTTTTGTAACTCTCTTTTTCTCTCTAAAGTGGTGAACGATCTTGTATGTGATGACAATAACTAAACATAGCACACCGACACTTAATAAAGTAATGGCGATGATACGACGAGTTGTGAAATAACTGTTTCCATTATTCAAATAGTCGTTGATAGATTCCCTTGATTGAAGTCTCTGAAGGTCAGGCATAATTTATAAATTCTTGGCTATTTATATTATTATTCTTTACGGATAACCAGGTGGCGAGATCTGGTGATATTTTTTTATGATCTTCCCAAGTGAAAAAGTGCTCACTATTCAAAGGCGACAAAAAAAAAAGGATTTGAAAAGGGGGTTATCTCCAAAGATCCAAGGATTCGTTTGAGTTCCTTTGCCCACACGTGACGTATGGCATATGATTGGTAGACGGACTCATTAAAAGTAATGACTATTAAGGAATCATAAAATTTGGAATGTACTCCGAAATAATAATATGGTGATTCTTTACTTTAATATAAGGAGAATGTAACACTGGCGTAGCATTTTGGATGAGTTTTTGTTTTAATATTTAAAATTTTCACAACATAATTTGTATATGAATGGTCCGAAGAACAAAATGTCAACTTAGGAACCATCATAAAGCTATAATAATAAGCAAAACTCCCATGCCGCAAAAATAACAAGTTATGATTCCTTATTAGCTACATCAGTCCCAGTAATAAATAAATATTTTCGCCTCCTAAATGATTGAAACTTCTTTAAGTATTCGTTGTATAACGCTTATTAACACCATCCAATCACACTCCTTTATTCTTGTTAGGTCTTCTAAAATTGTTCTGAGGAGAAGTACATGTAATTTATTTCACAAAAAGCACAAAGAGCTCTCCTCTGAATCTGAATCTGAATCTAAATCTGAACCTGAATCTGAATCTGAATTCGGTACATAAAGCTCTATTAGCCACGGAATGCAGTCTAAATTTTAAAGCCTTTGGTTTTTTATTCCATGTTTGCTTTATTTACTTATGAAGAAACTGTAATACTATCTTGACTTTTTATTAAAATAATATAAAAGAAATAGGCTATTAAGTAACTCTTTAAATAGATAATAAAAATAGAATAGTAGTCATAAGATAAGGAATGAGATGAGGAATAAGATGGAATAAGTTCAGGAATAAGATAGGAAATAAGATAAGAAATAAACAAGTAATCAGATAGAAAATAAATACTAAGAGACTACTTCCCCAAATTTATTTTATCTTCAGAAATTTTTACAGTTAAACTGCTCTAAATGAATCTTGTGTCCATGTAGAATTACAAGAAGAGAAAATGCTTTGTGGAACTAGCCGCACCATACTGTTTTCCAGAGAGTTCTGATTATTCGAATTCGATGAGTAAAGTTTTGCGCTACTAACCGGATAGTTAAATAATCACTGAAAAGTTTGAGAACTCACCACAACTTTATCACTTATATCATTTGTTCTGAGATTAGAAATTGTGGCCAGTGGCGAACGTCTTTCAGGAATCATGGAATGAAACAAAAAGGGAAAATATCAATTTTGTAATTATAATGAAAGAGATAAATAATTTGCTTTTATGGAAGATTATATGAGTCCTCTAAATAATTGAAGGAAAAAACTTCAAATTCTAAGTATGCATTGTGGGCCTTCAAATTGTGAGGAAAAACGAGTCCAAAATTCGATAACTACTTGTCTCAGTAAATTATTTGAGATTTATTGCAGAATAAAATTCATTGTTTTAATGAAATAAATTCAATAAATTGGCCAAATATAAATATATAGTATATATATATATATTATATATACTGCTCCAAGGTCCATATCTTTCTTGCGCCTGCCTATTGTTTGTTTCACTGCATGCTGAGCGCACCAACCAAGGTGAAATTGTTAAAAGGGAGGAGATATATAATACTAATAATAATAACAATAGGAAAAAAAGAATATAGGCTAGATAAAAAAAACAATGAATATATATTTACTGAGTATCTTCAAGAGTTGAATATTTGTTTTCTTTTGTCGGCGCCGAAGGCTACTCAAAATTAAAAGCTTTTCACTTCTAGATCTGACCATTTTCAACTAGTCTGTTTTACAAGCAGAGAAACCCAAATTATTATTGAAAGTTTTCACCACTCAGAAAAGCATAAGGATCTGGAGCCTTATTAGCTTGCTGTGCTCTCATGTTGATGAGGCACATGAATCGGTTCCATACTGTTGTGGTTCAGCAACATCCAAATTCGCCCGTACAAAGTTGGCCATGTAGATATACCAGTGTTAAAAAACTATGACAAGTTACATATCTGCACTCACTCTCTAGCCAAAGTTTGATTGTCTCCGCTGTTGATTGTATTAGTGTAAGTAGTATCAATATCATCATTGGGATAATGTTTGCTTTTGGAATTATTATAATCAATATTGGAAATAAGGGTTTGGGAATCTTCATCGAAAGGAGTTTCCAGTCTGTGGTTTTTGGTAGGCACGTATATTGGGTCGAGATTTTGGACAAAAGCAGGTTCTGTCAAAGGAACAAACTCCCAAAGATCCGTCTGGTCCCACACCCACGTGGGCTGTGACGTACAAACGGTACTGAACTTATTGAACGTAGTTACTATTTAGGCATTATGAATCCTAAAAATATAATGCACTGCTTCTTTTCTTCAATATAATATGGGTCTTACATCATGTCAGGCTATTCTAGATATGGCCCTGTTTCAATATTCAAAATTATCATAACATAACTTGCATACGAATGGTGCTCAGAACAAATCACTCTTAGAAAAAAAATGCTCTCCAAGAGAACTAAATCGAATCAGAAGTGTTAACCTGAAAGACATCTACATGTAGAGCCCAGTTAATAGGAAGTACTTCCACAGATTAAAGATAGCGTATTATGAATCCCTAGCTAACTGCGCCGGTTATGGAAATAGATCAACACTTTTGTCTCCTAAATCATTGAGTTAATCGAAACTTCTTAAAGCAGCCTTTCTATAACGCTTTTTAAGTCCTCCATCCAATCTCAGTCCTTGATCATTGTTTCTTCTCTTGAAACTGTTCTGAGCGGCGGCACATGCAATTTCCTTCACAAAAATCTCAACGCCCCTTCCCCTGAATCTGAATGTGGCGCATAAAGCTCTCTTGACCACTGAATGAACTCAAATTTCAAGCCTTAAGTTCCAAAACATTACCAACTGGGGGCAATATGCAGATTTTTTTTTTCTCCGACTAGTCTGTCAGAAATAGCACACAATCTTTGGATAAATCAAACATTATGAATATGTTTACATACTGGCTATCTGGAAGACTTGCATATTTGATCTTTTCAGCAAACGCCTAAGCAAAGCTCAACGCGATAGTTTCTCACCTCTGGATCTAGTCATTTTCAACTAATTTTTTTTTTGCAGGCAATAACAACCCAAATTATTGCGCAACTCCGTAGAAGAAAGTGAAAGAAATGTAATCTTGAGAAAGGGAAAAGATGATAATAATAAACGGAAGGTATGTGAAATGCAAGGCGGAGTTTTTTTTTTTTTTTTTTCAAAAGGAAATCTAACATCATGAAACAATGCAAAGAGTGACAGTAAGGCTTTTAACGATGGGAGAGACCATTGGAAATAGACATTCTGTTGCTGATGCATTTTTTTTTCGGGTGTCGGAAATGACAGGACATAATAATCCCTTCTGCAAATTATCGCCACTCAGTACTTTTGAGAACCATATGGATTTGGAGCTTGATGAGCCTGGTGTTGATAAGGCACATAAATTGGCTCTACTTGTCTTGTGTACTGTGGTTCAGGAGCCTGTAATTTTTGAAAGCCTCGTGTTTCATGTCTGGAGCAGCAGCAACAGAGACTGCGAAGACAAGAGTCAACACAGCTAATGGCACAACAAAAAACATTGACGATGCAACAAATGATAACAAGAGCAAACAAGGAACCAACAACAATAATAATAATAGCAACAATCTTGCATGTAGAGTTAGCCATACAGGTATCCCAGTGTTTAAAAGACTGTGCGAGTGACAAACTAGAACTCAGATCTCTAGCAAAGAGAGCAGCGGCTTTTGGATCAATGTACATGGTTTGGAATATATCGTAAATGAATTAATCTTCACAGAATTCTTATAATAGAGATTTTTTTCATCTTTTCTTCTTTCTATTGATATACATTTCTGCCAGGTAATCAAGGGACATCCCTCTTTTTTATAAGGCGAGCCCCAAACGAAATGAATTCTTGGATAACGGTGAGAAAGAAAAGCTAAATGCGCGCCTTGTTTTAAGGCTGAGCAAGTGAGTGAGTGAGGTACCGGATCTACAGCTTTTCCTTTTTTTAGATATTTTCTATTATTAGAAAGCTAAAAGACTATTGGCACACCAGGACAAAAAAGTAAATATAAATATATATGTATATACACATATATAAGAGGAAGAAGAGGAAAAATCAATATAACACCTGCACATGAAAATGATAAAGATCTAGGCTCACTAGATCAATCTCATGGCTGAACGGCAAACCATTTCCAGATTCTGGCTTTGCAATCACCAGAACCGGTAGCAAACATACCATTACCAAATACTGGATTGGCAGAAACACTAACGCTAATGACCGAGTTACGGTGACCTTGCAACATCAATAATGGAGTACCACTTGTCTTCTCCCAGAAAATAACCCCACGATCCTTGGAACCAGACAAAATGTATTTTCCACGAGGAGAAGCACAGACACTAAGAACAAAGTCTTTATGACCAACATAGGTGATTTCACAATTGGCTGGGGCCTTGCTAGTACTGCCACCAGCAGCACCATTTAGAGACCACAATTTCACTGTAGTATCCAAAGACCCAGAGGCTATTTGTTTACCTTCTCCGGTGAACATAACTGAATACACAGAATCCTTATGTCCGTTATCATTTTCATTTTCGCTGTCAAGGCGCTCGACAAGGAATCCGGTAATAGCATCCCAAACTCTAACAGTACGATCGAGTGACCCAGCAGCAATAAGTTTACCATCAGGAGATACCGCAACGGTAGTAACGCCATCTTCAATAGTCAATGTTAATTGAGTCAAACCGGAAGTCAAGTCCCAGATTCTAACTGTGCGGTCACCAGAACCAGAAACCAATTTACGGCCATCTGGGAAGAAATCTAAAGAGTAAATATCTTGCTCATGACCCTTAAGATATTTCGTAATTCTTCTAGTAGTCAAATCCCAAATTCTAATTAATTTATCTTCAGCACCAGTGGCTAAAAATTTACCATCTGGAGAGAAACACACCGATCTAATGTACAAATCACCACTAGAGGTACCTTCATTAACATTGCCATCGGATGCAGGAACACTGCTGTCCAATAAACGCGCAACAAGTTCACCAGTTTCAACACTATAAACCTGTGTTGTTTTGTTGCACCCAGTAGCCAAATATTTACCATCAGCACTAAATCTAACACAACAAACAACCGAATTATGATCCAAAGAATGAACAAGTTCAACGTCCATAGCACGAGGAACAGCTGGATTATACAACACATAATAATCATTCATTTGCTTTTTACGTTCCGCTGGAACGGACGAGACATCAAGATAATTGAGGAATGGAGGGATAGCTTTATTATGGGCGCTAAGTTGAGTTCCTGGTTCAGTCTTGACTAATTCTTGAGAGGAAGTATCAGCAGCTGTGAATGAGGCACCGCCAGTTGTAGTGGCAGCATTTCCTTCAGGAGCTGATGAGGCGGAAGATGCAGGAACCAGGGAAGCTGATTGTACAGGAGCAGATGCAGCTGAGGTAGGACCAGAAGCACCCACTGGAGCAGCAGCAGGAGCACTAGTAGCTGCTGGAGGCGGGCCGGTAATGGGTGCAGGAGGAGCGCCTCCTATTGGAGCACCAGTCGCAAGAGGTGCTAATTCACTACGCGGCTGCTGAGGGGTGTGTTGTTGGGTTGGAGGATAACTTGGGACATGGTGACGAAGAGGAGGAGGGCCTTGATAGCCGCCAGGAGGGCCTCCAGCTACAGAAGCACCAGGTGGAGGTGGTGGATGCGACAATGGGGTGCCGTTTTGTTGATGGTGAGCAGATGGTAATGAGTTTCCTTGGTGTTTTGGAGTACCAATTGCCTCATTGGATGCCGGCGGAGGACCAGAAACCCCTGGTGGTGGTACATTTGGGGAATTTCCGTACATTGGAGGCTTGCCATAGCTTGCCATAGGTCCACCAGGAGGAGGTGGAGGAGCTCCACCCAAGTGCATTGCTTGACCGGTAGGGGTTCTGTCTGAGGGGCCTTGTGAATGAGAAGCAGGATGCCCAGCCTGGTGAGCTGGGGGTGGTGGTGCCTGTTGAGCAGCAGCTTGCAGAGCCTGGATAGTAATCAATTGTTTATCCTTGAGGTCAAGTTCTTTTTTAAGACGGTATATTTCCAGTTCATAAGCATCCTTGATGGTACGATGAGCAGCTTCCAAGTCGAACACTGTCTGTTTAATTTTTTGTAGCTCGTTTGTTTGTTGATTAAATTTGTGGTCAGATTCATCTTTATGGAGACGATAGGCCAGAGCTTCAGTTCGAACATTTTCGAATTCTGCACGAATCCCATCAAGTAACTCCTGGAGACGAGTGGTTATGACAGGTCTTCCGTAGGACATTTCAGATTGTTTAGTAGTTAACGATTGCTGTCGTACTGGAGGTGAAGTGGCAGGTGCAAGAAAAATGATTATCTTTTTTTCAACCTTTTTTTTTTCTTACTTCCGGGGAGACACATGTTGTGTCGTGTTTTTTTTTCTTTTCTTTTTTTTTCATTAACCCATCATGGTTTTGCGGCTAATGCGGGTGAAGGATCATCAAAATTGAGTTATCTTGACGGCATACTATTGAAAATTGAGCAGTATTCAAATTATTGCTAGTTCCCATGGTGAGAAAATGACTCCTTTTCAAATATCGATACAAAAACCCAGTATAGATGCAAAATTCAACCATCAGGAACGCAATACTTGAACTATGATTGATAACTATAATCTTGGACAAAGTACGCAAGATCAATAGAATCAATTGTGTATTTTACATGTGAATTATTATCCTTGTATTTATCATTTGAAATTTTAAAACCATCTTTATGGCCCACTGGAGCATCAGGGTCCTTATCAGTGGAATTCGGGGTAGAAAAGCATGTGCCTAATTGTTGATATACTTTGAATTGTGGATCGTTAGTTGTTTCAAGTTCCAGAGCTTCAATTGAGTAAGAAACATCATTGAACGAATATGTATTTTTTTCTAACTTGGAGTATGACTGGTCAAGAGGCTTGTCTGGTTTTTTACTTTCCTGGGCTTTAATATGATCTCTATCGCGATTATTATTATCATTATCCATTTTGGAGACTTTTGCTCTCTTGGGCTGGGGCCCTTTGTTACAAGGTATTGGAAATGCCCCTTCATCATTGCTTGCCTTTCCATGAACCCTTCTCTTATTTGTCTTATTACCAGAGTTGCACTTAACGTTGATACAATATTTTCTAATGAATTTCATTAATGGCCCAATCAACTTTGGGCATTCAAAGTTTTCTTTCATCACAACAGAAAATGGCCAAGACACAACTTTGTCACAGTAAACAATGGGTCCGTCCATGGATTTTTGGTATAACAGAAATACGAGTCTATATTTGCCACATTTTGGAGTATGCAAATTTTCGAAAGGAAAGATGATGGCACCAACTTTTCTGAAGTCATTTTCTCTCTTTGCTGTTCCTGTCTTTCTAAGTGGCAATGTAAAATGAGTTCCGCTAAGAACACTGTTTCCTCCTAAACAATTTGAATCGATGGCGCTAACAAGGGGATGTCCTAATTCCGAACAAGGGAGAGCACCCACCACAACGAGGAATGTGGAACTAATAGTATTACGATCAAAAGCACAAGGATTAGCTAAAATCTCTATTATTTGCCTATTATCCGATGATGTTAATGGAAAGAATTCTTCGGATTTCATTGGTTGTGGCTTTACTTGATCAATACCATTAAACTGAACCTTGAGTACTGGAGGTGGGAAAATCGCATCAGATCTGGAGTATGAAAGTGTTGGACCAATATCAGTAAGAGTAGATGCCTGGTTTTTGGCTTTTGAAGTTTCTCTAGCGCCAAGTGGTTGTTGGATGATAACAAGCTCGTATTTTGACATCTAACAAGGAGGGATATGTGATTATATTAAGTATGAGTGGGTTAGTTGATCAATAGTACCAGGTTTAGATTTTATAGTAGAATGCGTCTTTTTTTTTTCTCTTTGTTTTTGAATTCAAATTGCTGAGAGCTGGGAGATATTGGAGATTTTTTGGAGACAAGTTTATTTCCAGGAAGAAACTGCTGTTTGGAGTGACTTGGGCGTTAATTTTCAAAATTTCTGCACCGGTTGCACAGAAGAGATACTTAGTTGACTTATTTTCCAGGACTTGGCAAAACTCAGGATACTAAGAGATTTTTGTTATCTTTCGAGTAAGATAAATAAGGGCGATATATCAAATATATTTATATTTACTTATTTTAAAAGTCAATAATCTTTTCATAAGTGTTAGTCTACTTTAAAGCTTATGAAAAAAATACAAAATTTAAGAATGCAACGCAAAAAATTTAATTTCATCATCTTAGTAATATCCCCATTTGCAACAAATTTTCTTTGACAAAAAAAAAATAACTTCAATGAGCTTTTGTGATCAGAAATGATAATGATAATGACAGTAATAATATATGTTTAAATTTTAGAGCCCTTAAGCAATGAGCCTTGAGAATATAAATCGTCTAGATCTTGCTTGAAACGCTTAGTGGCAACAATACGCTTCAATTTGAAGGTCGGAGTGACTGTGTTCTCTTCTACCTTCAATGGCATAACATCGGCCTTGAAGTTATGAATTTTTTCAAAGCCTTGCAATAAACTAGAGTCTCCTTTTTTCTTGGCTCCATTCACCATGATGTTCATTCTAAGCAAGAGAATTCTCTTCAAGGCCTGCGTGCGGTTCAAGTATTCAAACATCTTTGTCTCATTTGCATCTTGGCCATCAGTGCAAGCCTGACGCAATTCGGCCAAAATATCCGTTGGAATCTCCTTGGCATGTTTTTCAAGAAGGAAGTGCCGTAATATAGATGGTTCAAACCCAATTATGGACACAAGGTGAGATTTGAAAGAATTACCATAAACAAAAATTTGCGTCAACAATGGGCAATTACTGAGGTAGATGTTCTCAATGCGCTCCGGAGTAATGTATTCTCCCTGAGATAATTTGAAGAAATTCTTGACACGATCAATTATATGAATTCTTCCCTTTTTATCAATCTTAGCAATATCACCTGTATGGAAAAATCCATCTTTATCAAAAGCTTTCTCAGTTTCTTCGGGACGCTTATAGTAATATTCAAACACTTGCGGACCACGAACCATAAGTTCACCTTTTGGAATACCATCTGGATCGTCATGCACATAATTCATACTTGGTAAATCTCTCAAACACACCTCTGTTGTATTGCCAACGTGCCCCGAGCTTCCCAAATCATCTTCCAAGCCATGTGATATGTCCATTCCTCCCAAGGTTTCAGTAAGGCCATAACCTTGACCAGTGGCCACTGACAATGAAGCACGCAAGAAGCGCAAGGTCTCTATAGAAATCGGGGCACTGCCAGTAGTAATATATTCCATATTATCAAACCCTATAGATGCGCGGAGTTTGGAAGTATAAATTTGGTCGTAAATAAAGCGCTTATCCAATTCTGATTCTTTTGAACTTTGCTTTTGAATTCTCTCGTGGATAGTCTTTTTCATGACCGAGCCAGAAAAACGGCCTTGACGATCAATGAGTTCTTTAAGTCCAGCTTCAAGCTTAGTATAGACACGAGGCACAGAAATAAAATAGTGTGGTTTGATAATCTTTAAATCTTCAATCAAAGTTGCCACTGGAGTAGCGGTCTTTGGGAAACCAATGTTTGCACCAGTAATAATCGAGTACGTAATGAGTTGACGTTCATAGATATGACTTAACGGCAAGAAACACAAGTAGTTGACAGGATTCTCTAATGAAAAAGGATTGGCATTTTTAACAGTGTTACTAAATTGAAGCATAAACTTAATGGAAGCAATATACATTTTTTGAGGAATTACCACACCTTTAGGCATACCAGTAGTACCAGAAGTGAAGGAGATGGTATAGACATCGTCACGGCCTACCGGCGATAATTCGACAGGAAAATTTCTACCCAAGCTTTCAACTTGTGCCATATCGAATAAATTAATATCCAAATCACTTGCAATTTTGAAAAGGGCATAATCGGTTTGGATATCTAATTTATCCATGGAAATAATTACCAATAAGGTATCTAAGCTCTTGCTTTTTTCGAGTTTAAGAGACAATAACCTCATAATTTTATCCCTCGAACAAACGACCACCGGGGATTTAGTCAACCCCAAGATATAACTTGTTGATTCTGGACCAAGAGTATCGTATAGTGCGGTATTTGTCAAATTGAAAGCCTGGCACATCAAATCAGTGATACACCATTCTGCACGATTCGCGGAAAAAATGGAGACAATAAATCGGTAAGGCTTGTCATTGTTATACAAATCGAAGTGAGGCAAGCTTCCCACGATTTTGGAATTATAATGTTTATGCTTGGTAACCACTTCAATTAAACCAGAACCAAAATTGGTACGCCTAGTATGGACTTCTTTAGTAGTCTGAAATGTGTAAAAATCATCATAATCATTTGCCTTGGTATTATTGAAAAGACGTGTTCCAAAGAAATTCTTATCTGGCCAGATTTTGTTGACAATTTCAAAATAGGTGTAATAATTGTCAAGACGCTCATCAATGTAAGCACCAAGTTTTTCGTCTGGTTTGCAAATGCTATTTCGATAAACTGCCGAGTAACCATCTCTCATTGAGTTGGGAATAGTGTAAACTTTTGAATTTTGTTCAATAGCATCGCTCTGATCTCTACTGTAATGGTGATGCAATATCTCGATGAATGTTTCAACTAGATCGTCAGACACTGCTAGGGGCGTTGTTGAAGGTGAAGGCATTATGTTGTTATAGAGATACGCTAGCAAATATAGAGTGTCGTAATATAGAAGGAAAGGTAAACATTTTTATACAATTCACTCATCGGGAGCTCATACTTCATTCAGCAAATTGCGGAGAAGGGGTCGACACCTCTGGCAGTGGCCAGCTGCCCGCCCTCTCCATGTATCCCTGACAGCTGACAATATGTATCAGGACCCCATATCCAAACTTTCGGGAACGAATATGGTGTTTGAAGCGATAAATGTGATGGTCAAACAACCACCATGAGCAATGCGATGGGAAATCATTACAGCTAACTGTTTATCTATAAATTCCCCGCCTCCGCTTCTTCCGATTTAATTTTTTTTTTCTTTTTTTCCCCCAAAAAGTCACTTTTATCCACCGTGATGCATATCACCATCGATGCGGTCTCATAAAATGAATATCATACGAAAAGAAGAAAGAATCCGGTGATAGATGCCTTCCAAAACATTCAATTTAGTCATGCCACTGCGACCAGGGAGTCACCGGTAAATTCTTTATCAATAGGAGATTTTATGTTTCATGTTAACAGGTGACATACATGTACGTGTTAATGATGTGTTTTATGCAAAAACCATAGTTATCATCATCATTCTTCTTACCGGCTCCCACCAATCATCTCATTTAATCAAATACTTAGGTAAAATAAATATCCCTGGAATATCGCTAGCCCGTAAAATCTACTGGTCCATTATTTCGAACGTTGTGTAATATTTTTTTTTTCCTATAATAGTGATTTCGAGTCTGTATCCATCAGTTATTTACCTCCTCAAATATGGGTTTGTCGACTCATCCCTTTAATGGTGGGAACCATGGCGTAGGAACTTTTCTCTTGCAGTGGTGCAAGTTTCTTCATCTCAAATTGGTGACCCAAAATTGCCCGCGTTTCTCCCCATCGTGAAACTTGCATAAGTTCCTACACTATGGATCCATGGATACATTTCACATACACATATATATATCAGCAGATCTTCCTTTTTCTTGAACAAAAATATATACATTCTATACTCCATTCATTAAAACCATCATTAATCACTTCTATCTTTTATACCAACAATTCTCTTTACAAAATGCAATTCCAAATCGTTTCCATCGTTGCCATTGCTGGTTTAATCGCTTCTACCTTGGCTGCCCCAATCCCAATGGATATCTACCAAAAGATGCAACAAGAAAGAGGGCTTGAATACAATCTCTAATAATATTTGCTCCTTCTATGTGCTGCTTCCAATGAAGTAATATAAAATTTCAGCCTGCCTTTCTCATAATTATAATATTCCTTTAATTCTCTGCTGACAACGGCCGGATTTTCCCTCGCCGCCTCTCCCAGTGATGCTTTTTCAATTCTTCGCTTTTTAGACTTATTCATTTTTTAACGGTATTAAAAAAAAATCTTCTAACAGTTTCCCATTTATCATTATTATTATAGATTTTTAGAATATAGAGTTATTTTTCCTTGAATTATTTTACATATAATACTTTGTAACCATTATTCAGACTTTCAAATACATATGGCGCAATTGTTTCTATTTTTATGCTAAAGTTGAATTTATTTACTGCCAAAATGTTAGACTTGATCATACTCTAATCATTTCATTTTGTCTGTCAATGAGAAATTTATCCTTCCAAAAACAAAAAAGAATTACATTGAAAATCCAATGTACTGGTTGACAAACTTGAAGAATGAAAGATGAATAGGTTTATCTATTGTGGAATTCGTGAATTCTGATTTGAATCACAGGGTCTTAAAGGCTTATTTAGCAAAAAAAAAACAAACCAGCAGAAACTGAGACAGAAGGTCTCATCAATCAATGACTTGACCTCAGTTGAACACTCCATATACAGTGGCAGCAACACAAAATATTAAGACAATAAAAGAATCAGTACCTCCAATCGTACATATGTCTCTTGGGATGCTTTCCCATAAAACCAGATTCCTGTTCTTATTACAAATGAAACAGCCACAAATCCCTAACTTTGGACGGTTTTTCAACATTGCTTTCAAAGGAACTTCGAGATGTTGACCGTGGTAATTATCTGTGAGAGAGCTCTTCAAGGTTTTTTAATTTTGACAAGTGATCTAAACTTACTAAAATCATCAGGAACCTCGTACATATCGTTTTCGTCAAATAATAATACTACAAAATTAAATACGCATTCTAGGCCTTCCAAAAGCACCTAGGGTCTTGAGATTCTGTAGGTTTCGTAAATCTGGCATTTCGGTCAAATCACTGCAATTGTAGATCTGTAAATTCCTCAAACAATTCAAATTATTGAACGCGTTTCCAGCATCGAAAATATTATAGCAACTTTATAAAAATAAATGTTCTAATGCCAGCATCAACTCCAAAACAAAATTTAAACTTCCATAACTCTGGGGGCGGTTGAACTTTTGCAATCAAACGCCAAAGCTTGAGGTTCGCATTCTAATGTGAAAATGCCTCAATCCTGAGAATTCCTGGAAAAAGTTATAACAAAAATCTGTATCTATTCTGAGCGTGTGTATGGAACTATAGTTTCCAAATTGTCTTCAATAATTATTGAACAAAAAAGAGACGCATCTAACAGCTCTACAAAGTGAGGGTGAAAAAAATAGCCAATTTGCTTTTGAAGTTCTAATAACTCTTGTCAAGTTTCAGCATTACAGAATCCAAAGATCATGATAAGGATTTCTGTAGACAAAATTTCGATAGAAAACTCCGTAGTTATCGTGCCTTCACCATTGAGTTTTATTCTTTCACGACCCATCATTTTCCCTCCAATTCTTAAAAAAACATTATCTAATTTCCATGAAACGCTTTATATGTCATTTTTGTAGTGTTGCAACATACTTATCGCTCGTTACAAAAATCTGTGAAAAAAAGTCGGATGAATATTACAATTTGGTTTGGAGACCAGTTATAGGTACCATAGAATCAAGTCTTTTTTTCCATTTCTTTCTTATAATTGGTAATACTAGCATGGCCCCGGATAACAAATTCTTACGTCATGGCTTACATATCGAAAAATTTTTGCACAACCTTACCTACCTTATTTTGTAAATAAATTAATAATAGACCCTGTAGAAACTTGGCATCGAAAATAATTTTCTCCAGTGAGCTATTAACTCAAAGGAAGAGGAGAAGCTTCTATGGAAGCATCCATTTGTTGATCTAATGGATGTTAAAAAGCTTGTGTACATATCAACAATAGAAAGCAAACTCACACACGGACACACTGTGATATAACTAATTTCTCAGTTTCTTCCAATAGACGTCCAACTTATCATTATAAGCCTTGCTTTTTCAACGATTCACTGAATGGAATATGCCAATAAAAATAGTATAGATGCAATAGAGAAAAAAGACCAGAAATAACCAATATATACATAAAAAAAAGAAAAAAGCAAGAGAGATTCAGACGAAAATTCAAGGTCCACAACGATCAGTTAGACACCGGAATATAATCAAAATGCAGTGTGAGGCGGCTATTATTGATATCAAACTTTTTGTTGCTTTAAAATCCTTCTTCAGTTCTTCTCCGTTTGTAAGGATCTTGCTCATTCAACCTGTATCCCGTGCCAAATTGGCTATCATTATTAGCATTATAAACAGGTTGTGGAATAATGGCATAACTTCTCTTCTTCTTCGTTGGAATTTGATACTTTAGAACGAGGTCATAGTTATTATCTAAGGCATCTTGCGCTGCAAGTCTCTTGGCCAACTTAGAGTTACTTGCGGACCCGGATCCCAAAAATACGTTGTCAATTGACAAAACGCAATAGAAGTAATTAACACCGTATGGTCCTTGTTTTGGTGTTATTTCGTATCTGGGTCTATCCGCTGATGTTCCTATCATGGCATATAGTTCACCCATAATATTAGATCTAACAGCAGAGTTATCAGTGATAATAACAGGGGCTCCATTTAAATGGAGCTGCTGGGACTCAACGAGCGGAGGCATAGGAGCTCCGACCAAGCTTTGTGCTTCTGGAGTAGATCTTTGTTGGAAAGCTGGACGAGCAGCATATGTAACAGCCTGTGAGTCGTCCAACGATTCCATGTTTTCATTGGAATCTATGAATGTTTTGAGAGCAGGGATGCATAAGATTTTTAACCATTGAATGATGTTAGAATACTCCCCTTTGCTTTCAATTGACAATGCTCCAACGTAAGCCTTGAAAGTGTCTATCAATACCTGACTATCAAGATGAGTAATGGTGTCTTCGTCTGGTAGAAACATAGTCAAGTTACAAACTCTACACCATTTAGTTAGCTGACTGTTCTTGATAAGGTACTGTGTTAGCTTCGTTAGTCCGTCTTGCCCGTAGGAAGGAAACCACTCCCATAGTATAGAAGTAATCAACGAGGTTAACACAGACGTGCCCAAGAACACCAACCGCATGCTGGACAAACCCGATCTACTAACTCCATGAAGTTGATCCTTCAACTCTTTTGAATTAATGGTGGAAGGGAGCGGTGGCGGGAACTTGCTATGGTTTCTAGCAATAAATTCCTTGACATCGCCAGATTCTGAATCAGCATCTGAAACCTTGAAAGTTTTTGCTGAACTACGGTCACCAATGGCTTTTTTCAAATCAAAATCATCACATGAGAGTATGTTATCGATCGTGGACATCCTTCCTTGTTCGTACAAAGTCTTTATCAAAACCGCTATTTTGAACTCGCGAGAGGAAAACATACCCTTTCTCTTGTCACCTTCTGGCAAAGTAACTAAAATATTATCTAGTTCCTGGGATGTGATCCCACGTCTTAAAATCTCTTTCATGGAGGACTGTAGCTTGGAAGCACAGTGTGTAATAACACTAATAGCGGCATTGTTTATTGGCTCGTTTCTATTCAGCATAATGAACGGGGACACTTATAGACTCTATGAGGGAGGAAAGAAAGGCACTTGATGAGATTTGCTAAGCAATGTTAAGGGGGTTTAAATTTTCAAGAAAAAATAAGCGAAGAGTAAAAGGATCCTCAGTATTATAGAAGGGTAACGCACACAATATATCAGGAAGTATGGCAAACTAACAGTTTCAACAGAACTGAGAAGTGCAATAGTTGATGATATCTATAAAATTTAAATTATTTTGTTGTATGCTTCATTTGAGATCAGTATATAACACAAAATATTTCATTAAAGAGGTCGAGACGTGTAACAATATTAGAATATGTACATGTCATGTAACATAAAAAACACCGGGTGACCCCAATGACAATACCACTGTGTGTCGACAAATTTTTTTTTTTGAAAAATCGACTGTTGGTTTGTTTTACTAACTCACCATATCCGATTATTAATAAATCAACAACAACAAATAAATAAACCAACAATGTCTCTCGAAGAAATCCCAGCCGGTGCCGAAGTTTCCGTTTTCTCTAAGAACGAAAAGAAGGCTAGAAAGTTATTCACCAAATTGAACCTCAAGAAGGTTGAAGGTATCTCCAGAGTTACCTTCAAGAGAAAGGGCAACCAAGTTTTCGGCATCGACAGACCAGAAGTTTTCAAGTCTGCCTCTGGTACTTACATTGTCTTCGGTGAAGCTAAGTTGGAAAACTTGGCTGAAAGATATAAGCAAGCCGCTGAAGCTCAAGCTAAATTGAAGGAAAACTCTCCAGAAGCTCTCAAGAACGCTGCTGAATCTATCCAAGCTGCTGCTGCTGACAAGAGCCCAGCCTCCATTCAAGCTGACTTGCAAGCTGCTGCTGAAGCTCCAAAGATTGAAGCTGAAGAAGAAGAAGAAGTTGATGAAACTGGCGTTGACCCAGAAGACATCAAGATTGTCGTTGCTCAAACTAATGTTTCCAGAGCTAAGGCTGTTAAGGCTTTGAAGGAAAACAATAACGATATGGTCAATGCCATCATGTCTTTGTCTTAAATGGCTTAGGTTGATTATTTCCTTTTTTTTATATTGAATATTATCTATACTTGTGGAGATTTATTTATAAGAATTAACGTTGTAGTGAATTGAGCTATCATTTGTTATGAGTAAACATGGTGCTTCTTGAAGGAAATCATTAAGGATAAAATTGAAATCTCATTCTTCAATTGAATATTGACATAATCTGGTATTTATTAGACATTAGTTCTATTATTTGGGGCATGGACCATAAAAAACACTAAAACACCCACGATAAATACTGAGCACGGGTAAGCCTTTGGGTGTCGCGCAGGAATCTTGAATTTTCAAGAAAAACAAAGAAAAACGATTTCTTCGCAGAGTGAAAGGATGTGTGCACTACGCTCTCCCATATATAGTGAACTTTTATCTTTTACTGATAGTTTTTTGTTTCTGAAAAAGAGAGATGTCCTCACAGGAAGAAGAACAGACGAATTACCAATCGGAAACGGATCGTGAGGTCAAAGATAGGGGGGATAATGGAGAACAGAATGAGGGAAGTGATATGGATGACTTGTTTGGTGATGATAGCGACCAGGAAAGTGATGAAGGGCCAATTGTTCTGAAATCATCCAGTAAGCCAACTGCTTTCATAGATGAAGACGAAGACGCAGGCCAGATTGATGAAGATGAGGATGATGAGGAGGAGGAGGTTGAACAACGTGAAATTAACGCCATTGACCTTGACTTGCCTAAACACCCAGTCTCCAACAGATCTGAAAATGATGACATATATTTTGTCAGCTTGCCAGCATTTCTTAATGTCGATCCATTTCAATTTGACGGAACGAAATTCAAGAAGTCAATTTTGGAAAGCTCCCATCTCAGTCATGAAGACAGAACAATGGAAAAGTTATTTGCAGAGAATATGATTAGATGGAAATATGGGACTTCTGGGGATAAAGCTTTCAAACAATCAAATGCACACTTTGTGGAATGGTCTGATGGATCGTTATCTTTGAAATTAGGAAAAGAAATATTTGATATTGTGAGAAATCTGACATCCGACCATTTTTTGACTATTCGTCATAATGCTCTAGAAATTTTCCAAACAGACAGTATTTTCGGTAAAAATATGAAAATTATTCCATCATCTACTAGTTCTGAAATTCATAAAAGATTAACCAACTACATAAAGGCCAAGAATTCTAGATCAGATACAGTCAACCAAGCGCTACTTGACGTTGATCCTGAGGAAGTTTTGAGACAAAGAGAAAAGGCAGAAGAGGAGGCTATTAGAAACCAAAGAAGGTTGGAACAACGAAAACTAATGGAGGAAGAAAGAATGGAAAGATCAGGCAGAACTTCTAGTAGAAATACTACATCTAGCTATAATTATGACTATGATGATGATGAGGGAAGTCATGTAACAGGCGGTAGACTGAGATCTGGAGGATATTTTGACGAAGACGAAGACGACGACTTTGTGGCCGAAGATGATGAAGAAATAGCAAGCGATGATGAAGAAGATGAATTGGACAGATCAGAAAGATTAAATAAGTTAAAGGAAAGTGGAAAGAAGAAGTACGACGATGATGAAGATGATGAAGAGGATGATGAAGAAGCTGTTAGGGTTACGAAAAAGAGAAGAGTAATTGCAGATGACGAGGATGAGGATGATTGATATTGGGATATTTTTTTTCTTGAATTTTTTTCTATTTATTTCATATATATGAATTGTACTATATAATTTGAAAGTAAGCTTTCTTTGTGTACAGCATTTTAAATGCAGAGAATATCGATAGATAGACCTTGCTGACTGGTTATTAGTGTTATGAGCGCGCAAGGCTTTTCACATTTTTTTTTTTTGATTTGGTTTAGGTGTTTGGAACAGAACAATGCACTGCGGCATAATTTGAATAAGTACTCCTGCTAATAGAAATTTATTGATTCGTTTTGGTTTCAACGAGGAACATTTAAAAAAGAAAAACAAACACATCTTTAGAGAAAAAAGCTCTGAGACAACATCAATCATCAACACAATGGCTGCAAAGTCAGTATCAGGAAATAATGGCAGTCAAAATTTAAGCACTTTTAACAATGACCCATCAATTAAAAACAACAGGAATTCAGTAGATTCTCTTGTTTATTCAAACTTCTCACCAAGCAATATACCGCGTCATCAAGGTCCGGGATCCATTGCCTCATCGTCCTATTCCAATTTTCGAAAACAAAATTTTACGGGCGGCGCCAATAATGGTGGCATCTATGGCCAAAGCAAGCACCCTTATGGCGGGTCATTTTCCACCACCGGAAGTAATTCAGGGGGATTCGGATCATATAGTAGGAATATTCTTGCGGAATCTGCCAAACGCACCACTAGATTCTTCAAGTTTAAAGTTCCCGTGTTTTTCAAACGTGTATTGAAGCCACCAACGTTGGATTTTGACAAATCAATCTGGGAAATCTTCTATTTGATTTTTTCGCCAAAGAAGGTCTACAAAAGTTTGTATTACCACAAATATACCAAAAACTATTACCATCGTGATGATCCATCATTCATTATTCTTATAAGTTTTTTTCTTGTTATTAGTGCCATTGCTTGGGGGATCACGTACAACATGAAATTTCTCGGTATATTGAAGCTTATATTATACATGGTGGTGGTTGATTTTTACGTAGTGGGGATAATCGTTGCTACTATAAATTGGTTCTTGGTCAATAAATTTTTGAGGAAAAATAACTACATGAGTGAATTGTACGGTAGTGGCGGCTCTTCCTTCAATATAAACAACAACAATAAGGTGCTAGGGTTTTTACAATACTTAATGTTTAAGGCTGGGAACTTTTTCAACCTGAATAAACCAGACTCATCTGCTTCATTATCATCTGAGGAAACTTTGGAATGGGCTTACTGTTTTGATATTCATGCTAACTCTTTCTTAATTATTTGGATCAACCTATATTTGGTACAGTTCATTTTACTACCAGTTTTGGTACTCAATAACTTCTTGAGCAGATTTTTGGGTAACACATTATACTTGATAACTTTGTCGTATTATTCGATCAACAGTTTTTACGGATACAATATTTTGCCGTTCCTACTTAAAACTGAATTCATTTTAATTCCAATACCAATATTTATGATTTGCTGGTTGGTCATGACTTTGGGAGGTTTTAATATGACAAATTACATGGTCGATAGCTATTTCAATTAAATAATAAAGAATACTTTTAAATAGTTAGTTTATATCAATGATAAACAATAAAAGGCAATTATTTTGAAATTAGTTGCATCTGTAAAACCTTGAGCAAACAATCACTTATACACATTGATGACACCATTCCTATCTCCAGAAACTACCATAAAGAAAGGTTTATGCAATAAAGTCATATCTGTGACAACAGCATGATGATTTCTTATTGATTCTTTTTGGGCTGAAGAAATTAATGTCGGCCGGACCTTTTTTTTCCTTGAGTCCTGCGAATTTTTAGGACCATTGACCACTTTTGAATTATTAGAATGGAAAATATCCCAGAACATAATATTATGTTTGTAAGTATTACTGCTGAACAAATACAACTGCTTTTTATGGGAGCTGGTAGGAATTTTTAATTCAGTAAACGCAGACATATGGTTCTCAATTTGCTTCTTATCATTATCTCTGCCCATAATATCGTCAAGTTTTTCTGGACCAATTACCTGATCAATCTCATCAAAAGAAAAGTCACCAGCTCTAGAAGAAAACATATCGTTGTCACTTTGAGTATCGTCGTCATTGGCCCCGGCATAAACCTCGCCGTAATCTTGATCTTGATCTTCAGGACATTCTACCAAGGTAGAAGCAGTCTTTTTGGATGATTCATTATGTCTATTTCCCGACGCTGCATTGTAAATCTCCTGAATATTGCCTTTAGACATATCATAAATTGACAATCCATTGTTGTCACTTAGTAATGTGAAAAATGAGTGCTTGGAAGTATTGAAGGCGCTGCTTAATTTTTTAATCGATTTCCCGCCATTAAATCTCCAACTCTTTAGTTTCAACTTAAATCGGAGATCCCATAAAGTCAAATATCCTTTATTAGTACCAACGAGGATCCAAGTTGACAATTTGTTGATGCAGAAAGTGGTAGCTGAACCATATCTTAGAGGATTTTTCAAAGTGAATTCAATATTCATTGTTCTGATATCTATTCCTATAATTTCTGAAAGGCTAGTGATAACTATTAATAGAGGGACATTATCAACATTAGCAAAACCCATAGATGTGGCAAATTCTCCTTGTTTGAAAAAGCTATACGATCTGATTTGCACTAAATTCTTGATTTTATAATGCTCTCTACTGGAATTTCTGTTTGAGCGCGACCCTAAAGAGAAGGACACTCTAAAAATCCTAATTGATGATTTCGTTGACACCGCAAAACAATCTCTATTCTCAATAAAGCAGATGTTTTTCACCGGTGACTTCAAGTTAATTGACAAAAGCGATTGGCTTGTAACATTTCTTTCCAATCTCATAGAGTCCCAAATCTTCAAATAGCCGTCTTCACTACCGGATAAAAAGTAGGAGAAGTCAGGCGACGCGCTTAGGCAATTGATTGCACCTTTATGCTCTAGCAAATGTGCCACTAATATACCTTTTGGAGGCCAACTTTGACTATTATTGATATCAATATTGTGAGAATTTTCTCCTACTGGTAAATTTATCGAAGGTCCAAACTCATAATAATGATCAAGAGTAATGGAAAAGTCGTAGTGTTCCAAAAATCTTAAGATATTTTCATTATTTCCTGTATAAGTATGGGTCATCGATGGAACAATAGCAGTATTGAGTTTTGAAGATTTTGTAATAGACCCAACATCTAAGGAGCTTGCGGATAAATTTTGATGAATACTGTCAAGCTCACCATAAATATTTTCCTGATTCGTTAAGAGGGACGGCGTCGCCTTCCGCATTGCTACCAATAATGCGCCGGTTCCCTCAGAAACTGGAGGAACCAAGTTTGTATTCCAAGCACTTGTCGCTTGTGATACTCCACTAAAAATACTTTCCGAATCAAAAGGCCTGTCATTAATTTGAGGGCTCAAATGAATAATATTATCTTTGCGTTTACTGGTAGCCACGACTTCAATTGCATTTTGGTGATGAATATCAAAACCAGGCAAGGGTCTAAAATGTGAATCTTCTGGTGATTTGAAAACAATATCTAAAAATACGCTTCTAGGAAAGACTTTTAATTGCTGAATATTAGTAATGACATTGGCAGGTTTAGTCTTGATGTTTTGGGACCTGGCTGATTTAGAAATATGATCTCTTAAAGCGTAAATTTTCCATAAATCATTTTCCTGCAAGCCTGAAGCTTTCAATCTCTTCACCCACAATTTATCCTCATTAGTCAATTGGATGGAAGTTCCATTGACAGATGTCGAAATTCGACCAGAATCACTAGCAGATCCATTATTCAAAGATTTTTGTCGATCTCTTATTGCAACTTTGGAGATGATTCCGGTGATTGATCTAGTAATTGATAAATCATTATTATTAGATTCAGCAGACAATTTTTTAGTCTTTGCAGTGTCTTTACCACCCCAAAATGCTGTATTTGTTGCCCTCAAGTACCAGCTAAAGGCAAGATTATAAATGGGTCTAGAAATTGGCTTTTTTGTGCATGGGTATAATGTATCCCAATTGAACTCTGTAACATCATATTCGAAATAAGGTCGAATGATAGGGTACAATGTACAAAATACATCTGCCAAAGATAGCTTTTCCGTCACTGAAATAATGAAAATTAGTGAGCTTTGCCTAATCCATTCATTTGGATGTAGAATCAACTTGGATATAATTTTGGTGAGGTCCCAAATGATTTTTTTGCTAATAAGATCCAAGTTTACCAATTGAGTTAAATTATTTAATACCTGAATGATGATGAACTCTTCAGAATCTGATAATGATTGTATCAACAAAGGAAGGATATACTGTTCCAAACTAACCATACCAACAGATACCGAAATACCGATGATAGATTCCACAAAGGCTAGTCTCAAATAAGAGCTTTTATCATTCAAGTAAGTGATCAAATGGCTCAATACAATATCATTCGTTTTCTCCTTACTGATCACTGAGCACAAAACATGAATATCAGATAGAAAAGAAATCTTGGTGTTTTCGTCTCCAGTTAATACCACTAATGTGAATAATTCAATCCATTCCATTAGCGAGGTCCTGGAAACCGCAGGGGAATCTCCAGGAGACTCATCTTCAGGGTTAATACTCTCCAAGTCCAATGTGTCAACCATACTTTCATTGAGGTTAAGGAAATCAGTGGTTGATTTAAGAACCTGTCCCATATCATAAAATCGGACAGCATTTAACGCAATATTGGGTAGTATAACAGCAAAAAACATTTTTTCATAGCTAGAACAGTAATCTCTGGTGAGGTAACTTTTGAGCTTTGGAAAGATATAGTCTGGGAATATTAGAGCATTGATAGGGGTAATTACATCAACCATTGAAAATATTTGTGCTAACGCCTTCAAAGAAATCATTCTAACTTCTATGGAGTCATCACTCAAAAGTGACATCAAAAAAGGGATGACACGGTCCAATTTTTCTTCATCACGGATTTTTTCACTCAATGCCACCAACAATTCTACCCCCTTGATTCTGGACGAAGCGACATGGGTATTTCGAAGGGAGGAGACCACTATGTTTAAGAGAATTAAAGCCACACTATTGTTAGAATCAACAGAGCTATTCTGGGCGGCAACATATCTAGATGATTTCATGATATAGCCTTTAGGTATTCCTTTTAAGTTGAAAGATAGGGGGAATAATGGTACTTCATTGAGCTTTCGCTTGTTTCCATGAAATTTCGCAGAATAAGTTTCATCATAATATTTATACTGAAGCTTTAAAGCGTGGCATATCTTATCAAACTCCGAATACATTTTTATGATCCGATGGTCACATTCTTTAAGTTTGTCATCATAATAGTCGTCCCCTATTCTAACACCGACTTTCCGTCCACTAGATTCCTTATATGTACCTTCAATATTATTGATATAAATCAAGTCTTTGATATAGTCACCCAAGAATGAGTAGAAGGAGCTTGGAAACAAGATTTCTTTGAACTCTTGTAAATACTCTGCTGCCGACTTTCTATTGCTTGGGTCCAAGCTGATCATACTTTGAACCATTTTTTTCAAGTTTTCATTATTTATATTATCCAAGTTAGGATAATATGCGCCATTTCTATATTTAAATAATTGAGATAACGTGAAAATGGAACCTCCTTCAAGATACAATTCTGCAATCACACATCCCAAACTGAAGATATCCATTTTTTCCAATACAAAACGATCACTCTCGGATAAATTTCCAAAATCAATCTTAGTAGGTACTTGATCTTTTGATAAAAATCTTTCGGGAGATAAATAACAATTTCTTCTCTGGGAAGTATCGAAATAAAACACAAATTCTCCCGGGTTGTCCTCCGGCAAATAAACCGGTTTATAGCATGCAAAGTCAGTTAGAAAGACAGAATTCCAACTTGTTACCAATATGTTTTCAGTTTTTATGTCACCGTGATAAACCCCATTCTCATGGCATTCAGTAAGTATATTCAATAATTGATATGTTATCCATAGTTTCTCAATGTTTTCTAAAAATGGTCTAGTATTTAGTCTGTCATAAAGATTGTTGTTTAAATACTGTCTGATCAAGTACGCTGCTCTGCTGGTTTCAATAATTTTGCTAAAAGGAACTACTCCAGAGATTTTCGATAAAATAGATCGCTGTTTGTCTAGAATTTTTATCCAGTATTGCAAATCTAAAACGCCAGCTTCATCGGCATTAGTGTTATTAATGGTGTCAGGTTTAATAAACAACTTTATTAAAAGTAATTCCCCATTATTTTTAGAGTCAGAACATTGTATTGATTTAAGGAATCGGTTATCTTGGATGGTTTTGCCGAAATTGACTTGGTCGAGAATATCCACGTAGGATGATAACGAAATCGCATTCGAAAGTAGCCTTGGAGCCAATATTGAAGTATTTCCGCCCATTTCAGGAGAGAAAAATCAATATTTTTCTATGTTAAGACTATTTTCTGGATGTCTGTATTATGACAGCCAAAAAAGTTTTAATGTTGGATTGATAAAAGCTTATCGGCGTTATATTGACATTTTCAGTTGATGGTTGTGCTCATCTCTTTGTTTTTAGGAACAGTCAAAACGCGTTACCCGTATGTTTCCATGACCTTGGGTCGATGCCCCAATGCAGCAGTGCAATAAATCCCAACCTATTTACAATAGAAAAGAGAAGTGTCTCTGAAGGGCACATTAACTAATTCATTACAGTTAACATTTATTAATTTATGTTTATGCTTTCTAGACATTGAATCAGAAATAAATAACTCTCAACCTTAACAGCACCAATCACCATGAGAAAAATGAAATTCAAGAAGGGTTAATTTTTTCATATCTTTAAATCTTCTGTCTTAGCTGCCAATTCCTCCTGCTGCTGTCTTTCTTTCAATAACTCTTCCTTGGCGGCGATAGCCTCCTTAGTAACACTCTCGATTTCACAACCGGCCTTGAAGGTTGGCTCATCCTTTGATTTGTGTTCGGCATCTTCGTCTTCATCGCCATCACTTTCTTCAGGATCAAATGAGAATTTCTGCAAAAAGTATTCTTCAACGTCTTCCTTATTGTTATTTTCAGCTTCAAAGATCGCATCGTGACCCACATCATTTTTCACGAATGGATCAGCTTCGTATTCATCACATAAAACTTTCACTATTTCCAAGTGTCCATTCAATGCTGCCCAATGTAAGGCAGTATTTCCAGAGGCATTTTTCAAATTGACAAAATTTTTTAATTCTTCTTTATCGATTTTAGAATCACATAATGAAAGCAAGAACTTAACTACTTCCAAGTATCCATTACCAGCAGACATATGGATCAAAGTGGAACCAGTAACATTGTCCTTGATGTTTAGAAGAAGCTTATGATCGATCTCTTGGAAAATTTGTTGGAGGGATTCTAATTCACCATATCTTGCTTCTTCAACGATATATTCAATTTCTTCGGCAGTTAGACTTTCTTGAACCATTTTTTTTTATTCCTTGTGTATTTGATATTAGTTATTGTACACCCTTTTATTGCTCGTTTTGCTCTTTTCTTTTTTATCCTGTATTATATAAATATATATAAATAGATTTATTGGCTTTAAGTTTTTATGAATTAGATAGTGAAGTTTTGTTAAAAAAAAAAAAAAAAAAAAAAAAATTTTTAGATGGATGAGGTGCAGCACCCTCAATAGATATTCAAAAGTCATCGATGTTGTTTTAACAGTTCCCAATTCTTTACAGAAACATTCTATGAAAGTATTACCACACCACGAAAGGAAAATTCAAGAAAATCATTCAATACACCAATAGCTCGAACCAAAATCTGTCAAACGACAACTCTTTGGAGATCCAAACGTTTCTCTCAAGAAGCATCATACACGTGATGATAGGCGAATGTTTATTTTTTCTTTTTGTATCCTAAACATTCAGGTGTATCATCTATAAATGATGATGCCAAAAACATCAACATAGCTTCACGGGTCGGCTCCACACACAGCTTTAGAATTGCCATGGTTGACTTGTCCAAACTTCAGCCTGGGGATATTGTATCCGGTGAGTTTATCTTTGATTTGGGAAAACCTGCATTTTTTTTTTTTTTTTAGATAAATAAAAGAATCATTTCTAACCTTTTGAATCCAGTTTCTAGCAGGGGACTGCCACCATGGCCAGCACACATTGCCAATGAAAAACTTCTAAGCCTCCCAAATTCAATCCAATTGAACTCTCATTCTGGTATACTGATATTGAGTAAAATTCCAAAGTTATCTTTACAATACAAGATGAATAAAAAACAAGAGGAAGATCAGGTTCCAGTGGTGTTATTTGGCGAAGACTCGCTATCGTATGTAGGAATATCGCAAATTCTGTCACTATCACCGGAAGTTTGTGCTAGATTTCTTGCAAAACACCAGTCATCGAAAACCTTTGATCAAAATATAGATAGTTCACTTCAAAAGTTGTCGAAAATTTTGAGGGATAATTCTTCGAATCCTCCAGAAATCAAGGTCCCTAAAAATCATTGTTTTGATCTTTCCTCGAACAATTGTAATAAGAATCAAGATACCGAAACCGTTTATGAAGAATTCTCTAATGTGGAAATAGGGGAAAGCTATCTGGAAGATATTATCCTTGAAAAGATTGAAGAAGGCTCGAATGACGAAATAATATCGTCACTACTATCTACAACGGTTTCCAAGACCCCGGTTTCAGGTGAGAAGAAAAATAGTAGAGATATATCCATGGGCAATGAAGACAAATCAAACGAGTATTCTGATATACCCAAGATTCTTGATGACTGCCCAGTGGTTAAGGTTGAAGAAACTTCAGATAAAGAACTTGACATTTTGTTGACCAGTCCCTCAAATAAGACCAGAACCAGAATGGTGTTTCAAATAAGGAAAAGTTCAGAGAAGGAAAAGACAATAACGTTGCAGCAAATACAGGATAAGCAGCCAGTGAAAATGAATCATTCAATTGAGGGTCAGACTTATGATATAACTGGATCACAGACTCTGGTAGAGAATGATCCCGAAATGACCGTCGATATTGATCCTGAAACAAAACAGAGCGAGAAACTGAAAAGCACAAATACCCAATTGAATGAAGCGAATCTTAGCGGGCCTAAGGAGCGGGAATTTGATGACGCCAATACCTCAGAAAAGGTTGCAGGATCTACTGATTTTGATATTGATGAAGCATTTTATTTCTATTATGATAATTCTAATGAACACGAACGCAAATATATTTTAGGACCAGAAGATGTTGATGCTGATATAAATAGGGTTTTGGATGAGGTCTCTCGGAGTGTTAAGGCAGAAGATGACGTAATTCCCGAGGACACAGTTCAATTGCTTGAAGAGCTATATAATATGAGATTGGAAGTCACTGTGCTGGTGATTGACCAGTATAAGGATCATTTCACCGGCAAATCGAGCAAATTTGAACAAACCGTTCGAAAACGTTATACTAAACAATTCCTCGCAGGTCTTGATGAGAAGAATTTTTTTCAGAAATTGAAACAGCAGCTACGAGAGTATAGACACAGTATAAATCAGAAGAAACGTGCCAAGATCAGAGGGAAAACAGCACTGCATAGAGCATTTGGATCAAAAGCAACATTACGTGATATGGCAAGTTTGTTACAACTAGATGTAATCATTGTGGGAGAAATCGAACAGGTCGTGAAGCAAGTTGCCAGCAAGTTGAACATTTTGCTATATGGTAAAGTGGTGAGTATTCCACAAACAAAACAGGATCCAACTACTTTGCGTACCACCACATGGATACGGAAACATCCATTAATTAAGAATAGATTGATTGGGACATTGAAACGGATTTTTTGGGGGACATTTCAGTTCGATGGTGAATTGATAGAGGCAATTGTTAGACGGGTAGCGAGAATTACCGGCCACTACTTTAATTACTTTTATGCTAGATTATATGAGGATGAAACGGGAATTCCTCCCCAACATGTCGATGCGGAGTTTTTTTGGAATGCAGTGAATCCAATGGACCAATATAATGAAGGTCACTGTAATATAATTGCAGGAAACCTTGAGAGAAGAAGGAATGCTCCGAGGATATCATTGGATAATCTCTTAGAAATACCACTGGGATCTACTAAGAGACCAAATACAAAAAAACAGGTAACAAAGAAAATGAAAGTTAAGCTGTTAAAGTTGGTTAATAACAAGAACAAAGAAGGAGAAGAAGTCAACAGAAACTCTTTTAAGTCAATACCAAAAAAACTTACATTGAAACTTAAACAAGATCCGCCTCGCCGAAAAATTGGGAGACCGCCAAAAAAGAAGAACTTGGAAACCAATTTTTCGCAAAAAAAGGTTGCAAAATCAAATGCATTGTCTATTAAGAGTTCGAGACCAAAAGCTATCCCGACCTCTAAAGACAGGATGACTGAAAAGCCCCCCAAAACCAATGTGGAAGTTTCTGGCAACAAGGTGGTTCTCAAAATGAAACCGAAGACATTGCGAAAGATACAGAAATCTAATTCAAAAATATCCTCAAAACCTACAAAATCTGATCCGACATTTTTTTCTGGAAAAAAACAGAATCAGAAACCAAGAAGAAGATTGGGTCAAAAACCACAACAGAACTCTCCGGAAGTAACCCAAAAAAATCTGAAACGCATCGAGAGACAATTGAAAGTGGGAGCTAGAGGAATTATCATACCTTTGGGACATAAACGCAAGGATATTGGTCGTGATTGCATTACAGGATCCAAAAGACGGAAACTTGATAAATTGAAGACTAGTGTCGAGAATATTAGAAATCAATAGGGTATGGTTTGACCATACATAATTTATGAGAAACGAAATTGACAGACATATTATTGTTAGTATTTATAATTATAATTGTATTTATATTTGTATTTGTATTTGTATTGATATATATATATATATATATATATATATTAGTGCTTTTCCTTGTATTTGTATCTTTTGTTTTCACTTATTTTTACTTATGGGTGTAACAAATAGAAATCCTAGGAGGGGGAAATGGAATTTCGATCTGCACATGAGAAATCAGGTGGAAAAAAATCTGTCAAAACTTTCATCTGTTTTATGAACAAATACTCATTTTAGGAGGGAAAAAACAAATTGGTGGTAGATATATTACTTATATATATCGATCCTTCCGCGAATACTGTTGCAATAATCAACCCTCATGGCTGATTACGATGTTTCCTGTTCCAGGAAATTGACATCTGTAAAAAAAAAAAAAAAAAAAAAAAAAAAAATCTGTCACAGAGCTTCTTTAGCTAACTCCATAGTCACCCCAAACATGAGTTACAGTCACCAAACAACGTCCAATGTATTGGGAGAATCTGATATTAAACACCTCAATTTGCTTCCATATGAGGTCCTCTCAAAGATTTTCAAGCTTTGTGATATAAAAAGTAAGACCTCATTGTTGCAGATCTATAATCAGACCAATAACGGATTTTGGAAAGAACTAATTGGCAGCACCATTTTTTCTTCAATATCTATAAATTATACATATTATAAACAGAAAGAATGTCCTATCGATTTGAGGAATCAGCTAGTCTTTGGAATTGAGGATTTGGTGGAACTAAAAGAGGTGGCGAAGTTTGTCGAGTCAGTTGATTTTGATATTGAAAACATTGGGTTTTGTGAGTTTGAGGATGAAGATTTTAAAAAAAGATCAATAGAGCTTGAAAATGCCGTAAAGAAGATCAATATTATTGTTAATGATATGTCAAAGTTGAAACGAGCAAAAATTCCGGGTTATCCGGACATCAAGATCAATAACCCATTAAGAGAGTTACGCATTGTGTACAATTCAACAAGTTTTAAAACGTTTTTTTTGGAAGGATTCAACTGCACAAGGTTGCAGAAATTAGCAATTCATTTATATTTTAATGATAAATTTGACGAAATTCCCTTTGCTGATACATTTCCCAGTTTGGAAGACTTTCAAATGGAATGTGATGACAAAAGAAAACCTTTAGATCTCAAATTTCTAAAGGCTCCTAAATTGAAGCGAATCAATGTTGCATCAAAGACCCCAGTCAAGCATTTTTCAAGTGAACGGTATCCGGAATTAGAGTTCTTTAACTGTATATCAGAAGGAGTTGACTTGAAACACTGTGCAGGGTTCAAAAAATTGAAAGATGCTTCGTTTTGGGTACCGAAAATGGATGATCTTTCAGTGATTGGACACTGGAAAAATTTGAGATCTTTAAGCATTAAGCTAAAAGAATTGCCGTCAAATATTCCATCTTGGAATTTGAAAAATTTGAAGCGTCTAACTCTCTATATTTCTGGCCTTCGCACAACTGAGAATTTGGAAAACTTGACAAACTTGGAGTCCTTGAAATTAATTAGCAATGTCCTCTCTAATCTCAACGGATTGGATAATATGGTTAATTTGAAAATATTGGAAGCATCGTTCAGTGATATTACAAAAATCGATTGTGATTTCAGCAAGTTGGTAAATTTGCAAGATCTCAATTTGCGAATCAATCAAATATCTTCGTTCGAAAATATCAGCTCATTTCCCAAGTTGCGATTTTTGGACCTTAGTAAAAACAATTTACAGAGTATTGATCAAGCTTTGAACTATCCTTCATTGGAAAATCTTAATCTAAGCTTTAACTCACTCCAAAAACTTGAGAATTTTGAAGCCTTGACAAGTTTGAAGAAATTTGATGCCATGAATAATCAAATAGCTGAAATCAATAGTACGTTTACAAATTTCAATCAATTGGAGAAGCTAGATTTAAGCTGGAACTCCATAAAATCAATGAAGGCATTTCAATCAGTTTCAAACTTGAAAATATTGAATCTTGCGAGAAATAAAATATCCAGAGTTGATGTGGATGAATTAGATTTGCCTAGATTGGAGAGGCTAGACTTGAGTGGTAATGAATTGACTATGATTGGTAATTTGAAACTACCTGCTTTGAGGGAATTGAATCTTGCCTGTAACAGAATTACAAAGATTGAAACAAATTTGAAACTACCTGCTTTGAGGGAATTGACTCTTGCCTATAACAGAATTACAAAGATTGAAACAAATTTGAGCGAATTGTTAAACTTGGAAAAGCTACACTTGTGCAACAATAAGATCAAATCGTTTAAAAATATCAACGCCATTCCAAATCTCCTCATTTTGAACCTATTCAATAATGAATTGGAATCTATTGATCTTCCATTGGATTTTCCTCGTCTTTTGAACTTCCACCTTGGAAGGAACTCGCTTACTTCCTGGAATATAGAATCCCAAAATTTGCCATCATTGGAAAACTTAGACTTATCTGAAAACAAGTTTGTTCTGTTGGAACAGATTGCTGAAGCCTGCACAATTCCGGGATTAAAAAACTTGGATATCGGGAAAAATAATATCCCAGGACTCACCAAGCTTTCTCAGATGCTGTATGTTGAGGATTCAGATGAGGCTAAACAATGTTCCAATAATAATATCGTGTCGTTTTTTGAAATGATGTTGAAAGTTAATCCCAAGTTGTTTATTAGACATGATAAAGGCATCAACAATAATTTTTACCCTCAGGAAAAAAACCCTCGGGAAAATTTTACTGGTGCTCATGATGGTACAAACTACCTACAATTTTTGTAAGCAATATATATATGTTTTAAATAAATCAAAAAAAAAAAGGAAAATAATAATTCATTAAACAATAGCAATACTCTTATTTCTCTGTTTTTCTAAAAAATAAAACGACTGTTTCTAAATATATAATATATGTAACACAACAATTTGTGTAAAAAAAATGTAGAAACTAGCAATGGGAAAAATTAAACAGCCTGGTATCCTGGTTAGCTCAGTTTTAGGCAATGCCTTTAAAATAGAAAAAGAATTTCAAAGATTGGGCAAAAAATAAAAATAATAGAACAATATATATATATATATATATTTAGATAGATCCTACCGACGTGGTGGTCATAGTAGACTGGGTGAACTTTGTATCATGTGAATCTTGCGATGGCGGAGGAACCGCTGCATCATTAATGATATGTCCTTCTTTCTCAATTTCTTTGCTTTCATCTGCAGCGACATTTTCCATTTCTTCTTCATCTTCATCTTCACAGCCTTCCAAATTCGGTATTGATGGGGGTTGTAATCCCAACTTCTTATAGAATGCATCGTTAAAATCACTAAGTTTTTTGCTACCCCATTTTCTCAATTTTTCGCCACGGTAATAAGCATATATAGGATATGGTATCCCAAGAATCATCCCAATGAAAAAGAAGAAGGTATTCCCCCATCCAAACTTCAATTTGGCGTAGAATTTAGGTGCAAAAAGTCTAAGAATGGTTAGTAATTTTGACTTCAAAAAAAGGTTGGGGGAGAATAATAATAATCACAAAAAAGAAAAAAAAATACTCACGGGAAAGTAAACCCAAAAATCGATCTGAAAACCGTTGCTGCTGCCACTGCACTGGCACTAAATGCCGGATCCATATCGATCAAATAATTATTGATGATTTGGAAAACGTTGACGGTACCAAAGGCGAAGATCGCGGCAAAAATCGATGGGACAATCCAGTGGACGTGCTTATCGACACACCAACCAAACCCTAACATTCCGGCAGGGGCGATTATTCCCCCGAGCCAAAGCAATTTCAATTTATATTCTGGTTTGAGTTTGCCATTGTTGGCCTTGAGAGAGCGATTGACGAAAAAATCGATCGAGGGGGTCCATAAGGCGATACCGAGAAGGAAACCAATACCCATAGTAACAAACATGAGACCAGAGATACCCATGGAAAACCCGTAGAGGGAAGCCCACACGGTTGGGAAAATAACGATCATAAGGTAAAGGAACCCGTTGGTGAAGGCCAAGAAGGCCCCAAGCCCATACACCATTGGATGGTAAAAGAGAAGAAGGATTGGACGACTGATGTTGATTTGCAAGAACCGCCATGTGGAAAGATTCATGTTGTTTAATTCGTAAGCGGTATGGTATTTTTCGGCATTTTCCGGGTCTTTCTTCATCAATTGTTGTTTTTTACGGGCAAGAAGGATTGGTTCGAACGATTCTTTTAGGAAAGCATGGTTGAGGACAAGAATTGCGGCGTTCAAGATGGTCAAGATTTTGAGGACCCAACGCCAACCTTTATATTGGACCACGAACCCGGAAATGATTGGGGAAATCACTGGACCGAGGACGAGGGCGATGGCATAAAGACCGGTGGCTTTAGTTCTGGATTTATTATCGAATGCATCGCCCAAAGCCCCAGGGCCGACCGATAAAGTGGAAGACGAGAAGAATCCGGCAAAAAAACGACAGACAAGGAGTTGGCTAGTATTTTGAGACCAGGCGCACCCGATGTTGAAAAAGAACAAACCCCAAGTGCAAACCAAGAGGACGATTTTCCGGCCATAGATTTCAGATAACGGCGAGACTACCAATGGGACGAAGATCCAGGGAAGAATGAAGATACTGACACATAACGAGGCCAAAGTTTCATTTGTAGGGAAGCCGAATTCGACAGAGATTTCTTCCATGGCTGGGGAGATAGTGGTGGAGGCGAACGAGGTGATGAAGGCATCAAGGGAGGTCATGATGGTGATGGTGATTTTTGCGGCCATGGTCCAGTTTCTGGGGTTCTTAGGGTCCTGAGGAGAGTCCCAAGTGACCAAATAGGGGTTGTTGTTATTGTTGCTGTTTTCGTCGTTGTGTTTTACGGTGGTGACATTGTGTGATGATTGTTTCTCTAGGTCTATGGGTTCTGGGGAGGTGGGATGTATTCTGATTTGATCATCAGATTGATGGATAGCAAATATCGATTTGATTTTGCTTTCCAACATTGGTAATTGTTTTGTAGGTATTTATTTTATGATTGTATGTGTTTATGGTTGTATGGGTGATGATGATGGTGATGGTATGTATGTATGTGTGAATGTATGAATGTATTATGTATGACGATTATATGATGATTATATGATGATTATATGATGATTATATGATGATTATATGTTGAAAGGATATTCGAGATTTTTATAATTTGAAGAGGGGGAATTTTGAGGAAATGGCGGATGCTTATATAGGGGCCAAGCACATATTCCATCAGGGGGATTTAGGGTAGTGATGGTGATGAAGGTGGTATACATATAAAAATGATGTGCGGCGATGAAGGTGTCGCCAGGGTGAAGAGACGAGGGGCTTTTGGTACTTTGCTGTGTATAATGTAAAGTAGTATATGATATGTGTGTATATATATATATATAATAGATGTACTATACTACATGTGCCAAAGTTGAAGATTGTCGGAGTGGTGTGGATTATGTGTGTACCCTGGGATGCTAGTGTGCTTGGTGATCCTCTGCGTGTTAATAATAATAATAATAATAATAATAACCAGTAGCCAGTAGTAGCCAGTAGCAGCAGTAGTAGCGGTGGTGGTGGTGGTGGCACGATTGACTCCCTGCCTGCCTGCCTGCCCTCCCGATTGAGTTGGGCGATTCTCCTACGATTGTTAGTGGCGACGGGAAATCTTTGTTGATCTCTGAGAATTCCACCACGTTGTGAGTTCCGCTATATTAATTGTGTGTATGTTATATTATATATTATATATTATATATATCATATATGATTATCTGCACAGCATTATCACTCCTCATCCCTTACCATTCGTGTAAATCATTGATCGTAGCATACGGTAGTAGACGGTGTTCACTAATAAAACAATCCATGGATGATTAATTGGATCGAACGCAAACAAATAAAATATCTCACGCAAAGTAGTAAGTGACACCGTAACTCTTCCTCCATCCGTCCACCAATGTATATTACACGACATTCAATGCTTAATATACAGTGTGAAATAATATTTAATAATATCTAATAAAATACAATATACTTGTAATATGTAACAAAGATATATATTTTCCACCCACCAAATAGTTTTGGTGCACCACCGCCGCGGGTCTTCCCCCATCATCCCAAAAAATAAACAACAGCGCTCCACTAACAAATAACATCCGTCTCGTCTTCCATTCATCAACCAACAAACAATCCACCATCCAAAAATGATCTCCCTCACCCCACAGGAAGATCACAACCTCAAAAACCAGCTACTATACCTCCAATTACAGGATGAATTCAACCACCTCTGGCACGACCACACCCAGTTCCTCTCCAATTTACAGTACCCCTTCAGCACCCTGGAAGCCGCCGACTTCGAAGACATCGTGTTGGACACCAAGAATGACACTTATCCATTGATCAAGTTCATTTTCATGAACTTCCTCAAAACATTTCCGTATCTACAGGGTCTTGACTCCAAAATTGATTTCAAAAAGCTGGAACACAAACTCATGAAACCGCATGTCAACAACCATGAATCAGACCAACTCGACTTACAAATCGAACGGTACATGTCCCAATTCGACCATACCAATAATAACAAATACTTGAAGTACAAACTAATGCCGTTCTATAACTACATCTTATCCAAGAACTTGAGCAATTCCACCGATCGTTTCGAATTGACGAAGCGAAGAAAGTTAAGCTTGAAGATCTTTAGAGTGTTGGTACTTTTCTTCAGTAGTTCATTGAGTACCATCAAAGAACATGAATATTATGATGTGAACCCAAGCACCACTAACAAGGATAATAATAATAATAATAATAATAGTAATACAACTGGTAATCAATTGAATCAATCAATTTCCAAGAATTTAGAAAACTATATTAATGATTTGGAAAATGATGATCCAGAAGATGACAATACCGCTTCATTATTAAAGCTCACCAAAAAAGATATCATGAACCAGATTCATAATCCGCGATTCATTAACAACTATGCCATAAATATTATTGGTGTTTCTGCTCATGTCCCCGCCACTACTACTACTACTACTACTACCACCACTACCACCCACACAAACAACAGAACTTTTGGAACTAAGATTGGTCTAGGGTTTCTTAATGTCACCGGGCCCAACGATGCTTTCCCAAATAAACATTCCAAAGTCTATGAGTTTATCATTTCTGTCAAATACAAAATGAGCCTAGCCACCAAGGATAAGCAGACAGATTCTTCAGATGACGAGATTCTTCGAGAATATTTAGTCTTACGCTCGTACGAAGCATTTAAAATCCTCGCTTCTAAACTTAAAAAGACATATCCTAATCTCAGTTTACCAAAGTTGCCTCAGAAATTTAAACACGGAACATTAATTGGAAACGTGTTTAGCAATGACCATCACAAACAACAGGAAACAAACGAAGATGATGAGGATGTGTACGACGAAACCGTGGTGCGAAATAATAATACCACTAGTGGGATGTCCCAGTCAATCGATATCGAAGAATTCTTCAACCAAGAGAATGAGTCAACTTTCAATAGTCGTGAAGCCGAAGATTTGTTGACATATATTTTGACAAAACACGCCCCGTCAACTAAAAAAAGTTCAAAGATGGGAAAATTGAAACATATGAAATCATCACCTTCATTGAACCTGCGTGGTGGTGTATTAAATGCCGAAAGTCCCGATGGTATAAAGCATAAGTTTAGCAAATTGTCATTGAAGAATTCAGCGGCTGGCACTCCAAGAACTCCCAGTTTTGATAATGATTCCTATTGTGATGCGCTGTCTACAAACTCTGGGATAGAAAGATCTTCATCTACCGCCACCAATGATCCAACCACTTACTCCTTGCCTCGTGAAAAACTTAGAGTGTTGTTGAACAACTACTTATCTGCACTTTTGCAAATACCCAGAATTGCCAACTGTATTGAAATGAAGGAGTTTTTATTTGAAAGCTCTAAGAATTACCATGATTTAACCGATGAAGAAAAGAAGGACATTGAAATGAGAGAATATGTGAGCTATTTGACTATCAAGAATCAATTAATTTTCCAAAAAAAAATATTTTTAATTAATTTAAAATTGAAAAATGAATTAGTACAATTCAAGAACCTATTATTACACTCTGATGACCAGGTCTATTTAGAAAAAAATTTCTCCCCGCAAACTTTACAACAGTATTCGTTATATTTGAACTCTGGGGATTCAAAATCAACGATGTTTCGCATGCTCGTGGAATTCAAGCTTAACAAAAACATCCAAGGATTATCACCGATCATGAAGACTTTGATCAAATGGACCAAACTTAAACTATCATCATTGGTATATGATTTATTTTTCACCACCAACGATCTAGATGGGTCAGTTGGCGGGTCAACGGAGAAATTCAGCGATGCGGTTACTTATGAACTATTCAACCAGGTCAAAAAATTCCATTCTTTATTTCCTTATGCTATTGTTCAACAAATCCTCAAATTGACCAATCCGATGGCAATGATTAGACGGTTGCTTGAATTTTTCCTCTATCAACCACGGAACTTGGGAATCAGTGCCCCGACAAAATGGTTTTCCTGGAAGTCCAACGATAATGATAATACTCAAAATAAGGATGCCCATAGATCGTTCATTCAAGTGTTGTTCCATAGTGTGCTAACCTCGGATATCAATGACTTAAACAACAAGGTGAAATTATTAGAGCAAAAGTTGCTCAAGCAGGACCAAGGATATTCGGTGATCTTTGATACCATCAACGAATTCTTGAAATTGAATGAGTATAACGATGAATTGAAAAAACTGATCATTGAAAAGTTCAGACTGAATGAAAATGACAATGATTTGATTCTATTAGTGGTATTTAATGAAAAATTGAATGGTGAGGTTACGAAAGTGATGCATTTAAAACCGGTGATCTATGAAAGTTACCAAGCCTCGAAAAAACTTGATACTTTGAAATCAAGAAAAATGAAAAATGAGACCAACCTGCAACAACTCATGGAAGAGCTCACTACACAAGCGAAATTATACCTAGATTTAAAGAAATTATTTCAATTAATGAACCGAAAGAATGATAAGATGGTGATGGACGAACTTTGGTCCGAATCGTACCTCAACAATTTCCTCAAAGATTTTATTATAGTGTTTTTCGAGCCGTTGGTGAGCATTTTTTCCAAAAACCCATCGTTCAAGAGGATTGTAAGGGTGTTCCAAAGCTTTGTCGATGATATTATCAATTTAGTGGAACAACTTTACGACGTGGTGTACATGTTGACCTCGAACGAAATTATCTTGAGCATCTATTTGGTATTCACGAAATACCAAGATTTCTTCATTGAGTTCCTTCATGAGAGTTACGTCAATGACACCGAAGGGTTTTTCGAATCGATTGGCTCGTGGGCCGGGAATATTGTGAATTTACTCAGGTATTTCAAGAACGAATCCCTAGAAGATGGGAAGTTCGATATGGAGAAATTGGTGAACCAAGTTTCCGTCATTAACGAAACAGAATTGAAAGCAGAGTTGGCATCGATCATCAAGGAAAAAACCGAGCAAGTATTGAAACAACTGATGCAACTGAATCTTAAAATGAAAAAGGATAAAAAATCCAACAATAAAAACGATTTTATCAAAGAGAATTGGGACCGGTTGGACCAAGTGGCGTTGATGGACGTTTCTGATTTGGGGCTCATTGATCATAGAGATTTGCAAGAATTCGATGCGGACTTACAGCAGCTCGAGAGGGTGAATTCCAACGACTCTAAAGAGGTTGATATATTCTTGAAAGCCGATGAAGAAAAAGAGCGGAAGGGCCACCAGGGGGAAATCAAAAAATTGGGACCCCAATTCAAAGTTGAGTTGTTGAAGTTGTTGAAACAGTATCAAGGCAGTGCCAATGTATTAGTTAAAAACAGCATATGAGTTGCTTCTCCAAGAATATTATGAGCAAAAAAAAACAAAAAAAAACAAACAACATTAATAACAACAATCCCCCAATTATTGAGTTACTCAGACGGGAAAAGTACGTACGTATACGAGTCTTCCAGAAGCGGATTTAGCATGCAACGTTGGGCTGCAGGCTAAGAGACGCACCTTTTGTTTCAAGAGATTTGAGAAACACCGAATGGTAAGGGGGGTTTCTTACGACTACTGTTTTGGACAAGTTTTGTGTTAGATAGGGGATGTATAAGTGAACGATAATATATGTTGTTGTTCATTTGTTTCATTTTCATTTTTTTTGTTGAAATCAAACGAACCAACTAACTGAAATAAAAAAAATGGTTTGGGGGGGGGGAGCAATCAGTATACTTAAAATAATAAATAAATGGAATAAATAGTGAACGCAAAAAAGTAATGAGATATGTTATTAAGGAACAGTAACTCAGTATCTCAAACACAACGCATAATATAAATTTGAAAGTATGTAAAATCCATCCATCTCTTCTCGTTGTATGCTGGCTGTCCTTTACCTCTCGTAGAACGCCGGTTTTGCCAGGGATTCAATTCCACTTAGCTGCAGAGCAGCATCCTCAAACAAAACAAAGCGCCGGGCCAAATACGAAGAACCTCCCCCCTCCCCTCCTCCTCTCAGAGGTTTTCGTTCCACTTAATAAAATAGTATTATTACTGGTCAGAATTTGAATTTTTCTATTAGTTTTCCAATGATTACTATTTCTTTTATTCGTCTCATTCGTTGGTGATTTTGCACTTTTCTTTTTTTTTTTTTTCTCCCCGATTTAAAGTTTTTTTGACTTCTTTGCATCCGCGGTTCAGGAATCTCCATCATGCATGAGTCGCTGCACCAAATGTTACACCACAAAAACACAATCGTCTCAAACCTGAGGTTGAAAGAAAGAAGAAGGAATTGAGGAATATATATATACATATATCTTTACTCTGGGTAGTAGAAATTTTCACTATCATTTGCCAAGTCTACATTTTCTTCACTCTGCTCAAAAATCACTATCCTTCCCAATTTACTTACCATGCCTCTGTCACTCAAGTTGAACATTGAACAATACTTGGAAGATGATAATGATAATGATAATGATAATGATTCAGACTACTTCTCTTGTCTCAGCGACTACGAGGAAAACCATGATGGTTGCAATGATAATGATGAATTCGATGATGATGATGATGATGAGTCTGAAAATTCCGATTTCAGTATGACGAGAACCACCTCCCTCGATTCCAATCTCTCTGATGTCATTGATGATGCTACGAATCATAAACCACTTTTCGCGGAAATCATCAAACAAGATAAGTCCAATCATAACCCACTTTTTGTGGAAACCAAAGAGTCCACTTATAAACTGCTTTTCCTGGAAACCATCAAAGAAAAAAGGTCTTCAAGAATCAGATCACCAATCGATATCACCTTCCCAACTAAATTACTCAACAAAATCAAACCAATAAACTCTAAACCAATGGAGCCAAATCATCCTGGTGAAATTAAAGAAACAGCTTGTCATCCATCCTTAGTTCAACAACGACTCAGCAAGCTCAAGGATGATGATACTTCGATGGCTTCGAAGTTTAACCATCCAATGGCCCCAATAATCAATGGTAACGACCCATTTTTCGAAATTAATAAAAAGTATAGCTACGGCCTTTACATGAGCGAGCAAATCCGCAAGACTTCAAAACTTCAACAAAACCCAATGATTTCCAGGTTCTTCCCATTAGGAAACCAGCAGTACCTCCCTTTGATTGGTGAGGTCAACAATCACAATCACAATCACAATCACAACCTTCCATCCGTTGGGGAGACCAATAATATCAATCACACTAGACATTCTTCATTCTCAATTTACTCATTATCGAGTCTTCAAGATGATGACAATTCCAATTTGGACAGTTTATTGGGTCATCATCGTCGCCGTGCCTCATTGCATTTGTAATATATTAAAAACACCCACACACACACACACACACAAATACTTTTCTTAACTTCTTATTACACTATCTTCTCATTCCACTATTGTTTTAACTTCACTACAATTTTTTGATTCCTCCAAAAATGATATTTACCTTTTCTTAGAATATTACACAAATTAACATAATTTCCATGGTTATTTTTTTTTTTTTTTTCTTCATATTTCTTTCTCATTCTTTTCGTTCCAATACGTTAATAAATTTGATATTTGTTGATTTAATTTGAATTTCATTTATAAATTTTGCTAAATGTCATTGCTCAATTATAGTTCAAATACCTCTATTATAGTTGGACACATCTTCATTATAGTTCAAATACCTCTTTTATCTTTCAATAATTATTTTACGAGACGACGGTTTTTAAAAATCAGCAAAGTATTTCGATGATTATTGTTGATCTACAATGTGATAATTATTGTTGATCTACAATGTGATGATTATTATTGATCTACAATGTGATAATTATTATTGGTCTACAATATGATAATTATTAAAAAAAAAAAAAAAAACAAACTTAGCAAACATTAAAATCATTAAATAAGAACCAAAAGTTCTTTTGATATAATACACATTAATTCTATAGAAAATATAACCCTTTAAATCACTTCAACTAGCCCAAACCCTTCATTATTGTTTGCAATGTCAATATTGACAATCCTTGGGATGAAATCGACCAGAAAATCATCATTGATACTTCGGGTACCACTACTACTCAGACTGCTCACGCTAGTCAAAGTCGAAGAATGATCAACGTTATTGAAAAGATCATCGTACAATGGCAAAGTCTCGAGTTTTGTCGAAAGATCCATGACATCTTGCTCGGTATAGTTTAGATCATCGCATACTTGGACTGGCTCAATGATGTTGGAAATCCCACTGAGGATCTTGATTTTGAAATCAAACGCAGTACGCGCGGTTTCGTCAATGGTAGGGGAGTCTCTTCTAGTGATTTTCTTGAATGAAAATCCTGATCGATCTTTTTGAGACCCGGTTAATAAAGACTGTTGTGGTGAAATGGCAACGGAATCCGGTAAGATCCCAATGTAGTCGCATTTCACGGAAATCCCGTAACTTTTCTTGATGTTACAACTTCTAAAACTTGGGATCACATCAGCGGGGATCACCATCCCTGGAGAATTAGGTTTTGGGGAGTTGGACGAGACGTTAACAAAATCATTGAACGGGATCTCACATTCGTAGATTGGTTCATTAGTAAGCGATGACAATCTGTGAACATTTTTGATAAACTTAAGGGTGGTGCTCGAAGGTGGTGGAGGAGGAGGAGGAGGAGGAGGAGGAGGAGGAGGAGGAGGAGGAGGAGGAGAAGAAGAACAAAGACAAGGGTTGGCAGCCGAATACTTGACATCGACATTATTGGTTTGTCCATCGAATTCCAAAGATATATCATGGGAGAAATCTTCAGGAGTCTTAAAAAGATTGATTCTTTGATGTAATTGATCGGTGATGAATTCCTGGTCTTGGCCATGGAATGCCGTCCGATAGTTCTCCTTCTTTGATCCGTTTATCGATTGATTTTTGATTTCGTAATTCTCAGTCAAATCGATGATCAAATTACGGATTTGGATCCCGGAGATTTTCTTCCCGGAGATAAGCGATTTAGCATCATTAGGGTTTTTAAGGGAGACCAAGAAGAGTTTCATTTTCGGCGTCGATGACGGAGTGAAATACTCTGATTCGTATAATCTCATTTCCAAATACAAACTATCGTCGAAACTGGGGAATTTCTTCAAATTTTCGACCATCGATTTATAACTTTTCGATTTGAACTTATTATTGTATTTCGATGATGGTGATGACAGAGTGGGATCCACCAACGATTTCTTGTAATCAAGTAAGGTTTGCTTCATGGAATCCGATTCAAGTTTGAAGAGTCTTCCCGATTTGTTGTTGACGATTTTCATGGATCGGCGGTCTCTGGCCCACACGTCGACGGAGAATTCTCTTGGTAAGAAGTTGATTTCGTAATAACCCTCGGTAATGGAATCTTTTTGCTTTTTGGTATCTTGTACTACCGATACTTTCAAATAATAAAAAACGTTGAAAAGATCGCTGGTTTTTTTCTGTGTCAGTGACACACCGATGCTTGGAGGAAGATGATGGTTAAGGACTTTGCGTTTACCCAAATAAAGGTTTCTTTTATGCTGTGGCACTTTAATCTTGCAATTTGTTAAGGGGTCAATGTGGAACACTGTATTATTGTGGTTATCACACTGGTCCAGGAGACAGCATCTTGCTTCGGAAGGGATGATGATTTCAAAATCGTACGAATAGCTGGTCCCAGGCAAGAAGAACCCATCTTGTTGGTGATGATGATGATGATAATGATAGAGGGATTTCTTTTGGTGAACCAAGTTATGGCATTCGACGGTCAAGTTGTTTTCCAAGAAACTGAAGTTGGATTGCAAAAAAGGGTTGGTGATGAGGTTCTGCTTATCGACCGATGGGCCGCCGTACAATTGTGATGAGAAATCGGGGGTTTTGAACGATCCAGGCAACGCGGTTTTGGTGTACCCTTCAAAAGCGATATCGATTGAGTTGATGTTGGTGATGGTTTTTTTAGGGATCAAGTGGAGTTTACCCTTGAGTTTATCAAAGTTGGTGAAGGTGAAGGAATCTCTGGCACTGCGGTCGAGGGTGAGGGACAATTCGAACTGCTTGGTGCTGGCGATGGTTTTTGTGATTGACATTTGTGGGGAAGAAGAGCAGTGGATGTGTTAAAAGATAAAAGGGATGGTTCACTGCGATATGAAAAGCCATCATCTTGTTGGTAAATATATATAAATATATAAACATATAAATATAAATGGTTCTTCACAATACAAAATATTTTTTAAGGACCATCGTGCATGAGACAGATCGCGTCGGTGACGAAAACAGGAAACGATCGACGATTGACTCCAATTAACAGTCAGATGGGATTGTTATTATGATTATTATTAGTGTATCCCTTTTCTCATGTGCAAAATAATCACAACCACAATGTGCAAGTAATGAAATGCACATGCCCCCTATTCCTTCTAACAGAAGATCTTCGCTTAGCTGGGTGGCAGGCAGACATTCCATTCTATTCATCCCCCCCACCCACTCTAAGTGAGGCAGAATGAATGAAAAATTAAAAAAAAAAAAAAAATATCCGGAACAGAGAGCATTCATTCATTCCCCCCTTGGCTGCCTGCCTGCCTGCCCACTGAAACTAAAACGATCCCTGCACTCACACAGTGGGTTAATTAATTAATTAGTCAATTAATCACTTTGATCCCTGAGATCTATTCTCTCCATCACCATTAAGGAAATAATAATATATCTTAAGGTGATGATGTTTGTTAAAAATAATAATAATAATAATAACAAACCCCAGAAATAAGGAGGCCGCCTCCCTTTTTTTTTTTTTTTTTTAGGCTTATTTCATTCATTTTCCTCTTAATTGATATTTCATTAATTATATATTTTCTTTACTCCTCCTCCCTCCTTTGTAATTTATCATTCGTCAGTCCATTTTAATGACAATTAATCATTCTCGGAACACCTCATTCCCTCAGTTGATCAATAATCATAATTACCACATGCTCAATCCAATCCAATCCAATCCAATCAGTGTGTGTGTGTGTGGGAATTACATCTATAGAGGTAAATAATTATGTAATATAATGATATTTATTATATATCATTACATTGAAAAAAAAAATGGTTCTACATCTATCAGTAAATCAAAATTCGCAATTTTTTTTTTTTTTTTTAAAAACATACAAAAATTAATAACCATAAAAAAAAATTATTTCTTTAAAAATACCAAAATTAAAATAAAATAAAAATATCAAAAATATATCATAATAGTAAATCGATTTTAATGATCATCCAAAAAAAAAATTTTTTACCATACATAATCAAGCTTGGGCTGCCAATTCTTCAAGTAACTTGTAGTTTCTTCTTTCAATTGACCCATTACCAGGCAATGCAGTATTACCTTCCAAAAACTCGTCGACTTCTCTGGCACATTGTCTACCTTCTTGAATACCCCAGACAATCAAAGACTGACCACGGCGACAGTCCCCAGCAGCAAACATCTTCGATTCCCCATCGACCTTATAACCTGCTGGACTCACAGTATCGATATTCCCTCTCTTAGATCTTGGCAATGAATCGCTCAACTTGTCAATTTCTGGTCCAATGAACCCCATCGACAACAACACAACGTCAGCCGGGAAGAATTCTTCGCTCCCTGGAACTTCCGCCATTTGCCAAGCTCCACTACCTTCGGCTTTCTTCCATTCAACTCTCACAGTCTTGATTCCTTTGACATTACCTTCGTCGTCCCCGACAAACTCTTTGGACAATACACAGTATTCACGAGGATCTTTCCCGTACTTGTCGGAAACTTCAGAATGACCATAATCAACCCTGAAGATTCTTGGCCATTGTGGCCATGGATTATCTTTGCTTCTCTTTTCCGATGGGTGTGGCAACAATTCAAAGTTGGTCACCGATTTAGCACCGTGTCTAGTGGCGGTACCCAAACAATCGTTACCGGTATCCCCACCACCAATCACCACGACATTCTTCCCCTCCAAGCGTTGACGAACTTCTTCGAGATTCTCTTCCAATAACGCCTTGGTGTTCATGTGTAACAATTTCATGGCATAATCAATGTTATTCAATTCACGCCCAGGAATCTTCAAGTCTCTGGCAATCGTCGAACCCACCGCAAACACCACCGCATCATTATCGGCGTTCAATTGTTCGACACTAATTTCTTCTCCCACAGTCACATTACAAACGAATTCCACCCCTTCGGCAGCTAACAAATCGGTACGACGTTTCACCACCGATTTATCCAATTTCATGTTTGGAATACCGTACATGAGCAAACCACCCGGTCTGTCAGATCTTTCATACACCGTCACCTTATGCCCAGACTTGTTCAATTGATCGGCACAGGCTAACCCAGCTGGACCAGACCCAACAACCGCCACAGATTTACCAGTTCTGGTGGTTGGAGGAACTGGTTTGATCCAACCATTGGCAAAACCTTTATCGATAATGGCACGTTCAATCGATTTGATTCCAACAGGATCACCAATGATCCCGGCAACACAAGCACCTTCACATGGAGCAGGACAAACACGGGAACTGTAATGAATTGTTAGTACAAAAGATTCTAAGCTTCATGATAATGAAAAAAAAAAAAAAAAAAATTACTCACGTAAACTCTGGGAAATTATTGGTCATCAACAATCTTTGCAAAGCATCATACCATCTATCTTGGAAAACTAATTCATTCCATTTAGGAATGATGTTGGAAATAGGACAACCGGTATCACTTTGACAGAATGGCACCCCACAATCCATACATCTTGCAGATTGCTCTGCCAATTCTTCCTTGTTCATGGAATGGTTCATCTCTTTCCAATCCTTGATTCTTTCAGTAGTAGGTCTGTACTTCCAATTCTTTCTCTTGTACTTCATGAATCCCTTAACTTTATCCAATTTTTCAACTTTTTTCTTCTCATTGGTGGTGTCAAAGATAGTATCTTCTAAATCATCAACCACCGGTTCTTTGGCAGCCGATCTATAAGAAGTGGTCTTCAATGAAAGGTTTTTAAGCACTTCACCATTGGTGATATCGCTAGCAGGATCCGATTTGAGCAAATTTTGCAAATTGACGGATTGTGGATTCTTCAACGCCAAAAGGTTGGCCTTTTCAGCTTCAAGCACCTTCTTGTAATCGGTTGGCAACACTTTCACAAACTTTGGTAAAACCCGGTTGAAATCTTTCAAGATCTTCGCTGCCAATTCGGATCCGGTATAGTGCAGGTGCTCTTCAATTAAACCACGCAAGAACGCAATTTCTGCAGGATCTTCCACAGCGCTCAATTCCACGGATTCACCATTCACTTGTCCAGCCAATTCTTGGGCGACATCTAACACATAAGCGATACCACCGCTCATACCAGCAGCAAAATTTCTCCCAACTTTACCAAGGACAACCACTCTCCCACCAGTCATGTACTCACATCCATGATCACCGGTCCCTTCAACCACCGCAGTGGCCCCAGAATTACGCACCGCAAATCTTTCGGCGGCAATCCCTCTAAAGTACGCAGCCCCAGAAGTGGCACCGTAGAGACAAGTGTTACCGATTAAAATGTTTTCCTCGGCTCTAAAAGACGAGGACTTAGGTGGGTAAACAATCAATCTACCACCAGACAAACCTTTCCCAACGTAATCGTTACTATCACCTTCCAATTCCAAAGTGATACCTGGAGCCAAGTACGCACCAAACGATTGACCAGCACTACCCTTAATGTTAACATGGATAGTATCGTGTGGCAAACCAGCTTCCCCATACTTCTTGGAGACACGGTACGATAAAGTGGTACCGACAGCACGATCGGTGTTCACAACTTCAGCATCAATGGTCACTGGCAATCCTTTATCAAGGGTAACTTCAGCTTCATCGACAAATTTGTTATCCACTCTAGTGTGCAATCTATGATCTTGCTTTCTAACACAATAAGTAGCAACCCCTGGTCTGATAGTATGGGCAGGAGTCAAGATTGGAGATAAGTCAATGTTGGCACTCTTAGTGGTTCTCAAATCATCTCTTACACGCAAACATTCGGTGTGCCCCACCATTTCATTGATGGTTCTGAAACCAAGCTTGGCCATAATTTGACGCAATTCATCCGCGACATAGTAGAAGAAATTGATAACGTGTTCTGGAGTTCCGGCAAATTTGGCACGCAATTCAGGGTCTTGGGTGGCAATCCCCACAGGACAAGAATCTTTATGACATTTTCTCATCATAATACAACCCATGGCGATCAATGGTGCGGTAGCAAACCCCCATTCTTCGGCACCCATCAAACAAGCAATTGCTACATCACGACCGGTTTTCAATTGACCATCGGTTTGCACAACCACCCTACCACGCAAGTCATTAAGAACAAGAGTTTGGTGGGTTTCAGCAAGCCCCAATTCCCAAGGCAAACCAGCGTACTTGATACCGGTCCATCTACTGGCACCGGTACCACCATCATGACCAGAAACAAGCACATGGTCGGCTTTAGCCTTGGCCACCCCGGAAGCAACAATCCCCACCCCAACTTCACTGACCAACTTGACAGAAACACGGGCTCTTGGATTAGCACACTTCAAGTCGTAAATCAATTGTTTCAAATCTTCAATGGAGTAGATGTCATGATGAGGAGGAGGACTCACTAACCCGACCCCTGGAGTAGAATGACGAGATCTGGCAATCGACTCGGAAACTTTGAACCCTGGTAACTCACCACCTTCACCAGGCTTAGCACCTTGAGCCATTTTAATTTGCAATTCATCGGCATCGGACAAATAGTATGAAGTGACCCCGAATCTACCACTGGCAACTTGCTTAATCGCCGATCTCATAGTATCACCATTGGCAAAAACCTCCGATCTTTCAGCATCTTCCCCACCTTCACCAGTGTTGGATTTACCCCCAAGTCTATTCATGGCAACCGCAAGAGTCGAATGGGCTTCAAGAGAAATAGAACCATAAGACATTGCCCCGGTACAGAATCTACGAACAATTTCTGTCCATGGTTCAACTTGCTCAATTGGCACCGGCTTGTTGCCGGAGAAATCGAAATCAAGCAACCCACGCAAAGTACAGTTTTTGATGGCATCGTATTCTTTCTTAGAATATGCGGCATAAGCTCTTTCATTCTTGTTACGCACCGCGTCTTGAATATTGGCAATTGCTGCTGGCTCGTTGACGTGGGGATCCCCGCCATCTCTCCAGTGATATTCCCCAGTTTCCACCAATTGTTCATTTTTGACGGTATCACGAGTAGGATATGCTCTTTCGTGCAAGGTGAAGGCATCTTGGGCAATATATTCAAAAGTCACCCCTTTAATTCTTGAGGCAGTACCGTTGAAACATTTATCAATGACCGAATTATCAACCCCTAAAGCTTCAAAAATTTGGGCACCTTTGTAAGATGCCAAAGTGGAAATCCCCATCTTGGACATAACTTTCAAGATCCCACCGTCGATGGAATGGATATAATTGTCAATCAATTTCTCGTCGCTAATGTTTTCTTCACGGATCAACCCTTGGTGGTTCATTCTCAAGAGAGTTTCAATGGCAAGATAAGGATTAATGGCATCGGCACCGTAACCCAAAAGAACACACATGTGATGAACTTCCTTGACTTCGGCAGATTCAATGATAATGGCAACCTTAGATCTTTGCTTTTGACGAACTAAGTGATGGTGGACCGCCCCACAAGCCACAAGGGCAGAAATTGGGACACGAGACGCACTGGTAGCACGGTCAGAAAGAACAAGCACCGAAGCAGAATCGACAATAGCATCACTGGCAGCTTGGCAGATTTTATCTAACGCATGAGCATAACCTAACAAACCATCGGACTTTGGGAAGGTAATATCAATGGTATGGGCTTTCCATTTTGGATACACATTGTGAATGTTTTGAATGGCAGAGAACTGTGGCAATGTCAAGATAGGAGATTTGAGATGGAGTCTGTTAGTTTGGCCAGCAGTCATTTCAAGAATGTTTCCTTGAGGACCGACATAACATTCAAGGGACATGACAATACTTTCACGAATTGGGTCGATTGGTGGATTGGTGACTTGAGCAAACAATTCACGGAAATATTCATACATCAACCTTGGCTGGTCGGCTAAACAGGCTAATGGCCCATCATTACCCATAGATCCAAGAGGTTCTTTACCACCGGTAGCCATTGGCACGAGCAAGAGACCAAGTTGTTCAAAAGTATAATTGAAGCATTTGAGACGAGCATCAGAAGTGATGCTTTTACCGAAATCGATAGCCGAGGTGGAGTCGGTGATACTGATGTCTCTGGCTGACAATTTGGAAACTAAATCTTCCATGGTGATCAAGTGCGCTACGAGCCAGGACTTGAAATCAAATCTGGTGGCGACTTTTTGTTTCAATTCGTGGTCATCAACAATACGACCTTCTTCAGTATCAACGAGCAACATTCTTCCAGGCTTCAATCTTCCCTTGGTGACGACTTTTTCGGCCTCGATTGGAATGACCCCAACTTCAGAGGCCACAATGATCCGATCATCGTCAGTGACGTAATAACGACATGGTCTCAAACCATTACGATCCAAGTTAGCACCACAGTACCGACCGTCAGAGAATGTGAACAATGCTGGCCCATCCCAAGGCTCCATAAGACAGGCAGCCCATTCATAAAAGGCTCTTTTGTGTGGGTCCATCGAGGTATTGTTTTGCCAAGCTTCAGGGACAAGCAACATGATTGCTTCAGGCAATGTCAAGACCCCATTCATCACCAATAGTTCAAGGACGTTATCCAAGGCAGCCGAGTCGGAACCGCCTTCTTCGATAATTGGGAATAATTTTTCAAGGTCGTCGCCGAATTTCGAAGATTTCATCACCCCTTCTTTGGCACGCATCCAATTCTTGTTACCTCTAAGGGTATTGATTTCCCCATTGTGTGCGGCCATTCTTAAAGGCTGAGCTCTATCCCAGGATGGGAAAGTGTTTGTAGAGAATCTAGAATGGACAAGGGCGAAATGGGCTTCGTAATCGACATTAAGCAAATCCATGTAGTAATTATAAACTTGGACTGGTGATAATTGACCTTTATAAACGATAGATTTTGTCGACAACGAACAAATGTAAAACCAATTTTGTAAGCCAATGATCGATGATGACTGTTTACGCAACAAGTATAATTTAGTTTCAAAATCTTTGGCGAAGGTGGCGGCGAAGTCGGCGAGATCCATATTGACCACTTCTCCATTGACAATGGAAGTGGCAAGGACAACGATTGGTTGTAAGATCAAAGGTTCACGCGACAACGAGGCAGGACCAAGGATCGAAGAATCGTGAGGCACTGGTCTCCAGCCCAAGATTCTGAGTCCTAATGAGTTGGCAAGTTGTTCAAATACTTTCTTAGATCTATCAAGGATTTCTTCGTCTTTTTTGAAAAAGAAGTTACCGGTAGCGAACTGGCCGTCGACAGGGATATCGATATTGAAATAATATTTGAATTCTTTTCTGAGAAGTTTGGTAGGGATAGAAGTCATTACCCCAGCACCATCACCGTCTCTGGAGTCAGCGCCGACAGCCCCTCTGTGGGTCATATTGCAAAGCAAATGGCGGGCATCGGAAACAATCTTGTGAGATTTAACTCCCTTGATGTTTGCGGCAAAGCCGACACCACAAGCGTCTTTTTCGTATTCTGGGTCATAAAGGCCTTGCTTGAGTGGTAAAGTGCATGCCCAAGATTTGTTTGATGGTGATTCATCGTATTGATAAACGGTTGGAGGAATATCATCTTCGATAAAGTCCAATCCAGGGTGAGGAGAAGACTGACGATCGACCGATGTCATTATGTATTTTTGGTTGTATTTTTGGGTATGGATATATTTTTTTAGGGGTGGGGATAATTAATTTTCAGTATATAATCGGTCAGTACTATGGTAATATATATATATATATCTAATATGTAAGTAACGCACAGGGTTGCCGAAGGTTGAGATAGCGGCGGGAGCGAGATAAGTGCGGTTGTCACAAATGAAGGATGAGTAAGGGCGCGGCGGTGATTGGTTGAAGATACGTTTCATGGGGAGGGTAACCGTCGGCACCCCACCGCTCCACCGGATGACAGCAGTGCTGATTGTGGGTGACAGTTGTTATTGTTGCTGTCTGGGAAAGGTGACAGACATATTATTGTGGGTGGGAGAAACCACAGCAATCAGCTGGAAAGACGGACAGACAGACAGACAGACAAGATTATTAATGTGAGTCAAGAAGGATGGGATAGGGATAGGGACAGTGGTTGTTGTGACGTGACTAGTGTTCCATCGGCCAACCAGCTGGCCAGTGTTACACACACGCACTTAGCGCGAATGCATCGGTGATCTCAGCCGCCATCTCATAAAACCTGCGCTGCCATCGCCGGTGCCACGGTGACGGTACACCCCCAGCGCCTGCTACGTGCACAACCACCCTCCTTCGCCAGTCACGGGGAGGGACAGCCCATCATCATCAGTGATAACAATAACAATAACAACCACCGCTGCGATCGTCCTTCCTTCCTTCACCTCCACCGCCCAAAAACACCGCCATCATCATCAACAATAATGAACACCCGGCAGCCCATATCCCACACCGCAAAACCAACCCTGCCAAAGCTACTATGTGTCTCGTTCAACCAGGACCAGGACTGCTTTGCAATCGGCCACGAAAACGGCTTCAGGGTCTACAGCTCAGACCCCATGGTCGAACGTGTCAAGCGTACCTTCAATAAGTCTTCCTCCTCATCAAGATCAGGTATCGGCCACATCTCAATGCTACACAGAACAAACTTCTTGTCCTTAGTAGGCGGCGGCAAGAACCCTAAATTCCCCATCAACAAAGTCATCATCTACGACGACCTCAAAAAGAAAAACACTCTCAGCCTAGAATTCATGAGCCCTGTTCTCAACGTGTTTCTCTCCCGTATCAGAATCATCCTGGTGGTCGAAACTCATGTGTATGTTTACGCCTTCTCATCGCCCCCAAAATTAATCGCCACTTATGAAACAATCAGAAACCCTTATGGTGTTTCTGATTTGTCCAACTCCCTCTCTATCAATAATGACACCTCTCCTACAGCACCATCATCTTCATCTTCATTATCATCATCTTCTTCGTTGTTGTTGTCGTCCTCCTCCTCCTCACCAGCTTCCCAACTGTCCGTCAACGAAATCCTCGCATTCCCTGGACGTCAACCCGGCCAATTACAAATCGTTGACATCTCCCCACAACACCAGCATCGGAACTTGATTTCCATATTCAAAGCCCATCGCTCACCAATCAGATGCATCAGTCTCAACCGTCAAGCCACAATGGTGGCTTCCGCCCTGGAAACTGGAACGATTATCAGAGTCCACTCCATCCTGAATTGCTCGTTATTGTACGAATTTAGAAGAGGTCTAGATAAAGCAATTGTTTACGCGATGAAGTTTTCCCCGGATGGAACCAAATTGGCGGTGATCAGTGATAAACAGACATTACATGTGTTTAGATTAGACCGTCACATGTCCTCAAAGGCCACTGGCGGCTCAGCTAGTAGAGATTCTACTCCGTCTCCTTCGACCACTGACTCATCCGCTTTATCTTCTGGCAATCCTGGCGCGGTCGGTGCCACCAATCAAGACTCCCTCAATCGCCAACACTTCCTCAGATCATTGCCAATTTTCACATCATATTTCCAACTGCAATGGTCATTTGTATCGCTTCATTTATCACCAAACCCATCGCTAACAACAGCCTCGAGCTCATCCACAGTAAACTCCAGTTCAAAAGCTACGGGAATTGGCAATAGTCATACTGCAGAAAAATTCAACGAATCTATTAACTCAAACTCCCAGATAAATGACAGGGCTGCCCTTGGCTGGTCATCTGATGATTCAATTATCTTGGTCTGGAAGTTTAGAGGAAAATGGGAAAAATACGTGATTGTGAAAAACGAAAGTACCAATGAATGGGGGTTGGAAAGAGAAGGATGGAGACTGTTCGGGGAATTTCAGTGAAAATGGACGGAAAATTGGTCATTTCACCTGATTTAAGTAAATGGCTCTCTTTTTTGGAACGTATAAGCTAAAATAGAAAGAGGGAGAGATGGAGATGAAATATCGATACATCATCCAAGCTGTACGCCCTGGCAAAAAAAAAAAAAAAAAAAAAAAACCAAATAGAATTAATCGATAACAAAAAAAAAAGTATCCTTCCGAAATAATAAAGAAAAAGATTGAAAGAAAATATGAGTCTTCTTCGGCTCGGAATCATGACATACCATACAACTGTGCAACCTAATTTCAATTGGATTTCTAATCTCTTACTTTTTTTCACAACTCTCTATTTTCCACCCCACCAAACAAAAACTCGTTGCTAATATATTTAATCAGGATCTCTAGTTCCTTTTTAGACAACTTTCCTAATCTACATCATATTTTGCTCATCATCATCATCATCGTCATCATCATCAATTTGGTTAACTGTAATGAAAAATTTTAATTGTTGTAGATGATATGATATACTTATTAATTATTAATCCTCGGTGGGAAGGGGGTGATAAACCCCTAATAATACCGGAGATGTCTTCCTGATTGGGTAAGCACCCCCCACAAGCCATATGGAATTTCATAGAAAAAAAAAAGTTGCTACCTGCACTTTCAATGATCTTTGCTATATATATATATCTATTATGAACCTGTGGAATTTGAAATTGTTAAAAAAACCTTTCTTTATTCTTTTAAAAACTTTTATCCAGTTTTATTAAATAAATTCCAACATGTCACAGACTTTCAAGGCCATTAAATACTCCAAGCCTTCCAGAGGAGGTTTCCAATTGAAAACCTTCACCGTCCCCACCAAATTGCAAGATGACGAGTTGCTCATTAAAGTTTCCTATGCAGGGATCAACCCCGTAGATATCATTCTCTACCAATATGCTGAAGCCTTTAATGTCTGGGGTGAGGAATGGGGCATGGGGAGAGAGTTTTCCGGGACGGTGGTGGCCACAGGGTCGGAAATGGAGTTTGCCCAAGGGGATCGAATCGTCGCCCTGACTAAATCGATAAAAGAGACTCAATCGGCGGTGGGTCAATATATCGTCATCAAAAGATCAGGATGGGTCATTGCCAAATTACTAGATAACGTTCCTGCAGATATCGGGGCGTCGTTACCATTATCATATATGACTGCGGTGGATATTTTGAATGTCCAACCGCTGATCACCACCACCCCAGACTCGAAGATTTTGGTGCTTGGGGGAGGAACCATGGCAGGGTTTTATACTTTACAATTGTTGAAGAACGTGTATAATGTTCATGATATATACTCGGTGCAGTCTACGAAAACTGATAAGTTGTACGCCGAGAAATTCAACTTCAAAGTCAATTCCATCAACTACGATACAGAAACACGGCCGATCACCGAGGTCACCCAAGAGATCATCACCAACACTTTCCACGGGGAGAAATTCGATATGATCATCGATACCATTGGTAACTCTGATTTCTTTGCCGATATTGGATCTTTCCTCAAATTAAACCAAAACAAGTCGTACGTCACCATCGTTGGTGATTCGGTGTCGGTTTACAACAACACATTTTGGCAGCACGCGAAATTGATTTGGGGGTCCATCTATCGTAAAATCACTAACAAATTGTTCAATCCTGGATATCATTATGCCTACGTTATGATGAATCCAACTGATGAGAACTTGGTCAGTGGAGTAAAGTACCTTTCAGAAGGGAAAATCCATGGACTAATCGACAGTGCTTACTCCATTGAAAAATTCGAGGATGCGATCAATAAATTGGCATCCCATAATGCTAAGGGTAAGGTCATCATTGATTTGGAAGAAAAGTGAACTACCATGCAAAAAAAAAAAAAAAAAATATCCCTATGCTATATATAATAAGTTCTTCTATGTATCTTTATATCCTGTTCTATGTTTTCTTCTTTCCTTTTTTTTGTATACTATTTTGTGATTAATGCTGTTGATTTTCTCGTTATTTTTTTCTTTTGATTCAAGTGTCCTTTGTAAATTGCACGCCTTTAATATAACTATAAAATTTTACGTATGGTCAATAAATCTTACTATAAAACTTTATACCTCCAAGCAAGAAAAAAGAAAAAAAGTCATCAATTCTCATATATTCATACAACCCACAAAGGAAACCATCTAGGTGATTTTCCCTTAATCTAGTTTAACATGCAAACTCTTCCTTCCCATGGTAACCTCACTCTTGAAATTTAGACACCCAGATCAAATACACCCGCCCCTTGTTCGACCTAATCGCTTTCAATATCCATAACATCATCTTCTTCTTCTTCTTCTTCATCTTCATCATCGCTGCTAACAGTTCCTTGAATTAACTCTCGAGCAATTTCTCTCGGATCGCTTCCTTCATCCAAAATTGCCAAAGATTTAGCCTTCCTCGTTGTTGGAATCGTGGTATTGTCACCTTCTATAATTTGGGCAATACTAGACTCACCAAACTCAAACTCCTCATTAATGTTTTCAAAGCTTTTATTGCTCGCAAATGGGAAATTTTTAGTTTTCACGATCGATGGCGAGTTGGCGGTGAAATCATACCTCGGTGATTTAGATAAAACTTTCTTATAACTCAATGTTGATTTAGATAAACTTAGAATCTTAGATGTTTTCCTGAAAAATTCTCCAGAGATATCATCAGCATCGTCTGTAGAAGTATCAATGATGTTATTATGTTTCGATAATGGGGTTGAAATGGCAGCTATACTCTTATTGTTATCTGGCTTTGGTTTTTTTGGCACAACAAATTGTGAGTCGTTAGGCTTTTGTTTTCCATGATATGACTTGTCATCACTAGCATTTTGATCTAGCGCTCTCTTTAATAAATCATTGGCAATCGGATCGCTCGGCGAAATTGCTAAAGCATTATGCAATGCCTCAATGCTCTTGAAATATTTTCCCATTTTCAAATAAATCAATCCAATTGCAGAGTAAATATTCGAGTCTTTGACATTGAGCTTCAAAACCTCGAAAAAATTCTTCAAAGCCTTTTCGTAATAACCCAATTTTCTATAAACGTGCCCCAAATTGCTATTAATACTCATCCATGACTTAGAATCATTAGTCAAATGCTTGGATTCGTTGAAAGCTTTCATAAAAAACCATTCTGATTTTTTCAAATCATTGGTGTGGAAGTAAATTACCCCGATCTCATTCAACAACAATGGGTCACTTGGACAGATCTCATAAGATGCTAGCATATACTCTTCTGCCAACAGCAAGTTATTCATTTGTAGATACTGCATTCCTAAAAAGAGGTTTGGCAAATGTGTACCAGGAAACAACCTTGCAGCGGTAGAGTAGGCGCTAATTGCTTGTTCATGTTCACCTTCAGCCGCAAAAGTATGAGCAAAACCAATCCAGGCTTGACCAAAATTTGGATTAGTCAAAGATGCCTTACTGAAAAACTTTCTAGCATCTGAAATTTTGTTGATTGATAAATAGTAAATACCTATGGCTAACCAAGTAGTACAATTTTTTGGGTACAATTCCGCCAATCTGTTTGCGATTAAAAATAATTTGTTTTTGCCTCCTAGTTCGTGTAAGGCACTTAGGTAAATAGGCAAAGCCTGAAAATTAAATTCATCATTCTCTAAAACCTTTTCACACACTTCTAAACACTGCTGGAATTTGCATTGGATAAATAGTAAATTCGCCTTAGATATAAGTATATCATTATTTTCGATCAAATTATATTCTTCATCTAACACTGCTTCGGCTTCTTGAATCTTGTTTGGATTTATATACTTATTCAATCTTGTGATGTATAAGTTTTTAATCAATTCGCCATTATCTTCTAGCTCTTCAAAATTTAAACTGTTTAGTAACTCCCATTCCTCATTGGGGGTGATAAAATTATTCTTGATCAATTCATTGAACGCCTCATAACATTTCACATCTATTAATACTGCCTCCTTATAACATTCCTTCGCCTTGTCAAAATTATTCTGATTACTATAAATTAACCCTCTCAAGTAGCACATTGAACTTTCCAACTTTATTCCTCCGTCCTGATTTTTGATATTGGAGGCACCGTCATTTTTGAAAGGGTTATCTTCGCCAATCACATCAAGCGCCTCTTCCCATTTATTGATTTTTGTTAAACATAATGCATTCAAGTATCTGCAGCTGACCGAAAATGCCATTTGAGGGTCGGTTGATAGTAACTGATGAGCTCTAATATAATTTCCCGTGGCATAATGTACCTGTGCAAGCCAAAAGGCATCATTTGGATCATTAGTTAACGAATATACTTTGTCACCGATATAACATGCTGTTTCGTAATGATGTTGCATTAAGGCATCATGTCTCCAAAGCCTAAGTTTTTCTGCTTGTGATAAAGGTTGTAATAATGGCGATGTATTGTTATGATCAAGCTCCACACTATTGTCGTTGAAAGATGATGATGATGCGAGTGATGATTGATCATTGAACTTAAATCTTTGAGGCGTTTGCTGCAAAGGCGATGGAACATGTGTCTGGTGCCGATTATGATGACCTAGAATTTCTGGGTTAATCGGTGTATGGAATAGCTGATTTGGTGGAGTACTATAATTCTCAGAGACCCGCCGTTGAGCATGGGCCAATAATGGAGAAATCGCAAGAGTAGAATTGTTCGCCGAGCGGCTGATATTGTTATTGGTATTATTATTCATTTCCAAAGGGGCTAAAACTATCTATATAAATTTTAGTCGTCTCTTTCTTTCCTTATTTTTTTGCCTTCTTTCCTCAATTTCCTAGAGTCTTTTGTGTGTTTGTTGATTTCTCTCCATGTTTTACACAAACAAAAACACACGCACGAGAATATCACGTGCAGATCAAATAAGACATCCACAAATTTTTCATTGTATCGGATTCACGATTCTCCTTACAATCTCTAAACTTGAAAGATCTTGCCAAAAAAAAAATTATTATAAAGTATATTTCACACAGACAAATTCCAAAATGTCTACTCCTACTGCGCAAGAAGATTGCCAGCATTTTCATGTTCGATTTCAATTTCAACATTAGGTCTTCTTCTTCTTTTCTTCTTACCACTACCACCTTCATTCTTACCTCTCTTCTTGCTTTCATCATTGAAGTCATCCTTGGAGTGCTTGTCAATGGCCTTCATGTTTTCATCGTCATCTTGGTCATCATCGCTACTTTCTTCCTCACTATCATCATTAACAAGACCTTCTTCATCACCAGAATTGTCACCTTCTAACCATTTTTCTAAATCTTCAACATCCACCATATCTTCTTCATCATCTTCTTCAACATACTCAATTTCACCGACACCTTCTTCCTCTTCTTCTTCTTCCTCTTCATCATAGTCTTCTTCATCTTCCAATTCATTTTCTTCTTGCATATCGCCCAAGACTTTCTTCCATATTTTTTCATCCACATTCAATGGTTTTTCGCCATAAGCACCTGTCTTTAATCTTGTGAGCAATTCCTTTTCAATAGTCTTTTCAATCTTGGCAGCGCTAAGAGCCTTTCTTTCTCTGTTGACTTCTCTTCTTTTCACCTTTGGTGCCACTCCCACATAGCTTCTTTCTTCTTCCTTAAGAGCCATTCTTCTTTCGGTGATTGCTATTTGGGTAAACTTGGTCAAACGCTGTTTGCACTTGTGAATCAAAAATTTGTTCCAATACAACAAATGTTCATCAACTTGCTGCAATGCCTTTTCATAGTTTTTAGATAACTTGATTCTCTCCCATAGTTTTGATGGGGTATGAGCTCTTTCAGCAGTTTTCATGTAGAGGTACAATTTACCATCGATGTTCTTAATGGTAGCATATTTCGCGTTAGCCAAAGGACAGGATTGTCTAGAACATAGACCGGTGACATTATATTCATTTCTGCAGAAATTCTGGTAGTCAGTTTTCATCTTGTAGGAGCAAAACTGCTGATTGATGACTTGCCAAATTATTTCGTCAGACATTTTGAGGTTGGTAAATTATATTATTATGATTATGGTTATTGATGAAATGAAACGTAAAGATGTGAAGAACTATAATGCAAATGAATATCAAAATAAAAAGCAGCAAACAAGCACAGCAAGACAAATTAGTGAGAGAGTGATTGATTTAAATGATAAATCAAAGCCAGATATAATATATAGGAAAGGTTTTCACTATTCTAGTAGTTCAATGAAATATATTTCACATTCTGAAAAATTATTTTAGAAAAAAAAAAAAAAAAAAAAAAAATTTTTCTCCTGCATGCGTAAGGTCGATGCCTTTACCCGGATGGAATAGGCTCCGGTTGCACGGGTGCAATCACATAAGCAATTTTCCTCTTACTTTATTGGTGCATACTAGATATAGGCTGCGCAAGATTAGACATATTCATCTTTAGAAGTTCACTGATTTTCAAGGAAAATGACCCTTTTAGCCAGCATTATAGTGTAATTATAAAAATTTTTATTGTCAGAAAAGTAAATTTGTAGACGAGTTGCTCGGCTCCAGATTGGCACCAGTTCGTTCTTTCTAATGTGTTATCTTTTTCAAAGTTGCATGCATTCTTTTGATAATTCTCATGATAAATGAAATATGAAGATAAGAGCAAATTAGGCTTTGCTTAAAAAAAAAAAACTAATGAGAGGTATTAATGGGGCCCAAGGACTGTCAAAAGTTTGTCTCTTTGGCTAATTTTGATTCCAGGAAACTCTTTGATGTAAAATTCTATCTTTCTTTATTTTACGCATGAAGCGAAAGGTTCATCAAAGTTCATGAAAAATATGTCAAATATTTCGATTTGTAAATAAAATAAGCACTTTTGAAGAGGGTCGGTTACACAAATTGGCGAATAAATAGTTGAAAGTGGTTGTTAAATAAGCAAATCCATCATCCCCCATTTATCACAGCTTTCAAAACAACTGGGGGTATGCTTATTCTTGATTTTTTCTTTTCTTGAATACTCATAAAATCATAAATTTTGCTGAATTTTGAAAGTTACCTCATCTTCAGTATTTCACATTCTGTTTTAGCAATTATTATACGACTCTGGAAAATTCTACAAGACACTAATTATTAGTTGAAATGTTCAAGATTGTAATAGGACTTCCTGATGTTATATGTTGAATTGGAATTAAAAAACTATTTCCCATTTCTTTTTTTCTTTTTTTTGATACAAAATCCATATCTTATAATCCCTAATGATATTTTATTTTCATCCAGAGACATCTCCCGATTTTGGTTAATAGTTTCGCAACACTTACGAAATATGTTAATTGTTTTGTTAGTGTGCATAGCATCTGTGAAAATTCGTTAATAGATTTATTACAAAATTCAAAATAATATCAGATTCTTTGGCGTTTAATTCACAAGAAGATAATAGTTTTGGAAAAATAATCATGGAAATTGTTTTTTGCTCTATATAGATATGAATTTTTATCTTCGAGCTAATTTCTAACAATTTTCTCAAACCAAGCAAATGATGCACATTTCACCCACATAACCTATTCCACTCATAAATATCTGGGATTCTACATGCTGGCACTTTCGAATAGACTACAATGAGTAATAAAATTACTATTAAGAATAAATCACACAATTCGTAAAACAGTTTCTCTTCCATATGTTAAGAATTCAGTGGATTGTACCAGATATTGTATTGGAAATATTGTAGGGTTACTAGCTTAAAAGATGATCGTTTCAAATAAAATTCTTGTAACTGATACTAGTGATAATAATATTTCATATTCCCCCTGTTCTTTTTTTTTTTTTAGTTCACATTAAGCCTATAATACGCTACATATTGACTTTGTATCAGGAGGGAATCAAAATGGTAACAGCATGATTTTCAAACAAATATTCAAAAAAACTTATTTTTTCAACGTTATCTGCTATATTTTTCTTTATAATACAACAAAAATGATTATCAAATAAAAAAAAATAAACTAAAAGTTTTATTTCAGAGTCCTCAATGACTTTCGTATTCATATATGATCCAAATTTTGGGAAAACTGTAAAAAAAGCGTAAATAAGAAACGCAGAAAAAAATTTATTTGACACAGTTAGCCAATTAAACAAGGAACGTACAAACAGATTCGTGACAATAAATTACCATAAATGAATCATTCTCAGCTTCAACGTATATCTCTTAGACACCCGAGTTTCCCTATTTTTTCTTCCTCTTTCTGGGATATGTTACGGATTGGCGTGTGTTTATGCTGATATTGGCTAATAAAGTTTCCCAGGGAGCGATTTTTTTTTGCTCTTTTTGCCCGTTGTTCATTTCAAAAAAAAAATAATAGGAATTCTCGTCCTTTGCAGGATACTTTATTCTTTTTCCATCCATTTTTATCAAGTCAGTAATGCATGTAACCCACCTCTATATGATTGATTTTTTCTCTAACTGATTTCCTGTTGCTTGCCAGGTCCGTGTATCCCATATATTGTCTTGAATCTAATTATGTGAGTTGCTGTCATGTTGAGAGTCGTAAGTGCATACGCGGATTGCGGGTGGTTAGTAATCTGCTTTCATGCAATTAGCGAGACAAATTTTACGCAACTAGCTAAAACTTGATTGACGCCCAAAAAAAAATATAATCTTTTGAAATCTCCACAAGTTTCAGCCACCTGCAAATCTGGTCATAGCAAGATAATCAAAAGAGGGAAAAGCAGTAGAGGGGGATCATTCTTGATTATTGATATAAATTGGAAATATTTCTCTTACAATATCTCTTGGAATAAAGATTAATAATGGTGAGCACCAATATACAACAGAAGAAAGTCATTATTATTGGGGCAGGGATCTCAGGCTTGAAGGCTGCCAGTGACTTGTACCGAAATGGTGTTAAAGATATCTTGATTTTAGAAGCAAGAAATAGAATTGGTGGGAGGTTGCTCACACTCCGTACTCCAGAAGGAAATACCTATGATTTGGGAGCCAGTTGGTTCCACGACACATTATCTAATCCATTGTTCCAGAAATACGTCTTAAACCAGGACCATACAAAGATTCATTATGATGATATAAATACAGAAGTTTATGGTTATACAGAGAATTATGAAAATGATAACGATAGCCCAGATAAGGGATTCAAAGTTCCGCATTCTTGGGGATTAGAACTGGTGGTAGGTGAGATGGAGAAATTTATTGAACTGTCGATGGAGTTTAATGATTTAAATGTTGAAGACACAATATTGTTCAATACAGTCATTGAATATATTTATTCAAGAAGAAAAGTCCTCACAAGTGACCAAATTAAATATGCCCCTGAACTTCTTCGTATTTTGGAACTATGGCATGGCATAGATTGGAAAATGATGAGTAGTAAATATTCCCTATGCGAGAATGAGGGTCGTAATGCTTCAAACATGGATGGTTATTCTAAAATTTTGGAAGATATTTTGAACTCAATTCCAGACTCTGAAAATATCATTAAGACTGGTATTCAAGTTAAAGAAATTGCCAAAATTGACAACTACAGCAAGGTAAAGATCACTACAGTGAATGGGGAGTCAATAGTTGCTGACTATGTGATTGTAACAGTTCCTCAATCAATTCTTGCATTGCCAGACACTGACGCTGGCAGCATAGACTTTGTCCCGAAGTTGCCTCAATACATCTCTGAGCCTCTAAAAAAAATGCATTTCAATGCTTTAGGTAAAGTGGTTTTTGAGTTCAAGAGTACAAAAGATATATTTTGGAACACAGATATTGATAAGTTTACGGTATTGGCAAAACCAGATAAACTTTTCTCCAAGTTCGCCCAGGATCTTGATAATTGTAGAAAACAAAATCAAGGCGAGATATATAAACCAGATGATGAAACGAGCACCATTCCAATCGACCTTCATAGCAAATATTACAACTTCAAAGAAAATCCGCAAAATATCCCGAAATATTATGAACATCCAATCGTTTTTTTGAGCTACTATAATTCCAAAAAGCTCCCAAGTTTGGTGGCTTTGGTTCAATCACCAGTGACCAATTATATTGAAAGTGTGTCATTAGAGGAAGCTTGGGAGTTCCTTAAGCCGGCACTCTTCGTTCTTGCAAATAATCAAAATGACAAGCGCCATAGTTCCAAGTTTAAAACCCTTGCAGACTTGCCAATTCCAAAAAATATTTTCAAATCTAATTGGACTCGTGATCCATTTTCCAGAGGTTCTTATGCTGGCTGTGCCCCAGGTGATGATCCAACAGATTTGATCATTGGTTTGAGCAAAGGATTTGGTACCAATATTCGTTTCGCTGGGGAGCATACCATTTTTGAAGGTGCTGGATGTGCTCATGGTGCTTGGCTTAGTGGAAAACGAGAAGCAAATTATGTCTTGAATGAGCTTGGTGTTTTAAAAGAAGAAAGTATGTATATTGACGAAGACTAATGATTTTGAGGTCATCATAAGACTACGATTAATACGATTTCCCCCCTCTTTTATGCCTACTTAAAATCTGGATCTGACATTTGTTCTGATTGGTTTTATTGTCAAGTATAATAATATATTTGATAATTTATGTTCTTACTGCCACGTTTTTTCTCTCTCTTTTTATCTTCCTTGATGTTTTATAATGCCGTGTTTTATAATCTATATTCGTTTCCCTGTTTCTTTTTGTTATCCCTCTATCACGTCTCCCTCTTTTTTTTTTTTTTTTTTTTCGTGAAAGAAAAATGTCGTTATTGAATGTTATGTCATTTCTGTAAACGAATATAACCATTAGTCTATAGAGTTAGATCTTAAAACCCTGGTTTTGCATAGTGCTTGAAGTTCTAATGTTGAGAAATGTACTTCGTTGCCAAGTAAAGATGTCTGCTATAATCACATGCATTGATAGGATAAACTTACAATTTAGGAAAATGATGCCTAATAAAGCACCAATAATAATAATAAAGGCAGTGTGATATTCCAAAAATGTTTAGCTGACTATACAGAACAGGGCGCCCGGCATGGATCTCCCACCTCACAAGGTGCGGTTCTGCAGCAAACCATGTCGGAATACCCGGCTCTCACTGTCATGTAGCGAAAATTAAACGTAATGAAGTGTCTACTAAAAGAGAAACCTCCACTATCGAGATTGCCGGACATTACTGGATCTTTTTAAACTTGTTTTGTCACACAATTGGATAATATTGCATACTAGAAAAATGAGTGATCCGGTTGAACCTGGAAAGTGAGTAGTTTTTTTTTTTTTGTTGAATTACTTTTATTATTTCCAATAGGACATATGTGGCAATGTAGGTCATGATACGGATATGTTATGCTAACCACACATATAACTTAGAGAACTACAGGAAAAAACAGCAGGAGATTATCTATCGAATGCTCCACTACTCAAATTGAAGCTCTTGGAAGCATTAAAGAACGTTGACTGCCTGAAAGTTGATAATCTTTATTCCACTTATGATAACGTCGATAACCCTGCGATTGCTAATTTAAAATCTTTAGTACTTCACCTCGCAATTCAGGTCTCATCGTTCAAGCTTTTCGAGGAGCTATTGGCCAATAAGAGCTACAAACAATTCTTGAACTATCAGGATGAAAATGGTAACACCCCGTTGCACATAGCTTGTCAGTCTCAAAGGCATGATATCATCGAATTGCTCTTGAACCAACCATTGGTGAACGACACTATTTTGAATCACGAAAACCAGCAGCCAATCGACTTAATTAAAAACAACCCATCATTATTCAATTTCGTACAGTTACAAAGAGTAAAATATGTGGAAAAGGTGTCTACCGAGTTGAGAAAGGGTTTTACAAATAGAGATTTCAAAAAGTTGAACCAAATTTATTCGAATCCTCGTAACTTTGAATTGTTGGATATTAATGGATTGGACCCAGAGTCTGGTGACACTGTCTTGCACGAGTTTATCAAGAAGAAGGACGTTGAAATGGTACAATGGATCTTGAGTCATGGTGGTGACCCATTTAAAAGAGATAAAAGAGGTAAATTGCCGGTTGAAATCATCTCTAAACTTAAAGCATCTGGTCAGGCTGATCAATTGAAGAAGATTTTGAAGAAAGCTTCCAAGGAACAATCCGTCATAGATCCCGTCTCCAACACCCAAACAGTGTTGATCAACTCCAACGGCAGCATGGAACAAGCTCCAACTTTCAAAGGCTACTTGAAGAAATGGACTAATTTTGCCAGTGGTTACAAATTGAGATGGTTCATTTTGGACTCTCAGGGTATTTTGAGTTATTATAAAAACCAAGACGACATTAATTCTAACTGCAGGGGCTCTATCAATTTGAAAAATTGCAGATTACACCTCGATTCGAGTGAAAAATTGAAGTTCGAGATCTTGGGTGTCCATAATGCTAACATAAAGTGGCATTTGAAAGGTAACCATTCAGTGGAGACTAACAGATGGGTTTGGGCTATTCTGAATGCTATAAAATTCGCAAAAGATAGAGAAAAGGCAGCAAGAAAATTGAGCAACACCAAGAGTGTAGCTGAAGCTAATATCATCAGGAATAATACCGATGCTTCATCACTAATGGCTCCATCATTAATGGCACCATCAGAAATCACCTCCAGAAGTTCTCAATTGAATCAGAAGACTCCGTTTGAATACACTAAGGCTCCTGAAAGTCACTTATCTGCCTTACACGAAGGTAAAGGACATTCTAGAGTCCCTTCGAATACCCCAAGTATTATCAGCAGTAGACATACCAGAAGCTTCTCGGAGTTGAGTCAAATAAGCAGAAACAACAGCAAAGCAGGAACAAGGGATAACATATTGTCCCCTATCCAGGACTCTTATAGCACAGCTGATCATGAACTTGAAGATGATATTGAAGACAATGGATCCGAAGCAGGAGATTTGGAAGTTCTACAATTCAATGATGAATTAGAATCAATATCTGCAGATTCTGTGTCAATTTTTGAGAAAGATATTTCAAATTTGAAATTCATTGGACCTCATGGAAATGAAATCACCATTTTGCAAAAAGCTCTATTGGTAGAGATGAACTCTTTGAGTGAGTTGGTATCGGCATCTTTGGGTACTACTGCCGAGGGAGAAGAAAGAAGAAGCATTTTAGAGACTTCTGCTAATGCTTTACAAGCAGCCGTTGAAGACTACAGGCGATTGCTAACTTTGATTCACAAAAATAATTTCAAGATTGTCAAAAAATTGAACAATGAATTGAATGTTAATGGGTTATGGGAATCATCTATAAAAGAATTAGAAGAGGAAAATATCAAGAACGTGAAAAAGGTTGAACAATTTGAGCGTGAAAGAAGACAATTACGTAAAATCTTGCGCGAGAAGTTGATGCAAGCCGGCAATAGTGATCTTTCATCCCTTGACGAAAATGAGTTGGGGCTCAGAAGAATTATTAGTGATGCAGTACACGATGCTGAATCTGCCCAGGTGGAAAAAATTAAGAGTTTATCAAACAACGCACCAATAATTGCGGTCGATGATTCAAAACCTGAAGAAGAGACAACAACCAATATTCAGCCAGAAGTAAGCACAACTCCTAAAGCTTCCTCCAACCCTCCAGCTCTCAATAGTACTAATACTGAATCCAGTGAGTCAAGTAACTTTTCTCCACGTAAAAGTATTATGCTATCTGATAGTTTGCAAGATCAGAAATTGATGCAATTTGTTGAAGAGGAAGATACTGATTCTGATTCTGATGATGAATTCTTTGATTTTGATGATTTCGCAGAAGACGAGACTGAAAATCCATTTATCGATGAAACTTCGAACAACAAGGAGGTTGAAGACATCGCCGTTGCAAAACCACAAGCCGGCGGGGTGGCTGCTGATATCAAGCGTACAGAGACCGCTGATGAGACATTGACTGACCAAACTACTAAGGTAGAGGCGATTGTGGATGATAATGCTACTTACTATCCTACCCCAATTGAACTTAATACTGTTCAAGAAAAGAAAAATGAATTGTTATTAAAGGAAAAGACCTATAATGGTTACGAAGATCCAATAAGAACCAAACTTTCCAAGGATGAGGATGATAGACCAAAGATATCTCTTTGGGGTATTTTGAAGTCCATGATTGGTAAGGATATGACAAAGATTACTTTGCCTGTTTCTTTCAATGAATGTACCTCTCTTTTGCAGCGTGTGGCCGAAGGGGTTGAATACACTGAATTGATAGATAAGGCTGCGTCCATTGATGATTCAACTTTAAGATTATGTTATGTTGCTGCTTTTGGTTCTTCTGAATATGCCTCTACACTTATTAGAGTCGCCAAGCCTTTCAATCCATTATTGGGTGAAACGTTTGAATATGCTAGACCTGATAAAAATTTCAGATTTTTCGTTGAACAAGTTAGCCATCATCCTCCTATCAGTGCTGCCTTGGCAGAATCTCCAAAGTGGGATTATTACGGTGAAAGTGCGGTGAAGTCAAAATTCAATGGTAGATCCTTTGATATTAAGCCTTTGGGTAAATGGTATTTGCATTTGAGACCGGATAAATTTGTGAAAGACACCGCTGGTAATAAAATTGCTGATGAGGAAATCATCACCTGGAATAGAGTAACCAGTTCTGTCGTTGGTATTATCGTGGGTAATCCAGTTGTTGATAACTATGGTGAAATGAAAATTGTTAACCACACCACTGGTGATCATGTCACCTTGGAATTCAAGGCTAGAGGATGGAGAGCGTCGTCTGCATATGAAGTGAAGGGTACTGTTTACAACAAAAATGATGAACCATGTTACGCAATTAAGGGACACTGGGACTCCAAGATTTACTGCAGAAAATTAAACAAAGAAGGTGTTCCTGAATCAGATGATCCAAACGATAAGTTTTTGCTTTGGCAAGTGAACCCTAGACCAAAGAGACCATTCAATTTGACTTTGTTTTCTATTTCTTTGAACGCCTTACAACCTCATTTAAAGAACTGGCTTGCCCCTACAGATACCAGACTCAGACCTGATCAAAGAGCAATGGAGGATGGTAGATATGACGATGCTGCCGATGAAAAGAACAGAGTTGAAGAGAAGCAGAGAGCTGCGAGAAAAATGAGAGAAACTTCAGGAACCTCCTATAAAACAAAGTTTTTTGACAGAGATGTCCATCCTATCACCAAAGAAAACTACTGGAAGTATAATGGTACCTACTGGAAGAGAAGAGGTAAACATGATCTAGCAGATAGCGGTGATATATTCTGATTCGTGATATGTGATTTTGTGATTTTCTTGTTATTTATAGTCTTTTTTTTTTTTTTTTTTTCTATCCATGTATCATTTATATGATATCTTTTTTTTTTTCCTTTTATATTTTTCTTGTTATGCTTTTTATTAATACATTTTTAAACTTAAACACCTTTATGATAGACGTTAAAGTAAGTCGAGATCAATTTACAAGCCTAGGCAAGTGAGCCCTTAAATATTTCATAAACATCATGAGTGTCTTTTAATTCATGGATTATTAAATGTACAAAAGTAATTCAAAATATTGATTTATGCGGAATCTGGTTGAGCAGCGATCAAATCAATGGCCTGTTGGACACTTTTAATGGTATCAGCTTCTTCATCACCAACACTGATAGAAAATTCTTCTTCAAGAGCCATAACAACTTCAACAATATCCAAAGAATCAAGGTTCAAGTCCTTAGAGAAGTGAGCTTCAGCTGTGATTTTTGATTTGTCTTCGATCTATTAATAATAACAGTTAGTTTTCAAATCCAATTTTCTTGCCGAACCTCATATGAACTGTTTACGAAATATACCCAATAAGCATATAAAAAAAACAAACGAATAGAGAAAGAATAATATCATCATACCTTGTCGAAACCTTCCAACAATTCAATAACTCTTTCAGTAATGATTTCTTTGGTCAATTCTGGGGCGTGAGAGTACAATCTAACATTTTGTATAGGTTGAAATTGGGTCTTGAGTCTGTAGCTATTGATGAAAACAGCTGGAGAAGCCTTAGGGAGGGAAAATCTCAAGACAGGGGTTCTAATAGACTTGATAAGAGCGGAACGGAACATTATTATATCGATTATTGCTAGTGATTTGTACCATTTCTATGTCATATTCGGTGATACACTATTTACATTTCCGCGATTTTCATAGGCTGCAAAAAAACGAGGCCGGGTCACTTCACAGGAACGGTAAACTTTTGGTGATATTAAAAAAAATTTCAAGTGAGATGCAACCATTGATCGGTTAGTGGCATTAACAATAATAATAATAATAATAACACATAAAACAGGTCATGTTCCGCCTTGGATTCAAAAGTTTGCTCGCGAGTGCTCCTGTTGCTCGCTCAGGGTTCTTGAAGACAGTAAACTCAAACAATGTCTTACCATCGTCCCTTTTTAATAACACAGCTCCTTCATTATCTTCGATATTGAACACTAGTCAGAAGAGATTTGTCACCCTCAATCAACTAAAAAGAGGTGCTGTCAAGCCAGCAAAGAGAAAGGTTGACTACTCTCCACATTTGGACAATTCCCCAATCAGAAAAGGGGTTGTTGTAAGAGTTATGGTGTTGAAGCCAAAGAAGCCAAATTCGGCTCAAAGAAAGGCTGCCAGAGTTAGACTTACAAACGGGAAGTTTGTCACTGCTTATATTCCAGGGGAGGGTCACAATGCCCAAGAGCACAGTGTGGTTTTTGTTAGAGGTGGTAGATGTCAAGATCTTCCTGGTGTAAAGTACCATTTGGTGAGAGGTGGAATGGATCTTGCAGGTGTCGTGAATAGAGTTACTTCAAGAAGTAAATACGGTGTTAAGAAGCCTTCGAAGGATTGATTGATATCTAAAGTGAACTTGTATATATAATTTCAAGTAATGTGAACTATTTATGCTTTGAAATTTTCTACATTGTAGCGGATATTGATAATATTATAATGAGCATCTATTTCACTTTGAAAATAATTCTAGAAAAATAAAAATGAAAAATGGAGAGACAAACTAAGTTAACAAATAATACCCATGAGAAAATTAAAAATTAAACTCTATCAATATGATCGCAGAAGAGTAGAAACAGAAAGTGTAGACAAAAACAAAAAAAAAAGATAGCTGTAAGATAACAAAATCAAAACTCGTCAAAATTATCAGCAAGTTCGAGAACAAGCTTGGAAACTTCTTTACCCTTGGTAATAACCATAATGGATTCAACATCATTTTGTAACCCGATCCAGCTTGCCGGTTGGCTATCAGGTAAAGCATTAACCCAACTTTTATAAGCATCAAGCGTGCGTCCCTCAGGTGGACTCAAAGATTCACCTGTTTCAACCGTCATATCATTGGCGATTAAATTGTAATCAAATTCAAATGACTTCGCACTGAAGATAGTCTTAGTTAACTTATCCAAACTATCCTTATCATTATCGTCGTAAATTTTACCACCGTAACCAAGATTTCCTACTAAATATTGAATTTCGTCCCAAGGAATGGCTTCTGGAGAAATATTGACTCTTCCAGTAGAAACATTATCAATAACTCTATCGATTATATCCATACTGAATTGGAAATCAGTATTATTAAAATCATGATCAACACCCCAACCGATCGGAATGTATCTTGACCTTTCTTCGATAATTGAATGGTACCACGATAATAAAAAGAGCACATGCTTTCTCTCAACTGGGGTGTTTTTCACACTGATATCTGAAATACTGGTAATTGCCTCATTCAAAGAGCTCTTCAAGCCTTGAACTTTTTCAAATGTCATTAGGTAGGACCGTCTCAACAAGGTTGTTGGAATCACAGATGATAGATGACAAGTCAAAAATAATCTGAACTTTTTATTCAGCGCAAATGAGCCAATTTGTTTGGATAAGTATTCTAACCAAGATGGAGCCATTTGGGCGTTTTGGACAACTATCCAGTATCCTTCGGCAGTCGCCTTTTTAATTTCTTGGTTCAAAATATCAATTGCTTCTGAAGAGCCCATGGCGATAACAACCAATTTCATATCCCTAGAAGAGGCAACCGTCTCCACTTTAAACGTTGGATCCAAACCTTCGGAGCAGCTTAATATTATTGGAGTGGATGACTGGGTATAGTTGTTGATTACTTTTTCCAAGTTTTCAGTCTCAGTAGAATTATTAGAGCCAAATCCTATAGTTTGATTGGTAATGTCTGGAACAGAAGAGAGGAAAGAAGAAGAAGAAGAAGAAGAAGAAGAAGAAGAAGAAGAAGAAGAATTAGTGAGCTGATTGAATACTATTGATAACATAGTTTTCAAACCTAGTATTCTGTCTTTATCATCACCATTGACAGATTCAAAAATTTGGTCAAAACTCACTTGACTCAAATCATTAGCAAATTTATCTATTTTAGTTTTCGAAATATTTAGCAAATTAAAGCACTTCAATAGAGCCTTTTCATAATCGCCTTGGCCAACAGAGTTCAATAAGCTCTTAACAGCAAAGGAAGCATCATCACCAAACTTGGATTTTATGTAAACAAAATATAAACATAACCCTAAGGTACTTCTATCAAGCTCTTTTAAGCTTAAGGATATTCTCTGATAAACTTCCTTGTACAATTGATGAACGAAAAACTCAACTGCATCACCAGAGTCATTCGGAAGACATAAAATATGATTGAAAATATCGAGGAAATACTCCAAGGAGAACTGATAGAACCGGTTGACAGAGCTCAAAGAATTAAGAACAGCAAAAATTGCCGAAGAATGGGAAGCCAACGAAGTGTATTTATCCAGGATGTTTTCGATAGTGCTCATAACATTATCACTTTCTTTCATTTTGATTTCAATTTCGTTCGATTCGGTTTTGATATTTTCTAAAGTGGCCACGAGTTCATCGTTATCTAAAATACTGCCGGTGGTGACCCCTAAAGAGGTCAACAAATCCTCTTCAAGTTTCCGTAAATGAGCCTTGTACTCATCATTCATCTTTATCAAATTTTGCCTCTTTTCTTCCACCTCAGGTTCTTTTTTCAAAAGGGTTAAGTTCAAGACCTTGCTCTCTAAACTACTTTTTGTAGTGGTGAAATTAACAATAGTAGATCTTCCAGAAATGTGAGATGGAATTTGCACTTGAGGGTTCCTGGTATGTAAATATAGTTTGAAATCTGGCGAGCAATCAATTTCCTGAGAGCCCAACTTCAATAACAGTCTACCACCAGTATTTGTGAATTCCCGTTTTAAAATACCACTAATAACAGGATCCAAATATTCTGCATCCTCAATGAGAATTGATGTTCCGAATCTCAACGCATGCTCAATTTGTTTAACAAACCCTTTGTCCAAGAAACTTGTAATGATCAATTTCTTAGGAGCAATAATATTAGAGATAACTTGGACGATTTGGCCTGATGGATCAATGATGAAAGGATATTTATTGCTGTTCTTGATTATTACCATATTCTGTGTCAACAATTCGTCACTAGAGAGACCCTTCTTTTGCCAGGAAAGAACTTCGCCTGGAGTCGAGAGGAAATCACTGATGATGAGATTTTTATCAAACACAATTCCTTTATCATTCAAAGTTTCTTTCCACACTCTCAACACATGATTTCTGGTTTTCTGATCATAATAACCCATATAACTCAAGAACGCTGCGGAAATCATACAGTTTCCCAGCAAATGTAAGCGCTCACGAGTAAAACTGACTTTCGACCACCGTTCCCTTTCCTGAACCAAACTATCCATTAATGCCAAACTTCGTCCCACTTTCTTTTCCACCGAAGACATTTCAGTCTTGATATTTTCAATTTCCCTGATAAGAGAACTATAGCCGTCCTTATACTGACCAATCTTTAACTCAAGTTCTTGAAGCATTTGACCAATAGCTAACAATTTGGCTTTATTTTCCTTTTCTGACTCCTCGAGCCCCAACACTTCATTTCTCAATGGCTCAACCTGATCCAACACATGGGAGTACTTAACCTGAGCTTCAATCCATGCCAACAATGGGCCACAAGCTTTACTAGCTCGTGTAACCGAATTGACATTGAAGTTTGCATGAGAGAAATATGTGTTTTGAAGGTATTGTCTAAGATCTGGAGTGATATTGTTTTCAAAGTTCAAAATGCTCAACACAAAATCATCACGACGAGTTATTGTCTGGATTTCCTTCCATGTGGTCTTTCTACCAAAACCTAACAATGCACAAACACATTCAAGAGTCATTTTCACTGCGTCTGGGGGATTATTCATCGATCTAAGTTCACTCAAGTTTTGTTTCTTAATATTTTTCACATTCTGAGCAGCAGCCTCAATAATTGGGATCATGGTTTCCATATTCTCATTCACAATGGTTGTACGCTCGGAAATTTCTATTTCTTGAATCTTTAATGCTTCCTTGACTTGTATAGAAGCCTCTTGTTTTCTTTCAGCCTCATTTTGATCCACCAACATCTTGTCCAACATTGCTTTCGCTTCAATGTCCTTGGCCTTTAGTTGCTGCTGTTTAATAGAAAGAGTGTCTTTCAAATCTTTCACCTGAATCACGGTATCTCTGAATTTATCAAGGCCTACATTGATATGTCTTTGGTGGCCTTCCAATTCTGATTCCTTTTCACGGTATAATTTAAGGAAGTTTTCCAAAAGATCAACAAAATTGGCAGGAACTCTCTTAGGAGAATCATTACTGGTTTCGCCAAAATGAAATCTGTGGATATCGATTAACGCCAGCATTGCACTATTCCTATCATCAAAAGACACCGAGCCAAGCATTTCGGAAGCGACTTCAAACAAAGTATCGTTCGACCAATCACCCATCCAGTTAACCACGCATCTATTCAACAATGCAGGCGATGAAAGAATTTGCGGACCGTTGGAGTCATCGGGGGAATTGATCGTGAAAATAACGTGCAAGTTCTGAGATATTTGTTGAGTGAACCACTTATATAGTTCTTCTTCGGTATCCAAGAGAAGTCCAAGTTGCTGGGTTTGTTCCATACAAATAGACATCAAGTCACTGAATTCATTGCCGCTGAAGAGAGAAGGGATTTCAGAATTTGCTAAAAGGGTGTTCATTCTTTCAATAAATGATGATTCAAGAATGTTAGATTCATCAATGATAAAGCATATCTTTTCACCAAGGGCACCAGCACGTCTAAGGATTCCTCGTAAAGTGGCATCAAAGTCTTGCAAAGAAAAGTTTCTGTGCACTGCTAATTGAACCACCTGAATACCATTCACCCAAGCAACAAATCTAGAAAGGGTTGTTTTCCCGCTTGTAGAATCACCCACCAAAATTAGATGACCTTGTGGTAAAGAAAGCACACGATCTAATCGAGCAATATAATCTAAACAATCTTGATACAATACTAGTTTGGTGTCTAGCACTTCATTGCTGAAAACCTTCAAACGTTCATTAACAAACGACCGAAATTCGTTGATTTCCACCGGAGAATACGATGTCGATAACCACTTGGAATATAAGATCGGTTGCTTGAAAATATAGGCGCCGTCACAAGTTTCAAACGATTTAGCGATATTTTCTTTCAAAACATTCAAAATCCATTCCTTAACCTCGGAACTAGACATCCGATCGCTGAAAAGTCTCAAAGATTCATTGACAAACAATCTTAAGAAATCATTGAGGGTCATTTCCTCATTGTCAGAGTTGTGTTCGACTCCGAAGAAAATAGATCTCATAAGTCTCGTCAAATCTCTAGGTGATAACACATCAATTTTTGTTCTCAATTGATAATAAATATCGATCATCATATCAACGATATTCATGGTGAATGGATAAATAATTTGTTGACGACTGAAAACTTGTTGAGCAAAAGATCTATAAATCGTTCTCAAACTCTCACCGCTAGGATAATCCACAAAAATGATTGGACAAAGGCTCAAAAATCTCGTAGAAAGCTGATGACGGCCTTGATCGGTAGACGGATTACAGGCGGCGACAAACTTGACATTTTCCAATTTCACAAACACGTTTTCCTTAGAGTAAAACCCACCACTTTGAACTAACTCCCGCAAGAAACAAATAATCGGCTGCGATCCAAAATCATCTAATGAAGGTAAATTGATTTCGTCAATAAAGCACACGACTTCCTTGTTGGATTTTGGCTTTAAACTCACGCCGGAGCTGGTACGCGAATACATGCAATATTGGTGTAACGCAGATAACAAATCATCGACAACACTCTTACCACTAAAATTGATACTGATCAACTCTCTATTTGAAGCTCTCAAACAATCCAAAACCGTCATGGTTTTCCCGGAACCTGGAGGCCCACACAAAATCAAGAATTTGTTTTGTTCAAGGAAGATGTTGATGAAACTTTCCAATCTAACAGTGTCAACGGTTGGGATTATCAATTGTTCATTGACGTCCAGATATTCAAGATCTGCCACAGGAACCAATGAAGACCATTTAGTCCAAGAAATATCAGGAAGCAGAATGGTTTCATTCAATAATGTCAATCCATCGACTATATCGAATTGTTGGCAAATAAATGAATTGAACTTCTCTTGATCTTCAGTTTGACAGTCAGAACAAAATGACCAATATATCGAGAAAATCAAAGCCTTGAGAGCATAGGTCTTGATATTATCATTATCAAAAAGACTATCATTTTCCTGATAGGTGGTGGCAAGTTTCTTATATAAAGAACAGTAAATTGATACCATCATATCTATCTTCTCTTTGACAATAAACTTGAAAATGTGCTTCAATTCTGAACTGTGTTTTATGATAATGTCAAGGATGTCAGATTCGCTGTTCAAAAGAGTTTTCTGGATACAATTACTGAAAAACTTTCTCAAAAACACCAGTTTATCAACAGATTCACCAGAAGCAAAGTCAGAAGCTTCGAATTTTTTCACGTACATTGACAAGACTTCACGAGCGCTGATCAATGAGTCAGAAAACCATACCATACCACATCTACTGACGGTTGCTGGGGTAGCATGTTTCAAAGAATCGGTTTCAAATATGATTCTGACACTATCAGGGAGCGAAATATGTTCACCATTTGGAAGGGTGAACACCTTATTATCATCGAGCAAACTGTTCAAGTTTTCCACCCATTCAGGATCCACATCACCATCGAAAATGATCCAGATTCTTTTTGATAATTCGCCACGAAGATTGGCAACGATTTTTCTCAATAAGCTAGTGAAAATCCCGTCTTTGAACTCTCTGGTGGTGACATCCAATGTACCATAAAGAATGTCTTTTGAAATTTTTGGGTTAATCACGTATGAAAGGGTTTCCACACCATCAAATTTTTGTAAAGCTTTCAATAACACATTTCTCGCAGTGGTCTTACCACACCCTGAGCTTCCCACCATCATAGTACCATGATGGTTTGTGGATAATTCATGTAATTGCAATACTTTTTGAAGGAATTCTGGATTAGCCGAAAGGTTTTCCTCGACGATAACTTTTTCAATGTACGACACCAATTCATGATGGGATTTCTGCTCAAGATTGCCACCAAATATGCTTTCGGTTAGATCTTTGAAAATCATGGAATCTGATTGTACGAGTTTGGGGGCAATGGAGGTATGAATACCTTGATAAATAAGGTGATTTTCGTCGGCGGTTAAGTTTTGTCTTCTAAGTTTACCGCAATAGTTGATGGTTGATTTAATCGCTCTTAACCCAAAGTCATAATGGATTTGTTTTGTAAGTTTTAATTGAAGTCCATTGAATAACTGAATAACTTTCTTGGCAATCTCTTTGGCGTTCTTGAAACCTTGTGAGAATAAAATGACCTCGGTAATTGCCTCCTTGTCGGTCTTGCTGACAGAAAAACTTCTGAACAATTTTTTCAAGTTCTCAGGCAATGTAGATCTACCAGCATAAGTTGGGTTCATGGTGATGAAAATCGAGGTGTTTCTGTTCAACTTGGTGGTGGTACCCAAAAGATCAACGGTAGTATCTTTGCGACTGAGACCCAATTCAATTTTTTCGATCTGAGAAGAAACTGCACTAAGCATTTGTGAATCGAGTCTATTAAATTCATCGAAGCAAACAGAAGCCCCCACTTGACAAATACCCAATAAAATCCTGCTAATGGCGGAAAAATCAAATGACTCGTCACAGTTGAAAACTAAGACGGGTCTACCAAGCGCTTTAGCAAACTCCTTCACCGATTCAGTTTTACCAGTACCAGCAGGCCCAAAAGAGCAACCGCCTTTCTTGCAAGCTAGGGTTTCGTTGTAGCTGATAAAAGAACCTTCAATGATATTATTTTTCACCAAGCTCGGAGTTAGCCCTTGATATTCGAAACCATAATGATAAATGGAATCAATAAGCTTGATAGAGATTTTCTCAAAATGGTCAGAGGAGGTCTTATTCAAATAGTACTTCATCTTAGACTTCCAAATGAAACTGGTTAACGAATTCACATTCTGGGTTTGTAATTTAACAATTACATTGTACTCGTAAACAACTTCAATTATAAGGATCTCAAGTTTTTGACGATCTACGGTGCTGAGATTTTCCATGACAGCAGAAGACACCAAAGTTAAAAGCACATCAAAGCTTTCTTTTAATTCTGTAAAGTCGCCAGATTTGATGGCCTCTTCAACCACTTTGGTCCAACAAATTTGTAATGCAAGCAACAAAGCCTGACAAGGATAAAGGCGTACCCAGGCTAAAAATGAATCTAATTTGAGTTCTCCAGATTTGATAAGTTCGATCAAATCTCCAACCGCTTGCTCAACGTATAATGCCAAGGATTGCTTGAGTTGGAATTCAAGTTCCTTCAACCATTCCACGAGGGAAGAGTAGTTTCCAACTACCACCGGCTCGAGCAATTTAACCACTTCCTGTTCTTTCGAGAACACCGCAGTAATAGCATCGCCATCATAATCGATACCGTGGATATTGCCATACACTTTATTCAAATAGTTCCCAATGAACTTTGGATCATCGGAATTACCAATGATATTTAATAAATCATCATTGCCAATGAAATAAAACCGAGGGAAGAATTCTCGTTGTTTTTCCAAATAATCGCCCAAGGCTTTTCTGATTCTCGCCAAAATTTCCAAGTTTCTTTCCATGGTCGATTGGATTTCCTCAATTTCTATAACATCAATAACAAAAGGTGACTTATAAATCACTTTCAAGAGCCTGAAAAACTCCACTGTGATATTTTGAAATCTTGACGATTCGATAGGAAGTAAACGCTTAATATCCTTATTTTCTCCAAATACACCATCCAAGTAAACCCATTGTCTTTGAACATCGATCCAAATATCCAATAACACGTACAATTTGTTTAATTTGTTTTCCCAAGAATTAGCTTCTTGCTCAAAAATCAGGAAAAACGCAGAATGGTGCATCGCCGCCAACAAATCAATATCTTCACTGCATTGCTTGAACAACGCGTCCCAGCCTCTAACGAGACGACATTTGGTTTGATAATTGAACAAATCCAATGTCACACTACCCCAATTATCTTTAACTTTGGTGAGGAAATCTTCTAAAATCTTTTCACCGTTGGCTTTAGCTATCAACTCCTTGATTATTGCCTCATTGAGTTGCAAATGCAAATCCCAAACGTCTCCCAAAGTCATCACCTGGAGAGGAACAAAGTCCATGGACATGGTGGTAAATAGTTCCTTCCAATGGCGTTCCTTCAACGCTTCTGATTTCAAGTCTGACAATAACGGGTTCACCTTTATTAACAATTTGAATTGATTCTGGAGTTGTTCAAAGGCAGAGTATTGCCGAACTTTGCTTGGCATCGATCTGGCAGAAGCCAATAATTCATCTAATTGGTGCCTAACGGTTCTTGGAGAAACCTCGGTCCATATAGTGCGTCTAATGTCTTGCAAAGAATTATATAAGATTTCAATGGAGCTCCAAACCGATTTGAAATCAGCCACTTCTTCCGGCAAACCGTTCAAGTTTTCATTCAAGGACATCGGTAACACCAATATTTTCGCGGCTTGCTCCAATAACGATTTTTGATTCTGTAAATTGTCAAGTCTTTGTTCAAAACTTCTCAATAGATTAAGAGCAGCAGATGGCACCAAAGACCCAGAAACCGGTTTTTTATCGCTCCAGTCATCTTTAAATGTGCTTATCTGACCCTCAACTCTCGCAAACTCACCTTCAAACCGCTTGACAATAACATGGTTTTCGACTTCAATTTGTGATAACCTTTTAGTCAAAATTTTGTTCAAGGCATCATAATCATTCTCAACTTGTTCGGTATGTAACCAGTCAGAGGGGAATGCAAATCGATTTTTCACCAAAAGGTTTTGCCCGGTTCTGAATAACTCTAATTTTTTCCCCCAGCTTTCCAAACAATCATTGTATTTGTGAACGTTGGCAATCAATTGAATAGTTTCTTTAGTGGAAGAAACATTAATACTGGTTTCCTCAAGGAATTTTCTGGAAGAGCCAAGTTCCGAACCCATTTCTTTCATGGAATTAGCCAAAATTTCCGAGAAGCTCAAAAGCACGTCCTTCTGCCAGTTATCGTATTTGGAATTCACCCGAAGTTGGGTTTGTTCATATTCGAATAATAAAGGTCCAATTTTCTTGCTGGTGTCCACAGTATCAAACACCCTTCTGGACTGACGAATGTCATTTAGCACCTGGATCCAAAGACTGATATCTTTTTGCAAGTTTTTATAAAGGTCTTCTGGTCTCAAGTCCCATAATGATTGGAAGTTATACCATTCATTGGCATACACTTCACATTTTGTGAATTCCTCACTTATCAATTTGAGCACCGTGGAGATCTCAGTTTCCGCAGAAAATTCCAAACTGGAAAACTCTAATGATGAGCAAATGCTAAGCTCTGAATCTGATGATGCACCATTGTCGGAATAAAGAATATCAAAATTCTGATGGGTGATTTTCTTTTGCTTTCTAGCCACGTTCACCAATTCCTGAATAGAATTCATCCAGGCTTGCTTTGAATATTCAATCGCCGGAGTGATATAGATCGTCAAATTCTTTAAAATGATTTCGTGCTTTGTTTCCGGTAAAAACTCATGCAAGTTCAGTTGGTTTATACTGTTAAGTTTATCGATTAATCGTTTTCTCAAGATTTCTTCAATTTTTCTATTGATATTGGTGACAAGAATCGTGACTTTACCATAATTTTCCAAGATGATTTTATTGATGATTTTCTGGATCTCCTCTACTCTAGATTGGAACGGTTTATACCCATATTCACAGTCCAATAACTCAAGCAATAATCCCGAAATTTTGAGCATGTAGTTTTCTACCCCTATAATATCACTTTGGAATTTTTCTAACGAGCTTTCAAACACGCTGACCAATTTTAATGACTTGTTTTCGATCAAATCATCTTCCAGGGTTTCAGCACCGCTAATAGACACAGAACTGTAGCTTGAAGATACTCGTTTGCCCTTTTGACTGGCTTGTCTGATCTTGGTATTCATTTTTTGGTAATCATATGCCTTGACCAAGTCATCCCAAGTGATATTGAGACATTCTTTCAAAAGTTCAAAAAGCTGCTTTTTTTCATCAATCAATAATACCCTAAGGTCTTTGAGTTGATCAAACCGTTTCAACAGCTTATGCAAATTCTTGATGGCTTCGGTTAACGAAATCACAAATGGATAGATTCTTCTGACGGTTCTGGATATGGAAATCACTTGGTGAGGAACTTGGAAATTTTGGTAGCATAAATTCCGCACTTCTTTGAACAACAATATCCAATCAGGATCGAAATTCACCAATAATTCATACTCGTCATCATTTTTTTTCAACATTTTGAGCACAGGGTTGCTGACCGCCGAGGAGATTTTTGTGAATGAAGTCTCCCGCAACCAAGTATCATAAATATTATCGACATTCAATTTTTTCTTAAACACTAATGCTTCGCTGTGAATTTTCTGGCCGTCGCCGTATTCGTTCCAATTTGGTCCCAAAATGAGTTGCAAACGTTCGAGAAGAGAATTCAATTTTGATTCGATTTGCCGGGCCCAGATAATCACCGACGAGATGTTTTGGATATCTTTCTTGGCGAATAACGCTCTAGACTCATTTTGCTTCAAGAAATGGTTTTGCAAATTGGCAAGATCCCGTCTGGCAATCCCCAACAATTTATCTTGGTACTCTTCAACAGACGCATTTATCGAGGGCTTAGTTAATAAGAAGCTGAACTTTTTGAAAATAGAATAAATCTCGGTGAAAGTCTTGGATTTGGAAATGATTTCTCTAAGCATAATGGTCACGGTATTTTCCACTTTCTCAATTCTCGTGTTGTATAATTTCTCCGCAACGTCCCATTTTTTCTTACCTTCGATACTGGTATCAGAAATGTTGATTACTCTCACTGCTTCATAAGCGAATTCCATTTCGGCGATCGGATCCTGTTCACTGAGTTTATGGACCACCAGCATGGACGATTGGAGGAAAAAATCTTTGTTGGTATTTGCTGGATTGATAATATTAGATAACGCAAGGATCATCTCGTTATGCTCGACTCTAAAATCGTACAAGTACCCTAATCTTTCTCTGAAGGCCACGGTGTGCGAGTTGATTTTGATGAAAATGAATTTCTCCGATCGCTTTCTCAACAATTCTCTAGCGAGATTAGTGAATTCTTTAATTTGTTTATCAAACAACGTGAAAACCGAGTTGATTTCGTCGATTTTTTGTAAGAATGCCTCGTACGGTAAATCCATGACCCTCACTTGGGCCCCAGAAAGTAACTGTTTCACTTTCTTATCAACTTCGAACGAAACGGATTCCACTAATTTCAACGCCCGGCTAATAGGATACGAAGTGACTCTTAATTTCTTCATATGGTTCATTATCAACACAATTGCTTCTTCGACTTTTTTAAATGTGGAAGCCGATAATAACTCTTCAATTGGCAAATCCTTTAATAATTGGTTATATTGGTTAGCGGTGGCCAAGGCCTCTTTCAACCCGGTATCCGACAACAAGCTGACGGTGGCGTAAAATCGTTTAGCATTTCTCAATACATTTAAGGTTGTCTGGATTTCTTTAGAATTTAGTTGATCTTGGATCGATAATAATGCTGATTCCATAGAAGACCAAAAGTTGATTTCGTCCACCACGTTCCCATCAATAGTGTCTTTCGCCAACCTCGAGGTATCTTGGGCGGCTTTAACCCACTCGTTGACAATATTTTGTAATTTATTCAAGAACACCGAGTCCGATAACAATTCATTGGGCAAGAATTCCACGGGATCTTTGGTTCCGCCAGCGGCAATGGATTGTTCCACCGCTAACTTGATGGCCGGATGCACTGATAATACTAAATCGGGAACATGAACCGATTGTAAAATATGTTGTAACGACAATGCTAATTCTCCGAACTTCTTTTTGGTATTAATGATGGCGTTATTGTTTTCTTCTTCTGATGGTTTGTCATACTCTGTATCTTTGTAAGTCGTGGTACTGTTGTTGTTGTTGTTTACTTGCACTAGGGCCTCGAAGTAAGGGGATATCCCTAAACTAACCAAAGTTTTCAACATTTCGTATGATCTACGGTTATCTTTAGAAGCCGAATTATTCTCTTGGCCGACATTATCATCATCATCATCAGAGGAGGAGGAGGACAACGATGTTGGCAGGTAGAGTTGTCTGGGGAGATTGATGACCTGTATTTGTTGGTCTAAAGACGCAGATCCCAGAATCGCTCCTCGTTCTTTGATCAATACAATTGTCGAAACACTATTCTCAACAAGAGATAACTGGGACATCAACGTGAATGAATCTTTTTGGGACAGATCAGAAGAGTCTTGAACGTCGGTGGTGGTGCTGGTCTTGACAATAAAAATCGTCGATGCCACGGTCGACGTCAAGAATTCGTGGAAAATCGCTTTTGATTGGTGATTATTGAAGTATATGGCATCATTTATAGTTGCTGATTGGAATAATTTCGCCAAATTGAAGGCAAAAGTCAGTAATCTTTCTAACAGTGTGGAAAGATTGACATTGTCACTGATTCTCTGTTCAGAATTGGAGGCGATGGTTTGGGTATTGTGGTTGAATGCTTTGAAGACCATGCCTGAATAATCTGACAGCAGTGATCAGCATATATATATATATATATTTATATGTATATATATCTATTAGAATGTCTAATATATAGTGTCTCTTATATTATCCTTACATTTAATAGATGGTATTGATGTTTTTTCTGGTGGTTTGTTTTGTTTTGAAATGGCCCTGCTGTGTTATGCATGTGTATGTATGTATCACACGATATTTTTTCTTTGCTATTCCCACCGCAGTCAGTGGCATCGACGAGATCTCCGTGGAAAAAGAAACAGAAAAACGACGACAACAAAATAATTGACAATCGGTGACAACTAATAATCGTGGTGATCACCCCCTTCCTTCCAGTCTGTCCCAACCGGGGAAAACACCCCTGGGGTCGCACACACACACACAAAGAAAGAGAAAGAGAAAGAGATGCCTCAAGATCACGTGAAATGGTACAACGGCTACTGTCAAAAGCGTTTTTTTTTTTTTTTTTCTTTTTTTTTCTTTTTCTGCACAGTAGAAAGAATTTTTCATACACCTCTCTGTGAAGTGTGGGTCGGTGTGTCCTATGTACATATATATATATATATATAAGAGTATCCTGCTCCTCGCTTACAAAAATAATGGTTACATCAATTTTTTTTTTTTTTTTTCCATCAATTATTAATCAACTTGTCAATTGACATTCCTCCTCCTCCCTATTAATTCTCTGTACTTCAACAGTTCAAAACTGATCTTCCCTTTCACACCCCTAGATATAATAATATTTAATCTCTTTCCACACAAAAATGACTGCCACTCAAAGTTACAAATTCGGGACTAAAGCCATTCATGTTGGCTCCGAACCTGATCCTTCAACAGGTGCTGTGATCCCAGCCATTTCCTTGTCCACCACTTTTGCCCAAACCTCCCCAGCTCAACCAATTGGTGTGTACGAATACTCCCGTTCCCAAAACCCAAACCGTCACAACTTGGAACGTGCTGTTGCCGCTCTTGAAAACGGTAAATATGGTTTGGCCTTTTCTTCTGGTAGTGCCACCACCGCCGTGGTCCTCCAAAGCTTGGCCCAAGGCTCCCACGCCATTTCTTTTGGTGATGTTTACGGGGGTACTCACCGTTACTTCACCAAGGTTGCCAACGCCCATGGGGTCAAGACCGATTTCACTAATGATCTCGTCAACGATTTGCCAAAAATGTTGACCAAGGAAACCAAGTTGGTGTGGATCGAATCCCCATCTAACCCAACATTGTCGGTGCTTGACATTAGCAAAATTGCCGAAATCATCAAGGCGTACAAGACCGCCAACAACGTCGAAGACTTGTTTTTGGTTGTTGACAACACTTTCTTGTCCCCATACATTCAAAACCCATTGAATCTTGGGGCTGATGTTGTTGTTCATTCCGGTACCAAGTACATCAACGGTCACTCCGATGTTGTCATTGGTCTCCTCGCCACCAACAATGAAGTGTTGAATGAAAAATTCACCTTCTTGCAAAACGCCATTGGTGCCATTCCTTCTCCATTCGACTCGTGGTTGGCCCACCGTGGTCTTAAGACTTTGCACTTGAGAGCCAGAGCCGCTAGTGAAACTGCGTTGAAGATTGCCAAATACTTGGCCGACAGCGAATACGTCGATGCCGTCAACTACCCTGGTTTGCCAACCCACAAAAACTATGAAGTGGTGTTGAAGCAACACAGAGACGCTTTGGGTGGTGGTATGATTTCTTTCAGAATCAAGGGTGGTGCTCAATCTGCTGCTAAGTTTACTTCGGAAACTAAGCTCTTCACCCTCGCTGAATCGTTGGGTGGTATTGAATCCTTGATTGAAGTTCCTGCTGTCATGACCCACGCTGGTATTCCAGAAGAAGCAAGACAAGCTTCCGGTGTTTACGATAACTTGGTTAGAATGAGTGTTGGTATTGAAGATGCCGATGATTTGCTCGCTGATATCGAACAAGCTTTGAAATCCTCTGCCAACTAAAGTTTTCGAGTTGACTCATGTTATATATATTTTTTTTTTTTTTTTCACCGGTCTATTTCTTTGTTGAAATGTTTTTTTTTTTGAGTATTATAGATTTTGTATAATTAACTTAGACAGTAATTCCTTTTGCAATTGTTGATGTAAGAACGAACGAACAATTCATCTCAGCGATGGAGAGATTTTCGCTTGCAGCGGCAAATTTCCCCCCCTCCCATCATACCTTGGACGCATTTCTGCACAGAAGAGTACCTACCTATAGGGTATATCGATATCAACTGAGATATATATTTATATATATATATATATATGCCATTTATGGCTCACATAGTACGTCGGTAATAACAATTGTTGTATTTTTTTTTAAAAAAAAGTTATACTAACTAACATCTCCAAGGGGACCACACCACACTACCCAGAATTTGGATCCAACTTGGTGGGAAAAAAAACACACTGATATGAAGAATTGATTATTTTTTTGGACGCGCGGGAGTTATGTTTGTTGCCCACTTGAATGGCGATTCCTTTCCTTTTTTTTTTTTTTCTAATGATGGTGGAGGTGTTTGTTTGAATGATCATGATATGATTATTTGATGCTGGATAATGGTTTCAATATAGATGTTCTCTTGTTTCAATTAAGCGTCAGTTGCTTTGTCAAAGAAAGCATTCCAGTTTGTATGCATCATCATCATCATCTCCTCGCTCGCTCGCGCCAGATATTCCCCATCCATTAAAATTCACTGATTCCTGATCTACTGGAATCCCCATGAAGGTGGTAGATGTAAATTTTCTTTCTTTCTTCACGGGATAATGATGGCCATTGCTATGGTGGTGATTAGATTTGCCCCGTGCTTTATCGAATCCATCAAGGATATTATTGATCTTCTTCTTCCACTGAATTCGATCCTTCCGACTACCGGCAAAAACCATTTAAAGAAACCAACAGGAAGAGAATACCAAAATAACTCCATCTTTGATAATAGCCCATCGGTTTAATACCACAATGGATTACAATCGTGTTAATTACAATCGATATCAACTGAAAAGTTGATATCAGGTCAAAACCAAAAAAAAAAATAACAACCAAATGATGTTAAAAATATAATATTATACTCAAAAATTATAACTAAAAATAAAAACAACAAAACAAACAAACAAATAAACAAACAAATAAATAAACAAACAAACAAACAAACACACACAGAGGGAAGGAGAGAGAGAGACCTAAAAAAAAAACATGGATTATTTTTTTGTGTGATCCTTACGATCAATTGGGTATCCGTATCGATCTAAACCAGTTACTCCGGATGGTAATGAAGTACCTTGAGTTTGATTGGAATCATTTACTTGAGTAGTAGTGGTTCCTGATGGTAATGAAGAAGTACCTTGGGTTTGCTTTGCGTCCGACGCTTGGGTAGCAGCAACACTTGAAGAACACCCTGTAGTAGGATCAACCAATTCATAAGCTGGAGGTGGTGGTAAATTGGAAATATCTTCCTCAGGTCTTGGAAAACCAGCGGTGTTTTGGGTAGAAGCAGTAGCCATTGAGCCAGTTGGCACCACTGGAGTGGCAACTGCGGCATCATATTTGGCAGGGGTGGTAGTAGTAGTACTAGTTGCTGTAGAGACAGCAGGAATAGTAGTTGAATGATGGGATGGTGCCACAATGGTACCACTAGTTGGAGCAGCTCCAGTGATAACTGAAGGAGAAGGAGAACCCCCTGGAGTTGTCCCGATAGTGGTAGTAGAATCACTTCCAATGGCAACTGAGCCGCTAGGTTGATTGTTCAAACGGTGTTGCCAAGTGGCATTCTTCTTACTCAAGAATCCCGCGAGTTTCGAAGCTTTACCTCCCAAAGATGGATTCTTTTCATCGATCATCATCGATAAAGAACTGATTTTGGAAGTCAAAGTATTGGTCAAATCTCCCGCAAGATGCTCGTAACTCGAGATATTCTGAGTCTTGTGTGGTTTTTGAGTGGTGGTGGTGGTGGTAGTAGCTGCTGATGCTGCTGATGCTGCTGCTGGTTGTAGTTCATTTCCAGAATTAGCCTGGGTTGGCTGCTGCGAGTGATTGGCAAATGGCACACCAACACCATTGAAAACCATTTCATCTTTTTCATTGGTCAATGAAACCCCACTTGGCACCGCAAACCCACTAAACACTTTCCAACCATCGGTGGTGATTGACACCGTGGTGGGTTTCGAATCCACCCCCGTAGTATCACCTACGGCCAACGTGGAAGCAAGGGCCATGGAAGATGCTGGATCAACCACTCTCAAAGTGATTTCCGCAACCAATGAATAATCCACTTTGATATTACAAGTCTTGAAACCAGCGACCAACTCTTTGGGCCATTGGAATTTATCTTGGGGATAAAGTGCTTGGGGAATGATCGTTTCATATAACGGCTCACCGGCATCCCCGACGCGCACGCGGGCGTCGGACGGTTGCAATTGAGAAATGCCAATGATTTTCGATGGGATATTCTTGTTGATGTACGAGTCTTGGAAAATCGTGTATTTGGTATTGAAAGTTTTTCTAAATTCTTCCCCCAAGATCGTCGAATGCGCCACCAAGTTGAAAGAAATCGCATCGACGGCGATCTTAACGTTCGCCATAGGGATTTTTTGAGATACCATATTTGGAGTAGCAATGCTCGTTAGGAAATGTAAACTGAGGTTGGGGATCGATGGTTTAGGCGAATCAACATTAGAACCATAACCTAAGTTCAAAAACCCTGGGGCCGAATATCTGGACTCCACGAAAAATGGCAACGCCATATCGGTGGACACGGTCAATGGGAAGTTCATTCTGGTGAACCCCACTGGCATGGACCCCGGCGAGGTCAACAGCACCGGCAGTTCGAAATCCATTGGAGCAAACTTGAAAGGTTGGGTCACTCTAATATTACTCTTAAAAGTACCTCTTTGAATGGTGGCTTTAACAAAATAGTGGATCCCACTTTTTTCGGCATCCGAAGAGTTCTCAGATTTGCCCTTGCCAATGGAATTCATAGATGGTGGTAAAGGACAGGAAGTATGCTTGATGGATTCGGCATTTTTATTAATTTGTGATAATCCACTGGTGCTCAAAGAGAATTTGGAGGTCAAGCCTTGAGTATCAATCAAACAGTGATTCTTGAGAGGAATTGTGAATGAGAAAGGGTACAGGTAACGTCCTGGAGATAAAGTGTATTCTTTGAAAGATCCGTTGGAATGGCCTCTGTCGGTGGTGGTGGTGGTGGTGGTGGTACTTGGTATTTGTTGACCTGGATAAGAATTGATGGATTGGGTGTAGCGAGGCAATTCACTGTTACCGGTTAATTCTGGGGTCGGGAATACTTTGACCTTTTGGTACAACACTTTATGGTTTTCAATGGCCACCACTTTTTCAGGGTTTCGATTACGTCTGGTTTCACGGGTCCCGGTGACGGTGGAGCGTGATTCGCCTTCAAGTTTGACGGTGATTTCCAGAGTGGAGAGAGCGGTGGCAACGTTGATGAGAACTTTACCTTGGATGGTATCGCCTGAAGTGAAAACGTTGGAGGCACGGATTTGGTTGATCTCAATCAACACATCATTGGTTGTAGGGAGATCATTGGGAGTAGCGGGTTTTGGAATGGCAGCAGCAGTAGCAGGTTGTTCAGAGGAAGTAGCTGATGGTTGTGTTGAAATAGTGGTTGCTTGTTGTAAAGGAGGAATAGCGGATGATGATGATGATGATGATGATGCCACTGGATTACTGGCTGGAGGAGGTTGGATAGGATCAACTGGTGGTGGTGGGACAGTCTCCTGGACAAGTTTGGTGTCGGCAGGCAAGGCAGGAGAGGTACACATATCTATTGGTTAGTTAACAACGTCAACGAATATTGGTGTTCCAGAGGAGATGTATAATCAAAATAATATATATATATATTATTATATACAGAAACAATTTGTAGTAAACGGATACACGGCAGACAATAAATAATCATGGCTGTGTGTCGCCAGTACGAAACGGAAGCCTGGGCAACTCGGCAAAGTGCGCAAAGCAATGCATTTTGTATCTTGCTGGCACCTATTATTAATGGGAGGGAGGGGGTAGGTATGGTATGGTATGGCATATAATAATATATATATATATATATATATACACATATAATAATATATGCCATTAAATAGCGTCATAAATTTGCAATAACATTTACAATATGTTTGTAGAAGGTGAAAATATGTTTGTAAAGAGAAATATGTATAGAAAAGAGAAACGATAATAATAATAATAATAAGATGCATTTTCAAATGATCACAACCAGCTACCTTCCTAAGGACCATACTTTTCGTACAAATATCTCAATCTGGAATAGTAGATATCGAAATCCATGTAACCAACTCTAAACCATCTTCCGCCGCCATTTTCATCGACAAACTGGGTTCTGGCGTGGGCAAGACGCCTATTGTTGAACAAGATCGCTTCTCCTTGTTTCAACAACACTTTGAATTGGTTATCTTCGTCATTGATGAATTTTTCAAAGATCTTGAGCCCACGGTGGAAATCACGGAAGATATAACGGTCACCGGTGTCCTTGGCGGAGTGGTATTGTTCCAAGTTTTCCCAATCGGCAAATTGGCCCATTTTTTTCAATGGCGAGGTGATACCGTACTCGAATGGCGCCTGGTTTGGAGGAGAGTAATTGACTTCACGAATGAATGGATGGTTAGTAGAAGGATCAATGTGGTCGAGGTCTTCGACAATCATTGGACGGGTGTATAAGAACTGATGCCCTGATTTGGAGATGTAGCGGAAGTTGACTGGGGTATGACAGAGGGCAGAATAGCAGTGAGGGTCGGTTTCCTGCACGTACTTGGCGGCGCTGAAAAGATCGACAAAGATGTTTTCGCCGCCTTCGGTGACGTTGTTTTTGATGGCTTCAAGGACTTTGATGGCGGGTGGGGATTCGTAGAAAAGCAAATCTTGGTGAAGATGGAACATTTTGTTGGAGGTGACCAAGTTTTCGGACTCTTTTTTCGACACCACGTCGAAGTAACGGCCGAAAATTGTTTCTTTCAAGTAGCCGATTCGAGAGGCGATTGATTCGAGAGAAGATTTGCCGTATTCTTTGGTGCTGTTGGTTGGGATGTCTTTGACAATACACACCCCGTAGTGGTTGAGGCCCTTGAAAGCCTGGTGCAATGATTTTTCATCGTTGATAAAGTTGTCGTAGGCAATAACCAACGAGGATTTCTTTTTTTCGATTACTTGGTTGGTCCAAGGTTGTTCGTCTTCCTCGTAGAATTTGCCGGATCTTCTGGTGGCGCTGGTGGAGTATTTTCTCAAGAAGGACTCGGGGTAAGTGGAGACGTTACCATCGTCCCATTCGATGGTGATTGCTGGTTCAGTGCCGCTGGTGGTGACGGAGGGAGGGTTTTTTGGGGCGATGTTTCTGGCGATGGAGCCGGTGCTGAACAATTTCAACCCGGTGGCGGTTTCTACAGAGTCGGGGGTCTGACTGGCATCTCTGAGGAAAACGTTGGAGTAGTTGACGATGTCGGGGATTTCTCTGTTTTGGTTACCAAGGAAGGTTATGCTGGTGACTCTGTCATTCCAGAAGTTAACTTTGAGAGGCATATTTGTAAGAAGGATTGATATTTGACAGGAGGGGAGGGGAGGGGAGGGGATGTGATTATACGATATGAATATGAAGGTGAGTGAGAGTGTGAATGTAATGATAAATGTAAGAAATGTAAGAAATGGTCGCAGGCAGCAGGGGTTAATTAATTATCGTTGGGTGATGATGATGATGATTGATAATAATAGCAATGATGATGGTGGTGGATGGATGGGGATGACCAACCTGCTGCACACACCACACGTGTGGATGCATGGATGGATGACACAGCGTAAGTTAAATTCCCCGCCTACATGTGACACCGGCGTCGCATTTTGTCATACATAACTCTAATAATAGTAATTGCAGAGAGAGACAGAGACAGAGACAGAGACAGAGAGAGAGAGAGAGACAGCCATCTGTCATCTGTCACCGATCATCATAATTGCCACTCTTTCTTCTTCTTATCTTATGAATGCATAATCTAGTCTCGCTTTTATATATATATATATATATTATATTATTATCATTCTGGCAAAGGGTCTTGTTGCTGTTTTTTATTACACTACTCACGTAGATTTCTAACTAGCTAGTTTTCTTTTTTTATTACTGGCCTAAAATCAAAATCAAAATCAAAATCAAAATCAATTGGCCAAATATCATTATCATTATTATTATTATTATCATTACTGTCTCTGTTGATTATTGATTGGTGAGCGTTACTGTTAGTGTCACACCCCCCGCGTCTGTTATTGTTTTTTGTTTTGTTTTTGTTTTTTTGCCCCTCTCCTCTGCTTCCCAAATATAAACACAAATATAAATACAAATATTAATACAAATATTAATACAAATGATGACGTGACGCGTCTGCTGGGACCACCACATATTATTATTATTATTAATATTATTACTATTATTACTATTATTATTATTATTCATTGATTTGTGAGTGATTGGAAGATACCAAAGTAGAGCTCTGTTGGCCCTGGAAGGATGTTGCTGCTGCTACAACTGTGCGTTTGACTAATTAATTAATTAATTAATTAATTAATTAATGGGTGGGGAGTAAGTAAATAACTAAGTAAGTAAATAACTAAATAACTAAATAACTAAATAACTAAATAACAAAGTAATTCTCGTTCAGAATGCTGAAACTTTGTAAACACCGCAAAGTAAGCGAGTGCCAGGCAGGGTCACCCGGTGCAACACCCAAAAATCCTTGTTAGTTCTTCTTCTTTCCTACCCACCACCACCACTACTATCGTATCGTATCGTATCCTATTCTATTCTATTCTATTCTATTCTCCCTGGGTCTCATCTGATCTAAACTATCTATCTATCTATCTATCTACACAGACTATACTATACTATACTATACTATACTATACTATACTATACTATACCCCCACTAACCATTGCTGGATCATCTTAACTCTTCCAACTGGTCCTCCTCCTCCTCGCACCGCCAATTCCCGTTCCTTAAATCACCTCCTTCCAAAAGTGGTGTGTTCACTAAAAATTCCTAATTTCTCTCCTCCCCCTCATTTTCCCTTTTTTTTTGTTTTTTTTATTGTATCTTTCACAAGAAAAAAAATAGTAGCCTTCCATCATATTGAATAATATCTTCCATCTTAACTATACAACGATAATATATAATATTATATCATATTATATTATATATTATATATATCTCAGCCAATTATTATCATCCATCCACCCACCCACCAATCTAAAGGAATCTAAACCGTCCGTCCTTATGTTTACCCTATAGATAGATAGACAGATACATACATACATACCATACCACCTACCTCTCTGTTCTGTCTACCACAATATTTCGTTCACCATCGAAATCACCAAGATCATCCATCCATCTCATTCATTACTATTCCCCACCCCCCAACTAAATGAATTCCGCAATTCTGGAAATAATTCAACCAACGGCCATGTCAGATCATCAGTCTCATCAACCACAACGCCTACCTCATCATTCTCATATCCCTCCACAGCTTCAACTCGCAACCCCAATAAAACAGGACATCGCAACAACATCATCATCATCAGTAACATCAGTAACCCCTACCCCTTCGTCTGCCACTTTCCCAATGATCAATCACTTCCATAACCAATCACAAACCCCAAATGACCTGGCCATCAATCAATCTCTGCCAGATCAACATCCCCCCCTTTATATTTCAACCTATTCCGGTGTCGACGTTTACGAAGCATACATCAATGGCTTCCCCCTTATGCGCCGATGCTCAGATGACTGGGTCAATTCAACCCAAATTCTAAAAGCCGCAAAATTCCCCAAAGCCCAAAGAACCAGAATATTGGAGAAAGAAATCCAAACCGGCAACCACCAGAAAATCCAAGGCGGTAATGGCCGTTTTCAAGGTACTTGGGTCCCGTTGGAGATCGCAAAACAATTGGCAGAAAAGCATGGGTTAACTAAAGAATTGGAAATCGTGTTGTATTATATCCCTGACCCCAATAACCCTTTGAAAAGAATGAACAGATCACTAAAACATAACTCAGCTACCCCTTCGAAAAGAAAGAAGCTCAACAATGGCAATGCTTTCACCAACGAAACTCCCAGTAAATCCGCAAAATCTTTAGCCGCCAATGGTGCTTCAAAAAAACAAATCGCCTCCAACAAGAACGGTTCTACTTCTCAATTATCAATATCATCTAACAACTTTTCCACGCCTCATCCACAATCTACCGGCGGTAACAATTTATTCATGATTTCCCAAGGCCTCACTCCCCAACAACAACAACAACAACAACAACAACAGCTTCATCATCATCAACAACAACTAAATAACCAGGTGATTGGTCAAGTATCAACCCCGGTTAATAATGTGGTTCCCGGAAACTTCCCTTCCTTAGCCGCCGCCCCCAACACTTTTATGAGCTACGTTCCAGTATCTCTGAATCCTCTGAGTGCAACAACTCCGCATTTCTCACAATTTCCACCAACCGTCCATCAATTTCTCCCATCTCAAGTAGCCACTCAGGAATCACACTCTCAACAACAACAACAACAACAACCTTATTCACATCAAGCACAACTACAATTACAACAGCAATTTCACCAGCAGCAACTACTACAGCAGCATTTTCAACAACAACAACAGCAGAGGTTTCAGCAACATCAAGAAAGATTGACAACAAATGTTCCTAATGCTCAACCAAATAAAACCTTACAACCAAATGAATTGGGTTCAAATTCTAATGGCGGTGCCATTCTCCGCCCACCATCCATGGGCATTGACTACAGTAAACACTTGATTTCTTATTTCAGCTCAGGAGCAACCGCATCAATCCCTCAATTCGTACTTAACCCTCCCATGGATTTCAATCTTGACGCCCCTATCGACTCAGAGGGCCACGCTCCCCTTCATTGGGCGGCAGCTATGGGCCATTTACCCCTTGTTGCCGCATTAATATCCCATAATGCTAACCCATTAGTGCAAAATACCCTAGGACTCAACCCGTTGTGTCGTCTTGTAACTTTCACAAATTGTCATGAGAAGCAAAATTTCCCCCAAATATTGGAATATTTGAAAACATCATTGTACCAACCTGACGGAAATAACCGATTGATCGTTCATTATTTGGCGCAATTCTCAGGAATCAAACTGAAACGTGCCAGTATTCAATATTATTTCGACCATATTATGCAAGAAATATCCTCTGCTAATGAGTTTTGTAATACTCAAATGTTGAGGTTGAAACGTCAAGAGATTTTGAAGCTTCGTCGCGGGCGTGGCGAAAAATTGGCGATAGAAGACGTGGTATGTGATGTCGAACAAGAAAAGAATAGTTTCATACGAATGATATTGAACCATTGCGATGTTCATGGTGATACTCCATTGCACATTGCAGTCAGACTGAAAACCGAAAGAATGATTAAGAAATTGATCAGTGCTGGCGGAGATGTCATGGTGGAGAATATCGATGGTGAATCATCGTTGGACCTATTGGGCCAAAGCGGTCTAAAAGTGGAGCTGATATTGGGAGATATTTCTCAATTTCGAAATGCTAGAGCTTCGCACCAACCTCAAACGGCGGCAGCGGCGGTGGTGGTGGGTCCGGGTGCTACTTCTGAATTGAAAGCGGTCAACAATGAGAATTCTACTTCTGATGTTAATATAGATATTGGTAATCCAGCTTCTGAAATATTGAATTCTGCTTCTCATCCAGTGGCTGCTAATTTATTCAAATCGCCAAAGGTTCCCAACGGACTATTAGATGATTACAACAAAGAGAATTTTTTCCTAAAAACCCCAGAAATTACCCAGATACCCGCGCAAAATATGAGACTCAACGGAATCGATGATAGGATTCAAGATAAAACGATAATTGATGATGAAGAAGAAGAAGAAGATGATGATCATGATCATGATCATGATAATGATAATGATGATGATGATGATGATGATGATGATGCGAATAATCCTTCTGATAAGAAGAAACTAGTTAATACCCAGGATCTTCTTATTAATCGTTCGAACCTCACAATTTCCGACTCCAGAAAATCAAACTCTCTCGAAGTCGATAAATCAAATAATTCCTTTGGAATCATCTCGCCAATGAAAAAGATCAATTTTGATGATTCTGTGATGTCCGTTGCTGATGCAACCATGCTCAGTGTTAGTGGTTCTAAGAACACGGATTCCAACCTTAACTTGACTTCAGTAAATGATTTTGCGTCTCCTTTGAAAAGATTAGCTTCCGATGTGTTTGTTGGCTCTGATCTTGTCAACTTGAACGGCAATGAAGGCATAGAAAAGGCAAACAATAAACACCATTCTGGTTTACTAGAGGGTACCCCGACCAGAATTATTGGAGCCGCTACAAATAATGAAAATTCCGTGATCATGCAAGAAACCGATCCTGCTGAAGAACAAAAGTTGGAATCCGGCTCACAAAATATTGTTGGACATGAATTCATTTCCACCATCCAATCTAATAAGTCAGTTATTAATTTCGCCACTCCAAATCAACGGTCACTTCCTCCTACCACCACCACCATCACCACCACCAGGCAAGAAAAATTCGTTAGCAGTGAGGGTGATTTTTCCTTTGCAAAGTTCAAATCGGTGTATCTTACACAGCTTTCCCTTCTTGAACGTCATATGTCAATCGATCGTTCCCAATGGGATTCTCAAGCTCATGAAGGCTCGTCACTTCTTGAAAGAGTGTTGCAAGATTTGCAAATCACAGATGGGCATATCAGATCCAGATTGGCTAACGTATTTGATATTAATGACAACAATGATAGTCAGGCTTTGAAAAGGGTATTAGGAGCTCAGGACACCGATGATGATGAAGAAAATATATCAACAACGGTGCGGCCGCGGAAAGATCTGGAAAGTGAGAATCCATTCTACGTTAACGGGGTCAACAAAGGTGAAGTGGCCCTAGCTCGCGAGTTGAAGGCAAAAGTCGAGGTCAAGGAAGTGGAATTAGGCCAAATGGAAGAAAAATTGTATCGTATTGTGGAAAGATCTCAGGCCAAGACCTTAGCAGATTTGGTAACCTCAGAAGAATTGGAGGCGAATGCATCATTATCCAATTCTGATGCCACGGATTCCAAAGAAACTTTGGAGAAGAATGATATTATGGATAAGGGAACTCCTGAGGAGCGAGTGTCTTTATTATTAGAACTTACAAAGTTACAAATGATGAGACAATTAAGAGTTCAAGATTTGGTGGCGAAAATGGTTGATCATACAGTTAGCCGCAAAATGAACAATTATCGGAAACTCATTGGTATTTCTTGTGGCTTCAAAATTGAGTCTATTGATGATTTGATTGATGGTATTGAGCAGGCGTTGGTATCCAATAGTGAGGCTACCCAGATATAGTGAATTTTGTGATGATTAGAAAGTCTTTGAAGTTATTTTCTAATTTAGATGTTTCTCTTATGTTGTTGTTCTTTTTATTATTATTATAATTATTATCATTATTATCATAATTATTATTGTTACTACTTTTAGTTCTGGTACATGGAACTTTTTTTTTCTTTTGTATTTATTCATATACGCTATATTCTACTTTTTTTTTTTCATTGAGGTTCCATTTTTTTGTTTGTTTATTTTCTTTAGAGATGATTCATCATCTATGATTTCCTTTTTTTTTTTTTTTTTTTTTTTTTTTTTTTTTTTTTTTTTTTTTTTTTATTTTGTTTTGTTTTTTGCTTGTCAGTACGTATACTCAACACTCAATTTTTTTTTTTAATTTGTCCCCCTCTATTTTCACTGTTGCATGTTCTTTTTTTTATTAGTGCATATTCCAATTCGTGATTGTACAATAACGTTATTTTGGTTCTAGTTTGATTTATCAATTTTATTATTATTATTATTTTTCAGTATTCACTTGTTTCATTTCAGATGGTAGTAGTGTGTATGTTTTTTTTAGACAAAAAAAAAAAAAATTCTTCTTCTCATATAGCGAGTATGAAAATTATTTAGTTAGGTGTGCTGCTACAAAAAAAATATAATAATCATAATAATAATAATAATCATAATAATAATAATAATGTACAATTGTTTTATTTCCCCATCTCTATAATATACGCAGGATATTTTAATTCTTGGTTCTGTTACGACCTCTGACTTTTGGTTTCTTATTACTGGTGAATCCACTATTGATCCCGACATTTGGTCTTTTTTTATCCTTCTTCTCTTCCTGTACTTTCTCTTCAAGTTCCTTTTTCTCCTCCTCGGCGGTCTTTGGTGGGTATTTCACAAACTCCTGTTCTTTCACTTGGTATTTCCAATCGCTTCTTTTTCTAATGAACATATCCATTTTCCAATTCTTCCACACCAATCTCCCATAAGTACTTTCTTTGACCTTTTCTTTTTCAGCGAGCAATTCACCACAAATCTTTTCTTTATAATTGGTCATCTTGACGGTATAATCCCAAAACTTATCGACGACATGTGACCCGTAAGCATTGCACGATAAGTTGGCGAAATGGCCCAAGAATTGATTGAGTAATCTTCTTCTGGTGAGGGTATCGACCCCATCAACTTTCAACACGCTTTCCACCACATGCGAAAACACCCCATGGTAACACATTTGGATCAACCGTTCTTGCGGTAATTCAATACACGCCTCGACCCCAGAATTCAATAACCGGGCGTCGTAATCGACCAATTTCTCGAAAAAAAGCGCTCTCCATCTTTCTTCGGCGGTGGGCCAATCGTCGTTGGTGTTTCCCAATGTCGAAGTCGATAATTTCAAAATCCCTTCGACCATATTGGTATTCTGATCGGAATATTTCTTGATGATTTCGTCAATGATTTCTTGTTGTTTGTAGTTATTATGTTTAGCAGAAGCGTCGATGATCGCTTTACCCAAGTCCAAATTTATATCAAGAAGCTCGCTGATATCGGGGATGAACTTATCCAACATTTCTTTGGCTTCGCCTTTTCCTAATTTGAAAAGCAACCCTTCGACCACGAAAATCCCGGTGTTCTGTCTTCTAACAAGCTTATCAATCCGATCTTTCATGTACAACTTGTACAACCGGTCGATATTCTTTTGCACCCCGTATTTCACCACCGCTTCAAGGAAATGCGACCCCACGGCATCACTCAACAAGTATTCGACAAATGCCCCTTCTTGTTGATCACTTTCGTGGCTGGCTTCAAAGAAAATAATGTGATAGAATGGTCGATCTCTGGCCACCATCCCTTCGATTTGAATGATCAATTGTATCACTGGAGACGCGATTTTTTCAATCGCCAAGTTTCTCAACAGTCCGGTGGTTTGTCCTTCCTTGATGGTGTTTAATATCACCGCCAACTCTTCTTTGAACCCTGCGGGGATTTGGAAACTTCTGGCAAAATCAGAATTATCCTTGATCTCGATCATTTTTCTCGCGACTTTGGATTTCTTACTTCTAAGAACCGAAGTACCCACCGTGGTGGAAGGTAATTCTTTCCCTGCCAAAATAAGTAACAACACTCTGAGGACGTGCGAGGCGTATTGATGCGAGATCATTTCTTTAAGGTATGGCTTGTACTCATTGACCATATATGTCATAATCGATTCCATGGACGCGTATAATTCTTCTTCTTGTTCTTCTTCTTGTTCTTGTTCTTCCTCCTCATTATTCGTTTCATTGGACTCTCCCAAGATTTCTTGTTCCACCAACGATGCTGCTCTAATGAATAAAGTTTCCAAACAATGCGAGGCATATTTATGATGGGCCAACGCCACGAAATGGCCGGAAAAACTTCTAAATAATCCTTTAATTTGTTTGGCATCACCATTCAAAATCAATCTCTCAATTAATTTGGAACATATCTGATTCGTCACCAATTTCAATTCTTTGCCTTTACTTTCCATAAACACACTGTTGACGTAAAGTTTCTTATCTTCATCGTTTTCAAACATATTGAGGTTCATGGTGCTTTCGGCTTCTTTGAAATAAGAACTTTCAGCAGAATCCACCAACCCATAGAATGGGGTTGGGACTTCCCCAGCAGTGGATTGCTCTACCGCGGAAACTTCTTGGGAAACTTCTTCAACCGCTTCTTCTGACTTCTTTGGTTTCTCGGATCTTCTTCCTCTTACTTTTTTAGCCATTTTATTTTATTTTTTTTTGGTGATGGTGGTGGTTCTGTATTGGCTATTGACGTTTTTATCAATAAGAAATTTCTCAATTAAAAAAAAAAAAAAAAATTTTTTACTGTGTGATGAGGTTACTGGGGTGTGGCACCCTGGTGCATACAGCCACCCCCCACAGCACAGCACAGCACAGAGGGTTTTTCATCAACATGAACTACTTAAGATCTTGTTGATCTATTTTATATTTTATTCTACGAGTTATCAAAAAAATGGAAAAGAAAAAAAAAAAAAAAAAAAAGAGAAAAAAAAACAAGTAAGAATCATTATACGAGGTGGGTAAGTCTAGAAATGAAATATTTGCATTCTATGGACGTTTTGTTATTGTACTATAAGCTGCAACCCTTGATTGGTCAACTTCGAGGAGAACAATACCACATGGTCTTCTTGCTGACCATCCGTAGTCAATAGTGGTGTTATTGTTGTAGTAGTAGTAGCAATAGCAGTAGTGGCTGGCGATTTTATATTGCCATCAATTACCGAAATATTCGTGGATGAATTATGTAAAATCCTTCTCAATCCAGATATGTAGCTTCGATTACCATTACCATTTGAATCATCGACGATATTCTCGAACCCTCGCTTGGCATCCCACACCGAAAACCCGCCAAATCTATGATCATTCCTCGCTTCAGTAGTGAGAGTCAGTAACTGGGTCAAATTGACGTATCCTGACCCCGCTGCCTCCGTGGACCCCGGCAACCCCACGTAAACTTTCATGCGTTTATTGGCAAATACCTCCAGTACTGCCTGGGACCAGGTTTGGAAATTGAACTGTTGGTCAACGTTACAATAATTATTATAAAATTGCACAAACAATAAATCGATATCCGCTAATCTAATCGCATCACCAATGTTCTTATCAGGAAACACGCACTGAGGAGCCGCGGTGACCAAAAAACCTGGGGCGAATAGTCTTTTGATTTCTTGGACGAAATCCACAAACCCTCCATGTCGTCCCTTTTCAATATCTAAATCAACTCCATCTATCATCACCCCGGGGAAGATTGTCCCATCAGGATCTCCCAACATATCATGGAACTGGTTAGCCAACAATTTCGCATCCACGGTACTAGAAATCCCGTATTCTCCGTTCTGACCACCAATTGAGATAATGACTTTTACCCCCAACTCCTGGCAAACTTTAATATCATGGGCCATTTCCTCACATGTTCCATCAACGGATGAAGCATCACACCCGTTGCCAAAGTTGTAAGAAACCCCCTTGATTGAAAAATCATTGATGAATGATAGTACGATGATATCCACGTCTTGGGTTTTACAATACGCTCCCAAACTTTTCTGATAAGCTCCTTGGCCCCAGTATACTGCGATGTTAGGGCCATCGGTGGTGTACTTCCCTGAAACCGGCGATAGTCTGTTGAACCATAGAAGGAGGAATAACAATATGTTGAGGTACATTTTGGGGAATGAGCTTGAAGGACGCTAGAAATGAAGTGGAAAAAATACACAAGAAGCTTATTTCCTGCTAAAAAAATTTTGACAGAAAAGGGTCCATATATATATATATATATATATGATAATCCTCGTATGTCAAAAAAAAAAATTGCTCCCATCTCATGCGGCGACATTTGCCAATTATTGGGGAATGAATGAATCTGCGGGCGTCCAAGCATATTTGTTCACGTCATTCCTGAGAAAAATTCCCATGCTTGGTGCTAATAATAATATATTATCGTGGATGTTTTATTTTATTTTATTTTATTTTATTTTATTTTATTTTATTTTATTTTACTTTATTTTACTTTATTTTATGTTATTTTATTTTATTTATCATTGCGATGAGGTGAATATTAAATATTTTAGCTAGATTAAACCAAAAACAAAAAACCATTGGAAAAGGAAACCATGCGCTAAAAAAAAACATTGTAAGCAAATAAAGCTTTAAAAAAAGATTTCGAAAATACTAGATATCATCATCATATTTATAGAAAGTTTGATTGAAATGAAAAAGAAGTGAGACAAAAAGGAGAAAAAAAAACACAAAAAAGAAAGAAAAAAAACACAAATGCAATTTTATGTGAAATAACATGATAATAGATCTTGGTTGTTAATGGCACCCCTCCTCCTCTCTTCTCTCCTCTCCTCTCCTTCAATCGATCTTCATAGTCCCATAAATTTTCTTGACAAAAAGGTAACCAGTGATCGATCCGACTGATCCCAAAGATAAAACCATCAATAAATAAATCAAAAATGAATACGTAAAATATAGCAACGAGGAAACAAAGTCGTAGTGGGATCTCAAGTGCTTCACAAAATAAAATATCGAGTACATCATCACGTAATTGGCCATAGCCCCACCAACGAAAAATGACTTCCATTGCCATCTATAATCTCCATTATTCAATTGCAAATACAATGCAATGATAACAGACTCGCAAACCAAAATTAAAAGTAAGACAATTGTAATGAACAAAAATCCATAGAGATAATAAAAGGAATTTTTCTCAAGCCAGATGACCTTGTAGATGTAGAACAACTCAATATAGAAACAAATAAATGGAATGAGCCCGGAAATGAGGATACTGTTCCAATGCTTCAAATAAAACGGTTGATTAGGCACCATCAGGGGTTTAGTTTGCTTTGATAGCAAAGAATCAGTAGTCTTATTATTCAATTCTCCATTATTATGATTATTATTATTATTAATATTAAATTCATCCATATTTGGCGACGCGATTGGCGAAGTCACAGGAGGTGGTAATAAGATTCTCTGTTCATGCTGTCTGAGACAGTTCTTGTAAGCAATATACCCACCAATCAAAGCCAAAGGGATTTCACAAAAGAAATAAAATACAATCAACACTACTATTGTTCCAAACGGTAAAGCGGTAGAAGATTCTTTGGCCCAAATGAAAAAGTTCAAAAAGAGAACGGTAAAAATGATAAACCCAGCCAATGCAGCCCCAGAATACAATGAGACGTGAAACCAATCATGAACGATATCATCAAATGAGCTATTAATTGTTCTTTTTGACTTGTTACTAGCAAGCTTCAATTTTCTTCTAGGGATCACACTATTTGACCTACCACGACTCAATCTTCGATCACAGAACACAAAATTGTCATAAAAGAAATAAGTAACGTATCCGGCAATTCCTCCGGATAAGATAAACAAGAACGTGGCATAAGTTAGAGTTTTCCCAGGTACATTGTTATCGAGAATTTTGAAGGCAAAAAGAAACACCACGCTAGAAACCGTTACCAATAATTGAATTCCTGCTCCAACAAGAATGCAGAATATCAAGCAACCAGAAGGTGAGCTAAAAACATCGTTTCGCAATTTCCTCCACCCATTCATGCTCAGGCCCGTACTTTCGTCGTCTCTATTGTGGTTCTTAATATCGTTGCGTAGCAATTTTGCTAAAACTAACCCAACAATCACCGAGCAGATTATTGTAAAAATCAATGAATATACCAATGAAAAATAGTGTAGGCTATTGTCTTCTTCTTTATTCATGTATAACTCCCATCGATTTTCATAATTGACTTCAGTTTCCTCACGCCAATACACCGCATAGGTATATGGTACCAATATTCCACCGTATACCGTGGATATTAAGCTATCACTGAGTTCAAGTCTTTCATAATTATTCAAAGCACCAGGACATTTTTCGGTAGCGACACTCTTGGGATAAACCTCAAACCCCACAATGGAATAACCGTCATTTGCTTCTCGATGGAATCTTATCAAAATCATTGCATGGTTGTTCAAATAATATTTACCATTTTCCATAAAGCCAATAGGGAAACCCGGCCTATAAAGCTTACTAAGATCTTCGGTGTGGATCAAGGTGGTGGCGCTAGGTAAACCATCGATGATCCATTCATTTGAATAATTCTGCTTTATCAAGTCTTGAGCTTTTCTGACCCCTTGACTACTTATCAAGGTCACGCAGGTTTTGGCACAATCAGAATCATCCTTGAAGGACAATTGGTAATCAGATTTCACAATTCTATCTCCCCTAAATATTTGACCTAAAGACAAAGGAACTTGTGATGTCGCTTCATTGGCGGAACAAGTGAAGGGAAGTTCATAATATGAATATGGAAGTTGGCTGTTGTCGGATTGCACCTTATTTATGAACAAATCAACCTTATCGTGGTCTTTATATACTTTAGGACCATGGACAGCTAAAGAAAAAAGAGAAAAAATTCCCCAGTTAGTATTATTATAGCACAATGTTGCTCCGAGACCTCTTGCTCTCATCCAGATCAATGATCATACACACACAAAAAAGGGAGTCCTTGGCAGACCAGAATATGTTGTACCAAGAGGGCCCCTAGTGTGACAACAAGCGATGTCCTCATAATAGCAATGCTCGAATCACAATAAAAAAGCTTCCTTGACAGTTTGTTGACAAAGGATAGACGGACAGAAAATAACATGCCCGCGAATCAAAATCCGTCGCATTGGTCTCTTGTCACGTGTATGGTCACGCGAGTCTCCGAACATCGCTAGATATTTATATGTAAGGGTACGGAGTTCCTATATTGCCAGGAATAAGCCACAAAGTCTCTCGAAAAGTGCGGTTTTACAAAAGAAATTCCCCAAACTGCCATTTCTCTTTATATCAATATAGATATTCCATGTGATTCAACGTAATGATTTTAGAAAAGTGTATGCGGATCCGGCCATCAGGCAAGAAGAAGCCTCTTTAATTGGGTTAATAACAGTATAAAAAAAATGGAGAATCAAATTAGACAGCAACATGTCATTTCTATCTCTCTCTCTCTCTCTCGATTTCCTAATTAAACATCGCGTCACTCAAAGAGCATAGAATCCTCATTTCTGGTTCAATTCTGCAGCTCTCGATGCTAAAGCCTCAATTTCATTTTCGCTATCATTGATATAATTTATTGCCATGGAATTCAAATCAGTACCGGCTGGAACAATCAAGTCATTTGGATTTTGAGGATCACAGCTATTACTTTCAGAGTTTTCATTTGCTACATATTCTTCATCATGATTCATCTCGGAAGATGAATCAAGCAGATTGTTTTGGGACTCATGAAGATCAGTTGAATTTTTCGATTGAGAAACGCTTGCATTAACTGGCGAGGTATTATGATACAATTTCTGATATTGACTCCGAATTTTTTGAACCATGGTGGTACTCTCAGGTTTCAAATCTTCCTGTGTGCTCAAATCATCGGTATTGTGGTTTCCGTCATGAATATCCTCCAGCGCAAAAACATCACCCAATGAACCACCAATTATATAAAGAATTATTGCCATGTAGCCACTGTAGTAATTGCAATACATTTCTGCCTAATAAAATTACCAATCAGAAAATACAATATTCAAAAAGCTGAATGTTAAGTAACATTTCAAACCAGAAAAAAAAAAAAAAAAAAACCTTTTTTCATCTAAGTGCGTGAAAGTTCTAACGATACACAAAAACCAAATTCATCTAAAAAAAAATAAACTAACGTTAATTACTACTAATATTATAGAGACATAGATATGGAGGGGAAGAAAAAAAAAAGGAAAAAATAGAAATACAGATCCTAAAATAAACAAAAATAAAATAGGATAAGGTAAATGAGTAGAAAATATTTTAGAGGTAGACAACTCAGAAAGTCAAAACATGCTGTCCGATCACACGTTTCTTCTAATCTCGCAATGAGCATCTCTCACTTCTATAGCGATGTATGAACCTTGTAAGCTTGTCTTTATTCTATATTCATTGCTTTCAATGTTATTAACATGGTAAATTTCGGAATCCTTCAAATTGTTGAAAATTCTCTTGTAAATCAAATTGAAAGGTGCCACACCGGTAAACTTAAACGAAATTTCAACTTCGTCTCCTTCTTGAATATTTTCATCATTTGGATTAACAATTTCCACCGATGGTTTATCATGGATTATCACCCTTGAATCTTTCCGTTGGGCAGAATCAAGTTCCACAACACACTTGAATACATCTCTAACTGAAATAATTTCCAATACACCAGGTTGAACCAACAATCTTTTGAAATCGAAAAGATTTTTCACAGTGGCGGTCTTGATATCGTCATTGAAAAGATATTGAATTTCAAATGGACCAGTTCCGTGAAGTTTATAATCAACGTATTCACCAATACACAAATCAGATCCAGCAGTGACTTTGCTGATCTTTGGGGTGTCAGTGATAGAAATCATAACTTGGTGATCCAACAACACACTACCTGCATTATTAGCAGAAATAGAGTTCAATTCTTTAGATTGGATTGGGAATTCGTCCTTGATGCATCCCTTGCCATCAATGACCTTCTTAACCGTGATAAAGTGATTGCCCAAAGATAAATACTTGAGAATCTCCTTATTCAAGTTAACTGTGGATGTATTGATATCTTGGAGAACAATGCTATGGAATTTATTGAAATTTTCATTGTACACTTCCAAATGGGCTTCGAATGGTGCATGTCCTTCTAATTTAAGAACCAATGGATCTAAGAACTTAGAGTTTTTGCTGTTAAAGTCAGACGACAACACCAAATTATTAGAACAAGTTTGCAAAACTTTGCTGGAATCTCTATACAAGAACTTGGCATTAGGAACCGGAATAACATTTTGTCTAATCACCTGTTTTTCAAACATGTAGCTTCCCAAACTTCTCAAATCACTCTTTGAATAAATCGCGTCGCTAATAGAGGTGAAAGTGTAGGTATAAATACCAGTCAATCTCTCACTAGGATGCAAGTCACCCAAAAGATTAATAGAGATGAAATTTGACGAGACTTTGATGCTCTTTTGTTTTCTCGCACCATTTGGCAACTCAATATTGTAGTCAACCACAAAAGGTGCTTCACCTTTAAAGAGCAAGTCGATGACATTATGATGCTCATTCAAACAGATATCCCCTTTAGCAAAAATATTGTTTGACCTTTTGGTAACCATCGAATTCTTGGATTCATTGATAATCAACTCTGGCTTTGAATAATATGTCACATTATAGAATGAACCCTCATCAACTTTCCCAAGACACAAATTATCCTTCACGCCAGTGAGATAATAAACCCCGGCATTGGATACTCTAATATTCGAATTCAATACTGCTTTATTCTGGTAGTTATTGAAAGATTTCACTAAAGTATCCTTAATAGTTTTTCCATCATAATCAACGACCTTATAAGACAATTGAACATTTTTTTCTCCGACTAATTTGATAGGCAAATCAACGTGTTGCCCGTCCTTAATCTTGATGTTGTAGCCCTTTGTACCCTTCAAGGTCACAACTTCGCTTTCAAGAGTAGGTTCAAATCTGGCAAATGGAAGCTCCTTTTTGATGTTTATATTGATGTCTTGACCATTTAAGAGGACAACACAATTGGACTTATCTTTTATAGATGTCAAAGAAACAACATAGTTACCACCTTTTGTGAAAACAGGAAGTTTTAAGTTATAGTTATTCAGATTGATGGACTTAGCAGTATAAGTCTTTCTTCTGCTAGTTGCTCTTTCGGTGATATCATAAGTAATTTCAAATGGGGCCTCCCCGTTCAATTTAACCGGCAATATTTCGCTTTCTGAGCTCAAACACAACCTCTTTTCAAACGCACCATGATGCTGACCGTGTCTGTCTTTATTATTAAACAAGTCTAAAAACATAGCGTCTGGCTTGGCTCTCATTGATGTTTTGAATCTATATTTTTCAATCGGCTGCAAATCAATAAAGTTTTTGTAAATGTTATCATGAACTGCGCTGAACTCAATTTCGTAATTACCTTCATGTTCAGGCTCATAATTGTATTGGAATCTATTGGATGATTGAACTTTCAATTTCTTGGATCCTATCAATTTCTTTTTGCCATTATCAATAAATTGATAATTATTAACTTTAACTTCAAACGGTGGGATACCAGTCAATAATAAATCAAAACTCAATCCAATTTGGCCTAAGCAAGTATCATTAATAGAAGAGCTTGATAACACCGACAAATAAGGTTTGAAAGCTTTGAAAATATCAATACGTTTACTGGTGTCATCTATGAGACCCGGACAATATTTCAAATCAACAGATTCTAATTTATATGAACCAGGGTTTTCGGCGATGAATTTGAAATCATTAGCGGTATTAAATTCGTAATTTTCAATCAAAATCTCTCTTCTTCTCTTTTCATTGCTTGAATCAAGAACATTATCATTATTGTTGATATAAGTTATGTTAGCATAGATTGGTTCAAGCTTCTGCAACTCTTTGATATTTTGATGTGAGTTGTAATCTAATCCGTTGATAACCAACTTCAAATCCCTAGATTCTTTTTCAATTAAAGGTTTGTTTGGAAGGGTATCAATCAATTTCAACTTTGGAGATTCGTAAGCGGTAGAGGTCTGATATAATTTCTCGTTTTTTAAATATTCTTCTAATGATGGATACTTAGACGAATATTTTGTGTTGTATTCTAATTCATAGATACTCGTCAAATTCACCACATTACCAAAACCATCTTCAACTTCTTCTAAAATATAGGAGTAATCACCTGGCTTCTTGACAATTTTATTGATTTTCACCTCACTTTCGTATGAGTCTGACCAGCTGAAAAAGTTTTCAAGTTCTTTTGAGTTTAATTTGCGCAAGAAATCACTAACAGAGAAAAACTGGCTTGATTTTGAGTCCCAAACAGAAGCTGCTGTGACCAACGGTGACTTGAAGTCCCTTGAAGCTGGTTGCAATAACTTTTCTTCGACAACCTCAATATGCTCATTGAACATCTTAGTGTACTTGACCCGTAAAGGTGGAACACCATTAATGTTAATCTTCAAGTTATTATAATCCCCAATACATTTATAATCCTTGTTGGTGATAATATCTTTGCTGTCTTTGACGTCAAATATTCTTGCGTTTGGACATTTCGAAATAATCATATTGGAACTATAAACTTTCACTGGCATGTTCTTCGCATCAACTACTCTACCAATTCTGTAAAACCCTGGTTTATCAAGAGTTAATTGTGCAAAGCTAATTCTTGTGAGATCAATTCCTGGTAAAATAGATTCAAAGTCAGCGTGTTTGTCATTGGTGTAATCGCGCCCGTTTACAATCAAATCTTTTCTCAACAAGGCATTAAACTTATGCTTATCGGTTATCATCACAGATTTAATTTGTCTTTTGTTATAATTAATAACTTTGGTATTATTTTCATAATCAGTGTAAATAAGCTCAATATTTGAGATTTCGTTTGAAGAATTGAATTTAATAGGGACTGTAACTAGACTTGGAAGCGTTGGGACATTTTGCTCAGAATCAATACAATGGTTCTCCCCAAATGGATTGAAGTGGAAAGTTGATTTTGGCAAAATATTAATCGTTTTCTTCCCTTTGAAATAGTCACTGTCTGAATGTTCTAAGTTCCCGAGCACTTCAACATCACTGGCAATATCATCGCGATGAACGTTAGCCAATAAACCACTGTTAGATCCCGGAGTTTTAGAGATCTTTGAAACACCATAGATAGAAACAATAAGTGGGGAAAACACAGTTGTCAAGTTACATGACAAGAAAATTGTGAAAGTTGTGATCATTATTGACTGAAGAAAAGTGATGAATGGATGAAAAGTCAATGATGGAATTCTGAAGATCGGTAGTAGCCAGAGAAACAATGAGTCTATGACAAAGAACTTTAGTATGAAAGCAAACTGGTCATACTCATACTGATTTTCTGTGGTTTTCAATATTACGCACTGTTGAATTTTCCATGCTTGTATCAATAAAAATATTCCTATGAAGTATGCTTTCTGTGATGCAACATCTATAATATTTGAAGGAATTAAGGGTTCAATTGGCTTCTGAGCTTGAGTCTTGCCCACCGACCCGCTACTCTGCGTAGCAGGTACTTTGTTGATTCTGTTAACAAATTTCGAGGAAGCCATTCCTTATTTTATCATTATTTGGTGATGGCGATGGTATTGTTTTTATTTCTATGATTTCTTTATTATTCAAAAGAAGAAATTTTTTGTGTGAGAATGTTGAAGATTTCGCACGTGATAGATCACATGTATGTTTTTCAATTTTTTTTTTTTTATGTGAAAGATAGAGAGATGAGCCAGTTTCCTATTGAAAAGCAAATATGTAAACCGAAGAAAAAACTATGAATTCAATAGTAGCGGGCTATAGTTCTAGTGAGGATGAAAGCGATAATGAGCTTAAGCTACGTGATCCACTAGAGCATTCAGAATTGATAAAACTTGTGTCAAAAAATATCAATAAACATGAGAAACTAAAAGAATATCCGAAAGATGATTTCACTAATAAGAGACGGGCCCTAAATGCTACTATCGAACCCCAAAGTTACGATAATGCTGTATTTGAATTGAACAGTAGGTCATACTTGATCGATGGGTATGCAGAAGGTCCTGATGATAAACAAATTGTTGTCAATGATGCAATTTTACCGAATAAAAGACAGAAATTGGGAATCACAAAGAAAAAAAAGAGTATATGGGAGGCTCCAAGTGAAAGTGAGGAGTTCACTGACGATGAAAATGGCAGCGATGAATCAGAAGATGAAGAGAAAAAACAAGATCATGGTCCAATGGAAAGCGATGTTGCGGAGATACAAGTTTCCAATACAAAATTTTTTGGCAAGTCTGAAACTGATTACCTTGGAAGAACATATATGCATGTACCTCAAGATCTAAAAATCAATTTATTGAAAGATCCAGGCTCACAGGAATGCTTTATTCCTAAAAAACAAATATTCACCTGGGATGGACATGCTGGAGGGGTTACAAAACTTCAATTCATCCCTAGAAGTGGTCACTTACTATTATCTGGTGGTAATGATTGCAATATACATTTGTACGACACTTTCCACAATAGACCACTTCTTAGAGGTTATTATGGTCACAGAAGACCAATCAAGGACTTGAATTTCAATACCGCCAATGTTGGAAAGACTTTTGCAAGTTGTGGGTTTGATAGAGTTGTCAATGTCTGGGACACCGAGGTTGGGAAGATTGTTACTAGTTTGAAAATGAAAGGAGCAATTCCTAATACTTTGCAGTTTAACCCCAATAATGAAAACGAGTTATTGGTTGGTCTTTCCAATAACAAGATTGAGCATTATGACTTGAGAATACCTTCATCCAATTCTGACCATATTATCCAAACTTATGATCATCACTTGAACGCTATTAATTCTTTAACATTTATTTCTGAAGGAAAGAGGTTTTTATCAACTTCTGACGACAGGTCTATTAGAGTTTGGGAACTAGGTATTAATATTCCAATTAAGTATATTGCTGATCCAACTCAATTTTCTATGCCACGCTCAAGAATCCATCCAAGCGGGAAGTACTTTTCCACTCAGGCAATGAACAATAAAATAATGGTATATCAGGCACATGAAAAGTTCAAGCAAAACAAGAAAAAAGTTTTCGAAGGCCACGATGTTGCTGGGTATGGGATTGATTTTACTTTCAGCCCGGACGGAAAGATTGTCATGAGCGGTGGATCTACGGGGAAAGCATATTTCTGGGATTGGAAAACCACCAAGATGTTAAAATCTTTCCAAGTGGATAAGACAACAATTAGTTGTATTGAGTCACATCCTCAGGAGACTAGCAAGGTGGCCATGGCTGGTTCTAGTGGTAAAATTTTCTATTGGGAATGAGTCTTGCACGTATTATTCTGAATTTGAAATGTTTATTCAACTAGCATTGTAATATTTTTCCTGTACAATTTACGATTTACAATTTATGATTAATGACAAAACCCCAACTTGCTTGTAAGAAATATTGTACTGGTCCTCGGATTGTGATCCGGGAAATCCAAATCATCTCAACTTCATAAAGGAGAAAACAGCAGAATATGTATACTTATCAGCAGGGAGCTGAAGAAGAGATATACAATAGGACATCTGCTCTCCGACTTACTGAAAGCTCAAAATACACCCATACCTAGCTGGGGTTTCCCAAAATAGATGTGAATTAGCTGTCAAATGCCAATAAACCGCGCGGATAATTTCTTGAGAACCTCCGGTACATGCACCTGTCAAAGTGATACTCCTGAATAAAGCTGGTCTAAAAAGGGAAAAGAAAAAGAAACAAGACAGCAGGCATAACAGGTTTGACACTTCTGCAGCCTAACTTTATATGGGGTCCTTCTAAAAGTTTGTACTAAAATACATCTCGCACCCCAAATATCTGGCACACACGTCAAACAACGGACCCCGTCCCAAGCAGCCCTCATGTCTGTCAGACAAAATAACATATCGATATTTTTTTCATCCTGCCAACCTGGTTTTCCAGTCTAGAAAAAATGTCATTTTAATTTGCACATTTCGAAACCAAAAAGAATACTACATCAAGAAAGGACATCAATGTTGTAAAATTTAGAATATAGGTATATCATAATATAAAGTGTAAACTATAAAAAAAGCGTGGAATGCGAAAACAGAAACAATGTAAATATAAGTAGCGTCATAATTGTTTGATCATAAGTTCATGGTCTTTTGGTGATCTTGGCACGGACAGCCTTGACTTGAGTGTAGTTGTCAAGGGCAGCTTCACCCATTTCTCTGCCAATACCAGATTGACCGAAACCACCGAATGGAACACCATAGTGGAAATCGTTGTAAGTGTTAATCCAGATGGTACCGGAGTTGATTCTGTTGGCGACATCAATGGCCTTGTTGAGGTCAGTAGTGTGGACACCACCACCCAAACCGTATTGGGAGTCGTTAGCCAAAGCAACAACTTCATCAACGGTCTTGAACTTGCTGACAGTGACAATAGGACCGAAAATTTCTTCCTTGACAATTCTCATGTCTTCCTTAACATCAGCGAAAATGGTTGGTCTGACGAAGTAACCCTTATCACCATCACGCTTACCACCGGTAACAATACGAGCACCTTCCTTTTCACCAATATCAACATAACTCAAGATCTTGTCCAATTGCATTTGAGAAGTTTGAGCACCTTGGAAACTGGAAGAGTCGAATGGGTTACCAACCTTGATGGCATCGGCAGCCTTCTTGAATTCTTCCAAAATGGTGTCGTAGATACCTTCTTGAACATAAATTCTGGAACCAGCACAACAAACTTCACCAGAGTTGAAGAAGATACCAGTGACCAAGTTCTGAACAGTCTTTTCAACATCACAGTCGTCGAAAACGATATTTGGAGATTTACCACCCAATTCCAAGGTGACCTTCTTCAAGTTACTTTCGGCAGCAGCCTTCATGATACGCTTACCAGTAGCAGTAGAACCAGTGAAAGCAATTTTCTTAATATTTGGATGGCTTGAAATTCTTTCACCAACAGTTCCACCGAAACCTGGAACAATGTTGACAACACCGGCAGGAATACCAGCTTCCTTAACCAATTGAGAGACGTACAAAGCGGACAATGGAGTAGCTTCGGCTGGCTTCAACACAACAGTGTTACCAGTGGCCAAAGCTGGACCAATCTTCCAAGACCACATCAACAATGGGAAGTTCCATGGGATGATTTGACCACAAACACCCAAAGGTTCTCTTCTGGTGTATGAAAAGTGAGTGTCACCGGTTTCAATAACTTTACCGTAAATCTTGTCGGCAAAACCAGCACAAGACTTGATGTATTTAGCGGCAAGGCCGACGTCACCTCTAGCGTTCGCGAGAGTCTTACCGTTATCGAGAGATTCGATACCGGCCAAAACCTCGGAGTGCTTTTCAATCAATTCACCTAATCTGAAAAGAACTTCACCTCTGCTGATTGGGTCAGCAGTTTTCCATTCAGAGTTGAAAGCCTTGTAGGCAGCGTTGACAGCGATGTCAACATCATCTTCTCTGGCTTCATAAACGTGTGTGATTTCTTCTTCGGTAGATGGGTTAATGACTTCGAAGGTCTTTCCTTGTCTAGATGGAACAAACTCGTTGTTGATAAACAAACCAGTTGGTTGTTCGTAACTGACACCATTTGGCAAAGTGATTGGGACACTGAGTGGCAAGTGAGAGTACAATCTGGAGGTGGATCTGAGGGCAGATCTGGCAATTGCTTGGTTCTTAACCAACTTCAAGGTAGCGGAGGAGAACATTGCTAGTGTAGAGAATAAAATATAATGTGGATGAAGAATTGAAAAAACCCCAAAGTTTGGAAACAGTGGAGCGGATTTTCCCAGGAATTTATACCTGGTATGCCGAGCCTCGGACTACCTCCACAAACAAAAAAGAAACACTCCATGTTCAGACGCCCATGCAGTTTTTTCCAGGTGAGGGGCAGTTATGGTACAACCCCCACTCTGAGCGGGGTATTTATTTGCAAGCTTTGGCTTATTAATTACGGGAATATGCATAACCATACATATACATGCATAACTGACGGAATACGGCTGGGAGGTTGTGTCCATCGGGGTTTAGGCATTGTGCGTGGGATGTTTTGGCCAGCAATCAAAATTGGAATCAGGATACACATTGAGTACAGTAAAACCGTTTTAACATTAACAATTGTTTTCATAACGACAATTGCTTTCAAAGTAACTCAAAAATTATAGTATTTGATCAAGTGGTTGTTGTGGGATGTTGAAATATGTTCTTCGGTGATTATCAATTATGATTGACCCGATGATATCATACCTGGGAAAAAAAAAACTGCATCTCAAAGTAACCATTACAATCTTCCTTAAGGATGAGAAACAAAAAAAAATAACCACTGGGATTAGTGACGTATTTCACCTTACTAGTTGGACACATTTTTGTCCACAACCTCAATCCCTGATGCAAATATCAAGTTATTAAACTGGAACAAGCAAAAATTGAAATTGCGGACCTTGAAGTATCGTAAGCAGAAACAAGTGACTCCGTAGTCTGTAAAAGCTTCAAACGGTTGATCAATACAATAAGCTTAGTAATCTCCCCCTCACGTAGGCGTTTTAAAATTGTTGTCAGCCCATTAAATTGTTCTCATCTGATGTCATTTGTCTTAACTGGATCACCATCAAGAAAACAAATATAAATTTTCGGAGATTAGCAACATTTGTAGACACAGTTTAGCCTAGTCCTTCTACTGAGTATTTACAATCTCTTGAGTTTGTTGTTGTTGAGAAAGTACTTCTCCGCTCTTTTTGGTGCAGGGAAGTCCGAAGTTCGCAAAGGCGAGTTTTGTAAGAAATATGGCCGCGCCTCCGCTCACTCCGGACAGCCGCTACGGATCATCAAATGAATAATTCCGGGGCATATCATGTGATTATACCAGCATCCGGTATCCGTTGACATGCCCTTTCACCTTTTTTTTTACGGGGTCCACCATCGTATGCACCACCAGAATGGCACCTTGATTTACTGATTTATTGACGACTGAATAAGGAAACAACTACATTATTGTTCACAAATGCGATACCCTTATTTCCCTGTCATTAAGTTTTCTAGACTTATCGGTGTAGATTTCTTTGTCTTGGTAATTCTCTAGTTGTGAATGTTATATACTCCAGATTCAGTATACATTCCTATATCCGACTCTCGGGCTCCACATATTATGGAAGAAATAGAAGGATAATATTTAGGATATAGTAATTCTAATGCATACAAGTTAGATGGAGATTTAGTAGAAAGAATATTAAGCTTTATTATGAAGAGATAAGCTTAGAGTTAACTAAGAAAATGCCAATAAACAGTCAACTGTTCCCAAGCCAACTTTATCTGCTGTTATGCCTAATACTTTGCCTAATCCTACTATTTTTGCACCCTTACGGAGCGCAATTAATGGAGAGCTCTAGTTAAACTTAACATTATTTAACATATATTCTCATCAAATGGAATAGTTTTATATAACTTATCTAATAATAACTTACTGTGTATATTCTAACAGGCTAATGTCCGTTTTCTTCTTTTCTCTTTATCACCTTATAAGTAGTAATTAGACCCTCTAAAACAAGTTATATATTATGATAATCTTAGTGAGTTAATTCGATACTATTCGGATCAAATGATCAACATCCCCTACCCCATTCCCTGGATGCGGATTTCATCCAAGCAGTTTCGTATTTTATTTTTTTGAAAAAATGGGGTCCACCTTATTATCACCTTATTATTCATCACCTTAACTCCGGACTATATTAGCAACAAATAGATATTGGTTTTACCACCATCTTAATATACTATTAGATAGGCTCAAATATAGTAATTATACTGCTGCTTAGAAATTTTTATAGACCTCTGTGATTGAATTTTGTTTATATTTGGGCATTCCATGACAAAATATAATCTCATAGGCATGCATACTTAATGGGTGCATACACCAAATGCCATAGGCGTCCCCTAGGGTTTGTTTGAATATTCATAAAAAAAATTATTTCAGGAGATGCCCCGGGAGAGAGGAAAGATCATGCTATATTTCAATCAATAGCCGAATGCTTCATTTAGGATTCTTGAACCCCCACTCCAAAATCCAGATCAAGCAAGCAATCATCTATGAAATTACAATAAAATACTGCTAGAATGAGAGTATTTTTTGGGTTGTAAACTAGTATATTACCGGGATGGTGGTGTTAAGTATAGTATTATACGCGGGATAGAAAGTAAAAGAAACCTCGGAATAGATCGAGCTGTTCGAATAAAGTTGCATTGAAAGGAATTGTAACATCATGACTCCAGAAGTATCATTTCTCTTTAGTTATGGATTGTTATAAAATATTTACTCAAATTTTTATTCGTTTTCACTTCATAATCTCTTTTCTTCAAATTTTAACAACTATGAAACTTACAGCTATGCAAATCAATTAATAATTTTATGTCTAAGAAAACATTTACAAGCATAATTTCTAAAATAGCTTGAGGGTCAATTTTAACATAAACTTCCGCCGGGAATGTGGTCGCTAATTATACTGTGCACATACTAACCCTCCGTACCGAAGTCACGCCGGAGAATAATGATCTTTAAGAACTAACAGAAGTGAGAGTCCCATCCTTAATCATCACTCTATCTCATATTCAAACGGAAATGGGAAGCAAAGGGTTGAGATCAACCTGGTTAGTATTAAAAAAAAAATTGTTACGAGCCCGCGATAGGGTAAACAAACGATATTGAAAATCCTAAAAGTGGCGACACAAGAACAATCATATCGAAGTAAAGGAAAGCGATATCGTTATAATCTCTAATTAATTCCCTGATAATATCTCCCGGAGAGAGGTCTATCGTTTCGCACTTATATTATTTGAAAAATAACATTCAATCTATTCAACAATGTCCAAGGAAGATCAAATACCTGCCGCTCCGGTTGCCACTCCAGCAGCTGCCGCCTCCAAACCTGAAAAAGAAGTTCAAACCTTAGAGGAGGATGATGAGTTCGAAGATTTCCAGGAGGAAAGTAAGTTAATTATATTTGCCTAATATTTCTTATATATTGTTATATTTGTTATTTGCTGGTTACTTCATTTTTACTAACCTTTCATATTAGCCTGGCTAGATGAACATGATGTGGGCAAGCAAGACCAAGGTAAATTGTGGGATGAAGATTGGGATGATGAAGATGTCGAAGATGACTTTGCCCAACAGTTGAAGTAAGTATAATTTGGAGAGAAAAACAGAATTCTTATCTTTTTTGCCTTCTTGTTTTATCAAAAAGCGATTAGCTTTGTTACTAACATTTTCAGATCTGAATTGGCTAAAGTTCAAACCAAATAATGAGAGTGGCAGGTTATCTCTTCTCAATCGATAATAATGATAAAATATTGATGGTTGGGATTGTCAAGAAGGGATTTTATTATATTATTGTATCTTTTTTTTTATTTATTCATTTTACTTGATATTTTTTATTCAAGTCTCTCTATCTGTTGATAATTTTGATTTATCAATGTGTAATATTACAGAAATAAATATGATTCATACGCAAGGACGAAAAAATTAAAAAGGCAGCAAAAAATGGAGTAAGAATAGATTATTATGGATTTGAAAACCCCTGATAGAAATATGCTTTAAATTGAACTGAATAATTTATATTATCATCAATTAATATAAAGGGAAGTCGCATTATAGTGGTTCTCAAAATATTACACGTGACCAAAATCATGAATTTTCCAGTGGCAAAGAAGATTTCAAAATGCCAATCGGCGAATTTGTGTTAACGTCGTACTTCTAGTAGTTCCCTTCCATTATAATATATATATATTTATTCAATAAAGAAAGAGAAATTTAAAAAATGTCAACATTGGAAGAACTTGAGGCATTGGATAACCAAGCCAGCACTGAAAAACCAGAAAAAAAGGAACAGAAGGACAAAGATGAAGACGATGAATTGTTGAAGGAAATCATGGAGGGCACCACAGGTGATATCAAGAACAGAACCAGATTGTTGGAGAATGATATTAGAGTCATGAGATCTGAAATGCAGAGATTGGCCCATGAGAAGGCGTCAATGATGGAAAAAATCAAGGACAATAGTGATAAAATCGAAAACAATAAACAATTACCATATTTGGTCGGTACCGTGGTCGAACTTTTAGACGTTGAGGCCGAACAAGAGGCCACTGAAGAAGGTGCCAATATAGATTTGGATTCTACCAGAGTTGGTAAATCGGCAGTTATAAGAACTTCTACCAGACAAACCGTATTTTTGCCTCTTGTCGGGTTGGTCGAACCATCTGAATTGAAGCCAGGCGACATCATCGGGGTAAATAAGGACTCTTACTTGATTTTGGATAAATTACCTGCAGAATATGACTCGAGAGTTAAAGCAATGGAAGTTGATGAAAAACCTACTGAATCTTATGCGGATATCGGTGGGTTAGAAAAGCAAATTGAAGAATTAATTGAAGCAGTGGTGTTGCCAATGCAGCAAGCCGACAAATTCACAAAATTGGGTATTAAGCCTCCAAAGGGTGCTTTAATGTATGGTCCTCCGGGAACTGGTAAAACATTATTGGCAAGAGCTTGTGCTGCTAAGACTAATGCTACTTTCTTGAAGTTGGCTGCCCCACAATTGGTGCAAATGTTCATTGGTGACGGTGCCAAGTTGGTGAGAGATGCATTTGCCTTGGCTAAGGAAAAGGCTCCTACTATTATTTTCATTGATGAATTGGATGCCATTGGTACCAAAAGATTTGACTCTGATAAGAGTGGTGACAGAGAAGTTCAAAGAACCATGTTGGAATTGTTGAACCAGTTGGATGGTTTTGGATCTGACGACAGAGTTAAAGTGCTAGCTGCCACCAACAGAGTTGATGTTCTTGATCCTGCCCTTTTGAGATCTGGTAGATTAGACAGAAAGATTGAATTTCCTTTGCCGACTGAAGAAGGTAGAGCCCAGATTTTACAAATCCATGCTAGAAAGATGAAGTGCAATGATGATATTAATTGGCAAGAATTGGCAAGATCAACCGATGAATTTAACGGTGCTCAATTAAAGGCGGTGGCTGTGGAAGCTGGTATGATTGCCTTACGTGGTGGTCAAAATAGTATTAAACACGAAGACTTTGTGGAAGCTATTGGTGAAGTCCAAGCCAGAAAGTCAAAATCTGTTTCATTTTATGCATGAACTCGACTCTTTATCGAATGTTTCTTGTTTTGTCATCCGCTCTTTAACAATATTTTATCATTATCATTTTTTACGATTATTGTATATCTAGGTTTGTTTTTTTCTTAATTCCAATAAAAATTTTACAATTATGAATTTTTAATTATAGGATTCAAGTATTCTGACTAATGAATCTATTGTTCCATGGAAAACCGTTTACCAAGCACAAAGTCTTGCTATTTCATAGAAACATTGGAAAAGCCATAAAATTAAGATTTTCATAATCAATACAACTAAATTATACAAATATATACTATACAAAGATTGCAGTGACAAAAAGGAAAAGAAAAAAAAATTGTAATAAAAATAGCAGCAATTTGGGAATATAACAAAACTGATTACCAATTATTTTTCAAAAAAAGCAAGAAAAATTAAATAAAGATAAAAACTCACAAACATCACACTGAAGAGATATCAAGTCTAGACAAAAAAAAAACACGTTTTCATAGAAATCGCAACTATAATTCTTGAGAAGCTTCAACATGCTTCTTCTTCTTCTTCTTCTTTTCCTTCTTTTCCTTCTTCTTCTCATCCTTACCTTCTATTTTGACCCTAAGGTCAGACTCTTCTGGGAGGTAAGGATCGATTGGAGTTTCGACAATGTACAGGTGGTTGATACCAGACATGTTCACATCACGACCTTCGGCCTTAGCTACGGAATAGTCTTCCTTTTCCTTGTTGTAAGAAACCATTTGAAGATCGTATTGTTCTCTCCATTTGGCTTTTTCTTCGTCATCCAACAATTTCCATTTTTCAGCAATGGCCTTGGTCATGTCATTTGAATATAATTGAGGCAAGTTCAATTCTGGACGTTTTTCACCAAGCACTTTACGACAGTAGCTGCTGAAAGCAAGGTAACTCGAAGGTGGCTTCTTTGGAGCGTTTGGATCGACATTCTTCTTCTTTTTGGTGACAACACTTTCTTCTTCGGTCTCTTCTAATTCAGTGGCAGAACGTTTGAGGTTGATGGCACTACCAGTAAGACTTTCAAAAGCAGAAACAAGCTCTTTGGAGAAGTCAGTGTCGATAGTAGCGTCGACAGCAGCAGCATGGTTGTAGAAATCAACAGTGGCCTTAGCAGCAGTTTCTGCAGCTTTGGTAAGTTCAAATAAGGCAGCGACAAGCTATTGGTTGACGCGTTAGTATTTATCAGCATCGATATTCATCAGAAATATATCTCAAAAAAAAACCAAAAAACCAGGAGAATGAAAATATCGGAGTGACTTCAAATATTCTGTTGAATGATGGCTCAGAGTATCAGATATGTATATAACTTCAATGTTTGTTTACATTTACTGAAAATTCAATCTGATACGCGTCTCAATCCATTAAATGAAAAGTGATCACACCAATAATAGTAGTAGAATGAAAACCTGTCCTGAGATATATTTCTGATATTGCTAATAAAGCAGTTATACGTACGCTATCCTTTGCTTCTTTCAAATCCTTGGTCATGATGTATTTGGTTGGTGAGGATAGTAACCAGAATATGTGTTGTCTAGGATTAGGCGATTAAAGAGGCACAAATATTCAGTGCGAAGGGCCGGCGACTAGTGGTCCAAGCAAATCATCCGTTGCCTAAAGGCCGGGAACCCTTTACTGAAAAGATCCGGGTAACGGTTTGATATAAATAAGACAACTTTAAGGAGATGAGGCAACTTTTGGTTAGGAGAATCAAAGTGCTTAACATATTCAAACTCCTTTTTTTAAGAGATAGCCAATTACCAAGCGTTGGTGTACGTGTCCTTAATTATGTAACAATGTTGGTAGATAGTCCCTAGATTATTGAGGGGTCGGTTGCATAATAGGGAGATTTGGGTAGACACAGAACACTTGAGGGACCACCTGAATGTGAGCTCTAGATGAAATGTGCTGGGTAATATTAATAAAACCATATATCTTGAAGAGAAGCATTAATGGAAAATACCTCTCGTGGGTCAACTAAGCACCTTATCATACATGCTTACAGTCAACATGCAAGATAAGCAGAGAGAGCGCGGGAAACGTCAAATGAGCCGCTTAAAGACGAGCTTTATGATTGTTCTTTTTTTGTTAAAGATATTTTACTCCAATATTATGCATATATAGAGAAAATTTAAGGGAGTAATTTTTAAAAAATAATTGATATTGAAATATAATAATGTATTAATTTCATTTTAAAATGGCGATCTTGCCTTGCGATGAATCTAAGCATGAAATTTGTCCACTGAAGCACTACGCTTGATACATACGCCTCAATGCTTTGTTTCCGGTGGCACCAGACAAGAGAGTATCTCCCCTCTATGTAAAAAATAATTAAAACCTCCTTTTATTTGTTTTATTCTACATGGGTAATGTAATTAGTGGCTCGAAATTACTGCTAATCTACTCCACACTAATTCATACTCTCAACCAGATGTGTCAAGATTATCCTGTGTTTTTTAATAGGAGGAGGATGACCAAAATTTTCAGACAGTCCACAGAAACCAAGAGGTGCTATAATTAAGGTAGCCGATATATTATAAAAGTAGATTATTGAGATTATTGAAGATTGCATATGTATACCACTATTCAAAGACTGGAACTTGCAACCCGCCATCCTGGATGATCACGTTTTATATACAAAAATGTTATAACATTATATGGTCAATTATTGATGGGTACTTGTATTTACATTTCCAGTGAATTGCTAATTTTTTTCTATGTTGAAATGGTCCTAGTAATTGAGATGCCATTTACCAACCAATTATTATTGTGATGTTTCAGCGTACCGCGCCTACTCTGTGATGATGCATTCATGCACTCCGCTCCAGCAGCAGCTTCAATGACACCATTGGATAACAGATGAAAACTCTGGGAATCAGTGACAGGGGCAGTTATTTGACTTACACAACGTTAAAGATGATTGAATTGTAAGTGAATTGTGAGTCAATAAAGGTTACTACATCAATAAGTTACTGACAATTTATTTCTCTCGCATTAGCCGTACAATATCCGCAAAGTTCGAGGTCATATCATCGCCTCCCCCAATAATTGACATACCGGCCGCCATGAGCCCACGGAAAGCCCACGGAAAACTCAACATTGCCTGCATGTTGTCACGTGTGTGGTACCGAGCAACAACTTCCGGTCCAGTTACCTTAATGCCTGACCCCCGGTTCTGGATTAGGAGGGAATTCCCATTACGTATAAGAATGGGTAGGCTTGCTGTCATTCGACATCTTTTTGTTATTCTTCTTTTCAAGAGACAAGATTGTATCATCCAAAAATTATCAAAAAAATGGTTGGGTCTCATAATCTTTCTAATCGAACCCTGAATGCCTCCGATGGGTATTCCCAAATTAACAATGCCCCGCAATTCAAACATATCGATAACATTTATTCCGATAGATTGAGGCAATTCACCGATGAAGGTCAATATCGTGACTTTAATCTCCCTAGATTTTATGATAAGGCACGTATTGACCACTCAAAGGATGATGGCGACGTGGCCAAAGGTTATATTTCTTTGAAAGTCCATTCAGTTCCGGACCTCAAGAGACCGTTGTTCAGAGACCTCATCCCAAATTTGAACAGTGATGACTGGCATGACACTTCTAAAGGCGCTAACTTTGGTCCTTCATGGTCCACTCATTGGTTCAAGATCAATGCCAAAGTTCCAGATTCCTGGGTTAAAGAAGATGTTGTTTTGTTGAATTGGGACGGTAACAATGAAGGATTGGTTTATACTGTTGATGGTGAACCATTACAAGCCTTTACTGGGGGCGGGGAAAGATGCGACTTTATATTGCCAAAGGAATGGTACCAAGGTGGTAAAGATTTCAACTTTTACATTGAGGTTTCTTGTAATGGTATGTTTGGTAATGGTCCAGGCACCATTGATCCACCAGATCCAAACCGTTACTTCACATTGAGCCGTGCGGATTTGGTGATTCCAAATTTGGCTGCTAGAGATTTACATATTGATTTTTGGGAACTTGGCGATTCCGCAAGAGAAATGCCTGGTGACTCTTGGCAAAAACATAAAGCTCGTACCATTGCCAATGAGATTATGAATGCATTTGATGCTAATAATCCTGAAGAGTCTATCAAGAAGTGCACAGAAATTGCCGCCACTTATGTTGGTGAAAACTCTCATAATTCTAAAGTCTATGAGAACACTGACTACAAAACAGTGGATGTTTTTGGAGTTGGGAACTGCCATATTGACACTGCATGGTTGTGGCCTTTTGCTGAAACCAAGCGTAAAGTTATGAGATCCTGGACTACTCAGGTTGATTTGTTGAACAGATACCCAGAATATGTGTTTGTCGCTTCTCAAGCCCAGCAATTTAGATGGTTGAAACATGATTCTCCAATTGCTTTTGGCAAAGTCAAAGAAAAAGTCGAAGAGGGTCGTTTCATTCCAATTGGTGGTTCTTGGGTCGAAAATGACACAAATATGCCAAGTGGTGAATCTTTGGGTAGACAATTTCTCAAGGGGCAATTCTTCTTCAAGCAAAACTTTGGGATCTTTTCTGACACTTTTTGGTTACCAGACACTTTTGGTTATTCTTCACAAGTTCCACAACTCTGTCGTTTGTCCTACATGGACCGTTTCCTCACTCAGAAGCTCTCTTGGAATAATATCAATTCTTTCCCATTGACCACGTTCAATTGGTGTGCCCTTGATGGCTCTCAGGTGTTGACTCATATGCCTCCAAACAACACTTATACTTCCGATGCTAATTGGGGTGACGTTAAACGTTCCTTGAGTCAACATAAAAACTTGGCTTATGATCAAAAGGGACTCATGTTGTATGGTCATGGTGATGGTGGTGGTGGACCTTCCCCAGAACAAATTGATAAGTTGAGACGTTGCAGAGGTATCAGCGAAACCGTTGGTGGAATGCCTAAAGTTCACGTCGGTAATACCATCAAAGAATTCTATGACATCATCTTGAAAAACACTGACAATGGCTCGAAGCTACCAGCCTGGAATGGGGAGCTTTATTTTGAATTCCATCGTGGTACCTACACTACTCAATCTAAGATGAAGAAGTTTGTAAGATGGTCTGAATTCAACTTGAGAGATCTTGAATATTTTGCCACCATTGCCTCTTTATTCAAGAAATCTTATAGTTATCCAAAGAATGAGCTTTGTGCATTTTGGGAAGATCTTTTGCTTTGTCAGTTTCATGATGTGTTACCAGGTTCCTGTATTGAAATGGTTTACGATGATGCCAAGCCAATGTTGTCTAATGTCATCCACAAATCCCATGATTTGACTTTAAAGGCTCTTAAAGCTTTGGGGATCAAGGACTTGGTGTATGACTCCAACCAAAGAAAGTACTCTGGTGGTGCGGCTGTTAATCTCGCTGAGGTTATTCATGGTGAGTTCAATTTATTGAATAGTTTTCCATGGAAAAGATCTGAAGTTTTGAAAATTCCAAAAGTCTCCTCTATGCTTGATGACAATGAGAAATTGAAGAACAAGGTTTATTCTGACGCTAAAGCTGGTAAATTTATTCAAGAAGGGTTGAAACATGATTATGTTTACGTTTCTACTGATGAGAGTAATAACCACATCATGTCTCCTTTGACTAGCAAGATCAAGCATGCTTCTCTCCTTACTGAATCTTCCAGTCACTATGTTTTGTGTAATTCAAAACTTAAGGTTAGTATTGACAAAAAAACTGGGGTAATCTCTTCTCTTTATGACTTATCCAATGATAAGGAAGTCTTGGACATCAAGAGTGGCTCCAACACCACCGGGGCTAATCAATTTGTGATGTTGAATGATACTCCATTGGGATGGCAAGGTTGGGATACGGAGTTGTTTTCTCTTGAGAAGATCACCCCATTAACCGCCACTTCGGTTACAAAATATGAAGCCGGCCCATTGCGTTCTTCCGTCAAGGTGGTTATTGATATTCCTGTTTCTTCCACCACTAGCAAGGCATCCAAAGTTGTGTCGATTATTTCCTTGGCCGGTATTAATGACATGGCTGATTTGAGTTTTGTGGAATTTGAAAATAAGGTGGTCTGGAACGAAAACTGTAAGTTTTTGAAAGTTGAGTTCCCAGTGGACATTCATAATGAATATGCATCTTATGAAACCCAATTTGGTATCACCAAACGTCCAACCCACTATAATACCTCCTGGGATGTTGCTAAATTCGAAGTTTGCCACCATAAATTTGCTGATTATTCTGAATTTGGATACGGGGTTTCAATTATCAATGATTGCAAATACGGGTTTTCAACTCATGGTAATCTCATGAGATTATCACTTCTTCGTGCTCCAAAGCAACCAGATGGCCATGCTGATATGGATACTCATTTCATCAAATACGCAATCTTCCCACATAAGGGTCAATTGGGTGCTGATACCGTTAAATTAGGTAATCAACTCAATTCCAAATTGGTGCATAATTCCCTTGATGATTCTGATGGTGGTGCTAATTGCTACAAATTGAAGCCGGTGGTTACTGGATGCGGTGAGCCAGATGTCAGTTTGATTGAGAGTGGGTTTGGCACCAACTTGGTGGTCAATAAGGTGAATGAATTTACCGAAAACTTTTTCGATTTCATTAGCATTAAAGGTGATGAGAACATTGTGTTGTCCAATATGAAGAGATATGAATACGATGACGATGTTTTCTACAACTATGCTCCAGACGTGTTGGATGACAAGGAAATGTTATTGAAACAACGTTTGTCATCGACCAATAACAAGGTTTCTAAGAAGGAGATGTCTGATACTATTAGTGGCACGAAGTCAGTGGTTTTAAGAGCTTATGAAGCTTTGGGTGGGAAATCTAGAGGTACTATTTATGTGAAGAAGTTGTTAGAAATAACTAGAGTTACCAAGGTCAATAACTTGGAAGAAGATGTTGAAGAATTGGCAGTTATCGAAAGCTCAGATAAGATGTATTACACTATTGATATCAGCTTGAGGGCATTTGAAATCGCTGGTTACAGAATAGAATTCAAGACTCAATAAATTTTTTGTTCGTTTATCTATTTCAACTTTTTATTTTTGTTTATTTTTGTTTATATTACTTTTGGTTACTATTTTAAAAGGAAGGTTGGCGAGGAATGAATGTCTTTTGGTTTTCTGTCATTCAATATGTATAAGGACAGAACCGCCCAAGAAGTTGCTCTTGAAGGGTATTTCAGACACTGGGATGGGAAAAAAAAAAGAAAAAAAAAAAATTGCGTTTATCATTTTGATTTTTGACTACAACAGTAATGTATGCTATTTGAGCACATAGCCTATATTGATCTATCCGTTATTATTGTAATCTAATAAACCATGTAATTTAGATCCCCGCTAATTTACTTCACTTATTGTGTTTAATGTTGGAAGAATAGATGCGCCTCGTACCAGAAGCGATGGCTCCAGAAACCCGGTCGTTTACTCGTACAGGCTTAACGAAGGGATTTTAAAGTTCATCAATTATATAAAAATTACCGCGACCGTCGACGTGTTTGAAATTTTCATCTATTATTTTTTTTTTTTGTGAGAGTGTGTGTTGACAATCTTTTTATCACTTTTCAACAGATAAAAGTTCCCTGATTTTTCAACAAGAATCAAAAAAACAAAACCAAACCAATTCTCTCTTTTGAAACAATGGCTTCCGTTTCTCACACTACTAAAGAACAGGATAAGGAATTTTCCAAGTCCCTCCACAATAAGTCTGTCGAAACCACCGGTTTCGGTGCCTGGCTCCAAAAGGACAGAACCGCCCAAGAAGTTGCTCTTGAAGGGTACTTCAGACACTGGGATGGTAAGACCGATGAAGCAGCTGAAGAAAGAAGATTGGCCGATTACAAGACCGGGACCAACAACTACTACAACCTTGTGACCGATTTTTACGAATACGGTTGGGGTACTTCTTTCCACTTCTCCACCTATTATAAAGGTGAGGCATTCAAACAAGCCACTGCCAGACACGAACATTACCTTGCCTCCAAGATTGGTATCACCGAAGACATGACGGTTCTTGACGTTGGGTGTGGTGTCGGTGGTCCATCTAGAGAAATCCAAAGATTTACCGGTTGCAGAGTCATTGGGTTGAACAACAATGATTACCAAATTGAAAGAGCCAACAGATACGCCAGAGAAAACCATTTGGACGACAGATTGAGTTACGTCAAAGGTGATTTCATGCACATGGACTTCCCAGAAAACTCTTTTGATGCTGTTTACGCCATTGAAGCCACCGTCCACGCTCCAAAGTTGGAAGGGGTGTACGGGGAAATTTACAAGGTTCTTAAGCCAGGTGGAACTTTCGGTGTTTACGAATGGGTCATGACCGACGCTTACGACGAAACCAACCCAGAACACCGTAAGATTGCTTATGGTATTGAAATCGGTGACGGTATTCCAAAGATGTACAAGCGTGAAGTTGCTGAACAAGCGTTGAAGAACGTTGGGTTCGATATCTTGTACGAAAGAGATTTGGCCGATCCAAAGGCTTCAATTCCATGGTTCTACCCATTGACTGGGGAATGGAAATACATGCAATCTCTCAGTGATATTATGACTTTCTGCAGAACTTCATACTTTGGTAGAAAGGTCACCACTTTCTCCTTGGGTTTGTTGGAAACTTTGCGTATTGTTCCAAGAGACTCTACTAAGGTCACTGCTGCTTTGGAAGACGCTGCTGTCAACTTGGTTGCCGGTGGTAAAGAAGGTCTCTTCACCCCAATGATGCTTTATATCGTCAAGAAGCCAGAGGCTAGCGACTAATCGGGTATTCACAAAAACAACTTATAAAATTCAATACCACAAATATTTATATTCTTTCCTCAACCTGTTTATTTTCTGTTCTAGTTAGTTACTCTTTTTTTTTTTTAGTTCTCAAAACCTCCTTTTAATATTACAATAACGTTTTATAAATTGCAAAGTATGGTATATGACAATAATTCACACCCCCGAGCCTTCGGGGTGCACGACCCTCGGGTGGTATTCCGGGGGGGATGTGGTCACCTGCCGACACGGTTTTCCGCAAAGGAGCGACCGGTGGAATCTTCGAGCACTGGCAATTAGTAAGCCAAGGCAGAAAAAGAAAAAAAAATGTCTCGCACTCGCATTTCTCTGTATGGTATGGTTTCGTTTTTTTTTTTTTTTTTTCTATTTTGCCATCGCTTGTAAGGGCATCAGAATATACCATTGAGTCAAGAAGTCAAACCAAATATGTCCGAGGCAATTTCCAAAAGAAATCTCAGTCAGATACAGCCGGTCCAGACTAAGCGTCAAGAGGTTGAGGCGGTCAAGAAAACCTCCAAGCCAGGGCGCAAGCCTGTTAATAGTGAGCCTAAGAACAAACGAACTGCCCAGAATCGAGCTGCCCAAAGAGCGTTCCGTGAACGTAAGGAAAAGAAGATGAAGGAACTTGAAGATAAAGTCACCGAACTAGAGAATGAGCGGAAAGCAGCTACGACAGAAGCTGATTTTCTACGGATTCAGGTGGAGATGCTTAGCAACGAATTGACAAAATATAAGGGGAAGGGGTTCAATATTGAATCTTTGAAATTGGATAGGAACCTCAGTGAAAATTACCAGAAACACAAGTCTCCTAGCAATGCCGCAGTGATATCTCCTAGTGATAGTAATACCACCAATAGCCCAGTCAATTTGAATTCGAACCAAACATTTGAGTTCCCTTGGGGCAATTTGAAGATGAATTATCCCGTGTCAAAGGTCACCCCTAGTTATAGTGAAAGCTCTATTTCATTGAAGGGGGAAAACTCTTTATCTCCAGATTCAGAAATTGCATCATCGCTGGACTCTCCTTCTGATAGGGCTTCCAACATTGATAATCCTGTCAAGAGTATCAAGTCCGAGCCGTACAATTTTGATAACAATTTTGACGAAAAAGTTTTCTGCAACTCTTTGAATATGGCGTGTGGCACAAAGGATAAACCAGTACCGACATTCCCAACGAAAAGTGATCCCCACCAACAAACTGATAAACCAGCAATCTCACCTTTTAGTGTTCCAGCCTCCACTCCATCGCAATTTACTAATGGTCAAACTGATTTCTTATCGTTTTTCAACAATCATGATATGACTTATGATCCTGAGGTAGCATTCAATTTCAGTGATAGCACGAAATTATTAGACGATCTCGAATTCTTGAAAGATCCCGCCACCAATGCAGGTTACAGAGACCCTGACTCCAACAACGAAAATAACAATAACTTTGAGTTGTTCGACGGAGTGACCAATGTTAATTCGACCGATGGATCTAATCTCGATGATTTTGACCCTATCAATGCCCTAACTACCGATGAATTATCGTATGATCCGTTCGAAATCAGTAACTTGACCTCTGCTGAGAGTGATAATAATAATAATAATAATAATAATAATGCAGCAAGGAATCCGTTATACAACATTAACGGTATGCCATCACCATTCAACGGTATCGCCACAAGCATGTCACAATCAGCAGCCAATTCGTCAATGTCCAAGTATATCAACTCTGCTGGCAACTCTCCAACATCGTTCTTCAATAGTGGCGTCACTCCAGTGTCGTCCCTGGGAACCCCTGGTATTAAAGTTAAGCAGGAAGAAATGGATGATTTCGACGATAATGCGGTTGTTCCCGCTAAGGAAGAAAAGATGATCAAGTGCACTGAAATCTGGGACCGTGTGACCTCGCATCCTAAATACGGAGAGTTGGATATTGATGGGTTATGTAGTGAGTTGAGAACTAAGGCTAAATGTAGTGACAAAGGGGTTCTTGTGAATGTCGATGATTTTGAGAAGATTTTTTCGAAGAAAAACGGATCCTGATATATTGCTTTGATCTTTAGTCTTGACTCTTTTTTTCTCTCTCTCTCTTCTTTATGTATCAGTTTGTTTTCTGGGCTGGAGGATTTTTGATGATTTTGGCCGCTTGTATTTCATGTTTTTTGTTTGATATTTGATGATTTTACTCTTTTTTTTTTTTCTTTTTTTTTTTTTTTTTTTTTTTTTGATTTTGGTTGTTCTGTTATTTCCTTCCTGTCATTGAGATGACAGTTAGGACTTTATCTCCATTACTACAAATGGTGGTGGTTCAGTTTTACGTATGTAGTTTTGTTTTTTTCTTTCTTTTTTGTTTTTGGCACTGATGATTTAATGTTGATTCCTTAATAAAAAAAAAGCGGCTCCATGCCTGTCTAATGTATAATGTTTCTACAAAGTAGGTATTAAAAAAAGAAGAAGAAGAAGAAGAATGAAAAAAAGGGGTCATTCGTTTTAATATTTGATTTATTTCCACTTTATTGTGATTTCTCCATTATCGTTCTTCCAAACGGTGACTTTCTTACCCAATACTCGATACAACACCAAAAGAATCGCCGCATTTATCAATAGTTTCTTCACCAACTCCCGCAACCGATACCATAACCCAATGGACATTTTTGACGTTTTCAACCATTGGAATATTGTTATATACCATCGGTGAACTGTTATTAGCCCTTGTTTCATGGGATGTTCCGGGGGCGAGGGCGGTTCATCGTACATAAGGTAATCTATACTCCCGAGGTTCCTGGTAGCAGTGTATCGATCATTAATATCGTTAAACGATGTGGTTTGATTATTATGTTTGAGGTATGATTTGTTGATATACGGTAGTTGGACGACATTTGTGGTTCCTGCCCGTGACAAAGGATACCTATAAGCTGAAGTGATCACGCTATGGATATCATTGTGTGACTTTTGATCATGGGGATCTTGATCTTGATCATCACCATCGTCATTATTATTTTTATTGTTATTACTATTATTAGCTTCGGGGTTTATTAATGAGATATCCTCGTGGCGTGATGCGGTACCACTATGGGTGGAAAGTTTCAAGAATTTGATTTCTTGGTGCAAACTTTCAATGGCCCATTTGATTTCTTTCTTCATTAGATACATTTCATTAGTGGTATTATTGGTCTTATCATAAAGTTCCTGGAGTAACGCATTAGTATATCCGTTCTGTGAGCTGGCGACATCACTCCTATTGGCGGTACGATTATTATTATCTTGGGGATGGTTAAATTTCGATGATTGTTGAGGTTGAAAATTCGACGATGAGCCTCGGGAAATCTCTTGGTACAATAACGCATTATAGCCTGCCATCAAATTACCAGATTCTCCGATACTAGGATCATTAATGAAGTCAAGGGGACTAATTATCCCCCCTTCTTTGGCATTATTATTATTATTATTATTATTATTATTATTATTATTATTATTATTATTATTATTATTATTATTATTATTATTATTATTATTATTATTATTATTATTATTGAGAATCACTGGGCTGGAAAGTCTCGGTAGGTGATGGTTGTCATTTTCAATATCTGGCACGTCTTTGATCTGGTCCCAAAGATTCTCTAATTCCGATAACAATTCTCGAGCCTCGTGGGTTCCCGTAGCATAAACTTGCATCGTATCGATCAAATTGGCAATATATTTCCGTTTAGCAGCGGTGACTCCTAAACCTTCCTGTTTCTTCCAAGCGTCCCACTTCTTTTTGGCATTCTCATCGGCTGGCGTAAACCCACTTGGCCGAGCAATTATTCCTTCCACATCTCCTTCTGTTGCCTGCTTGTACAATCCATATAATGCAGTTCGGCTCTCAAGTGGAGGCCGGGGCAATGAATTATAATTCAGCCTGGACGAAAGGGCCTGGATAATGGTGATGGCTTTATCAAAGACTCTATCTAGATTGCATTAGTGAGGATAGTTACTTTCAAAAAAAAAAAACAAAAAAAAACACTAGCTCATCAAATGAATTGATACTCACCCACAGAATCAGCCATCTTTATAATCTCTAAGATATCCTTATATTATGTTGTGAAACATTACTTTGGTGATTTAAACCAAGTTGCTTTCTTTTTTTTTGTGTGTGTGTGTGTTTGTGGGGTCTACGCGCACACCGGTGTATATATATATGCAGTTAGGGTGGGGGGTAGGTATAATAAATGTTATAAGTGCCAAAATGAATTTAACCAGGTATTGGAAAGTTTTTGAGCATCGTAGAAAGATAATTTTCAAAGTTATTACGTTTGTGAAAGATAAATTTTACATCATTTTTTGAAGGAAATCCAGTTTGAAGGTATCAAAAGTGTAATATTCTTTGTATGTATCTGCGATCTATAAATCTGACAGGGAAAATAAGGAAAATTCTAAATGGAATTAAAAAATAAAGAAATCAGTAACGGTGGGAAAGGAAATGAGAAAATTTTACGTAGAGACAGTAACAGAAAAGCCACAAGGTAGTTTTCATAATCACCAGTTTATTGATACCTCATACCAGTGAATCCATTAAGCGTCTTTTATAACAGGTTTGATCCATATTTTGGTTGCTGTTGCTGTTGCTGTTGCCAAGGAAGAAGTATCAGACACTGGGGTATGTACTGAAGCCTGGGTCAAGTCGTCCAGGCCTCCAGTTTCTGCGGTACTGTAATCTACCGCCAAATCCTCTAAAACAGACTGATAATTCAGAGTGGCAGTGATCATTGAGGCCGCGGTGGCGGTGGCAGAATAATCTTCAATATAACTTGATGCAAGGGTACTTTCTTCAAGAAGGTTATCGTACAATAATGAAGCTTCTTCTTCGAAGGTGAGAGTGGAATTTCCAGAAAGCATGCTAGAATTGCCAAGAAGTGTTGATTCATTGGCAAGATCTGGCAGGCTAAGAAGGTTGATTATTTCGGTACTGTTAGTGGTGGTATTGCTAAATAAGTACTGTTCGATCATTGATGGGGTGATACCGTATTGACTAAGAATGGTCAACGATACTGCAGCTTCTTCTAACACCATAGAAAGTAATTCTGGGTCTTCATTGATGAGCTCAATTAAAGAGATATTACCATCTTCTTCTTCTTCTCCTTCTTCTTCTTCTCCTTCTTCCTCCTCTTTATCACTATCATCATCGGAACTGCTTGCATTATTTTCATCTTGCTGAATTCTTGTTACTTCGCCACTAAGGGTTTCATTGCCTGAGTTGCCAAGATCGGTTTCCATGCCGGATAAATGAAAGCTGGAATTCAGGCTTAAATTATTAGAGGTGTCCACCGTGGTGTTATTCAATTTGTTTAATGCATTTTCGGTTACTCCAATCCTTGCTCCCCTTAATAAATTATTACTGAGCAAAGTACGGTGCTGTGTGGTGGTGACAGAGGCCTTGCTGAGAATACTGGAAGAGGTAGCGGTAGTTTCATTGACGGTTGAATTGCTATTGGTTATTCCTAAAGTGTTAGGAAGGGGCACACTATTAACCTTGGTTGATAAAAACAACAAAGTGGAAATGATAATTGTGTTTCTCATTATTTTGTTGGCAAAGAAATCTTGGCAGGTTCTCTTTGGTTTCTTGACTGCCAGAAAATTAGCTTTGGGAAGACGAAAGACTTAAATAATATATATTTTTATTGACAGGAGCACAATACGCTGTGGACTGGTTATTTAGCATCTGATCCCATGGATTAACACTTATGCATGTTGGAATTACCGTGGAACGCACGTATTTTTTTCATTGCAGGTGTCAGCAATCTCACACAATGCACATTTGCGCCCTTCATTTCTTTCTTTGTGTTTCAATGTGAGGAAGCAAATGAATGTCTTTGTAGCCGCAAGGCGATCATTGCAGATATCGACCGGTATGACCTGACCAGCGGTCGCAGGCTAGTGTGCTGTCAAAAAAAAATTTTCAACGACAAGAAAGTTGCAACAAAATTCCACAACCTCCAAGCAGTATATGCATATAAGAGATTTATTTATCTACAAGAGTCTGGATGTATTAGTCTATCAAAATTTATTATTAAAAACAAAACAAAAACTTTTAGAAATTAAAGCAAAGAATTAAAAACGGAAATAAAAGAGAAATAAAACAAAAACATAAAACATTAAATCATGACAAGAAACAAAAAAAAAAAAAAAGGAGAAGGTAAAATAGAGCAAACTGTTTCAATATAAATATGGAACATAAGGACCCTTATCACCCCAAATAGCTTTTTCTCTTGGAGTGAGGGATTCAAATTTCTGTTGGTATTCATAGGTCAATTTCTTTTGGTTTTCTTTATAGTAATAGATGAAAAGAATGACCATAAAGATCATAGCGAAAACCACAAAGGCAATACTAACGGATAAGCCAGTGACAAAGTACGGGGCATCTTTACTCAAGAAAAGATAAGTAGCAATGATCCCACCGATATTACCAAAACCCACTTGCCAACTGGTACCGACCGCTTTTCTAAGATGACCGCCGTAGTTCAAAGAGGACCAACAAATAAGAGAAGGCATAGCAGAATAAAGACCAGTGACGGCCAAGAAACACCCAGCGTATCTAGCATGAATATCATGTTTGCAAGCAAGAACAATTGCAAGGCCAACGATGGCAATACTCGAGTTCAACAAAGCAAATGGCAATCTTCTCTTCAATTTATCGGAAATACAAGCGATGATGATGGTCCAGCCAAAGGCCATCAACCATGGGTAAATAGATCTTTGGTTAGCTTCAACACCGGTGTAACCCATTTGGGCAATGATGGTAGGGGCGAAATAAGCGTACGCGTAAGATGGAATAATCAATCCAAAGTATGCAAAAGCAGTGAGCCATATCAAAGGATCTTTGAACACCGCGAAAAGTTCTTTTGGAGTGTATTTGAATTCGAAACCTGAATCACCGTTGTAGATGGCCAACTTTTGTTTAATGAAACTACGTTCATTTTCATTCAAGAAACGACAGTTTTCTGGGAAATCCGGAACGACAAAATACAAAAATAAGGCTAAACCGGCGGTGAAAGTCCCTTCAATGATGAAGATCCATTGCCAACTTTCGATCCCGTATTTACCATCCAAGTCATTGATTTTGTAGGCAATGGCCCCACCAGCGGCACCGGCAAGACAAGTACAACTAAAGAATGCCGAGAATCTTTTTTGACTTTCTGCTTTGGCGTAAAAGTTGGATAAGATGTAGAAAATTGCACAAAAAGTCGACGCTTCAAAGACACCGAGTAACACACGGCAAGTGATCAATTGGCCGAAATTTTTCACAAACCCCATGCCAATTGTGATGCAACCAAAAAAGAAGATACAAGAACTGAGCCAGATATGAGGTTTGACAAACTTCAAAGCGTAGTTGGAAGACAATTCAAAGAAGATGTAAGGGACGAAGAAAACGGTTAAACAGGTGTTGAATTGATCACCGGTCAAATTCAAGGACTTGGTGATCCCGTAAACTTTGGCATTACTGGCGTTGACCCGGTCAAGGAACGAGAGGAAGTAGAGTAACGCCAATGGAGGGACGACACAGCAGTCGACTTTCCACATCAATTTGCGGTGATTGATCCCCATGGATTCTGCTAATTGCTGGACTTTTAAATCTTTTTCGTCGTGTGATTCGAAAGTGACAGGAGAAGAGGATTTTTCAACATCGTCGATAGAAGAGGTAGAGGCAGAGGCAGAGGCAGAGGCGGCGGAGGCCTTTGGAGAACCCGATTTCAGTTCAGACATTTGGGTGGTGATGATAATAAAATGGTTATTTTTATTGTGAGTGAGGATTATTTACCGAAGAGCCTAACAGCAGAAGGGAAGGCCCTGGGTATTTATACCAGATCTTTGATAACTCCGGACTCAGGCCTGACTAACAGAAGGGAAGAAGACTCATTCTTATTCTCAGCGATCACCGGTGACCGGCGCTGGCACTTCTGGGGGTGTCCATACAAAAGAGTGCATGCTGCAGGGGGTGGGAGCGGTTGCGGCCGGCGGTTGCCGACGAAAACACGTCAATTTTTGGCCGTTTTTTTTTGAAAGATTTTCGCTATTGTTGAGTCATTGATTGTTGCCTGGGATTGGGATTGGGATTGGGATTGGTTTCGGATGGGTGGGTGGTGGGTGACTGTGTGGTAGTGACTGTGACTGTGACTGTGATGCTGATATATATATATATATATAGTATGAAAAAATAATGCTGTACTGACACCAATACCACAATAACAATACTACAATACCAATACTGTAATAATAATAATAATAATTATGTTAATAGTGCTACAACATGTATGCTGTCTCCGCGGCTGGCTCTCTTGTGTTGCACCCCAATTTATCTAATTTAACGGTAAATTGCCATGAATTGGTCTTAAAACACTACACAGTATAGTAAGCATATTTATTATGTTTATTGTTATATTCAAACTAAAAACACTCACTCACTCCATCATCATCATCATCTTCTTCTTCTTCTTCTTCTTCTTCTTCTTCTTCTTCTTCTTCTTCTTCTTCTTCTTCTTCTTCTTCTTCTTCTTCTTCTTCTTCTTCTTCTTCCACTTCTTCATTATTGTTCAATAACTGTTCTTCTTTTGGTGGAATTTTTCAACAGTAATGGGGGCTTCCCACCCCCATACCACCAATATGGGACATTAATCTTAACAATAACAACCATAATAATAATAATTAGGATGGAAAAAAAAAAAATACCGCCATTGGTTGGGTGAATATCCATCACATTATTATCCCCAGCATGACAGCGCACACAGAAATAAACAACTCCATTTCAACAGGATTGGGGTTCGCATCTCCTTCAGATTTCCATCATCGCTTCATTGATCAAAAAAAAATATTATGCCATCCCGGATTTACCATAGATAAAAGTGTGGTCACCGGGGGTGGCACCGCGTTATTCATTGACGCTGAATCATTGCAACTAGACACAATTGATGATGACTACATCACCGTTTTAACAGTCCCGACACAACAAACCATATCTATGGAAACATTCAAGCAATGCTTCGAACAAGAAAAATCCCGCTGTGACTCGTTTTGGAACAACAATTTGGAAAAAATCCAAGATTTCAACAACCAAATCATCGATAGCCAACAAGTGAATTTCACCATCGTCAAGGCCAAACAACTAATCATCCCCATCATCAACAAAACCAAAGATGACGTCAGAGAATCGGCAATCGACGAATCAATTCTTGTTTGTTTGAAAGTTTATCAAAACTATCGTACTTACATGGTCAACTATTTTACCCACCATCATTATTCATATTCCGCCACCTTTATCGATTTTTTCCAGCACTCAAAATTAGCAATCTGGGATGATTACCTCAATATCTTATTTAGTGAAACCACCGCTATCCCAACCATTGAAAATATCGTGAAATTTAAAAATGGCTCGACTATCGATGACCCCGACGCTGACAATGATGATTTGGTGTACCATTTCACCAAATCATACCCCCATGGTCTTATTGGAGCCACTTGTGAAAAAGCATTGATGAACCGGTACTTCCATTATGAAGATATCATCGATAGAATTTCATCGGCATTCAAACTTCTCCACCATGAAAATGAAAATGAAAATGATGATGATGAAATTTATAGTCAGTACATTCAAACCCATTTACTATCTTTGCAATCTTTCCATCAATGTTTTGCCATAGTAAGTTCTAGGTGTCTAGAAATCCCTCACAGTTTAAATCAAGAGCTCAAGGATTTGGATATTGTTCATAATTCAAAAGATTTCACTACCGATACTACTCTTGTTCCCATCTTGGACTTTGCCAACCACAGTAACTCTAAACAATATTATAATTCCAAATTCGATGTCAACACAGATGGGAATCCAATATTAAAGATCGATGTCCTGGCATTAAAGTACCAAATGGCAAACCATCCGGGCCAAAAAGAATTTGAAATTTTCATTTCTTATGATGTTTCCAAAGCAGTTAGTTTTCTTTGCCAATATGGGTTTACCCCAACAGACCTAAACAACACTGATGTTTGGGAGGTTTCCCTTACCTCGATTGATCAGTCCAAGGATGAATCTTTATTCGCTGGTGAATTGTTGCATCCAATGTTTCCTGAACTTTGCAAGTGGTTCAAAATTTTGCCAACTTTCCAACTCATATTGAAATTCAATCAAAATGGGGAAATCGCCGTGGATAAAATAAATTTACTTCCGAGATATAATAATAATGGAGACTCATCAAAACTGCAATCTGTCGAAGATCTATTGACGTTATTCCACCCAAATATTAATAAATTGAAATACAATGAGTCGTGTTTTGATAAATTCTACAACAAAGACGAAGCCAAATCTGCAGGGTATAAATCGGTCAAGGAATACGGGAAGATTTTGAATTATCATAAAAGAAGTTATGTGGAAGTTACCACTCAGAACGGGTTCTACTTACCAAAAAATAAAAAATCGAAATTTTATCCAAGTAGTTTATCAGAATTGCGTGATGCCCTCAATAATGGTGCTGCCGAGTGTGAAAACCAATCACTAAAAAATTTCAAGGAGTTTATTGGGGATGTTTACGTACCTTATAGATTATTGCAGTTGACCAATTTGAAAATAGAAATTGCTGATGATTTTTTCATGGGTAACTTCGATAATGCGCCATCGGTGTTGAAAGACATCATAAAGCTTGAAGAAGATTGTCTAGTGGCTCTCAAGCAAGCTTTACAAAACAGCGATAAAAATATCTTTACGATTAGCAAGCAACAGTATTGTGATTATTGGAATGATATGAGAATGATTCCGTTGCTAACCGATAACAGCGAGGAATTTGGAGATAATGAAGAATAATTAAATGATGTGTGGTTTTTTTTTGAGTCAGATGATAACACAACTACATCAATAAATAGTCATTAATGAATATTTCTGTGAGTAATCGCAAGAGTTTTGGAGAACTGGCAAAAAAAACAGATCTCCCCAGTGAATTAGCAGAGCTAATTTGTCCACGTGACTTTGCATAGCATGCATAAAAATTGGATAAGTATTGCTGATTGGGTTTTCTTGCTACTGCTATTATAGCTATTTATATTAAAAAAAAAAAATTTTCATTCATTTATGGTTGCTTTGCTTTGCTATATCTATGAAAAAAAAAAAATCCAAATAAAAGGATGGGTGGTGACCCCAAATCTTGAATCTTTCTATTTTATCACTCATTTATTTTCTTCCTATATTTATCTTTTCGACCAACACTTTTTTTTAATAGATACATTTTTTGCAACATAGATAGATACGATGGCTAGTCTGATGATCCTGTTCCAAACTAAGATCAAAATGATGGATCATGGAAAGATTCGTCTGATGAGTAGTTGCATCTTGGGTGCGTTTTCCCATGTCGATGAGGAAGATGAGGACTTAGATGATTTTTGGGAGTTTGAAAAACCTGAAAATAACTATGGTTTCCCGGATTTATCATTTTTAGATCATTATAGTCGCAAAGAAAAACTCAAATTCGTCGATGAGCTATCAAAGAGATTTCAAAGACAAACAGAAAAGCAGTTGGTAGATCTAGTTGGGGCATATTTCAAAACGAAACCAACTAAAAATGTTGGAGATATCCATCGACAGATTGAGATCTACTCCAAGCAACAACCGGAAAAATTCAAACACCGTGTATTTGGTGAGTTTCTGAAGAGCCAACTCAATGATCTTTTCATTCAATATGATTCACGAGAGTTCAATGAAAGTTTCGAAATCAAGAACAACGATCTCTACGGACAATTCATAAGTTTCAAGTACTCGGCCATCTGTTTTAAAAAGTTCAAACTGTTAAAGTACACCACCAAAGATCTTTGGAATAACTCTAAATCCAAGACGTCTAATGCACTTTTCCGAGAATTGAATTTATTGGAAGGTTACGCTTGCCGGTATAAGATCGATGGCGGCATTGGCGATATGGATTTTGACAGCCAGTACGCCGAGGCACTTCAGTTGGAAGTGCGAGAATTAGCAGACCTTCTTGATATCATCCATAAAATCGCCGACGAGTTGAATTACTCGATTTGTGACGATGCCTATCTCCGAAGCAAAGATAATGTTAATGGAATAGTGTTACCTAAACGAGAATGGGCAGAAACCCCGTTCTTTGTACGTGATAGAGTAGTGGCAATCGTGAAACGATGTTTATGGACCGCTTTCGGGTTCAGCTCCAAAGTAGTCGAGGCATTAGTCAACAAGACTTTGGTATTATCCCACCACTACGGATCAAAGATGTCGCGTAAACATCATTACCGTAGGAAAATTATTACCCCTAGCAAAGAACAAACCTCGTCAACGGTTCTTAAACAACGTCGCTACCGCCGTCAAGATACAAAATGTTATTTGAAATCAGCAATCTATAAAAACTATAAAAATAACAAGAATGATAGTTATGCAAATAAATTGAAAAATGTGGATACTATTATGACCAATCTTGGAAAGTGATCTTTGTTGCTCTTCTCTCACTACAAAAAAAAAAAATTAATAAAATACTAGATTACATTGTGTTTATTACCTTAGATCATTAAATATAAAACCTTCCCAATTAATGGGGATATTAAAAAAAAAAGTGAAAGAAAAAAAGAAAAAATATTTTTCCTATCACAACACTGCACTATATTCCAATACAAATTCTTTGGTGACTTTTTGCCAATTTTGTGGATCGAAAAACGTGTAGAGTCCTCTTTCTGCCGATGGGCCTTCTTGGATTGGTTCAACGTCTTTAACTTTCGCTAACCATACTTTCAATACTTTATGGAATCTCCAATTTCTTTCTCTCAATTCTCTGGCGGCCAATTCTTGTAAAATATCCTTTGGCTTCGAATAGAAAATGAAAAATAACGTATCTTCCGGGAAATTTCCGATACGGTTTTCTGCCGGTTGTAAATGAATTTCTTTGAACTTGATATCGTTTAATTCTCTCACTGATTCTGGCAACTTGTACGCCGGCTCAACGTCTTTAATAGAGGTTTCTACCCATGGCGATTGGAACGTGCTTGACAAGCTCTCTTCATTGTCATCCAAATCCAATCCAGACATCAACAAATCAGTGCCCATGGCAAGCTTGGCCACTCCTTGATTCGACATTCTAAATAATGGTAATAATCCTTTCAACCCAAATCTATCAATATCCGTCAAATTACTATCGTCATCATCGGCGGCAGCAGCAGCAGGTATAAGACTTTTGCCACCACTGCTGTCGTTATTGAGGGTATTACTATTATTGCTGTTATTATTATTGTTCTGGGTGATATCCATAGCTTCTCCATCTGCCGACATTTGATCTTGTCCATCGGTTGATGATCCACCATTATTTATTGGGGATTTCCCAGAGACTTTCTGTAGCCCCGGAGGCAAGATCATCAGCAGCTGATCTCTGTTGCCATTGGTAGATCCATTGACATCCCCGTGGCCTCCTATTGGGGTTGTGTTGGCTAATGTGATATTATTATTATTATTATTATTATTATTATTATTCCCTTGCTTCTGCGTCAAATCAACGCTACTACTTGTAGCACCACCGTTGGCAATCGTTGGGGCTTGGCCGAAGTTCCCAAAGTTCCCAAAACTACCAAAGTTGCCGCTGTTTCCTATATTCCCAGCACCCCAGTTTGTGGCTATACATATATAAAATGGTTAGTATATATATACACAGAATACAAGAATACATCCTGATTATAAAAAAAAAAAAAAAAAAAACAATGATCCTTGATACCAATTCACGTTGTAGTGATCATGGATTTATTAGGAATGAGAATAATCCCAATGACTTACCCATTATTGTCTTTGTTCTTGCTTCTTCCTTGAATGAACTATGTTTGATCACTTTGGCATTATCACCATGCTTCCTAAAAGTTGGTGGTCAAAAAAAGCGCCAAAGCTCGTATCAGTTACCCTGCACAACTGTCAAGTGTTACGCGCACTCTGGGCAAAGCACGAGGTTCCTCTCCTTCTATAGAGCAGAATACAACAACCAAACGTAAGAATCTATGTTGGAAAGTGGTTTATAATGTCATCGGAACAGTGTTATTCTGATGTAATACTTAAGTGACTGGATATTTTAGCTTAGGTATTTTCATTTTCTGCTATTTCTTGGCAAATATTAGTAAATTCATGAATGAAAGGCTAATCATCACCAGAACTAGTCTGACATTTGCTTGGAGTATAACAGCGATGAAATTCACAAGGATGACGCTAACAAATATAATTTGAAGTAAAGGTGTCAGAATTTGTTTCTCACATATTTAATTTCTTCAACATTTCATTGAGGTGTTAGTATTACAAAGAACATTTCTGAGAGTCATGGGAGTCAAGCTTAACACTAAGAAATTCACAGTAGATGTTCAATTTATCATCAAGTGCTTTGATAGTTTCCCCCCTCCCCCCCTGAGTAGCAATAATGTGATCAACTTTCAGAATTAAAGCCATCAACGCAGGTTAAGAGCTGAGAGGCTGCCATACAATGAATAAAGAAGCATAACCCCTAGAAAACTGTTGACGTATTGACCGACCAGTAGCGACTATTTTTTATTTTTTTTTTGAAATTAGTACATTTTGCTGCATAATATCGTTTCTATCTTATGGTTTATTTGATTTGATTCAATTGGTTTACTCGGTTTAATTGTTTAGGTTTTAATTGTTCTTTTTTTTTTTTGAATTATTTGGTTTACCTGGTTTTTATTATTTTATTGATTTTTATTATTCTCCCCAGAATTCGGTATGGTCACTACTTTGAAAATACTTAGTATTTGAGATATAGTGCCAAAAACCATTAACAAAGACCTCTGTGACTCGTCAATATACAATTCATTCATTCATTTATCTGCAAATACATACACAAGAGAGATGTACCACAGTAATGGTGCATCATCTAAAATGAAAAAAAAAAAAAAAAAAAAAAAAACCTCTCAAATTTTTTTTTTTTCAATATTCTTTTATATTTATACTTATATTTATATTATATACCAGTTCTATAGCTAGCTTCAGAAAAAAATGTCTACTAGACTGTTGCCAAATATCATCATTACTGGTACCCCGGGGTGTGGGAAAACAAGCCACGCTGCATTATTGGCCCAGCAACTTCTGCAATTAAAACATATTAGCATTAGTGAATATGCCAAAGAGAACAATTGTATCGACGGACACGACCAGGTCAGAGATTCTGATATCGTCGATGAAGATAAGCTCTTGGACGCCCTTGAGCCGGAATTAGAAAAAGGTGGGGTTATTGTCGACTGGCACGTATGCGAAGTGTTCCCTGAACGCTTGATTGATTTGGTGATTGTGTTGAGATGCGACAATTCTATCTTGTTCAGCAGATTGTCCAAGAGAGGATACAAGGAAAACAAAATCCAGGAGAACCTTGATGTGGAAATCATGGATATTTTGATCCAAGAAGCCAGAGACAGTTATAAGTCAGAAGTGGTGATCGAATTGAGAAGTGATGATGTTGATCAGATCGAGGAAAATGTCGCTAGAATATCCCAATGGGTTGAAATGTGGCAGAAAGATCACCCTGAAGGAGTCTCCAATGAATTCCAACCGGGGAGTGATGATGAAGATAGCGACGATGAATAGATGTATTTTTATGATTTTTTATTTCACGATTTCCCAGCTCCTCAGTGCATAGATACATGCGCTGTGGGAACTAAATTATGTATAGTTTTTTTTTTTTGCCTTACAAATGGATAAATTAACAAACGATAAATGATAAATGCTTTATAATATAGTTATTCCGACAGATGTTACTACAAAAAGAAAAAGTGGAAAGAAAAATAACAAACGAAAAAAATAATAATGAAAAAAAAAAAAAAAATGAATGCAATGAAAACAAATTCTATTTGTACATAACCGTAATGAAATTTTTTATTTTCTTATATATAATATTCTTTTTTTTTTTTGTTTACTTATTCATCATCCTCCATTTCATCATCATCTTGTTCTTCTTCATCTCCTCCATCTTCTTCGTCTTCTTTGTCTTCATTTTCCCTAACATCAGCTTCAAACATTTGTTCATTGGAGTCTTTATTGTATTTTCTGGCAATTCTCGATGCTCTACCATTGTTGTTGGCTTGTTCTCTAGCCAAAGTTTGTAAATCTTTCAATGGTTCACGGAAAGATTTTCTAACGGTTTTGTTGGAGAAAGCATCCCAAATCTTCAATGGACCAGTGACACCTCCGGCAACAAGGTGGCCAGCAACTTCAATATCCCCAGCAAACGAGGTCGACAACACGTTACCAACCCCCAAGTCTCTGGACAAAATCATGCTTGGCTTGATAGTACTTTTATCAATACTTTCCACTGGAACTTTCCACAACTTAACGTATTTATCACCCATACCACTGGTGACCAACATCCCTGGAACGTACTGGTTGACTTCCAAAGAAGAGATCCCAGAATCATGGGCTTGTAATTTCCAGAGCGGTTTTTTACCTTCGTTTCTGATATCAAACCCGTAAATGACCCCGGCATCAGTACCGGCGTAGAAAATATTGTCATTGGATTGATCACCCCATCTAACGTTTTCAACTTCTTCACCAGGGTTAACTGTCCAGCGCTTCACCATATCAGATTCATTAGAGATTCTAACATCGGAAATCGCCACGGTACTATCGTAACCACCACTAAGCAAGATAGATCCTGCTCCCGCTTGAGTCAAGTTTGGATGCCATTGTATCGAACTGACAGATTTACCATTATGGATTGTGTTCATACTACGGGCAGCGACACAGGTAGTCAAATCCCACAACTTGACGGTTTTATCGGCAGACGACGAAGCCAAAACTGCTCTGTGGGCTTTATTGTGACTTAAAGATAAGATAGCATCGGTATGGTGGGTGGTGACATGGGCGCTCTTCTTACCCTTCTTCTTATTTTTCTTCAAAAGAGAACCATCTAATGTCAGATGATCACCCAAAATTGCATCTGGGAACGCTCTGTCTATGGAATCCAAGTTCCAGATTTCGATTTGTGGGTCAAAAGTCCCAATGGCCGCGAAATTACCAATGTTATTGTTGTCGTTAGTACCATTTGGTCTAAAGTTCAACCACTCGGTACACAATGGGAATGAAGGCAACATCAAATCATGATGGACATATAAATTGCTTTCTCTAACCATTCCATTTTCCACATCAGGATCCAACTTGTCCTTGTCATCTTCTTCGGCACCTTCTGGAGCCCCAGCACCATCGTCATAAACGTAAACGTCCAAGTATGAGACGTCATCTTCGGTACGACCAGATAAGATCAAATTATCGGTTGGGTATATTTGCAAATCACGCTTATCTTCATTTTGGTCTACGTCGGTAGGTAATGACAAGTATGGGTCTGCTCCTTCGTCTTCTTGAACAAAACGGGCGGTGGATAACCCTGGAATAAATGAAACTTTTTGACCTTCTTCGTCTTTTTCATCATCGTCGTAATGTTCAAAATCGTATTCTTTCAAGTCGTCATCGATATCAACTTGAGATTTCAATGCTTTGGAGGCTTCGGCGGCCTTAGATGGGGCATCAGAGTCAGCGTTTTCTTCGGTAGCGTCTTCCAAATCTTGTTGGGCGTCTTCTAGTTGTAATTGGGCCATTTGATTGATACGTTCGATTTCTTCATCGTCCAACTCGTACTTCTCAGGAAATTCTGAGGCAAAACCTCTTGGAACCCAACAATTGGCAGAGATCATTGGTGCTTAGATATTAAGGTAAAATGAAAAAAAAAAAAAAAGCAATATGATAATGGTGATTTACCAGAAAAACGATAATGGATAAACTCTTCCCACACAGATGAGATGAAGAAAAAAAAAAAAAAAAAAAAAATTTTTCTGTGAATTTACCCGGGGGGACGATGGCGATGTGTGCCATAATGGTGGGACGTCATGTTTATTCACACCAGAATAATAATTGGGGTTTTTGGGAGCATAACTTGAGGGAATATTTAATATATTTTTAGTTATAGTGTTACCTGGAAACAGTCTGTCACTATATAAATATAAATAACGTGTTTTAACAGACTCTGGTGGTGGTTTAACGTTGCTCCTGTGTGTGTTTGTGATGTGTGTCACGTGTGGGGGATGACCCCGGACTATTTCTGTGTATTATGATTTGTGTGGTTCTTCTACTACACGCTTCTTACTTTTCTTCTTCTTTTTCAAAGAGACAGCAAAATAACCAGTACAATTACTCAGACAATAAAAGAAAAATGACAAACCCCCCTAAAGAAGAAACCCCCACTTACAGGTCCATCGGCAGAGGCGGTGGTGGCAACATGTTCAAAACCGACCCAGCAGACCACTCTCCAAAATTAATTCCAGTATCGTCGGCTGGTCATGCCCTTCCTCCAGACCAAAAGAAGTTCTCGATCTCGCGAGGCGGTTATGGTAATATAAGAGACAATAAGCCGTCAGAAGTTGATGAGCTAGGTTCTGGCAGTAGACACGGGAGCTTCCATTACGAAGAAATGCCAGTGTTGAATTCAGTTAAGAGTATAGGCAGAGGAGGGTTTGGAAACCAAATCAGGAATATCAAATCTCATGATTCTGCCCAGAAAAACCTAGAGGGTGAAGAATCTAAGAGTTTTTTTGAAAAAGTTATGAAGTTCTTCAAGTGAGTGGGGATGATTCTTTTTCAACAATTGTTGGAGGTGATGGAGAGATTTTTATTACTATAATTATCACTATTTCAAAGGATAATCATGAATTTTCACATGTTGATGTTTTCTTTGGTTTCGGAAAACTAAAAGCAACAACAAATACATTGGCTAGATGAATTATCTAGTTATAACGACTCTTTTTATTACTATTATTATCTTTTTCTTTTTCTTGTTAGCGGTGTAATTTTTCATTTCTTGGTTTTATTTCTTGATTTTATTCATTTTACTTGGTCTTAGATCATCTTTACAGTACTAAATTGTTCAATGATAATACACAAATATTAGTGATTGCCGCAGTAATAGTGATGATAGTTAGTGGTTTCAAGGTATTGGAGTATCCCGCGTCAAATCCTTGAATAAACGCCAAAGAGAAAGTGAAAAGAAAAGAAAAGAATAGTAAAAAAAAAAAAAAAAGAAACTAAAAAGAGAATAATGTCAAACCAAAATTAAGCTGAAACCCACTAGAAAATATAAAAATGTAAAACGTATTCAAAGATTCAATCAAATCAAAAATCCAATACCAATAAACCAGCCACCGCTTCCAAGTCTTGCACGTCTAATATTTGTTCGACATCTTCAAACTGGCCTTCCTCTTGGTCCTTTTGGTCCTTTTGTTCCTTTGATCGAAGGATTGCTTCAGTGGCAAAGATCTTGAGATACTCATTGACTAAGTGGACGGTGTTCTTGGTGATCCTGACGTTACTGTTACTCTTTTTGTTTTTGCTGGTGTTGCTGTCACTTCCCGCTAGCTGCTGCTTTTGAAATACCAAGGTATTGAATATTCTAGCAATTGTCTGGTTTTTGAAATCGACTTCTGGGGTGTTCATTATTAATTGGTGAAAGAGATTGCGGTTGTTGTAAATGTTTGAGGATGGGTAATTCTGGTTTTCATTTAATTTGGATTGAAATTTTTGCGCATCTCAAAGGTTGCGACAGACCTCCCTCCTCTCCCCATCATAAGATATTCTAAACCTACACTCATGACTTTATTGGTTCAATAAATGGCAACAGAAAACTAATAATAATAATAATAATAATAATAATAATAATAAAAAGGAATCGTAAATTTATTTTTATTGTTTATATATGTACATGGCTTTTATTTATGAATTTTCATAATCAAAATTCTAAGATTTACTAGATCAAATAAAAGAGAAAATAGAGTCCTTTTTCTCCCTCTAGACCTTTTGATATTTGACCCTTATTTTGAATATAGTTTTTTTTTTTTTCTCAGCCACATCCTGAGTCAACAATGCTCAATTATCAGTTGGCAAAAACAAAAAAAGGCAAAAATAGCCAGAACCTTCTCTCCTGGTAAAACTTTCTCCTTGACCAAAAGCCTCATCCTTGGGCCAACTTTCTCTTCAATGCTCTTTGTGCTTTTCTTCTCTTTCTCAACTTGTGCTTCTTCATCTTCTTTCTTCTTTTTCTCATGACCGAATCGGCTCTCATTGTTTCTTCACTCGTTATTATCCCATCGATACTGACGCCATTTGTGATGTTGTGGTTATTGGTGATGATTTCCATTATTGGGGTTTTTACCAGTTGAGAATTAGTTTCTGTGTTCATCATCATCATCATGAATGGTGGAACAATTTGAGATGACATAGTGTTGGTACTTTGGTAGTAACCCAAGTTTCTTCTATTCACCAAACCAGCAGTGAAAAGTCTAGAAGTGGCGGCGGTGGTTCTCACACAAGAAACCGCAAGACCACTGGCATATCTCTTGAAGAATGTGGTCAACATTTTCAAAGATTTATATTGTTCTTGCTTTTATTTGATGTATAAAATAAATGCAAATAAGTCTCTAGGAAAGTGATAGATGATAATAATCACCATTTTTTTCTCTGCCCCCAAATTTTCCAATTTTTCATGCGGCCTGGTGTTTGGATGATAATTCGGTGCTGCTGAAGTTTTCATAAGTGAAATTATATTATTATTATTCTTTCCCCGACGCTAAAAAATATTAATCACTATATATTTTGAAAGCCTGGCAAAATGGAACAATTGGAGAAATTGTCAGTGGACTTCACAAAGTTTCAAAATGGTAAGTGATCTTTTTTCCAAAAACTCTCTAATCTAAATAGAAAAAAATTGAATTAACATCATGAAAAGATCTCAATGAATTGATGAAAGCCAGACAAAAATTGGAAACACAGTATCAGGAAAATAAGATCGTCCTCGATGAATTGACCCAAATCAAAACTGATAAAGAATCAAATAAAATCGTCGAATACCCAAAGATTTTTAAACAAACAGGATCGATATTATTGCCAATTGATTTCCAAGAAAGTGAGACTAATGTCACCAAAAGAATTGAGTTCATCACCGGTGAAATCACCAGAGTCGAGGCAAAAGTCAAAGAAACCAATGGCAAACTCGAAAAAACAAGAGATGAATTGATAAAGCTTAGATCGACTGCCACTGCTTAAGGTTAATGCGTACAATCGTCCCTCAAAAATGACGTTTATGGTATAGCTACTACATACTGTATTATGCAAGATAAGTTCATGACTCTTCTACTTGGTTTTAGGTTTTTCGTTCTGTTTTTATTTTATTTTTTTATCATTCTTTCCTTATATTTCCCTTCATTTTAATATATTATAACTGCACATAAAAAGATAATGATTTTCATCAACCTCTTGAAAGTTGGCTCTTAATCAAGTTGATTAAAGAAAACCCGTTAAATACCAACCACTGTTGAGCATTATCAACAAGATTGTTCACGTCATTGTAGAGCTTCAATTGGTCTTCGATGAACCGAAAAGTACGTGTGAACCCTTTACTTTGATCGGTTAACATGAATAATTCGGTTTTCACGTAAATTGCGGCGATTTTAAATCGTTTTTCATACCAGTCGAATTCATGAGATTGGTCACCAGAGTAGAACAACAAATCATCGGATAATTTCGACAATTGTTCCAAAGAGCTTGGAATATTTGTTGGTTGGACCAAAAGCGCCAATAACGAGCGTAAGTTGTCGTGCAATTTGTAATTGTCGCCTCCGTTCGCCATCAAGTTGATATTGGATTGAATTCTCTTGAACATCAAAAATTTAAGTTTTGATATTTCGGTAGGGAGTTTTTTAAACTCTTCTGTTTCGATATCTTTCTGTAAAGAAATTCTGGTTTGTTCCAAATAATGGTTGACCAATTCAACGTCCTTGTCATCATCAAATATCACCCCGATATTTGATGATTTATTCTGGAAGCGCTCATTGGAGCGCACAAAAGAGTTCATGGATGAGTCCACAGCAGCACTGGTGATTCCGTAGTTCTTGATAGAGTTGTTGATGGTATCTGACAATATCTGGTGTTTCAATGATGATTGATTCAAAGACTTGAGCTCATCATCAAAGTTCAAGTGGTCATACGAATGATACGGTCTGAACGCTGCAGCCCATCTCAAAGGTCTGACTGTTATAGTGGCACAACCATTAATAGCTCTCAACATCGTCTATCTGTCTGTTCGTGATATGTCAAGCTGTCTGTCTGTGGTGATACTACTTACTGGCAGAAGTTGGAAACAAAAAATATTCGGAAAAGTCGTCGCCTATGTTACCGCTTCTGTGGTACAGCACCACCACAGCGGGTCCTTTTTAGCCGTTTTTTTTTCTTCAAATTTGATGTCCGGGTGTGTTTTTTAATATTATTAGGAAAACTTCAACCTATTGTATACCATTCAGTAGCACCCTCCTGATCTATAAATATTAATTTTAGAGAGAGATATAATTTATAAAAACTATTTATGACCAGGCTTATTAGGCTAGCCCTGCCATCATCGGTATTCCCCAGAATCGTCAACGGCGTACGATATATCTCAAGAGCGAGCGTCGAAAAAACCATTCTTGATCAACCCACTTCAAGAAGCATCCTATCTTATTTGAAAAGTTTACCCCAGAATGACTTGAAAACCTATTTCTCACTAGACGAACAGAGAAACTCGGACTTCACCAACAAGTTACTTGAATTAATCAATTCAGAAGTGATCCTGGATCCTAAGCAAGTGTTGGAATTGGTACTGTACATCAAGTACAATGCTTTTGAGTTCACAAGACTTCAAGTGTCTAAAGACAAAGACTCTGCAGAAATTTACCGGAAAATCTTTGATTCAATAGATGGGAAGTTTTTAGAGGACCCAATCAAGTCGTCGCTAGCGAAATTTCTTTTGAAACCCAATACCACAAAGATCCAAAAACCAATGTTCAAAATGTTAGTATCAGAAATTATCAACTCTCCAACATATTCTGACGAAGATAAACTCGGTATGGTTTTCTCGTATCTTGACAAATTGGCCCTGATTCAAGAAACGAGAATCAAATTGGATTTGTTGAATTACTTTAAATCAGAATACGAGAAGACCAAAAAAGTGTTGAAGGATAAATCAATGATCGAACAAAAATTATTACAAGATTTTCAAAACCAAAACTTCCACTCGGAGTTTTTCCGTGAATATTGTATCAACTTACATTATGACTTCTTCAATTCTTTGATTGATAAACGAGTGGTTAAACCCATTGATTATCCTGATCTTTTAATTAAACTTTTGAATTGCAATATCAATTTGACCGCGGCGCATATCGATGTGAATTTCAAGAAGTTTGTCAGATACTTATTGAGCGGTTCTTCTCAAGAAAACTCTGATTTGATTGCTGGATTCTCCTGGCCCGTTAAGTTGGATTCTCTTGAGTTCAATGAATCATTTTTTGAAACTGGCAACGTACGAGACCCCCAGGTAGAATCCTTCTTAATAACCCATCAAAAGGCAATAAGCGAAATGTATTTCGAGTCGAAATTGGCTAACCTATACCCAGTGAATGTGTTCTCAAAGATTATTCACCGTCATGCGAAGGAAAAACAAGATATGGTAAATAATGTCACCTCGAAACTTATTAAATTGGTGAGTAAAGATCAAGAAAAGATGCTGCACAATAGTAAGTATCTACAGGCCATCAATAATAGTACGGTAGAAAAGGATAAGAATTTGAAAAAACTTATTGAGTTTTTGCTCCAGAAATTTGATAATACAATCTTTTCTAGTTCTTTGAATTACAATATTCGATTTCTTACTCTGTTGTTTTGTGCCTTGATCAGTTATTCGATGAATAGAATAGATCCGGCCTCAGTGATGTCAATTTTAAATAAAGTGGTGCAACTTAATCAAAAATTGGAGGTGATTCGCCAAAGAAACAAGAAGGAATATATCCCCAATGTCAATGCAAACCTTATCATTTTATTATTAATCACTGGCTTTAGAGAACGGGGAATGACCAATGAATCCTTAAAGCTTTTGAATTATTTAATAAATGTTAATGTGGAAAATTCAAACTACGAAAAAGAGAGATTTCGGGAAAGATCTGTCACCTCCAAAGATTTGGTCACCGAGTTTTTGATGATTTTACGTTTAAATTATTCTCATGATCCCAGAATCTTTATGAGTTATTACATTGAATTGATGACCAACCATGACTCTATCATGAAAACCATTAATGGGCCAAGTGACGGTACTAAAGGTAACATTGTTGTCAGCCGTCAAATCACCAATCAGGAATTGTTGACTTACAGCCTCCAGCATCCAGAGCTCGCGAAATTTAATAATTACAAATCATCATTTTACGTTTTAAATAAGTTAGGATTGATAAAATTGTGTTACAAGAAAGATAGTGCAGCCGCCGACAATTTAGAAATTGATTTGAAAGACTCTCTACAGTTCAAATATTATGAAGAGAACTTGGTTCGTGCAAATTTGAGACCCGAACTCAGAAATAGCTTGTTCACTTTGGAATCGTTGAGTATTTGTTATTCCGTAATATTGGAATACTTGTCATCTAACGAATTACTCACGGAGAAATTATTAACCAAGCTATATGACAACTATATCCAGTTGATTGAAGAAACTCAACGGATTCCAAACCTTTCGCCAAACCATCCATTTTCGGAATCTAAAATCAACGATGTGATTACTATTCAATTCATCAACCGGTGCTTGTCAATAAACAAGAATGTTGACTTAGTAGACGATTTCTTAATAAAGTTTTTGAATAAAGTGAAATTTCAGAAACGCAAACTATCGTTGAAAAGTTTCGAAAAAATCATTTTTTTGAACGCCATGAAGTTTTTCCAAGATAAGCTGGAGAATAGAGAGCATTATCATAACAAGACCATCAGTTGGATAAAATTGATGAACAACAATTTTGACCAGCCGTTGAGTTTCTGGAGCAAAATGTCGTTGATTTTGTTGAATTATAACAAGAATAAAAATCGGGAGAGTTATCGCTGGTTCATGGATTTAGTTGAGCAAGGAAAAAATTACGATAATTTAAGACATATTTTATTGGTAAATTTGGCCAGAGATAATGATTGGCCATTACCGAAATACTTAAAGAATATTAGTGTATCCAAAGATGTGTACTTCGACAAGAACGACGCTGATCCGGTGTTAAATAATGCCAACTTCAAGATTTTTAATGTGACAAAGGACGATATTTTGGAATTTGATAATGATAAATTGGAAGATTTTTATGATGAAGATGAGGGCATGGTCAATGGCAGTGCCTCAGGTCATAATTCTCTTGGGGTGTTACCAGCAGTTAATGAAAAAGATAGCTTACAACAAGGCATGGATGATGCTTTCTTCCAGGAAATTTATGGCATCCTCCCCAAATTGACTAATAATTAAAAATAAATAGTGAATACTTTTTGTATATATGTTAATGATGTCATGATTAAAGATTACCGTTTACAGAGATTGAGAAAAAAAGTTAAATATAGCAACCTGTGTAATTGCTATCTTTTAACAAATACCGCTAATGATGAAATAAAAAACAAATCTGTAAAATAGACAAAGAAAAGACTCTCCTCATATCTGGGGGAAATCTATCCGTTGAGTGGAATGAGATAATTGTCGAATATAATGTGAAAACGCAAAGGAAAAGTGAGACATCCCTTACTTTGACATACATTCTAGACTAGCCTGTTCTTCCTCTGTTGTCACCACGAACTAAACTATCTTTTCTAAGTTCAGCCGTTCTACATTCAGAGATAATTTTTTTAAAAAAAAAAATCTAGCTGAAGAAGAAGAAATATATTCAAGAATGTTCAAAATTTTTCGGGATTCTCTTTTTTATAGGGTATATTATTATATTTTTTTCTGCACGTGATACATATATCACATTCTTGAGCACGTGCTGAAAATAGTTAAAGAAAGGTAAAAAAACCGATGAGCTGGAGCTTTCTTGTGATAACAATAGAGTGACAGCCATTTTCAAGTAAACAAAAATAAAGATAATCATAACGATATGTCCGCTGAGGAAGAACCAAAGAAAAGTGCCCCTGAAACAGTCGCTGAAACCTTGGACGATTCTGGGTCCAAGAAAGTCACCTTCAATGACAATCATACTCCATCACCGGAGAAGCTCAGCAGCCCGACGGAACCTTTAGATAATCTCTCCAAATCGCCATCGATTTTGAAGAAACTGGGGGAAAAACCACCTCCAAGACCTCCTAGACCTTTATCACCAAGACAAAAGGCCAAAAAGACTTTACAGGATGCTTTTCCTAACATGGAAGAAAAATATATCAATGCGGTGTTGATCGCCAGTGAAGGGGATTTGAATCCTGCCTTCAACGCACTTTTGTATTTATCTGATCCTGAATCAAAAGTTGAGGTTCCTGAGCCAAAACAAAAGCCCCCAGTGCCTTCGAGGAACCGTCATAAGTCTTTGCAAATGCAAGAAGATGAGCGATTGGCAAGAAGATTGGCAAGAGAGTTCAATAAACCTGAGGTTGGTTCCAATCCTCAACCAAATACTAGAAGTGCCAATACCGAAGAACCGGACGTTATAAATCAATTTTTGGATGAGGACTTACCACAGTTAAAGAAACAATTTGAAAAGGGGTTTGAGGAAACTAGACAAAAAGTTGGCACTTTCTTCAGCGGCATCACCAAGCAATTACAAGGTGACGATGATAGTGATGAGGAATATAGTATCAGATACAAACCTAATAGAAGCTTACACAATAGTCAGAGTCGCATTGACAAGACTACTCGTATAAATACCATGAAGAATAGAAAGATCAAGGATGATGAAGACGGACAATTGTTTGGAGCTTTAGGCTCATTGGGATCGCCACCGGTTTCCGCAAGAAGCTCTGCAACGTTCAAAAGAAATGAATATGAGGGGGACATGCCTGTTGAACAATTTTCTACAATCACATTGACTAACAATGATAAAGATTTGCCGGATGTACCTATTGTTAGTTCTAAATTGGAAACTGTCGATGCGACAAACCCACAAAATTCTGGGAGTGTTTGTGGTGATGCTAAGCCGCCATCCAATCAAAATTCTAAAAGCAGCTCTGAGCCAGTTGATACTAAGAAAGGTGGGGCCAGTAAGTGGGAACCTTTGACCGATGTTCCACCTCAACCAATTACCGATGACGCTTTCCTTGTCACTAGCAGTGATGATGAAGATGAAGACGATGAAGAAACTAAAACAGCAGATAAAAAATAATCTGTAGAAATTTTATGACCATTATTTGTAATTCTTATTGCTTGTCTGATGTTACTACCATTATTTATCAGAAACCACTGATTCATAATGATACCAAAGTAACATTCTTATTCTATGGGCGGATCGCTATCCGTTTCGGTTTGCTTTTGGTTTGTTTTTTATTTTTTATTTTTTATTATTTCCTATTGTTTTCTTAAATAATTTTGTGTCATTAAACAATGAAATAGTCCTAGTTGTTAAATGTTTTAGATTCCTTGAATTAAGGAATTTGATATTATTTTTATTTTTTTTTTTGGTAACCTCACATGCATGATGTCCCGTACTTGAGGAGTGCATTGTCGGAGTTTCATTTATAAGATGGCACAGATTCTCATAAAATGCCCAGAAACTTTGACATTTTTTAATTTTTAATCTTTAATTCTTCATTTTTCGTATTTTTTTTTTATTCTGTTTCTATTTTTCTACTACGTGGAGAGAAACTATCAGCATGAGAACCTTCATTCTTTTTATTTCCATCACCCTCGTTCAATTGGCCTCGGCAGCATTTTTGGCCAATGTCAACCTAAAGGAAAAGAGGTTTCAGAAAGAAACAGATCTCGTCACTTTATCACCAACCTCTTCAGCATCATTATCATCATCAATGGGATATACCATGTCAACTTCTACGTTATCTTTTCCTGTTATCTCTCCAACCTTGATCGTTGAGAAAGTGGCGGCCAATGCCAACAGAAACCCATCTACCAACTACAAGGTCATCCCCTCTGCCTCAACACTTTATCCAAAATCTTACTCTTCTGCCTACAGTTTTACAGTCAGTAGTGAAAAGGCTGTCCAAACAAAAGCGTTTGATACAATCAACTTCAACCAAGGTCCAAAGTTAGATCAATCAAAACCCGGTGCTGTATCATATACCGTTAGTAGCGTCAATATCAATGTTAATAATGACATCCCAGAATATGTTCTTGCGCTTTGAAAAGTTCTATGGCTTCATATCTTCATCAATAGTTTTATCATCTCTATTGAAATTTGTTTTTTGTTTTTCTTGCAATTCCAGTTCTCAACAAAATTGTTATTTTCAGTTCAGTTCTTTTAGGCTTTGATAGCCAAATTAATTATAATCATCATCATTATCATATTTTATTATTATTAAGTTTTAAGTGGGTTTCTTATGGTTAGTCAATTTATTTTTTATTATTATTATTATCATCATAATCATCATCATAATTGTTGAACTGGTTCGGTTACAAGATGCTCGCTGGCGGCGTTGACGGAGGATTTCAACATGGTCAATATACTGGAGACCATATCTTTGAGTTCTTTGAGCTCCTTGATAGTGACGAATCCAGGGTTTTCGTTGGCTTCGTGGTGAGTTGCAATTGGGGATGACTAGGTAATAGCTTCAGGGTTCATGATTGGATTGGACGTAAAACTAAATGTTGGTTTATAGATATTAATGTAATGATAATAATAAATATAAAGTAAATGTAAACCTTTAATAATCTATAAACAGGAATTTTTTTGTTAATATTGATACTTCTATATACATGATAGTAGTAACTATTGATCGTTAAAAGCTACAAAAGTAGTGTATTTATTTGTGGTTATAGGCCATCGAGCCATGTTAGAAGATCTGTACTACTAGCAGACTGGCAATAATTAATTAGTATCATCTATTCATAACTTTATAAATCGTTAACAACTATATAAATAATACTTCAAAAGTTTTCGTCTCTTGCATAACTTCAAAAAATAGTCCATTCAAGATCACCAACTCCAAATTATTCAAGTTCTCTACAAAAGTTCGGAGAGATTCCCTCATTGCTGAAACCAACAAATCGATAATACACAAATAATCTTTCGAGTGACAACTGCACTTGTCACGAAACTTCCAAGATTTTTCTTTGTGATGGAACTTGGTATGAATATCAATGGAGTTTTCAAGATTTTTAATGTAATTCACTCTCTCTTTAAAACCAGACCGATCACCATTTTCCAAATCAAATTTGAAGAAATGATATGATGGATCGTCAAGAGAACTAAATTTCAAATAATTCAACCGAAGCTCCCCCAACACGTAATTGATTATGTCATATTCCGTAGAATCAACATTCTCATCGAATCCCTCATCAAAAGCATCAATGAAAAACAGATAATAACCAAAAGTCGCTAATTTTTTCAACTTGGAACGAAGATTTTGAAGAATGGTAGCATCCTCAATAGAATTATATAAAAACTTCAAAAATTTGCTGCTGTTATTGATATTTATAAACTCATCAATAATTAGGACTCTCAAATTCTGGCAATTTTGAAATATGTTGGTGAAATTCTGAGCAAACAAATCTTTATTATTTTCCACTATAAAGCTTTTATTCACGTAATTTCCACTCAATTGTAATATCTTGAGATTTTGTAAGTTGCTATTGAAAAACAGCATATAGTTTATGTTTGTTAGTGTAAAAGTGTTGTTAAAATGGGCCGACTCAATAGTGTACGCCATGATATTTCTTTTCAATTCAAAGTTCTCAAAGTTGATCAAATGTGGATTCAATTTCTCAAGGAAATCTAACACATATTTTTCAATATTTTCGGTGTACCAAATAATCAATTTGAAATTCTTGATGCATGAAAAGTTTAGCACCCCGGAAATCACGTCAAAGTCAAACTTATCTTTCTGGAAAGTTGATAAGCAATCAATTTTATACGTGAATGACCGCAAGTTATTGATTTTCTCTTGCGTCTGTCCAAAAATCTCCTTCAATTTTTTAGCAAACGATATGTCCTCAATGGCTAAAGATTTCAAATTCCTAATTATATCTAACTCATTAGGTTTAAAAATTCGATTATCGGAGTTTAATATTCTTGACTCAAGAACCTTGAGGACTACTAAGTTGGAATAAGCAGACAAGTCCTCGATATCATTGAAACTGGGCGTCAAAATGTTCCGAAGAACTGGTTTGGCCATTACTTTTGAATTAATGTTCCATGTTACATCCTTGAACCATGATAGCGGGTATTCCAAGTACTTCAAGTTACATGATTTTGTACAGATGGCGTTCAAGAGAAGTATTAGATCATTTGACACTTTCTTTCTGTCGGTAGTGAATCGTTCCACAAGAGTAATAAGTGAAGGATTGTCATTGAAAGACCGATTCAACAATTCGATCCGGCTGTGTGTGGTAGTGGTTTTCTTTAAGTCCCGATGAGTATTGTAAATTAAGATTGTTCCAAAGTTTTGATATCTGGAGATCTGGAAAGGATGGTTGTCGGTGACAATTATGCTTCGGTACAAGTGACAGGAACTAAGCCGATACCACCGCTTGGATACCAAACAAATGCTGAGTATATCCTGCGTAGGCAAAAGATCAATGATCTGATGAATGATCTCAGTGGGCAATTTATCTATCATATTGTTGGCTAAACAAAGATTTCTCATCTAATCTGTTACTTCTTTGTGATTTTCTGTGATTTCATTATTGTGTGGGGAAGTGTACCGGGTCCAGCACCCCTAGGAAATATCGACACGATATCTGGAAACAATTATTCGAAAATAGGAGGAGGGGGGGGGAAGGAAAATTGCAATAAATCAGTATTCAATTTATTGTAATATTTCTATTGCAAATGTTACCTGAGGTTTACTGAGCCTTTGGTGGTGTTACCACTACTAACTGATTTGCATAGGTTCTTGCGGGGGACAATTGGAGGAAAAAAAAAAAAAAAAAAATACAAGAAAAATGATGATGTGATAGATATAGCCAAGAGCTGTCGGATCGATCAGTTTCCTAAAGTATTATACTTTATGTTGAGAAATCTTTCTGTTTTTTACAGGAAACCGAAACCGATAAATGTGAGCATATAACACAATCTTGTATACTTTTATCACTGAATTTAGGTATTAACAATGGTCTAGACTCTTCAATTCGCTAGAAAAATGCATGTCGATTACATCCCAATGAGATGGGGCCGTGGAGATAACTACTGCTACATTTTAACCGATGACAAGACAAAAGAATCGTGGGTGATCGATCCTGCTCAACCTGAAGAGGTTATTCCAGTGCTTGCTGAGAAATTCTCGGGGCTCAAGTTCACAGCAGTCGTCAACACTCACCATCATTATGACCATTCGGATGGAAATACCAGTATGTTAGAGTACTTCAAGAAGATCTACGGCGAGGATTTACCAGTATACGCCGGAGAAGACTCTCCGAAAGTAACCCTCACCCCAAAACATCTAGACCACTTATCTTTAGGAACCAGCATCGAAATCCAAGCAATCCATACTCCATGCCATACCATGGACTCAATTTGTTGGTACGCTGTCGATAAGCACACTGGTGAAAAAGTATTATTTTCTGGGGACACCATTTTCCATCTAGGTAACGGTCGTTTCTTTGAAGGTACTGGGGCGCAGATGACTAAAGTCATGATGGAAACTATCCCGGATAACGTTGATAAACAAACCAAGATCTATCCAGGTCATGAATACACTGCCAGCAATGCTGAATTTGCTAAATCCGTCATGCCTAAAAGCATAGCATTGAGTAATTACATATCAAAATTCACAGGGAAAGAATTCACTTGTGGGATGTTCAATTTACAGGACGAGCTCGATGCTAACCCATTTTTCAGATTAGATGACCCGGAGATCTTGATTGCCACGAAGGGCCAAGGGAAATCCCAGTCGGAAATTATGGACACTCTCCGTACTATGAAAAACAAATTTTAGTTTTTTCTTTGCAATCCAATATGGTCAATTTTAATAAAGTCTTGTCTGTCATCTAGAAACATAAAGAAAGAAAGTATCATAGTTTATCTAACTCAGTATAAAAGACTTCGATAGTTGTAAGACAGAAAAAAAAAAAAAAAAAAAAAAGTTAGAGTTAAAAAAGGAAAGCATTTGCTCAATTTCAAATATTAAATTTGCAAAAAAGAAACTCCTCATCAGGGGCTCGAACCCTGGACATTTCGGTTCCTTATTTCTAAAAGCCGAACGCTCTACCAACTGAGCTAATAAGGATGGAGCTTGAGAGGAATATTTTTCGCATCTCATATTCTGCAAATAACCTGTGATGATTACCCGGCCTGATTTATTTAGTGATTTATTTGGTTTATTTGGTTTATTTGGTTTATTTGGATTATTTTGACTTATTTGAATTATTTGGTCTATTTGATTATTTGAATTATTTGATTATTTGATTATTTGAATTATTTTTTTACTTGGATTTAATTATTTTATTGATTTTTATTATTTTTATTTTTATTATCCCCCAGAATTCTGATGGTCACTAATTTGAAAATACTTAGTATTTGAGATATAGTGCCAAAACCCCTCAACAAAGACCTCCATCTCAGTTCATGAAGCTCCTAGTGATGGGTAATTCACTAGTGACTTCATCTCATATTTTCACATTGCACCTTTTTTCCTTAATAATCTTGATTGTTGAGTTTTTTACCGGTGATGTGATTAATTCTTAAAGCAAGGAGTGTGAGGTTGTGAGAAAGTTATAGTATTTTACTTACCTATTAGAAAGACCGGCATGAAATGCCCGGCTTGCATGTTATTTAGAACCTCTGTGACTCGTTAATATACAATTCATTCATTCATTCATCCGGCCTTGTAATTCATCAAATTCTAAGTTATTCTTTTATATACGTAGTCATATTGATGATGGTATCAGGGTAAAAACATTATGTAATATTGTGAAACTGCTGCTGCTTATCTTTGGGATCTTATCAAAATTTCAGGAAACTACATGGTGTTTAAAATTATATGTTATTGCTCATCACCAAATGTTAGCATCATCCTGTTTTGACGCGGTTGCCGCTGTGTACCCTTTCTCAAGTATAAATATTCACCATTTCTGCCATTTTATTCAAGTATCCCACGGTCACCATTAATCATTAACAATAACCGCTGTTCTTCAAAATATACTAGTGATCCATAAGAAAATCAACACCAATTACCAAACTTCCATTGCTTTCCAGGAAGAACAAGGTGGGCTGGAGCACTTGCGATGCCGGTAAGGATCTTGAAAGTCTTTTATAATCCATTTGATTGAAATTTTTTATCTATAATATATTGATAAATATTGAATTATATCCTTTTTTCTTCTTCAATCTACGCAAGCTCATGATTTGTACTTAAAATGTGTCCTGTTAAAGAGAAAGACAGACTTTTATATCTTGTAATTTATTTCATTTTATAGAATCTCGCTATCGATTCTCTGTTTGAATTCTCTTCCTCTCAATGAGAATTTAATGAATTTCTATTCTTTATTTAATACACTTGTGTTTGATTTGATTTGACACTATTATAAAGTTCGGGATGTAGTCAATAAATGATACAGTCGTAAATAGATGAATGAGAACTCTAGATATTTTTTTGATAACCAGTTAATCTTAAAAAGCTAATATAATAGTTCCTTCACCTACTATTTATTCTTGATATTTGCATTTCCTCTTTGGATTTTTTTTTTGTGTTAAACGCGTCAAAAAATACTAATATTTTAGGAAAAAAAAAAAAAAAAATATTTCGATGTAAACAAAAACTTCAAATCCTCTACCCACAACCCCATTTTAAACATCCTAACTGTGATCTTTCCAAAGGATGGGGGTTTCAGGTCTTCTTCCAGTTCTTAAGCCAATCCAAGAAACCAAGTCTCTAGGAGCATACTCTGGTAAAACTATTGCTATCGACGGTTACGCGTGGCTTCATAGAGCAGTATATTCTTGCACTTATGAACTAGCCCACGACAAACCCACTTTCAAATATCTCCAGTTCTTCCAGCGTCGAATAAGGCTTCTACTATCAGTTTTCAACATAAAGCCGTATTTTGTATTCGATGGGGACGACTTTGCCTCGAAATCCCAAACTGAAGACTCGCGGAAACAATCGCGTCAGACGAATAAAGAATTGGGACTACAATACTTGAGCAACGGGGATCATAAACGCGCCCATGATTTTTTGAGTAAAAGTATTGATGTAAGTCCAGAAATTGCCAAAACCATCATCGATTATTTGAAATTGCAATCTATTGACTACGTGGTGGCCCCTTATGAGGCCGATTCTCAAATGGTGTACTTGGAACAAACTGGTCAAGTTGATGCCATCATGTCAGAAGATTCAGATTTGCTAGTGTTTGGATGCCAAAAATTATTGACCAAGTTCAATGATAAAGAGAATACTGTGATTGAAATCCGCAGGGAAAATTTCAAGAAAGTTCCTGGGTACACTCTTGGGACAATGACTCCATGCCAATTTAGAATGGCAGCGTGTATCAGTGGGTGTGATTATACTTCAGGAATACCGAAAATGGGGATTAAAAAATCATTACAAGCAGTCAGACATTATCAGTCAATGGACAGAGTGCTTTTGAAACTAAGGTTAGATAAAATGATTGTACCCAAGGAATTTGAAGAAGAGTATCGCCGAGCAGATGCTTCGTTCTTGTATCCCCGAGTATTCGATCCACAACAATTACAAATGACTACTTTAAATCCAATACCACCTGATATTGAAAACGACGAATTGGAACTCATTGGTGAGTGTATTGGAACCCTACATGAAGATCCAGATATTCATTACGGAGTAGCATTGGGAAATTTACATCCAATGACCAAGGAATTATTGGTATCTAGAGAAGAATCTTTGATGAACATGAACCTGAAGGCAAATATAAACAGTAATATCAATAAACATAATAGAACAGTTCAAAGATCTTGTTCCTCGCCGACTATCAAATCAAAACCATCAAGAACCATCGATACCTTTAAATTCTTTAGTTCGTCACAAACCAGCGATAGCAAACCACTGGTGATGAGATCATCATCAAATAAACTATTCACTAATACAGTGGAGACAACTAAGCCAGTAGTAAAGGCTGATATTACTTCGATGATTAACAATCGAATCAATAAATTCGGAGGTGGGGTTGAGAAAATTAAACACGGCACAAAAAGCAAATATTTTGCCATCAAGGTAAATAAAAAGAGCCTTGAGGAACTGAATTACAATACACCAGACAACACAACAGTAACTGATGTTGAAAAATCTGCTAACGAGAAACCTACTTCAAAAATATCAATAGAACGTCAACAACCAATCAAAAATAATTTCAGCATTACAGAAGTTACTCAACCGATATCTGATACAGAAAAAGAAAATATTCCAAAAATTACTAGCGCTGTTGTGGAAAACAAAATGAATATAAATGAATCAGATGATGAAATTATCGACTCTGATGGTGATATTGATGGTGCATCATTTAGTGATAATGAGGTAAAATCTTCGAACATTCAAATTAGTTCACTCTCAAGCAAGTTCAAATACACTGCATCAAACCATACTAGCAATATCAATGAACAAAAGAAACCATTAGTTAGACTGGCAACCTATAACAGCCTAAGAAAACCCCCAAATACTAAGCCAAAAAGGTCATTGACTGGGGCGAAAATGAATAATAAGCCCCATCAAGGGAATAAATTGTCCAGTTATTTAGTACAGAAGCCTAAGCCAGCGGCTAAAGACTGTCATTCGATTAGCGGGGCTCTGGTGGGCAAAATATCATTACAAAGTTTTTCATATACTGAATGAATGAGTTAGATTCCGAAATTCTCTTTGTCTTTCACAAAAAAAATTAGAAAATACACTATGTCATATTTCTGGTTTTTTCTTTTCTTGTCATCTCAGTTTTTTCATTTGATTATATTATAAACAATAAATGCATTTATTAATATCGCGACGACTAATAGCACACTACTGTATTTTAACTACCTTCTTTTTGCTCTTTCGTTTAACTTCAATGACATTTCCCTCAGCGTCCGTCTTAGTTTTCTTCTTCTTTTTGGTACCGTCTTCATCACCACTCTTCTTTTTAGATTTCTTCTTTTTCTTTGACACCACCACCAACTCACCTTGATCATTATTATTAGTGATGGTATTATCCGGAACATCTTCCACTACATAACCAATTTCTTTCTCTAACTGAGGACTAAATTCCGGTTCTAATGACCCATTGAGATCGAAATTCTCGAGCCCTGAGGCATCGATTTTCAAAATATTTTTCTTGGTTTTTTTCTTGGTTTTGGAACCTTCAGGAATTGCGCTGAGATCGTTTGCTGAGCCAGTAACAGATCCCGATCCTGAAAATAATACTTCTTCAGCTAGGACCACCGGTTTGGCCTTCTTTACTTTCTTTGTCTTTGATTTCCCCACTGTTTTGCTAGAGGTGATTTTCTTAGTGGATGCTTTAATATCATTGTCCAGATCCATTTCTATAAAACTATCCTTGGACACCGATACATTGACTTCATCTTCGGATTTAAGATAGAAAGGATCATTTTTCTGCCGTTCCAAACGTTTCAATCTTCTTTTTTCTCTAGCTTCTGTGTCATCTTCCATTATAAGTTCATCCACATCATCATGGTACATACCATCGTTGTCTACTCCATTACCCTGGATTCCTAATAATGGGTTGGAATAGGCTGTGAATTCATTTTCACTATCAGATATGTCCAGATCACTGGCTGCATTATAATATTCTGGATTACGGTATTTTAAATAACCATCCTCGGGGTCAGAGTACGACCCATCAACAGGATAAATTTCCGCATCTAGATCAAGTTCATCAGGCACCGCAATGGCTTTCTGAACGTCTTTGGCAATGGGGTTCAATTCCCAAGAGTTGAATAGTGATGGCAATACCTGTGATAAGAGAAGAGGGGATTGGAGAGAATCATCCAGCAATTCTTCCATCGCCTCTTTCAAAAGTTTGAGGAACTCGAGGAATTCAATTGACCGTTCTTGGACGTTGAAGTTCTTCAGCACGGATGTTTTATTGAGGAAATCAATAATCCTGGTAAGTTGTGCCATTACCTTTTGCTTTTCTTGATAATTCCACATGTAGTTCGAATTGCCATTAGCATAGGCGTTGAGGATCTTAACAAGAGTAGGGATCAAAATCACTAAAGTTTTATCGTATTCTCCGGTTTCTTCAAACGCATCATCACCACTGACAATTCCATTTTGAAAAGTGTCCAGCAAGTTAAACAACAAGGAATTTGGATCATTGATCATTGTAGAGTATTCACCGATAGCCCATAAGATTTCTGGCATGCACCCGAGTAAATTGCTAACGACCAACTCATCCTGAACCAAGTCAACTAGGCAGTCATTGATGATTGCCGATCTTATTGATGGGATTTTCACAAGGACGTTTCTAAACTCGATTCCTAATCTAGGACCAATTTCATGAAGATTGTATTCGGCAGAGATCTTTATCAAATCTGAAAGGACAGAGATAAACCAATCAAAGTCGGATATGTTGGTATAATTTCTAAACACACATGAATCAAGAATTCTATTGATAATACTTACTTTAAAATCATCATCCAACACTATCTCATTGCTACTATTAGCAGTGTTATTTGGTAACAACTCATTAATTAAGATCGATACCGCCTGTTCCAAATTGTCCTCGGATACAACATATTCCAATAAATCAAGAGCTTGTTTTCTAATAGATAAATCAGGATGAACAAGACAGCCAATGATGACCTTGCTTTGCTCAGAAATGATATGGGGTTGAATTGTTGCAATCTTGTTCAAGGTCAACAATCCTACATATTGCAAATTCGGATCAGTGGCGGTGAAAAAAGGCTTTAAATTATCAACACAAATCTGAGCAACGTCCAAGTTAGAATCGTCTAACATTTCTCCAACCACAATACAATTAATACACTCGTAAATCAATGACATTGCTCCCGTCGTTTCAACAATTTCTAAAATCTTTGGAATCAACCTTGAGTTTAGCCTTGGTTCGATTTTCGCCAATGAAGAGAACAATTTAAGCAATCTTATAATGACCCAGTTATTCTTTGTAGTAGATAAAATGGCATGTAGCCTTGGAGCCAAATTCACAAAATTCTTGGGAGCCTTCTTCGCCAATTCACAAATAACCGTTACCGTGGCTGCCATCACCGAATCATCTTCATCATCCAATTTGTCACAAAGTCGATCAAATGAGGTTCTCAAGGCCTCTGGATACTGCAAAAAGATCTTATATAATGCCAAAACCGCTTTCTTTCTGATATACGGCTTGGAATGATTCAACATTTTTATTATATCATCAGTGACATCTCTTGCCAACGTTGGATTGACCACTGACGAAATTCCACTGAGAGCAACCCCCACTTCGACGCTTGATGAGGAGTTCAAGTCTTTCTTTAATAAATTTGTCGCTAGCATTAAAACATCTTCTTCGTTTCTAAAAGCTTGGCCCGCTGCTAAATACCCAACCCTCTTTTGCTGGAATTTCGAAGACGACATCACTTCCAATACGTTGAAATTGGCCCACGACATATCGAAACCATACATCTCCAAATAGCAAAGCTTCAAGATTGTCATTGTCTTGAGATCCATGTCCGAAGATTTTACTTCTTGACGGCACTCGGTAATGGCTTTTAGTAAGAACTCCGATTGTGCTTCTGGTTCTTTGTGGGCCCGGATCCCTTTGATCAAATCCCGTAGGGATTTCTCAAACACAATACCAAATGGTCTTAGACGAGATTTAACATCTTCGCCAGGATTGAGTGACATTTTTTGGTATTCTGATGTGTGCTCACCAACTTGTGTATCGTTTCGTGGATGGTGTCGATGGCGCGTGCCTCTATTTTGTTTCTACGTATTTTCGCCCAATGCAAAATCATCCTTACCCGTCGGAGGGCACAACATCAACCAACATTGTAAGGATAATATCTATAGATACATATATGTAATACTTAGTCTTAGTCTTGCTTCATCAAACATCTAGCATGCTTTTTAATATTTTATCACTCGTAAAAAAAAATATTGGCAGACTCTTACATATCTTACTGCTCGATTTATATTAAAATTACCTCAAGGTAGCAATTATCCAGCATTATTAGGCAGCAAACTCTTGATGTAGTCATAATATTGGGAAAAATCACCAGTTTTACTTAAATTTAAAGAAATGTAAGTGATGAAATTAGAAACTAGATCAATTGTAAAATATATATATGGTGCCTCTTTGAAAAAAATGTGATCATATCAGATAATGTATGTTCTTTTTAGCAGGAGTTTCATGTTCTTCTTTTTTCTGTCCTACAACACCTCTATTAATATCAGCAACAAATTCATTTTACTTATATAATATTCTGGTTCCTTCAAGGACATCTGTAAATTTTTAATTTGAGAGACTAAAATATCATTAATTAGTTCTTGAATATATCAGATCCCATGTTCTTTGAAAGGCTTTGAATTTCAATCACAGAGACCAAATCATCACTCCTAGAAAATATGAAATACTTGGAATAATTGGCCCATAATCTCTAATATAATTCATCGAATGATGCTTAGTCGAATGTTATTTCCAAAAGGTATTCTTTCATGTTCTCATCTTATGATTTCTCTAAGGATTTCCTTTGTTGTACACTCACTATAGGACCACCTTAATGTTACTTCCTATACTTATGTGTACTATATCTTATATGCTATCCAGATACACGCAACTGTGAGTATGAATCTTCATGAACTCATTGGAGTTTCATACCTTCGAATCACTATTATTGGAGTATGTTATCTTTAGGGAAACATTTTTCCAAGATTTTGCAAAATTATACCCACCCAAGTTTCTCAACGAGGCTTCTATTATTTTAAATTTTTTCTTTTTCCGACACTTTGTGTATGAGGTTGTTTAAGGACTAGCTGAATCACTTAATTGATTTTCTTGCATGTTACAAAGTTTTTTTTTGCAACAATGATTTCCAGACTTGCGATGATCATCGACCTCTTGAACGCAAATATTATATGCGTTTACGGTAATAATGTCAATTGATACGTACAAGTGTATCTACTGACTGACGCAAATCTGATAAAAGCTTGCACAAGAAACCGCTTATTGTTTCATATTTTAGGTGTATGCTGTCTTTTCACCTAATCTGCGGGCTTGCTGCAGCCCTGAAACTTGAACATACATCAACGCAAAACATGGTCGAGTCTTTATAAGAATTTGAATTCCACGGAAATATCATTCCTTTTTTTTCCTTTGTCAAAGATTGAAATCCAATAAAATATACTCCACATTCCTTTTTTCCGTCATCGTCTCTCTCTCTCTCTCTCTCTCTCAAGTATTTAACTTTCGTTAATTTCTGAACTCCATCGAAAAATACCCTAAACCCTTAGATCTATTGCCTTCACAAAAAAAAAAAAAAAAAAGAAGAACGACAAAACATGAAATCTTCATTATATTTTAATTTACTTCTACAATTATCTAATTTTGGAATTTCTCACTCCAAAGATATCCAATATCATAAACGTTCCACAAGCAATGAAGTGCACGAAGCTAGACATAATCATAAACGTGCTATTGCAACAACCCTTACCACTTTGACCACCTATGTTGATGTTATGTATACTAGTAATTCTGAAAAATCAACCACTGTCCCTTCTGCTTCCACCACAATTTCTTCTTCGTCCTCTGCTTCATATTCTTCTGTCTCTGCTTCCTCTTCTTCTTCTTCTTCTTCTTCTTCTTCTTCCTCCTCCTCTTCTTCAAGTATCGATGGTGATTTATCTTCGTTCTCTAACCCAAATGTTAAATTCGAAGATGGTGTCCTTGATTGTTCTGCTGGTGTCCCGACTGGTAACGGTGTAATTTCCCTTGATTGGGTTGGACTCAGTGGTTGGGCTTCCATTATGAACGAAGACGGTAACACTCAAACTTCCTGTCAAAGTGGTTACTATTGTTCTTATGCTTGTCAAGCCGGTATGTCCAAGACCCAATGGCCATCCTCTCAACCAAGTGATGGTGAAACCCGTGGTGGTTTGATTTGCACGGATGGGAAGTTGTACAGAACCAACACCGACAATGACTACTTGTGTGAATGGGGTGAACAAACTGCTAATGCTGTTTCTCAAATCGATAAGGTTGTCTCTTTGTGTAGAACAGACTATCCAGGTTCCGAAAACATGGTTGTCCCAACTAGATTGACTGCGGGCTCCACCAAACCAATGTCCGTTGTTAACTCTGGTACTTACTTCAAATGGGAAAGCAAAGGTACATCCTCTCAATATTACATTAATGATGCTGGTGTCGATGTTGAAGATGGGTGTATTTGGGGTACCGATGGAAGTGGTATTGGTAACTGGGCACCAGTCGTTGCCGGCGCTGGTATGACCGATAGTGTCACTTACTTGAGTATTATTCCAAACCCAAACAACAAGACTCCGCCATCTTACTCTTTGAAAATTGAAGCTGCTGATGGTGCCAGTGTTGTGGGAGATTGTGTTTACGCTAATGGTGTTTATAACGGTGATGGAACTGACGGTTGTACTGTTAGTGTCACCAGTGGTACCGCCAACTTTGTTTTCTATTAGATTTATTTGACTTTTTTTTTGTTGGGGCTCTAGCCCACAATTTTTGTTTTATTCTTTTTTTCCAAAAAAAATCTCCCCGTAATTTCAAAATTATGGTTGGAAGTTTTCTCATTTGTATTTTTAGATTTTTATTATTATTTAGATTTATTTTAGATTCATCTTATTATTTTCAGACCAATAGGCTTTATCATCTGTAGCCTACAAAGACACAAAAAACAAAAAAAAAAAGTATATTACAAAATCGTTACCGCATTAATCATATCCCATTCGTCTCTTTATTTTCCCTATTTGTGTAGTTTCTTCTTCTTGAAACTTCCCTTGGGTCTGCCCCTGCCTCTTTTTACAGGAGGAGTATCGGCAGTTTCTGCCATATTACCATTATTTTTTCCATTGATTACTTCTGATTCTTGATTTTTACTGCTGGAATGTCTCTCAGACTCTCCAATGGTACTTCCAATTTTTCGCTTCAAATTCCTGGAAATAGTCTCTTCTTCAACATCCATATTAATATTTTTACCTCTGTTTCTCCTGCTAGATGTTCTTTGATGATTCTTGGTGCTTTCTTTAGAACTCGGGATCCCGCCATTCACGTCTTGGCCATTCGCAAAACTGGGTCTGAATTTTCCTTTTTCTCTAACCCTTAGATCTTCATTTCTTCCCCTAAAGCTTCTCATCCTCCCTGCTACATCTTTTTCCGCATATGATTTTGAGAGGCCTTCTTCTTGAATACTCCCTTTACTTTTCGATATACTTTTATCTTCTTCAAAAGGTGACGCGGACCGCTCAGATAGGGATAAAGGACTTAATTCGGAAGTTTCGTCATAATAATCAAGATAAGTGGATCCATTTTCTGTATCAACTTGGTCATTTCCATCAATTGCTTCATACTGAGGCTTGTTTTGTGTTAGCTGGCTTGCCGCATCTCTAGCAAATTCATCTTCATATCCTACATCCAGCCCAATTGACTCGCCTCTGTTCTCCACCTCTTGTATTCCAAAAACAGATGCGTTTCCATTCTTAGCATCATCATCTCTACTTTTCGTTTCGTTAACATCTTTATTCTTTTCTTCTATCAGATCTTCATTTTCATCTCCACTTGGCTCATACCGATTACGATTTTCGATAGCTACTCGGTTACCATTTATTTGTTCTTTATTCTCTTCCTCTTCTTCTTCCTCTTCCTCTTCCTCTTCTTTTTCTTCCTCTTTTTCCTCTTCCTCCTCATCATCATCGTCAATAACTATTTTCTTCTTCTTTTCGTTAAAAGAGCCATCTTGATTGATTTTATTGTTCATCATTAATGAATCGCCATTGGCATTATACACATTGGTACACATTATTAATCTCATTATTGGAATTTCTTGCTCATTTTCTAGAGCTTTGAGTAGCCCCTCCTTATCCTCGTCGGAAGCTAATAATTTCTGATGTTTCTCTATCAAAGCCTTGATGTCCAATTTTAATAATTTTTCGTCCTCTTCATCTATAATCATATTCTTCTTTTCAAAGTCCACGTGAGTTAAAATCCTTATTCGATTCACAATTTCATCAAGAGTTTGCTTCGTCAAATTTCGAATATCCTCAATATCGTCCTTCATGAAGTTAACAAGAAATGAAATTAAATTTGGATTATCATTATTTGATACTCTATCCCCATCTGGTTTTGTGGGCTCATTGGTAATATCGATATCTGTTCTCTTGGCAGAAATGCCACCAGAAGGTCCATAAATTAATGGCTTCCATAATAATAAATCAGGATCAACGCGGACATATCCTTTCTGTTCATATTTATTGATCACTCCATTGATTTTTGAGATATTGATTTTGATGGCATATTTTCCAGTTATTGGATCTTTCATTAATCCGTTCAAGTTTTCTAAAGTATAAATCACATCCGATGGAGTCATACCTGAGGTATTTGAGAGATCTTGGATGGTTAGTTTTAATAGGGGATTTTGATATTTATAATTTTCCAAAACTTTAAAGTTATTTTCCGTAATTTGTTTATTTTCCTTTAATATTTGATATGTTTTGGTGAAGATTTCGCTATCAATCATAATTTGTTTTATTCTATAAGCTAATGCTGTTTTCCAATAACTTCGGTACGATAAAAGGCCGAAATTTGATAGAGGTTTTTCTGGAGTCCCAACTCTAAATTCCATTCTTGATAATAAATAACTGAAGTCAATTAGAAAATTTCCATATCCATTCCGTTGATAAATTGGTAATGTCAAAATGCACGACAAGTTGTAATTTGTAGATGACAATTTCTCTTTGGAGAAATAGCCCACAAAATGATAATTATTTTGTGAGTCAATTTCTGTCAAAATATAAAACACAAACGGTTGAACATCGAAATAAAGAGTCTTGGAATTCAAAAATAGCTTGGACAATAAGCATAAATTCTGACAATATAATACATTTTTTCTCCCATCAACCTCAAATACCGCGAGTCGATTATTCACGTCCCTATAAATCTCATTTCCGGGAGGATGGTTTAACGGGCATTTTAAAGAATGGCGCTTCATAACAAATGATGATGAGAAGTACCTGAGGCAATATTCACAAATATGAAGTACTTTATGTTTATTATATTCCTCTGGATATGGAGCAGCATACCAGGTATCAATTTCAAAACCACCAAAATGAATGCAATCAATTTTTTTATAAATGGATGAATCTTGATCCCAAGGCTTTATTAAGGTTCCATCACTGTTTTTGATTCTTAAATTTTGGGTTCTTTTCATTGAATTCTCGAATGCTTTTCTATCAAGGGAATTCGGCTGAGTTTTCAAGGTGCTAGCGTCGTCGATATCAAGGGCTCCACGGTATGGCAATTCTGTAACATCAAAACTATCATCATCTTCATACTCATCGTATTCATCTTTATTATTATCATCTAATAGCTTTATATCGTTTAGGATACTGGTATTAAATATGGAGTTATCGCCAACAATCTTTTTCAAATTTATTTTCACGATAAGGTTTTCCAAATTTGAGGATATTTCCAAAGTATTTGATTTGAATGAAATTTTGTTGTTGGTATCTTTTAGTTTTATCTTTGCTTTGCCATTTCTATCATCCCCTAGTAGAGGGTCAGATATAGCCGATAGTTGGATCTGATCACGATTTCTAAGCTGACGGAGCTTATTAGAATCGGAAGAGGGATCTGTGGATGAAGCGGTTGTTATTATTTTCTCGGTGATCACTTCGTAAGTCTTGTTATCGGGTATTTGTAGCTTCTTAAGTAAACTTTTAAGTTTCTTTTGTTTTTTTATTTCGTCAATGTTGGATGGAGTAGTCAACTGTTGTTGACTTTTTGGATCACTGGTTATCATTTGGCATGGAGGGGGAATTTTGATGTACTGGAATTATGCTGTGCTGTGATTTTCGTAATCGAAAAGAAAAATTAACAATATCAACAGCGTAACGATTGATGATCTTGTAACAATATTGAAGATTCTATATGTTAATTATAATATATAATAACAATAATGCCAGTTTTTTGTTTATCTGATGATTACCGTTCATACATTTCGCATAATAAACATTCTTACCCGGGCGGGAGGCCCCAATTTTTTCTTTTTTCTTAGACACCTACCAGCAGGTCGGCACATCGCGTATTGTCCTTCTTCTTGATTATGACGATACTGCCAGAATCGATAGTTTGGAAACCACATTTTTCAGATTTTGTGGTAAGATATTATTATATTTGTGATACTAATGTAGCTTGAATATCTACGCGATAAGTATTACATTTTTGAGTACTAAATCAAAGTAAGGTCTTGACTAGAAAATGTATACTGATAAGTTTGAAAACAGTAGGCAAAAAGTGTTTGTGCACTCAAATGTGGTCTTTATGAAATTCGCTTTGGATAGATGTGATCAAATTTAATAAGGATATGATGAATAACAAAAATTAATATTTGAGTTTCCAAAAAAACATCAACTCAATGCCCCCACCGAGGCTCGAACTCGGGACCTTTACATTGCAATACATATATGAGTGTAACGCGACCACCAACTGCGCCATAGGGGCGGATGAGTGTTATGTAGTATGGTTTAAGTTATTGGTTATAGGCAATGAGACGCGTGCTCATAACCGGTGATGTGATTAATTCTTAAAGCAAGGAATGTGAGGTTGTGAGAAAGTTATAGTATTTTACTTATCTATTAGTAAGACCGGCATGAAATGCCCGGCTTGCATGTTATTTAGAACCTCTGTTACTCGTTAATATACAATTCATTCATTCATTCATTCAATTCATATTCATTCATTCATAACCACAAGCTCATAACCATTCGTGTGTAATTATAGTCGTCGACTATGAAAAGTTTTCAATATATATGATTTCTGGTTCTTCAGAGAGTAACTACTAAGTCGATCCTTACCCGTGACTAACTATATCTAGTCTAGTCGCATCGTAATATAACAGTTAACAACAATTATGCATATAAGTATGACAAATAACATATTATAAGACCCAACGGATTGGTATATTAAATTTCTGAGACCTGTTAATTTATGATTCATTCATTCATTCATATAAAATTCCAACATCATGAAATATTATTAATTTATCGATAAATGGCCTGAGGCTTATTACTATTACGCTACTACCGTTTTTTAGTTTGTATTGGGAACAATCTAACGTTTCTTTTTTAAGCGCAAGTTCTTGTAATGATATTGTAGAATAAAAAAACAACCGCGATTCATATTTGATATGAGATATTCAAAAGCAGGGAAACAATATTATCAATCAAATCTTCTTCAAATCTTCTTATAATTTCACTTGCCATATATTTGTTCCGTTTTTGCTCATACATCTTTCTTTATTGCTTTGTATATCAACTTGAGTTTGTTTATTGTCTGTTTGATATATTCTAGTATGAAAGGGCTCGATATCCCTATTTCCAGATTATTCATTTCAAACATAACATGTTTCAAAACTGAAAGACAAAAGACTTACAATAAAACACTAGATTTTTAGCTCTATACAAATTTTACTCAATCAAATGAGTGAGAATTAGAAGCGAAGACTTGCAGTATTTCTTAAAGGGTTGTTAAATGCATTTAGCACATTCATACCAAGGTTATAATAGTGTACATAAGAAAGCCGGGATTTTTCACAATCTAGGGAGGTTAATTATGGGAGATTTTTATGTGAAATAAAGTAGCAAGAACCTTTTTAAAACGGACTAAAAGGCCGTAAGCTAGTGAAATGCTTATTTGGTTAAGCAGCACCTGCAAAGCATACAATTTTTTTTTTTTTTTTTCTCGCAATTTTTTTTTATTCTTTTTGACTGTGAGAATCCTATTATAATATAATCTATTACCATCTCTAGGAGCCCAACTATGTCCAACAAAGAATTATACTCGCCTGAAGGCCTTCGTTTAGATGGTAGACGCTGGAATGAGTTGAAATCATTCACTTGTAAAGTCAACACTCACCAAACCTCATCGGACGGTTCATCATATGTCCAACAAGGGAATACAAAAGTGATGTGCAAAGTAAATGGACCATTAGAACCAAAATCCAAAGCCAATTCAAATAATAATAATGCTTCAATCACAGTGAATCTTAATATTGCCAGTTTCTCTCCAGTGGAACGAAGAAAGAGACCTAAATCTGATCGAAGAATCAAAGAAATGATGACGATATTAGAAAAAACATTCAGCGAGACAGTAATAACCAAATTGTATCCAAGAACTCAAATAATAGTGGACTGTTATGTATTATCACAAGACGGAGGGATTTTATCAGCGGTTGCCAACTCGGTAACCTTGGCATTGATCGATGCTGGGATCGCGATGTACGATTTTGTCAGCTCTATTAATGTTGGGCTTTACAATAATAGCATTCCAATTTTGGACCTAAATCATTTAGAGGAAGGAGATATGAGTTTTTTGACATTAGGAATAGTCGGTAAAAGTGAAAAACTTGCGATGATGTTATTGGAAGAAAAAATCCCATTTGATAAATTGGAAACTTTGTTGGGTATAGGGATTTCCGGGGCCCAGAGAATTAAGGATCTAATGGATGAAGAATTAAGAAAGCACGGGAAACTCTTGATATCTACAGCTGCCAGTTGATATATCTAGACTTTGTTTATTAAAGAAAAAGGATTCAATTCTACATTATATTTGTTGAATATATCCTAATTTGCGATGATGATGAAATATTCTTGATTGTTGTATCAAAATTTACTTAAAAGTTCAGTAAGCTTGCCATTTTTTTTCAATTTTTGTAAGTCTGAGTTACCACCGATATGCTTTCCACCAATGAAGATATTTGGCACAGTACCTTGCCCGGTCATTTTGGCCAATGCATCTTGAATTTCCTGGCCCTCCTTCATTTGATTCAATTGTAGTACATACGGCTTGACTTTCAAACTATCAAGGGTTTTCAAAGTTGCTTGACAAAATGGGCAAAAAGTTTTGGAGGCCACAAATATTGGTGATTCTTTGACTATTTTTGGGAGTTGGGAGACGATATTACTCATGGTTTGTTGGCTATATTTAGTTGGTGTCGATAAGATAAATCATTCATCGCTTGGAAACGTTATTAGTAATTTTTTTTTTTTTTTTTTTCCCCCCGATGGAAATGTCAGTGCTGCCTAATCACCATAAATGGTGGATTTAACGCAATGTTTATTATTATCATCTCTTAAATGAAATATCAGGCAAATGACAATTCCAGTAATCGATGTTAATAACTATGATACCAAATATTTGCTCCAATGTTTGGTATCTCATGGATATTTAGTCCTTCGAAACTGGCAACTGCTTTCAAACAACAATTCGCAAATCACCACCTCTGATAGTTCGTACTTACAAATTAACAATGCCAAACCCCAATTTGGGACGATTACCGTGAATAGATTGAATTATGGAGACCCAAAACAAATTCAAAAAAGCTCTGAAGGGATATTGAACTCGGTATCTGACTCTATGGTCTCCCTTATTTCCAAATCGTTTGGCTTGAATTATGGATTTTTCGATCAGTGTTTATCGGATCAATCTTATGTAATATCTTCCAACAACCCAATAACCAATTGCAACTTGGTCTCTTTGATTCATACAACCGGTGCCAATTTGAAATTATATACCAGGTATGAAAAAGAGCCGATCGAATTGGGGAGCCAGGATGAACCAACTTTAATTCTATCAGTAGGAAAAATATTTGAGATTATTACAAAGGGTATGGTTTTTAACAATATTTTAAAAGTTGAGGGCTCAAATTATACGGTTTTCCTGAAATCTTTGAATTTGGACTTAAAAATTTCGGATGTTATTAAATTATCGTCGTCATTTATGGATAACAAACCAGATATCAACAAATTCTTCCTTCAAAGGGTTTGGAAAATCAATTATTTGAAAGATCCAACAATTGGGGCATTCGAAGACAAGAAATTTTTCAATAATGCTAATACAAATGTGAATACGGGAAAGGAGCATATGTTTGGGTACTTAAGAAATCAAAATTTATTTTTACAAATAGATCCTTTGATGGAGCTAAACTACGTTGGTTTTGATACCACTGCTGATCCTTATTTGATCAATTTCAAAATGAGCAAGAAAATCGGGGATGTTTTCATCGATGAGATCGTTTATCATCAAAAAGACACAAATAATGAACTTTTCAATCAAATCTTTACCCAGTCATTTAAAGATTTTGCGAATTTCCATGATAACACTTTAAAGGAGAAATTGAAAGCATTGGTCAGAATTTTTTCAAACTTAGACAATGTAATTTATATCTATTTTCTTGATCATACAAATTTGCCTAGCTTGAGCCAGTTTCTTCCAAATATGACCAAACTTTTAGGTAAAGAAGTGACGGTTTCGGACATTTTAAAGATTAAATATTTATATCCCCAGAGCTATGAGCTATTCAAAGTTGTTTCTAATAATGATAAAACTAATTTGTTAATAGGTTTACCTAAAGAACAATTGCAAGTTACCAACTTTGCTAAAGAAATCGTGAAAAGAAAAGAAATCTTTCTGCAATTAGTGGATACTTTTGTTTCTCGGGAAGATTTACACTCTATTGACGAGAAGATCAACCAAGTTTATAATGATTTGCCATTAGCTCCATCGGATTTTAAACCAGCGGCTAGTAGTATTAACAGAAAATTAAGTATTTTGAAAGAATCTGCTCCAAAGATAACGAAATTATCTAAAATTTCCAAGCAGAAGGCACAACCGATAAATGATAAGAAATTGTCATTAATTGAAAGAATCAGATTGAAAGAAGCGCAGAAAAAAAAGTTGTTCGAGATAGATGCTCCGCAAGGAAATGGGACGAATACAGGCGAATTGTTGATGATTTTTGAGATTCTTTATAACTTGAATACCACCAATGGCGTTAAATCTTTCCCAATAAAGTCAATAGTTGGTAAAATTATTGATAGTTTAAAGGCCACGAAGTTTAACTTGATGAGTGGAGAGCACTTGATGAAGATTCTTCGAGCTTTCGATGAGAAATTGCCAGATGAAATTCTCCAGATTGTGAACTTTGCCAACAATGGGAATATTATATTGAAATACGATTTTTACAACAAGAGAAATGAAATTATAGAATTTTTGTCAAAATAGAGGTATATATTGTATTATGTATTATAACAATAAATAGATAATTATATAACAATTTTAGAGTATGATGATGATCCAGAACAGCGGCACGTGAAAGTAAAAAAAAAAAATATTTTCGTTATCACCAAAATTTTCTAATCAGAATCTCGAATTATTTAAATATTATTGCGGTTGATCATTCAACGTCTATAATAAGCCGAAAAATATTTCCGCCAATGGATTCTTCTCCTCATAAGGTATAGCAAACTCCCAGAATATTTTCAAAGAGTAGTACGATATGATAAACGACGATTTGACCGATGATTCTGATGAGATTGTTGCTATTGAAAACTCTACTTCTGAGGATGACAGCGATGAGGATATTGTGTTGTCGATGATCAGTAGATCCGTCAAAGCAAAACCAAGACCAGATTTCTCAAAAGGAACCACAAGTCCTCTTGGAAAAGCAGGATTTATCCCGAGAAAAAAGTTTGCAATTGATGCAGACAAGGAAGCACTGAATTTTTTTGCCGCCAATAATATAAATGTCTCCAAAAGTAATTTCGAAGAAATCAACTCAATGCTAGATGAAAGCTTACTTGAAACTATTGAGAAAGAGAATAAAATAGCCCAACGACATAAGGAGAATGAGAACAAAATTGCAAAAGAAGCGGAAAAATTGAAACGAAAGAAAGAACTTAACGTGGTAAAAGTTTTTAGATTACTCAATGACATAGTCACAGAAGAAAAACTGTTTAGTGAGACCAAAAAGCACAATGACAAAAAATATCAGATTGACAATTCCATCAATGAGTTTTTTTTACAAAGTTATTTGAAAATCTCCCGCACCCATTACCTTAAACCGCACGGAAAGTTCTCTGAATCTTTTAAGGTATCTCATGTCAAGCAAATTTTTGATAATAATATTGCGTCGAATAAAGCCATAGTGATAAAAGATAATAATATCCTAATCCAAAAAAAAGTTTCCACTATTGGCCTTGCTGATACAATCATAAGCTCAATATCACAGTTGGAAGCCTGTCTTATTAATCTAGGGATTGATAGTGGCTTGGTGCACGATTTGAAAGGAGATTTTAAGATTGAGGATCATTTGGTACCAATGATTGATGGGGAAAATGATGATAAGAAGGCTGTCACTATCGACGAATTTGGATTGCCAATAAAAAATCATGATGATCTAAATGATATCGATAATCTTGATTTAAAGACTAGTCAAAAAAGTAAAAGGGATCATAAAATGATTGAGAAACTACGGGTAAGCAAATTTAAATCGTCAATTGAAGTTTTTGTCAATAAGTTACGCACGCTTTCTATAATCTTAACGAGACAAGAGTTTTTTGACCAACAGATTTTCGACTTGTTATTGAAAGTTGCTTTCACATGCTTGTGTGATGAAAGAGTTATTTATTTTAACAAGATTAATGACGTCGTCTATTTAATTCAAGAATTGATTTTCTATTTGTTCAAGGTTGCCACAGGGGCATTTTGGAAATCACAACCTGCAAGTGCAAGTGTTGGACTCGCTAACTCACGACCATTAGAAAAACCACCATTATCTCAGTCAGATGGTGCAGAAGATTCTAAAAACCAAACTATTTTGGCAAATTTTTTCCTACCAGAGCTTCGGCATATTATTGATATTTACTTCTCAGTTACCTCATCACCTAGAGCATTTTATCAAATGACGCAAGGGTTATTCACAGTTATTCCATTATATTCTTTTGATGGAACTGCTGCTACCAATGTCTCATTATGGTCACAATTCAAGTTATTTTTATCGTTGATGATTTTCTGTGAAAACACTTTGAAACTCGAAACTCAAAATTTGAAGCAAGGCTATTTCCCTGTAGTTTTTGAGAATTTGAAGCCCCTTAAAGCAAAGGAATTTGAAAAATCAGCAGCTGATGATTCGGCGATACTCGCCGCGCCAGCTTCAAATGGCAAATTGCTGAAAAAATCTGATGCTTTTATCAATCCTGATTTCCGGGATCATGTCATCTGGTCAATTGTTAAAGAATTAAAGTACCTTGAAGATCACAAACTCAGCCTATCATCTTTGGCATTTGATGATGATTTTGATATAGAGGAAGTGAAGGACATTCTTTCTAGCCGTGGTGAAGGAAAAAATAAGTTTTTGAAAGAAATGGATTCTGGTAATCCTTCATCTTACTCAGATATGAAGGAAAGAATTACCGAAGGCAGCGTTTCACCATATTGGCTTTTATGCAAGTTCATGTGTTTGAGCAACTTACTAATTGATTTATCACTGGAGGCATCACTTGATAACCTTAGAAATGGGCCACTTTCATCAGAATTTCAAGATAATTCCGAAACCCCACAATCTGCCATCACTGCGAATTCGAATAAGGATATTGAGAGTAAATTGGAATTCGAGAGAATGACGATTGATGCCATTGGTATTAGTCTCAATGTGATATTTAATGATTATTTGCCACATCTGATTCCACAAGATTTGGATACCTCCTTGACTTTCTTACAAGTGAAGAAATTGATTTTGCACTTGAAGAATATCGTTGAAAATTACAAGAGATTCTGGGAATTTGATACTTTAGAAATAGGCTACTGATTATTTGTTTTTCTTTTTCATCATTTATATACTTTTCGGGGTTCCATTATTGTTATGTACTATTATTACTATATTTTTTTTTTGAGATTTCCTAGATGTTTTTTTTTTGTACTCCTTGTATTTCTTTTCTTCACTAATGTGATTACGAATGATTAATAATAAAAATTTGGAATATATGCATTGATCCTTCTATGCTAATGTATATAGTATATTTTGTAATAGACCTTAATAACCAACCAACCAATAAATAAGAATAATAATTTCAGTATATAAGTAAAACGACATCATTCAAAACCAAAAAAGACGTCTCCAACCATGCGATGCTTCCAGTTCCTTTTGTTTTTGTTCTTTCAAAGCAGTCTGATTTTCCTCATTCGTTTCCTCCAATTCTCTAATTCTGAGTTCCAAAGCTTCAATTTGTTGCTTATACTCCAACTCCGTTTGCTCAAAATCAAGGTATTCCCAGGTATATTGTAAGATAAAATATATTATTGATGTCAACAAGAACGTATTAATCAATGGCCATTTGAAATCAGCAAGAGTAGGTTTCTTTGGGGTTTGAGACTGTGAGTGAAGCTCTTCCAAAGTTTCTTCTAATTTCTTTGGATCTTCTGCGATGCGCTGTTTAAGGGATTCAATGGTTGCATTGATCGATTTTTGGTTTTTCTCATGTTGAGACATAAGCTGTTCAGTGTTGGTAATAGGCTGCTTATGAGTAGGAGATATTTTAGTGACATAATGTTCTACCGGTTTCTTAGCATCAACTGGTGATTCATCGGTAACATTTGATTTCGATTTGGTTGCCTTTTTGGAGACATTAAAGATATCATTCGATTTGAGGAACCGCGATTTGGACAGGAAACACCGGATCTGTACGGCTTGAGAGACAAGATTAGGTCTCATCACACCGGTTAATCTTGGAAATATAGGGATCATGGTTGTAAATGATTAGTAATTACCGAGGATGTCTAGAAATTCTGGGGTAAAAGATCTCTGAAAGCTCATCCCATTTCCTTTTTTTTTTGGGAGGTTTCATTGGGCGCATATAAAAAGAAATTGTTGGGGGGAGGGGGCGGACACCGGCTCCGGAGACTCATAACCTTGGCGTGCTTCCAACATGGAAAACAAACAACTACAACGATAGAAGAACAGTCAATTGTCAATAAAAGAGGAAAAAAAATACGAATACATTTTCTAGAACAAAAAAAAAACCCCCTCACCGCCAAAAGTTATCAACAAAAGCCACTTATAATTCTTCAGAAATGTAGAATAAAATTCACAGCTGCCCAATCTTCAATCTTCTTTCACGGTAATATCATTCCGTATATCAACATCCTGTTTGATTGAATCATCACTCAGATACGTGGTAACGTAATCGCTCTGCATTCTCTTCTGCCACCAGTTCTTGTGGGCACCTTCATGTAAATCTTGTAGTGGTATTGCATTTTCCTCATCCCGATCATCTTCATCACTACCTTGTAATGAAATGTGTGTCACGGTTTCATCACGATATCTAGGTTTGTCATATTTTTTGATAGTTTTGAGTTTGTATTGACCTCCAAGAACCAAATCTTTTGCAACCAATTCTCTGGTTCTCCCCAAACTTTCAATAGCCGCAACTCTATCACAGGTGCTTTCCAATAATTCATCGAATCCTGGCTGGCATACGATCTCATGGAATGCTCTCATCATCGGCACTGAATCAGCACGAACGTTAGAATCAGGATCAATAGTGAAAATGTTCAAATCGTCGTATTTTTGAATATAATCTGGCCTGGTCATGATTTGTCGGGCTCTCCAAAGAGGCATTGAAGGAATTTTATGACTCTCTGAGAGTTTTAAAGGTAATTCATGCGGCAGTTTATTATTCTCAATGTTCCCATTAGACTTATGTCGGGCTTTATCCATATCCACAAATTCTTTTGCTAAAAGCATAGCAGAAGTAGAAAATTTCCCACTCTCCATAACATCATCATCCATACCTTCACCAATTAACCCACACTGGTTCAAAAACCAGGTTTTCTCTCGATCAATGATTTTATGACTGGCAACAATCATATTGCTATGTTTGGAAACCTCTGACAAATGCTGAGGACGACCACCCACCAAATCATAAACTCTATTTGCAAGTTTGTCATCCAATTCTTCTTTGAAAAATCTCTTTCTTGAGGATTTAAGAGTTTTCACAGCGTCTTCGCGGTTCAAATCGGTGATACTGATAACTTCCAATTTGGTACTTAACTTCTTCATTCTTTCGTACAACCAATAATCATCCGAGTTGAACACCATTGTCACGAGTCCTGCCCCACATAACTCTTCCGCCTTTTGTTGTAATAGTTCAACGAGATTGACACCTTCTGGGTCATTTCTAATCAAATGGGCGGAATTAATGAGCAATACCAAGGGTTTCTTGGTGCGCTTCATTCTTTTGATCGCCACCTCTTCCAACTTAGTGAACGCCCTTTCAATATCCAAAATCGCAGTGGTGTCTCTTGGGCCTCTGATGCTAAACAATGAGCCAATATAGTCTTCGAAGAAATCGAAATTTAAAGCTTTCCCCAACCGAATTCTAAAGATCTCTGGATCAGCGTGGGCATCCATGGCAGTACAATTCATCCCATTGACTTTGCTGAAACTTTCCAACACTAGCGATGTTTTTCCCGTACCCTTTTCCCCAATCAATAAGAAGTATCGACCTTTAATTTTCCCAGACACTATGTCATCCATCAACTTTTGTTGAGGTCGTTCGACCCAATCAGTTCCCGAACTATTAGCGGTTTCATGGATTGCCAAGTCAAAAGATGTGTCACCAAGACCAAATGCTTTTTCTAACTTGGAAAGAACATGATTTTCATAAACCTCGTGGTACGTTAGCCCAGCAGCGGCCAACACCGCGACCGACGCAAATGTTATCCCTGAGGTTTCTAAACATTTGAACAAGAATCCGTAAAATCTTTCTCTTTTTTCTTTCCTCTTTTCCTGTTTTTCCTGTTCATCTTCTTCGGAAAATGGGGATTGTGAATTATTATTGACCAGTGATGTTGTTTTGGAGGTTTCCCCCAGTTGTTTCAGCAACTTCCTTTTTTCTCTATTCAATCTTTGCTTCTCTTGCTTTACTTCTTCTTCTTCAAGAGTTTCTAAAGGGTCAATGGGCAATAAAGGATTGATTCTGGTTATTGGAGAGGTATGGAATCTTTGAATATTAGCCCCAAAACGTGGTAGCGTGTTTCTTCGTATGACATTACCAGCTGAACACCCAATCACCAGAGGGGCTCGCAAGTAGCATCTCATTTGGTTTAATTATTAACACAATTTCCCGATAGCTCACCCTTCACTATTGGTCGATATCGATAGAATTTCGCCTTCAAAGATGTTTTCGTCATTTGTATGTTTTCTATTTGACAAGGGGTGACAGACCCGCAGACCTGGCCACCCTTCATGTATACATATGCATAAACATGTACAAAGAACATGATCATGCGCCTCTTTCCCCTTTCTTTTTTTTTCTTTTTTTTTCCTCTCTCTTTCCTAGTTGACCAGTTACCAAACTTCGATGATTATTCATTGGTGTGATCATAAGGTACCTTCACTATAGGACACGCTACATAGAATATGTTATTTAGGACTACAACTCAGTGACCTTCTTGTTTTTTTTTTCCCGTCCAAATTTTCCAATAGATCAAGAATATAGACCCAAATGTTTGATGACTCGATTCCTCTAGAGGATAAAATCGTTCTTAAAGGATTACCACCAGTATACAAGCTACCCGAGGACTGGAAACTACCTCCGAATATTTATAATAACTTCACCATAAAGGATATTCAGAAGTCGTTCTTCTCGAAAGATTACGAGAATTTCCACAACATTTGGCGATTTGATGGTCTTGTCCCCGACCGATCAAAAAGGTTTTTCAACGAGTTTCCCCGGGTGGGATCAAATTGGGATGGTGAGCACCATACTTATAATTCGGATTATAGCTTTATCATGAAATGGTTTCCAGCGTTCAGTCAAAATCTCTATGTGGTCCATTGGCTTTTCCCAAAGCTTGATGAAAAATATTTCCCAAGTAACACTAAGACCACGGAACTTTCGGTGTTGGAAAAGCCGGATAAGTATAATACTCCACATGCCAATATTCCTAGAAATCTAACTCCTAATGAATCGAAGAAAGCGATCTTCAAGGCTAAACCAATCCCAACAAAGTTCGAACAAAACATGTGCGAGAGTTTGCGTGGCAATGGATTATATAACCGCAAGGGAGTGTGGGCGTGTTTCATCATGAGTGGCAATACCATCGATTTAGAACATGATGAGTTTGGTGAAAAATTCTTTCTCAAGTATGAGGATTGGTTGAGGTGGAAGAAATTAATGAAATTGCGGATCATTGAGGCAGCTGAAAACAATGATTTGGAGAAAGTGAACCTAATAAGAAATATATCTTATTCTGGGTGACCTTCATGTATTATAACATGTACATATAATGTACTATGACATATTAAAAGTTTCATTTATATTCATTGCTGATAACGTTTTCATGTGCTGTAAATTCAGTATATCCACAGCACCCACCGTGCTGGATCACCTGGTTCTGGGGTTTGTAGCGCTGACCGGATCTTTAATTTTTTTTTTGGTGATGAGCACAAAATATTTCGGTGTGTTTTTTGAAATAATTAACTGAAAGGATATATACACATATATACAAAAGAATATGGGGACCCGTCAAAAACAAGATCTTACTATTTTCAATGACAATAGCGTCATATGTCCACAGCTACTAGACTCTAAGATTTTCCATCCTTTCACTGGGTTAATCACTTCAGTGGAAGGAACCTCTCCAATATGGCTCATCAATACCCTAATAGAAGAACTTTTGTTTGGGAAATGCCGGCTCAATTCCTCAGTGTCATCGCATCATCATAACACATCGCTTTCAAAGAAATTAGATCGACAAGTAACCTATATCTCATTATCCAACAACTTGAGTTATTATTCTTATTATTTTAAAAAATTAACCAGCATTGACTTGACAACCCAACAAGACAGATTCCAATTCATTAATTGTTTTGATGATTTGTTCACGAAAATCTTGAAAGATGGAGATATTAGTGAGGAATCTGTGGTGAAAAACTTGTTTGAAACTCATATTTTGAAGAATATCGCCCCTTCCAACAACCGTATTATTTTCATTGACGGATTGGAATTCTTGGTAAGTGCTAGCAATGTCAAACCAATCACCATGGTCAAATTTCTTCATAATCTTCAGAAATCTTGCCAGGGATTGTTTTTGATCTCATCAGTGGATGAAGAATTAATTGATTTTGCAGAAAATAACGACAGGTTGATTGAGCACCGGATCACTCAGTTTTATTCTTACATGATACACAAATCCAATTTCGTCGTCAATGCCAGACCTTTGAGTACCGGTAGAGCTGATGACATTTCGGGAAATTTAAGAATAAGTAAGGGTATGGTTGGTTTAGATTGGTTATTAAAACATCCCCAACCTAATAACTTGCAAGTTCTTGAAAAGGAATATTTGTTTCTTGTGAAAAAGGATTTCACAGTAGACTTATTTTACAAATAAGCAATTTAAATGAATAATGATTATAATAATGATAAAGACAACAAGTAATATATATATTTATCTTTCTCTTATGCAAGTACTAATTGTAGGAGAAATGAAAAAAACAACAACAAAAAAACCACTCATTGTTTTCCAAAACTTTCTTCAATTTACTGTTCAGTAGCTTCCATTTTTAAGCTAGCCTTTTTGGCTTCGATTCTCTTCCTTTCTTGTTCCAATAATTCCTCTTCCATATCTAAGTTTTCTTGAATATTCCACAAGTCCTTATACAAGGACTTTTCCTTAGCCAATAATTCAAAATGAGTACCTTCTTCCTTCAACTGGCCTCTTTCCAAGACAATGATCTTGTCGCTGTCCGCAATGGTTCTCAATCTGTGAGCAATAGACACACTGGTGATGTCTTTAAGTTCGGCTTTGTCATTATGGAACATGGCCTTGATTTCTTTCAAAAGTGCCTGTTCAGTATGGGTGTCAAGAGCAGAAGTGGCTTCATCGAAAAACGCAATTGGTGCTCTCTTAAGCAATAATCTGGCAATGGCTAATCTTTGCTTTTCCCCTCCAGAAATCATCATACCCCGCTCCCCAACAATGGTGTTCAAACCTTCTGGAGAGTCCTCAATTAGGTTATTAAGTTTCACTTTGTTGATGATATGCTTAATTTCATCATCGCTAGCATCAAGTCTCCCATATCTGATATTCTCCAAGATGGTATCGTTGAATAATGGGGTGTCTTGAGGAACCACTCCAATGGATTTTCTAAGGGATTCCAAAGTGAGATGTTTGATATCTTGCCCATTGATCAAAATTCTCCCTTGATCTAAATCATAAAATCTGAAAATCAATTTCAAGATCGTGGATTTCCCACTACCACTTGGTCCGACAATAGCAACTTTTTCCCCAGCAGGAATCGTGAATGATACATTATCCAAAATCTTTCTAGTTGGCACATAACTGAAACTGACATTTTCAAACCTGATTTCTGCAGCACCTCCAAGGGCCAACGGTTTGGCATCTGGCAAATTCTTAATCTTCACTTCATTGTTGTTTAATTTGAACAACGTTTCCATATCCAACAATGATTGCTTCAATTCTCTGTAAACCGAACCTAAGAAATTCAATGGCACCGACAATTGGAAAACTAACTGATTAATTAACACCAAGTCCCCCACAGTTAACGAACCATTAGCAACACCATTACATGCCATATACATCATTGCGGTTAAGGCACTGGTGAAAATAAAATTCTGACCAGAGTTCAAAAATGCCAAAGAAGTGGCCACTTTAATTTGGGCATCTTGGTATTTTGTCAATGCGGCATTGTATTTCGATACTTGGAACGCTTCATTATTGAAATATTTCACGGCCTCATAATTGATCAATGAGTCCAAAGCAACACTTGCCGCTTGATTATCGGCCTTATTAGCTTTTCTACGGAACCCAGTTCTCCAAGTAGTAGTTTTAATGGTGAAAATCGAATACGCCAACATGGTAAGCAAAGTAACGGTAGCAAACTTGAACCCATAATTGTAAGTCAAGATCCCACATACCATGGAGATTTCAAAGGAGATTGGCAATATATGGAAAACCATGGCGGTTAATACGTACGAAATCCCTTTGGTACCTCTATCGATAGCTCTGGTCAATCCACCGGTTTGCTTCGACAAGTGGAAACTCAAATCAAGGTTCAATAAATGGGTAAAAGTGTCATTGGCAATCTTTTTGATGGCAGTTTGAGCAACTCTGGCAAATACGGCATTTCTTAACTCCCCAAATAATACCGCCCCGAATCTGGCGCTACCATAAGCGAGAATCAACCCACCAGCAATCGTGGTGACCGTGCCGATTTCGTTAAGCCAATCAATGTTCATGGAATCAATGATCGATTTAAAGAAAAATGGCACCTGGACGTTCAAAAGCTTGGACAATATCAACATCGACAAGGCAACCACCACCCTAATTTTGGCGTTGGTGTTGCCCTTTGGCCACAATTTTGATAAAAGTTGTTTGATGATATTAAGTTGGGGAACCGATAACGACGAAGGAAGCAGCGATGAATTTTTAACCACCACCGGTTTGATTTCCTTGGGATCTTTTGGGATCCCTGGCTTTTGGGAATTGGCCACTTTGGTCTTGGTGTGGAATTTCGTGGAGAGTAGTTTGGAGTTGATGGTCAATGAGGTCTTTACGCATCTTTGTGATTGGATAATGTTTTGCAAGTTTCTTTGGGCATTTACATGGAAGCTTCGCGAAAATAAACCGGTTTTCTTGAAGGCCTTACTGGAGGATAGCAAGTTCCTCGTGACCAATTGTAGGTTCATCATAATGGAATAGTGTGCGGGAGGCCTTCCGAGGTGATAAAGAAGAAAGTTCAAATAGACATCAAAAAAAAAAGCACCCCCCTGGTGATTTTCTTTTGAAAAAAAAAAAGTGCAAAAAACTGTGAGAAATCAATGATAATTACGACATTTTTAATTATTATTACACACAGTATTCCTACAACTGGTACCGGGGTCGATCTGTAAGACATCCCAAAAAACAATAAACAATTTTTTATCAATTATATTATTCACAAGACATCTTTTCTATAACAATTTACAATTCCCTTCCTCACCGGAAAAACTTGTCCATCAACAAGGCTGCAGCAACACTGACATTTAACGAGTCCACTACCGACTTACCATTATTGATATCACTTCTGTAAGACTCCAACTTTACGTAAAAATCACTAAGATTGACCAAGTTCTTTCTAATACCTTTCCCTTCCGACCCCAAAATCATCACGCATGGTTCAGCAACAAGTAAGTCTTTCAAACTGTCCATTCCAACATTCTTGGAATCTTGGGTTTTGGAAACCCCTGCACTGACAAACTTCCAGCCATTGCTTTGACTTTCCTGGATGAATTTCATTGGGTTGTCTGCTGAATAGATGTTCATCAATTCAAGGGCACCCGATGAAGCTTTGGCAACCACCGAATTTAGAGGAGCACAGTTCTTGGCGGTCACCACCACAAAGTCGGCCCCTAAATAGTAAGCTGATCTAATGATCGCCCCAAGATTGTGAGGATCAGTGACTTCATCGATAAGTACCCCAAACGGATTGCAAACCCCGTCACTGTCTTCAATTTCCGACTCCCTAATCACCGGTAACGTTATTTGTTCGACCACTCCCAAATCCTCTTGGTACACATCGTATTCTGTTTGATTTTCTGAGCTCACTATCCCCAATTTCTTGATACTGTTTAATATTATTGGCCGGGCTTCCAATATGACACCGTTATGCGGGTTGTAGTTACTCAATAAGTTCATATGATGCTTGTCCATTTGTTCAATTAAAATACCATTTTGTTTAGCCAATTTCACGAGCTGATCATCACTGGAATTACTTCCCTGTAATAATAGTCTGGTATATGATTGCCTTTTCCCAGATGTCAAGGCCGCGAGCACCGCAGAGGTACCGTAGACAAACTCTGTTAAAGGGTTATGGAAACTTTGGACGTAACGATTGGATTCTGCTCTTTGATACTTTCTTTCTCTTCTAATATGTTTCAGTTCTTCTCTATAAAGCTGCTTCTTGTCGTGCTTTGTCTTATATTCCTGTAAGAGATCTCTATCTTTCAATTGCCTGGCATGAACATGGGCGTACTTTCTCTTGAAGAAGGTCTCTTTATCTTCCCCGGTCTTTTCCCAGGCCCTTTGTCTTCTTTCGTTTGGGAAATTTCGGTCAAAAGACGCTTTTTTCACAAACTTTGCCGTGTCAAGCTGCTTAGAAAGACTGCTGGAGGAGGTAGCGAGTCTCCGTATGAGTACTTTAGACATGGTATTATTATGGTCTATCTATCGATTAGCTGCCAGCATCTCATCGCATCACTGTAGAAACAAAAGAAGGAAAAAAAAAAAAAAATTTCGGTGATTTTCTTCCAGATCTCCCACGTGACCATAAATCACCATCGCCGCAAACCAAAGATTTTCACGATTTTTTTTTGAACAAAAATTTCCACCAACACACAAAGAGACATTTGGGCTTAGATCGGTATATCCTGTCCATCTTGTACAAAAATGTCCTCAGCAAAGTTTGCCAACTTGCTTAGAAACTCCAAGATAGCCTCAGTGGCTACTCCATTGAAGAAATTCGATGCCTTTGCCCCAAAGTACTATCCTACACATCAAGTCATCCAAACAACGTCCGCCAGTTTGAACAGACAAGATTTTGGTATCAAGGCCTCCTTACCTAAAAAAATCAAGGGAAGATACATTATATTAGATGATTTAGACACACTAGAAGGGGTCACTGGCTTTGAACCAACCTCGGAATTCTACTGGATTAAGAAAAGATTCCAAGAATTGGGGATCCCTGTGATTCCTCCAAAAAGAATTGCTAACCAAATGAGCACCCTTTTCGCCGATACCGAATCAGAACATCAAAATAAATTCAAGAGCGAAGCCACCAATTTATACAGCCTTTCCGACAAAAACCGGTTTGTCAGTTTGAGTGATATCTTGGGGATTGATAGCTCTACCTCCCCAGCAGTTTTGAAAGCATTGCTGAGGGACTTGAAAAAAATTAGACATGATTTCCAACAACACGTCTTGAAAAACCACCCCCAGAAATTAAACCCATCTGCTTTCAACAAGAGCTCTTTGGCCTTGGAAGCTTTGCAATTCATGAGCAAAGAAGTGGAGCAACACAAGATTTCCAGAGTCGATTCGGTAAATAAAGATAAGACTTTCCTTAAGTTGGCTTCCAACCCAAGATCTGCCAAAATCAAGGGTACTGGTGGTTTGTCATATTTGCAAAGAGGCCGTTTGAACAGCACGGTTCATGGTTATTCCGACACCACCGTTGTTCCTGGTAGATTGGTAAATGAAGGTAATAATTATGGGGTTGCCGGGTTCGTCACTAAGTACCAAATTGAAGCTGCCACTCAAGCTGGTGCCGCTAAAGCTGTCCCAGGTAAACACTACAAGCAAGTTATGATTCCAAGTGCGGTTTCCCAAGCTTCTATGAGACCTAATGGTAGTGTTAGCTTGAAGACTCTTGGAATTATGAAAACTTTTGCCGGAGAAAACTCTGATGCTTTGAAGAATAGCGGATTGTTGCAATACGAACGTTCCACCAAGAAGATCACCGACATCTTGAAAGATTTATAATATATATTGTTTTCTAACCATGTACATAGAAAAGCAAATTTTATTTCATTGAGGAAGCATAAGTTGTAAAACTACAAGAGTACCGATTGCTATGAATAATAATAATATGGAAGGTAAACGGAATAATGAAATAAACACAAAACAAAACGAAGATTTTTAATATACACAATAAAGATTTATGAAAAAAAAATATTCTCTTTTCAGAATAAAACACCTTTGGTGCTTGGAACATCATTGGATCCAGTATAAGAAATGGCTTCCTTGATAGCAATAGCCAACGCCTTAAACGCAGACTCACTTCTATGATGATCATTGAAACCTCTCAAACAATCAACGTGCAAAGTAACTCTAGCACTTTCCGCAAAACTTTCCAAGAAATGAGGAATCATTTCACAACTCAAGTCACCAATTTTTTCCCTTTTCAAACCTAATTCAATAACGGCAAATGGTCTATTTGACAAGTCAACAACTGCTCTAGATAAGGCTTCATCTAATGGAGCAAATCCACTACCAAATCTTTTAACACCTTTGATGTGACCAATGGCTTTGTGGAACACATCACCGAGAAGGATTCCAACATCTTCTGTGGTGTGATGATCATCGATATGTAAGTCCCCGATACATTCGACAATCAAGGACCACCCACCATGCTTAGCAAGCGCAGTGATCATATGGTCCAAGAAACCAATACCGGTGTGGATCTCAAGATATTGATGAGATTCAACAAGGGATTTTTCATTGTGGATTTTCAAGTCCTCTTCGTACGATTTGCCCAAGATGGAGTGTTCAAAGTCTAACGGACCACCATCAAGATTAATCGCGATTTGAATCTTAGTTTCTTGGGTGATTCTACTAGCAGTAGCTTTTCTATTATTCTTGTTGATTTGGACTGACATGACTGGTCTAAATATATTGGTAGTTGTAATCAGATAAGCGATGTTTTCCCAATTTTTTTTTTTTTTTTTTGCAATTACTCATATCCGTTATCGACGATCTTTTTTTTTTTTTTTCCTGCATCTTTCTTTTTTTTTGACATGAATATACTCTTTACAGAAAATAACGATGATGAAAAACAATTCAATAATCATATAAATCAACAAAAAACTTCTCTGTATATTCTATAACAAACACTAATAATAACAAAAAAAACAAGAATATAAATAAAACCCAATATAATGCACCCAATTTCAACCATAATGCTCAAGAAATTCGAGAAACGTCATCTTCTGTGTACTACTGAAAATGTCCTCTGCTACCGTCTCTTCTTCATTATTTTCTTCAGTATCTTCTTCTTCCGCCTCTGATATCGCTTCAAAACTGTTTGAGCGCGTTGAGCTCTTTCGTACTGGCACGTTCCCAACATCACCAATGTCTGGTGAATTGAAAAATGGCTTCCATGTGTAGTCGTCGTCTAAAAAATTCTTATACGATTTGTGAAAATTATCATCTAGTCTAGTGTTGTTGTACTCTCCCTTTTCTAAATCAATTATTGGATAGCTAACAGGTAGCGAAAATCTTCTAGGAGTATGTCTACCATTACTATGGCTGGTACTAATGTGATTATGTGAATATGATCTCTGTGCTGTTGGTGGCTTTTGAATAATTTTTGCTGTGCCAACATCCAAACCTATGTCCTCCAACTCTTGGAGAGAAATCACTTCGGATTTGCTCCGACAGTGCCTTGCTTGTCTTTTAGATCTCAAAGCCGTTGTTGGTGAAGATGGGTTATTATAAATCACTTTTCTAGGACTGACACTTGGGGTGAGTTCAAGAGATTGGATGGTGGTGGTATCACTCCCGGCTTCGGAGTTTCTACCAAACATTGATGATGAATATGAGGAGCTGCTGATTGAGAAACGTCTTGCACCATCATTTTTGGGACAATCGGTTGCTTCTTCCATTAACCGAATATTGTTAGTTTCTGGTTTGGAATCACCATGTTTCGGGAATTGAAAATCGCGGATACTGTCAAATCCTTTCATTTTAGACCCCACATCTTTGGTGATGTTTTTATTAGCACTTTCAAGCATTATACCAGAAGAGTCAAAATGGTATATTTATATATAGATATAGATACTATCGATAACAAGTTATGAAATACAAGAAAAAAAAAACAGCGACTACGAAAGGACTATTAATATACCAACCGGAGAAGAATTTTTTTTTTTGTATTTCATATATGCGTTTATAAATAATTTTTTTTCTTTCTATATTCTCCGCAATAACCCACACTGTTGTCTTATTCTATTGGCTGTTATTTCTTTTCTTTTGACAGATGCCCAATGTAAGTGTCAGCAACCTGCAGAGCAAGCAAGCGTTCAACGAGATCTAGCCCCGAGGTATTTTTTTACGATGGGTTTTGGTTCAAATGGACTACTGTTACTGTCTGATGACACACAATAGTGTAGATTGATTACAGCTATCTATTTTGTTATGAATATAAAATATGTGATTTGAATAAACTAAAGAAAGAAGGGTGTTTTATCTGAAGAACCAATACAATATTCCTACGAACTATGATTTTTATAGCGTGATTTTCCGGAACTTTCAAGCGGAAGACTGCTGAGACTAGTGGATGGAAATAAATATAAATCATGTCCAGAGAAATAGCAACTTCTAGAAATAGAGTTCCAGATTCTGTCTGAACTTTGAAGAAATGAAAAAGAAAATTGATGCCGAAGAGGCTCTGATGGCTTTAATTTTTTTTTTTCTTACATATATGTAAGAAAGCATACATGCATACGTCTCGAAGAACAAATCATTCCATTTGGAACATCAGAGCTCATAAATAGTTAGAAAAGAGGATGTTCCATATGGTATATGATTTCAGCAAGCGTTGAAAGAAGAGAAAGCATTTTTGCTTGGATAGATAACAAGATGCACTACTATCGTGAACGGTTTGCGATGATGTCAGCATTTTGTATATTGGCGATGCAATTCAACTGCCATCGCAGTAAAATAGAATCCGTCGTGTCTACAAACTTTATTTACATTTACATTGTTTTGCTTTTCTTTTCTCTTTTTCTTTTCTCTTCTTTCTTTTTTCTTTTTTCTTTTTCCAGAAAGATTCGATATCATGTCATTTTTGATCTTCCAACAACATAACTTGATGATAATCACATCATACTATTATTGTTTTATACTGCTTCTGGAAAAGCTTGGTTCAGTCAAACCCATGTGAACATAGAATCTGGAACTAATTGCAAACCCACTTATTGGAAACATATCAGCAAACAAAAAAAAAAAAATTAAACTGACATGTAAACCGGCTAAATTAAAAATTCTCACTAAAGCGGAGGTAACTACAAAAAACTCCGGACCACACTTACTTACCAATTAGCTAACCACTTCAGGCAACAAAAAGAAACAGTGGAAAAGAAATTGTTATGATAGCAGCTCTCTTTTCTGACATTTTCTGAACCATTTTTAAGAGCTGCGGCCGTCCCACACGAAGAATTCTGATGCCTCGACTATATTCTTGGTAAAAACTTGATTTTACTCACAGATCAAGGATTTTCTGCATCACCCCAACAATTAAGAGCAATAAGGTTGCAAGGTATGAAATAATTCTTCTCCACATATGGAAGAACTACTAATCTAAAAAAAAAAAAAAGGATAATAGCACGTTTTCTGTCTTGTGTACACGGCAAGCATCCCCACAAACGAAATCCAAACTTCGTTATCTGCGCTTGGTCTTGGTTTTCCAAAGGAAAGTAAAACAACCCATTATATAATCGCCACATGCTTTTCTAATATGAATTATCTGAGAAACCTTCTTAGACTTGATTAACCTACCAGAACTGGACAGGTACCGGGGGCCATAGCTCAACTGGTTGATTATTGCGATGCCTTTTTTTACACCCTTTTTTTTTTTCGCCTGAACATTTTTTTTATGCGATGGTTATACGAGGGAAAGACCCTTTCTTTTCTTCATTTGATATCATCAGATAATATTGAGTAGAAAGCTCAAACAATAGATAGACAATACTGATAGAATGGGTCAGTTTGACAATACTAATACCGTGGCTGCCAACGTTCTAGGGACTATTGGTACAGTGCTATGGTGTGTACAGCTTATACCCCAAATCATTCGCAATTACAGAGTGAAAGACTGCTCGGGACTCCCTCCGTTGATGTTATTTCTTTGGGCGGCGTGTGGGATCCCTTTTGCAATATATTTCATAGCCACCGAGGCAGCGATCCCCGTTCAAGTCCAACCAGAAGTGTTCACGGTGTTTTGCGCAATCACCTGGGCCCAATCGTTATATTATCCTCCATGCTCGATGCAATGGCAGAAGATTGCCATGTGCGTGGGGCTGTTACTTGCAGTGTCCGTGGGACTTCAAGCAGGAATGATCACATACTTGAAGAACAACTACGCTGACGACCCAAAGAACTGGAGATTCTTGATCTTTGGGATCATTGCCTCGGTGCTTTTGGCGATCGGATTACTTCCACCATACCTTGAACTTGCCAAACGTAAAGGTAGAGTGGTAGGGATCAATTTCCTTTTCCTTGCTGTTGACTGTTCGGGGGCTCTTTTCTCAATGTTCAGTGTGATATTTGGTAACATGGACGTGATGGGGATCTCCTTGTACTGTATTTGTGCGGCGTTGGAAATTGGAATCTTTTTGAGTCATTTCATCTGGTGTTGTAGATTCAAATGGTTTGGCAGGGAAAAGGTATCCGACGAGGAAAAAGAAGTAACAGAAACCAATATCGAGACAATATCAGTAACGGATGGACAAGAAAAGAAAACCAATAAGGATATTGCCTAAGTTGTTGACTATTGGGTATGAATGGATGATTGATTATTATTACGATGATTTGTAAGTTAACCGCACGCTGCGAACATTATGATTTTTTTTTTTTTATTTCTGATAGGGTTTTGTTTACTTTCTTGATGAGCAATATCATGGGTATCATCATCAATTATAAATTGCCAGTTCTTGATGAAGAATATAAATAGAATTATCGTATCATTTTGCAGGTCGTATAGTACTGGGACCCCCTTACCAAAAGTACGGTGGTTTTACGCTACTGAACCAGCAATCTCAAAAAGCAAGCTTGATTTGACGCCCCAAAAGATTCAAGATTTCCAACCCAACAAATGGGAAAACTTCTCGGAAATCGATTCCCAGAAAATAGAGAGAGCTTATCAACAGCTATATGGTAAAGGAGGTGAAGTTTCCTCACTTTTAAGAAAAGTAGACGAAAAAATTGAGGCGCGGTTCCAAAAGTTGATCGATTATAACCAGACCACCATCAAGAGCTTTTACACCAATTATCGAAGAAATAGCAACAAAGATACCCCTTTGAAACCATATGCTAAAGTTCCGGTGAATGAGGATAATTTATTTGAAGCGGATATTCAGAATTTCACTTTGACATCAATTTATTGGGATGGCCCTGTATACGGGATTAGAAGAGGGTTGTGGTTCGATAACGAAGGAGTACCATTGACAAATGAAATGTCAATGCAAATTGAACAAGGTTATCAAGCTTTGAAGCCCTCAAAAACCCAGCCTGCCAATCAGTTAGAAACCGCAGAAACAGCAATTGCGTTAGAGACCCAGGGTCAACATTGGGACATCACCGTTACCGACAGAGGAAATCGTGAGAAAGTCAACAAGAGCGTGGTTTATATTGATGAAAACCATGCCTATATCCTTGATAAAAAAAGTTCAGTCAACAAAGCCAAATTATTCTTAGCAGAAACCCTTCCAAAAAGTACCTCAGTGGTGCCAGGCTACACTTACGTTTCCAGGGGTTTTAGTGAGGCAAAAGAGGAAGCAAAGCGGAAAGCCGAAAAGGAGCGTGAGATTAATGAATCAAAAAAAAAGAATATGGATTCATCTTTCATGGGGTTGGTAAATAACGAATTGGGCCAATTATTAAATTTTGACTCGGCCGATGAAAAAACCTCGCAACTTATTAGTGAACAAATGGGTGAGAACGGGGGTTCCAATAATAGAGAGATTGAACATTTAGTGTTTTGTATTCATGGTATTGGCCAAATTTTGGGAGCTAAATACGAAAGTATTAATTTCATTCATACCGTCAACAATTTTAGAAAAAATTTAAAGCAGAACGCCAGCGATATTTTGGGAGATTCTAAGGATTGCCGAATCCAGGCAATTCCCATTGTGTGGAGGAATTTGATTGAATTCAATAATGAAACTAAGATTCCCGGAGAATCCGATTTCCCGACTTTAAAAGATGTGACGATCAAAGAAATTGAACCTTTGAGATATTTGATCAACAACACTTTATTGGATATCTTGCTTTATTATGAAGACCCTTACAAAAACAAAATCTTGATCAAAGTAATTGAAGAAATCAATAGATCTTTCAGGAAGTTTTTAATTTACAATCCAAATTTCAATGGCAAAGTCAGTATCATTGGTCATTCTTTAGGGAGTGCCATTGGATTTGATATTTTATCGCTTCAAAAATTCAATCTTAATTATAAAGTGATTGATGAAAATAGCACCAATGATTCCAGAATCAAATCCAAGAATCAGAAAATTAACAGCTACTTGAATAAAAAACTCGAATCCACTCACCCAATTTTCCGAGAATACCCTTTGGAAAAATGCCAATTAGACTTCAATGTCGATAATTATTTTTCCATTGGGTCACCATTTGGGTTATTCAATTTATTGAAAAAGAAACAAATGAAATCCCGGAAACTTCTTTCATATTATCCAAAAAAAGAATTGATGAATCTGATTGATTTCGAAAAAGTTTCATTTCCAAGTTGTAATAATTTTTACAATGTGTTTGATTCGTGTGACCCGGTGGCTTATCGGATTGAACCACTCATCAACCAAAGTTATTGTGGTTATAAAAGTCAAAAAATGACTTACAAGGAATTGGAGAAGCAGAACCCAGGTTTTTTTAACAGTTTAATCAGTGATGATCTCATAGATACTGGGAAAAACTATATCAGCGAGTATACTGGGACCGGGTTGTCATTGATCAATCAGCAATTTGAGAGCTTATTGGATACTAGCAAGACAATTTTTGCTGATAATGATGCGGATAAGAAATTATTAGAAGTCGAAAATAGGCCACTCTTTGTTGACCTGACAAAAAAGGAAGAAAGCCCCACCGATGGTGCCACTAAGAATGGGGATAAATTCAACTATTTAGGGAATACTGCCTCTAATCCGGAAGGGTTTGAATTTGATGTCAAGCATGTGCTTTACGGAACTCCAGCTCATGTGAAGTATAATGAAGATTTCTATAACCTCAAAGGACTCAGTGACGAGGAAATCAAAGATAGGATCGAGATGTTGAGTTGTAATGCTAACGGGAGAGTCGATTATAGTGTCCCCCAGAGTGTTTATGATATTTTGATTATCAACACGTTGAAAAGCCATACCACCTATTTTGAGAATGAGCATATTTCAAAGTTCATTCTCAATGAATTATTGTTCAAAAGTGGGAAACGATCAGACGATTGGTTGGTGGATGACAAAATGAGACGAATTGCGCTTCATGATCCATGATAGAAATATTCTTTTTATGAATTTATGGTTCTGATACTGGCATTAGAAACTGGTCGTTGATTCAAACTAGTTGATTAAGGGCTAATCAAAATTGTTTCAATTAAGGTGATGATAAAAGTCAACAGATAATTTTTTTTTTTTTTTTTTATTTCAGAAAGTGGGATACCCAGAAAAACACAAATATCCCATATATCTACTTCAATGAGCTATATATACACAACACATATTAAATATAATACATATACCATGGAAACTCATTTGCTCATATTTAATTTCGATGTCGATGAGCCAATCATCCACGCGGGGGTGTGGCACCTTGCAAATTAAAGGCAGGAAAAAAAAAAAAAAATAAACAAAAACATCGTGGGGATTATATAACTAAGAACGAACAACTATAAGAAAAAAAAAAAAACAAAAAACAAGTTCAAATGTCAATGGTGAAATGGGGGAACTAGAATCTTTGATCCTGGGATCCAATGAGGCTTGCAATTCCATATCGACATTGTATTTTCATTCTGGAGGGATCTTTGCCAATTCGATCATTAAGAACCATGAGATCACCAACTTGATCACCGATTTAAACATCGATTTACAACCGGACAACCACGATATTGCAAATAAATCAGGAGAAGAACAAGAAGTACAAGGCCACACCAGACAATTCTTGACTTATGATAAACTGCTTGGGGTGTTAAAACGGTACGATGGGGCGCAATACCGTGAAGACGAGGAGTATTATGTGAATAATAATGATGTAGAAGAAACAATGATCATTAAACCACCTAAACCCATGGTACTTGAAGATCTCTCGATGGCCAATAATAATTATTTATTAAACCGGTTAGAAGGGGTGAGTGCAGCATTACAAGGGTTATTTCAAAAAAAATTGAAGACTAGTAGTTTATACCAAATGAACCATGAATATTACAATGACGATGATGAACGAGAGACAATAGAGAATCAATCAGGGAATTTGTCTAGTGAAAATAAGGACGAAGATGAAGAAGTGCAATTAATCAATTCGTTGGTGGAGATCTTGGTAAAGTTGAATGGGAACTACCCAATAAATAATTTGCGGGACTATTTGGAGAAACTCAAGTCTCGAAACATTTCATTATCAAAGGAGCTTGATGAGTTACTACTGATAGGGAAGGATATCACTGTGCAATTGAAAAAGTATAACATTGATTTGAATGATCGGGAACTTTTAGAATTTCAAAAGAATCTGAATAGTACCGAGAATGAACCGCCAATTAAAAGAAGAAAATTGAAAAGTGGTCAAGAGATCCTTCAAGAAAAAAGGAAAGAATTGGAAAATTTGAAAAAATTAAAAGATGATCTACTCAAGGATTGAGAATAGAAGAATTTCATTCTTCATCAGTTGATTGCGATAACTTTCTATATATATATATAGATATTCGTAAACTATATTTCAATACATGAGCTATTATTTCAGCAAAACGAATATTACTATTTATAAGGAACTAAGTTAAATAAACAAAAAAAATTAATGGTAGAAAAAAAATAAAGGAAAGAAAATCACACACTAATAGGCGTCGTGAAAAGAAACTAAAAAAAAAGAAAAATAAGGCGGTTAAGCATTATGGAATGACTAGAAAAATAGGATAATAAACTATATCATTTTAAATCAACTAGGATCAGCTAAATTAAATATGCTTCATAAAATATTAGAAAAAATATATAAAAAGAAAATTTTTTGAAGGAAAGTTAAGAGTGAAAAAAAAAAAAAATTGAATTCAACAGAAAAAAGGGATACTTCAAGATACTTCAAAATTATAAAAATTGACAGAGAGAAACAACGATAAATAGAAGAAAGAATAAACAACAAAAAAAAAAACAGCAACATGAAAATATTTAAAGATTAAAAAGTTTGGAGGTTAAAAGTTAGCGAATGGATTCAATGTACGCACCGTCAAACATGGAATAGCCATACCAATTTCAGATCTTAACAAAATTGGAATTTGTTGCAATTCATGGACTTCTTGAATATAATAATTCTTTGCTTCATCCACTCTGGTGACCACTTGTTTGAAATATGGTTTCATTGGATCCTCATCATCAACAATACCCAAAGATTTAGAAGTACCATCATCAAGAGAATCAGCAATATCGTTAGGAGACAATATCTTTGGAACTGTCAAACCCAATTGATTCAACTTGGCCAATAACTCTTCAGATTCAAACAATTTGGAATTGGTCTTCTTTTGATACTTAGCCGCCTCAAGTGAGGAAGTTCTAAACTTGTTTTTGATCGATGATCTATAAGACAATGGCTGCTTTTCATCTGGGGGAACATAAGTTGCAGAATCCACTCCTTTTTCCCAGTACAACTCCAAGACTTTTTTCGATTTATCGAATTCCGCCTTGAACAATGGCAATTGATCACCATGGACTCTTTTTTCAATGCCAAATTCCGGAATCAACACATCAAATGACGATTCATAAGTTTGAATAACGGTACCCATGGTCAAGATTTGACCAGTCTTAATGGACATCGCATTAACGGATTGACACAACAATAAATGAATAGACTGGTGCTGGGCTGATAGGGCATTATCTTTCTTGAAATTACAATACTCAGCAACCATTTTCAAGTTATCCATGTCCTCAGTATATTCTTCATTTTTGAGAATCGATTTCAATTGTCTATGAACAATCAAGTCAGCGTATCTGGAGGTTGGAGCGGTGAAATGAGTGTACAATGGCAAATTGTAGAACCAATGAGCGTAATTTTCCGGATCAACTTTGCCAGCAACATAATACTTGCCTCTGTTCATACATTTGCTCAATAAAGTTTCCACAGCTTTTCTCTTCACATCATCCTTAATGTTAACAATGGAATTCTGCAAAGATGCAGCATCAGTGGTATCAAGCAATAAATTGAAATTGGAAACTTTACGAATAAAAGTCTCAAACTTGGACAAAGTTGGTAATTGTTGTCTTCTTAAGAACGCTTTAGAACCCAATTTCGCAAAGATTCTTTGGGCAATTGTGGCATCAACCTTATGGAAAATTTCCTGAATTATTGGATACGCCATGTTATCTTCAAAAATATTCAATGATAATCGAGCTCTTTCGTCATCAAATTGATTCAATAAAGTTAGAGCCGGCTCAACCTCCATGGAAGTGCTATTCAATCTTTGGCTGCGGAACTGCTTGGAAATCAACAGCAAAGTTCTGATATAATCAGCAGTAGCTGACATGATTTTACCGTTGGTTTGGCTGGTGAAATCAAATTCAACATCCTTGTTCAAAATACTGTCAATCTCATCATAAGTGATAACTTGTTTTGGCTTGACGATACTTTCACCAATCCAAACATCATCAATTTCAAAACTGTCAGTATCAATCTGGAAAATTGTAGAGATTGCCACATTGATTTGCCCTGGCTTAAAAGAAACCAATTCATTAATATGATCTGGCATCAAATACTTGGAGACTCCTTGAGCTAAATGAACTGACACATTTCTCTTTTTCAATTTTTTGTCCAACAATGATCCATTCTCAATGAAGTAACAAACATCAGAAATATGGACCCCAATTTCAATCTTAGCATCCGATAATCTCTTGATGTGAATTGAAGAATCACAAACGGCACCAGTCGGAGAAACCCCGAAAACGTACTCATTAGTGAAATCTTTTCTATCAACAATGTTTAATTCTTTTGGCAATTGTGTTAAATATTGGAAATCTTTTGGAAGTTCATCAATAGAACCATAAGATTGCAACAATTTCGAGAAATTTTCTGGGAATTCATCACATGAGAAATTATTATCTCTCAAAATAGAATTGATTTCAGTTTCTGCTGCATCAATGACGCCTAATTGACTAACAAGGGTACCAAATGGATGTAAAGAAGTGATTGGCCATCTTTTGATAGAGGCAACAAACAATTTATTTGCGTAAGCTTCATGGTTCTCAACAAAATCTTTTGGTGCTTGATCGGTTGGAATGGCGATTAATGGAACCTTTTTATCATTTGGCTTGAACCAGACGATTTTTGGTCTGTGATTTGAGTTACCGCCATCCTTATTTTGTTGAGATGGACGAACCAAACCTAAAGTACCACTAAACAATTGGCCAGGAATTCTGTCGATAACGGCCACCACATGGCCAGCGTACAATGGTTTGAATTCATCACTGATTTCTTCTTCTTCAACCAACAACAAGGATTGACCTTCAACTTCCAAATCGTCATTCTTCTTTTGAGTTGGTCTTTGTTTCAACGACCCTCTTCTTCTAACACCGCTTTCAGCCTTGCGAGAAGTACTAGCATCATTACTAGCATCGCCATTAGATGGATTTTCTTTAGAAGATTCTGTATTATCCTTTCTTCTTTTCTTTTCTTCTTTTTCTTTTTTAGAATTCCAAACTTCATCAACCACTAATAATTCAACGGCAACCTGGTCACCTTCTAACGCTCTGTTTCTATCCTTGGAGCCACAAATGAAAATATCAGCATCCAACAACCCATCTGTGGAAATGTAGGCGTCAGAACGGTTCTTCTTATTGACTCTCAAGGTACCAGTAACCAATCGCCCTTCAGCAATTAAATCTGGTAAATTGGCTTGAGGTAAGTATGGAGCAAACAATGATTTTCTTTGTTGTTGATTTTGTTGACCATTAGGAGGATTATTGAAGCCTCCATAAGATGCAATTGTGTTGATTGAAGAAATCGATCCACTAAAAGAATTTTTTGGTCTGTGAGAAGGAGTAAACGCTGGAGGAGGAGCAAGACCCATGTCGTAAGAGTTGCTATTATTAGCAGCTTCTTTCAAATTACCAAAAGAACGTTGGTTTTGAACTTGGGGTTGCTGCTGACTTCTCCAATTGGAATTCATATCTTTTGTTCTACTGTTAGTTCTGTAATGTCCTGAACCTTTTCTATCATGCCCTCTGGCAGGAGATTTACCCAAATAACTGCCGCCAGACGAGTTTCTTTCATGGTAGCTCTTACGAGCAGGAGATCCTTGGTTGCTACCTCCTCCATAAGATGGTTGAGGAGGCAATAAGCTGGATACAGTAGGTGCCGGTTGGGGAGGAAATTGAAAATCTCTTGGAGATGCGCTTTTGTGAGGCGATGGGGTAATGTTTAAATTACTGAAGGTCTTAGGAAGTTCAAATTCTGGGGTCTTGTTAGCATCAGGCGGGGTCGAAGGGGAATGTTCACCGTTATCTTTGGCTGGAGAGTCACTAGCAATACTTCTTTGAGACTGCGCCGCTGCAGCAGCTTTTTTGGCTTCTTGCAAACCTAACGAATGTCTTCTATTATGTCCCATGTTGTGCTGAGAGCCTGAGCCTGAACGGCCATGAGCAAATTGTTTGTTTTGAGGAGGAGTTTGTGATCCCGCGCCATAAGTGAAATTAGTGCCAGCACCACCATACTGGATACCAAAGGATCCTTGATGTTGATGAGTATTGTGTGGAGGAGTAGGTGGTGGTGGAACTGCAATGGTGGTTGGCATGCTAAACGAGCCCATAGACCCCATTGAGGCAATTGAAGATTGTGATCTTCTGTGTGATTTTTTATTTTTCAGAGGAGAGTTGGCAGAAGAGGAAGTTAGGAACGTAGGTGGTTGTAATTGAGCCATTTGCTGCTGAGCCAAAAGTTGTTGTTTTTGTTGTTCCACGATTTCCAATTGTTTTTGGATTTCTGCTTGACGTTGGAGATTGAGTTGTTCAACTATTGATCATGTCAGTATTGGAGAATTTCGGAAAATAAGGGATGTACCCAAAAATAACCTTTCCAGGGCCCAGTCTTCAAAGAATGGATGAGAAGTTGAAGAAGTACAAAGAGAGGCATGATTTCTGATATCAATTAATTTAGAATGACAGTTACTGATAGTTTGTTTGTCTTTTTTCATGGAAGTTTTCGGTTGAAATTTTATGTATCGACATATGCGTTATACAAACCTTGTGGACCAGCGACGAAGGACAATCAGGGAAAGAAAAACCTCACAGATAATTGAGAGGAGTTCAGATTCCCAACGGACTTCTCTCTTATGTAAATTCTTCCCATCCATTTAGGAAAACTAGATTAGTAAAATGTAAAGAAAAAAATACGTACCCATTAAAGCAGTGAGTTCAGAAGGTGATCTTCTATGAGCAATAAATAATTGTTTCTTCTTCTTGGTGTTGTCACCATTGGCAGAGCTGTTTCCCACATAATTGGGGGTTAAATAGTTGCTGGCATCAATATTGCCTGAGTCATCATTCAAGTTGGAGCTCATTGTTAGGCATAATCTGGTAGAATTTGTTGGTCAAAAGATAATTCAAGCGGATAAATGATAAGCTAGGCAATTTTTTTTCCTGTTCTTATATTTAATTTTTTTTTTTTAATTTATTATTTTCTTTTTTTCTGCTTTTTTTTTTCTGCTAATTGATATTGAGAGAATTGATGATAATAAGTTTATCCCTGTTTACTCTGGTTTGCTCTTGTCTTCAACTATACGTTGCTGGATGAATCACAAGTGCTTGGCGGGTCTGTTGAGATGGGTATGAGACACTTGCAAGTAGCCAATGAGAAATGGATTGTTTGGAATGAATATACCAAAGAATAATGGGAAAGACAAAGGAGGGAATTGTCTTCTGGTATTCAAAGACTGGAACACGGTTTAAAAAAAAAAAATTGACAAGGGATGTAATGTGGTTTTCTTAGCAAACTAACAATAGCAGCCACCACAATGGTTCCAATTGAAAGATCAAATAAAAAGATGAAGGCTAAGGATAAGGACAATCCAATTGAGTGGAAGGCGTGTGATCTGATGTAGGGTAGAAATGACTGTTGATCAACTATGGTATACAATCCAAGAGCATCCCCAAATGAAATCCCCAAAAAAAAATAAAAAAAAAAAAAAAAAAAAAAAAAAAAAAAAAAAAAAAAAAAAAAAGAGAGAATAATCGCCACTAAAAATATTTGACGTTTTTTTTCTTTGGGTGTGCGGTCCTTTGCCCTCAGCTCGGTAGGGTAATCTGTGTCCCAACGGTGTGGTAGTACTCTATGCACAGAGTATTTATTATAATTATTATAATTATTATTATTATCATTATCATGATATCATCATACATAATTTATCAAATACTTTGTAAACTGAATATTAAAACAATCAATACACTCTATATAAAGTGAGAATAAAAACCAAAAACCAAAATGCACATTATATCAAATATACTCTAATAATTACAAGGGTATCATCACTGTTCTCTAACTCCTCCAAGAGCTTCCCCCATTCTAACCACTTGTCCCGGTTCAACTTTGAATTCAAATTGATCAGCTGGCGCTTCAAACACTAATACCACAGTACTCCCCAATTCAAATCCTCCCATTTCTACCCCTTTATTTAATGGAATACCTCCAAGGCTCTTGCTGTTGTTAAAATAGGTAGCTTCATACACAGAGTTCTTGACAAATCTCTCATTACTATTGTATGGATCATATTTTTTGTTAGTCACCAATTCTTTATCAAAGTTTATTTTGACACTACCCACATTGGTGGCACCAACTGGAGTCATACTGAAAAACCCATGCTTCCAATAACCAAGTAAAGAAACCCGCTCGTTAAGAATGAACAAGTTTTGGAAAGTCTCTTGGAAATAAGGAGCCACCGAATAAAGCTCCCCAGTGAAGTATTTACGAGCTTGGACCACCCAATTTGTAGGAGAGTGGAAACGATGATAATCTCCTGGAGCGAGATAAATTACGGAATAGAACAATTTTTTAGCAGGATTTCCTTGAGCCACAAGTTTGGTGGCGTCAAGTTTGTTGTCTTTAATTTCCAGAGTGACTAATGATTGGTCACCTCTGTGATTGACGTTGATGTGCTTCAAAAAATGATGAATTTCTTTATCATTATTGATCCCCAACAAGTCATCTACCGTGTATGATATACCATTGATTTTCGCAAATTCACGATGGTCAATTTCATTGGCTTCATCATCATTGACTTCTTTAATCTTTTGCAATGTTGATTTTCTGATCCCCAAGAATTTTTTAACTGAATAACTCATGCCTTTAACTTGTTCAATTTCTCCATGTTCGTTTATCATCCCGAAGCTTAGAACTTTCCCATCACTTGGGCAAACAACTTCATGGCTATCGATAGATCTGGCCCCATCCTTCAATTCTCTATAGAAAAATTCTCCAAGGTTACGGAACTTTTTCAAATCATCCTCTTTGATCTCATCCATATTCACCCCAAATAGATACGAATAAAATTTGAACCCCGGTTCTCTAGCCCAAACAGGGAGCTCGATACTATTGAACTTACCCCAAAGCCTAGAAATTGCATTTAATGGCAATGCTTGATAAGCGAAAAATTTCCAACTGGTAGGTCTAACCACAAAATCGTCGTCTTCATCATCACCAGCTTTCTCTTGTTGATTTTTGTACTCTGCTCTAGCTAAAAGACCGAAAAACACCAAGGGGATGGAAGTGACGGTCCACCATTTGATGAATTTATCACTTTGTTGTTTCTTTCTTCGAGCAGCATCGATTTCTGAAAGTTTGTTTTTCAAATGTCTGTAACTGCTGAATAATCTGGTGTTCAGCGTTACTCTAAAAGCAACTCTTGGGTTCTTGAAAGCGATACCGATACCGCCGCTCCGTATTGAAGGCCTGTGGAACCCCGGGGAGTTCTTAAAAATTTTTCTGTTAAAGATCAATTGTTTGTTTGGCAATTTGAGGTACGGTTTGTTAGCGCTGAAGCTTGCAAATCTTTTGTAAACGTTGGCGGAGTCCTTGACATGGTCGTAGTAAATGGAATTGACGGAAGTGTTTGGCCCAATGAAGAGTCTCGAAAGACCCATAGTGGTACGGGGACCATTACGAGGTAGCATCATGTTACTGTTAAGGATTGTTGACATCGTTTTGGAAAAAGAAGATGAAATAGACGAGGAATTGTAGAAAAAAAACAGAAAAATAAAAAAACTGCCAGAAAAGTGGTATTTCACATGCTGCAATAACTACCACAATTGTTGTGTTTGGTAACTGCCAGGGATTACTGTCAAAGATTGTGTGAGCGATAACTCTCTCTCTCTATCTATCTATTCGCACAATAGCCCCTAAATTAACCCCAAACAAAAAATCACATAGTAAACAACAAGTGTAGACTCTCCCCCATTTTCTGTAATGGTTCCAACCTGGTGGTTCTTTCTTTCCATTCACAAGAAGGGTAACAAAATTTAAATGACAATAACAATTTATCCCAAAATGCCCATTAATCACATCTTTTGGATAGTATAAGAACATACAAAAATGTTGATTGGGGTCTCGGGAACCATCTTTTCTGGTAAACAGGAAATCGTCAGGTACCTCAGCTACCAAGGTTTTAGCTACGTCTCGCTTGATGATCCAAATAATAAGAATTTCAGCTCTTTACCCCCAGGGATCAAACAGAAACCATCGCCTTCGGATATTTTCCCAGAAGTCACATTCCATTCTGTCTCAGAATTGTTGGAATATGTCACCAAAAACTGGGAGGAAAACATCGTGGTGATGCCTGTTAATAACTACAGCGTGGTAGAAGAATTAAGCGTACGGCCATTCTTTTTGCATTTGATCGTTGACGGCTCATCCAAGATTAGATACCAAAGATTCAAAAAGAAATGCTCCAAGATAGAAATCTCCCCTGAATCATCATCAATCACTCTTTGTGAAACTAACAACACCGAGTACCCTCCATTAAGCTTTGAAGATTTTGTGGAACTCTCCGAGCAAAACATCAATTTTTTTGCCCAATCGCATAGCACCACCACTTATACCCCAACCGTCAAAGTCATAAATAATACCACTACTGTCAAAGACCTTTATGTCCAACTTTCCCTGCTCAATATCTTCGATCCATTACGTCTTAGACCTAATTGGGACACATATTTCATGAAATTGGCAAATTTGGCAGCCCTCAGATCAAATTGTATGAAACGCAGGGTTGGTTGCGTTATTGTCAAAGACAACCGTGTCATTGCCACCGGTTATAACGGAACCCCTCGTCATTTAAAGAACTGTAACCAAGGAGGTTGCAAACGCTGTAATAATACCAGCAGCGGAGGTGAAGCGTTGTCGACATGCCTATGTTTACATGCTGAAGAGAATGCGTTGCTAGAAAGTGGAAGAGATCGCGTCACTAGTGATCATGGCAGCAAATGCATTTTGTATTGCAATACGTGTCCCTGTTTGACTTGTTCAATTAAAATCATCCAGTGTGGGATCAGTGAAGTCGTATACTCACAAAGTTATAGTATGGACAGCTCATCCAAAAAGATTCTTAATGAAGCCGGAATCGGACTTAGACAGTTCTCCCCTCCTAAGGATGTTATAACTACTTGAAAATATTCTTTTCGACATACATTGGAAAGTATAAATTGTATTGCACTATATTTTACCTCCAAATGGTAGTCCATGTTGGGATCAAACATTGGTCATATCAGTGTGTGAGATCGACAGCGAAAACCCGTACAATAAGTACCACGATGGTCGCCATACACTAATTATTATTTATAAATGATGAGCATTGGTATACCAAATAAGTTCTCGGTCTTGTTCTCGTAAGCCATTACAATATCAATTCTAGTTTCTCATACCTCGAATATTGTACTAGGAAATTTATTTTGACGGAAAGTTCACTTATAATAATATATACAACTATAAATTGAGTTAACAATTTTATTTTGGGGCTTGGAAGACAAAAGGACTTGGATTCTCTTCACACTTGAAATTGATGATACTTTCTTCAACAATTTTCCCATCAATGGTGATATGACCATCAATGGTATCGCCTGGTTTCAATGGACCAACCCCCTTTGGTGTACCAGTCAACACAATATCCCCTTTTTTCAAAGTCATAACACCACTCATGTAAACCAAGATCTTCTTCAAGTTGAAGATCATCAAACTCGTCAAATCATGTTGACGCAACTCGTTGTTGACATTACAAGTCAACATACAGTTGTAAGGATCTGGGATCTTGGATTTTGGAATGAACCCAGAAATTGGACAGAAGGTATCAAATCCTTTAGCGATAGTCCACGGTAAGCCTTTGGCCTTATTGACGTCTTGAATGGATCTGGCAGTTAAATCCAACGCCAAAGCGTAACCTTCAATAGAGTCCAACACGTCAGCATCACTAAAAGAATCCATGGTCAAGTTCTTCAAGTCACGATTCAAAACTGCGGCCAATTCAATTTCGTGATGCACCACAACATTCTTTGGGATAAGGATTGGTTCGCCAGAGTTGTTGGTAAGCAACGAGGATGGAGGCTTCAAAAAGAAGAATGGTTCAGCTGGCCTTTGGTTATTCAATTCTTTGATGTGGGCAACATAGTTACGACCGATACAAACGATTTTGCTGGCACGAGAAAGGTAAGAATATGACATCTTGAGGTTGGAAAGAGTGGCAAAGGAGATAGGCTTTGACATCAAAAACGGTCTAAACTGCAGACGAAATGGCTATACCGTAAAGGAAGAAACACTGTCCATTCATGACTCCTCGATTTTTTTATTTTTTTTTTTTACGCACGCCGCGGATCGAATTTGAACATTATACTAACTATTCTCAGACTTTTCGTCCCCTAAATTCTACGCCGGATTGGAGTTTGGAAGGGAAATACCTTCTTATTCTTCAATGAGATAGTTATGGAAAATGCCGAGGCAGATGAAACCCAAGAAGCTAAAAAGAAGGACATATGATTGATGATGCAGCTGTTCCTCCACCATCAAAAGATTCACATGGTACAAAGTTCACCAAGTATACTATGGCCACCGTGTTGTATTAGCATATACATCTATTTCGTTCAATCTTTAAAATTATTTTAATGGATTATTATTATTATTTTTTTAAAAAGTATATTCAAGACTATCATATTGTTTGCCAAAATGATAAGTGGTTTGTGACTTATTCCGTTCTTAATATTGTTTAATCTCCAGCAACAATCTATTTGATCTTGTTGTCTTATTATCCTATCGTATCTATATTCTTATCATATCTTTATTCTTATTGTATCTTCTCTCTCATTAATTAAATCAATTGATCTGAGACTAGCTGATTTAATTTAATCTAATAATCATCCTCTATCCATCTCTGTTTGTTCGACCAAACAGTTTCCCTCCTATCCCAGAAGTAAGGAAAACGACCATCGATCATACGGTTATCATGGATAATTATTAACATCGGAATAAATTTCAACATTGTTTCAACAAAATGCATGAAAGTTTCATAATAACAGTTTTTAACATCATCTATATTCCCAAGGCGCAGCACCTGATGTAGTTTGATGAAGATATACTTTGGAGTCTTCCAATTCACGGCAAAAAGCACCAGAAATCATTCTTCCCAATACCCAAGGCTTTCAACCCATGGACCGTGCAGACTTCGGCAAATTTTGGGATCGTTTATCCCAAGCAGTAAGTGAGTTTCCTGTAAGGTACAAATAAGAAAAATGGGGGAAATCTAATGGGAAGTCAATTGATGCCAATTTGTTATTGGAAAGGCTCAAATAACTGAGTTTTGGAATGGAATTAATACTGCTGAATGATTTTTTCCTGCTGTTGTGCAAGTCGAGATGTGTAAAGTTTAGTAATTGACAAAATCATCTTCAATCTTTGTAATTTTATTATCGACAAGATATAATCGTTTCAACTAAGGTAATCTCAATTTACTAATCACTTTAGACTCACTCCAATCCAAATTCAGCAATTCTAATTCAGGTAAAACTAATTCATCAACACCGACTCGGAGTATCATATTTTCGGCAAGATTCGATGTTTTGAGATTACAGACCGATTGAAATGCCTTTATAGATTTTATGGATTTGCTGTTTATAACCATCTCTTCTGATTGATTCAGCTCTTTTCAAACTTGCCAAACCTTCAAAATTCTCAAGTTTCTGGAGTGAGTTAAAGCCTAGATCAAGCCTTTCCAATGAGGGATAATTTAACAATTGGTCAATACCTAGAAACTTAATGAAGCAAATGTCCAAGGAGTCCAACTTTGGAAGCGAGCTGATATTTTTGAGCGGAGATAATTGATTTCCTCGAAAATTGAGACCGACCAAATTCACCAATTTGCTGAAATTAAAATTAATTGCTTTAATACTGCTGTTGCATACATCAACTTATTTCAAATTAATCATATTGTCCATCGCTCCGCAAATTCAAGAGCTCCATGTTTGTCAAATTTTTCAAATCATCAGCTCCGGTAAGGTCAGGAGCACAAAGAGTTAAAGTCTTCAAATTTTTAAATCCCAAGGACCTATATTTGACAGAAATTCAATGTATAAAGAACGCAAGTTCTGTCAGTACCCAACTGCTGAAAACTCATCGATTTGTGGTCCACTAAACGACACATATTTCAATTTTTTGGACCCTGTACAATGTTTCAAGCTAAGAACTCCTTCAATAAATGAAAAGTTAACGCGCTCTAGTTCAGGATAACTCTCACTAGAAAAATTCTTAACTGGAATCGTAGAATCAATATCAATCTGCCTCAATTTAGGAGCCTTTTGAACTCTGAGATCTACATGTGGTTCCTTATCATTACTTTGCAAATGGAATTCTTCCAAATTGGACAATGTGTCAGCAAACGCGCAAGCCTCAAGCTTAAAATGTCCTTTTGATCCTGATATGCGAATAATCCAGAACTCGTGCTCGCTGCAACTTTGGCATGCCATCAACAATGTTATTAATTTTCTTTATGGCTTTTTCAAGATTTTTTCACTATCATTTTCTGTGAATAATGGAACGTTATTAACGTCAAGTAATTCAAAAAAAAAACTTGCCCATTGCTTTCAGTTGTACTAAATAACCAATTACCATGATTACTTGGTCATTTAAATCAACAAGGCATTCTTCTCCTTCATTATATGGATACTTTATGGCTATTGAAGAAAATACTGTGGTGCCAATTAGTTCTTTCCAAAGTTCATTATTGGTCTGATTATAGATCCGCACCAATGATGTCCTGGTTTTTCCATCACTGAGATTTAAAATCTTCGAGAGAATCTCGTATGGAAGGAAACTCAAGTGTTTAATATCAGGTTTTTCTGGTACATTGGAGCTCTTGTGGCACTTGTAACTTATGTTTAGTGAGATCATAGAATAAGATCTTGATCTTATATTGTTTTTTTTTTTTTATTTTTTTTCAACAGATGTCAAAAACAGCTAAGAACTACACTCTTAGAATTCTACAGGTCTACAAAGTACTTCAATATATCATAAAGACGAAACAAACGCACTCACGTATAATGACAAACACTTTAGATAATAAAGTTAAATATAAGGACAGTAGTAAGGACAAACAGCACGGCACCTAGCAACCTTAAACCAATAATGGCTGTAAATATAATCTTGATAGCAACGACTATAATATTTATTAGTAAAGATCTGATATTTTGGTTCCTAGTATAAGACCTACAGACCCTTGAATGTAAGGTCTCGAACTTGTGACAGCAAGAGCGCACTTTTACCAGAAGAGGCAATTATTGTACATAAGTTTCCGTCCGGCCTTTTTCACGTCCGAAAAACATCGTTCCACCATAGTACACAAAATGACATAAAGTACTCTTAAGTTGAGTGATAAGCCAAAAAGACAAGTTTATTAGGATCGTAGATATGTAAATCTAGATGCTTTATTAGTGAAAACTATAAACATGGAAAATTTTTACACGGTCGGCTTCATATAGACCTGGGCCGGTGCAAAAGAGGCTAACCAACCACACCAGTGGTATAGTGAATCCTAACAAAAATCAAACTTTCGGAGCTTGCACTTTACTCAAGGCTACATTTCAACATGCATTCTCCTGCTCTACATTTTATCATGCTGATTTATTTTATTGTTTTTACGGTAATAATATCTGATCTTTTTATCATACATATAATGCGAGATCGATGAAGATAAGTATCAAAATTGGATTTAGAAGTCAACTCTGTATCCCCTTACTTTCTGTTGTTATTTCATCGTCTCACCTGAAAACCGGAAATAAAAATGAAGAGCAATCAGCATTGATAGAAAAGATTTACCAACAAATAATAAACTTCCACAAAATCTCGTGCCTAGAACATACATTCATGATAATTTTTTTTATTAAAGATACAACTGAGTATGTTATGAAAATGCACTCAAAAATACATAAAAATCGTACAAGCAAAAACAATCGTAGAGAAAAAACCAACCAATTCAATTGGCAAAAAAACAGGGAAAAAAGACAGCAGTTTGAAACCAGAATTTTCATTAAAATTGTCTCTCTATCTTTTTTTTTTTTAATGCGACCACCATCTCATTTCTTCTCACTTCTTGTGTCAATGGCAATATCAATCTTCGTTATCAACAAGTAACTGATTAATGCAATGAATAAGAATGACCCAGTGATAAATGGCTTCAAGAGGAAATCAGATGAAGTATATTTATAGCTGACAATAACATCAGAATGCTTGAATTCATCAATCATATTCTTGTAATAGATTGTAACTTTAGTGTGACCTGAGAAATCGAGGTAAGATTTTTCCGTGGTGACGGAATAGTCTTCATATGGCACTGGAGAAGCAATATCTAATAATTCGGCATTTTCTGGCAAATAGAATGAAAATTCCACATTATGATAACTCATATCGGCATGACCGTTTAATAATGGCACCTTGGCAATGTACTTCTCGTTATGGTCACTGGATCTTTTCACAAAGTTCGCCAAATCGTTGGACCAGCCAATAGTAAAGTTATAATTCCAGCCTCCGAAAAGTGGATATCTTGGTTTCAAAACTAAATGGTTTTTCACAATCTTGGAAGTAGAAACATTACCCACCAAATCGGTGAAGTAAGCTTCTCTGAAACCATTTGGCAAATCCATGTTGAATGCTAAACCATATGGGCCTGGAGTGTAAGTGTACTTGCTTTGCATCCATTGCAATCTGGAGAAACCGTCCTTCAATTTCGCAATCTTGTTGGTAACTTCATAAATTTCTTCAAATGAAACAGAGTCACCCCAGTGAGAAATCCAAACGTTTCTCTTGAGGTTTTCGGCAACAAGTAACGGTTGGTTCTTTTCAAAATGTAATGAGATATAATCTACCGTGAATGGTGGGATAGTAACTTGTTCCTCACTTTCAAAAACCACGAGTTTCGAGTTAGAGGTTTCTTGCTTGAGTTCTGGTAAATCATTGACTTGAGGCTTGCCTTGATCCAAGTTCTCGACTTTCCCATTAGTACCAGAAATTGCCAAAGTGTAGGACTCAATTGGATATGAAGAAACTGGGTACTTGTGGGTTTTCAAAAGTACCGATTGAACGCCGTTCATTTCCAATACATCAGGCATTGGTTTCAACTGATCAAGGTACACAAATTGCAATTGGAAGTCTACTTGGGAGCCAGAAGCAATTGGCGCAGGGAAAGTGACGACAAGGTAGTTATATTCAGATTCTTCATTGGCAGTATTGTTGAACACATTAATTTGCAACATGGATTTGCCATCAGTGCCATAAGAGCCGATGATCAAGGCGAAGTCATTAGTGCGCTCTTTAGAGATCGGTTGAATATATTCAGCCACAGGAAGAGATTCGATATTCTTAGCAGTGATAGTAAGGATTTCTTTGGTGTAGGACTTTGTCACGTCCAAAGTTTTATCAATGTTGATATTTTGCCAAGTTGCAGGAATTTCCTTGTCAAAGTTTTCAAACTCCTGGGAAAATACCCCAAGGATCACCGAGAACAAGACAAAGAGCACCGATATAATTGAGTTTGAGCTTCCAACTTTCATGATGGATGTGACTGGTAGATATTGCCCACTCTGCAAATTATATTTTGGTTTGTTGTAGTTTTTTTTTTCTTGTTTGGAAATTTCATTGCATTTTGTGCTGCCCAATTTTACGTGTTAACATCCCGCACAGCCTGCACGTGATTAAATAAGGTTGATTATCTTACTATAACAACAGCAAAGAGAACAATAGGAAGTGATAATAAATAGAAAGAAGACTTTGACACAATATGTTGTTAGCAAAGGTTCTATCCTTTCAAACTCCGGCCAAAAAAATATGCACAGAATACTACAAAGAATCAATAGTGATTATCGCCACAATATACACTAGCAGAGAGCCCTGGGAGACAGTAGGCATACAAAACTACATATGGATCTTATCAAATCTATCTAGGTGAGGGCAATCAATTCTACAATCGAGCGGAAAAGAGAAATATCAGATTTTCAAATTATAACACAGAAAAATTAAAAGTACAAGTTTTTTTAAGATATGCAAAAAATAAATAAAAAAATAATAATAATAGGGAAGTTGAGAATAAAGATAAAAAATAAAAAGAGCACAGCAGTGGGTAAATCAGGCGTCGAATTTTATTGGCATCTTTGCCAAAACATCAAAACTACCAGTACCAACCTTGGCCAAGTTACCAATGACCAATTTAGCAGATGGAGAGTCCAAGTTTTCTCTTTCGTTATTCAAAACGGCCTTGGTCAAGAATTGACAAGTGGTTTCGTAACTCATCTTCTTGAATGAAGAAGTGGAAGAGTCAATACCTTGTCTGTTGAACGCCAAGTAAGTACCATCTCTGGTCATGTAATCGGCAATCAAATCCAAATGTCTGGAACTAACAGATATACCATAAGTAGCGAAAACTCTGTAAATTTCAGCGACAATCGTGTTTCTAGCGGCTTCCACACCATAAGTTTGCAAGACAGCAGCAACATCGTTGGAAGTGATCCCATTAACATCAATGACTTCATCTTCATCGAACATTGCCTTGAAGTTGACACCTTCAGTGGTCAAAGAGCGGACACCATTCTTGGCTGGTGGGAAGATACAACGGCCAATGTTTTTGATTTCACGGATCACAACTTTACGACACGTCTCCTCAACCATATCCACCATCAAAATCTTTTGGGTATCAGAAGGCAACTTTAAAGTAAAACTACACCATTTACCATCCTTATCATCAAAGTTGAACTTGGAAATGTAGTTAAATGCTGAAATAACTTGATTTTGACGATCTTTAGCATCTTGGGTCATGGAACCAAATCTGTCATGAGTCACAGTAACGTCGGCTTCATCTTCACTTTCAGAAGAGTCACCATCCTTCATGATCTGATCCTCATCATAATCTTCTTCATCTGACTTTTCTCCTTCTCTCATAATTTCCACTTCTTCATCATCTGGATCATCATAAGAAACTGATTGCTTGGTCTTAGAGTTGGCCTTTTCGTCATCACCATCATCATCACCGACAGCTTCGGCAACAGCAACAGGTTCCTGTTTATCCTTAGAAACAGCTTGGCCAACATTGATAGAAATCAAACTACCATTCTTCTTTTGGTTGGACAATTCCTTCTTGATGGCAGTCTCCAAAGCTTGTAAGAACTGGGTACTAGTACAAATTGCCAACTCGTTTTGAGAAACATTATATTCTTCATCGTATTCTTCCCTGTTAAAGAAGTTGATGGTAATATTATAGGTTCTGGCAGAACCACCATCACCGACGCTAGCACCACTGCTAGTAGTTTCCACAACTTCCACATGGTCAACCAATTCAGAAAACTTAATCTTAGCAACAGATTTGCAGAAAACGTTAGCCTGTTCATCTGTGATGTCATTCAACACAGGCAAGTACATTTGAGGAGTCTTGATGGAAGCAGAAGCAGTCATGACAATTTCTCTAAGACGTGGAATACCCAAGGTCACATTAGCAGCACCGTGACCAGCAAAATGGAAAGTGTTCAAGGTCATTTGAGTAGATGGTTCACCAATAGATTGGGCAGCGATAATACCAACAGCTTCACCGGGATTAACCAAAGATCTCATGTATTTCAAATGCATAAGCGCTTCAAAAGCACTATCACTGATTGCCTGGTCACTCTTTTTGCCCTTCTTCTTGTCAAAGAGATCAGATCTGGATTTGATGAATTTTTTCAAATCAGTTTGGAAAGTAGAACTAACAGACCCAACATATTTCGAAGGATTGAATTTGGTGATGACTGGGTCATATTTGATTGGATCTTCATAATGCTTGAGCTCATCAACATTCTTGCCCAATTTCTTGTAGTGTTTCTTCATCTTCTTGACGTATTTAGCGGCATCCTCAAGGTTCAAGGCATCAACAATAGAAGCAGGATCATATCTGCTACGCAAGCTGTTAGAGTTTTCGAAACAAAAGTCAAATTGCTTCAAGTATGATTCCTTAGTGGTATCCACAGAATCACCACCATACAAGAATTGAATCATTGTACCATCAGAATCTCTAACACTATTATCATAAGAAACATGAATACCTTCCAATTGTTTAATAAGACATCTTTGCAAATAACCGGATCTAGCAGTCTTGACGGCAGTATCAATCAAACCTTCTCTACCAGCCATACAATGGAAATAATATTCTTGAGGTCTAATACCAGAATAGAAACGGTTCTTAATGAACCCACCAGCCCTAGCATCAGTTTCAAATGGTTTGAAACTTGGCAAACTCTTACCACTAACCATGAGTGGAACTCTTCTACCTTCCAAAGATTGTTGACCCAAAAGACACATAATTTGGGAAACATTGACTTGAGAACCTTTAGCACCAGATAACGCCATACTTTGCATAGAGTTATGTGGGAATTTCTTACCAGTACCCGCAGGGAGAATGGTGTTAACAACTTCAGTAGCAACTTTTTCTACCTTTGATCTGGTGATAGAATCCAAAATACCCAACTTGTTGTCATCTCTAATAATTTCTTCCAATCTTCTCAACAATTCTGGGTCATCTTCTGGAATATCTTTACTAGAATCCAATTGAGTGACTTCCACCACGGCCTCTTTACCAGCCTTCAAGGATTTCTTCAAGATTTCTTTTCTCCATTGATTACCTTCCTTAGTCAAATAAATATCTTCCATACCACAAGTGAAAGCAGTGGCTTGAATGTAGTTGGTGAATAATCTACCAAGAATAGACAACAATTTACCAGCATTTTCAGCACCGTATAGTTCATGAATAGCATGGACAAAACCATACTTGGAAGCACCATATTGGGACTTATCTAAGATACCACACAAAAGTTCACCATTCTTGAACAACACAGTGTTTTCTTGAGAGTGTTTACCCCAATATTCGTTCTTGATCTTGTTTTTACTAGTCAAATTCAAACCTGGCATGTTCTTTGGTTGAATATTGGTCAAGATTGTAGAAATTAATTGTTTACCGGTCCACAAAGGAACTGGTTTCCAAACGGTTGGTGGCAAAGTGAGAATTTTTTTGTTGACAGTGTGACCATCCTCAGGTCTCAAACAACCATAAATATATTCTTGCATTTGTTCTCTGGTGAAGAAAGTATCTTTGTTGGTTAACCAAACCCCAGCAGAAATGTGATCTTGAATCAACCCTCTAACAGGGGCACCTGCGGTTGGAGTCAAATATTGAGAATCGGTAGAGGCAATGATTCTGGCTTCCGCTTGACCCATTCTGGATTGTGGGAAGTGCATATTCATTTCATCACCATCGAAATCAGCATTATAAGCACCAGTGTTAGCATAATGAATTCTAAGAGTCTTTTCACCTGGCAAAACCTTAACTCTATGACCCATAATAGAAGCTTTATGTAAAGTAGGTTGTCTGTTCATCAACACCATATCATCATTCTTCAAGTGTCTGTAAACCTTCTTGTTAGTGATCAAGTTTCTTGGATCGGTGTTAGAACCACCACTAGAGCTTGGAGTAAGCAATTGATCAGCCAAGGCCTTTCTTTGATCGAGAGTCATACCAATCAAGGAAATCAATGAACCATCTTCGTTTTGAACTTGCAAAGCACCTGGCCACTTATCTGGACCATTAATGACAGCTTGACGCATTTCATTGATATTGTAAGCAGTGACCGGTTCAGGAAATGAAAGCTTTTTGGCAAAAACTGGTGGAACACCAACTTGGTTAGTTTCCAACATTGGATCTGGTGAAATAACTGATCTAGCAGCGTAATTCACACGCTTACCCATCATATGTTTTCTGAATAACCCTTCTTTCTTTTCCAAAGCTTGCTTGATACCAGGAACTGGCAATTTTCCTCCATTATTTTGATTCTTAGTAGAGTCAATAAAAGAGTTCACGTCGTTTTGCACAGCCACAAAAGCATTCATTAATCTGTTGAAAAGAGTTTTCTTAGCTTCGACAGTGACGCCAGAATTCTTAGTGTTAGCATTATAAAGATCGGAGTTGATAGTCTTGATGAGAAGACAGCTTCTAAGAACCTTAGACAACAACTCGTTCAAGGAATTTTCATGGACTTCATCACCCAACTTGGAAGGCAATCTGAATCTAGTAGGTGGAACCACAAGAGTAGTTCTGAAAAACATATTAGCATTGATTTCGTTCTTAGATTTCATTGGTCTTGAGTTGAAAAGCACTTGAATCAAGCTTTGTTCGGAATGGAAAACCGCATTTAAAAGACTTCTAACTTCAGAAGACATGATATATTTCGAGCCTGAACTGGCAGCGCCATGGGATTTCACAGAGCCTGGAAGCATATTTTGTCTTTCCATACCTCTGACACGGTTATTGGTGATTTGTTTTTCTGTCAATGGTTTTTCAAAAATCTTAACAAACCCATCTTTTCTATAACCAGGGGAAAACATTTTACAATTTTGACATTTTGGTCTGGCGGCCAATCTTGAGTAAAACAAATGGATGACTTTTTTACGCTCCTCAAGAATTGCACTAGTCAAAGGTGACCCTTCATTTTCCATAATAGATTTCTTGATGAAATCTTCCCTGAACTTGATCAATTTTTGGTTCACTTCATCAGAATCCTTGTTATCTCCATCGTCTTCGATGGCCTCGTCTTCATCTTCAACGTCTTGCTGACCATCAACCCTCAAGTATTCCAATTCATCAGCTTCTTTAAGTAAGCCATGTTGCAACAATTGCAATTTGCACTTGAATAAATGTATTTCAGAGGAGTGTAATTTGAATTTGTGACAGTAGACACACGAAGCTCTCAAAAAGTTGTATAATTGGGTGAAAAACAACGGGTTATATACCGGAATTGGTAATTGAATATGACCTTGATGACCAGGACATCCGTTTCTTTCGTCCAAGCCACAGGTTGCACAGATGTTTCTAAGGAATGCCCCAAGAGATAAATCGTATAACCCACCGGCGATAGGATGGCCCAAGTTATCAAAAACTTGAGGATTTGTAATCTGTTTGACAGAAAGCGACTTCACCTCATCATCCGACAATACGGAGAAGTCAACAGAAGTGATCTCAGAACCTATGGGTCTGGCGATATCCATGGTTGGCGGATTGTTTACTAATGTCTATAGATGTTGATCTTGCTATATTGGTATTTTTTGTAATTCCTAAAAATTTTCAGAAAAAAAAAAAAAAAATAATTGAAAACACCACCCGGCCTCATCGCAAAAATTTTTTTTTTTCCGCGTATACCGTAGCGGGGCCGGCATGGAGGTATCTGAATTTCTACATAATCAAAGATCAGAGTAAAGTTATATTAAAACATTTACGAGCAAAAGAAATAAAAAGCATAATGACAAGCTGTTGAAAACTGAAATTTGAAAAAAAGAAAAATCATAAACCGTTGAGAGAAAGATTATAAACTTTTGAAAGGAGGGTCATAAAATGTTGGAAGAAGGATCGTAAAATGTTGAATTATAAATTGGAGAATTTTGAACAAATTAATACCTTTCTAGCGAGAAAAGAAGCATTGATTGGAGGAAGTGATATAAAAAAAACCAAAAACAGAACATCAATAATGTGCTAACACCAATAAGCGAAACCAGAAAAAAAATGAGAAAAACAAAGAAAACAATAGAGAAACCTAAGATTTGGCAGTTAAATCAGTGGTGCAATCTTCCAAACCATTGAGTTGAGGGCTATCTGGTGGTGCTTCACCAATCTTTACTTGAATAATCTCAGTTCTCCAGAATCCATCTGATTCATCTAAGATTTGTTGATGATGCAAATAGTAGCCACCAATTTTTGGTAGAATGACTGCCCAGATTAACCAATATACTGCGCCAGCGGCAAAAATTCCAATACCAACAACACAATGCAAGTAGTATGGTAAGGATTTGTAGACAGATTGTCCTTCAGAAGGAGCCAAGTATGGAGCAACCACAAGATAAGCCGAAGACAAGGTGAAGAAAATACTAACTGGTAAAGTAGCCTTGATTGGGGGATTCCAGATCAATTTGCCACGTTTAGCTTGGATGGTCAAATAAATCAACCCAATACCAACAAAGAGATTGACAATATTCAATGGATAAGAAATCAAATTCATAATGAAGTTGTATGCATCTCCAGGAGGTGGGGCAAGTATGGTGATGACACAAATGATGAAATGTTCGAATAAACCAACGAGTGGAGTATTAAAAGGTTTTTGAGAGGCAAAGAAGCTGGAAAATGGCAAAATGTTTTCTCTGCCCAATTGTTGAACAATCCTACCTTGAGAGAAGATCACTGACATGACGTTACCAAGGGCTGACAATGCCACAAATACAGAAATGGCTCTTTCTGAACTTTTACCAAAGGCAATTCTGAAGAAATTAGCAGCGACAATGGTCCCACTGTTTGCCAATTGATCCAATGGGACAACTGCATAATAAGCAATATTTACCAACATATAAATGATAGCCAAGGCAATAACTGCCAAAGGACCGGATATTTTTAAAGTTTTAACGGGATTCTTGACTTCACTCAAAGCATAGTTGGCGTTCGAGTAACCGATAAATGACCAAATGATGTTATACAAGGCGGTAACCACACCATACCCAGTAACTTCGCCACCAGAAAATGCGTTATGGAAGTTAGCGGTACCAGGGGCATGTTTGATATGTCCGCCTAATGCCACCAATCCAGTGATGGCGATGATCAAGACAATAATTAATTTGAACAAACCCAAGATGTTTTGCAAGAAAACGCCGGCCTTGAAGTTAGATGCATGGATGGCAAAGGAGAAAGCCACACAAGCCACACCAATACCACGTTGATTCCATCTAGTGACTTCGACGTTGGCGGCGGTCAAGATATATTCCCCAAAGATGATGGAATTACCGGCTGCCCAGCCAAGAAAGAAAATGTAAGTGGCATACATTGCACTGACCAAGAACTTTGGCTTCTTGTAAACGTATTCTAAGTAATTTTTTTCCCCACCGTTTTTGGAAATTGCTGAACCGAATTCCATATAGACGTACATCCCCGCCAATGCGATACAAGAGCCAACCAACCACAAAATGAGAGAAAGACCGACAGAACCAGACAAGACATAAATTGTGGAAGTGGTGGCAAAGATACCAGTACCAACCATACGATTGAAAATCAAGCCAATGGCACCGAGAACACCCAATTGTTTTACATTTTCATCGATTGGGATGACTTGCCCAGTGTAGGTAGCTTCCCCAACACCGCCTGCTTCTTCAATGGAGCCCTTTGAGTCCTCTTTTTTGAAGTAACTATACATTGCTTTAGAGGCGATAAATTGATATCGAACGAAAATAGATATCTTCCAGCGCTGTGTGAAAAAAAGATCAGGCCAAGTATTTATATGATAAAATGACTATATAAGAGAAAAGAGGGTGTTTGACAGCCACGGAAAATTTTTTTTGCATGTAGGAGATGCATGATTACTTTTTTCGGGATATTTTTTGACATAAACGTGATGATTACTCAGGAATACCCCAGTTTTTGGTGAGTGGCTCCTTAAAAGTACCTTATAATACGGGATGCTCCACGTGCTTTTGCAAATTTTTTGCGTGGGAATTTTTTCTTTTATTCTTCGTTTCTTTTGGAATGCGGTTTGGAGTCCCAAAGTGGTGGATTCCCAAAGTGGAGTCCCAATAAATAATTATCGTCTTATTATTAGACATTTGAACATTTAAGCCGTTGCAAATGTATTCTTCTCTTATGTCTTCCTCTTTTTTTTTTCTCCCTCTTTTTTTTTTCTCCCTCTTGCAATATATTTCATTTTGCTTTATTTTTCATCAACAAGAATTGTGTGTTTGAGCAATTACCTCACCCTTGCCAAGAAATGATAGCGGCACCACTAACTTTATTTCTTATTATTCACTCAATTTTTTTATTTTTTTTTTTTTTTGTTGTAATCCAACCACATTTGTGAGACTATGAGAATTACAAAACCATTAGGGAATTCCACATGAAAAGATGAAACCCATCATCCTCAAATATCTATAACTAACAGCTGCGCCCTCCCCCTCGCCCAATAGTGAGAACTGCAGAACATTGGCAGTACTATAATCAGAATATTTCGTCCGATTACAGCTTTCATCCTTCATCCCATGACTGTTGAGCAGCTGTTATTTCCTGTATAAACAATATAATACTTACAAATTTTTACCTTCTTAAAATAGGTACGTTCTGCCCTTTATCGATTATCAGTTGGATCAGAAGCCGTTTGTAGTAGCGAGGATCTCTGGATGGTACACGCTGGCTCGTAACCAAACTCGCCAGGCGGTCAAACTGTCACCCGGGAATTTTCATTATTTTTCTTATTTTTTCTTTTGTCTTCTATCACATTACTACTTTTAGCTTATTGGCTCATACTTATTTTTCGATATTTCCACAGCGCTTTAGTGATTACTGTCCAGTGTGATCGATACACCAGATAATCGTCACCCACTTATTGTCGTCTATTAACATTACATCATTGGCTTTGGCACAACAGATTGAGTGCCTCTTTGTGTTGTGCATTTTTTTTTGGTGTTGTGCGCTGTCCCTTTTGCCAAGACTTGTGCTCATCGCCTGAATTTTTTTTTGTACTTCTCCACGTGAACATCACACGATCACACAGTTTGAAATTTGTATCGGATCAAACCCACTGATTATCATCACAGCCAAATTTCCATCTTCAACTACTTTGCACAATTAAACAATGTACAAGACACGGTACTTGTTCAGAAGACTTCGGAAACTAAGCTTCCCTATCTTATGTGCCTTATCTCTTCTCCTAATATTGTTCCATCTTTTTGGTCTATCGTCAAATTCCCTTGATTCACTAGCATCTATTAGCTATGGGTTATTAAACCAACCTCACAATTATTATTACCCATCCCTGAAATATGCCTCGGAGATACCCTATGCCAAGCCACAATCAGATATCTTCAATCTTTATGACATTGATACCACTAAGGAAATATCGGAACTTAGTTATTATCAAATCTTCAACCCATATTTCGAGAACCAGACAGAAACATTCAATGAGAAATTAACCCATCTAGTCAAAGCTCACAATATTCGACCATCTGAGGTGTTTACCCCCATTGACGAAACAGTATCACAAGTGAAAATCCCTGCTTATTTCATTGAAGATTACTTATTAAAGAAACTAGAATCATCTCCAAAAACCATTTCCAAAGACCTACGATCCAAGATCATATCTTTAAAGCATTTCGACACTAAAAACATCTTGAAATTCGCCGATAGACACTTACCATTATTTTATAACTACGATTACAGATTATCATTGGCAATTTATTCCAATTATATCAGGCATCATGTTACCGATACCAATAACCTTGAGACATTAATGTTACCATTCAGCTGGTACGACTTTACTGATTTATCTATCATTAATGAAGACATAAAACTTCAATATTTTTGGAACTGGTTGCTCTATAATTATCAAAATTTCCCTCAAACTTTCAAGAATCAACTTCTCACTATCTATTTTGGTGAAGAAATGACCCAGAAGAAGCTCGATCTGAAATACGATAGCCCGAGAAGATCATTCAATTTAAACCTTGATAACTTTGAAATGTTTTTGAGACAGTTCAATATTGACATGAATTCATGCGAGATATTTTTGAAAGATGACGCAGTGTCTACAGAATTGATTGAAATGATAGATGATTTATATTCGTATAATTTTGTGAATGGTGGTGGGTATCCAAGTAATAAACATTTGAAAAGCTTGGAATCAATAAATATCAAGGATTTGCTACCATCTGATTTGGAAAAAATAAATGCCATCACCAAGTCAAGAACTTTCGATACCTGTCAAAATTTCAATCAAATCCAACAATCGTCAAGAGTGGATTATCCTGAATATATCACAAATCAAAACGTTTACCAGCCAGGAATTGGGTTCAATGTTATCCATGGTACGCGAGATAAGTTCCATTTGGTTCAAAGAGTCATGTACGCTAAATCATATCTTTATAACTACAATGGGATAAACAACGAAGATATCAAACCGTTTAAATTAACTATATTGGCAGATAGCGAAGTACATCAAGTTACCATTAGTCAGAATAAAACTGTATTTAGTGAAAGATTATTAGAAAACGGAATGATTGAATCTTATATTGAGAACGAATTGGTCAAAACAAACAAGTATACTTTAGAATCTTTATGGGAATCGAAAGATGAGATATTCATAGATTTCATTGAAGAATTCAATGCGTTGGATTCAACAATTCATAAATCAGAACCATCAGTTATTAAACCATTCGAAGAGACTGATGAGGATATTAACTGGATGATTAACTATGTCAAACCCAAAACCGAAGTTGATTTTTATATTGATTCCTTCGTTAATATTGATAGTGCAGATGCCATCCAAAGATTCCATTCTAGGGTCCCTCAAGATGAATTTTTCAAGAAAAAAAACCAAATGGCCCAATCATCAAATAATAACCAGCCTGACGATGATATTGTATATGAGAAAATCTTCGAAGATAATTTGGCATCAACAGAAACACTGAATCCATTAAGAATGACTAGAAACTTATTCAAATTTTACAAATCAATCAAGTTTTCCAATGGCTTTGTGGACGTGAGAAAAGTGCCAAAATATTTTTACGAAATCAGATTGTTACCAGATAAACCAGGTGAGAAGGTACCAAACACTGGTCATTTTGATTGGAGATTCTTTACTGATCATTTCCATTCTCAAGTACAAACTCAAAACTCTCTCAGCCATTTGCTTGGTACATGGTTGACCCTTACCAAAAAATACAAGCTCAACACTTGGATCGCGCATGGTACTTTACTAGGTTGGTACTTTAACGCTAAAAACTTGGCATGGGATACAGACATGGATGTTCAAATGCCGATTAATGATCTCAACAAGCTTTGTTTGAAATTCAATCAATCGGTAATTATTGAAAACCCAAAGAAAGGTTTGGGGATGTATTTTTTGGATTGTGGGTCATCAATAACTCATAGAAGTAAAGAAAATGGAAGAAACAACATTGATGCTCGACTCATTGATACCAAAACTGGGTTCTATATTGACATTACTGGAGTCAGTTTCAGTGGATCTAAAACCCCTAACGATTACTTTGATATTATCAATTGGGAGGAAGGAGTTTTCCATGATAATGAAAAAGAAACTGAATTCAATAAAGCTTTACAGGGTCCTGAAAACCAATTCAATAGAGAATATTTGAAGTTGTTGGAAAAATCAAATTTTAAGAATTTGCATAGCAATTTGAAATTGAAAATTGTTAATTGTCGAAACAATCATTTTGTGGAGCTCGAAAAGCTTTTACCATTGAGAAAGACTTTGATGGAGGGGGTCGAGGCGTATGTTCCTAATGATTTCACTGGGATTCTTCAAAGAGAGTACAAAATAAAATGGAACCGACCATCTTTTGGTAATTGGATATATATTCCTAAGCTTGGGAATTGGATCCGTGAACTGTCGTTAAAGAATTTGTTCAGAAGATTTTTAGCGATAAATGAGAATAAAATAAATCCTGCCACGTACCAGCATTATCCATCCGACTCCGGTGCTCCGATGTTGAATGATAAAATTAGAAATTATTATTCAACGAATTTTGAAAAACAGCTCAAATTGCTTCAAACCCAGACCAAGGATCAAAAGTTTGATTTCAAAGAAGAGGTTTTCGAGCAATACGGATATCCATTCAATTTCACAAGAGATTCAGAAACCTTTATGATTTTAGAGCACGATCCAAAATACCGTTGGGAATTTTTGTTAAGCAAGCAGTTAGTGGAGTATCATGAAAAGGAACTTTTGGCCTTTAAGGAATCCAAATCGCTAAGTGATCAAGAAAGGAAGTCTGTTAATTACAAAAGACCAGATTTTTATTTGCAAGCGCAAATCGAAAAACAACAAGAAGAAATGTGATTGGGTATCAGATTCTTTCTCTGGTGCTGTGTTGGGATTTTCGACTAAAGGGCGTTTTAATTGATGGAAGATGTGATGCTGTTGATTGTTTGTTTTAATACAATTGTTGAACATCTACTTAGGAATGAGTTGGCAGAATGTATCTGGTATGGATACATTCCTATTATATTACAATCCAATAACGTCCCTCTCTATTTCTCTCTCTGTTTAAGTATAAAGTTTCCGCCAATAGTCATTCTTTTTCTGTTCAATTTATGCTTTCCATGCTTTTTTTTTTCTCGCTTTATTTTATTTCATTTTTTCTGCTTTGTTTTGTTTTATATTATTTTAGTATATTTCGCTTCGCTATGTTTTAAAAATGAGAAATGTGATGCTTGTCTTCTTATCACAGTTACCCAATAAAGAGAAATTGACGCCTGGTGTCTGTAATTGCAGCTCTCTTTCCGAAACAACCGTCAGATTTATTCTTTTTCCATATTTTACTGCTATTGTTGTGTGGAGGCAAGATAGGAGGTTACGCAAATTGTTGAAATTCCTTTTGCTTCCGGCTAAGGTGTTATCTTGGTGGTCGCATCATTTAACCTGACTTCGGATGACATGCTCCCCTATGACAGTTTGTGTTTTTATTTATACGTATATTTCTTTACGAATAGTTCGCTTCCTGACGCAGATCAACAGTTTGAGAAAGGGTTCAGTCTAATTGACCCGCTTGTCCCCGAGTGCTGTCAGACCCCACACAACGCAGTCTAGTGCATCACTCCCTAATCCATACTACTTAACAGTGGCGAAAACAACATTTTATTGTCAATAGTACGCAAATTGTGTTTCATCACTAGTCATTATGTGCTCACATCATCCATCTTACAGCGATGCTAAACTGTTTGTTTCGACTATGGTTGCCGGTGTGTGTTTATGGGCCGTTTCCTTTTTCAAGTATAAATATTCGCCCTTTCTGCCATTTATTTGAATATCTAAAGTACACTATTAATCATTAACAACCATTAATTCTCAAGTAATATAATAATATATTCCATAAAAATGTCTGAACCAATCACAAAACTTCCTTTGCTTTCCAAGAAGAACATCAAAGAAGTCCAAGCAAAAGTCGATCAAGCTCTTGCCAAAATCAAGGCTGCTTATGGTTTCGACTCTGTTGAATTGGAAGCCGACTATATTGCCTTGTTCAATGACATTATGCTCAACCCAAAAACCATGAACAAGCAGCAAGAACCTTGGAAGCTTGTTGGTGGTACTGCTTTTCAATACGTTAATGGTGTCGCTCGTTGGGGTGAAATGAAGTTTGAAAAGGACGATGATTACAAAGAAGCGATCCAGGATGTTGTTGGTAAAAATCCAAAGCTCATTATTACCGTTCTCCCAACTGAAGAAGGTTTTTACTGCAAATCTAAGTTAACCGAAGGCTCTATCACCCTTCAAATTCCAAAGAACAAGGTTGGCTGGAACGCTAGTGATGCCGGTAAGGATATTGAAAGTCTTTTGTAATCTGTTACATTAATTATCTACAATATGTTATCTTATTATTATCACAGAAATATAAGTCAAATTGAATAAATAATTTTATGACCCCTTTCTTTTTTTTTTTTTTTAAATCCATGTAAATTCATGATTTGTACTTATAATGTGCTCTTCTAAGCCTGAAGGAAGTCGCTCTACAACAGTATTTTCTTGAGAAATTCAGGCGAAAGATTTGCCTTTCAGTAGAAGTGTAACAAGAATAATGAAGATACCAGAGAAATAATTATTTCAAAATTTTGATAAGTTTCATGTATTTGATTTACTGTATGAAAGGTGAAAGTGAAACAATGGGTTTGAGAAAATGAAGGAAAAGATAATTGTTGAGAAAATTTAAACGTATAGAAAACAATGTATCTCTAGATATCAATGAAAAATAAAATATGGTTAAGTTGAATATTAAAGTTGTTAAAGATTTTTTGGCTTAAGCACCTTTTCGTCTCCTGGTTTTTGTTGGAAGACAGTGGTATCTTTTTCATGCTTATCCTTGTGAGGACCATTAAACCATTTTTTGAAATCAAGAACTGATTTCAAACTCCAGACCTTGACTCTCATAATGTAATAGCAACCCAACATGGCAGCGAAATTGAAAACAATATAGACCCAGAAGAATCCAAAATTTCTCCATCTGTGTTCCCATTTGACATTGAATTGGGCAACAACTTCATCTTGGTAATTATATTGGCAATAGTGGCACATATCAGTAGCACTAGCATCCTTGAGGTAACCGGTGAAAGTAGAAGCATTCATATAATCCTCCATGTAACTACCACAAGTTTGACCAGCAGGTGGTGGGAAGGATAAAAATTCATCTTTGGTACACTTGACTTCTCTATTATGGACAAGGGCAGAAACAAAGGAATCGACAAAATAAGTGAATGGTGAGGCTTTGTACATAAAAGTCCAAAAGCCAGGCATGAATTGTTCAGGTTGCAAAATCCCACAAAACAACATGAGGGCAGCGAAAAGCATGGAGTTGATCATTGCAGCAGAAGGAACATTTGGAGAGAAATAGAGGATCCATAAACCGTAACTGATAAAATAAAGAGGGAAGATTAACACAAAGACAAAGAAGAAATAACCGTTTCTTTCGACAGAGCCATGCCCTTGAATGGCTGGCCAGAAAAAGCAGACCCAGCATAAAAACATACAAATGGTTGACCAGACTACTTCAACAAAAGTATGGCACAACAAAAGACAAGACCAGTGGAAAGTATTGGAAGCTGCTTCTCTAACTTCGTACAATTGTCTGGATGGATAAGCGAAAACATGTGTTTGGTTAATCATGGCTAAAGCAATCACCAATAACATGAAAACTGAGGCAAATGCATTAGTGGCAGAAGACGCTGATGTGTTTAAACCAATGAAAGAAATACCCAAGAATAACGAACAAGAAACACATTCCAAGAACTTGGCACGAATGTAAATTGGAGATCTCCAGAATTGCAAGAACGTTCTCTTCAAAACATACCACATCTGTTTATCCCATGAAGTGGCAAAAGTCGATTTCAAAGTGTCAGCATTTTCAGCCACTGGTCTCAATGGCAATTCTCTGTGCAATACCGCGATTTCCTCAGTAACTTGTTGATATTCAGGGGAGTTAATCCAAAGCTCATGCCAATCATCAGCGGCAGAGGCGGTGGCACCAGCACCAATACAATTCAAAATATATTCAGCAGGATTTTCTTGTGTAGCACACTTGACTCCCGATTGTCTTTCGAAATAATTCAACATGGTTTCAGAATGTGGGCCAATATCACCAAAATAAACAGTCTTACCACCTTTTTTCAACAACAATAACTTGTCAAACACTTCAAATAAAGTCGCTGATGGTTGATGGATGGTACACAAAATCGCTTGACCAGAATCAGCCAAGGCCCGCAAGAATTGAATAATAGACCAAGCAGATTGGGAATCCAAACCAGAAGTTGGTTCATCGAGGAACAATAACAATGATGGCTTGGCAACCAATTCAACAGCAATGGACAATTTCTTTCTTTGTTCAACGTTAAGACCACGACCAATTTTACCAACGATAGCTTCAGCATAGTTTTGCATGCCTAACAACTTAATGATAGTTTCAACGTATTCGTATTTTTCTGATTGAGGGGTGGCCTTAGGTTGACGTAAATCAGCAGCAAATCTTAATGATTCTCTAACAGAGCATTCCGCCAAATGTAAATCTTGTTGTTGCACATAGCCAGTTCTTCTCTTGAAAGAAGCGTCAATTGGTCTACCATTCACTAAAATATCACCAGTGATAACCCCAAAGTTGATTCTTTGAGCCAAGGTATTCAAAAGAGTGGTTTTACCAGCCCCAGACTCACCCATCAACGCAATCATATTACCTGGCTTGACATAACCTTGAATATTGTCCAACAATTGTCTGGTAGCTCCATCGTAAGGAATAACGTAGTCCAAATTTTGCCATGAGAAGACGTCCTTTTCGGCAACAATTTTTTGCAAATCAGCACCAGGTTCATTCAAAGCTTTCATCATTTCTTCTCTGTTGGCAACTTTACCGTCAATAGACTCATTGGAGTTCTTTGGTAAGTGGCCACGCTTATACAACAACATATCCCCGCCGCCAACAACATTCTTCAAATATTCTGAAAGAATAGTATAGACAATAATGAAACCAGCGGTCCAGGCAATGTTAATACCAAAATTTCTCCATGTATGCTTATATTCCATACTATATTGTTTCTTGATGTAAGCATCACCACTGATATACTCTTGTCCAGCAATAGAACCATAAAGGGAGCAGACTTTGTTGGCAATGCCAAAAGCATCATATGAAGGGCCATTAGGAACCATTTCAGCACATTTCATAAGTCTGCCGTGGAATTCGGTAGCCATGAGTTGTTCGTAACAATAGTACATTGGGTTGATCCAGTGGACCCACTTAAGAACATGATGAGCGAATGGCAATTTCATAATAAAACCACAATAAACTGCCAACATAATCACCCACAATCCACCAAGGGCATGAGCGGTTTCCCCATCATAAGCCAAAGTAGCGATTAATTTGAACATAAATGAGAAACATTGGTTGATCAAAAATAAGAAAATCAAGTACATGAAGAATGGGCCTGCTTGATGTTTCAAATTAGGCATCCAGTAAGAAGTCAATGCTAAAATGATAATAGCACAAATTTTCACTGGCATCTCCGTAACAATTTCTTGCAAAGCTTCGGCAGACAAATGGTACATAGAATAAGATTTTTGTTTCAAGGTGATCTTTCTGTTGGCAAAAGATTTTGCGATTTCTGCCAAAGAAGTAACGGCACAGTAAACAAGACAGTAGAAAAGAATACCCAGTCGAGAATCAGCACCAGAAGTGTCTTCAGGAATGTTGTAAAACATAGAACCAACGATCAAACCTTTAACAAGGAAAGTGGTCAAATAAATGGTAATATAAGTCATATCACCTCTGGCTCTTTGAAGACCACGGGTGACCAAGTAACAAAGTTGCAGAAAGTATGAAACGACAAATGGTGAGGATTTTCTCAATAATTTTTGTTTTCGCTGGGAAGTGGCAATTTCTAATCTGTTCAAGGTATCATCATGAGAATGTCCAGCGATATAGTTATCGTACTCGGTCATCAACTCTTGGTACTCAGGAGAGTTCAACCAATACTCTTCAAATTCCTCTGAGGTTTGAGGAACTTTATTTTCAAAACCAGGCTTTGTAATTCTACCATTTGGATCGGTAAGCGAGGTCAAAAATTCTGGAGTGGTCATTCTTTGAGGACATTGCCAACCCATTTTTTCAAAGTAGGCTTTAGCCTTTTCTGCAGGACCCCAGTAGATTTGTTTACCCAAGTAAACGACAGTAACTTTGTCAAACAATTCGTAAATATTTTCCCCAGCTTGATAAATCGCCACGAAAGCTGAATTCTTCAACATGTTGGTAGCGACTCTAATAGCTTGGGAGAACTCCAAAGCCGTAGAGGCATCTAGCCCTCTGGTGGCATTATCCCATGCATAAATCGAAGCATCACATGATAAGGCTTCCACAATAGATACTCTCTTTCTTTCACCACCAGAAACACCTCTAACGAAGTCATTACCGACATTGGTGGCATAAGTGTGTCTCAAACCAAAAACGGTACACCATAAGTCTCTCATGTTGTTAACGTATTGAGATCTGGTCATACCATCAATTCTGGTTTCAGGAGTTTTGGTTTTCAAAGCAAAATCAATAGTTTCTTTCACCGTAATGGTTGGGAAATGGTCATCTAGTTCGGGATTGTAAATAATGTAATTCTTGAACAAGGTCATCATTTCTTCATGGGATAAACCATCATAAGAGAAATCACCGCCAAAAGAAGTCAATTCACTAGTTTCCCCAGTCAAAGTTTTCAAAAAAGTACTACACCCGGCACCAGGACGACCAAGGACAAGACACATTTCACCAGATTCAAGAACCCCATTGAATCCTTTGATGATATCACGATGAGGTGTTGTATCTTTTTTCACCAAATTTGGAAAAAAGTTGAGAGCGGCTAACATCATTTCGTAAACAGTTGGGGCATAAGCAGCATTGACATCTTTACCAGAAGCAACAACGTCTTTGAATGCAACACCAGCATGTGAGGAAGTAATGTTTTGTTCAGAAGCTTTTGATTGCAAATAATCAAGCAACAGTTGCAAATCAAATTCTTCAGTGTCAATTTCGAATTTATTTAATTCTTTCTTGGTTTTTCTTGACAAAGTTCTTGCCAAAGATTGGATTCTTTCCACGGTTTGTGGGTTAGAGACAGCATTCTGTAGATGGTTAGCGAAAATTGCTTGGTCAGTTTGACCTTCAACATCATCGGCTCTAGCAAAACTACCCGAAATTCTTGAAGATATCCTTGAAATTGATTTGGTCAACCTATTGGCTGACTTTTCACCAGGATGGTAGTCTTCGACGTTGTCGTCAAATGAGTGTGAATAACCGGATTTTTCAGACATTGTTGGCACAACAGATTGAAAAGAGTGAAAGAGAGTAAAGTCATTTCAAGTGGAGCTCGGTCACTTTATATATTATTAAGCGAAAAATTTTTTGCGATAATAAATCTAAGATTCTAACGATAACCACCAAGTCGGCCAAGATTTGGCCGACCGAGATGACGATTAACTGCACAGTGAAAAATAGTGGCGAAATACTGGGGGCCCATACTTTGAATGATATAATTCCTCGATACAATTGCTCAACAAATAGCTATAAAAGCATAAGAGGTGGTGCATAGTTTATTGTTATTGGAAACTTGGAGTAGAGATATTCGTAGTAACTAATACGGTGCTCTCACTTTTCACTTTTCATGCGCAACAACATCCTGGAAAAATACATTATCCAGCGGCCGAGAATAATTCGAGCCGAGCCGCTAGTTTCCTCATACCGCCACAGCTATAATTCTATATATCAACCATGAGTTATCGGTGATGTCTTTGTAGGTCCTGACTTATTTGACCGATATCAATTATCCCTCCAGACAACCAATTAACTCCAATCCGGCCGCAATGTTCAGATGACCTGTCACATGACCTATCACATGACAAGATATTTACCTCTTTTTTTTTTTTTTTTTCCCCTAAAATTGAAAAGATAATGATAATTCGTGAAATCAAATAGAAGACCCCCAAGAGATAAAGGAAAACAAAGGAGAACAAAAATGGTTAGTAGTTACAAAAGTGCTTTTCCGCTTATTAATACATATATTTTCGTTTCATACTAACTTTGATGAACCTAGAGTATTGCTCCTTTCACTATTGAAAGTCAGTATTTAGACGATTCGCGAAACGCCATCCGTCAACGTGTAATTCCATGGTTTGCCCTTATAAAATCAGGATTATTGACCAATGACGAGGCTAATCGTTTGGAATTCTTAGGAAGAGTCACTACAGAAAAAGATTTTGGCAAGATTATTCCAGAAATTGATCTTTACACCACCACTGCGTTCAGCTTATTATCAAAAATTACTAGGGATGACATTATCAAATACTTGCTCAACTTAATTTTGGACTTGATGACCAATTTGAAAGAATTCCAAGAATCCTTGTTGAGTTTGAATGATGTTGATACCAGTTTGCCATACCAAACGTTTTTGAACCATTTGAACTCTAATGATGAGGATATTAAATTGTTGGTGATTAACAATTTGGCGGTGTTATATTTACTTAAACCAATCACCACCAACGAAAACAAGGACGGATTATTGAAATTGTTCGATGTTTTGTTTTCTGAGTTGATTAACTCTTCAAACTTGAACTTGCAAAATATTTCAGTCCAAGTGTTATCTGAGTTATTGACAATCAAGAACCATAGAAACATTTTCTGGTTGAAAAATAATAAATTCATTCCTCCTTTAATCAATTTATTGAAGAATAAGAAATCATCCCTACAAGTTCAGTACTTGACTTTGTTGTCATTATGGTTGTTGAGTTTCAACGATAAAATCTCTACAGAATTACCAATGAACTATAACAACTTGATCAAGATTTTGGTCAACATCTCCAAAGATTCAATCAAGGAAAAAATTGTCAGATTGTCAATTTCAATCTTGGTGAATTTCATAAATGGTAATGGGTATGAACAGGAAAGAATTAAGGTTATTAAAATCTTGTTGTTGAACGATTCTTTGTCAATAATCAAGAATTTGAATGATAGAAAGTGGGCTGATCAAGAATTGATTGAAGACTTGGCGAAAATGTTAGAAATTCTCAATGAAAATTACGAGAAACTCACCAGTTTTGATGAATACTTACTTGAATTGGACTCTGGGGTGATGACTTGGTCTCCTCCACACAGATCGAAGGAATTCTGGAGCAATTATGCCAGCAAATTCAAGGATCAAAATTACAAGTTATTCAAACAATTGATTGCATTGCTCAACAAAATCATCACAGAAAACACAAACAATAAAAACCTTACAAATGACCAAGAAAAGAACTTGAACAAGATCTTGTCGGTGATCTGCAATGACATTTGTCAAATCATTACCTACGTTCCTGAAGCTCTTGCTGTTTTAAGTAAATTGGATGACTCGAAGGCAAAGATTATGGAATTAATGACATCTAAGGATGTTAATCTTAGATATGAGGCTTTGAAAACCACCCAAGTGTTGGTAGCCCATGCAATTTGAGCAGATGGATAACAGTAGCTTGATCTTTTCAATATCTCTCTTTATCTCATGTTTTTTTCTATTTTTTATTTTGAAAAAAAAAAAAAAAATTTTTTGTCTTGTTCGATTTTTTAAATTGGAATTTTAGTTTGTTTTTGTTTTCCCTAAATTATTTTTAAATCACAGTATTTTAATCATCCTTGACTACTGAAAACAATGTAATTACAAATCATCAAATGATATGGGACCATTTTAGAAACTGTATGTTAAGAATTACTGTGATGGTATGGGACCGCATTAGAAACTGGGTACGAGAAAGATTATAATCTACCAGGGACGATTCTTCAGATTTACTTCGACAAATGCGAAGGGATAAAAAATAAGTACAAAATGTTTCAAAACTCAGGTCATCACAAATTCATGAGTCTAGCTAATTAAAGCGACCTCAATTGCAATGGTTTTAAAGTTGAAAAGCTTCAATCTGGAACTTTAAACCACATTAAATCGTGTATGGCCTGTAAAGACAGCACAATCAAATGAACTTAATAAGCTCCAATAAGATAAATTGAAAGGTACAAATTAACAAATTTGCACTCCCATATACTTGAGGAGATTCAAAAGACAACCAGGAGTGAATGGGAAAATAAAAAATTTTCAACTTTTTTATATTCTTTGGGGAGCAGGGTAACTGGCAACATTTAGAACTTTTTTTTTCCGTTCCCCGGGGGGAGCCTGTTTCACTGTAAGGTTGTCACAGATAAAAAAGCATTCTTTGAATTGACATGTATTAAATATACGATATGATATTATGATTGAGCAAAATTACAAACCTTAGTTTTTGAGCAAGCCCTTGTTGATGAATTCTTTGTAAAGAGAAGCACCCAATCTGGCTGGAGATTGTTCAACGATAACTCCGGCAGATTGCAAAGCGGCAATCTTAGACTTAGCATCACCCTTACCACCGGCGATGATGGCACCAGCGTGACCCATTCTTCTACCTGGTGGAGCAGTAAGACCAGCAATGAAGGAAACCACTGGTTTTGGAACGTCTCTAGTCAAGTTGTAAGATTTCAAGAATTCGGCAGCGTCTTCTTCTTGGGAACCACCAATTTCACCAATCAAGATGATCCCTTCGGTTTCTGGGTCATTCAAGAACAAAGTCAAGGCATCAATGAAGTTGGTACCTGGGAATGGATCACCACCCATACCGATGACCAAGGATTGACCCAAACCAACCTTGGTGGTTTGGTCAACAGCTTCGTAAGTCAAGGTACCGGATCTAGAAACGACACCAATCTTACCCTTCTTGTGGATTCTGGAAGGCATGATACCAATCTTACATTGTTCTGGGGCGATCAAACCAGGACAGTTTGGACCGACTAATCTGGTCTTTGATTGAGTCTTCAACAAGTCTTGAACTCTCAACATGTCATGTTGTGGAATCCCTTCGGTGATGCACACAACCAATGGGACTTCAGCGGCGACGGCTTCTTCGATGGCAGCGGCAGCAATGGTTGGTGGGACAAAGATACCGGAGGCAGTGGCACCGGTTTGTCTGACAGCTTCATCAACAGTGGCGAAAACTGGCAAGTCCAAGTGAGTGGTGCCGGCTTTCTTTGGGTTAGTACCCCCAACAATCTTGGTACCGTAGTCGATGGCTTGTGTGGCGTGGAAGGTACCTTGTTTCCCAGTGAAACCTTGGAAGATGACCTTGGTGTCAGCATTAACCTTGAGGTTTGGGATGGTATCAGCGTAGCTTCTGGCAATAGCAGCAGAAGAGAAGTTTCTTCTAGCCACGGATTTGAATGATTGTCTAAGCATGGTTGAGTATTGACTTGGAATTGTCTATGTTGTGGTATGAGTCTCCAGTGGGGAAATGATAAATATTATTTTTATTATTTTTCCTGGAGGGAGTATAGATGGGCGTGCTTTGTAATCTTGAGGAAAGAGATTGACAAGCGATGGTAGCGCGTGGAAAATAACAACGGAGGGGATCAGGCAAGAAAATAGAGAGAAAAAAAAAAAAACTGATAGACATCACCAGACCAAAGTCTCCGTCTTCCCTTGTTGCACACACACACACACACTGTGTGGGTGGTGTTTTTCCTCCGGGCAGGTTTTACCGCCTCTTGTCATGTGATACGATAGGGTAATCGGCGATATTTGGATCATTATTGAAACTGTCTAATTGCTTCCATCTAATAGATTGCTGACATACCAAACATATTGTAGCTCCAATTGGTTGTAGACAGTCTGTTCTCTCACTCGCTAAGCTACTCAGAAAAGATAATTTCACAACAATCAAAGGTTGAAATACATAGTGAGGCAGAGACCAACGTAGCTTTAGTTTGTTCTTTATTGGGAACCCAACTGGGTTATGATTGTGAAGACATTCTCTATTTGATTGGGCTCTGTCGTTTGTGGAAGGAAGGCAGAAAGAAAGGAAGGAAGGAAGGAAGGAAGGAAGGCACAGCATTGAAGAACAGTGTAGAAAGAACCTGCCATGTTGAATCAGTGTGGGGTGCATACCCGGTGCATCATAAGGCCTATTAAAGGACACCAATCCAATAAAATATTATTTTATATATATATATATATATATATGTATGTCCTTGTCTCATTTTATTAACCATATGGGCACACACACACACACACGCACATGTCTCGCTTATCAGTGTCACTGATATATATACCCTGGCTCAGTAATGTCCTGGGTTATTTGTCCGGATACATCTAGGCATGACCCATAGTGCTGCTCTTTCCCCATTTGTCCTTTTCCGGGCGCACCCAAAACCAACACCTAATCCTATTGTTAATGACTAGTAAATCTACTGGGTGACATCAATTCGATATCTTTCGCTTGTCATGTTTGAATTGACCCTTGGCTTACATACAAGCTATTCCTTCATACGTGTCTGAGAATTTCTTGCTTTTTTTCAACGTTGTAGTATTTATGAGGCAAAATTAAAAAGAAAAAATGAACAAAATCATGAAATATAAGAAGAAGAAACTACTTCCATTAAAGGAGAAGATCTTCCGCCTTCTCCAGAACAAATAGGGTCATGATTCGTCCCTGCTATTTCACATGGGTGCTCAACAAACCAAGCTTCTTATCTCTCCTTCCCACGTTTTCTCATCCAAAATTCCACCGATTGTATCGACATCCAACCCAAAAGGGGCAGCGTGTCGTCGCACTGTTCATCCAAACAGCATGCCACGTGCGTCAAGTCTCCTTCAACATGATAGCTGGCACAAAACAAAAGAACAGTGTGAATAATGGTAAAACGTGGATAGACTATATATTATCCATGCCTTTGTCTTACTAAATGTAATCATCATTATATATACTCTATCAAACGAGCTTTTGATTTGCCTGGTTATTCAACAAAACCTCATCTTCTCGTTACTCCTCAAACGCCTTCCACCCAATATGTCCTCGTTTGTTCTGGTGGACAGCTCAGACGCTGACGCCCCAACTCAAACATGGAAACTTACCGTCTTCATCGTTACTGCTATTTCAACATTAGCATTTTTCCATATCAATGAGAAAACAAGATCACTCATCTTGTTTGCTTGGGCCTGTTTCATCAAGCCATTCACTCCATCTAATCGAAAAACCCACAGTAACCATCAAAGTAATCTCGAATCTTTCTATAAAACCCAAGCAAAGATTTACGACTCTACAAGAAAAGTTCTTTTGAAAGGAAGAGAAGATGCGTTGACTCTTGCTTTTTCCCATTTGCCTAACAAGAAGGAAAATGTTTGGATTGACATTGGTGGCGGTACTGGTTTGAATATCGAGAACATGGACAAATACGTGGCCCCTTTAAAACTGTCCTTTAAAGCTGTATACCTCATAGACTTGTCTCCATCCCTTTGCGAAGTAGCAAAAAAACGTGTTGCTGAAAACGGCTGGGATAATGTCCATGTTTATTGTGCCGATGCCTGCGATTTTGAAATTCCTCATAAAGAGGCTGATCTCATAACCTTTTCTTACTCTTTGTCAATGATTCCTTCTTACTATTCTGCAATTGACCATGCCGCAAAGTTGCTCAAGCGCGAAGGTGGTCATATTTGTGCCGTCGATTTCGGAATCCAATCAGATATTAATGCCGTTGGTAGAACAAATACCCTTGGTGGTTTAGTCAATCGTCATGTTCCATGGATATATAGAACATTCTGGAGAATTTGGTTCGAGTGTGATAAAGTTATCCTTGACCCATCAAGAAGAGAATATTTGGAATACAGGTTTGGAACTGTCAAGTCTCTCAATTGTTATAACAAAACTTTGGGAAAAATCCCTTACTATATTTGGCTTGGAGTCAACAAGCTGCATGATACCCAATTGATGCATAGATTCAACTCTTTGGCTATCGAGTCACCATATTTGGCTCCAATGGATGTGAAAAATAACAACGTTCCTAATTCAAAATGTTTAGAAGCTGCTTTGGATAATGCTAAAAAAGGCCTTCCTTTCCCTTCTTTATTCTATCAAAGAGAAGCTTGGAGAGTGTATTATGATGAATTGAGCGATCGTTATGAACCTTTCAAAAATCAATATATTTATGCTTTCACCTGGGAAGATCCAAGAGAAGATGCCAAGATTTTGAAACTCAGCTCTAAAGACACTGTGTTATGTATTACAAGTGCCGGTGATAATCTCTTGTCATATGCTGCTTTGCCCGACCCTCCAAGAAGAATCCACGGTGTTGACTTGAATCCTTGCCAAGGTCATTTAGCAGAATTAAAATTGGCTTCCTTGAGAGCATTGCCTTTGGAAACAACTTGGAAACTTTTTGGTGAAGGGAAAATCGAGAATTTCAAAGAACTTTTAATTGAAAAACTTTCCCCACATTTGTCTTCCAATGCTTTTCAATACTGGATGAACCAAGGCCATGTTGCTTTTGACATTAATGGAAAAGGTCTTTATGATACTGGTTCTACTCGTTGGGCTCTTAGATTAGCCAAATATGTTTTCAAAGTCACTGGCTTGACTTCCAAGGTTGAAGAATTGTGTAACGCCAAAACCATGAATGAGCAGCGTGAAATTTGGGAATCTTCCATCAGACCAGTGCTTTTCAATTTTGCTGTTGGGAAACTTTTCGTGGGTAACCCAGTCTTCCTCTGGAAAGCCTTGGGTGTTCCAGCCAATCAAGCGGCAATGATGGATACTTCTATTTTACAATATTTCATCGATACACTTGATCCAATTATTGGTCGCTCAATGGTTGGTAGTGATAACTATTTCTATTATTTGACCCTTAAGTCTCACTATCGCAAAAATAACTGCCCTGACTATATTTCCAAGCATGGTTTCAAGGTTTTGTCAAGAAAGGTGAACTCCCCATTAGATAACATCAGACTTCACACTGATACCTTGAATGATGTCCTTGTTAGATTGACCAAGAAAACTATTTCAGTGGCAGTTATCATGGATCATATGGATTGGTTTGATCCAAGTGGTGAAGATGCTGATGATGAAATTGATGCCCTCTTCGGTGCTTTGTGTGTTGATGGAAGAGTCATGTTGAGATCTGCTGCTCAAGTTCCATGGTACATCAAAAATTTTGAAAAAAGAGGGTTTGAATGTCAAGCTGCCGCTACAAGAACTTCCGGTACCAGTATTGATAGGGTCAACATGTATGCTTCAACATGGATTTGCACTAAAAAGGTTGAAGGTGACCATATGAACTTTGATTTGGATGCCAAATAATGATATGGGATATATATTTTCTTTTTGATGATGAAGGGCTTCTTATTTTTTTTTTTTTTTTCTAAAATTTTTTTCTCGATTTCTACGGATTATGATGTTTTTCACGTTTGTTTTTTTTTAAAAAAATTATTATTACGTTCTTTTTTTTTTTTTTTTTTTTTTTTAAGATATATAAAAGAAAATATTCTCTTTTTTAAAATCCAATTTTTGATATTCTCTCGTTTAGAGTCCAATATTTTTTATAGTTCATTTCGATTTGAAGCTAATCTGAGCTCCTCATAAAAACAGGGAAAACAAAAAATTCTAATAGAAAAGATTGTCTAGTTAACTACAAAAGAAAAAATTAATTCAAACAAGAATTTATCGAGAGATAGTTTATTATTATCTAGAATTAATTAGTAGGAAACGCATAGTAAAAAGGAGAAATTAAAATGGAAAAATTAAAGCAGCAATTAAATAATGTAAAAAAAAAAAAAATATTCTGGCAATTTGTGAATTTGTTGCTTGACACTTAGTAATCAGCTTTTTCAGGTAAGATAATAGCATGTTCTCTGGATAGCACACTAACAACTGGGTCAATTTGGAAATCGCTTTCAGTGATTTGAGAGTAAGGAACAATGTTTTTCTTGTGACATTCTTCTTCAGTAAATGCGTCAAAGTAGTCACAGGCGTCTTCTTCTTCAACATTTTCATATGGCCAAATATATGATGAAGCTATGGTTAAAAAGAAGGCAATACAATATTCAAAGATGGTGTTCCCGTAGTAGAATTTCTTGATACCTCCGTTAACATCAATAGTTGGTGTGACATCATTAATCAAACCTGGAAGGGCAGGAGCGAAAGCAGTAACCCAAATCAACAAATTTCTATAGTTTATTCCGTTCCAATACCAATATTTACCATTCACTTCATCACTGTACAAATGAGTCAATTTAAGATGTTTTTTTCTAATGACCCAGAAATCGGCAATAATTATACCAACGATTGGTGACATGAAGACAGAAAAAGAAGACATGACAGTTACAAAAGTGGATGAAGTATTGTAGAAATCCCAAGGTTGGACAACCCAAGATAAAAGAGCGGTGAGAATAGTACCACGGGTAATGTTGAAATACTTAGGAAGCAAACCAGACAAGTCCATACCACCAGCATATGCATTACCCATAGTGTTGAAGCAGATTTGTGATAAAGTGAAGGTTAACCCCGCGAAGAAAGCGGCAGCTCTGGATTTAGGACTGTAATCGTCTTTTAACCAGTTCATGATAATTTGATTTGGCATCCAAACTTCTTCACCATACTTGTCCTTATAAGCAGAAGCAGTAACGAGACCCATCAATGGAATCACTGTACCAACGACTACTAAAGAAAAGATGGTGCCCCAAAAAGATGACCAAGTCTTCTTTGAAAATCTAGTGAAGTCAGATTGGTTTGAAACACCGGCAGAAAGACTACCATACCATGAACTGATACCGAAAACCCAATACCATCCTCTAGTAGAGGAGCTCATGGAAGTAGAAGTATGCATCAATGAACCATCACTTCCGCCATTTCTTGACACAATCCAGATAGTCATACCCATCATGGTGAAAAAAGTAAGGATACAAGTAACCATCAAAGGTTTATTGAATCTCTCTGGCTTGATAAGTAGAGGAGGGAGAGAAATGATTTGAAACACGACAAAGCCAATTAATTCTTGAGTGGTCATGTTCACAGATTTTGGAATCGTATCAGACATTGTTAAGAATTTATGACTCCAGGATGCAAAGACACAATTCAAACATAATGCACCAAGATAAGCTTGAGAGCCAAACCACACGACAGATAAAATGATTCTAATAATAATACCAACTGTTGAGCCTCTAATACCAAAAACAACTCTTTGAGAAATTGTGTAACCAATATGGTAGTAACCACCTGGTGCTGCATTTAGAAGAGCTAAAGCAGAAATAATAACATTACCAATGATAATAATCCCCATTGTTTCGCCGACCGAAAGCCCTAATGAAAGCAAAGAAGAGGCACCAGTCCAGGTAGAAATTGTGACATTAGTGATGGACCAATAAAAGGTAAGAGACCAAATACCCCAAATTCTTCTTTTTGGACCCATAGGAATGATATCTTTGTTACGCAAATAGGTGACCTCCTCGATCCCTTCGCCGGGAGTCACCTTGATGAAATCATGAATCTTAGAAAGCATCAGCATTTTGTTCTGATTGCTGGTGGATACTCTGTGAACAGTTTAAGAGCAAAACATATTGGAAATATCACACCAGCTCTTTGATATATATATATTTGTAAATAGGGCAGATTAAAGCATGTTACTAAGCTTCTTATTATTGTTTACTCTAGTAGATAGCAAATCTTTCCTATGCAGTCAACCGATAGCAAATCTTCCTGCAATAGATACAATGTTAATATCTATATACGGAAACGGGTATCCGATGGCAATGGTTCCTTAATTCAGAAATGGCTTAGATATGGTTAAAAAAGTGCAAGAAAAGCGATTACCTAGTGAACCCGGAAGTATTAGAAAAATTCAACACCTTTGAGAGAGAAGCGCACTGTAACTATAAACAGAAGGCATTTTTCCGAGTAATGTGACTGATATCACCGATAATCTAACTGCGATTTTGGGTCCTTTTTTTTTTTTTGACGAGCTAGGGTAGTTCTGATAAGCTTGATTAGGTAAGTCGCGTCCAACTGCGACATTAGAATGTAATGTGGTATTATTTGCGTGGGAGAAAAAAAAAACTGTATGATCTAATGGAAATTTCTGCCACCAATCTGCAACGATGTTAATCACCCTTTGTTGATAGCAAAAATTGCGACACGGAATAATTGCAATTACCAACAGTATTCATTGATAGTGCAATTGCTTTTTATATAAATGGATATTATCACAGTATCACCCAAGTTCTTGTGAACTTACTCTATTTTAACCACCAAGAAAAAAAAAAAGCAATTCAAGAGCAATAATAATGAGCAGCAAAAATTTGTTAATTGGTATCGACGTCGGAGGAACAAACACAGATTCCGTTCTTCTTGATCCTACCCAGTTTGAATCAGAATCGCGAGGTGTGATTGCCTATCATAAATCTTCGACCACAGCCGATGTATCTGATGGTATTTCTAATGCCATTGATCGCTTGTTTGATGAAGATAAGGGTTATAGCCCTAAGGATGTATTATCTGTTACGATTGGTACAACTCATTTCATTAATGCCGTGGTTGAACAGGATAAAGCAAGATTAGAACCTGTTGCGGTCCTCCGGTTATGTGGTCCTTACTCCAAAGGATCTTACCCATTCTCAGATTTCCCGGCAGGGTTAACGAATATCATTAAGAGTTATACTGCTTTCGTCAACGGTGGACACAGAGTTGATGGTAATGAGATCCAACCTCTTGATGAAGAAGCGATTCTTGAGCATGCCAGAAAAATAAAGGCGCTTGGAATTAAGTGCATCGCCATCGTTGGTATTTTTGCAATCATCGACAAATCACACGAAATAAGAGCTGCCGAATTGATCAAGCAAGTTATTCCCGATGGAAATGTTGTCATGTCCCATACTGTTTCCGGCATAGGCTTTTTGCCAAGAGAAAATGCCTCAATTTTGAATGCTTCGATTATGTCATTTGCTGCCAAGATTATTGGCTCATTCATAAAGTCAGTTCGTTCTAGAGGTTTCTATTGTCCCATTCTATTGACCCAGAATGATGGTACAGTGTTGACGGTTAATGAAGCGCTTGAGACACCAATTAGAACTTTTTCTTCTGGTGCTACTAATTCCATGAGAGGTGCTGCTTTCCTTTGTTCACAAGAGGAGGGTGTACATGGTAAGAGTATTATGGTTGTTGATATTGGGGGTACCACTACTGATGTCGGTCTTCTTTTGCCTTCAGGCTTTCCAAGACAATCATCTTCTCACTCAGAAGTTGGTGGTGTAAGAATGAACTTTTCTATGCCACACGTTGAAAGTATCGGATTGGGTGGTGGTTCCATCGTGCGTGAATCTAACAGTGTGATGACAGTTGGCCCAGACTCTGTTGGTTCTGAAATCAAGAGTAGAGCTAAAGTCTTTGGTGGTGATACTGTTACTTCTACTGATGTTACCGTTGCTATCACTGATGGAGAAACCATATTCAAAGTTGGAGACAAGACCAAAGTGCAGGGAATGTTCAGTGAAACATACCAAGAGAACTTTAAATCTATTGTCAAGTTAAAATTGGAAAGAGTTATTGACAGAATGAGAACTAGTCCTGAACCAGTTCCAGTCCTCTTAGTTGGCGGTGGTTCATTCATTTCTCCAATGGAGTTGGATGGTGCTTCTAAAGTTTACAGACCCCCATACTATCAGGTCGCCAATGCTATTGGTGCTGCCATGGGTAAATTATCTGCCTACTTGCACAAGATTGAGTTTCTTGGTAGTATTAATGAAAAGGATGAGGTTATTAGCAGAATGACTAAAGAAGTGACCGCTGATATTGTGTCCAAGGGTGCCCTTGAATCATCTGTGCAAATTGTGGACCTTGCTTACGACCCAGTTCCTTATGTTGATCGTACCTACACTTTTGTTATCAAGGTTGTTGCTGATATCGATTATGAAAAGATTTCTATGGCTATCCTGAAAATTGAAAGTGTCGATAGTGGAGTTTATGCCGAAGAGAAAAAAGAGGAACAGAAAGCCGAAGCTGTTTATAAAGACTCAAGCTTTGGTGATAAGGAGGCCTCCCATGCTGATGCAGAGATTTTTGATTTCCAAGCGTATAAGCCATTTGTTAATGAAAATAGAGAATGGATTATCTCTGAAACTGATTTGGAATTCATCAGAATTGGTACATATATTTTAGGATGTGGTGGTGGTGGTACTCCTTACCCAATCTTTTTGGAAATGAGAAATATGCTTCGAAACGGTGCTATAGTTAGAGTGATAGATTTGCATGACGCTCCAAAATATGCCACTGGTGAGGGGAAATTTATTACTGTTGGCTTTGCTGGATCTCCAACGGTTGCTGATGAACAATTACAAGGTGATGAATTAACAGACGCCAGTGAAGCTTTGTTCGATTACATCAAAACCAAGGCGGATGGTGTGTTCCCTCTTGAAATTGGTGGAGGGAATGGATTCAAGGGAATGTATTGTGGTGCCTCCACAAAGTTGAATCTCCCAGTTATTGATGCTGATTTGATGGGTAGAGCCTATCCAACCCACTCCCAGATCTTGCCATGTGCTCTTAGTGACGAAATGTATTTGACCGAAACTTCCGTTTCAGATGGTAACGGCAACAAATTTTTGATCACTGGTGCTCAATCTGACATTTTTGTTGAAAAGATGATGCGTGCAGCATTAGCGGAAATTGGTGCTCATGTTGGAGTTGTCAACGTGCCAATGTCGTCTAAACACTTGGTAGAAATGACTGTTCATAATTCTCTTTCCACTGCCTGGAGAATTGGTAGGGCTATTAGAATTGCTCGTCAAAAATTCGAAATCAATAAATTACCTGAAAGAATTATTGAATCGGTTGGTGGTTCTATTTCTGGTAAACAGATATTCGCTGGTAAGATTGTTGGGGTAGAAAAGAAGCTTTTCAAGGGCCATGTTTACGGTGAGGTCAGTATTGAAAACGAAAATAAAGACAAAATGGTAATTCCATTCAAAAATGAAAATATTTTGGCTAAGGTACAAAAGCATGGCTCTGATGACTGGGAAACAGTTTGCTCTGTTCCAGACTTAATCTCTGTTTCATATGCTGATAGTGGTGAAGCAGTTGGAACCCCAGAGTACCGCTATGGTATTATGGTCTTCGTTTTGGCATTGTCTCCTTCTGACTTGTGGGTCAAGACCGAAAAGGCTCTTGCTGTCGGTGGTCCTAAATCTTTTGGACAAGCTTTTGAAGATGTCGTATATAATCCAGTTGGGAAATATGTTCCACCAGTTTCTGTTATCAATGAATTTGCAAAGTAGTATTTCAGTCTGTTGCTAAACATTATACATTCGAATATAGAAAATTTCTGATTTATAGATAAATTCTTTACATATCTGTGCAATCATCACTGTTGTAAACTAAAAAGGCTACCTTGCTGATTAACATATCCCTAATTTAGGGATAGCTTATTTCTTAATGTTGCGCCTTGCCTCACTTAACTGATCTGAGCCAGTTATATAATCTTCCTTATCATTCTCGTGCCGCCATATTGAGCCAACTGCTGCTATCGCGTTGGCTGTGAATTCCATTCCGCTATAGTACACTAGTGTGTCAGCTCTATCCATGTACTCTCCTAAATCCCTAAACTTAAAATCAAATGCCATATAATTTATGCGAGTATCCAATGCAATGTATCGTATATTATATCCCCTTGCTTTGCTCATTAGGCTTGTCTTTGTCATGAAAACATATCATATGCATAACCACGATTCCAAGAAAGTTCATGGGCAGTAATTTCTTCATTTCGTTTTTTAAACTAAAAATAAAACTATCAACGATAATCATAAAAAATAATGATATACGTTTGGTATCTTTTCCCTTTCTTTAGTTGTGGCATACGCATATCTTTTTCAACTTGGATTTGTTGAGTCATTATTGCTTTTGAATATTTGGGTTCTGGGGCGCATTTTTACGCCTTATCAGTTTTCGAGGGAATCAGTTCTCCAAATTTTGGTAGGAGCTCTCGATTAATGATAGTAGTATCCAGAAATCCTACAAATTTGCCATACAATGACATCAGCTTGAAATCTCTTGAAAATTCAAGAATTCATCCAATCCATCTGATTTTGATCACTGATGAAAATACAATATAAGGCATGATTAAATTTGTCAAAGACTATAATATTGTTACTGAACCTGCTTGTGGCGCTTCAATTTTTGCAGCAGATAGACCTGATTATTTAGAGAAATATTTCGGTAACTTGCTTAAATATGATATTTTTATTCTCATTGCTTGCAATGGGTCTTCTTCTTATATTGAGGATGTTATTCAATACCAAGATATTATTGAGAAAAATCGGTGATGAATAATAATAAAGCTTGATTTTTATCAGCTTGACAACAAGAAGTTAAATCATTGAATAAATTATAGATTTGGAACCCCACTCTGTCCAAAATATCTAATTTTATTATATGACCACAATTTGACAAACCAGACCGTCTACTAAGCTTTTCATGGGTAAGTAATTCAAAAATAGTTTCAACGAGCTGAAATGCACATTGCTAACTAAAAAATATTGTAGGAAAAAATATTGGATATTCAATAAAAAAAAATGAGAAAGTAAAAAGAGGTTGGTAGAAAACAATCAACATGGGATCATTTCGATCAATTGAAACTATTTAGCCACCAAAAACAACAGAGAAAACGGTACGAATTTGATTTTCACTGTATCCACTTTACAAACTCAATTGCAATAAGATACGAGCTTTTTGTGGGTTAATAAACTCAGATGCGATACCATAATCTGGAACATCATCTTTTGGAACTGAACCAGCCATTGTACGGCGAGTAAACAATTGGAATATTATACTTTCATACATTTCCTTATTTTTAATTTCACCAGAATTACTCCATGAACCAGCACCAGAGCCAGCCAAAACAATACCTTTGGCACCTAGTTGTTTAATAGCTACCTTGACCAAATTTGGATTGAGGCCTTGATAAGAATACAAGATGATGACTTCTGGAATTTGACTTGCCTCGGTGACATTTGAAATATTAAAATAGTGGAAGCCGTTTGGTCTTGTTGGAGGATAGTAATATTCTATTTCATCATTCATAATTGTACCCAAGTAACCCTGTTCAAAAGCTCTGAAAGTATTCATAGCATCCACATTTTGCTTAGTGGTCCAGATACCCGAAGCGATTCTATCATTCAAGACGATCATAAAACCTCTACCTAAAGATTCCTCACTACCAGAAACCTTAACAGCTTGGTACAAGTTCATTGGACCGTCGGCTGATGTAGCTGTAGAAGGTATCGTGTCACCAGCTAGAGCAACTGGTTTTGAAGTATTCGATGTCAAATCAAGGAAAAATGCGGTTTATTACAGGGTATCAGTCCCGTGAGTAACAACACACTATTTATATTCTGTTCCCAAAGCTTAAGAAATGTTGTGATGCAATGGAATCAAGTGGGTATAGTTTAACGAGTTGGACCCCACATTGGATATCTTTACATATTCCAAGTTAGCAATAGTATCGATATCAGGAACAGTGGCGATTAAGTCCTCCACAGTAAGTCCGACAGAATAACCAGCAGTAGTGGTACTGCTAGAGCCTTTGGAAGCAATAGTGTTACCAGTACCCATTATTTTCACCTTTGGCAAAGTGACATTGGTAGTATCACGTTCTTGAAGAATTGGCAAGGCAAAAGACTGCATAGAAAGCGAAGATAGAAGAATAGCTTTAGCAAACATGATGGAAGAACAAAGAGAAAGATTTAGGTGTTAGGTTAATATTATTTTTTTAAATCTTATCTTCATCAAAAATTAAAGACCCGTCTTTCTTCATGCATATACACATTTATCAAGACAAGAATAGGGGGCAATCTTTCAACTCAGGTAATTCCTTGATCATAGATAATCTTGATCATTTCAAGGAAACGATAGACCATTTCGTCGGATCAATTTCCGAAGGAACCAGAATCATTTCTCTACAGGCCATAATCGAGTGTATTGTTAATAAATCTTGATAAATACAATAGTAAAGCCCTTGGCCAGTAATATAGTCTACCATTGGACGAATATTTCTTATTTGGAGCGAAAGACCAACAATACTATCACAATTAATTAATCGGTGACCTCATTTCTCCTCTGAGTTACTTCTGGAAGGTGAATATAGGTGATAGAATATTCTCAAGCCCATTTGTAACGCTCCAAAGCACGAAAACTTTTTGAAAGGTTCAAAATGTTATTAGTAGAACAAGCACCACACGGTGTTTTTATTTAACACATAACCGTGGGGAGTTTTGATAACAATAAGAATAAGAATATATATTCTAACGCTTAGATAAGATATTTAACAACTGTGTAAAATACAAGCCTGTCTTTCTCAGTGTCAAACAACAAAATGTTGATGATCGGTAAGCTCAACCGGGTTACTCACGTTGCTATACACTGGTAAAGCTCTCAATAATATATGAATATCCATCATCTACTTAATTTAGGTTATATACACAGATCTGCACAGATTAGACCCCAGTTATTCATTCAATAACCCCAATTAAATATCTTCCTTGGAAACTATAGTTTCTTCTTCTTTTAAGCTACTGATAATTTGGGACTCATCCTCCTTTTTTTACTGCAGAGATATTTACTTGTGTTAATATTCATTTTGAAAACATAAGTCATAATTGTGAACGCTTTCAAAATTTCATTCATCTCAGAGACGGAAAACTAGCTAATATGGCTAATATGATGTTTCCGGTTTTTTGTGGCACTGATATATGGCTCGGTCCCTTGCTTGATTGTACCTACCACAAAAATTAATAATACAGTTGTTGTGGTTTACACAAATGTTTTGAAAACAGCTCTAAGGATACAGGAAATTTTCTCTATAAATTGAAAATGAACAGAATACATAATATAGTCCAGAAAAGGAAAAGAAATTGCATCATCAGATGTACCACCCAGGCCATACTATCATCTCTAATGTTTAACATTTGACTATTCCTCAATGGTTCAACAGTCCTACACTTCATTGATGAGTGATGCCTTGTATGGATGGTGAGTCATGGAATAAATACACTACGTGGGGGTAATGCAGATAATATTTAGTTTCATATACATGTGGGGCATCCAGTTGTCAAGGAAGGAACTGATATTTATGAATTTAGTAATGCTACATCCTCCAGTGAACAGCAAAGTCGAATAGTAACAGGAAAAAAAATTAATACCTGGAATATACACAGTGCTAAGTTTATTACCCAAGTCTAACTAGGTACATGACAATCAGTTCAACGCTATACAAGTGTCACAAGATGGATAAACAATAACTTTTTCTTTTTCAGACAAAGAACGAACGTAATGTTCACGAAATTTTGTTTTGTCTCAGGAATCTCATCTGACTGCATACAGAGTAATTAAATTTTCCATTTCAAAAATAAACTTAAATAGAAAAAAGAAGAAGAAAAACGAAGAATATGGGCGTGAAAAACAGAAAAAAAAAAAAAAGCTGGAGTAACAATCTGGTGATAATCTCTAATTTCTCAAATGATCCAAGAATAATCAGCCTTTCAAACTTGTTTTTCGATAATAAGCTCATCGGAATTCTTATCAAGTTTAGTTTCTGAAAAAGTGTCATCTGTGTCAGATTCAAGAATACCAAGAATTTTTTCATCGTTGACTAGTGAAACGGAATATGAGGCAGGAATCACCGCGACATAAAACACCACCACGGAAACAATCAAACTGGTCATATCGTTACCATTTACGACAGTAATGACAAAGGCCAAGCATTGACCGAGCGATTCAAAAGATCTGAGGATTGCAGCAACGTGAGTAATTTCATCCGAGGAAAATTGGTAGGCACCAAGAACCCAGTAAGCCCAGTTGAAAATGTATTCGCCACTAATTTTGAAGATTTGGAATGGGATGAATGATCTTGCGAAACGGGCATTTCCGTGCCAATCAATACCTGATTCAGGGCTAAAGTCAAATTGTTTTTGAAGTACCAACGAATAAATAAAGAAGCCAGTCATCAGTAAAACAAGGAAAGCCCATGATGCCTTAACTTTCTGAGTTCTGCTTAGACACTTGAGATCCAAGAAGTAAGCAGCGACAACATCAGTTAATGCACAAATCAATGCAGATAATAAAGAGTTCAAAGATCTTGCTCTGACGCTGAAATGATGGGTAATATAATTAGATTGCCATGCATTGAACCACATCACTGAAATGAATAATGGGATAAGACCGATGACCTCTTTTCTTTTCAAGACCTTTATGAAGTTTTGGCATTCTTCTTTCCAAGTTTTATTGGTAATATTAGATCTAAGTTTCGAGCCATCTTTTCTAATCACTTTTTCTGGAGGCGATAAAAGGAAAGATGCAGGGAAGCCTAAACATTGGATAGAAATCAAAACGATATAAGTCTTTAAACTAACACCGCCACTCTCATTTTTTTTGATGTTCAAAGCAAGGGAAATCGCACCGGCGATTAGACCACCAGTTTTATTGATTAACTGCCAAGTACCAATAAATAAACCTCTTTGATTCTCCTCCGGATATAAAATTGCAACAGTGGCTTCACTAGTCCAAAATGCGGCAGCTGAAACACCGCATAAGGTGGCCCCAGCAATAATCAAGGCCTGAGATCCATCCTTTGAATTTTTGTATAGCCCTGCGGACCAAAAAACAAACCCGATGGTCCCAATGTTACCGATGGGTTTAATACCCCATTTGTTGGCTAAAATAGAAAATATCGGAGAAAATACAACGAGAACACCAAATAAAATGGAGTTTGAAATGTTGGCAGTGTTGACAGTCTGCAAACCCCCGGCACCCAAACCGGCAATAGCAGCGTAGATACCAGTTTGAGTGAAGGACAAAAATCCAATAATAAGGGCCTGAGTGTAAGTTGCACGATAGATTCTAGTGAAGCGGCTTGGAGTAGACATATTTCAGTTTATGGCAAATAATAATAAATTGTTCACTCAAGTCCCTCTACAATCTTTTAATTATCATTAAATAATTTTTAATAAATTTATTTAAAATCTCATTTTTCCGAAACGTTTTCCCTCGACTCTTTGCGTCGGCGCGCATTGAACTCAATAAATATTGACTTGTCCCACCTGTTGTTATTAAGTCTTAAAGACCTTATTTAGATGATTTGGGGCATAATTTTCCTAATTTATCGGACAGCATAATTTTAAACCGCCAGAAGAAGAAGAAGAAAAAGGTTTATGAGTTGAATGAATTTCTCGGTTGCCGTGTTTTTTTTTCCTGTGAATTAATTTATTTTGAATTCATAAAAAAAGAAAAAAAAAAAAAATTCTATATCTAAAAAGGCTTTGACTTGGGTTTCTATTGTTAAACTTTTTTGTCTATTTACGTTATGATGCAGCACCTACAACATACAATACTCACGGTCATTCTTGGTTCACTCTTCAATCAATGCACACACTTACCTCAACTTTCCATGTTTCACCTTGGCGGTTTTCGGAGTTGGCAACCCTAGCACTCGAGTGGAATTCCTCGATCGAGAAAGAGAACAGCTGATAAGCATGATGCACTAGTACAACATTACTGTCAGATTAAACTTTAAAACTGGTTTGTTTATTGTTGGTGTTTGATAGATCGGCACGCTATTTGATAGATCGGCACGCTATTTGTGACTCCGACCGGAATACGACAAACTTATTGATTTGCGGTATGTGTATTTTATCTTATTACAGCCCGCGCTTGGAATTTTGTAAACTTGAAATTTTAAATGTTTTTTTTTCATGATATTTTAAGAACATTCATCAAGGCAATAGAAAAGAGATAAAATATAATGTCACCAGCCCAATACTATCCAAACCTTGATCTTACACAGCACCAATTAGAAGAGATTGATAATGTTGTTGACAGGCTAACTTTGAGTGAGAAGGCTACCTTAATCTCCGGAATTGACTTTTGGCATACGTTCGCCATACACGATCCTGAAAGAAATATCGACCTCCCTTCAATAAGAATGTCAGATGGACCAAACGGTATAAGAGGTACTAGGTTTTACAATAGTGTACCAAGTGCTTGCTTGCCAAATGGTACCTCCCTAGGAGCGACTTTCAATAAGGAGCTTCTAAACCAGACAGGTAAGCTAATGGCACTCGAAGCAAAGCACAAAGGTGCACACGTAATTTTGGGGCCTACAGTTAATATCCAAAGAGGACCAAATGGCGGGAGAGGGTTTGAGAGCTTCAGTGAGGATCCAACCGCCGCTGGGCTTGTTGCCAGTGAAATAATCAAAGGTATGCAATCGGAGAACATCATCGCCACCATTAAACATTATGTTTGTAATGATTTCGAGCATCAAAGGACAAGTGTTAGTGCAATTGTTAGCGAAAGAGCATTGCGTGAAGTGTATTTGAAGCCATTTCAATTGGCACTAAAACATGCCAACCCACTCGCATTGATGACAGCTTATAACAGGGTGAATGGAATTCATGCGTCGCAAAATCATCATTTATTAATCGATATTCTTAGAAATGAATGGAATTACCAAGGTACAGTTACAAGTGATTGGTTTGGTGTCTATAACTTGTACGAATCTATAAAAAATGGCTTGGATATTGAAATGCCTGGGAAGCCATTGATTAGAGATAAAAAACAAGTTGTTAATGCTGTCATGAAAAAACAAATTTCTGAGAATGATTTGGATGAAAGAGTTAAAAACATTGTTAAGTTGGTCTATAGAACCAAGGGCTCAGGAGTTTCTGAGAATGGGGCCGAGGATACTGACAATAACACCAAAGAAACATCGGAATTTTTGAAAAGGCTAGCTAACGAAGGTACTGTCTTACTCAAAAATGATGCGAATGTTTTACCATTGAGTATCGAAGATAAAATAGCCGTTGTGGGACCAAATGCCAAAATTGCAACCTTTAGCGGTGGTGGATCAGCTTCTTTAAAGCCTTATTATGCTGTTAATGCTTATGATGGTATATCAAGGCGTTATGGAAAACCTCCATTATATGCCCTGGGTGCTTATTCTCATAATCTATTACCTGGGTTGAGTGAAGTTCTAGATAATACCTCCACTGGAAATAAGGGTTTTAGAATTAAATATTACTACACTTTGGAGGATGCAAAGGCCAATAATGACGACTTTTTCTTTCAAGATGACTTGAATGAATCGCATGTCAGTTTTTTTGATTTCACCAAGTCCACCAAACCGGAATTTTATGCTCTTGTTGAAGGTGAGTTTGTTCCCCAGAAAGATGGAATTTATGATTTTGGGCTAGTTGTCAATGGTACAGGTCAAATTTTTATTGATGATGAATTGATTGTTGATAACAAAACCAAGCAAACCCCTGGAGATATGTTTTTCGGCTATGGAACTATTGAAGAAAAAGGCTCAGTGAATTTATCTAAGGGCAACAAATATAAATTTAGGTTGGAATACGGTAGCGCTATTACTTCTACTTATCCTAGTATTGTTGATGAAACCAAGGCCAGTGGAGGATTCAACATCGGTGCGGCTATCAGAATAGATGAAGAGCAAGAAATTTCCAATGCTGTTGAAGTCGCCAAGAAAGTGGATAAAGTCATTGCCATTGTTGGTCTAACTAAAGAATGGGAAAGTGAGGGTTTTGACAGAGAAGACTTGAAATACCCAGGGAGAACTAATGATTTGATTTTTGCCCTCGCGAAAGCCAATCCTAATATTATCATTGTTAATCAAAGTGGAACCCCAATGGAGATGCCTTGGATTGATGATGTTAAGGGAGTTGTGCAATCCTGGTATAATGGCATGGAATTGGGTAATTCCCTAGCTGAGGTTTTGTTCGGTGATTATAATCCAAGTGGTAAATTACCATTAACATTCCCGAAGAAATTTGAAGACAATCCGGCATATTTGAATTTTATTTCTGATTTTGGTGACTGTGTCTATGGTGAGGATATTTTTGTTGGTTACAAATATTATGAAAAACTAAATAAAGATGTATTATTTCCCTATGGATTTGGTTTGTCTTATACTACCTTTGAATTTAGCACATTGGATGTTATCTTAGACTGGGAAGCGAAGCAATTGAATATCAGTCTAGTAGTTGAAAATACTGGTACATTGGATGGAAGTGAAGTGGTACAGGTTTATATTGGCGGTGTTGAAGACTCCTCTATCAGAAGACCAATCAAGGAATTGAAAGATTTCACAAAATTATTTGTCAAAGCAGGTGAAAAGAAAAATACCAGCTTCACCACTGATTTGAAGAATGCATTTTCTATCTGGGACAATGAAAAATCCAAATGGTTTATTGAAAAAGGAATATATCAAATTTATGTTGGAAATAGTTCAGCCAATGTTCCACTTTCGAGTTCTGTTAGTATTGAAGAAAACTATTGGTGGTCTGGATTATAGTTTCAACATATTGTATAGTAGCATTAGTGCGTACGTAACCTATTCTATTAATAATGCATTCTATCCTCTATCATTTTATTATTTTATCTACTTAGTCTCATTCACTATTACCTTTTTCTTGTGTTAACTTATCTTGGAATCTAGTCTTTATATTACCTTAATATTTTGACTTCGTCTCAATAATTACATACACATTTCTTATCTCTAATTTGGCTGTTTCTTCTGTGGAGCATGACTTCAGAAGTATTTAATTCTCTTTTTTACCCAATTCAACCCAGATTGAATATCAAAATGTGATACAGCGTGAAGTTGGTATATAATACTGAAACTGTAGTTTTATGAGAATCATGGTTAATTCTCTTGCCAAACATCCTGCTATATGGTTTAAAAAAAGTATTTTAGGAAAGCCATTATTATTAGCAACAATTTGCGTCACAGATAAAAGAAAAATCTATATTAATAATCGAATAACCTTTTTCTTGCCCTTTTGTCCTCTGGCTTCAATTTTCGCCTAGAAAAAAAAAATTGAAGCATGTCTGTTGCTGAAGAAAATTGAGCATAACAGTTTTATTGTTCACTACATTGCATGTTTGAGGGTATTTCAATATATAGAACACGTTGGAACTCTGTTGGCACCTGATAACAGTACTGACTGACGGCGTAAGCAGCACTAGCGGAAAATTACCTTAAGATATGAAGTTCAAGTGGGGGTGGTATAGATTTGATAGTACATACTGTAGACAAAACTCTCTTTACATTACGTTCTTTCTGATATGTCATTATGATATAATGATTGTACTGAAATTAATTAGTGAATTTGGCTTGATATTAAGATCCACAAAAAAAAATAAAAAAAAAGGATTTCAAAATTGCCCTTTCAGCGAAACTTATAGTGTTGATAATAGAAAATAAAATAATAGAGAAAAAAAAAAAATAGAGAAAACAAGAAGAAAGAATAAGAGATAAGATAAGAGATAATTTAGAATAAAATGAGAAAATAAGATAGGAGATGAGTAAGAGATAGTTCGTTCGAAATGAGATTAGATGAGATAAGAGATAAAGCTGAATATTTGAGATAATCGTACTGTTACCATTTGAAAATTCTTATTACTATTCTTCTGTAGCTCTTTTTTGTCATCGCTGCAACCACAAACACCCTTAGTCTATGATCAGTCATCTTCATAATTGACAATTCATTGGTATTAAAATAATACATATCTAGCCTCTGTTTAAACACTCCTTTTTAATATAATCAAGAATAATTCTTTTTCTCATTACTGACTAACACTCTTTCCACAGAAACAGCTTCAGAAACATCAAGTTGTTTTGTAGATATTCTCTCAGCATCTGGTTTTTTCTTTCCGGCAAAAATTTGAAAGAGCTCAAAAATAACTTCCCTACTCTCATAGATCGGATAGAAAATTATAAAAGTAGCAGCAATTATCAACCAAATCATTATAATAATGATCCAGCCCCTAAAAAACTCTTTACTGTAAATGTAATTTTGAGCATACATGGGCATTGGGATAATAAAAATAAGAATGAAAAAGAGTCCCCAGGAGAGATACTGGGCAAGTTTAGAATATGTTTCTAACTCTTTATTAACTTTCTCATCCTCATTCTTCATGGCTTTTGCTTCCTCAGCAGTAGCATCATCACCAACAATAAAATGACTATCAAGCTCACTGAAGTCATATGGTTGAGGATCTGGTTTCACATAGCTGATTAAAATAATAAAAATTAGCGAGCCAAACAATGCTATAAAGTTTCCGACAGCACAAGAATACTGCTCACCTAAGGTATCCTTATTGACAGCACCATATAAAGACTTTGCAGAGGTACACCAGCCAATTAAAGCAATAATAGTTGCCATTGGAGGACCAATAACAATTGAAAATTTAGTCATTTTTTTCCAAAAGAGAGTTAAAATAAAAGCAAAAACTCCTGGTCCAAGAATAATACCGATGAAACTGATAATCCAAGATATTGTGATCCCAATATAATTGAATAAGACGGTCAAACCACCCATCGCAACAGCAAAAACAGTGACAGTAATGTGAGAAACATTCACCAATTCTTTTCCACTTGCGTTTGGTCTAAAATAAGAACGATAAATGTCATACGTGAAAACGGAGGATACACCAATCATTTCACTACTTGATGCACTGGTGCCTGCTAGCCACACCATCAATAAACCAGCAGCTGCTCCAGATTTTCCTAATATCATATATATACCATAAAGCATTGGGATACCTTCATTTACATATTCTGTTGGGACAGCATTCGGATAAGTTGGTGAGTCTGGATCATCAATCAATGCCAAGTTAGAAAGTGCCGTACAACAAGAAAGTGCAAGAGGAATGACTAACCAACAAAGGCCACCGATGAAGTAACCAACCATACTACTTTTAGGTCTAGCAGCAATTGCCTTCTGAGAGTATGCAGGATCACAGAAAACAGTTGAAAAGCCACCAACCACGATGTTCCAACCATTAAACACGGCCAGTTTATTTGTCCAAGTCAAGTAACTTCCTTTATAACCTGCAGATGGGTGAGTTTCGCCAACTTTAGTAATCAATTCATACATCTTGTCAATTGAGCCAATCTTTTCTGATGATGTATAAGTTGTAAATATAGTAATCAAAACGATTAAGTAGATAATAACAGAATGTATCCAATCACTAAGGAACGTGGATTTCAAGCCACCAGTTACGGTATATGCCCAAACACCTACTGGCAATAACATAGCAGCTGCAACAATGTGCATACCAGTAACAGCAGCTATGGCTTGACAACCACCCAAAAGCAACATCGCAGCGATAATAACACTGGTACCCAAAGCATAAAACATCATCACACAATGAGCAGATGTCCCAAATCTGGCTTTTACGATTTCTAGAATGGTATGCGCTCCTGGTGCTTTCTTCTTTATTTCCAAAGCCAAAACCGCAAAAAAAGTAATTTGGATAGTAAATGCGAAAGCGTACCATGCACCACCACAAATACCATAATTGTAGGTCATACCACTGCTAGTCAAAAGAGTACCAGGCCATGTCCAACTACTAACAACAGCAGAGGCAATGAGACCAGTTTTAATGGATCTAGATGCAGTAGAGAAATGTTCGGAGTTTTGACGCTCACCAACAAATTTAGATAACATTCTAGTAATTAAGATCATGAGGCCTGCAAAAGCAGCGCCCAACACCATAATATAGCAGTAACCATAAGCTTGATCAAGAATAGGTTTCACCATGATTGAATATTATTTCTCTTGAGTAATTTATGAGATTAATTCTCATATCTCTCTTTTTTTTATGTTTTAGTATCATTGCTAGTGCGATGGTTGATATTAATGTAATTTGAGAAGGGCTAATCGTATCGTGTTGAAAAACAGAATACTCACATTGATGTCATATGCATCATGATGCAAAAAAAAAAAAAAAAATCTGAAGCTCTCATCAAAAAGATACCGATAAGAAATGGACTATTATTTCTTATCGCAAAGACTTCCTCATTTATCGCCAGGGACTCCAGTTAATGTTTGAAGGGAATTGAAAATAATAAAAATGTAAATTTGCGAATTTTCGTTTTTTTGTCGCCGTTTTTCCGATTCTTCGGATTCACATGCTAATATTTTATTATTGAAATACCATAATCAACAAACTAATGCGAATGTCAATAAAATGTTGTTGGCACAGATATCGTGCATTGTCTTTTTTTGACGAAAGAAGATGTCAACAAGATAAAGACAATTTGCATATATGATAATAGATATGTATAATAACGCATATAACAATACTCTTTATTTTCCGGGGAAGTGGATGCGACAAGAAACTCTAGACGACATGCTGTCGAAAACTGATCACTTGTTCTTATCACAAAGGTCCAGATCCATTACTTCTTATCATAAAGGGCTAGAACTAATACTTCTTATCACAAATGTCTAGGTCTAATGCATCTTATCAAGAATTTTTATTTGTCTGCATTGTTTCAGGTTTATATATTATTCGTAAAAATACGAAAAATAAGCATTAAATGAAATTCTGAATGCTTGATTTATTTTGCTCATGTTTTTTCCTGTTTTTTTTTTTTTTATTTTTCAAAAACTTCTTCCATTGTTATAAATCCTCTTGTTGAAATATTCTAGCTTTTTTATTATCATGGCCCCTCCAGAATATTTGGTAAAGATTGATCTCGCGAAGCCTGCGTGGGAACAGGAAGGTGTCCACAATCGTTGGCATCCAGATGTCCCAGCTTACAAAAAAATTGAGCAAAATAAATCTTATAAAATTGAGTGTTTTGATTGGACCGGTGGTCAGGTAGGCAATAATGATTCTGCCCATGATATCAAGTACTGTGATTTGACAAGAATTCATTACCTTTCTGGCCCCTTTTTTGTTGAAGGTTGTGACGCTGGCGATATACTCAAAGTCAAAATCCAAGATGTTCAGCCATTAGAAAGACAGCCTTGGGGCTATTGTGGCATATTTGCAAAAGAAAATGGTGGTGGTTTTCTTGACAAGCATTATCCAAAAGCTGCGAAGGCAATTTTTGACTTTGAAGGTATTTACTGCACATCCAGACATATTCCTGATGTTAAATTTCCAGGAATTTGTCATCCAGGTATCATAGGTACTTTACCTTCTGCTAAAATATTAAATGAATGGAATAGAAGAGAGTCAAAATTAGTAGCAGAAAACCCAGATGCGGACTTTATCATGGCAAACTTACCAACCCCTCAAGGTGCTTATGCTGGGCTTCATGCTTCAGAGGATTTAAAATGCATTGTTGGAAAACATGGTGCCAGAACTATTCCTGGAAGACCAGAAAATGGCGGTAATTGTGATATCAAGGCGCTTACTAGAGGCTCTACTGTCTATTTGCCTTCTCATATGGATGGTGGAATGCTAAGTGTTGGTGATTTACATTTCAGTCAAGGTGATGGTGAAATATCCTTCTGTGGTGCTATTGAAATGGCAGGGTGCATTACTATTGAAGTTAGTGTGATGAAGAATGGGATCGAAAAGCTTAATATGAAAAGCCCAATGTACTTACCAAGTAATCTTGCTCCTAAATTTGGTGCCGACAGATATATTACTTTTGAAGGATTCTCAGTTGATGAATCTGGTGAGCAATTATGCCTTGATACAACTGTCGCCTATAGACAAACCTGTCTTCGCGTGATTGAATATTTACGCAGATATGGCTACAATGATTACCAGATTTATTTGCTATTATCTAGTGCTCCAATTGAAGGCAACATTGCTGGTATTGTTGATGTACCAAATTCATGTACCACTATCGGTTTACCTAAAGATATCTTCAACTTTGATATCTCACCGGAAAATGATGTTGAGAAAAAAGATAGAGGCAATTGTGCCTTTTCAGAGGATGACTTGAAAGAAGGTTTTTCTTTAACGGATGAATTGCCAAACTTTCTTCTTGAATGTTTGAAGAAATAGGCTCTGCGAAAGTTTCTTGAAAACCGATATATCTATCAGAAGATAGCGTACACTATCGGAAAATTTCTATGGCCTCTAAATTTCTTCTTATCTTCTTGTTTTGGCCAACCTTATCTACTCATATCTTTTCATATCATTAAACTCACTTATTGTTATCTTCTTATCTATTTGGCCTCCTTTACTCTTTTCCCCTTCATCATCTTATGTTAGCACTTTCCCTTTTTCTTTACGTAGCTTTTTAGTCGCACAAATCCGGAGAAATGGCATACATTGCTGCATATTTAGGAGAGCTTTTAAAATAATGAATATTTTGTAGAACTCACTGCCAATGGTATTATTAGAATCGGAAGAAAGTTCTGAGCAAAAATATGTAATTTTATTTGAAAAATAGTATATTGGGTTAGAGATATTGTCGTTGAAAATTTGCGTTGCATAACGCGGGGCAAATTCCAGGGGGGCTGGACCCTGTCGAACAGTTAGGAGAAACAATGTATAGTTTGGGCCAATAGCCAGGACAGCCAGGAGAAATTCTTTGAGGGAGAGTGAGATACCCCTGGGTTTATCAGGGGAGTAATATATGTCTGAAATTTAGGATAGCGATGGTGTCTTCGCAGATTGAGAATTATTTGATGATTGTGGGTGGATGTAAAGAGAGTGAAGGTTTAGTAGAGCCAAGAAAAAAGAATAAATATGATAGATAATAGGTGATTATTGTAGAAGTTAGGACGAGTTGAGATAGGTGAATTGTACAGGTATATGAGCTCAGAAATTAAAGGCACCATTATCATTTTTACGCCTAGAAGATTTCAGAATGATTCATAAAAAATTAGAGGAGAATATTCAAATTTGTGGGAGAAAATTTTAATGTGTTTTCGTCAAGTAATTGGGATGAAAGATTTTTTCAACGATCGTGCATACGAAGTTGCATTGTAAATTGATGAAAAAAAACAAAACAAAAAAACATTTAGTCACTACCCACAGTAACCACAATCCTAAATGATTCAAGTTTCAGATAGAATATCTGTCCTGGACGGATTCATTATAGATAAAAATGAACGAAGAATCATATCCACAAGTTCCAAAATCATTACCAAGCTTGGCAAAGCTCTGAAGAAGAATCTTTCAGCATGCGATCTTAAAGATATCCATTCCATTTTCAGCACCACAAATGTTTGCTTCTACGATCTTTCTGAGATCATGCCACATATCACAATGACAGAAGTATTCATAAAAAAAAGTAGTGATGGGCGTTACCAAACCCAGAGCCGTAAATTTACCGGCTCCTCCAAGTACCAAGCCACCATTATCAGATTAGCTGGCAATAAGAACTATTACTTGATTCATCGCAAAGAAAGCGAGTCCAACGTGGCCTACGATATCATGGGATCCTCCAACGATACCCAGTTTGTTAAGTCCAATACAGTTTTAAAACTGTACTTAGGCGATCCCATTGTGTCTCAAAATGATAAACAATTGTTAATCAAGCTTCAAAATTACGACCTCAAGGAAGAAGCATCTGAATTATTCATGTTTGGCTACAAACAAACTCAACTCAACTCTTCTATCATCACCGATTCGTCCTTTGGTTTGGGATTTGAAAAATTCTACAAAATCCTTGACCCAAAAACCGTCCGTGCGTACGCGGCCGCGTTCCAGCAAATCTATCCCATTTTTAAGTATATATCCCAATTCGAATATATTAAGGGTGATTCAACATCCATCTTGGACCCAAAAAAGAATTTGAATGATGCTGAAGATGTAGGATCCAGATTTGAAGCTCTCGCCAAGTTTATTTTTTCATTGATTGAAAATGAGAATTACCACTTATTGTTCAACAAGTTGGTTGTTTTGATGATTACCAAGAAAAACTCTGACATCTCCGATGCCACTAACAAAAGGTTTGAGTCCACTGACACCATCTTGAAGCGTCTTGATGTCCTCAAGCATGTAATCAGATTTGCTTATGTGAACAGAGATGTTGCCTCAAAAATGAAGTACATTGGCGTTTCTCCAATTCGTGGCTCCAATTTTATTTGGTTGACAGCATTATATACCCTATTTGTGAAAGAAAAGGCCGCCCAAAGAGTATTTGATTGCATTTTATTGGATTCAACCACCGTCATTGTCGATGGTATCACTATAAATCAGCAACAGTTAATTGATGGCCGTCAAAAATTGATGGATGATTTTTATGCTCATGCGGGTAGAATCACGAACTTCATCAACGGGGATACAAACATCGACCGCATCTTTGAAAGCTTTGTCAAGTTATCGAAGATTAACCGGATCAACCACTCCTTTTTGAATTTGGTTGGAGATAAAATCCCCGATTATTTGAGATTTGGCCTAAAAGAAAATCTCCAAGATCATACTTTGAAATCAATCAAGGAAATGTTTATTTATCTAACCTCATTGTTAATAAACTTATTTTTCTTAGAAGCTGGAAGTTTCCAGTTCCCCGAGATTCAAGTATCCAAATTTTCTACTGAAGATATGTGCTTGAATTGGGATATAACCGATGAAACAATTTTCCTCATAACCAACTACACCAAGAAAAGAGTTCGTTCAGCTAAGCCGAGATACTTGAGTCAAACCACAACAAAATTAACAATTTGGTTACTTCTATTGCGTCCAGTGTTTATTGAGATTCTAAGACTATATCCTGAGAGTGATGAATTGGATGAAAATGGATTGCCATTGGTAGAACCGAACGCTTTTGCCAATATTTCTGTCGATGATGAGAATGATGACATAATTGAAGTTGCCTCTTCAAGTTTGGTATCCACTTGTATCTTCACCACTGGCACAAACTTTATTTCACAAAACAGATTTCATTCTTTGTTCACAAAAGTTTTTTCATTCGGGATCAGAGTGGCAAGAAAGGCATTTAGATGCTTTATGAATAATCCTGAAAGTGCTGCATCGGGGAAACTTATTGATGCTGTTACCGTAGCTGCTGACCACTCATCAACCATCGGTAACGGGTGCATAGGGTCTGAACGCAGAAGGTCACTCAACGAAGTTGAGTCCTTCTATGTACAAAAACAATTGTCGAAAAGCTGGTTAAAATTTCTTGGTGATCAAACCACTATTCAACCGCCAACCCAACAACCAAATTCATATATCAATAGTCCGGATTTGCTAAAGTCCGGGAAAGAATTATACGGGCCTGACTTCGAATTTAGGTCTACAGCACAAGCCCTTTTTAGTATGGATATTGCCAACTCCCAGAAACCCGTATTTTTAACCGCCCCTTGCGGATTTGGAAAAACCACAGTTGTCAACATAGTCCATAATATTGGTACCGCAGAGCAAATCAATTTTATATTCGGACCTTACTTGAGTTTGCTTGGCCATTTAAATCTGATATTTAAAAAAACAATAATGTGGCCAGACCTTCTTGCAGATCCAGTTAATAACATTCAAGGTGTTCAAAACATTATTTGCTCTTTTGAAGTAATAAAATCCAAGCATTTTAGACATTTTCTAAGGAGTGGCTCTGTCCACGGGAGAAGCCTTGGTAGGCTCTTTGTTGATGAAGCAGACCTCCTTTTGAGGGAGGACAACTTCAGGTCGCTCGTGCCTCATTTGAAACAATTGGGAAGGTTCAAACAGTGTCTATTTGCTTCCGCCACTTTGGACCCACCAATAATAAGCAAATTGGAAAACATTATGAATTTCTCGAGTTCCGTGAAATTGAAATCGTTTACTGAAAATATTGAAACGTAGATTTAGGTAAAATGCATCCTCCAATAGTGTGTTTTATCTATCACTTAAGTCAAGGGTACTTTATGTGATTTTATGTACTATAGGGGAACGGTGTCTTTCCGACGATAAAAAGGCCTGACACTTATGGACAATAATCAATTGAACTCGATTACTGAAAATGCTGAAATGTAGCTTTAGCCAAAGTGCAAGCTCCAATAATCACCTCTTCTGGTAAAAGTGTGATCTGCTGTCGCAAGTTCGAGATCTTACAATTAAGGAGTCTTTAGGTCTTATACTGGGAACCAGATCAATAGATCTCTACTAATAAATATTATAGTCGTTGCTATCAAGATTATATTTACAGTAATTATTGGTTTAAGGTTGCTAGGTGTCGTGCTGTTTGTACTTATTACATATAGCTAGATAAAGGCAGCCAGAGCGCAATCGCATACATTTTTGCAGCGAGAGCGCAGCGGGTTTGTATGGGGCGAAAAAATGGATGTTAGCAGAGTGCAGCGAGAGCGCAATGGGCTAGCAGCGAGAGCGCAATGGCGATTATGGGCACTTAAAGTGGGGATATTTGGGATCTGAGAAGTGGAATGTGGAGTAGAGAAAAATAGTATTTTTATAATGTCTTTATATTTGGGATATCTTGGATATTGAAAATGGGCAAAGCGGGGGTGCGGGACCCGTTCCGTGGTGGAAATGTACCAGAGCAGCGGGCTGAGCGGGGCCTGAGCTGGATGATTTGTGTGGTAATTAAAAAATAAAAGATGAGTGAAGAGAAAGTGGAGGTGATTACCTAGGGATACAGTCGCGCAATCTGGAGAAATGCCATACATTGCAGCACAACCAGGAGACATTTTTAAATGCTGAATATTTAGTGGACATGGCTAGTAATGATGCTGTTGAAATCTGGAGAGGATGCTGAGCAAAAATATATAATTTTATCTGAAAGATAATATAATGTGGTAGAGATATTGGCGTTTGAAATTTGCGTTGCACCAACAGGAGAAATTGATTGGCACAGTTCGGAGAAATTCGCAGGGGGTTTGGGACCCTATTGGGAAATCAGGAGAAATTTAGCATGATTAAGAGGTCCCAATGAAAAAAGTGGGATTGTCATTTGAAAATTATAATATAGAGTATGGAGATGTGATTGTAAAAGCTCATGAATGTAGTAATTTAATTAAAAGAAAAATCAATTTAAAATCATATAAAACTATAAATTTTGAAGGCGTGTTAGAAAAATATAATCTATTTTTGTTAAGTATTTATATTTGGGATATCTTGGATATTGAAAATGGGAAAAGCAGGGGTGCAGGACCCGTTCCGTGGTGGAAATGTACCAGAGCAGGATGATTTGTGTGGTAATTAAAAAATAAAAGATGAGTGAAGAGAAAGTGGAGGTGATTTGATATATTATGAGGATAGGATGATTGATCAGGGTATTTATATTGAAAATCAGAGCGGTCAGTTGGCGGAGAATTGCGGTGGTTTGTGTGATAATATGGTGATGAAAGTTTGAATGTAATGAGAATTATTTTGGGAAATAGAAGATAAGGAAAAAAAGTAAGTATATCATCAATATATTTAGGAGATCTGGAATTGATTAGGTCAAAAAAATGGAGAAAATCGTAGGAAAATGTAGGAAAAATTGAAGATGATAGTTTTGATGGTCGGGGTTGGGTGTATGTATGAGATGATCCTATATTTTGAAAGAAAAAAAAAGGTTATGAAAAAAGTAGGATCAGTTATGAAATAGTTGGGTGATTTTAATATAGGTTTGATGATAATAGTTAGGATTGAGAATAAAATGTGGTGGAAAAATAGGGATGGTAAAGTTTTGGTGAAGGTCGGGGATCTTGTATGGGTGTATGGTTGAGAGATGGGAGGTGAATGTCTATGTAATTTAGAAAAAAAAAGATTTATGAAAAAAGTAAGATCAGTTATGAAATATTTGAGAGATTTTATTATAGATTTGATTCTAAAATATCAGATGGAAAGTAGAATGTGATAGAAAAATGAAGATAATATGGAATTTTGATGGGATATGTGTAGTAGAGAAGGAGATTATGGGGATGATATTTTGAGAGTATTTTTTATTCAATAGAAAAAGTAAGATTGTTTATGAGATGATTGATTGATTTTAATATAGATTGAGATGTAAAATGTTGGATTGAGGAGAAAATGTGGGAGAGAAATGAGGATGATGATGATTTTTGATGGGAGTGGGGATGAATGTAGGTAAGAAATAGAGGTCTAGATATTTTTGAGAAAAAGTTATTGAAAAAAAAAGGAGGATTGTTGATGGAATATTTGAGAGATTTTAGTATGATTATAATCATAAAATAGGTGATTAAAATAAAAATGTGTAAGGGAAATCAGGTTAGATGAATTTTGGTGATGGTCGGGGGTCATGTATGTGTGTGAATTTAAGGGTGAGGTATTTTTGAAAAAAAAAGTGAGAGAGAAAAAGAAAGATTGTTTATGAAATATTTGGGAAATTTTAATATAGATATGATTGTTAAGTAGGAGATGGAAATGAAAATGTGGTGGGAAATCAGGTTGGATGAATTTTGGCGATGGTCGGGGGTCATGTATGTGTGTGAATTTAAGGGTGAGGTATTTTCGAAAAAAAAAGTGCGAGAGAAAAAGGAAGATTGTTTATGAAATATTTGGGAAATTGTAATATAGATATGATTGTTAAGTAGGAGATGTAAATGAAAATGTGGTGGGAAATCAGGTTGGATGAATTTTGGCGATGGTCGGGGGTCATGTATGTGTGTGAATTTAAGGGTGAGGTATTTTCGAAAAAAAAAGTGCGAGAGAAAAAGGAAGATTGTTTATGAAATATTTGGGAAATTGTAATATAGATATGATTGTTAAGTAGGAGATGTAAATGAAAATGTGGTGGGAAAATGAGGTGATGTTCGAAGGTCATATGTGAGTATAAGTGAGAATTGAATGTTGGAGTATTTGATGAAAAAATAAAGTTGAGAAAAAAGTAAGAATGTTCATGAAATATTTGGGAAATGTTAATATGATTAAGATTAAAAAATAGGAGAGGGAAATAAAAATGTGGCGGAGAAATTAGGTGAGTAATTTTTGAGGAAGATCGGGATTATTGTATGTATGAGAAATAGATGTGTAGATATTAATGGAAAAAAAAAGAGAGAGAGAAAAAGTAAGATTGTAGATGAAATAATTGAGATCATTTTATGTGGATAAGATCATGATATGGAATATTGAGAAATAATTGAGAGATAAAAATAGGGTATGTTGAATTTTGGTGAAGGTCGGGGGATGATGTATTGTGGAGAAATGAGGGAGATTTATTTTGAAGAAAAAGAGAGTGAAAAAAAAAGTGAAAAAAAAAGTGAGATTGTTTATGGAAAGTTTGAAGGATTTTATTATGATTAAGATTAAAAAGTAGGTGAGAGAAATCAAAATATTGTGGAAAAATGAGAATGTCAAATTTTGGATGATGGTGCGGATGTATGTATGAAGATGAATTGAATGATGAGATATTTTGAAAAAAAAGAGAGTGAAAAAAAAAGTGAGATTGTTTGTGGAATATTTAGGGATATTTATTATGATTTTGATTGTTGAATAAGATATTGAGGTTGAAATGTGGTGGAAAAATGGGGATGTCGAATGTTTGATGATGGAAGGTCATATATGAGGATAAGTGAGAATTGAATGTTTGGGTATTTGATGAAAAAAAGGAGTTGAGAAAAAAGTGAAGGAGATATGTTGAAAATGTCGAAGAATTGGTATGGATAAGAATATAATATGAAATATTGAGGTTGAAATGTGGTGGAAAAATAGGTAGAATGGTAATTTTGATGAGATGTGTCTAGTGGTGAAAAGAGGATGTATTCTTTGGTGGAAAAGTGGGAAATGTGTTGAGGAAGTGATTGGAATGGGTGATATGGAAGGGAAAGTGATGGTGTGATGATAAGTAGGGGAAGTATGAGGAGATTGTGGAGAGATGTGGAGGATATAAGGTAGAGAAGGTAGTAAAAATAGGGAGAGGGATGAAGGGTGAAGGGTGGAGAAAAGGATGGAGAATGGAAAGTAGAAAAAATAGGGAGTTGAGAATGATAAATAAGTGGTGATGATGAGGATAAAATAAGATGAAAGAAAGGATGGAGAGTAGAGAGAGTGGGGGTGATGGAGAATGATGAAGAGTAGAGAGAGTGGGGG